AGTTACTTCTTCTAGCTCTAGCTACCTGCGTATATATGTATATATAACGTCTTTTATGCTAATTAGTTAAGAAAAGTCTTAGAGCTATTGCTAGAGTAGGTAGAGCCTAAGTAGCTACCTATTAAAGTTAATAGTAATCTAGAATAGCTCGTACATAAAATTCTAGATAGCTATCTTTATTAAAATTACCTTTAATACTACGCTATATAGGTTGCTTATAATTTTAACTCTACCTAGTATAATACTACAGGCTTTATTAACACTCTCTATAAGGTAAGAGACTTTTACGTAGTATACCTAGATAAGCTAGAGCTACTATTATAATTAGATACTTAGATTAAGGCGTACAAAAAAGACAAGACTCTAGAGAAGATAGTAGAGAATTTAAAACCTATAAGAGTAGAAGACGCTAGAGTAACGCAAAGGCGCTGCTAAGTAATTTAAGACTCTACTAAGCTTATAGTATTGTTTAAGAAGAGAGCTAATAAGAAAGCCGCTCTACTAACGCGAAAATAAGCCTCTTTCTCTCTAGAGAGAAGGTAGTAGCTATAAAAGCGCTTCTAGTTTAAAACTAATATAAATACACTTACTATAAGCTAAAAAGAGATAGTTAAGAGTATAACACAGGAGTTTTAGAAGAAGAGAGACCTAGAAGATATATTTTAGAGCTTAGAGACAAGCTCTCTCTATAAGAGAGAGTAATATAATAGTCTAGTTTAGAATTTACCTTAAGTTATATAACCTTAAGTTACGTAATTCTATTACGTAACCTAGCCTAGCGCCTTAGCGCTTAGCACCTCTATATATAGAGCCTTTTAGAGTAGTCTTCTACTTCTTACCTTTAAATAGCTAAATTTAACCTAACCTACTCTACTAGTACCTCTTATTCTTATAGCTTGTAGAGATAGTACTACCTATAGCTAACTTACCTAGCTAGATATTCTAGAGGCGCTTATAGTAGTAGAGACTATAGATCTAGCTCTTACACTATATAGGTTACTTATAATTCTAACTCTACCTAGTATAATACTATAGACTTTATTAACACTCTCTATAAGATAAGAGACTTTTACGTAGTATATCTAAATAAGCTAGAGCTACTATTATAATTAGATACTTAGATTAAGACGTATAAAAAAGAGAAGACTCTAGAGAAGATAGTAGAGAATTTAAAACTCGTAAGAGTAGAAGATATAAGGGTAACGCAAAGGCGCTACTAAGTAATTTAAAAAGAGAGTCTGCGACAAAGCTACTCTATAGACGTAAAAATAAGCCTTTAAGCTTAAATCTCTATAAGAATAGAGTAACTAGAAGAAAGATAGTAGCTATAAAAGCGCTTCTAGTTTAAAACTAATACAAATATACTTACTATAAGCTAAAAGAGATAGTTAAGAGTATAACGTAAAAGTTTTAGAAGAAGAGAAACCTAGAAGGCGTATTTTAGAGCTTAGAGATAAGCTCTTTCTATAAGAGAGAGTAATATAATAGTCTAGTTTAGAATTTACCTTAGGTTATATAACCTTAGGTTACGTAATTCTATTATGTAACCTAGCCTAGTACCTTAGTACTTAGCACCTCTATATATAGAGAGCTCTTAGAGTATTCTTTTACTTCTTACCTTTAGATAGCTAAATTTAACTTAACCTACTCTACTAGCACCCTATTCTTATAGCTTATAGAGATAGTACTACCTATAGCTAACTTATCTAGCTAGGTATTTTAAAACGCTTATAGTAGTAGAGACTATAAATCTAGCTCTTATAGTAGTAGTAAGTAGTAGAATATTAGAAAAAAATAGCTACGCGTAGTAGCTAATAGTAGAATATTAGAAAAAAATAGCTACGCTACTACTACTAGTAATTTAAGTAGTAGAATTACTAGTAGTAGTAGCGTAGCTATTTTTTTTTAATATTCTACTAGAGTAGCTACGCGTAGTAGCTAGTAGTAAAATATTAGAAAAAAACTCTAATAAAGTATAGCGCTATTTACTAGCCTAGAGAAGTATTAGAAAAAACTTAATTTAGGTATAGTACGCCTTACTTAATCTTACTTATCTAATATCTATAATATTAAACTACTATCTAAATCTAACTCTAAGCTACTAATACTATCTAGTTTAGAGATTTACCTAGAGTTATATAATCTTAGGTTATATAATCTTATTATATAACCTAATCTAGTGTCTTAGTACTTAGTATCTCTATATATAGAGCTTCTTAGAGCCTTTTCTTAACTTCTTACCTTTAGATAGCTAAATTTAACCTAACCTACTCTACTAGTATCTCTTATTCTTATAGCTTATAGAGATAGTACTACTTATAGCTAACTTACCTAGCTAGGTATTTAAAGACGCTTATAGTAGTAGAGACTATAAACCTAGCTCTTATAGTAGATAATATAAAGGTAAAGTATAGTATTACTAATAAAGATATATATAATTTTAATAAATCTAGCTTTATAATAGAAATAATATTATCTTAGGTAGTAGTTACTAGCTTTAAGAGATAATTATAACTAAAGAGTCTTTAACTAGATAATTATAAGTAGATTTTAGTAATTATAATAGTAAGAGTAGTAGATAATATATAGATTCTACTATTTCTTATTATTATAAGTAAGAACTACCTCTTAGTATAGTATAAAGATAGCTAGCTACTATATAACTAGATTATAGCTATCTCTAAAAGTAGCTAGATAATAAATAAAGTTAGTATTATATAGTTAAAGTACTTTAACGCGTATACTAAAAGTTATATTATAGATATATATTACTTACTAATTTTAGATAGCTATAAAAGCTATAGCTTTATTAAATTCTAGTAGTACTATAAGAAAAATAAAATTATAGCTTTCTATATACTAGTATATTTATTATATCTTTTATAGCTACTTAATATTAGCTACTTTTTACTATTAAAAGTAGTATATAGCTACTAAGTTAAGATTCTAATATATAGCTATATTAACTATATTATAAAAACTAAGTTTTTACTTATATTTTATATAGCTTTTTACGTATTAATTATAAATAATAATATTAGAGTAGAATTTAGAGATACTAGCTTAGTTTTATTTAATCTAGATTTAGTAGTATTAAAGCTTAAAGTTTAATTACGTACGCTAATACTCTCTACTAATAATACTACTACCTAGAAGTATAAAATATCTAGTAATCTTATTAAAGTAAGGTTCTAATTAACTCTAATTTAATTAAAAATTATATAGCACTTTAATTTATTACTAACTTATATTATTAAGTTACTTAATTAGCTTAAGAAAAATAATAAGCTAATAGCGTATTAGCTAGTACTTATAGAGTCTAAAGTTATCTAGCTTTAAGTAGCTAATATATAGAAAAAAAAACATAATTTATATAAAAGAAAGTAGATTTAAAAAGAGAATACTCTTATAATTAAAGCTAGCTTATAGCTAGTTACTTAAAGAGAGGCTATAAATTAGAATAAGAGTAAGAAGTAGCGTAAAGAAGTAGTAGTATATAATAGCTAGCTAGCTTAGTAATACTATAGATACTATAGTAAGCTAGAGTATAATACGTAAATATACTAGATAGTTAAAGATAATATAGATAAGTTAGATAGCTTATCTAGATTTATTTTAAGTAGCTTAGTATTAGAGTAATCTAAATAAGATAGTAGTATTTAGTAGAGACTTAGTATTTTTAGGTTATTTATTTATATAATACGTTTATTTATAAAGTATATTAGCTATTTAAGAAATACTTATTAATTTTCTTATACTTAGTATTTTTAGAGCTTTTACTTATAAAGTATATTATCTAGAATATATTTAAAGTTAATTAGGCGTTTATAAAGAGTATTATAATAAAAATAGTAGTATTTAGTAAAGACTTAGTATTTTTAGAAAGTTTAGTAATATAGAAGATTTAGTAATAAAGTATATTATAGATTCTTATTAAGTTTTCTTACTAAGAAATTATAGAGAGTTTAATAATATAGAGAGTTTAATAATATAGAGAGTTTAATAATAAAGTATATTAAGTAGAGTTATTATATATAGTATAAAAGGTATTAAGAATAGCTACAACGTTAGTAGAGGGTAAAACAGCAATAAGAGAAGTTAATATTAGTAGTGCGAGACGTTTAGGCGATAGATTTAAGGCGTTTAAGATAGATAAGGGGCTAGAGCCGTAAGGCTAAGGGCTGCGAGGCGGCGTTAAGAGTAGAGAGAGAGCTCGATTAAAGAGAACAACGCGACGAGGAGAATTTCTGCGCTTTATTAAGATGTGGAATGCCGCATTGTAGACGGTTGCAGCCTTGACTGACGGTGGGGGTGATGATGCAGGCGTCTGGGCGCGGTGTTTCGAGATGGCGCGTTGCCAAGCCGCTAGCCTGGCGTCTGTGCATAGCTTGAAAGCGCCGAGGTTTGGCGTATCGATAAGACTCATACGAGCCCGTCGCAGTCTCGCCCTTTCCATCCCATCGGAAGACAATTTGCGATCAAGAATGCCGCGTTTTTGCGACTGGGTTTCCGACCCATCCCGTCGTGGACTGCCAGGAGTCGGTGCATCCTGCCCAGTCGCTATCGGCGTAGCCCCAAATCTTCGGTGGTTGTCGACGATACGTAGGGCTCGGAGTAGGCGCAGAAGCGAGATAGGCGAACACCCTATGTAGCGAGTCAAGGTGTTGTTGCCGCGTTTTTGTGACTACTAGTCAGCTCTACTAATACTAATAGTTGTCAATCATGTTTCCAGCGCTGATTAGCACGAGAAGAGAGAGTAGGGAGGAGGACCAACAATCTCCAAAGGTCAGCCAAAATCACATGATTTTCATATTCCTCAGGTCATTTCACGCGCTTCCCAAAAAAATTTCAAAGCTTACTCTCTATTATTCTATCTCGATCCCAAGGATTTGAAAGATGAAGTTGAGTCACTCCGTGGGGATCAAGACGGCGCTCGATACATGTCAAAGAATAGGAAATACCAGACAATTATCCAATCCGGGTGATCCGATATACATCACCGCAGCTCAGGCCATGAGAGGTGGAACTGCAGTCCAAATCCCCGCGCTGGTCTTCCTGTACTCCATCACTCCTCCATAATGGCAGTGCTAGCCACAGCACATGGAGACAAGAAAGAAAGCCTCCCTATCTCCGTTTATTTCCCGCCGTAGCTACTTCGCCGTTTTCTCGTCCTTTTCGACTTTGTTGCCCTTTTCCCCGAGGCAGAAAGCCTCAAGCACCTCTCGAACGGCTTTGGTTGCCTCGTCCTCGAGAATGCCGACGCGAGTGTCGTCCAGATGGGCGGCGAGATCATCCACATCTTGTCCTGGGGGATCTTCTCGGCGGCGGTACTTTGCTTTGCCATGCTCCTCTTTCTTGTTAGGCGACCGGCTGCGAGTGCGAGGACGCGGTGGTGGTGGTTCTTTGGCATGCACTTTGCGGAACAATTCATCCAGATCCGGATCCTTGACATGAGTGGGAATATGACCAAGTGGCCCACGTGGAGGTGCAACGCGCTTGATGCGCGGAACATTGGTCGGCATGCCCCTATGGTGGGGGTTCTGCGCATTGGGGAATGCGGGACGTCCCCGGTTCCCAATGATCGGCTTGGCTGCTCCACGAGGCTTACGTTCAAAGATACCTGGACGCTTAAAGCGCTTGGCTGGTTCCTCTTCGCGTTTCGCTGCTTCTTTAACGAATCCTCCGTTCTCCTGAGCTTCGGGGAAATCGTAGAAGAATTGGAGCTTGGGATCGAGCTTGGGGACCACCATGGACAAGCGATACTGATGCTTTACCAGGAAATCGATCTGAGTCTCCGCGAACTTCTTGATTTTGTCAGCTCGGGCCATGTCACCGTCTTCCATGCTAGCGTCCCCGTCCTTGGTCAACGTTAGCCCCTCGAGCTCCATGTCAAGCCGCACCTGGTTGGTCACGCAGTCAGGACATATGATAGGCGTGATGTCTTTCACTGGACGCTTACAATTGGAGCCACAATCTTCCGGGTACTGGGTCTTGACGCGGTGTCCACATTTGAGGTCGTGGAAAGGCGAAAGCGGATCGCAGGGGGCGTGCATACGATGGAAGCGCACTTCGTTCTCGAGGCGTTCCTTCTCGTTTTCAGCAAGCTGCTTCTGGGTAATGAGTTTCAGGTGGCGTTCGAAATCCATGATGTTCATGGGAGCCATACTCGGAATCGTTGCTGATGCCTGATGAGTGGGTAGAAGATGGGACTCTGTCTTCAGCAAATAGTCGAGAAAGGTTGTGGGTTGTGGTTGTAGTTGTGATGAAGAGGAGGCATCTTGTAGAAAAAAGGCATATATACCCATAGGGAGCAGAAGTGGCTGGGTGCTCCTAGCAGCCATGGTGAAAGGACGACGCGTTGCTGAATTCACTAACGACTGCCATCGGCGATGACATTGTGCAAGATCATGAGAATGACCACACATTCCCCTTCGAACCTTACTCGGCAAAACAACATTTTCACTTGAATGGCGAACTCGAGTTCCCCCGTAGTGATCGTAGGGATTTGAGGGCTCCAGATGGCTTTGATAGCCGATGAGCGTCGCGCGACAACTGAATTCGTATCCTTGTAACAGTCAACCTGAGGATGGTATCTTTCGGAGTTTATTAGGTATGCGCTCTGATTTGGCTATCATATGACTAACACGACAGCATCTCGCGGGATCTGCTACGGTCTAGTGACGCTGCACGATATGGGAATTCGTCTCCCTTATTCACGCCATCACCACGGTTTTCATCATGCCATATACTTTCCCGTTCTCGCGGCTTACTTCTGCGCCTCGTCAACTCCTTTCCTCACAGCGCGCGGGACCTCATTCGCGGTCCCCTCGGCGGCCTCCCTTTTCTCCTTCTCATCCAACACCAACGACCCCAGCACTTCTCGAACAGCCTTAGTCGCCTCGTCCTCCTTCTCCAACCCAACCTTTGTATCGCCCAGATGCCCAGCTAGGTCATCCATAGAGTCTCCTTCGTAGCTTAGAGCGGGGGCCTCAGGTCGCCCACGTAGGTTGGCTTCGTCACCGTCACGCTCATCCCCACCGGCCGCAGTAGGTGAACGACTTCGATCCCGACCCGCAGTCCGGCCTTGACTCCGCTCTCTATACCTAGTCCTCTGCGCTGATGGTCGTTTAAAGAGCTCCTTACTGCCCAATATCGGCGCTACTTCTCCGTCATCATTCCTCGCTGGCTTCTGCGGACTCTGCAAGAAGCCTCCACCCTCCTGCGCCTCCGGGAACTCGTTATAGAACTGCAGCACGGGATCCACTTTCGGCGCTTCCTCGCAGATCCTATGACCTGCTGCGATCAACTCTCCAATCTTCTCCTGGGTCATCTCGCGAATTCTCCCCTCGCGAACCGAAGGGTCCATGACTTGATCGCTGTTCTTTTCTTTGACGCCTTTCTCTGCAATGTGTGCTTTTAGTTCGGCGGCGAAGCAGACGGGGCAGACGAAGGCGCATTCCGAGAGCAAGGAGGTCTCTGTTTGCGATGAAGATACGTAGGGGGTCTTGCAGTTTGGGCCGCAGTCTTCGTTGTAGGGCGTGCGGATGCGGTGATTTCCCGGGCAGCTCAGGTCATGGTATGGGCTGAGTGGGGCGCAAGGGCGGTGGGTCTCGGAAATGGAAGGGGCGTGTTTGCTAGAGTTTGAGGCAGCCATTCCTAGATGATCTAGACTGTTGCCCAGGGGTTGACGTGATTTAGGTTCAAGGGTTGTCTTTAGGTGGAGCAAGTGTGAGAAGATATAGAGGGAATAGGGATAAAGGTATGAACCTCGTAGGTTCTCATTTATTCTCGGGCTGACTTTGGATCTCGCTGGAAACGAATGGCTACTTTCATCCACATTTGTAGTTCTTGCACCAAGCTTCTACTTTGGTCATGAATTCTATTCTATTACTTACTCAGGCCCTACCCGAGCCTTCTCCACCCCTAGCGCCTACGAACCGCCCGCATTCGTCGACAGCGCATTCAATATCTCGCCCAGCTCGTCAACCTCCGGATACTCCTCGATACCCAAGGCTCCCAGCAAGTCAAGCACATCCTGCATTCTGGGCGCCTCCTTCCTCGGCCGACAGACTGCCTCCGGGAAGTCCCTCAGGAACTGCGCAATGCCACACACTCGCGCAGTAGCGCCAGCATCCCGAAAATGCTGTTTCCTCAGCCGCTGAATCTCCTCCCCCGCGATCGCCGCCACCTTGCAGTCTACCTTTGACGCACCGGCGGTCGGGGTCGTAGGCTCAGCAACATCCTCCATGGTTAGACACTCCAGCTGGGCGATCGGCGGCTCGTTCTCGTCTTGTTCCTCTTCGAGCCCTAGGCCTAATACTACCTGCCAGATAATACACGTCGGGCAGATGAAGGGGAAGTTTTGGTCTGGATGGGTGCAGTTGCTCCCGCAGGGCTCGATGGTTTTCGTTGCAATGCGGTGGCCGCAACGGAGATCGTGGTAGGGGCTCACTGCGTTGCAGGGTATGTAGGACCATGCTTTCTCTCTGTAGTAGAGTGAGATCTGCTCCATGGCGTTGACGATAGTTGATGCGCGCATAGGGATGATCGCGAAACTAAGGCAGTACTGGAACAGGGGTGGAGAATTTTATATATATGTAAGACGGTGTGGAGAGGATGCCCAGCGTGTGCACACAATGCTGCAGTGAGGGCACGCTGGAGTAATACCATGGCAACTTATCATTGTGTATCTATGTGGACTAGTGGATTAGTGCCTTGGATATCGCACTAAGGGACGAGAGTCAATGTGTGGAGGAGAACATGGGCGTCCATGAAAAGAGCGGTCATGTTCACCAAGAGACTTAGAATTTCCGTGACAACCGACTGGGAAGGATGCTCGTCCACTCGCGAGCCATACAAGTCGGCAAGAAAATAGCGCATTAGGCTCCGGAGATCAATCTCAGGACTTCCTCGCTTCAGACTCACCCTTTCGCTCCTCAAGCGCGTTTGAACCCGTGAGCAGACCTCCCAAGCCTTCCAACAACCCTTGAACATCACCATCCTTCCTCAGCCCTACCCTCGCATCCCCAAGTCGCTCAGCCAACTCATCCACGATAGGATCCCACGTCGGCCTAAGCGGAGATCTCTCACGATACCTCTGCCGCCACAGTGCCGATTTCCGAGCCTTCCCCATCTCGCACTCTTCACCCTCGTCAAACCGCTCCGGAGACCGGCTACGACTCCGCTCGCGCCTCGTCCGTCCACGGAAGCTCCACCGCTCTCGGGCTTCAGCCGCCAAAGACAGCGTGAAGTCAATGTGCTCATAGTCCTTCGTGTAATCGAGCAGGAACACGCCAGTGGTGCCCTGTGCCATCCTCATCCCGCTTTCCACCATGTCCCGCACTGCGCAATATGTCCACACTCCGACGTTGGTGTCGACATTGCACGATGGGTAGAAGCCTGCGTGGCGGTACTCTTTCCAGATTTTGATGTAGTTCTGTCGGATGGTAGATTCGATGCAGGCGGAGCAGATGAACGGAACGAAGGTCCTGTTCTTGGAGGAGGAAGTGCGTGGTACGCAGGCAGAGGAGCAGGCGGATTTCGGTGCATCGACTGAGGGCCAGGAGGTGGAAGTTTGGACGGTATGGCCGCACTTTAGAGAGTGATGATGCGTATTGGGGTTGTCGCACTCGCTGGCGCCCTGCTTGGGTGGGTTAGCTGGTTCAGGGGTAGCTGCCTGTGTATGCTGACTGATACTGAGGATTGAAGACATCTTCGATCTGCTCAATGCGGATGCCAAGGTGAATAATTGATCGGGGTCCTGTTTGAGCTCGGGGTCTGATACGGCGGTTCGATGTGAACGTTCGAGTATTTGGAGGATGACTGGTCGTGGAATGAACCGCGGCTCGGTGCTCGGATTGAGTGAAGACCTTGAGTAAAGCGTAGTCTGGAACATTTTTAATCTGAGTTGGTAGAATGGAGGTGTTGTGCTTTTATGGATAGCGCACAATGTCCAGGATAGAAGAGTTAGTGTTGTGGACATAGGAACAAGAGCGGGATAGTAGAAAATCGAGCTGAACAATGACTTCCACTTACGTGCGTTGGCTTTTGGTGAGGCAACTCCGGTGAATGACTTGGTGTAAGGGCACCTCTGCCATATCCCGTCTGTGATGCGCCTCCTTCACTCCGTTGCACCCACGCCTTCGCCCGCCGCTAGTAACTAGGATGCCGCTGTTGAAGCTATTGTCCTCTGCCATTCTATTCTCTCAATAAGCTCGGTGTCGCTTATATGTTCTTTCCCTGCTGCCAGCGTCCTGGCCTCAACCAGATATCTTCGCAACTCTTCGACCAGATCTTCCCACATACTGATTCGCCATCGTCCGAGTCTCGCTCCTATTCATGCGCACCAATCCAGCGAAATCACTACCTCCGCCTCTTGTCCTCTGTCTTACCCATGGGCCAGAAACCGTCTACTCAGAAACACTCAACCATGCGGCCAGTCAAAGAAACGATCACCTACCCGCGCATCAAGGTCACTGCCGAGAACGATCCTTGCCTTAATCCTTCCCAGGAGGTGGAGCATATCCTGAGCTGCGGCCACATAATCACCTCCGCTACTGCTAACGAGCTATGCGGTTCTAACTGCTATCATGTTGCAGCAAGGAAGCAGCGCGTAGGGACGCAATCCGCAGCTGACTTTTGGTGCAACGCATGCGTTGAAGAGCGTATCGAGGCGGAGATCGCCAAGGAAAACACCAATGCCACTGTCGCAGGTACTTTACAGATCTCCACCCCGCAGTTGGATCAGCTGCTGACAGCGAAATAGAGTCTCGCCGTACGTTCCTGCGCATCGACTTCGCGAAGAAGAACCGCAAGGCCCAGAAAGCCGCCCGCAAGTGCTATATCGGCCTGAAAGTCGTTTCTGTACCATGCGACAACCGTGGCCGGACGCCAAAGGGCTACAAGCCGCCACCGAGTGACCATCCTTTCGATACCGCGTTGCCGCGGGCCGGCGACAACATGTTCGAAGACGTGGATCCTAGTCCTCAGGAACAACCGCCCACGAGCGCTACCACGGAGCCCATCGAACTACCCACGGCAGAAACCGGCAGGAAGCGTGCCCGCTCTTCTGAGGATGACGATGAAGAAGTGGTTCCCGCTCCTCCACGCAAGAGCAAGCGGATTGCGGCACGGCGGGTGCATGATCGGGTGACAAGCTCCACGACGTCTTGAGGTTTTAGTAGTGGAAAAGTCCTGGATGCCTTCAATGGACTGGGAGCGGTTCAAGATTGTGGCATTTGATTCTTCGAGTGGTATACGAGTGGGGTGGGCAGGTTCGAGGCGAGATGGCCCGGGCGAAATGAAGCCTGAGAAAGATGCTAGTCTGAATTAGGAATAGCTGAATCCGTACGCCCCACATTTCAGCCTTGCACCCACCTCATCTTCTATTCTTTGTTCTTTTGCAGCGGGTTTTATACTCAATGCCGTCATTCTGAGGGCAGAGCCTCACTCGCGCTATCATTACCCCACGAAGGACTTCGGGATGCTTTTCCCCAATCCGCCGAGCCCATGAACACTCAGCACGAGTAAGCGCCTCTCTCCACCAGTAGGGTGCCTCCATACACCGGCCCTCTGCACATACAGGGCTCTGAAGGATTCCGAGCTGCAAGCATTTTAGTACATTTTCCTAACGAGGCTACTGTGTTTACCGATCCGGTATGGAGCCTTACAGGGGTTCTTCAGCTATTCAGCCTTGCGAGCGCTTTCTACATTTCCATCAAAAGGGTGGTGTCTAGAGCCTCATCCCCATTATCATATCAAGGATTTTCTTCGAAACGACCAGCCTGAGATCCAGGTTCAATCCGTGGGCAAACATCATTCTGGCTACACGAGGTTCGATCTTGAGCATGGCAAGACGAACTGTGAGATTTCTGATTCGGCAAAAGTACGATCGCAGCACTTAGCATGCTGATAATTCGCCGGTAAATGAATCATTCTGCTCGTTCGGGACAGGCCGTCTGATAGCTTTGTCGGTGTCGAGCACCAACATTTGCCTTTCTGGGCGACGCAGGGTGACCGAGGATGGTGAACTTCACGTTCGTACCCCACAAAGGGGCCCGACCGGAGAGATCGGGGCTTGTCAAGTCGCATGTTATGCGCGAGTCCCAAAGGAGGAGAAGAGAAGCGAAGCAACGGCGCCACCGTACGTGAACGTTGCCTTGAGACGGGAAGATATTTGAGCTGTGGCTGACTTATACAAGAGAATCTATCCACTTCAGGACCTTCGGAGCCCCAGACGGCAACTACTCGGGACGACGAAAACTCCCAACTGGGCCTTCATCCCCAGTCATCCTTACTCTTACGTGCAATACCCTCTAGCGAGGCTCCCCATGACAATACGAATGAGTACCCCGCCCTTATCAACGGCACTGACGGTGCCGTACCTTGGCCTCCGCCTTCAAATCCCTTATCCGGTTCTGAGACCAATCCCTTGCATGGGACGCAAGAGTCTACAGTTGGCATTGAATATAGCATACTCTCGAATAATCGGTTGCAGGCATCTAGCCGTTGGCCTTTCAGTGGCGACTTCCCATCAAATCCCGTCCGCGATTATTCGGCCTTCGTTCAAACGAACCTCAGAAGCTCCTTCGACAGCAATGGCAATTTCTGGCACAACCTATCTCCCGTTCTGACGCAGCAGCCCCGTCTTCTGTACCCCGCATATCAGAATGCAAACAGCCCTTCCGATGCCTCCTGGGTGTCAGAGAGCTTGTTCAATCGAATGACTGAGCTGGTCTCACACTGTACGCGCCTCCTTCTACTCGCAAGCTTCCGTTCCAATGAAGGAATGAGTCTACTGCGTTGATGTTACTTACTAACAACGCATGAAGATACCTCAAGTCTCTACATAGAGCGACCCGGTCTTCCTCCTGTCAACCCCGTTATCTATTGGCAGAGATTATCCCTCGTCAACTCGAAGGTCCTGCTGAGCACCGCTCTCTTCTACTGCGCATATCGAGATACTGTTCGAGACATGGCTGGAAATGACCATGTTTACTTCAAGCACCGCATCCTGAACCTCATTAACACGGCACTCAAGAATCCCGAGACTGCAGTTTGCGATGATAACATTGCAGCGGTCATATCTATGTGTATGTACGAAGTAGGCGACCTGACGACCGATGGGATTTGAGACAACTGCTGACTAGCTTTAGAACCTTCGCGGGAGCGATCTCATCGGCATGCACCTACGAGGCCTACGACAGATGCTCGATACGCGTGGAGGAATCAACAGTTTCCACTCGGATCAAGGACAACATATTAGCGAGATGGCACTTCTGTAAGTAGGTTATAGAGCTTGGGTTCCATGAGTTAATTCTCTACCAGCCAGGATATGATGCACGCATCATGCTCTAACGTGCCTCCCATGATGTTTGACATCACGGACCCGATCCTCCGGGACATGCGACCGATCAGCCTCGAGAACTGGTATCCACAGTCGCCGCTACGCGTTTTGAACGACGCCGGATTTGCCAGGCCGATACCAGAGCTGCGGTTTAGCTTCGAAATCCTCAAGGACGCGTTTGATGCTTTCGAGATGCTGTGTGTAGAGGCCTTCGATCCAGACACCGCCTCGGAAGAGGCCCCTCTCTTCAAGGTCCGCCGAGAGAAGTACTGGATGCGTCTGACCAGTAGAGAGGATGACAGTCCCAGCGAACATATACCCTCTTCAACAGGCGGCAAAATAGAAAAGGCAATTCACCTAGCGGCGAAGATACACTTTCGAGCTGTCGCATCTCGGATACAGCATGATGATGAAGCGAATGCCGGGGACATGAAGAGGCTCCACGCTATCATACGGAAGATCGATCTTGGGTTCTGGAAGGTGGCACACTATGTATATCTGTGGATGTGAGCCCGGCTCTTCGCAATTTGTGGTCGAACCGCTAACCTATTGCTAGCCTACTAACCGGCGGCGCAGCCTCGAGCAAGCACCCGCGGTATCGGTCACACTTTGTCAGCGAGATTCTGCGTCTTGGGCTAAGTATTGGCCTTTTCGATTGGCGGTCCTTTCGGTGTAAGTCATGCCTCCTTCTTTCCGATGCCGCGCTCAGTTTGCTCATGAGAGGCAGTGACGCTGGGCAATTTTCTCTGGCTGCAGCAGTATTTGCGAAGGCACAAGCCGGGAGGCCCGATAGAAGGAGAATGAAGTCTTCGAAATAGGGCTTTGCTAGGCGAGTGGTAGGTTCCAAGGTTGAGGACTGGATGGAGCTCCGGACCTTACCTAATTGGGATCGCGCGAACTACCGATGCGACGCATGGACGCCTCTCGACGGCGAACTTCAGGTCGCGCTCGCCTCCGGTTCATGGAAACAAGTGCTATAGAGCGTCTACACTGCCAAACATATTCAATTGATGCCTTCATGATGACTTGACCGTCGGGACCCAACGTCGCAGCCCATCCAAAGCTTCCCCACACGTTCTCGCTTGGCAGTTCACGATGGACCTTGGTCCCAAGCATCACTAGCAATCTTCTCACCGCCGTCCGTCACAGCGGCCAGCAGCATCATTCTCCCCTCTACCCATATTCCGTCCGCTGTCTACCGCCATCATGGGCTCGGAACCGGATCTGCACAGGGCTATCAGCATGAAACCGTCCCCGTTTCACGCCCATCCTGCACGCTCGGAACGAACCGCAAGCCCCCACCCCGCCGCTTCCGAGGCCGCAATAAACAGATACGACGGCTCTAGCACCGCCGTCGAGACCACCAGAGCCGCCGCCGACGACCACGATCCCGTTGCCCGCCATGTCGCAGGCCGAGAGAGCGACGTCGAGCGCCAGTCGCTGCCGCAGTACACGCGCGAGAACGACCCGTACCGGCTCGCCGCCGCGTTCAAGCCCCCCTTCGAACTCGCTCAGATCCGCGCGAACACATCGAGGAAGCGTGATGGGTGCGGACCGATAACGCTGAACAAAACCGCCCACAGGGCGCGGAGAATAGAGCAGTTTTACGAAGCGCAGAACGAGAACATCGAGCGGCTGCTCAAGCCCGTCGACGACCACCGGCGCGACGCAAAGGAAGAAGAGGGCGCAAACCACGTCAAGTACCGCATTGCCGTGGTGGGAAGCTTTGCCGCCAACATAATCCTTGCCGTCCTCCAACTCTACGCCGCCGCATCCTCCCGATCGCTGTCCCTCTTCACCACAATGGCGGACTCGCTGTTCGACCCCCTGTCGAACCTCACCCTCATCCTGTCCAACCGCGCCGTCAAGCGCGTCGACGGGCGCAAGTTCCCCTCGGGCAAGGCGCGCATCGAGACGGCCGGCAACATCTTCTTCTGCTTCCTGATGATCACCGTGTCCGTCGTAATCATCGTCGAGTCGATACGCACCATCGCCGAGCACGGTGGTAGCGAGACTAACAAATTCTATCTGCCGTCGGTGATTGCCGTCTGCATTGCCTTTGTGACGAAATTTAGTCTGTTTCTGTACTGCTGGGCGCTGCGGAACAAGTACAGCCAGGTGCGCATCTTGTGGGAGGACCACCGCAATGACTTGTTCATTAACGGGTTTGGTGTGCTCACGAGTGTGGGTGGTGCGAAGCTCAAGTGGTGGCTGGATCCGATGGGTGCCCTTATCCTGTCGTTCTTGATCATCTTTCTCTGGTCCAGGACGAGTTATTCCGAGTTTCAGCTGCTCATTGGAGTCACGGCGGATACGCCGACGCTGCAGCTGATCACGTATATCTGTACGACCGTCTCTATCAAACCCTTCTGGTGGAAAATGCTGATTGGGATTCCAGCCATGACACACTCGCCCTTCATCAAGCAAATCGACACCGTTCGAGCCTATCACTCTGGGCCCCGCCTCATCGTCGAGGTCGACGTCGTCATGGACCCCGATGACACACTACGATCAACGCACGATATTGCCGAGGAGCTTCAGATTAAATTGGAGAGTTTGCCGAACGTGGAGCGCGCGTATGTGCATGTTGACTACGAGACGGACCATGCGCCTGAGCACTTCTTGAAGAAGGAGCTATGAGAGATAGAACCTTATGGGGCACGCATTGCTATTGCCCCCTCCTCGCTTGAGGGAAGGATCCCTCGGCGGAGCATTTTCGTGTTACGGCGTCTGGTTTCGCGCATAAGCCTGGAGGGCGGCTGTCCAAATTGCTTTTGCTGGCACAGAAGAGGGGTCACGATTGGAACCGCGCCAAAACCATAGCGGCGACGAGGTCATTATCGGGTTTATTGTATAGAAAAGACAGTACCTGCACGATTGTCCTTATCGGCTCCATTACTACCACTAAGTTAATCGCAGTATTATTGTAATTCCCAAGCCGGAGTGCTTGATGCGGACTTCCCTCATGCATTACGTGACGCGACCTGCACCCCACACTTGCAGATCCGAGGCGGCCTCCACGTGCTGGCTTCCAACGAACCATCATCGTTCCCCTCCCTCCTCATTCCATCCCACAATACTTGCTTCCGGGCGATTGGACTTCGGTCTAATGCTATCCACGATGGCTTGCAGCTTATCTCCCGAGCTGGCCCAGCTTGGCTCCCGACTTTCGCTCCTTGTCTCCTAGCCCTATCGTAAACTAATCTTATGTCCGCCGCAGTTCTTTCGCCGTTGCATCCGGGCGAACCATCATGTCGCCAAATTTGGAAACTAGCTTTTGGGAGCGCATGGGCTTGCAAGAGACGGATCGGAATGTTTGTGCAAGAGTTGTAGAGGAACGGTATCCCGGCTGTATCGTGGCGGAGTTCAAAGACCAGGGATACTGCAGCTTCACACTGCTCGTTTCACGGCCAGGACCGCAAGATTCTGCAACCCACAGCGATGGACCTCAGGACGACGACTCCAGCAATTCTCCTCTCCGCGAAGAGTCTGCGTCCTCCATCGTCCAGATACGGCCCTCGCAACATTGCCTGGATCTCCGCATCCTGCGCGCTGCGAAGGAAACCTACGGTGCCTTCGCACCAACCATACGCTCACTCACAGTCCATCTCCCGGGCCGTTTGCAAGCGTTCGAAATGGACAGGCTCCAGGGAACACCCTTCTCACGTCTTCGGCCGCACTCTCCAACCCCGGGCCCGGCAACCCGCCAAAAGCAACAGAACCTCGTAGCTTCCTTCGCAACCTTCGTCGCTTGCGCATGGCCTTCTCCCCAATCCACACCGCCGCGCATACGCGAGGATTCGCCCATCTTCGATGGTCCCGCATGGCTCGCGCAGTGCACGGGGAAAGTAGGCGCGGAAATCCTCCCAAAGCTTGAGAAGCTGGCGCGCGAGCTGCCTGATGGTGCGCTGAGGGAAAGAGCGAAGGAGACGCTGAAGAGCCTGATGAGTATAAGAGATTTTCCTGTCGTGCTGTGCCATGGAGACCTGATCCCGAGCAATATTCTAGTAGATGAGGAGACCTGGCGGATCGCGGGGATGGTGGACTGGGCGGAGGCCGAGTGGCTGCCGTTCGGGACGTGTCTTTATGGGTTGGAGCATTTGCTTGGATATCCGTCAAGATATTGCTTGGCGAGCGAGAGCCTAGGGACAGTCGCCCGTACGAGGCTGAAATGGTGGTATTATGGCAATGCGGACGAGCTGAGGATGTTCTTTTGGGAGCGGCTGGTGGAAGAGAGGCCGGGGATGAGAGTTAGGCTGGGGGATGTTGGGGTGATGCGAGATGTGGGCGTGCTGCTTTGGCTGGGGTATGCATGGGATGAAGGCAGGATTGATCGCGTTGTTAATGAGGTTGATGATGGGGAAGAGGTGGAATGCTTGAGGGCTTTCTTGGGTGTGGGGAAGAGGTAGAGTGGAGGATATGGGGAGGGAGAGTTGATGCGGTATGTTCCCTATGGAATTCATCCCAGTCCTTTCCCTTATGACAATGTCTATCTCACTGACACTTTTAGCTCAAGGATCGCATTCACTTAATGCTAAGCGATCTCGCCGCCAAGCCGTCGAGCTCTCATTTCGAACCACCACCACTGCGCCTTCCCTTTTAGACTGCACTCAACCTCGCACCTTCCCGGAATAAACTCCACGCATAGGCAACAACGAAAACTCATTCGTCATTCTTGTACCACTCAAGGGTTGCCACCTTTCTTCTTCACTTTGCCTTCCGAGGCTTCTTCATCTTGCTTTATTGCCTCTGCGCGCTGTCAATATACCTCTGGAAGCGGTAGTGTGTCTTCTCGCTACATAATCAGAAAGCCCGCCGGAATTGCACGATTGCAGTGTGTGAAGCGCAGGCCTTCACGCTGCGGAGTGCAGTGTCGGTTCTATTGAGCTCGAGAGACAAAAGCAAAAATGACTTTTGCTGACTTGGAAGGTGGAAAGGCAACGCCCGCAACGAACGGCTCGACACCGCCAGGCGACATGGTAGTGGAAGGAGACACGATTCGTGTTCTGAGGTCCGGCGAGCAGGTCGAAGACTGGGAGGCCAATAATTGCAAACCTCTCGCTCTAGCCCCGAAGCCAGCACAAGCAACCCGTGCTAGATCACACTCCTTCACTTCTGTGGCCGATGCTCCAGATCCAGGTCACGTTGCGCATGGCACTACAGAGCGTACCGAACAACATGAAGTTTCTACACCGGATGTGCAGACACCATCCACCAACGGACCGAGCACGCCTGCCCAACCTGCAAAATCATCCGGCAGCGCAAACAATCCCATCGATATCGAAACGCTCCAGCCACCCCCACCTCATAGGTTCGCCAAAGAGCGCGTTGATTACTTTGTGCCAACCCGATTATACAGGCCTCTGAGACCAAAACCTGTACCGCTCGTGACTCCTAACGGGGCTCGCATCCTTGGTCCCGTCGGTGGCCACCACGACCATGGCATATACCAAATGTGGGCTGCAAAGAATAATGTACCAGAGCCACCCGGTTGGAGCAATGCAGTTTCCGGAGCCGCATCTACGAATTGGCAGGCAGGGGTACCTCGATCTGGTGCGATTGCAACAGGCCCGTATGGATACCAGTATGCGAATGCTTCCTCGATGCATTCCGCTGTCCCAGTTGCTTCAGCACATGTTCCTACAACATATGGAACCGCCCAGGCCACATACCATCCGTATGGCGTATCCTATCCAGCTCCCCATTACGGCCCTCCAACCTTCCCCTACCCAACTGAGGAGCTGCTCCGCAAGCGCGCTGTACAATACATATTAGATAATTCACGTCCTCGCGCGCGCAAGCGACGTCTTTCAGACGATCCGGACGAGACGAGCAGCTCAGTATACGAGGACGAGCCGCCAACCAGCAAACCCACCGCGAGCGCTCCTCGAACCAGCTCCAAGTCGCCAATCACTCCGTCTGGTGCTGATCCAGGGACTAGCGCATCCGGACGGGAGAATCCCTCCGACCGATACCGCAGCCTGACGGAGCTGCTGGAGCACACGCAACTCCTCACGTCCCTCCTCCAGAGCCACCCGCACTCCACCGACCAAAAAGGACTGCGGGAGGACATCGCGATGTTCGCCGCTGTGTCCAACGCCCGCCTTCAGTCCTGGCTGTTCGCTGAAGACGAACTCGCGCGTCGAGGCCGCAAGCGCCGCAGGACCTCTACGGAGACTGGTGTATCCCCCACAACCGCACGCACTGCGCGCAACATCAACGGAGCGCATGCGCATGCGACGAAGAACAGCGACGCCCCTGTCCTCCTCCCGGGAGATATTGGGCAGAAGCAGCAAGCCGAGCAAGAAAAGCGCAGCCAGGACGAGCAAGTGCGCCAGTATCTATCAGCCGACTCGAGTCTCTGGGAGAAGAGTGCGGGGCTCGGCGTCGCGGATGTACATGCAAGCTGCTCGCCGATGAGCTCGGAGCCTTACGCACAAGGACGTTCCGATTGAGTAGCGCCGCCGCCGGAGAGGTTGTGCACATAGGTAGACGGACGGTGGATATGTTTGGGATTTTTTGTGGCTGAATGTGTGCATATCTCGGCGCTGCTGTTCATACGATAGATGTTAGAAGGGGAGTGGCGGGCATGGTATGCCGTGTCGGTATTTACTGTCGATATGCTGTTAGAAGAGAAGGGGATGGTATAACGCTAGCTCGGAAGCTACGGTATCAGCCACAGCGTGGGACGTTGTTATAGACGATGGCGCGGGCATATGGTATGTAAGTAGCCTCGAAAGCAAGAGTTTCTTATATTCGGGTATCAAGCTCACACTTCATTTTTCCCAGTTTACCGTCCCTCCTCCACCATCTCCTCCCACATACTCACCCCCTATTCCCCCTCCTCCCGCCTTTCTTCTGCCGCTCGACATGGCCCCTCAAACTCTTCCTCACATCCACCAAGCTCCTCTTATTCTTCCCCTTGGCCTTGCCCAGCGTCATCAAAAAGTTCTTCTTCCTCGCCTTCTCCTTGTTAGTCGTGCTCTTGCCCTCGCTCATCTTCTTCTCTTTCCGCTTCGCCGTCGTGCTCTGGTGCTTGTCGTCGCGGTCCGCCTTCGCCATGGCGATCTTCTCCTCCTTGGAGGTCTTCTTGGAGAGCAGGCCGGCGGCTTCGATGGTCTCGGCCGTGATGGCGTCGTCGGTGTGGCGGGCGGCGAGGAGCGCGGCGCGCTTGCTGGACGGCATTTGGGAGCGGATGGCGGACGACTCTTGGAGGGCTTTGAGTTGCTTGAGGTCGGCGGGGGTGAGGATGGTGGAGGTGAGGAGCTTTGAGATCTTCTTCGCTTCTGCTTCTTTGTTTTCCTTCTCCGCGTCGTCTGTGGGGCCGGGCGTCTCGCTGCTCAGTTTGGCTTTCTTGGGGGGAGGTTCTTTGCCGTCTTCGCTGTCGCTGATGTTGATGTCGTCGCCGTCTTGCTCGACGTCTATCCAGCCTCCAGACGAGTCGCTGTCATCGTCAGATCCAACTTCCCAGTTCTTCCAGTCGTCCGCTGCATGTTCCTCCTCGTCTATGGCGGCATCGGGCGGTAGGCCAGCGGCCTCGCGCTTCTTCCGCCGCTCCTCTTCCTTCCATTTCTCGAGCAAGTCGATTCCTTCGATTTGGCCAATCGCTGCTTCGCCGTATCGCCGCTCTTTCATTTCGCCGGCCCGGAGCGAGATTGTGGCATCCTTGCCCCGGTCGCGCTTCTTCAAGAGTTCAGCCCCTACTTCGCGGTAGAGACTCAGCAAGCCCCGAGCTGCCATCTGCACACCCTTGTCCTTCGACTTCCGGTACTGCACTAGGTCTTGCAAGAGGACGTCGTTCATGGCTAGAGGTTGCCGAGAGCAGATCTCTCGGATAGCGTTCAGCCCCGCTGCCGCAACCTCGCTTGCTGATGCTTCTGACACGAATTCGTTCGCGATCTTCTGGATGAGCGGCTCGAGGACCTAAGGAGGTAGGATGATTAGCAAATGTCTGGTGTGCGTATCACCGGACTGACTTACATCTGGCGGCACCAGGTCGTGCGTTGCTTGCGCTAATATGGCGAGGAACGACGTGACTGAGGCCTGCCGGGGGGTGAGATACTTTAGGAGGTAGGAGTACAAGGACATGACTGTCAGCTTGTGGAGTCCCACGAGCCTGGAAACGAGATTCAAGATGGCGAGTTTAGCGTTGAGAGAGAGCTTGGATTTCGAGTTCTGGACGTGTCTGCTGAAGAGAGTCTCGGCAAAGCCTTGCGGATCGTGGAGGAGATGAAGGGCCGAGAAGTTGAGCGGATGTGGCGCATTCTTCTTCCTTTCCTTTCGTTTTACCGTGGCCGCCGCCCGCTTCAGCTCGCGCTCCTTCTTACCCTTCTTGTTGATGCCGGCTTGGTGGCGGAGTTTGTTCAGGTCGACGCCTTCTTCGTCGCTACTCTCGTCGGCCGCCTCCTCGCGCTCCCTGTCTCCGCCCAGGAAGAATCGGACGCCGCCTGTTATGACCTTTTCGTTGTCGGACAAGCATGCTTCCTTCATGATGTCCACTGCCTTGGCGTCTGTCCATATCTGCCGCTTCCACATCTCTCGTGTGATCTTGACACTCCATAGCCCCTTCGTGGTTTCTCGGTCCGAAGTCAAGAGGTTGAATAAGACTGTCTGTATAGTTCGGTTTAGCCGGTGCTGGGTCGCCTTCGAATTCGCGGAGCGCAAGTCTGAAACGATCTTCTGGAAAAGCAGCGCGCGGAGGGACTTGCTCGGAGTCACGACGAGGATCGGGATGAGGGTGTTTAGAAGCGTCGAAGAGTCTATGACATGATTGTTGCGAAGAAGCACCAAAGCGGAGACAATCTTATCTCTTAGATCGCTTTCCAGTTCGGCGTGGTAGGAGAGGATGTGGATCAAGTCGTCGGGGAACTTGGCGGTAATGTTTGGATACGACTCGGCCAAATGCGCTATGAAGTCTACCAGTTCTGTGAAGCGGACAACGCCGGTGTCGGCGGAAGAGGAGGGATTTGTGAGCAGCAGATCGCGCAGCGCTTCATACTGGGAGTACTGCCGCCGGAAGTCTTCTTCGTAGGAAGGTGGATCACGGCGCGCCTTGTATTGGCTGCGCAGAGTTAGAAGTGGGATTGTTCAGTTTGTGGGGAGCGTACAGATTGGTGAGGTCTGCGTCGACCTTCTCGAGGGCGCCCACTTTGCGCTTCATAGCGGCGCAATAGTGGAGGGTGTCCTGGGATGCCAGACCAACAGTTGCTTCGAAAAAGTTCGGCGGGGCGAAAGGCGGTGAGCGCTGATTGGCTATCGGCGTCGAGTTGTTCCGGCCGACGGTAGAAGCTCGCCTGTAAATCTACAAACTTCGACCTCGACGCAACGCGCCGCCCTCAATCCCTTGGTCACCGGCCAACCCACCTGCGCGACTGTTCTCTACGACGACACACCGTCATTTTAACCGACCGCGAACCTTCCGCGCGTTGCACCCTCGAGTCACCACCCGTCGCCTGGGCGCGCGCCCACCGCCGCAGCCATGTCGCTCTTCTCCACCATGTCGCTGTACGCCTTGACGGTGAAGCAGCCATCCGCGACACAGGATGCCATCTCCGGCGATTTTCTCGGCAACGGCAAGCAGCAGATTCTCACGGCGAATGGCTCGCGGCTTGCCATCCTGGAGGTTTCGCGGCGGCAGAAAGGCTTCCAAGAGATCTATTCCCAGGATGTCTTTGGCATCATCCGCCGCATAGCCAAGTTCCGGCTTGCAGGCGGCACCAAAGGTGCGTTGACCCGCGTCAGATACACAAAGGCGTTTAGTGATTTTCAAAGGCGCAGCGGCACCGCCGAGCTTTTCGCTTTCGGCGCGCGCGGCGGAAATAGAGATTGGCTTCATGTGGATATATGCTAAAGCTTCACAGACTTCATAGTCATAACGACCGATTCGGGCCGCCTAGTCACATACGAGTATATGCCCGAGGAACACCAGTTCAGGACAATACACTTCGAAACGTTCGGCAAGTCAGGCATCCGTCGAGTTGTGCCGGGAGAATACCTTGCCGTGGACCCGAAAGGGCGCGCCATCATGGTTGCATCAACGGAGAAGAACAAGCTGGTCTACATCCTCACTCGGAGCGGCCAGACGCGCATTGCCATTTCCTCTCCTCTCGAAGCGCATAAGCCCATGACGCTCGTATACTGCCTCATTGGCCTGGACGTGGGCTATGACAACCCCATGTTCGCTGCGCTCGAGCTCGATTACTCCAACGCGGAAGCTGACCCCACGGGAGAAGCCTACCACGAGCTGAAGAAGGAGCTGGTCTACTACGAGCTAGATCTCGGCCTGAACCACATTGTTCGAAAGTGGTCTGAACCCGTCGATCGTACGGCACACGCTCTCTTTCGCGTGCCGGGTGGCCCTAATGCGCCGAGTGGAGTCTTGTGCTGTGGCGAGGACAACATCAGCTACCGGCGCATATTCAACAAGTCGTCAAGCGTGCACCGATTGGCCATCCCGCGCCGAGAAGGAGCCACCGAGGATCCAAACCGCAAGCGCATCATCGTAACAGGGACACTGTATACGCTCAAAGGTGGCGAGTTCTTCTACCTGTTGCAGACCGACGATGGCGACGTGTTTAAGCTCACCGTCGACGTGCGCAGTGCCGTCGTCTGGAATATAAAGATCAAATATTTTGACACCATTCCCATCGCGACAAGCATTTGCATTCTGCGAGCTGGCTTCGTGTATGCCGCCTGCGAATCTGGAGATAGGGTCCTGTACGAACTCGAATCTCTCGGCGAGGAGACAGAGGATCCTGTGTTCGAGAGCACGCAGTTTCCTGTCGACCCGCTTGCGGACTATGCCCCACCCTTCTTCCAGCCGCGCTCGCTTGTCAACCTTACGCCGGTAGAGACAATTCCCAGCCTGAATCCGATCATGGACATGGAGGTGTCGAACCCCGCTATGGAGGATGCACCCCAAGTTTACACAGTGAACGGCGCTGGCGGTCGGAGTTCATTCAGAACGACTAGGAATGCGCTGGAGGTTCTCGACCTCATCGAGTCGCCGCTGCCACAGACCGCATCCCATGTGTGGACCACGAAGCTGACAGTCGAAGACGAGACAGACACGCTCATCATTCTTTGCTTACATAGCAGGACCCTCGTCTTGAAGATCGGTGACGATGTCGAGGAAGCTTCAAACACTGGTTTTATGGCGGAGACGAATACACTCGGTGTGCAGCAATTTGGCGAGGATTGCGTCATTCAAATACATCCCAAAGGCATCCGCCACATCCAGGGCATCCAGTTCCCCGACGGTGACGCGGCTGCTGTAAACGTTAGCCTTACCGACTGGCACCCGCCGGCCCATCGAACAATTGTGGCCTGCGCAACCAACAACCGCCAGGTTGCGATCGCGCTCAGCTCGGGGCAAATTCTCTACTTCGAGTGCGACTCTGATGGGTCGCTTGCGATGGCAGAAGAAGAGGTCATTTTGGACAGCACAATCAACTGCCTTGCCATACCTGACGTCCCGGAGGGCAGCGTGCGAGCCATCTTCATGGCCGTTGGTTGCAGCGACCAGACGGTCCGGATATACAACCTCAGCCCGGACATGGAAGGCAATATTTTGAGGAGCATCTCAGTCCAGGGTCTGTCTTCGCCGCCCAGCGGCCTCACCATCAACTACATGAGCGACAAGTCACCGCGGGGCTATAGCCAGTACCTCCATATCGGCCTTCGAAGCGGCGTCTATATCCGGTCTGCCTTGGACGAGATGACGGGAGATATTGGCGATACCCGAAGGCGCTTCCTTGGTCCCGAGCCTATCACCTTTGCGCGTGTCAACGCAGCAGGCGAACCCGCGGTTCTAGCCATGACGTCCCGACCTTGGCTCGCTTATACACATCCGCGCACTGCTGTGCTTCAGCTCACTCCCGTGAACTATATTCCGTTCAAGTCTGCCTGGAACTTCGAAGGCTCAGCGTTCAAGGGCATCATTTGCGTGAGTGCTAGCGAGCTGAGGTAAGTGCTCCCCTCTATATCTCTTTGTTTGCTACGTGATGACTACTTTTTGCCTTGATTCCCCATGAAGGTCATATTTTATATCCAATTGTTCCTACTGAGCCTAGCATTGTTATACGCTTTTCCCCGTCGACCTGTCTTACAATAGCTTTACTGACGTCCTTTAGGATCTTTACATTCAACGATCTGCACGACAACACGACATACGAAGCGATTGCGCTCAAGTACACCCCACGAAAGCTTGTCGGTAACCATGAACTAGGCGTTTTCTATGTGATTGAGAGCGAGAACAATACTATGAGCGCCGGCACCAGGAAAGGCCTTATCGACCAGTCACGCGCCCAGGAGAATGGTGTTGACGGTACCATGAATCCCGAGCAGACAAACGGTGATATGCTCAATGGGCACGGAGCTGACGAACTGCCACCGGCGGAGTTTGGATACCCAAGGGCGCAAGGTCGGTGGGCGTCTTGCATTCAGGTCGTGGATCCTGTAAGTGAGAAGGCTGTCGTTCATACGGTCGAGCTGGAAGAGAACAAGTCAGCTGTAAGCGCAGCAATGGTCTACTTCGAGAGCCGCCCAGAGGATATTTGCCTTGCCGTCGGGACTGCCAAGGACCTTCGCTTTACACCCTACAAGTACAGCACTGCTTCGATCCAGCTTTACAAGATCTCGCCGAATGGTAGGGAGCTTGAGTTGCTGCACGAGACGGAGGTACCTGAGCCTCCGTTGGCTCTCCTCGCTTTCAAAGGCAAGCTTATTGCTGGCATCGGTTCGGATCTTGCTCTTTACGACTGTGGTATGCGTTCTCTGCTTCGTAAAGCCATGACTCCGAACTGCGTGCCGACCCGGATCACGGGCCTCAAGACCCAGGGCAGCCGACTCGTCGTCTCCGATCAGGCTCAGTCCGTTACCTACGTTGTCCATAAGGATCAAGTCCATCCGAATCGACTCATTCCCTTCGCCGATGACACCGTGGCTCGCCACACCACGTGCACGGATATGTTGGACTATGAGACTACTGTTGGGGGTGACAAGTTCGGCAACATATGGCTAGTGCGATGTCCGGCCAAGGTCTCGGAAGCGTCTGACGAGTCGCCGGATGGCCTGAACCTTCTGCAGGACAAGGGCTACCTGGGCGGCACCGCCAACCGCCTCGATTTAGTCAGCCACTACTTCGCTAACGACATCCCAGTCGCTATCCAGAGGACTATTCTTTTGTCTGGCGGTGAGCGCGTCATCTTCTGGGCTGGTCTCCAAGGCACGCTTGGTGCACTCATTCCCTTCTCATCGCGTCGCCAGCACAAGATGTTTCAGCAGCTTGAGTTGCAGCTCCGGATCGACGATACGCCGCTGTCGGGCAGGGACCATCTAGCATTCCGCAGCTATTTCACGCCCATCAAGAGCTTTATCGACGGAGACCTCATCGAGCGATTCTTGGTCTTGAGCAGGGACAAGCGCGAGAGCATAGTCGGACACTTGACGGGCAACTGGACGTCGGAGATGGTGGACGAGGCCATCTGGAATATGAGAGGACTCTACGCATTCTAAGGAGAGCATCAGAGCACGTGATCTTTTTCTCCAATTTTTGCTTCTCTTGCGTGGGTTCTGCCAACTGCCAAACTGCCAAACGGGTTGCATGGAATGGAGATGGAGATGGTATCTTGGATTCGGTATAGACCTCTAGCGAGTGGTTATGGGCTGTGGATGTGATGATGGACTCGAGTGGAAGAGGACTACAGAAACGGCTCTGTGCATATGGGAAAGTGGGCAGGCGAAATATGAGTGCACTCATTCTCTGACGCGCCCGCAACGGTATGTTTTCCACTTTTCAGCACCTTTGGAGAGGAAAGACTAACATAGCTGTTGAGGCAAACCCGTTGATCGACTTCTGGATCTGGTCATGGAGACGCGGGTGTATGGCTCTGCGGGCCTTTCGATGTTCATGGTCCGGCCTTGTAGAAGCACTTGAAAAAGTTCGTGAGCTCTCCGTGTGTGGAGGAATATACAAATGATGATGATGCACAACTTTTGCAAATAGGGCTTCCATTACGGGTCGTTCTAGCTATAAACACTGACCTGTCATCACTCACACCTAACAGCACGTCTCGTCAACGCCGTGAACGCAACAAGAATTCGGTACCTGCCCGGGAGGCTGAATATCATTGTTCACCTTCTCTTTCGGCGTGATGTTGTAATACTGGCATCTGATATTCGCACCTCCTCCGAATTTCTTCGACTCGTCTCCCGTTAAACCTAGAGATTAACATGTTAGCCTTGTTCTAGTACTTTGCTTTTCAGGCTAGAAATGGTGTAAAGCTAACATTGATCAATCACGAATAAGAGAGCGTCGATGCAGTAGTCCGTCTCGATGTCCAGTCCATTTGGATACCTGTTTTTGCAATCCTCCGAGCCTCCGTCGACGAAGCCGTAGATGCGCACTACTGTGTTATCGACACCGTCTATGGTATAGGTCTCCGTGACCGCATTTGTCATATCATCCATTCCTTTACCCGGGAAACGGTAGCTAAGTGTTCTCCCAGTGGTATGGTCGTCGGTGCAAAATCTCTTTGCAAAGTCTGCGAGTTTGTCCCTAGACGTCCAGTAGCCGCCTTCATCATTGCATGCATGGTTTGCGGGGTCTTCGGGAACATGGTGAGGGACGAAATCCTTCATCAAGCTCCGGGCGAGCCTGTAATCCACCTTGTCCTTTAATGGTTTTACGCCGACGGGAAAACGCTCGTTGCAGAGGCAGTCGTTTGCGCCATTGTATTCCTGCGATCCATGTCAGCTGTGACGCGAATGAGCGCTTACTGCGTATATCTACCTCTTTGCACTTAAAATCGCCAGCATTGCCGCCGCATTCATCACAATCCGGATATTCCCCCGCGTCCTCCGGACATTGACCTTCCTCTTCACTCGGCTCGCATGCGCAGCCCTTGTTCTTGTTTGTGCAGAAGTTATCGCTGTCGCCCTGGCACCCATCACTGTCGCAATCTGGGTTCGGATCGGGGCATCGCTTAGTCTTCTTGCAAGGACACCCAGCCCATGGGAATACGCAAATCCCAAAGGTATTGCCCTTGCATCCGTCGCATCCTAGCTCGATTGGCGGACAGCTTTGTACCTCGCTGCCCAGCCCACCAGTAATCGCCATGTCTTTCATCAGCCTGAAGACAGATGGAAGCTTCGCCGGGACCTTCGAAATCAGGTAGGACATCACCGCCAGTGAGACTATGGCCCGTACTCTAGCGTTTGTGATAAAGCTGACAATAGATGAGATGTCTGCCGCAGAGACCAGTACGGTTGGGTTGTCGACGACGTAGGCCAATCGTCCGCCTGGTTGGAGCTCTGCATTCGTACGCTCTGCGAATTCCGCCACCCGCGCGGCGCATGAAGGCGTGCGCTTCCTTTGTCCGCATGGTATTGCTTCCACTTCGGCGGCGATATCGTTGAGGTCGTTGATTAACTTTTCCGAAAACGTGATTGCTATGTCACCTATTGAAGCTCCGTCGGTTGGGGTGGTGATTATGCTCGCAGCAATGTTCGCTGGTGCGGTCGTTACGGTCGGTGTATTGTCGACGGTTGTGACGTATGGGATGTCGGTCAAATACTCAGTGTTCACCCCGATCCACTGATATGTGCGTCAGTCGCGTTCACAATCACTTCATATGAGTGAAACGCAGGGAACCATACCTTGGTCGTCGATTCTCCTTGGTCCCAGTATTGTGTGTGCGCATGAGGTACGCGATAGGATTCGGGAGGGTAGATGGAAACGGGATTAACACCAATTTGTCCAGACTTTGTTGGGTCGATGGCCGCGACGTTGGGGTTTGCTTGAGCCGACACCAAGTCTGCACTTACTGTAGCTAAGAGCAATATGGAGGAAAGCATGCTGTAGCAATTATAGTTCTGTGTGGAAGTATAAACCATGTCAAGATTTTAGATTCCCTCGAAGCGCAGCTTTTGAAGCGTCTCTTATAGCAGGAACAACCCTCATGGTCTTCAAGGAGAGAGGCCATCGTGTCATATTCGACACTGTTGAGCATTTTTTTTATGCTCGTACGGCGTGCGGACCTCGAACGTGGCCTCTTTCTGCTAGAACTATATACGTGGTATTTGCATCTTCCTCACAAAGACGTCGAGCGAATTGAATGACTCCATATGGCATGTTGGCTCTTTAGGGTTAAAGAGAAGTTGTGGCGTGGGTAGGACTTCGCGTTGCCGCAATCATTCACGCGATTGCCGAATCCATATGGATCATGGTGTTGCCGTTGGGGTCCGAAAGCGGAGCGGCGTAGAACGCCACCAAAGGCATCGAAAGCAGCACTGCGCTGTGGGTCTCTCCATGCCGCATCCTTTCATAATAACTCACCTGCCCGTGTATTGCAGAATGTGTCTTTTTCTATGCTGGAGCCGTATACGTAGCAAACTTAAATCATCCTCGTCACGAAAACGAGCAGATCAAACGACTTTGCCCAGCCTTCCGCATCACATGTCAAGATTCAGCTGCGGCAAAGGAGGCAGCACGGGAGCTGTTGGGTTTCCGAAAGGCTCATCCAAAACATAGTAGGATGGGTTGTGACATGGATGGAACTTTACGACGAAGTCACTCATCCGGCAATCTAGCCTCGCTTTTTCACGCCGACACATTAGTACTTGGATGCCCTCCTTCGAAGCAAGACAAGTCAACAAGCGGAATTGAGGCTATGGCGATCCTTGAGGAACAGGGAATCATGTTTCGAGTTGTGTCCTTACGAGGCTCATACTCAGTGTTCGTTTCTCACGAGAGTAGCACTTTGGACACGTTCGTTGGGCGGCGTCGCGTGCGGCTGGTTGACGATGTGCAGTGTATATATATATATATGCTCAGCATGTAGGGGCATGGCGTGCAGCTCGCCAGAATAATGACTCTGCTTACGGCAACATGCGTCATCTTTCAGCTTTGACCGCGCTCGTATCAATTATTATGACTCCCGTCCTTGTCCAGGCGCAGAAGACCTACTACGTCGATGACTCTTGCAAGAATAGGCCAGAGTGGCAAGGTGGTTGGGACTTAGCTATGAGAAACGCCAGAAGCACATCAACACGCCTTGCCTCCAGCACCGACAACGACTTCGAAAGGGTCGTGAAGAAGATCTTCAAGGTTGATCGTTCAGATGACCGGTTCAACAGAATCAAAGGTTCGTCTACGTCCCGTATCATCATCGGGCTGCAGGGGCTAGTGCTGACAAGGTTAAAGAACCGTTTGACGACATTCTCTCATGGACTGAAGTGCCCAAAAAAGCAAATAACTTCGAAACGCTCAAGCCGGCAGACGTTCGCATCTTTTGCGATAATGATGAAGGTAAGTGTAATGCTGAACATGATGATGAACATCAGCTAACCACCGTCGGTAACCCATAGTCAAAGAGGGAAGTGATCCCTCGGATGTCCACGGTCCGCGTCGGTTGAGAAAACTTGTCACAATCCAAAGGCTAGGATACGAGCGATATATGGACGACAAGAAGTAGATTACCAAACATACAGTCCCTATGGTCCGCAGTGTTAACTCGTGACGACAGCCACATGGTATATCGCGGGAAGCTTTGGTGTCAAGACATGTCAGACCATGGCGGAGGAGACTGCAAAGGTTACACGGTATGGAAATTTTATTTCACAATTCCAACTCGCTACTTGACTCTATGCGAGTGCTGACACGTGCCTCCGCAACAGCACTTTCACCGTAGTCCAGTTGATACCCGCTTTAGTAGAGACGGTATATCAAATATACAAGTTGGCCAAAACGAAGACCGCGTAGTGGTCGTTGTGAGTGGCAGCGCATATCTTTTTAACAAGTCGGGGCTAATATAAGAGATTCACCCCTAGCTTTGTGACTATGTCTTTAAAGAAAGATATGATTTTGATATCTTCAATCCTATGGAGGTCATCCTGACTGAAGACAAATTGGATTGGGACAACAAAGACTGGACTAAACATGACATAGAAGGTTTTGAGTCCCTCATTGCCCATACTCTCTTACATGAGGTAAGACTGCATGTTTCAGAAGTTTCGCACCTGATGCTAACGCAAACATAGCTTATTCACGCATCCCGACCGGATATCAAGGATCCGAACAAACCGGTCGCGGTCCCCGGAATTGGAGACTATCCAGACGTGAACAGTGCATACAGCTGGCACAGCATCAAGAAGATGGACTTCGACACGGCGATAAAAAACGCCGACAGCTACGGTATGAACACATCTTCAAAACAAAACTTGCTCGTTACTGACATTGGGAAGCCGAGCTTGGTCTCTTCGCCATGCTTGCCGACAAGGGCTATACGCTGCAACGCGTGATTCCCAGCATGCAATTGGACGAACAGAATCGAGAGGACCAAGTGAAACACGACGAGGAGGTAGCTAATGATGGATATATTAGAAAATATGTAGATATCACAAGGCGAGCGGTGCGCTTGATTGCAAGGTGGTTCATGGCTTGAGTGGCAAGCTTGCCGGGGATACATGTAGCACTGGTCTATATACGTCGAACAGGTAATGCTATTGCGTTTGTAGATGGACATCCAAGCTGGACCTGGCGTATACTTGGCAATATGAGACCCCAAGATTCCGTGTTACCGAAACGCAGTTTAAAAATGGACGAGGTGAAGATGAAGAGTATGTAGTCCCGCGACGCTGGATGCACGGCTCTATTCTCTTGTGTAGATGGCTTTTTGGTACGGCACGAAGTATTAGTTTCATGTCAAACTTGGAAGATCTCGTCAAACGAAGAGCACATTTGCATTGGAGACGAATCGCGAAAGCGCCCATATTGAGACCGAGTGCTACGGCGCAGCGGTCGAATGATTTTCAGCATCGTAGTTAGCATAACTTCTGTAGGTTGGTGACTCAAAACGAGAAAATTAATCAGCATCGAACCCTGAAGAAGGAATTACGAAATATTATCGACGACGTGGGGAAGAAGCAGTGCCTCGAAGCCTTTGGAAGGCTACAAAGAGCTCCGTGGTCTATAGAATAGAAGAAGTGGCTGAATGCACCGCTATTCAGGAAGGATGGTGAACTGTTGCGGGCTGAGCGATAGCAAGAAGGGTAGAGGTGCTAGGGAGGCACGACTTTACGTTTAGCGTGTGGCTACGTCGTAGCTGGAGCAACCCGATGTAGCGTGGCGTCTGCATGTGCTAGTCTAGGAGACAAACCAGGCCCTAAGGCTGAGTACCTAAAATTAGGCTCCGGAGTCGGCAGGACCAGCAGCCAAGAAGCCGGCTACGTGGCCTATCAGGCATGGGCATACAACCTATAAATAACCTGACCAAACAACCAACCAACCCAACCGCGCCGCAGGCATGGAGGCCCAGTCCTGAACTACTGATATATCTGCCTTATTCGAGGTCTAGATGCACACCCGGGTCCACGTCTTTCAATCCTTAAAACTCCTAACCTACCTATTTAACTTACGCAACCATACCGTAGCAGGTCGCAGTTTTGCCATCGCCCCAAAGACACTTCTATGTGCATCCCAGATCCTATACTTTCTTCCTAGGACTATCATGCACCGCGCTCTCCTAATCCCAGAAATCGTAACCCAGATAATCGATTGCAACCGATCTGATGCCGGCTACCTACACACCTGTCTCTTGATCAACGCGCTCTTCTTCCACTCCACAGCCCGCATCCTGTGGCACGGATGCGGGGTAGGCTCCTCCACAAAAGGCCACGTGACGCCCTACGTTCGTCACTTGGTGTGGATAGCACGGCGCGATGCCCGACGTGGACAGTTTTATGCTGGCTTGGTTAAGCTTTTGCGGTTTGGGAAGGAGGTTAACACAGAGGACGAAGATGAAGTTCTAGTTGGCTGGGAGCACGTGGATGAAAATTGTTATCATGAAGAGCTTCACAGGTTGAACTTGGAATGGGCAAACATCGAAGAGCTGGAGATTGCAGAGTTGGAAATTTGGAACGAGGAGCGTGAAGCGACATTGACGCAGTATCTACAGCCAAAGCTCAAGAAAATCGCGCTTCAGCAGCGTGATGCAGCTGGTGATGATTTTCTGGAGATGCTGAGTGAGCGGTGTCCAGGCCTGAAATGGTTGGCACTGAAACCCCGTTTCGCGGAGGATGGCGTGTCAAAACAAGGATTTCTGAGGTTCCTAGGAAAGTATAAATTGGAGTCTCTCAATATCAGGGCGGACGCGGACTCATGGGAACGAGATTGGGAGCTGTGGATGTTGGAGTTGCTTTCCAAGCAGGGCAACCTGAAACACATTTCCATACCCGATCTGGAAGATGCTTCCCTCGAACAATGGGCCAATGGAATGGAAGCGGCAGAGGACATAGCATTCCCAGGGCTAATTTCCCTCCGCACCGGACTCTCCGCCTCCGGCCTACGCTCTTTGCACCGCGTCAAACCTTGCCTCTCGACCCTCTGTCTTGATCAGCGCCGCATCGAGTCCTCCACATGTTCCTCCACCTTACTCAACCTATCAGTATTCTCCCAGCTCTCCGACCTCAGCATCCAGTTTCCCGCAGGAATGCGGATCTATGGTGACGATCTCACGCATCTTGTTCAGAGCTGTCCTTCCCTTTCTCGCCTCAGCATTGCCAAAGACATATGGTACACCGAGCGACCTTGGAGCATCAATATCCACGATTCACACATCGAGACTCTTGCACGCAGTGCCGTCAACATGAAGGAGCTATATTTGCTATTCGACGTACCTGGAATCCCCGGATCGGTAAAGGATTTTCCCACTCACGTCGCTCTGGAGTCACTTGGTCGCCACTGTGTCAATCTCGAACGTCTATGGCTTACGTGCGATCCTGATTGGTTCACGCTCCTCCCGCTAAATGGGCCGCGGACTGTACTCTTCCCGAAAGTATGGGATCTAGGGATTGCAGGGCCTGAGCTGCGATACACTCTATCATTCGATACAGAGGACAATCTTAGAGATATGGCGGAGGACTTCGTGGCACGGTGCCCGAAACTATCAAAATTTAGTTTTCTGTTGCCGTATGCAGAGGACCCGTGGGATGAGACAGTTATGGAAGTTATTCGCGCGAAGACTCGACGGGATTAGCCGTAGTGATTCGTATGGAACGATTCGAGTGCGCTAAATCAAAAGAAATGGGCGACACAAAGTCGGTGTAATACTAGAAAGGGTTCCTGTTTCGAACGCCGAGTTGCGTGATGCTTGCGGGGGAAGAGCCTGGTGGTATGCACGAAGTACAGTACCTCGAACAGACGTCCAATAGACATCCGTGTCTTGTCTGTACGCGTCGGCCGATTAAACGCCCGACAAAACCGGTGGGCCCGAGTCTCTGGGTCGATTAATTGCACCTCCAATTTACCCGCCCATAGCGCGATTCTCTTTCGATAAGGCTCTCCTCGGCTGGAGCCTAGGTGTTACCTTCTGCGAAGGCTGCGGCGAAATGGAGTGAGCATTCTGTAGGGCTGCGCAACAATGGAAAATTATATGCATCTAGGATGGCTATCCTTTTCGCAATGGCAGTGGCGCAAGGCTGCCCCGTAGCGCAGGCACCGCTCTCCTCTACGCGAGTATTGAACCTAATGCAGGGCGTAGAAGTCGGTAGGCATCTAGAGCAGCCGCTGAAGGGCTCCTCGCACTGTGATATAAGGATCTCGGTCCTATATCGAAGTATCAGATACTCTCTCCCGACTCGCTTTCGTCGCCAGCCTCCAAGCTTCCGCAGCATAAATGGCAGACGACAAAGTAACGACGTCGCATGTCGACAGCGAGCCATATCGTTTCGCAGAAGGTGAGCCTAATGTGCTCACTTCCGAAAAAGAGGGGACGACTGCCGACAAGAGCGACATGGACCGGATGGGCAAGAGACAGGAAACCCGGCGGAATTTCCGACATGTCACAATCCTTGGATTCTCCATGGTGATATTAGCGACCTGGGAGGCAATATTAGCCACAGCAGTGTTTGCGCTGGGTAACGGTGGAACCGCCGGTCTGATATGGGGCTATCTGATCGTGATGACCGGGTTTGGTTTCGTCAGTGCATCGCTCGCTGAGATGGCTTCGATGCAAGTTACATCTAGAATCCTCAACGACTTCCTTGGACTGACAGGATCTCAGGGCTCCTACTTCGGGCGGGCAGTACCACTGGGTCAGCGAGTTTGCGCCACGCAGCTGCCAGAGATTTTTGAGCTACGTCGTCGGGTGGTTGGGAGTACTGGGCTGGCAGACCGCAGCCGCGACGGTCTCGTATCTGGCTGGAAAGCAGATCCAAGGGCTCATACTCTTGAACAACGCTTCCTACGCTCCAAAGCCATGGCAGGGCACGCTGCTGATCTGGGCCGTACTCGCCATCTGCTGGGTCTTCAACACCTTCTTGTCCCGGAAACTGCCACTGGTTGAAGGACTCATCGTTATCCTGCATGTTGCTGGCTTCTTTGCGGTTATCGTACCTCTTTGGGTGATGGCTGATAGGGCTCCGGCTAGCGACGTCTTTACGCTCTTCCAGGACAACATGGAATGGGGCAGCACGCCGCTCTCCGCTATGGTGGGGTTGATTGGGGCGGCGAGCTGCTTCGTCGGTATTGAGGCCGGCGCACACATGGCCGAAGAAGTGCGCGACGCTGCGTATGTGATTCCTCGCGCTATGATGTGGACATGGCTCGGCAATGGGTTATTTGGATGGGTGATGGGCATCACCTTCTGCTTCTGCGTTACGGACACGATGTCCGTCCTCATGACTCCTCTAGGGGGTAAACAACGTTCGCCTAGCTGGGAAGCGAGATGCTGACTCGGTCTAGTCCCGTTCATCCAAGTGTTTGTCAACACTACTGGATCTGTTCCTGGTGCCACTGTCTTAACTGTCCTGATGCTCTTTATTAGTATCTTTGGATGCGTCGCAGTCATGGCAACAAACTCACGCCAACTCTTCGCTTTCGCTCGCGACAAGGGCGTGCCGTTCTCGGACATGTTCAGCCAGGTGAGCCCACTTCTACTACCTGCAGGAGTATATAGAGATATAATTAGTGACCATGTCCCAGGTTTCGCCCACTCTTAAAATCCCTCTCAACTCAGTCTATGTCACCCTGTTATTCGTCGTTCTCCTCTCACTCATAAATCTCGGCTCCAGCGTAGCCTACACGCAAGTCATTTCCCTAGGCGTCGCTGCTATGCTGACATCCTACATCATCTCCATCTCCTGCATCGCCTTGAAAAGGATACGCGGCAAGCTGCTTCTGCCGTCCAAGTTTAACCTAGGCAGGTGGGGGCTTCCCGTGAACATCATCTCGATTGTGTTCCTAGTCTACCTCTGGGTATTTTCGTTCTTTCCAGCGGCTCCGCATCCGCGGGTGGCGGATATGAACTGGGCTGTGCTGGGTTACGGGACGGTCATTATTTTTGCAGTGCTTTACTACCTCGTTCGTGGTTGGTACAACTATGTTGGGCCAGTGGAGTATGTGCGGAAAGGTCGGTAGGGAGAGGCTTGTAGGTGGCGGGAAGGGTCTCATATTATGTGCTGAGGGGATGATCTGAGGGGATGGAAGTGGGGTCGGAATTAGCACCCTTGGCGAGGTAACCACACGATGATGAAACAATTGGCGACATCGTTCAGCTCATTGTCCTTATCGCAGAAAGCGGTGCGGCTAGCGCGGGAGGACCATGTCCCGAGGTCCCTTCGGTTCCGCATAACCCATCAACACAGGAGGAGGAGAGAACAGACTGTCGGTGCTTGCAGATCAGCGGAGACTTGGCGATGGTTGGAACCTTGGAAGGAAGAGATGTGGAGGGCGTGATCTCGGAAAGGCCCGTGTGCTGCGTTTCAATCCGGCTGCATGGCCGTGGTCTAGACCCTCGCAGACCTTCACGCTCAGCCCTACGCTAAACCCTTCCTCTTCGTCGTGGTATCGTACCACCACAAGTCCCTTCCGAGCTTTTCAGAGTTGCGTTGTCTGTGTCCTCCACTGTTCATGGAGCGAATCTTCCCCATCCGATGCGCCATCATTGACGACAGCCCTCATCTTTTGCGCGACTATCAACACCAAGGTATGGCTGCACTCACGTCGGGGCCTGCATTTGAAGTCGTCCGAGTTGACAAGTGGCCCGCTTACGCTTTCTTTTCGCCCTCCAGATGTGAACCAGCGACCGATTGTGCTCGTCGAGTCTTCGCGGTCCAAAAAGTCAGGCGTCTCGGTCCAAAAGCCGCCTGAGACTTCACCTACCACCATCGCTTCCCAGTCAGGCGACGACCATCGCACCCCTCCGGGCCCCGAGCAGCTTCCCCAGGAGCCGTGCCGGGAAAGCCCACAACTCGCCTACGCTGAACATGCTGAATATGCCTTCACTGAACAAGGCCACGGAGTCGTGGCCGGAAAGCGCCACAAGTTCATCCGCTGCGAGGATGAGCCCATCAGGATTCCCGGGGCCATCCAGTCGCATGGCATGCTCGTCGGCCTTGAGCGTATCCAGGCAGATTGTAGCACTCGCTACCTTTGTCGCGTGGTGAGCGAGAATGCCGAGGCCGTTTGCAAGTACGCACCTCCTGTTCTTTTCGGCATGGAGGACTTCTCGCTCGTGTTCCCGGCCCACCAGCGTCTGATCTTCCAGAACCATGCACATACAGTTATCACTTCGTTCAACAACACGTCCCAGTCGGCCGAACCCCGCGTCTTCTCAATTGGCTTCATGGATGCTGGCGGATACATCGTCCCCGCCTGGTGTGCAATGCACTTCGTTGGAAGCGAGCATAACCTTCTCGTCTGCGAATTCGAGCTAGAGGACAGCTTGGGCATCAATCCGACGTTGGTGGACGACCTCCCATCTACTCCATACAATACGCTTTCTTCTGCCCCTGAAGACGCAACCTCAAGCTTCATCAAGAAGAGTGAGGCTCTCAATCTCGCCGCCCAGGCGGCTAACATGTTCCAGGGAGAGGGTAGAACTATGGAAGTTGTCAATGCCATGTCCAACATCCAGCAACAATTGTCTTCGAAGGATGATATTCAAGAGCTCCTAGATACCATCGTCGGTCTCGTCCAGGACCTGGCCGGTTTCCATCGGTGCATGGTTTATCGCTTCGACGCCGAGCACAACGGTGAAGTCGTCTCAGAGCTCCTCAATCCGCAAGCTAGCTCCGATATTTACAAGGGCCTCCACTTCCCAGCCAGCGACATCCCAAAACAAGCAAGAGATTTATACAAGATCAACAAGGTGCGGGTTCTTTTTGATAGAGACCAACCTCCGAGTCGATTGATTTGCAGAAGCGTCGCAGACCTGGGCTCACCGTTGGACCTCACGCATTCCTATCTCCGAGCCATGTCCCCTGTTCATCTCAGATATCTGGGGAACATGGGTGTGAGGTCAACCATGAGCGTTTCGTTGGACTACAAGAACGAGTTGTGGGGACTCATTTGCTGCCACTCATATGGCCCAACCGGGGCCCGCGTTGCCTTTCCCGTCCGCGAATTATGCTACTGGGTCAGCCTTTGCGCATCGAATTGTCTCGAAAAACTGCTCAACGCCGAGAGGCTCAAAGCCAGAGACACCTTGTTAGCCCTGCACCTCGATATCTCACCTCGCGCATACATCTCAGCGTCCTCGGAAGACCTTTTGCGACTATTCGGGGCCGACTTCGGTTTTCTGGTCGTTCAGGGAGAAGCACGTACAATCGGCAAGCTCTCATCCTACCTCGAGGCGGTGACACTGCTGAGATACGCGTACTTCCGAAGCTTTGACAAGACGTTTGCAACAACGAATGTGACCCGAGACTTCTCAGACCTAATGTATGAGCCAGGTTTCCACCATATCGCCGGACTTCTCCACATCCCGCTTTCACAGGACAGTGGTGACTTTATCCTCCTCTTCAGGAAATGTCAGATCACAGAGGTTCATTGGGCAGGCAACCCAAACATGTCCAAGGTAGCACCGCTAGAACCAAGGGACAGCTTCACTAAGTGGACCGAGACTGTCAAAGGGACCTGTGCGCCCTGGAGCAAGGAGCATCGTATATCTACTCCACTTTAACCTTGTTGCTACAAGTACTAACCGATGAGCATAGATGAGGCCGCCGCCATGACGAGACTCGTATACGGGAATTTTATCCGCGTCTGGCGTGAAAAAGAGGCAGCTATGCAAGAGTCGCGCATGAAGCGCTTGCTTTTGCTGAATCTCTCCCATGAAGGCAAGGCACCCATCATGCAACCAGGCGAATGCTAGCTAACTATGGACAACAATGAACAGTGCGCACCCCTCTCAATGCTGTTATCAACTACCTCGAGATGGCCCTCGAGAAACCTCTAGACAAGGCAACCAAAGATATTCTGACGCAGTCCCACTCTGCTTCCAAATCGCTTATATATGTCATCTACGACCTGCTTCACCTTACTGGTGGTGGGAGACAGCCAACTCCTCTTCTCGTCCATGCTGTTTTCGATATCGGAAAGGGCCTTCAGACGACCCTGGATCAGCTCCGAGGATACGCCGGCCAGAAGTCTCTGAGCTTCGGCGTCGTTAAAGACCTAGAATTTCCCCAATATGTCTATGGAGACCTTCCCAGGCTCCAGCAAGCAGTCTCTACGCTTGTCCAAAACGCGGTGCAAAGGACTGAAACTGGTGGCGTCATTGTTCGCCTTGGCTTGCTGTCAGCTACTGAGAAGAATTGCGTTATTCAGGTTACTGTTCAGGACACTGGAAATGGCATGTCTGAGCGTCGATTAGACGACCTCTTTGAAGAGTTTGAGCAATTACCCGATGAAGACATGTCCCAAGAGGCGTCGCCGGTGGAGGAGAGAAACCCCGTGCAATCGGAATGTGGCGATCTGCCCCAATTGAATGTAGGGCTCGCCTTGCTAGCCAGGTATATAAAGCACTCTGGTGGCCAGATTCGGGGCAAATCCGTTATTGGCAGAGGGTCGACTTTTGCCATAGAGGTACCTCTGCAAATTGCCAGCGCATCGGCGGCTCAATCTCTGTCCCGTTCGTCCACGTCAAGTTCGAAATCAGGGGAGACAAGCAGGGCAGCTGCAATTCCTGGAGCTTCCAAGCATTCAGGGATAAGCTCCATGGAAACGCCGCCGGCTCTTACAGAGTTCCACTCGCACCTTGACCCGAGTAGACGCCAAAGCGAGGAATCACGCCCCAGTAACCTTCGTTTGTATCAACCGTCTGCGCTTCCGGAGGAGGTTCTGCAATCTCAAGCAATCTCGCGTGCACATCATACACCACCGAAAAACAGACTCACAATCCTCATTGCTGACGACAACTCCGTCAATCTGTCTATCCTGCAGCGAAGGTTGAACAAGATGGGTCATGAAGTTAAGACAAGCCGCGATGGAAAAGAGTGCTTCGAGGCGTTCCAGAAACATTGCGGCGAGGTGGACATGGTGTTGATGGATCTGAATGTGGGTCAGTGCCGCCCACAGCTGATCGTTGCTGATTCCCGAACGCAGATGCCTCTTGTCGATGGCAAACAAGCGACACTGATGATACGCGCATTTGAGCGCACTGAGCGACCCCCCGATTCCTCCCCCCAGCAGAGGCAGGACCGTAGACTTCCCCTGTCCCAGCCGGACGAAAGGGCACCCTATCTCCCACAAAAGGCTTCCAGCTGCGCTGCCGAGCCTTTACCGCCAAGATCAGCGGAGCTGGCTGCACCGGCCCTACTTCCTCCCGACTTATCTTCGCTCGCAATCTCGCATCCATCGCAGCTATCAGGTGTCCGCCCATCCATGTCGCCACCTCTGACAAATGCTAATACCTTAGACGTGGGCCGGCCTTCCGAGCAAACATCCTACTTCCCTCCAGTGGAAGGTACGCCCCCGACTTCAGAAGCATCGTCTACTAGACCAGGTACTACATCTCCCCTCTCTGTCACTACTGGATCTACGTCGCACATATCATACTTAGCCCTACACAATGTAGTTGCTGCACAAGGATCCACCACCTCGTTCGTGCCCCAAGCTCCATCACCAGAGCTTGTGCCGCTTGCTCGCACGGCTGGCCATACACCCATCTTCGCCGTCTCAGCCAGTCTGGACCAACACTCGCAGGAGTCGCTGCAGGCTGTGGGGTTCGATGGGTGGCTGTCTCAGCCAATTGACTTCAGGCGGTTGAGCCTTGTTCTCGAGGGAACGGCAAACATGGAGTTTAGGGCGCAGGCTACATGTGTGCTTGACGACTTCAAGAACGGCGGATGGTTTATTCTCCCAAGAAATTCGCACCCAAAGCAAAGCTAGAAGGTAAAATACAGGCAGTATTCTCTTTAAGAGCTCGTGGCAACGACAGACCCTGTGAACCACGCACCACCGTCATTGCACTCCTCGAGGATGTCGTTGTTTCTGGCCTGGTAGTAAAACCTGATCCTTTGTCCGTTGTCCCACTGGATGATCGACGACCTTGTGCCCCTAGGTAGCAGCGTAAGGACGGTGCCAGCGGACACCCAAGATCCGTTTTTCCATTCGTAGCCCACAATATTCTGGGAGCTGTCATGCCAGTACACGCGCAGGTACACACCCGAATTATACCACCCGATAGCGCTGATGGAAGAGTGTCGTGGTACTTTGTCAGTGCTGAAACCACCTGCGCTAATGTCAAAAATGATGACCAGGAAATTACCAAGGAAGTGGGTTACTCTTACCAGCATACCAATTGGATGGATCCCAGCATTGCTCTCTCAAGGTCAGATCGGGGGCTTGATAGTACACACGCAGGTGTATGCCATTATCAGACCAGCCTGCCACCGCTATGGTCGAGCCTGTACGAGCCGTTGGCAGGATATGTCCTCGAGTCCACGAGCTGTCGTGGCAGAATTCCTGGATTTCGTCGGAAGTAGATTCTTTAGTCGGGTTAGAGCCTAGCTGTGGAGTTGAGAAGATTTTAAAGATTAAAAAAAGGGGGGGGAAAAGCCCCTACCTTGGCAGTAGACGCGAATCTGTGATCCATTCTTCCATTGGATAGCGGCAATAGACGTATTGGGAGCACCGCGGACTCGGAGGTTGTTCAAGTCGCCGGTATACCAACTGCCCTGGGCATTGGCAGACGAGTAACACCACTCCTGAAGCATGTCATCCTGGGAAAGGCAATATATGCGGATCTGTCCATGGCCGTCAATAATCATCTCCCATTTCTCCTGCATATGTGATTGTCATGTTTCCACTAACCTCTTTGCCACTGTTCCAAGTAATAACAGCCAAGGGTGTGAAACGCTTGGCTTTGAACATGCCGGCATTGCTGGCGGCCCATGCGCCATCGTGTGCAGACTGACGAATGCCCCCCTGGATATCCTGGTAATACACGCAACATTTTCCAGATGATGGCGTGGTAGAGACAACGGAGCTGCCGGGCAGGAGCCAAGTAGGACCGTCAATAGTGATAGGGTAGTCCCACCAGTGGCTTCCCATACACTCATTATGCGTGCCTGCGAAAGTCCAGTCGGACGCAATGAATTCCCACTTGCGGCGATCCGTGATTGGTTTGCGCCTTTCGAGGGTGCCATTGTTCAGTCGAAAGAGGGGTGCAAGCACCTGCGTGGAGGCGTTTGCCGACTCCAGCGTTGGTGCGTGGTCCCATGCTTTGTACGCAGCCGGTTTCTGCTTGGACTTCCACGCATTGTAGATCTCATCCGCTGAAGCTTGTACCGCTGCGAGGCACCGGTTTTTGTTGTCTTCGTTCGCGTTGTCGAGAGCACGCTTGTCACCGTAGCAGGTCCAAGCTTCACCCTTTGGATTCTTGACGGAAAGGCCGATTGCACAGTCTTCATCATGCATGTCCTACAAAAACGTATGAAAAGTCAACACGCGCACTTTGCACTTGATAAAGTCAGACAGGAAACACCTACCTTGGCACACAAATCAGGCCAGGGATTTACCATCCAGCCCGAGTGGCAATCACGGCGTGGGGTTCTCAGGTGGCCAGCGGAGAAGGAGTCCTCGAGGAAGTGATCTGCAAAGGCGTTCAAGGCATAAGCTAGGTCTAAATCTCCGTTACTCTTGACGGCCTCCTCAATGGCGACTGCATGTCCGGCATTGTACGTGGTACGGGCATCGGCTCCGAAGTGGTCGAAGTTAATCTTGGCCAGGCCCAGGTAAGTAGGCCCGAGTCTGTATACGATTCGCCATGAAGTAATTTTTTGAAGCGCCTTCCATTCGTCTGCTGGTAGCTTGCTGTACGCAATAGAAGGGTCTTCGTGCTTGCGGAGCGCCTCATTGACCGCATCAACCTCTTCCTGCAAGGCACCAAGAATTGCCAATGCCTCGCCTGGTTGGAGACCCGAGGGATCGGCCAGAGTCTTGAATGCTGCCATGAACCGGCTGCGCTGTTCTTCCTGGGTGGAGCCGTCGCTTATGGGATCATTAGTTCCGTAGAAGTCACCGCCGAGCCCATTGATTTCGCCGTAGGTGAGATTGAGGGCGTTACTGAGCTTGAAGGGGTAGTCCTTGGCTAGCTGAGTGGTTCCATCAGAGAGAGTAAGCGTGATCGCGTTGCCAAAAAAGCTGTGCTCGGCGTATTCGAAGCCTTTTATTGTCAAAGAGAAATACATAGGCTTCAGCCCCATTATAACGTACCAAGGCGATCCTTCTTTTTGGATTCCGGCAGGGCAACTGGGAAGGCGCCGTGGCTGAAGGTGATCGCTGTGGTTGCTGGGATCATAGAGTCACTCCTATCATCTGTAAGCTGAAAGAAACTGTGTTCACTCGGAGAGAGTTCACATACTTCATGAGCGGAGCAAGTGGGCGGACATCAGAACAAGCTAGACTGTTTGTCAAAGCCATATCCTCCATCGCATCAAGAGTCGACACGGCCAGCGCCTTGGAGAGGGGCGAAGTACTGTTGGTGTAGTATGAGACACTAGAGATGAGCCCGAAAAGTCTCTTGTTGAAGGAATGGAACAATTGATAGCCGAAGAAGATTCCGTATCGATCGCCTTGATCCCAAATTGCGATGTTGAAGCAAGGTGTGACGAAAGTTCCCCGGAGAGAGAGTCTATCCTCACTGCCCCATTCACCACTAGCGGTTCGGGTGTTGAACACAATGTCATTGGTACCCTGGCGCAGTGACACATGAAGTAGGTAGTCTCCATTGTTGTTGAGAAAGTTAATCCTGGTATTATCGCCGCTGATCGAGACATCCGGATCCCACGAATCTGACTGGATAACAACGATACCGCCGGGTTCGACGGGTCGTTGCAGCTGCACACTATCATTCAATGGAAGGAGGGACGACATGCCGAATTGACCCATCAGGGAACCACACGCGTGGATGGAAGCTGAACCTGGAAGAGGTGAATTTGTGGAGGGAAGGGTGTTTGTTGCGAGGTGCACAGGATGCTAATTGACCGAAGAGCACACCTGGGCAGCTTTCGACCCATATATCGTGCGCACAGTAGGACAGAGGGTGAGAGGAGGTGTGTGCGAAAAATCAGGGGAGTGGAGAAGATGGACAATCTTGGATATTAGAGACGACGTGATCAGGGAATGGGCAGAGTTTAAAAGCTGGAGAGGATGGGAAATGTCGTGATTTAGATGCGCTAAGGCAAATCAATTTACGTAAGTAGAGAAGGCGGACAAATTACACAAATCGGGAAGAATGATAAGATCGAAAATGTGGTGCGAGGTAGGCTTCCGCGCGAAAGGTTCAAAATAACCTATCAACACCGCCCACATGTCCACGATCGTTCGTGAGGTTCTTGGTATGCAGTGGAACCAGCTTAAAGCATGGGCCAACGCGTTGTTAACCCAATACCGTCAAGGATGCAGGTAAGACAGTTGACCGTAGAAGATTAGCGCGAAGCACCGCTCCCGCTGGACGTACGAGACAGGTTACGACCGAATCAATCTCATAATTAAACTAGGTGCGATGAGGAGGGTGCAAGGCGCGGCTGTATAGCTGTTTACTACGACCATTAGCTGCGGTGGTATTGGTAGGTGTAGTAGCCGCTTTTGGACATGGCTTTCCGTCACCGGTCTCATAGCGTTCGCGCTTCATGCTGGCCAGCACGAGATCCGGAGCTTGAGAGCTCTTGTCTTGCAAGGCCCCGCACAATCACTTCCAAGATACCGCTGGGTTTGTACCACGAGTCGCCGATCTCGATCCCCGACGCATAATAGCCTTTGTCGATCAAGGCGAGTCTCAGCACTATCTGCACTCTCCTGACCTAGCTCCGCACAGACTCAATAGAATCCTCACCACCAGCTAGAAGATGGAAAAGGGGCTCGAACTCTATAGGTCCCAGAATGTCCGAAGGTAAAACGGTTATGGAGTTACCTTCCCCATCAAAGTAAGGTACCGTTGTAGAGCCATCAACTGGCGACGCCCATACGGTTAGTTGCTGCGCTCCTTCGCGAGGTCGTCCCAAGCGCACTTTGCCCCTGCGGAAGCCAATAGTCTCATACGCTCAGTCCACTGAGCACATGTGGAACTAGAGCTCTGCCAGGATAGCATCCCGAAGTAGTTTGACGTAGCGTTTTGTGAAGGCCTCATTTGCTGCATTTGGAGTGATTTGGCGCGAGTCCGCCTCCAATCTAGTGCCTGGCAGCCGAAAGGGTTAGCAGCCTGATGAAATAGGGTAGGTAAAAGACTGGCCTTCGCTGTTGGCCTTGGGTAGCTGCATAGGAGAGCCGGGGACAAGGTTATTGTGTGCCGGACCTGCGAGGGGAGATGATTTGTCTGTTGCTTCGGTTTCCTGTACTCTAGTATTTGAGAGCCACCCTGAATCCGGCTCAGGTCTCGCATTTCGGCGTATGGATCCTAGAATGGCAGGTGTGGTCGTGTGGAGGTCCCGTTTGGATAGTGCCCAATCATGAAAGCCAGCATCAAGCAGAACCCACCTCGCGAACGTCGTTGCTCTCCGGTCCTAGAGGTGCCGCATTCTCTAAAGTGAATTTACCGACATTCCGCCCTGGAACTGGAATTGCTGGCGGCATCAACCCGCATTCTGCTTAACAGCCTCGCCCGTCTTCTTCAAGCTTGTTGGCGCATCTTTTTGCACCTACAGTTTGACCAGCTAGAAGCGTTTCCGTAATCAGTTTCAACGTTCTCGTCAATGTATTTGCTAAATGGACTCACCTGCAACCGCGACGGCTTGTTAAAGTCTTCTCTCTGGAACAGCTTCCCAAGTTCCCGCCTAGTCTTGACTTGATGCGTCTGAGCCCTGCCCTCAGCGTCGAACGCCTTCGGCAGCACAGTGTAATTCCAACTTTTGATGTCATTGTACGACGCTTCCCATCCGTGTACATATCTCTCGACCGTGTATCCTTGGTTGCAGATGATGAATATGATCGGTGTCAATTCGTACTGAAGCATCGAGCCTATGAGGCAGCGGTCAGGAGCGTTAACACGAAGGTAGATGGCTCAAGAAACCGATTTCAACCTCGGACACAGCAGCGAGCTGATGACGGATAGCGACTTCTACATTGATGCCGACTTGGGGGCATGAATTCTCGATTTCTCATCGCATCTACCCTGGCAGCCACCTCCAATAGTTATTCAAGCAGCCTCCTGCCACCATCGATGCGTCAAGACTTGGCCTATCGTTGTTCTAGCCGTCGGGTCTGGATTTGTCATTCCAGATATCATGTTTTGTGCGTTAGGACCAAGCTCCTTCCCCCACCGCTCGAACCTTAGTTCAGGCTGTTCCTTAACGGCCTCCTCAGCTACTTCTGACGCTCCCTTCAGAGCGTTACACCAATCGTCGCTGTTGATTTGCTTGAGGAGCCCTTCGGGTGCTGGCCCAAAATAGGAAAAGTGTCGAATCAGGATCTCTTGTTCCGGTCTTATACCGCTCCTTGCTAGCTCTTGGTAATCGTTTAAGAGCAGGAAATCGCCGCCCCCCAGAGTATATATGCACTGTAAACAGAGCTTAGCACGAATTCTTGAACTGGAACATGGCTCACTTACCACTAGTCCAAACGAGAACACGTCTGACGCCTTTGTCACGCCCCTTCCGGTCTGTCCTTCTGGGCTTCGCCACATGGCATTCCCTATAGCATAAGGGGTCTGACGCGGCTCTCCACCTTCCGACTTGAAAGCGATATCAAAATCGCCCAGGGCCACATCGGTGACTATTTTGTTACCCTCTTTGTCACAAGTCCAATTGACCAAAATATTATCAGGCTTTACATCTGCCAAGATCGATTGATTAGTTAGAGGTCTAGAATGGTAATAATCTCTGGATTGCGGAGTGTGTACCGATCGCAAGATTTTCTTTCGTTGCGCCAGAGGCAAGTCCGAATCTTCCTGAACCAAGGCAAGAAGGGTGCCTCTGAAATAGGGATAGACTAAAATGCCTTCCTCTTGGTTGCAATCGATATGCATTCGAAGCCGACGGGAGCCTGCAAACTCGGCTGCGAGGCGTAGGGAGAGATCGTAGAACGGCCTTGGTACGCGCTTAAAGACAAAAGACTCGTTCTCGGACCTGAGTGGGATGGGTCAGAGATATGGCCAAGCTGTGAAAAAGGCATGGAGTATGAAACGTACTCGGCTTTGAAGACGCTGAGCTTATGGTCCTCGCAATGACGCTGCAGCGCCTCGCCCTGAACGTACACGCGGCCGGATTTGCCCACTACGGTGGATGCCATTCTGATGCTTGTACGGTAGGCAAGCCGACTGAAGGATGTATGGCAGGCAAGACGATTGAAAGGCATCGAAGAAGAAACGGGTCGCCAATGCAACGTTTTGATTTAAACGCCCTAAGCCTATATATAACTCTAGAGCCAGGTATGTTGCGGCGGAGCGGGAAAGAGCGCGCAGGCTTTTTAACAATATTTACTAGAGAGTAAGGGGCATGAAGGTAGTAGGCTATATAACAGAAATTAACTAGATATATAATACGCGCTCTTCTTAGAGGAAAGACGACAGGGAATCGATGGCTAAAGGGTGTTGGCGGCGAGGAAAGAGGGGGCCGAGCGCCGCTAGGCCGCTTCTGTGATGGTGCGTCCCGCGATTCAGAATATCCCGAGGACAAGACCTTGCGTCACACGTCGCCGCAGACGCCACATGCACTTCTTCTTCACACCAGGTACGGTCTCGCCTTGCGTATGCGACCCGTCAGCACCGGATTGTCTCGATCAGTGGACACTCTTCCTAGCGGTGTGCCATCTCAATTGCCTAGGACGCCCTCATGGTTCTCGGTTTCCAGGCATGTTCAGCAGGAAAAGTATCACCCCACGTTGCTTTTTGATCCGCAAAGACTCCCGCTAGATGCCCGGTCGCAATATCCATGAATGAACTTACCAGAAGGGCCTGCAAGAAAATTGAGGAATCCCGCACTCTATTTACCTACGTCGGTAAATCCGACATGTGCTCCAACTCACACAATCCGCCATTCAAACGATTCTCCCAAGCGGCCTCCTCATCCACAGAAATATTGCAGATCAAAAAGATACTAACATGCACCGCAATCCTCACCCTGGCATGCGCCCAGATGGTCGACCCACGGCTCTCATGCTCGTTATGGAACTCTTCCTTACACGTTCCTCCAACGACCAGGAGGGATGCCTCGAGATAGAGGTCCGCCGAAGCGACGACGAGGCTGATATGCGCGCGCATACACGCCGTGATTCCGATGCCCCAGCCCCTGTCATTCACGATGATCTGCTGCGACTGCGTAAAGCTTGCGCTGGCGCTGAACGGACCGACGCTGAAATCCACACCAATGCCGAAGCCTAGATCCAGCTTGATTTCAGGTTTGCCGGCCGTGCCGAGCGCAACGTCGAAAGCGCCTTTGCCAAGGGCGACGATGGGGCCAAAGCCTGTGGGTATCTTGATCGTGGCCCCCGCGTGCAGCGTGAGCAGGAAGCCAGACAGCGAGGTCCGCGAACTGAGGCTGAAGTCAAACGCTTCGACCACTTTCTCGACTGGCGGTCTTGACGCTTCGGGAATCTTCTTTAGTAAGTCTTCGCGATTCATTGACGTGCTCATCAGCAGAGCCCATTCATTCGTCATGCTAACTTTGAAGTGCGGCAGAAACTTCAGACTCTCTAAGAAGCTGATGACTTTCTGGACTTGCGCGAGCGCAGGACCGAATTTGTGCAGCGGCGCTGCGAGAAGTTTCGCTGGGTCGGTGTCGGGAAGGTCAATGTCGCCACTCCCGATAAGGCCTCCTAGCTTTGCAGCGTCGCTGCGCAGCTTCCCGACAACGATTGAGGCTTCTTTGCCGACCTCTTTCGCCGTGCTTGTAATCATCTTGACATTGGTAATATCCATTTTGGAGATGTTCTTCGATGTATTGATGACAAGGTTCAGCGCCGACTTGACGTCTTCGGACCCCTGTTGGACGTCTTTAACCGTCTGGATGACGGTTTGTACCGAAGCACTGTCGGCTAGCTCTCTCAAGCTCTCGATGTCAAGGTCTGCGCCTTTCAAGACGCCCTCGACGACCTTCTGAGGCTCGAAAGAGTAGCCGCCCGGTACTAGTCCAAGAAGTTGCTTCTGGATGGCGTCCTTGTTCGCCCAGTCTGGAATCACCGGCAGGCAGTGATCTCGCAGATTAGGGAATATGCCAGATGCCTTTCCCAACGCAAAGGAGTCTGCGAGGTAGACCTTCTCCGCCAATATTCCCGGAACATCTTGGACAAATGGAATCTCTGGGTTTGAGAAGAAGACGCGATGATCGGCCGCGCCGTGAACAATCCCATATGCGGTCGATGTCGCAGTGCCCAGCAGCTCTTTTGGTTCTTTGAGCAAGTACGAAGCAGTGTTCGCAGCCAGGTTTACCGTATGTTCTCCCATTCGCACGAGGGGACTCCCTTTGGCCATATCGACTACCTGCGGCAACATGTCCTCACTTGTCTTGGCTAGCGACCACTGACCCCCACCCTCAAATACCAACGAGCCCCATGCTGCTGCGACCGCCTTCCCTTCAGCAGTCGTGTCAACCGAAAGTGATGTGATCCTCTTTCGTTGACCAGATTTGCCGATTTGCACAGTGGCATCTATCCTGCCTCCTAATTTCAAATCATCAAGGACTGCCTTGTAGTCCGCTGGATTAGGAAAATTACTAGCGGCAGCAGCTGCAGCAGGAGCACGACCGGTACCGGGACCAGAAGGACCATCACCCCTCTCTAGGAATACGCATCCGTCTATGTCCCGTGCGGGAACCTTGCGCACTTCTCCGCCGTCCTCAATCTCGACCCAGCAATCGAACTTGGTTACGGATACCATTATTCCACCCGGGACCGGATACTGTGGTCTCACTTCCCTAATATTACGCACGTCGGTAACGCCCCTCACAACACCCGGATGCGTGATGATACCCGCATCGGGATAGAAGTATCGTCCATCGGACCTCGCTATCCACGGCCCTTCGTTCCGCACAACAACGCCACTATTCAGTCTCCGCACCTCGATCGTCTTATCGACTTTGACGGCAAAAGGAGCCATAATGCTCTGCAGGACTACCACTTCGCGCGCTGTACGGCCGTTCAGCACGTTCATCGATACGGCACTGATGCCAGTGCCGGTTACGACGCGCTTCCAGTCACTGAAGATGGACGCTCCGTATCCGGAGATGTCGAACCTTGTCAAAGGCACTTGCTCTTGCATGTCGTCCCGGAAAACGTTATCGGCCGGCTTCAGGACATTACTTAGGGTATCCTCCGGGGGCGGAATAGTCCCGGGCGGACTGCGGTCGTTCGTTTTGATAAGTGGGATGATCAACAGTGTCGTGATTCCAGGGAAGGAGGGGCTATTCAAATCGCCCGTATCCGGTCGGGGTGGGAACGGATTGATGAACCTTTTCGGTGTCGGCGGCGTAAACATGATCTGCGTCTGAGGCCGTAGAGCCGGTGGACGTGAAGCTGCGCCAGCATGCGCCTCCCCAGCAACCTCGAACGCAATTTTGGACACTGTGCCAGGATTCGGAGCCCAGATTGGTACCTCAGCCCCTGGGCTATTGTCCACAATCGCCAGGCCCGCCATGCCGAATGGTAATGAGAGACGGGAAGCAACAGTGGCCGGGGTAGCGCTATTATACGTTCCGACAATATCGTCCAGGGCCTCTTGCGGTGACGCAGGAACTAACCGCACGGATCGCGCCTCTTTCTCTCGCAGCGCTATCTGAGTGGTGGGTCCCGAGTATGGGAAATCATAGGTGGCCCCCAAACGCGTCGGAATCATGCTTAGGTCACGTACTTCCGTCACAGGCTCCCAATGCGTCGCCGGAAGTGCCATTGTGCGGATATTCGAACGCCTTCCACACAGCTTGAGATCGGATATCCCGAAATCCTCGAGCTCGGACAAGGCTGGAGCGACGTGAGTTATCGTCCTTTCGGCCGCCGGCTCGTAAGATAGTGTCCCAAAGACCACGCCAAGCTGTCCTTGGTTCGAGGATACATCCAGCAGGGTCGGGGGATGACAAAATGTGCCATCGCGGCCGGGCATGTAGTTCGGATAATGAACAACATAGCCGATGCCTCGGTCAGGTATCACTCCGCTTCCCACTTCTTCGCGAGCAAAGTTGGTGCGGCCCCAATACTGGCTGACGTTGGCAAACGAGGGATCATCCCGCTCTCTGCTGCGCTCTATCACTTTTGTCGACGTGAAGAATGCAGATAACAAACTCATGGAGAAGACCGAGGCAGTCGATTCCGTCCACTGGCTCGTCATGATGATGTGGCCCAATCCGTTCTTCTCGGCAGCTTGATCCACCGGTATCTCGAAGTTGGACACGTATGGATCCTGCAACATGGGGACGCTGTAGCGCATGAACGAGACAGCTATGCAGTGTCCGGAGACCATCGTCCCTGCCCGGTACTGGCCTTCGATCATCACGTTGTCGAGACGCTCTGCACGAATAAAAAGATTTTTGAGCGCATATGCAAGGATCTTCTCAGGCTGGTCGTTGACGGCCTGGATGTTAAGCGTAGCCTCCGAGGATCCAGGCGGCAGGAACCAACTCATCGTGTTCCAGCGATTTGCTGGCCAAGTCGAGCTGGTTATCGGAACGCGCTCGGCGTTGGCAGTGAGCGGTCGCTCGAGAGTGATGGCAAGGTTTGCATTGATCGTCCACGATTCCGCACCATCAGAGGTCGCCGCGTAGTAGAAGGGAATCTCGTCGGGTAGCCTAGCTGTCACGGAGCCTTGCGCCCTCGAAGAATCGCTTCCCGACTGCGCCAAGTTGACACTGTAGGGTTGTCCCAATGGCGACCTTCCTTTGCCACCAATAATCAACTGCGCATTCCGGATGTCGATAGTGTGCTTGCTAGCAATGACGGGTCGTGCCTCGCCTCTGACTCCAAGGCTGATCCCGGAGCCTATTGTAAATGAGAACCCCGTCGGGTTTGCCGCCTCAAAGAACGACGTTCCGTCCGAAGGCTTCACCAGTACCGTCCAATAAGCATCGGTAATGCTGCTATTGCCGCTGACATTCATGAGCCTGGACGATTCACCGCTGGGGTTGAACGTTGTCGCATCCAAATTCATCTTGAACTTCAACGTCGACAGGAACCAGTCGTACACCGCACTAGGAGAGGGCCCATTGAGCTTCAGGGGACAGCCCAGAATAGTCGCTTGACCTGTTCCGATGGATTCGAGAGTCGCCACACCTGGCGCGCCGCTCGCGGGTCTTGAAAAGCTAAATGTGACCGCGGTCACCGGATCAATAGAAAACAGACCATTGGACGACGCAGGCTCCGCTAAATCAAGACGTAGCGTAACCGACATCCCAGGCACAGGTGGCATCACCAAATCCCCCTTCGTAATTCGCAGCGCAAGAAACGTCCCAGGTGGCGCCTGACTCGCGATAGGATTCTGTTTCGTGAACAGGGCCCCTCGGATCCAAACGGTCCCGGGACCGAAGGCAATCTGAAATGGGGTCAGGTTTGTTGCAGGCGCCGCGGCGTACATATGCGGCCCTTCCGCACCGAGGCTGTAAGCCTTTGGCGCCAGAGGAGTAAAAACGTCTATGAAGACAGTCTTGCCGAAGTCATCCAAGAAAGGTCCATGGGACTTGCTTGGTTGCAGGCCAAAGGTGTCGTTTAGCCAGCTGGGCTTGTCGAAGTTGATGGCGGCACTGAGTGTGCGGCGCACCGCACGCGTTAATTGGGGTGGAGAGTTGGATGCCGGTTTTGCGGCATCGTAGGGAACAAATTGAGACGGAGAGATGGTGATATTGGACACTCGATATTTGATCCGGACGCCGAAGGTCTCCCGGTCCTGCCCAGTCGATATTGCTGAGACGATGGCTTTTCTGGCGGACAGGAGATCATTGTCGGTGCTGGGCGAGGTTGCTTTGAGATCACAGGTCAAGGCAATGAGCAGTTGTGCCGTTTCCCTCCACACGTTATCTGCCATGAGTCCGAGGTTGTATGAAAAAATTGTGGGGGTATTTGCTCTGAACAGCTCGCGACAAGGTTCCGTGCTGTGTTGTGCGCTGAGAATGAGAGGAGTAACAAATCAAGAACGAACTCTTCTTCGAATGGCGTGTTGGCGATCGCTCTCAGTGATCGAGCTAAATGTCGCTGAAGGATCGAAAGTTAGATGGGTGAAGGTTCAGCATTGGATATCGCTAGTGCCGGTGGATGATTATCTCCCAATCTCAATATGCGTCGAGAAAGAAACAAAGAAAATGCGCGCATCCGTCAACGCAGATGGTACGGCGCCATACGACCCCGCATTCCCTTGATCTGGGCAGCTGAAGTGAACCTGCAGATGTTGTAGGACTAGACCGACGCCACATCGAGCTGAGCTGTGCCATGTCAGAACAAGCGAGGAATAAGCGGGTCAAGCTCTCGCTCAGCCTTGAACGTCTGGGCAGCCTAGTGCAGTCTTAGTTAACAGGTAATAAGACGGTAGAAGACTTTGTCCGATAGTCTCCTTCTAACTCTCTTCCTGTCGTCCCATAAGTTGAGAGCTTTCCTGCATCTTTTCTAACAAGGCAACCTGAAAGCCACCAAAACCTGGTAATCCCATTACCAGTCTTCGGCAGCGACTCCAACATCGCATCCTCCAGAATGGGAGATCTCTTCCTAACCGCCCCCCGATTCTTCGGCAACGCCGAATTGAGAGACGTCCTGAATGGCCGCGGAACCCTAAAACGAGGCAGCCGCGGCGAAGCAGTAAAGCTCATCCAGCAAGCCTTCATCGACCTAGGCGAAGCAATGTCCGCCGGCGCCGACGGCATCTTCGGTCTCCAAACCCATGACGCAGTAGTCCGATTCCAGATGAGCAACGGCCTCACCGCGGACGGCATCATCGGCCGCAACACCATGAGCGTGTTGGACGCAACCATCGCAGCTCACGACAACAACAATCCCCCTCCACAGCCGCCACAGACCGTGTTGAAGAACGTGCGCTTCTGGATCAACGCTTTCGTCCCAGGACCCCAGCTGTCGGCTTACGCATTCCCCGCCCCCGGTCCGTCATCTGGCAAAAGCTACTTCAAGGAAGCGGGGATAATCAGCGGTGCATTTCTGGGAGATAACAGGAACTACTCTAGCGACCCGAATGCGCCCGCTCGGATGCACATGCTGGTCGATTTGATCAACTTGGACACGCCGGCGGCGGCAATGGTGATCCCGAACGACATCAAGTGCGCCGAGTACGTGGAAATCGACGCGGCGACTGGCGCGGTGATAGCGACCAAGCCTGCGTCGACGGCGAGGTGTCGGTTCTTCGACCTGCAGGTTGGTCCTGGGACGGGGTCGGTGATTACGCTCAGGTTTGAGGGCGCCGTGAATAACCCTCTTCAAGCTGGGTCGCTGGATATCGATATGAATGGGACTATTCGGATTGATCGGACTGCCCTGAATATCACGGTGGAGGCTAAGGTGGAGCCTTGGCCTGCTTTTGAGGCTTGGGTCTCGGGAAATGGAGGGCCTGCGAAGTTCGTTGCGCTGGGGGCTCCGACGCAACCCGGTGATCAGGCAGGGCAAGCAAATCGAGAGTTTACTGTAACGACTGGATTGCTCTGAAGGCCGGGTTTCGAGAGTCGCCTTTCGTTGATTGGTGCGTCTCGCATGTGCTATGTCATAGTGGCGGTCCTTTCAATGAAGAACTTCAGCTGCTGTTCTGGAATCCATTTTCATTCAGTCGGTGAAGCGTGTAGTGTCCATTCATGTGTCTCCACTATAAGCCGGCCCTGAATCCAGTGGACTGGCCCTAATGTACGGCCAAGCCCCGTGGCTGAACAAGCGTGGAAAAAAGCAACAACCACAGACTCTGGCCAGGGTCCACCCTGCAGGCGCTGTAGCCTTCACCCTGCTGCGTGCGGCTGAAATGGGTCGAGACTCACTGCAATCGGAGGTTCTAGCTGAAGAACCATGTTCTTGTTCCGGAAAGTCACGCACCTAGCTCACCATTAGCGTTGGAAAGACAAACCCATCTGAACGGCAAACACAGCACTCATGCTAACCCTCGAACTCGTCATACGATGGCTTCAGATCCCACCAAAGTGCTCATCCTCCCCTTCCTGCAAAGATGGGAGCAAGCGTCTTCGAAGCTTTCTCTCCGCATTCTGATCATACCCCGCGACCCCTTCATCATTCCCTTCGTTGAGGAAAACCCCAATTCCACAGCATTCTTCCCAAACGTCCAGTTCACCTTCAACATACGACTTCTCCCCAGCCTACAACAGCTGCCAACGCCGCAATCAGGAGAGACTGTCCAGACCGTTTCCCTCCCAGTTGACCCTCACTACTTGGAGGTATTCAAGAAGCTGCAAGAAAACTATGGAAGCATCATCGACAAAAGTCCCACTCGCATTGCCCGACCCGCCGGAGCGACCCCTTTACTGGTGAGAAAGCATCTTCCCGTCTCATATCGCGATGCAACCGGATATACGCCGACTGGGAGTGAGTTGTTCACGACGGACGACACATATTCGTGCGCGATGAAGAAATTGCAGCCCAAGGCGTGGGAGAAGTTCAAGGCGCGGCCATTCGCGCCATCCTGGGGAGAGCTGATCGCATCAATACTTCGGATCCCGGACTTTGGAGTGAAGGCGGGGCTTATTCGTGTCTTTGATATTTCTATTCCGGCAGCAAAGGCGGAGAATGGCGGCTATCTCTGGCTTGAACTCGATGGGCATACTTCGACTGTAATCGGTAAGTAAAATTGCGGGATAATACACCGAGGCGTATCGGGGATCTAAAACGCATTCGCGAATTGTGAAGGATTGGGCTAACTGTGTACTGCTTAGGCGTAAACGCCTCCTCGCCTGCGAAGACATATGCAACGCGCATTCCCGCTCTGAATGAGTCGAGAGATCTGTTCAGTCCCGTGCTTTTTCCCGTACAGGGCACAGCACCATCTGTCGAGTACGACAGCATCTCTCGAGAAGCCGGAGATTACTTGGACGGTTGGGTCAAGGCGGTTCATTGCGTGCAACCAACCAATGCACTCGTCACCAGCGAGCAGAAGAACGATTCCAGGCCCGTAAAAGATCTAGGAATACGCCTGGGGTGGGACGACGAGCAGGTCACCATCTGGGCGAACAGACAGATGAATCCGGACCCCGCGAAGCGTGGATACGACGAGTTCCCCTTGGGTGTTCACGGCTACCGGGTCGATGTGAAAGATGCCTCATCCAACTCGTGGTACTCCCTCAGTCGCGCCGAAGGGACCTTCGGCATTGAAGGAGCTGTCATTGGGGACATCACAAGTGAGCTCGGAGTGGATGTCCATCCGTTTAAGACAATGCTGGATGCTAAAGCTGACCCCAACTACTGGCTTCCAATGTACTTTGCAAATTGGGTCCAAACCTCCCTGGTAGGAATGGACCAGGACAGCATGGCTATTCTCGGAAGACAAATGCCCTCGTCAGGTGTGCATCGTGGGGTCGTGGATCCCGCTCTGCAACTCCGCTATGGGAAGTCGTACCAGTTCCGTGTTCGCCTCATGGATCATACAGGAGGAGGGCCTGCTATAGGGTCTACACCCTCAAATCTCGGAGCTAGTCCTAGTGCTGCGATCATTTTCCGTCGATGGATAAAGCCACTCACGCCAACCCTCGTTGGACCCATGCCCTCGCTCAAAGATGAGCATGGAGCCGAGAATATTCCCGAGGTAGCTCTTCTTGAGTTCAAGCGCCCCGCGATGTCGTACCCTGCATGCGTGTTCGCGGGGTTTCCGAACGCCGTTGCAGAACTGAAAAGAAAGGCAGCAGATATCGCAAGGCGTGTTGCGCAAATGCCGCCAGACTCAGCTGATTTCCTGCCAGAGCCCTCGCTTCCCGATCCAGATGTTGACCGGGTGGAAATCACTGTGTTAGTTCAGACAGTTCCGCAGGATCCGCTAGCATCAGATGGTCCATACATGATCCTGTACACCACCACACGCCGCTTCCCTGATGACTTCTCGGCGTCAGTCAAAGTGGCTGTGCAGTTCCAAGACTGCGCCGATATCTGGCACCCACCAGCGGCATGGAAGAGCACGGCGACTGAAGGACCAGTATTGCTCCCAAAGGCACGGACGATCAGGCTGCGCATCAATGCACTCTGCAGAGACGAGCCTAACGTCGAGAACCGGTACTTTGGGGAAGAGGACGTACGTCGGGGCCCGCAGCTTGTCATTCCATTGCGCAAAAACTCGGCATCGGAACAGAATCTCTTTGCACCAAACCCGCCCAGTTACACAATCAATGGCTTTTTCATGCAACCAGATTTGGACATGACGGCCAAGCTCGCGGCCGCGCTCGGCCTTCGCAATAGCAAGGATACAACGCTCCGAGCACGCGCGGGCAGGCGAGTCGTCTTCGCATGCGCGAGCAGTCTGCTTCATGTACTCGGACCTGATCGCGGAAGTCTTTCTTTCGCAACTCAAGCCGACCTAGCGCTCCGCTGGATTGTGGTCATACGGCTTACGCTGAGGCGTGATTGGTCTTGGGATGGGATGCCTTTGGATGGCATACGCGTATCGAGGGGTGGAACTGCCATTCTCTTCTTTGCTCCGACACACAGTGTAACCGAAGACGCCTTAGCTGCTTCACCGGACCGTTCAAGCAGCGACATCGTCATCGTCGATGTAATCGATCCGAACCCTCGTCCAGGCCAGAAACCGACCGAAATTAATCTTCAATACAAGATCGACGCCAATTTCCTCACTACTGCCACTGCCACCAGCGATGCACCCTTGGAGCTTTCAATCCGGCTACCAATCACCACCCCGCCGACCCAGGTCCCGGAGCTGGTCTCTGTGGGGGTTGCCATGAGCCCCTACGAACACGACCCGTCGTACAGCACAACGATGCCGCGGAAGAAGATGCTCTGGGTCGAATTTGCGTCACCGCTAGAGGACGATCAAGACCGGTACTTCTGCCGCGTGCTGAAATATGCTCCGGATCCGTTACTGGTGCCGTCGCAATACGACATCGAGGATAGTCAGGAGCCGGGCATGCCTCTGGATCCCGAAAGCGTTCGACAGATCGTACCGGGCCAGAGCTCAGACTTTGCAGGGCAGGACTCGATGCAGCAACTCATTCCCACGACCTCTCCCCTGCACTGGGTCCTGCCGCTGCCGATCGGGATAGCCGACGACAGCTTGGAGCTGCTTGGATTCTGGACCTATGAGTTGCGCGTCGGTCATTTTAATGACGAAACACACACGAGATGGTGCACTGCGCAGGGTCGATTCGGCGCGCCATTGCGGATAACTGGTGTGCAGCACCCACCGCCAACGTTGACCTGCTCCTTGAGCCGCGACGGAACATTCATAACTATATCGGCCCCATTTGCGAAGGCGGCGCATAACGGCAAGGTCCTAAAAGTGGGCATGCCGAAGACTAAAATATGGTTCCTCTTGTATGCACAGGTCGCGCAGGTTGATGGCGATGGTAAGCGCAATATCCTGCTTGATCGACGCGCGGGATCCAGCGGCGAAGGCGGAGTCGTCCCTTCGACAGCAAGATTCCGGGTTGAGGGTGACCATGAGCAGAATGGGTTGAATGTGCTCCTGGCCACGTACGGGCTGAAACGGGGGACGCCGTTGAGTATAATGGCGGTCGAATTGTTTGGCCAGCGAGATCGCGTTTGGGACCCGCTTGGCGGGGATCTTGGGCGGCAGAGAATATTGCGTACAAGCTGTCTCGTAGCAGTACCTAGCTTATGCGCCTGAGTAGTTTCTAAGATATAGATATAAAGTAAGTAATCTACTTAATATACTCTATACGTTCTTCCCTTTAGGCCCACAAGTACGGCGCTAGGGGCATTTCTACTTGTTCACTCAGCCTACTCAGGATATGCCTTGACAATTTTATCAGTATTCTCAGGGAGACTGCAGGCTAGAGGCGAAGCTTGCAGGCTACTTTTAAAGGTCAAGACCTGCCTGACCTCTCACACAGTAAGCTATATCGTCTTCAAAGAGTACCTGGATGATCTGAGAAAGAGATGGGAAGTAGCTCTGAAATCGCTGCGATCGTGCGTCCCGTAAACTCATACTGGCCCTCTCCCAGTCGGTTGATTCTAAAAACAGGCAAGGAGGAAGAAAAATCGAGGACACCACTCGCAAGCAATCGACTCACCCGTCTACCATGCGCGGCACGAGTCTATGCAGAGGGCGGGCCCTACGAGCTGCACCTACGCGTCAAGTTGAATCCACGCTCTGGGGGTAGTAAACGAGAATATGCTTCCCATAATTAAGCGAGGCATGTCTTAGATAGACAACGGTCGTTCTTTCAACCAGGCCGGGGTTCACTGCCAACGCCAACGCGCTTCGCGTCCAGCCTTGGTTGCTACCAATAACGTCGTCAGCTATTGCGAGTGGATACGGAGCAGCGCCGAGCCAATTGGGAGCTGTCGGCGGTCTGCACCCTGACCAACCACCCAACTTGCCCGCGCACGCCGCAGAGACGACGCCGCATCCCTCCGCTGCTTCCTCCGCTTCATCCTCCCCTTCATCCTCCATGGAGACGCCTCCTACGACGGTTGCTACGCCTGCTGCCTCTGTTTCCCCAGACGCCCACGCACCGCTGAAGCGCAAACGCGACGATAGCACCCAAACGTCTGCTAACGACGTGTATACGCCGCCTTCGAAGCAGCCGCGGACGGAGACGTGCGGCTGGTGCCACAGAGACTTTTCTGCCAGTCCGCTGCGCTCTTCCAGCGACCCGATTGCCCTCGCGCCGCAGCTAGACGCCCACGACGAGACCGGCGACAGCGAGGACGTCAACGACGACATGCGCTCCACCAGTGTCAAGCGCAAAGCATCCAGGAGTTCTCTCGCCGCAAGCGACACCGAATCCAAAGCTTCCTCGTCCGCAACCGCCGCGCATTACCGCACCAACGTCCTCACGAGAGCACGATGCTATGTGAGCTTCCGACGCATCCCCGAGCCGCTGCGTAGCTACATCGACGCTATCACAACACCTGCTCTTTCTCAGGAGCGGAAGACGCAGCTGGATGTCATTGCCGCGAAAGCCGTCGACGAATACATTGATGCTCTGGAAGCCTCAGCACCAGGCGAGGATGACTGCATTGCACCTTTGCAGGGTGCACTGAAGGCGATGGACCAGCATCGTCGTCTTCACTTGCCGACCAAGGACGACTGGAAGCCAGAGCTCAAGCCTGAGGTCCGGAAACCGCGGCTCAGCTTTGCGCCGGAAGCAGCCCCAGCGTTGCCGTCGAAACGCCACCAGCCGGCCACATCGCTGCCACTGGAGGATTCCACTGAATTGCCCGTTCCCTCATTGATTTCGGATATACCCGGGTCGTCTGAAAGCGACTCCATTTTCATGCCGCCGCCCCCGCCCCGCCGTCCGGCGTCTCCAGTCAAGGACAGTGACGTCAAGACCCCGCGTCCAGACATCACCGTTGGTTTGACCCGGGCTTTCGTCCATCAAAAGCTTGTCGATGCTCATATCCCTGGCATAGAAGATTGCACCGCAGCTGGCGAGTGGCTTGATGACCTCGGGACCTACGAGGGGCTCTGCTCCATGCCGACGGTGCGGGTTCACAACTTTCGCTTTCCGTTCCTCGTTCTTGAGGGCAAGTCGTACGCCACCGGTGGCGCAAGCGTCTACAACGCGCAGAACCAGGCCGTGGTTTCTGGAGCCTGTGGCCTCAAGATACTCCATCACTTGGAAACGCTGGCTCCCTCTCCAGATCCTCCTGCAGCCTCTGAACTCCCGCGCAGCGAGGTTCCTCCAACTCAGCCAGGACAACCTGACGAAGAAAGCGGTGCCTGCTCGGACGATGCGGCACAACCACTACCAGCCACCACTCCGCTCGTCTTCTCCATATGTACCCAAGGGCCCTCGTTAGAGCTCTGGGCACACTACACGACCGTCGTCGACAACGTCCGCACCTATAACATGTCTATCATAACAACAGGCTATGGGACACTGCCAAAACAGCTAGCACCATTCTTGGAGGCTTTAGAGGGTGTTATGCGTTGGGCCGCGACCGATTACATTGATCGAATCGTCTCCCGCATCGGATCTTATGCACGAGCAAGAGCATCAGAGCCAGAAGTTGCGTAAGGGGAATGTTTGATGTTGGTGGTTTTGCGGGTACGCTTCATGCCCGCCTCGCAACGTTGTCCCGCGGTCGGCCCTATCCCCTGAATCATTTTCACTCTCCAGCGCTATGAAGAGATTAGCTCATTCTTCATCATGCAGCGTATCTATTCTTCTCCTGGCGACTTTCGCACCTGAATCCTCCGCTTATATGCGTGTAATGCCCTCTTGACCGTCCGTGCTATGGATGATATATCAGCTATGGCTTGCCCCTTGTTCGAAATTCCCATGCATCACCACACCTGCTCGTGAAATGCTCCTCCTCTCATCTGCACGTGACCTCGTCACTCAGGTTTGTTTGAGCCAACACTGAGCTTGGGCTACCGGCGCCAGGCACAACGGCAGAGTAATGCTAGGAGAACGTGCATGCTCAAGAACAGTCTGGCGATGCGCTCGCAATCCGTCCTCCGTAATGTCCTGCTCAAGTCCCCCCGCTCTTCCTCCCCCCATGACGTGATACCTCTTCTGAATTCTCGTATCCTCCGTCCTACCGCACCCGCATATATATTCGCGCCATGCTATCCGTAAATACGGAAGCCCGCCTCTGCCGCTCCTGCAGGCTTCTCCTTGCCTTTGACTGACTAGCTGTGACAAGTTACAATGCGCTCTGCATTGAATACCGTCCCCAGCGGTCTTGTAGTTCGTTGGTGTAGTGCAAGGTTGCGATAAGAGCGTCTCCTGGACTGGTTTGATGATTAGATTTGTGGCACGGATGGATAAACCAGTGTGGTGAGACAAGGCAAGTAAGTCTATGGTGCGAAGCAGAGCTGGCCTGTTTGTGTGGAATATTAGCAGGCTCCAGTAGCGCGCGTATTGTCTGCAGCTAGAGTCGGCTCAGTCTTACAAACCATCTCGCGGGTAGAAAGATACTTACTACCAATCATGCCACTGACAGCTTTCTGCAAACGGGGGATGGGCGAAGAGCCTTTACACTGATCGTTATTGAGTACAATACTATTTAGTAATCCTCTAAGCGAAAGATCGAGTCTGAAGCGCTGTGTGGCACGCTGTGAGCAGGCCAAAGTCTCAGGCCGCTCACAATGTCATATATTTGCGGTACGCCGAAAGGCCGGCGGCGTACTTTAATCATTCGCGATCACGTAGAATGCGGGAGTAAAATACGGGTAGAGAGCCTCATTGATGAGTCACTGGAAATTCTCGTGATTATTGTTTCGCTGCGAATAATGGTCGAGCTGTTCGAATATTTTCTTATTAAGGCAATGCGATAGGTCCCTTTTCCTCACGCGAAATTCTCGTTAGACGCCTTCTCCCTCTTCCCCGTAGCCGCTCCTCGACAAGAGCAGAACAAAATGAACGCGGAAAGCATGGCTGAGTGCGTTGCACTAGCTCTACTGTAGGCCTGACTAGCTCGAGAATGTTTGGAGGCCAGCAAGAACTCATGATGCTTTTGAGAGATTCCGCGGAGGCCCACGAGCGCTTGCCATTGATCTCTCAACAATTCTGCGGCCGGGTTAAAGAAAGGTAGAAGATATAGGTTGGACAAATCTTGAACAAGTTCCTGCTGCAGCGTGTCCAGGGCCTCGACGCCGAGTGCGAGCATACTGCGCGTTGTCACGCCTATGTTTAGGGCCCCAGTCATCTCCGCGCCATGTGCAGCTATAGAGCTGCTGCAATTGCCGTTCTCCTGATGCTGGATATGGCGGGTGTGGAGGGGCATCGGATGGCGCTGCAACTACGGCCAGCATCATCCTTACCTAAGCTGAGGAGATATTGAGTCAGCTTCGAGCGGAGAGACTGCGGGAGAATGACCTTAGAATTCAGTGGCGAACGTGATAGTACTTTATTTAAGGATGTTGGTTAGGATAAGACGAGGGAGCACCGAGCTTTGGGAGTGTCCATTTGACAAGATGGGTTGGATCTCCAGAGGGTACTTATCCGGAATGCAAGACTTCGAAAAAAAATCTTCGCGGAAAGCTGGCTGGGACCTTCTTTATCCTAAAAGACGATCGTGGTTTCGTGGCTGCGTGCGATGGGAAAAGACGTATCGTGCGTTGAGCAGCGCTAACCTACTCTGGAAATCTCCGACGAGGCGAGAACCTCCTCACTTTCTTCCAAGGCTACTGATGTCCTTTTAATCAAGACGAACGGCGATAACACAAGTCCATTTAGCACAATACAGGAGTGGGCAGTAAAGTGGACCGCTGCACATTTCCTGCCAACGGCCAGACTTAGAGGAATGTCTCACCTAGTGCACGATCGTTCCTTATCGCGCGACGGATTCTCGTACCTCTCAAGCTACGGACAATGAAATCTCCTTGTGCGGAAGAAGCCATAATTGGAAATCAAGGAATGGTTGAGCCTCCGTCCCCCGCAGCAGTATCTGCAGCGCATCGTGGCCCAAAATTACACTGAATTCTGAAGCCTCTGCTAAACCTCGTCAGAATACCGCCTGTTGGTCCGATGCACCCTTGGCGTCGTGTCTCGCGCGTCTCCGAACCTTTTGTTCTTTGACCCAAGCATGTGGCACAAGGCCTTGCCACATGCACCGACCCCCTCCCTGCGCAGCCCAGCCCTGTCTTATGGTAATCGCTCGCTTCGACCACGCTGTGCATGCGGATACGCATCAACTAGCATTTTCGACAAGTATGCGCCGCATTTCTCAGCATGCTGTTCACCACAGCCCTGCCTCACCGTTTCTGTTTCGGCCCGGCAGTTTTGGCACGGTACGTCACGCCAGCCCGATGTAATCTGCCTTCGCGCTTCTTCTGTCGCTGTAGTCGTGCCGGTCCCGGGCTCTGGCGCTGGAGTACTCTTCTCTTTGTTCACGTCAGAAACGCGAAGCGTGGTCGGAGACCTTGGTGAGAACAAAGAACAGCTCTTCTCTCTCGCCGTCTTTTCTTTACAGTCCACTCCACCCCTCCTCACTCGTCCACTTTCCCATCCACTCTCTCCCATCTACACAGCCGCCTTTCCCGTCCGCGGTTATCGCAATCATCATCTTCGTCCGCACTCCCAATGTCGTCGACGAGGGCCTTTCGAGCTCCGGGTACGAAGCGTCGTATCTCTGAGGAGGATGCTCACACTTACACCTACCCCCCGGTACGAAAACCTCGCAGATATCCGATACTGTCAGCGGAGGAGGAGGAGGAGGAGGAGGAGGAGGAGGAGGAGGAATCGTCGGAGTCGTCGGAGTCAAGTAGAACGGCTCATTTCATACCGCCAACTTCGAAACAAACGAACCGAACTGGCTCGGCATTCCCGATGCTCCCATGGCTTCTCAATGCCCTACAACACCCTGCTGTGCCGTGGATACTCGAAGGGGCTGTGAATTACGGCCCGGGTGAAGCGCTTGCGCTTGGTCTTTTCATTGCAGTATTCCTGCTCCGCAAGGTCGTCATCGCTGCTCTTTACGCTGCTCGGACGGTGTACGCCTGGATTTTACAACAACGTGGCGCTCCGCAACACCTCGGCGGCCGACGAGCAAATCCCCTGGTATCGAACGTATCCCGTGAAGCGGATACCCTCCAGCGGAAGCAGGAGAAGCGAGGGAGTCTTGCAAGCAGAAGGAGGGTGGAGCTGAAGGTGGACAAGGTTGTCAAGGTGGTTCTACCCGTTGTGATCGCATTAACCGTAGGCGTATTGTACTGTGGCGCCAATCTATACGCCTACGCGTCCGCTCCAGTACCCCAAGCATTCGGTAAGTCCTCATTTTCCTTCCATCCCTCAGTCCTCCAGTTTGCCATGTGAATCTTACCGCTAATGCATGAGTCCAGCCTCATTCAATGCGAAATGCTTCCCGCACCACTTGTCGGTGTCTTCGTCTTCGAACGCCACGTCCATGTCGAATCTCCACCGCATCCTCGGCCTCCCGCCGCCGCTCTTCCCCTCCTTCCTCGCCCCGCAACCTGTCATCAAAAAACAACGGTCCCTTCTCGCGAAATGCTGGCACCCCGATAAACATCGTATCCACCCGGGAATCAAGACAAGGGAAGAAATGGAGAGGATTTGGGCAGTCTATCGTGCGGCCATGGACGCATATCCTGCCAACGCGACCACGGTCGGAGTCGGCGATGCCTCCTATCTTGAGAACGACGTTGATACTCCGGAAATAGCTGGGGACCGAGACAGCGCGATGGAAAAGGAGTGCCAGAACTCTCTTTTCTCCATCCTTTTCCGCCCGCAATTTTTCTTGCACGCAGACGCAATGGACGAGTGTGGCCCCCGATTGCCTGTCCGCACTCTTCTCCACCAGCTCCGCCTCCGCTACACCACCATGATTCCTCCTTACAAACACCCGCTCTGGGACGACAGCTCACTCGCGCACTCGCTCAACCCAGCCTTTCAAGTGCTGCGCTTCGTCATGCGTGGTCTAGATGCAGGGACAGACGGCGTCCGGATGTGGATATGCGATTTGCCCGGAGACACCATTCTCACGTGGATGAAGAAGGGATGGGCCGACTGGAGTGACCTCGAGGGCTGGTGTGTCAGTATGTGGGAGCGCCACCCAAACGACATCGATCCAGCAAAGGAGAGGCTAGTGCAAGTGCACTTGGCTGAGCAGGAGTACAAGCGGCGGGTGCACGATTACAAGTTGTGCATGGCAAAGGAAGAGTATTGGGGTTTCATAGGTGACTGTTGGGGGGAGCCCGAAGAGCCAGATTTGGCCATATGAGGGGCTTTCAGCATGGCTGCTGTGTTTCGCCGAGTTACTCGTTGGCTCTGATTGGTTCGAATAACTTTCGGTGCGAATTTTTTTTTATGTTCCGGCGTTATTTCGGCCGTGCCTAGACATTTGCCCTGCGTATTTCTTAGAATACTTAAAACACGTAAGTAACGCCTTTGCTTCTTTATACGTTGCTCCCCGCCCATGGATAATCGGGCAGGTCTACCGGAAGGCTTCTGGTTACCACACAGGACGACGACTGTCCCACCTCACTGCAGCCTGAGCGCGTGATGTCGTCCCTTTCACAGCGTCGCCGCCACTTGCTGGCCCAACTTTGAGCACGTGCGCAGGCAAAAGCTCGCCCTTGTCTCAGCTCAGGTCTTGCTTCTGCCGCTGATAGTTGAAGCCAGCCTTCTTATTTTCGAATACGAATCTAAGCAGCCCCTCGGAATGGGGCATCGCTCAATCTCTCTTTTTGGCCTCTCCCCACAGTCCTAGTGACGAACGGCCGGAGGAGCGGCTACAACGTCGTCATGGCCCATCGCGCCCGCAGCATGTCCATCTCGGGTTGGACAGACGGCAGCTATGGTTCCCTTGCGCCGGTCTATCGGGTGAACCGCTTCCAGCGCACGTCATCACGGCTTGCTGGAATCACTGCAAATGGCAGTGTCCTGGGGAAGCGGTCTCGCAATCCGGACCAACTGTCCAACGCCCCTAAGCGTCGCGGTGCCCAATCCTGGTCAACGTCTCGAAGCCTTATCGATGCTTTGGGGCCATTCTCAGATGAAGACGCGGTCCCAGCACGGATCGAAACTGTCGATGAAGGTGACGAAGCCGTTCTCGCCACGCTCGAGCAGCCAGATTCGTCTGGCGTTTTTGTCGCTGATGAGAGCGCCCCAACCTCTTTGTCCAGAACGACGTCTCCCTCCCAGCGGTCGGCCGCCGGCCCTCCCGGCCATGCCTACTATACACCCATCGTAGTCGCCAACGAAGACGAGGACGAGGACGAGGATGAGGACGAGTACGAGCATGGGGAAGAGTACGAGCATGGGGAAGAGTACGAGCATGGGGACGAGTACCAACCGCGGTCCCCTCCGGCATATGGGGACTTGGGAGAGGTTGAGGAGGCACACGAACCATACTGGGGCAGCTCATATGTCAAGATTACGAACAAAGACGAGAACACGAGATCGTCCGCGTCGGTCATCTCCCGTGTGAGTCCCCACGGCCTCCAGAGTCCGCCGGAGACGCCGAAACGCCCTATCCCATCACCAATCCAATCGCAGGAGAGCGTCGCGGATCCTGCTCTCGCAAAGGAGTACCATGCCGAGGAACCCGTCGATGATTCTGGAGGAGCAGACAACAATGTTCCAGGCATCGCCGAAACTATGGATGAGGTTTTTGCGCTGCTCCAGTCCATTAGCCCAAACGTACACCCACCGCATTACCGATACCTAAATGAAAGGCTGACACGATGCAGGACATTCGCAACGCGCCGAGCTACCGTGAAGCCTACGAGGGCGGACTCCGGAAACGCGCCCGAATCGTGAAGAATCTCGACGCACTCCGACAGTGGCTTGAGGAGGAGGGGCCTGAGGAAGGGCTTGAGAAAGAAGCTCAGGATGTTGTTCCTCCTAGTAAGCCCAAAGGTTCGCGCCGGCGTACCGGTGGCGGTCACGCGAGGAAGAAGGCAAAGAGCGAATACTTTTGGGACCACTTCTTGCAGATGAAGAGCATCGGGGAACTCCCCAAACTCAACAGCTTCACGCGGAAGCTTATCAACAAGCCCTCGCTACAGATGCTCTTCGCCGACATCCCGCTCCTCAGCGACACAGCAGCTGCGCCGACCGGCACAAGCGCCGACATGCGCAACGCGCTCCGTTTCAACGCCGCGGTCAACCTCATGCTCTCTGTCAATGAGCGCAATACGCAGAACAGCCTCCTCCTGGTTCTGCTACATCTGTTCTTTTTCCTGACTGCGCATCCCAACTGGGCAGAGCAGAGGTCGAGTCGAAAGCGCATGCCGCGCCTCAACGAGCGCAAGTGCGAGGACCTGTACGATACCTACCTCGGCCTCGTAGACCACATGTCCGTGTCTGTTTTGCCGCGTCACAAGTTCCTGGGCCAGATCAGCAAGTGGATTAAGCTTGGGTCCAGGTACGCATTCCTCGCGAGCCATCTCTCGCTCGGTTGCCTTGTGCTGCTGCAGCATCTCCTTACGCCGGCCGCCATGCAGGGCTGCACCAAGGGCAACGAGTATGGTGCAGTACAGGGCGTGCCAGTGAGCGAGTATGCACTGCAGCACCTGCGAGAGATTGGCCTCGTCCAGAAGGCAGAGCGCGCGGATTCCATGATGCATGCGCTTCTATGGGAGATGATGGGCCAGTTCCAGGGCATGGCGGCACCGACGCAGGCTGCCAGATTCCCTGGCTTTGACTGACCTGATAGGTCATATCCGTCATCCCTCAATCCTCTCTCCGTTAACGTTCCATCGTCTCTCTCTCTCTCTCAGTCCCTCCGACTGGCTTGTTCTACATCGCTCCGTGCGAAACACACAGTCTTGCCGACTCCTAGCTTTACGACCTATCAAGGATAACGACGGATTCCGCATTATTGACCAACTTACGATTTTATGTTCTATGCACACGCCTTCTTACACTCACGACTACAATTACACTCAACGCTTACAAAGACTAAATAGTTTGTTTCGTAGCAATTATATGAGTAATTACTCAAAGTATACTACAATCTTATATTTGCAGTTAATAGTTCTATTATTATCTTCTTTAACTCTATACTGCTGCGCTAAGGTAGCATAGTACTTTACTATTAATCTTAATCACAACCTAGCAGGGGAAGCTATCCGCACGCCGAATACCGTGGCTTGACCTGGGTTGAGCAATTGAAATTCCGCGCTCTCCTTCCAAATACCCACTCTTCCGCATCCACGCTCTCCACTACTATCCTGGCCTCTTACCAACAGTGCAGCCCATTTGTCACTCCCGCTGGCCTTTCTCGTCCAAAAGCCCGTGTGGGTTGCGGGTCATGCAGCTTGGTCCTCCGCGGCAGAGCGTGAGAACGGGATCGATAGGCGCCGTCATTGTCACGCATGTGACCATGATGAACTGCCTGGCCACAGCCAGACAGCAGACAACCGCCACTCGAACGAGCTAACGAGCTGACTATGGCGAGGTGTCTTTGACTTCCCCTCCGTTGCATGAAAATGCGGGCGGAGGAGCCTTGCTTGGCCACTCCTACACTGGAGCGGGAGGCGACGGCAACGACGACTACGACGAGAAGGCAGAAGGGCGTGGTTGAGGAAGATGCCAGCTCGCTGCCTCCAAGGTAGCCATGAGCTCGCCGGTCGTCGTGGCACTGGCCACATCGGGTGAGCCCGATGTCTTCCGCAACCATCGGTTGACGCTGCAGTGGATCGCAGAACGCATCTTCTGTGGGCCTAGAAGGCTCTCTTGTGGCGCGTCATCCGCGGCGAACTCTCCTAAATATTATGCCACACCGCCGCGGCGGGTAGGAGTCCGATCTCCCTGCTACCGGCGTTTCGTTTTTTCCGGGCCACACGCTAACTATTGTCGCTGTGCCGCTTGTTGTGCTCGAATAGGATCTCGCACGGAGACGTGAAGCGCCGCGCCGCGTCCAATGCGCCAGCGCGATAATATCTTGATGGGCGCGACTCACCCATAGGCCTTCTTAACCCATCAACAAGTTGAACCTTGGAATGACTAGCAGGACCGGTTGGGTGCGAGTTCATGTTTGCGAAGCTTCACCACGAGGTAGTCGTCCTGATATTCCGCTTTGTGGGGATTCCGTCTGAGTAAAGGATTGATAAGTAGAGGGATCTATAAGGAAGAGCCTGGGCTTGGGTTCGACATCGCCGTAGTTCTCTTTGTCGTTGCGTGACTGCGTGCTCTTATCGTCATTCCCGCTTGCACCGTATTCGGTCGAGGCTGTGCCTGCTGGAATTAAAACGAATAGTGAGGTCTTAGTACCGAATGCTGCAACCCTCCAAATGCTTCTCTCCATATCTTCTTTGACCTTCTTGGATAACCACGGGCCCGGCGATGGCGAAGGAACGCATTCCGGGGATTGGGGGACGTCCATGATTTATGGAGGCTACCGCCCACAGACGACCGTTCGTTTTGAATTCCAGGAAGGTTCACTTTGGTCTGCAAGGATACAAAGAGCGTATCTTTGCGAGACGAATGGCCGTTGTGCGGGCTCAGATGCAACGTCTCGGATCATTGGCCCGACGTGGGCGCCGTCTGGAAGTTCGAGACCCTGCTTTCTGGTATCTATGGGCGTGGATACCGAAAAAGCTGAACCCTCGTGGGATCAGCAACTAACGGAGGCTGCTGCTGACGGCTGAGGAAGTATCACTGTTGTACCAAGACCTGAGCTCTAATGTCAGGCTAATTTGGTAGGTGAGCTTGGATCCAATCCACCCCAAGTGCGTACGCAAGAAGTGCGCGAGGTGATAGTACGCTAGAACTGAGCTCCATTCCGCTCGGAACCCGGAGACTATAGGTCAGGGCTGGCTTTCGATGATCCTGCCGAGAACGGAGGGTGTGAGTCCAGCTTATACCTCTTGCGATGGGTGGATCGCCAGTACGCCTGAAAAGTGCGTGAGATATTCGTGGCCAAAGAGCTTGGGGAATGAAATAAGGTATGGAGGAAGTATAGGCGAAAGGCGCCTGGATGAAGCACTAGTCCGGTGCTGAGAGTGATCTGTTTCATGTCTTTGTGAAGCGCCAAGCTACTGTTGAAGTGATATGGCGTGTTCGTACTCGGGCCTCTTCCGCGATATGTTCTCTACCCTTTAGCCGTACGCGGTGAGAAATGAAGCGCTCCTTGCGACGAAAGCCATCCGAGTATCCTCTTGTGATCCTGGTCTAAATCCCCCGATCGATGCCAGCCTTACGAGCCAGGCTTCAGCCGAGACGGAGAGCACGACTCTCCCATTAGCCCCCAGCTCGTTCGCGCTGATGTTCTTGACTACGCGCGTGAGCACGTCCACGTTAATGTCCGCGGTAACGATTAACCTCTCAACTCCCCTCCCCATCCTGAAGCCGACGTCATATGGAACGCCCCCGAAGGCTGCTGGACGGTGTGCTCTTCGACTACATGTGCCGACTTAACTGTATAAGGTGCGAAAATTCGCGAGCGCATCCACCAGAGACAGATGTTGTTGGTGTATGGTTGGAAGAGGAGCATTCTTGAAGGGAACCTCCTTTACGCTGTTAAGCTTCTGGACCCCCTCCGCAACGGCTTGCTTCTATACTTTAGCACGTTCTATAAGCTTTCGGTATTGTGCTCTTAATGAACTGTTTCTGTGGGGGACCTGAGCTTAATGATGTGCGCAGCCATTGGCAGACTGAGATAATCTTTGCGTTTTCTGTTACGAAGCCGATCTCCGAATGCTTGTCTATTCTTTAGCAATCCGCCACGAAGCTTATAGCACGTCTCCCTGCCCCAATCAGCTCCTCCTGCCCTGCTCTTGCCTACATGCGTGATCTACCTGCGCGATATAGTTCTTAGCTGCCCATAAATGCTCACCTACTATAGAAGGGGTTGAGCTGGCTGAATGTACCGAATTCCACTAATCCGAGCCTCGGGTGGCTCACCTGCAAATCGAGGCCATTTATCATGCGCTGTGTATGCTCGTCAAAGTAATCCAACGGAGTACGGAACCCGCCCTCTCCTAAGTGTCCGGACCCATCTGGCTGCCCTCTGATTCTTACGTGGCTGGATCGAGCTCAGGCTGCCAGGGTTTCCTCGGTGCAGCCCCAAACCCGCCATAACACAACCCGGTCGAGAGTTTGCGGTATTGACAACGTCGTCGGTGGGCGGAGAAGGCGGAGGGCCGGTTGGAGGATCGCGAAAAGCTGGGGAAGACGGCGGGCGTGTTGAGGGCAGATATTTGGCTTGCACTTCAGTAACGGAGGGAGCAATGCGGCCGGCGTATAGCTACTGGGGAGCCGTTGAGGAGGGAGGCTGGGCGGCATGATGGACATGGGAGTACTCGGTCAAGTTTAAGCATCTCGATGAGCGGTCAGCGCATTGCGCGCTCTAGAATTGTACGAAGTATTGTTAATGGGACGCGAAACCAATCAGATGCGAAAGAGGATAAGAGACGGGTGACGAAGTCGCGCGAAATGATGATGTGCAGTAGTTGCTTGGGCCGGCCCGGGCCGCGAAATCCTCCGGCAGATCTCGACGCTGATAGCGGCCAGCCGGGAATCCGGTAAGCCACCTCACTATACTCGGCAAACATCAGACGATATATTTCTAAGGACAGAACACCGGTCTTTATTCATTGCCGTATTGTTTAATGCTTTAGACCGCCTAGTTGTTAGCCGTCGGTCATGAGTTTTTTTCATCAGGATCCCCGCCAACCCGGCACCGCCAACGCTAGCCTTCCCTGCCAAACGACTACACATCACCGCCCTCAGCTTTTATCCACCCGACCACCTTCTCGGCTCGTCCGATTGTGACTCGAATTTAAGTGCAGCTCTTGCAGGTACTACCCACTTTTTTTTCCGGAAGCCTCAAGTGTACAAGACATGACCTCGTGCATCCTCTGGCCGACGAAGCTCACCTTTCCTCGCCTGCGTGTCACTGCGAACTCGGCCTCCACCATGTCGCGGATGAAAACACCTACAGATTAATCGAAACATTTTTCTTCGCGCTCCACCCGTCCTTCTTCGTGGGACAATGGATGGAATTAGATGGGTGCCGGTCCTTCGGTGTCCCGGAGCTTTCGGAAAGCCGCAGCATTGCATGGGCAAGGACGGAATAAAGGGTGCGATATGGCTATGCATGAACTGTATGCAATGAACTTCGGATTATCAATGGCGGACCGATGCATCACCCGGGCTGGATTATCTCGACTGGATCGATGTGGGCAATTCGGGATTGTGAAGGTGTGGCGCGCTTAGTTATTTCGGGACTTGGGTTGCGCACCCCGTGCTACAAAATGCGCACGCACGCACGGTGACGCACGCTCGGTGACCAGGCCACCCGGATCAGAACACTTTTTGTGTGCCTCGACTAACATTCCTCCCATCATTTCGGCGACCTTACCGTCCACTTCTTATTGGGCAATGCTTCCATGCGAAGCGCCGCGCGATCCCGCACCCAAGCCGACGGCATTCGAACAGCCCTTCAGCTTCCGCATCTTTGCGTACTGCAGACACGCCGCAAAACCCTCCGAACTCGCGAGCCGATACCCCTCGGATATCCCCACTGCCCACCGCACCCTTCATGAATCGCAAGCGCGCACGATCCGAGGACGATACCGACGACTCTCTGCGTGCCCGCAAGAAGCGGAAGCCGGCGTCCCTTCCCTCTCCGCCTCGAGAACCCCAACTCCCCCTCACCCAAGAGAATCTCCACCATTGGGAGCGGCTTTCAGCTCAGGCCGACACCCCTCCCGCACGAATGGCGACCTCGTCTACCACCGGCAGCGGCAGCGGCAGCGGAAAGGACAAGGACAAGCCGTACGATGATGACACCCGCCTGCCAATGTACAACATTATCGTTCCGTCGAACGCTCCCATTCCGACGCTGCTCCAGCATCACATTGACCACGTCGTCAACGCCCCGCGAGCGTCCTCTTCCCCGGCGGCGAAGAATATCCGACGCGATCAGCCGAGGGCAGAGGCTGCGACGAACGAACACACGGCTATAGATATTCTGAAGGACAATGTCCTGTTCAAAGCAGAAGCGGCTGGCGGCGAGCGATACGTGGACCAAGCACGGAACATCAACTTGCTTCGGAGGCACTTGCCGTCAGCGCCCTCGGACTTCGTTGAACAAATATACGGCGCGCTTACACAACCTCAGCCTAACACTGCCGTGGGTTACATCACCGAGAGAGCTGCACGCGGTGCGAGTGTGCACGCACCCTTCAGCATTCAAGAGGAGGCAGTTCTCAACGTTCACGCTGTTTGCGAGGGCCTCCACTTTCCCTTCCTGACATGTCAATGGAAAAGCGCCAAAAGCTCACAAGGCCATTGGCATGCTGAGCGGCAAGGTGCTCGAGACGGCGCCACCCTCGTGAATGCTATCCACAAATATCTGACCTGTGCTGGCAAGGATCCCACCGTCGTCGAGACTTGCCACTGGTCTTTGACCTGTGACATCTCTTCCATCAATCTTTTTGTACATTGGCGGGCCGAAGAGAACGGGATTGCAAAATTCCATAGCAAGAAAGTGGAGCAGGAGTTTTTGCACGACTTGAAGGATCCGGAGAATCCCGCCATTGTCAGGATGCGACGTCTGCTACGCAATATTCTCAACTACAGCCTCGGCACACGGCTCACCATGATTCGAGACGCTATTCCAGCCATTCAAGCTTCGATAATGCTCGACAAGGACACCGCTAAGGATCTCAAGCGCCGCTCATCCAACCGGAAGGCCAGATCATTGCCCTCCATTCCCCCTCAGTCAGACCATGGCTATGGTGGCAGTCCCAATCCTTTCAATCCTGAACCGCTCGGTTTGGACTCGCCTAATGCTTCTCCGCCGCCAAAGCGCCTCAAGTAAGCGCCTTGCAGAATCAGCTTTGGATCGGGTCAGCTTTGGATCAGGATACAACCAGGGAGTTTAGAGTTTTAGATGATCGGCTGCTGACAGCTTTCGGTATGGATCATGGGTAATGCACACAGGCTGTAGCCTGCAGCGGAGAGGCTCCATATCGGGGTTACTGAAAGGGGTGGTGCTTGGTCATGTTCTCTTGTGGTTTTCTGGGTTTCTGTCCGGCTTTCTGCATCTCGATACCCCTGCATGCAATATCAATTGAATCATCCTAGCTACATGAACCCAATGGTGGCCGCGATTCATATGACGTGCTCGATGGATCTGCCGTTGGGGAACAGAATTCCGAGGCTGGGTGCTCCTGCATGAGCTGCATTCCTCGGCTTGGGGTGAAGAAATATGTGGAAGGAAATAGCTATTCAAGAGATGCAGAACAACCTCCCTAACATCGAGAAAGTCGTATGCGCTGTGCTGGATCTCAGTCCGCTCATGTCGGCGCCGAAAGAGATGAGGTGATTAGTATGTACTGTACATGAATGTCGAAAAGCCGGAGGTGTTTCGAAGAAGCCAGAGGTACTTAGAAGAAGCCGGAACGAGCTGGACCGGGACGCTTTATAGCAAGCGCATCATGTGGCGCACCCCGAGTCGCCTACGTTCTCGATCTCGGCACTCTCGGACTGGACGACGCTTCGGCGGAAGAGTAAGCAGTTGGCGCTCTCTTGTATTTAGTCCCTTATCTTCATCCCACACACTTGCTCGCTAGACCGCTAAGCGTTAATACGAAAACGGATGCGTAGGCTGTTCGTGCGATGCGAGCTCGCGCGCACAGGTGTAGAGGTGTACTAGGAGATAGATTGAAAATTAGCTAGCAAAAGCGGGTCGCGTGAAGGTGTTGGCGATTTTGCTTAGTCGTTCGAGGAAAGCGCTGGAAGGCTTGATGAGGAGCAGGCGGATGGGTGAGGGTCGTGGAGAACGCGCTCTCACGTGCACACGTTCTCGCTGCCGATTCGGAAGGCTTCGCCCCAACTTCAGAATTGGTGTAGCTTACTCTGTCAAGCCGGCGCCCGAGATTCACAGTGTAAAAATCGAGAAAGCCGCAGGTCTAAGATACACGCCCAAACGTTGTGAATGGTATGACTGCTGATTGACGTCCACTTGTGGATGACGCCTCGGCCCATTGTTTCGCCGCGCCGCCCGGCAGCTTCGCGGAATTCCAGTCGAGGCCATCCATCCCCAGTGCACTGGCTGCAAGCCTCGCCGTCAATTCGCATCCGCTTCTGCCGTATTTATTCCTCTACCCTGCTCCCGTCAAGCATCCGCGCTCGCCTCGTACGCTGCCGGCGTCGCCCCAGGCGTCGCACCGAGCAACGGCGCGTCCTCACCAAAACAAAGCCGTCTCCCACCACAACACCTCGCCGAACGCCCATCCCGACCCCCGCAAGCCGCCTTATGGAGAGCTTCACGCGCCCACTCGTTCCTCCAAAGCGCAAGCGGCGCGACCTCGTCTTCGATATTCTCCATGCAGCATCCGTGCAACCGGAGCAGCGAGCTGACGACGTCGCCGCCTGGGCTTCGAAATGGCAGCCAACCCCGCCCCCGCCGCCAAACCACCCCCGCAAACGTCGTCGGGTTCTTCGCGCCATCACGGGAAACAATTGCACAAATACGATGAGCGCGGCTTCGGATGACAAGCGGGATCAGAAAGCCGCCGCCGAGATGGCGGAAGAATCGCGTGGTCGCAGCCTTCGGCCGCGAGACAAGGGAAACGTTCTGGTCCTGGGTCAGAAGACACCAATTCTGCCTTCCATCGAGGCCGTCGCGGCGGATGCGGACCCCGTGAAGAAGAAGAAGAACAAGACGAAGAAGAGGACGAAGACGAAGACGAAGACGAAGACAGAGGCATCGAATATACACAGTGTGGATGGGTTTGACGACACGCAGAAAGGGAAAGGCATTCAGCTCACATCCACCACACAGACCGTGGCCGTCAAATTCGAACCGGGCCCTTTATCCTCCTCATACGATTACCGAAGTCGCAGTCGCAGCCGCAGTCGCTCGTCGTCCCCATCCAAGCGAGCTATCAAGAGCACGGCAGACATGGTACATCTGTCACCTCGCATCGAGGTTGTGGCAAGGAAGAAGGCTGCCGGCTATGGTTACACTCTGGAAGATTCGGTGGCGCGGCTTTGGGATCGGTGCAAGGAGCAACCGTCTATAGACATCTCCAAGATGGAGCACGTTTCCTCGCGAGATCTCCCGTTCGTCGAGCGCACCTTGGATTCTGCCCTTAGTCACGCTGCCGATTGTTTCGATGACAATGTTCACGAGTCGCAATGGATAACGAAGGTCATTGCACCCATTCTCCTCCAGCTAGAACAGACAGCACCTTTCAATTCGCCAAGCAGGGCCCCTGGCAACGATGCCATCCGGCTGCTCGACATGTGGGTTTCTCTAGTCCCCCAATTCGTTTGAACGCTCTGTTGACCCTTCGTGACGCAGCCGAGACACCATCATATCGCCCGATGACCTTGTCCCCGCCTCCACCAAGGAGCTATATAAGGATCTCGACAAGAAGATTGGCCTTGCCCTGGGCCTCTGCCTTGATTATACGACTAAGAAGAAGGTCGACGAGCGCTACACCTCTATCAACCAGACTGAAGCCTGGACCAAGTACGCACCACTCTTCCTCAACATCGAGGTCAAGAAGACCAACAGTCCCGTCGACCCTGTTGTTCAGCTAGGCGCCTGGACTGCCGCTGAGTTTCTCAAACGCGCCGAACATGGCTGGGACATGACCCGGCCTGCTCTTGGGCTTGCGATCGAAGGTCACGCATGGCGCTTGCACGTTGTCGTCGCAAAGGAATTCGATGCAGAGGATGAAGATGGTAACCAGGTGAAAGACTTCAAGCTGGCTTGCATAGGACCAACGACGCTCGGGACAACTGAGGACGAGGAGGGTCTGCAGAAGCTGTTTGCGAATCTGTGCCATATTGTCGGCTGGGCGCGGACCGAGTTTCTGCAGTGGTTTGAGAGGGAAGTTGTTCAGCCGCTCATGTAGCAGCTTATGCTGATTCACAAATTTCGGCACTGTCTCGCCTTCGTCGGCTTCTTCATTCCCCATATACTCCTTAGTGGCATTTCGCTCAGTCCACCTGCCCGAATCCGGAACACTGCCGTTGACCAAGCCCCTACATCCATTATCTACCTTCGCTTCTACCTTTCCTTTTCAGCCCATCTCGAACGAGAAGAGGAAACGAAGGTAATAGACTTGTCCTTCTCGTACCATTGAGTTCTCGATCCCCATTCCTTCTCTCGATTTCCGTTTGCATCTTACTACCAAACCGGCTATCAAGGGACGTCTAAAACAGAGCCGTTCGGTAATACGAGGACGACGAATCCGAGCACGTGGAAGTCTTAAGATGCCTCACCGCATGCGCCGAAACAACCGACGTATTACCGAACGGCTCTGTTTTAGACGTCCCTTTGTCTGGGTGCAACGCCGTCGATGAGGACGTAGTTTGTGCACACAAATAGCCAACCTATCTCCACTCTAGAGCTTAGGACAACCAATACATAGTTCAACGTGAGGCTATCCAAATCGATTCCGCCAAGGCGCCGCCGCAACAAAAGAATAAAAGAATAAAAGAAAGGAAGAAAGAATGCGCATCCAGGGGGCGAACGAGCGGTGTAAGCACACACAGAATAAGATAAAAACGCAGACGCAGACGCAGAAGCAGGCAAAAAGAGCCAGCTAAATAGTAAGCTAGAGAGAGACATCTATTTATCTTATCTTACTCTACCTTATCCGCACAAGTCGACGACAAGAAAACGCGAAATGGACCAGAACGGAACGGATCTGAACGGGGGCGTGGACCTGGGATACGTACGCGAGCGAGAACACATCTGAGGCGGAGAGCTCGTCCAAGACAGGGAGGCTGGTCGGGTTCTGCGACGGGATCGTGTGGTGGATCTGTCCCTTCATCTGACGGTCGTGTTGGCGTCGGCGATGGTGGTCGCGTTCTGGATGCCCTCCGCGCAGCTACTTCGCTAGTAGTACGTACCGCACTAGCACGCTTTTTCATCCCCTTCTGCATGGCAACCCTCTGCTACTCGGGGTTGGAAGACGGCCTACCTAGTACGAGAGCACGGCTCCTCTCTCGAGCAAGGCGTTGAGGTTAATCTATCACGCTCGGGTTTGCAGCCACCCTCTTGTTCTACGAAGTCGAACAGCGTCTTGGGTGTGCCCCCGCATCTATCTAATCGCCATCGCGCTCGTGGCCAGGACGCACTCCTCCCTGCTAGCCCCGCCGTCGTATACGAGCCCGGCCGTGATGTTGTTAACGTTCTTGCGGGAAGATCGAGTATAACGCGATAGCAAGCAAGGTCGATCCTCTTCAACGAGTACGCCCACTTCAGCGCCTTCGAGTAGTTAACTGGGGCGTTAATGTTAGTAATGTTAGAAGCTTGAACCCGGCTACCTCCGAGTACATCTGCAACTACAAGGCGATTCTCTCGCAGTAGAGGTAGTACGTCAACTTGTCCGTGACCACGGCGTTGCGCGGAGACACGTCTGCGATCGCTGAGCGCGCGATGTTAAGGGCGAAGTTGAGTCGAGAGTGGGAAGTCCTCTATAGACGAAATCACGCCCTCGTGCTCGCTTACCTCCGGGCCCGGGTCTACGTACAGTGTCGCTCTCGCTCGTCATTTGGATTCTCCTTCCGCGCTCAGAGATGCTGCTTGTCTTACGCCGTGCCTTGTATGCGCATATATCACGTAGCTGAATTCCGTACTTGTACACGATCGCGAATATGTCCCCAGATGCTAATCCGATAATAACAAGATTGGAGTGTCTCTGGCCCCCTTTTATAACCCAAGCACTTATGGTACTTCCCGATTATATATAGTACATTCCGATTACTTATGCTACATAACCCAAGCACTTATCCAAACCTGAACATTAACCTGTACACGATGAAGGACAGGCTCGACAACAGGCTCATGAGCAAGCTGATGGATTCGGGCTGGGTTGTTATCGCGAGCTGGATCAACAACCCGAAGAGAATAACGTTGGAGTTTGAGCACATGACCGTGTCCCAACTAATAATCCCGTACGGCTTCGCCACCGGCGACGAGACTAGGTACAGCGACGCGGCTATACTTAACAACATCAACGTCGAGGACATTCACATCTCCACAATTAGGATGATAGTTACCAACCCGCCCGCGACGCGGGACGAGTACGGGTACAACGTCAGCGCCACGAAGAACGAGGACGGGTTCGTCCACATCTCCGAGACAAGACCGCCAAAAAGTCCGTGAGGAGGAACACGAACCACCTCTTAACCAAGACCGTCATGTGCTTCTGGATCACCGACATCTGCCCGATCTGCCTCACTGTGGTGGAGAGGAGCACGTTGAGGTGCGAAAAGGCGGACGCGGGCGGCTACTGCGAGGCGGAGAGGACAAGGCCGGGACTAATAAATAGGGGGACGGGCATGCTTGGGGACCTGTCAGGGACACGGACGTGGACGAGAACAGCAACTAGAATGACAACTTCGCTGAGCCGATTTCCGTAACAGAGGTAGACACTTAAACACCACACTCGTCGCAACCACACTAGCAATCATGATCAAAGTCCTTCGACGCCGGCTTCCTCGCTTCTTCCAGGATGAACTCCCATGTCCCATGTCCGAAGCGTTGGGGGGGGGGGGAGAGATCTTGGGCCCAGAGACTCCCGCGGACGTTCATCTATCAGCCTTTGGACCAAAGTGCGATAGCCATAAAGACGCCGGATTAAGTCCAGATTCTTCCTTAGAGTCATCCCGCTGTTTCTCAAAGTCAAGACATTTGGCAGAAGCCGCCTCCCCGGCGCCTTTTCACCACTGACGTCAACAGCTTTTTCCACCCCGCGTACATCTATTCCTATCATTCACATGTCTTTCTCAGGTTACTGCGTTTCGTCACCATGAATATCAGCTCGGTAAAAGCCACCTCCCTATTTTGAAGCGTTTTCCATCTTTCTATAGAAGTCGCTTTCCGTTGTTTTGCTTCCACCCCTGCAGCGGCCTCGAAATAGAAGCTCGACGACATGTTGCAATACTGTTGACAAAGTGGTCCTTAAGATCTCTCAGAGAACCATATTACCCACTAATTCTCACCGGTATTTAGCTCACAATATGGGTATCCACAGTCCGATACTCGCGGACACCGGGCCTTCCGAACTGTGCCCTTCCGAACCATTCAAGGCAAGGCTGGCCCTTCCCAATACTGCCCGCCCAGAAACCACCGAAATGGTCATATTGTCATCCATGGCCTTGTCCACATCTTTCTACCGTTGCTATAGCTCGAACTCCTTTGAGACAGCCATCCGCACCAACCAAGCATCGAAGCCAACTTCGCCAATGCCAGTGAGTAAATTAGGCCACTTTGCACGCATGCCTACTCTCCTCTGGCTATCATGATGGCCACTTTCCACTTTCGAACCCTACCAGAAGCCGCACTCCAAATATCATCAGCCCCCCCTTCATTGCTGAATAACTGCTTCCAAAGTCTACATAATTATGCGGTCGTGCTCTCCGCCGTTTGCGCCTTGAATCATTCATCGGTGGAACACAGACTGCTGCTCACGCAAACAATCACTTTCTCTGCGGTACTTTGCTCGATGAACAGGTAGATGGATGTAGACACTACTTATGAAAAGGCGTTGTGGGCGCCATGCAAGGCGAGAGCGAGATATCAGATACATGCCTAATTCTACAGGAGATTCAGTGTGACCGACACCGAAATAATCTTTGTAGACCATCAGGAAAAGTATTAGCCAAGGATGGTTGGATAAAGAGGAGTAAGAGGATGAAGACAGGGCCAAGATACGGAAAGAACATGAAGGAAAGTAATAGTTAAGAAAGAATAGGAAGAAAGGAAGGAAGCCTACGCGGATTTACCAATCCATCAAACACCATGCCCATGTACACTAATCGCAGCGATGCGACTGCAGAAAAGAACGTTGGCTCCTGGCTCTCATTGCCCTCTTACGTTGCCTTTGGACCACTCTCCGGTTTGACATTGGCTGCTTAGTAAGAGAAAATATCGTCGAACTCGAGAATATCATTGCTCAAGGCCCCAAGAGTGGCCGTTTGATGGAGAAGAGCATCCCAAAAAGGACTGAGGAGGGCACCATCTAAGGGCTGCTGCTCCTCAAAATCAGTGACGGAAGCCGGCCGCCGTCAAAGAAGCCAACGTCAGCGTCAGAAGTAGCGGGTTTGGTGCTCTCCGGGGCATGTGCCGCTTCGGCTGCTATGGGCGGCGATGCGGTAGTCGAGCTGATGTCTTGAGCCCGAGGTAGCTTGTCAACAGAGGCCTGGTGGGACCGATCCGGTCCAGGGGCAGTTAAAGGGTGTGACTGGGTATGGGCCAATCCTTTTGGAACCATGGCTACTGCTGACAGGTCGACCTGGGTCTGAATACCCCCATTACCGTCAGGAATCCAGAGAATTGGTTCTTCGTTGGTGGAGTGGTTTTCCGAGTCGCTCACGCGGCAATTATCGCATTTCTCGAGCTCAACACCGGTGTGATCGCCCAGAAGCCATCGCGCTGCACACTGAACGCAGCCCAGAGACGGAAAGTCATCTTGCGAGGGACTTGCGCTGGTCTGTTTGGTTGCATGTAAAGGCTGAGTGAGGTTGCTGTTCTCGCCGTTATCTGCAGCATGCGATGGTCCGGAATGTTTATCGTCAAAGGGCGTGACCGCATTGTGAATGTTCAATTCCGTGCTCAATCCCTTGCTGCGGATGAAAGGGTTGGAAGTTCCTGAGCCGGCATGCGAAGAAGAAGCAGCAACCATCTTGTGTCCCGAGTGCTCGTGACAACCGTCTTGGGTAGCCCACCCTGGATGCATGGTATGGAAGTCCACGGAGCTGCGCTCTTTCTGAGGTGGTATGTGAGGAGTTAGGTGATCATTGCTCCGAGGGCTGTGGTCGCTACTCTCGCAATGGACACTGTCTCGCACAGCAATCTTGAATGGCTGGGGCTGGAGAGTTGGGCAAAGGACGTGAAGGAATTTGCCATGGAGCTCGCGGAGATTTACGTTCTCAGATTGCGCCTGGATGAGCTGTGTCTCGAGATTGATGCGGTAATCCTGGAGCGACAGAAACTCTTTGTGAAGCTTGAGGCATGAGAAATCATCCAAGGCTGCAGGCGAGAAGTATGCTGGAATGTTGCCAAACCCGAAATTCGGCGACTCCGAGTCATCATCCGCAACTCCAATCTCCTTCTTAAGTGTTGCGATCCAAATGTCGACCGACTGCTGCAAAACTGTGATGGACTGCTTTGCCTGTGTGGCATCGGCCAGAGCTTTCCAACGAGGATCGGAGGTGTCGTTTGATTGGCGGATGTCTGGGTTGATGTCCTCCGCTGGGCTGTGCTCCACCGATGGGCTGCTATCCTCTGCTGGGCCGGTGTTATCTGATGAGTAGGTCCGCACCTCGGGTTTGCTTGCGAACCGGACCTTCCTGAGGAGACCTGCGGCGGCCGATGAGGTGGAGCGAGCTCTCTTGAGGGCCGAGGACCCGAAGCTTCGGGTGTGGGTGTGGGCTTTGCCGTGCTCGACGTTGGCCTCCATGGTGGATACCGGCGGACTCGCTCAAAAAGCCAGTATGGCAAGGGAGATGATATAGGTATAGAGACGGACAAGCAATGACCCTGGGCTGGGCCGTATCGAACCGTACAGCGCAAACGGGGCCTGGCTTGTCCCCACACAGGTTCGGGCCCTTCTCGTAATTGCCTTCCCATCATGAGACTGCAAACAGAGGCGGACCAAATGCGAGCGAACAGTTCGCAGGCGACCATTTGAAGGCTCGATGAGGATTGACTGGACATGGTATCGGCGACCTGGTGCGCGTCAGTCTCCGCCAAGAGAGCGAGGTACGTCGGTTGCCGCTTGAGCTGTAGTCGGTCGGGAGATGTGAGGCGCTGCACCTCCCCCAATACCGAGGGCCTTGTAGCGGAAATGATGAGGGACGGGCACTTCTTTGATGTTGGGATCGGGAGAACGGATCGCGTTTGTATGTGGAACGACCCAAGAGGCCGACGTCGTACAAGCTCGGGCTGTACACTCCGCAAATGAATCTCGTGGGATTCGTACGTCCTTGTGGAGCACGGCACTAGCAGGATGCCGATCCTGCATCACTTCGGTATCTCATGCTAACATGCTTGCTGCAAGCGCCCTAAGGAGAGCAGAGTGCGCCCAGTAGGCCTTTCGAATTTTGTTTCTTGTATCGGCTCTCCGCGGCGATACGCGACTGGACCACGCTGCGCCCGAAGACAAGAGGTCTTTGTAACTGTGGGCTATCCAGCACCGGAGACGGTATATAATTCATTGGAGAAAGATGAAAGGGTATATTGTGCGGTAATAGTCTTCGAAGTTACTGGTTTTGGACTCGCTGTGTCGATGGCTGGCTTGACCGAGGACATTACAGGGGAGTGAAGGAGCCTTGGGTGGTTTGGCAGCACGAGGCAAGCGGGGTGTGCGCTCGAGAATGATCGAGGGGAAACGGCGGTGGGAGGATTGTGACGAGGTAGATCGGAATTACCATAAGTAGATTTTGGAGCCTTTATCTCTCGTTCCCGCACAGGAATGGTATGTTGGAAAGGCGCTTTGTGTTGGCACTCTAGGAGAATTACATCTGCGCCAAGTCACGTGATTATATCACGTGACTCATCCTTATTAAACACTTTGCTGCCACTTACGATGGCTGTCCATCGAAAGATCCGATATGCAGCATTGGAGCGGGTGGAGTCAAGAGAGACGGCCTCATCGTCGCATTAGATCGCTCGTATCTGGAGGCCGCAAACGCCATTCAAAACCGCTGCGAATTGGGAGGATATGAGAGTTCGAGGGCTATGATGGCTAGGAAAGCGACCCTTCAGCGAAGCCTGCAGTACCATGCAAATCGGCGCGACTATGATTATTGGGATGCGGGTTCTCTGCAACTCTGGAACGGGTTTTGGAGACGCCGTTGTGGAAAGGCGCTTCTCCGGCGTAAAGCAAAACTCTATTACCCAATCCGAAAATTAGCTCCTAGCAATGTCCATGCAATCAGACGATCACTTCGTGATGGCAAACCTTCCGGGTCCTCATGCTTTTGTCGTGGGTGGGGGAGACGTTTGTGGTCCTCGGCTTGTGTCTGGAAGCTTACTCGCGTGCAGTATCAGTCGAGCGATGCCAGGCTCCAATTACTACCGCGCATGGTCCACAGAGCCATCCAAATCCTGCATCATCAAGATGGCCAATATTCGGAAATCAGTAGATAACAGAAAGGGAAATCCCCAAGGGATCGCCTCAGGCATCACCTCGACCCGAACGCCACGTGATCTGCTGACGCGGAAACACGTCCAGCTATGACACGCGTACGGAAACATTCGCCGCGCCGTTGCACCGAACTGCATTACGCCCAGGGCTCAGCCATGGCCCGTTCGTCAGCGTATTCTTGAATTGCCATAACCATCCCTCTAGCCACGAGTGAGCTTATACGGTATCTGGAGCTAGTCACTCGCCTCCTACTCGGCTATCCTACCTTAAGATCTCGAAGCAGAGCTGCGGCAGATCATTGCTACAGCCGGGGCTAAACCTTAAACCACGCGGTGCTACGGAAGGAGAAGGGCAATCCCGTCTTCAAAGAGCGCTACCAGCCGATGTCGACTGATGCCACGCATCGATGTCAGACTGCACATTGTGGCATCCGTTAACGCTCATGAACTCTCCCGCCGTGGTGCGGGTGTTCAAGCACGCGGTGCTAGGCTCTGGGCCGCACCAAGGATCCCTACGCTACCCTCATCGGCTATTCCCCCGAGTGTGATCTACTTCGCAGTAGCTTTGGGATGCTTTGCATCCGGAGTAGATGATCCCACTTCGGCTCCACTATTGCGAGTAAGGGTGTTGACACACGTCGCGTTCGGGGCGACGTTAAGACCCTGGCCTTCCACCCTCGCCCACGCCATCACCGCATCCTTTTCTTTATTCTTCTGCTTCTCGGCGCAGGCGCATACCTCGGAGTGGGTTCATCAGCATGGCAGATGTTGAGGTCCTGCGTGCACATGCCGATGCTCTTTTTGCTCGCGATGGCGGGCTCGACCCGCCCTCGTCGGTGATTTTGTCCTGGCCAGCACCCAACTACGTCAATCCGGAAGCTCACGACTGGACGGGGACAGTCGTAGTGATTATATTTTTAGTTTTGACATTCGCTGTCTTCGTAGCTCGCATCTGGGCTCGATTGAGGCTAGCGAAGAACGCTGGTCTTGATGACTTGCTCATGTCGGTTGCGATGATTCCTTTGGTAGGAGCAACGGTTTCCGTGGTGCTAGGTAAGTACGCCGGCACGTCACCATTTGGAGAAGGCTAACGTTAGCAGGTGTTAGAGTCTACGGCTTTCAATGGCATGCCTGGGACCAGACGGCGCAGACTTTAATCACGACTCGACAGGTAATTTTTGGACTTCCATTCGCGTCCCCTCGAAGCTCTAACGCGATTGAAGATCACCATGGCAATCGAATTGACTTATCTAGCAGCCACAACGCTCATCAAGATCTCGATCCTCTGCTTCTACCGCCGCATAACGGAGGGTCTGACTATGGGTTTCGTGTACTGGGTCTGGGCGTCTATCGCCTTCGTTGCAGCTTACGGCATCACGTTCACGTTCGTCATAATCTTCAGCTGCTCTCCGGTTGTAGGGTACTGGCGCTATTTCGACATAATCTGGAGGCTGGAGAACGAACTGCATTGCCACAACGAAGGGGCAGAGATCGTCTCAGTGGTCGTCATCAGCACGCTACAAGACTTCTTCATCTGCGCGCTGCCGATATTCCTGGTCTGGAATCTGCACATCCCGAAACGGCAGAAGGTTGCGCTGATTGCGCTATTCGGAATGGGCCTGCTGTGCGTGGCTCTGCATTCTGGGCTCGCGGAAATTGAAGGGCTAACTGGGCCTAGGACATGCGTGTGCGGCATCATGCGTACTTACTACGCCATCTATGTCTACTACGCCACGTATGACATTACATGGTACGCATACTACGGCTGGATATGGACGGCGCTCGAAGCAGATCTCGGTGTTATCTGCGCCTCCGCACCTGCCCTCAAGGTCTTCTTCCGTCGCTACTTCAGCCAGTTCACCAACCGCAGCGGTCACTCCGGATCGAGTGGAAAGAAAACACCAGGATATAGCAATGGGAGCCCGGAAACATCGCTTGGGACCTCGGATATGGACACTAAGAAACTCGATGCGATTTCATTTCCTATGCAGCGTCTCCGCATCAGCACTAGCGGGGATGCTTTGAGGGAGGATCGAGAGGACTTGACGAATCGAGCGAGCAATTCGAGCACGATGAACTTGACGGCACCTCCTGCACCCTCGCAGCCCACAAGTAAAGGTTCTGGCATATCAGACTGGGTCAGTGGGTATCGATCACTCCGTACGGCATTGAAGCCAGGCTCGCGGAGCTCACGACATACGAGGGGCAAGAGTCACGAGACGGATGTGGAACGATGTGCACAGAGCGATTGAGCATCGACCCTTGATAACCTCATCCCCAGTTGGAAGTACGTCCTCTAATCCAGCAAGATGTAAAGTAAGCTCCCAACTCCAGCCGCACTGCTCCAGCGATACTAACGCCCCACAGCAGGTTCATCCACCAGTGCTCCCGCCCATCAAGAACGGCGCCATAGTCATCCCGCCCGAGAAATCCATGGCATAATGATTCTTCCCAAACGCCACCGTCCGCACCTGCTGCAAGATATCCTCGGGCGTGCTCTTCGACGGCACAAACACCAGGCCCGCATCCACCGCCGGCTTCTCCGTCCCGACGTAGTTGCCCTCGGCGTCCTTCGCGTAGTGTTTCAGATAGTGCTCGCGCGGCATCTTACGCACAATGACGGTTTGCGAAATCGTTTTGCGCTCGCTCGAGAAGAGCTTCTTCAGGTTGCGCTTCTCGACGCTGTGGATCATCGGGACGGATATGGTTTCTTTGGGGTCGCCGACTGCGAGGGATTGCACGTCGGCGCTGACGTCGTCGACTAAGGAGATGGGTTGCGCCTGTCCGGATGACGCTGTCTCTGTTGGCTTCGCCGACGGGGTTGTGTAGGCCGGTGGTGCTGGGCTGTTGGACGTCGGTAAGCTTCGCTACTAGTTGCAGCTCCATATTGGGCTGCTTACCCTTCCTCTTCACGGACGCGACTACTCTCCGCTTCGGCTTCCTCCTGCTTGCTCATCGGCTTTGCATCTTTCGAAACATCGGCATAGCCTCCGTCCGCTTGCTTCGTCACGTCGACGTATTCCTTTACTTTGGCAGACATTTCCAACGTGTTAGTCCACGAAGACTGATACCAAATGTAATGGCAGTCGGGTTGGGTAGGGTAGGCGGGCGTTTACCGCATATAAGCACTCTGGTCGCCTTCTCGAGGGTTGGGCCTTGAGACCGGTGTTCGCATGGTGGAGGCGCAGCGACAAGGCTGAGTGCTCCATCAGCCTCGAACGGGGAGTACACATCCAGAGTAACGTCGGGTGGCTAGTATATACGAGACCGCGGCCTTGCAGGATTTTGCACCATGCACAGCTGAATTGCATTGATGGGGTCCGTTGGAGGGTGGAAGCTAAGGGCGCCCCAGTATAGGAGACGTCCTTGATGGCACCGCGTGAGATGCCTAGCAAATGGATTAATGGATTCGCCCAGCGCCTTAGCTTGGGTAGATGGCAGCTTGGATTATTGGACATTTGTCTTTCCGAAGGGGTGCTTGAAACTCTTTCCTACTGTGGTACGGCGGGGATGGCGGAGATGCTCGAAGCTGATTGGCTGAAGCTGCGCCGGCTTCTCCAAAGCTTCCCCGCACCAGAGAACCGAAGCTCCGTGCCATCAATCATTCCACCACAGAACTCACCCTCCCACCATTGCAACACTCTCATTCCCTACTCCATCCTCCCACCGCAGCAGGCCATTCATCAGCCGCTGCATATTCTCCGCCTCAACCATGCCGCAGAAGCTCAAAATCGCCTCCGCCCAAAGCCGCACGCTCTCCACAACCGCCGAAACGCTCCGCGCCCTCGAACGCACTACGCGCGACGCCGCCGCGCAAGGCATCGACATCATCCTCTTCCCAGAAGCCTACCTAGGCGGCTACCCACGGACATGTACCTTCGGCAGCGCCGTGGGTTCGCGCACGGAGGAGGGCCGCGACCAGTTCCTGCACTACTTCCACGCCGCGGTCGATCTGGGGGACACGCCAGCCGGCGCGGGCGAGGACTGGGTGGAGAAGAGACTGGAGCTGCCGAGGGGCAAGAAATACCGCGGGGACGGCACGAGGGAGGAATTGGAGCGTATAGCGCGCGAGACGGGCGTGTTCGTTGTGACTGGGCTGGTTGAGCGCTGCGCGGGCACGCTCTACTGCGGCGTGGTGTACGTCTGCCCCAGGCTCGGTGTCCTCGGGAAGAGGCGCAAGGTTATGCCTACGGGCGCCGAGCGCTTGATTTGGGGCCAGGGCTCGCCGGCTACACTGCGCGCTGTCACGACGGAAATCAGGGGCGTGCGGGTGTGCATGGCGGCTGCGATTTGCTGGGAGAATTACATGCCTTTGCTGCGGCAGGCGCTGTACTGCCAGAATGTGAACCTGTGGTTCGCGCCGACGGCGGATGCGCGGGATACATGGGAGAGCTTGATGAGGACGGTGGGCGTCGAGGGGCGGTGTTTCGTCGTCTCCGCCAACCAGTGCGTGAAGAAGTCACAACAGCCAGAGTGGATCACGGGGAGCAAGAAGGAGGAGCAGACCGGAAAAAGCGAGGTGTCATACGCACACGCAGAGACGCAAATGAACGGAACGCATACCCACCCATTGCACGCCGCGGAGCACAGCCACGCAGAGCAGCCCCATCCGCGCAGCAGACGAAGAAGCACCATCACCATCACCGAAGACGGCAAGCACGAAATCTGCTGGCCCATCGTCGAAGAAAAAGACGCCCCCACCAGCGCCGCTGACTCTACCATGGCCGACGGCGAAGCCTCCGCAGTCGTCGAAGAATACTCCGCCCCGCCCTCGCCCACCACCGCCGCCGCCGCGAACGCTCGCCCGCCCCTCCCCCCGCCCAAGCCCTGGAACATCGACTACCGGGTGCACCCCTCGCTGATGCACGTGCACCACCACGCGCGCGGCGACGAGTTCGTCTGCCGCGGCGGGTCGTGCATCGTCGACCCGTTTGGCGGGGTGCGCGCGGGCCCGCTGTGGGAGCGCGAGGACGAGCTGTTGGTCAGCGAGTGCGATTTTGAGGACTGTGAGAGGGGACGCCTCGATTTGGATGTCGCGGGGAGTTATGGAAGGTTGGATAGCTTTTGGTTGAGGGTGGAGGGGCTGGATTTGGATCCGCCGCCGGCTTGATGGGAGGGCGGGGAATGGGGAGGATGGGGATGGGGATGGGGAAGGGGGACGTCCAGTGTTGTTGAACTAGGTGGTTTGGATGACGTGTTTGAAAGCGCGCATCGGAGAAATGAATTCGAGACGCACGCAAAACGTCGCAGGGAAGATAAACGCAGTTGTTTGTAGTGCACTGCACTGCACTTTCTTTCCTACAGAGCCATGGCGTACTAACTGCAAGCCCAAGTGCTGATGGCGTTCATCACTCCCTTCCATCAATGAGCTTTGGACCCGCCAGAGCCAGACAAACCCATACGGACTGATGGTGTGTTGTTTTACTCCAGGCCAGGGCGTCATAATTTCCCCATCTCGCCGTTTTCGGCCCTTCGAGTTTCGACGCACGACGCTCGACGCACGCCATATGTTGCCAGCAGGGCGGTTTTAGTCTTCTTCCGCATGACTGCTCGACAGTACTTTTTTAGTGCGTTGTGCAGAGCTGAGCTGAGCCTTGGGGGGAAAAAGTGGAAGAGAAAGGGCGAGCGGGAGAGGGGGATATCATGTTCAGATTCAGGGCTGATGTATTTTTCGACCGTTGAGTGGAAGATTGAGCGCCTCGCTGAGGTATCACCGCACTGGTTCGAAGATCCGCATTTGCTGTTGTCCTGGAAGGTTTTCGTGCTCTCTGAAACCTCGTACATAGTGTGGTATGGCTCATGCACTTCTCTCCCGTTCCACAGACAGACGCCATCATGACTTCAACGAGAAGGTTTGAGACCCAGTCTCCGAGAACGACATAAGACGTCTACTTCAGTGTTTTAGTCTCTGGCGCGGGGGATGTGGAGAGGAGAGAGGAGCGGGCGGGGAGCAGACGAACGGTTTATATCATATTGCTCTTGGATCTCCCTACATGTTTTAGGTAGGACGCAAATGATCGCAGTGCAGTCGCACAGGGGTGGAGCTTTTGGTCGGTGGGTGAGGATCCATACGTATGCAGCTTGTCCCATTCGGCAGGGGCTGCCCTTTTCTTTCTTTCTTTCTTTCGCACACGCAGACCGAGAACGCGACAAGCCATCGGAGCTGCTGGACGGTTTTTAATTCCCCTTCTCGGATGCCATGGCGAACAGGATCTCATCCTTTTAGTCCCTCGCACAGAGCCGTGGAGAGAAGTAAGGAAAAAATGCTAAGGGAAGCAGATATTTATACTCCCACACGACTTCCTCTGCTCACGTCGAAGATGGGTCTTCCAACACGTACGGACGCACACATGCGGCGGGAAGAGATGGCTTTTTCGAACTCGTTGGGGTATTGTGAAAGGATCCTTCACTTTTCGTCTTTCCCGGAGACGACATGAGCAAGAAGGCGTACGGTCTTTCGGTCCCCTCGCCGACACCATCAAAATGATCCATCTCGGCTTTTAGTCCCCTGTTCACGTCCCTAGCATGGAGAAGTGAAGAGAAGGTAAAGCGAGGCTGGGAGTGCGGAATTTATACTCCCTCAAGACCTCGAGTCACACTGGGAAGATATCCAGCACGCGTCTTCTCACATCCAGCATCCCCGGAAGATTGTCCTCGCACACATAGAGCCAAGGTAGCGTTTTCGGTTCTTGTTGGGACAACATGCCGGGGATCCTTGTCGCTTTTCAGGCTTTCCCCAATGCCTTAGACGACTCGCTCTTCGACTTTCATTTCTCTCCCCCAGCGCAGCGCCATGCATATGTATGCTCAAGTATTTCAGCAAGACACACAACGACACGACGCGCGAAGAGAACGGAGAGCGAAATGTTGATATTTTAAGCGCCGTTCGCTACCGTCGTTCTCCCTACTTCGCAGAGCGTCTTCAGCAGAGGTGGAGCCGACTCGCATGTAGCGGAAATACGTGGATTCTTATGGCACCGAAGTGCACCATCGAAGGGCATGTTCGTTGCTTTTTGTCCTCGTCCCCAGACACCCATGCGTCTTTCGTTTCTACAATTCTTTTCCTTCCTGGTCCACAGCACCATTTTCTTTTTTCAGTTCTGCTTTAGTGGAAAGCGCAGGAGACTGGGGTAAAGAAGACGGGGAAAGTGTGCGCGAAGGCTGGATTTATACTCCCTCATGTCTCTGGAGTAAGGTATCCGCGATACCTCGGCACACCGCAGACACGCCGCGCGCATGAGGATTCTGGTGCGCGTATGATTGATATGGCTTTTCGTCTTTGGCTCTCCGCCATCTGTGCTTTTGGTTTTAGTTCCCTCCCCAGCACCCATCTTAATCTTCGTTGTGGTTTTGAGTAAGAATGGTAGAAGTGTAGCGTAGGAAAAGAGAATGAAAGCCCGGGAGGAAGTGGGAGTTTAATCTCCACCCCTTGCGTAAACGTTCCAAAGCCCCCCAGCCATACCATGGCGCCACTCGAGCTCTTCTCATCGGCGGTTTCCAGACGCCCCTTATACCAACACACATGGACGGTGTCGCTGCGATCTTTCATCCCCAGGCCTTTCTCCTGCGAGAAAAAAATTTTTTGTTGCATGATCTTTTAAATTTGTTCACGGTGCTTGCCATGGAGCTTTAGCTGTGTGATTTTAGTAGCGAGCAGCGTGGAGGTGTGGCGTGGTGCGAAAGGAAGGAAAGAAGGTAGGGAATTGGAGTTTTATATTCCCACGAGCACCCGATAGGACCTCGCACTCGTGCTCGTGGTCCACATGACTGAGCACCCCATGTGCGAAGCGTGCGTGGAAAGGGGCCCCAATCTCCTTTCCTCATCGATCTGCCTCGGCCATCCTTACTGGCGCTTGCACGGCACCCTGACAAGAAGCTTTCTGGGCTTTTAGAACTCTCCCACACCTACTCCATGTGCAGGGATGTTAGATTTCTTTAGTTAGGAGCGGCCAAGCGTAAGAGCGTGGAGGAAGAAAGGAAGAACGGACGGGCGGGAAAGATTTATATACCTAGGTACTTTTCCAAACGAGAATATTAGCCCACCATTATGTTCGCCCCATCAAGGTCGTTGGGAATCCATCGATGCGTCTATATGCATAACGGTCGGGTATTTGGACGCCAGAAGCCTTCCTCTTCCTTTTATAACACACGCATAGCGAGGAGAGATTGTCATTTTAGTCCTCTCCACCAGCAGCAATCCGCATGGTTTGCGCGTATCGAATTTTGGTCTCCTGCACAAACATGGCGCTGTTGCTTCCCCGATTTTAGTGTTGCGCAAAGAGGCGTGGAGAAGAGAAGGAAAGGGGCTGGAGCTATGGAAGGAGGCATTTATACTCCCTTATATATAGTATATTGCTGCCCGAACGCTGCTATGAAGCCTCCTCCCAGGCTGCCTCCCAGAACCGAGCTACCTCTACCACGTCAGGCCGTTCGTTTGGATCCTTCGACATGCAGCGATCAACCATTTCTCCCCAGCGCTCCGGTATGTCCTCAGATGCTTCCCAATTGGTAACAAGCTCGTCCGGGTAACCGAAGTCTCGAAATCCATGCCCGGTTGTCGAAGCAGCATCCACATGCTCCCGCCCAAACTAAAAACCTCTGCAAGCTCCAAGGCCAGCGGATGCGCAAGGTTCCAAACGGGAAACACGTTCCAAGAGTGCCAGCTATAGTCGCCAAGCTCGTCGTCGACGTTGCGCCGTGGGGGGCCGGAATACTTCGTATATAGCAACTGCGGCCGAGGACGCTCGTCACAAGAGGGAGCCGCGCTGTCTTCGTTCTTCGCTGCTTCTTCCACATCCCATGTTCCGTCGGCTTCTGGGGCTAGGGTAGTGGCCGGCGCGTCGGTCTGCTCCCAGTCACCTAGGACGAGATTGTCGTTCTCGTCGATCAGGAAATTGCCAGGCTTAATGTCCATGTGATAGGTTCGAGCGACCCGGTGGGTGTGCGCTACAGCTGCAGCCATGTCGGCACATCAGCGGACCTTCAGTGCCAGAGGCAGCCGTGCTTTTGCCCAGTTACTTTTCTCAACGCGGTCGCCAACATCGCCTCCTGGAAACAGTGGCTGGAGGCAACCGCAGACGACGGTTCCCGGGCCGATTTCGGGAACCTTGATGGTGACGAAGGCTGTGGGAGCTGGCGCCACATTCGGATGGGGCGGCATCTTCCTGAGGAGCTCGTTTGACTTGTGCCATGCTCGGATCATGAACCGGATTGTCGCGTCGTCTTCCCCGTCGCAATGAGCGAGGAACGTCCGGAAGTCGATCCCCTTGAAGACGAAGAAACTCGCTTGCTGGCTTGTCGGAAATGCGGACTCGGGTGGCACAGCCGCGGCCCCCGAGCTGCTCGAATCGGATCAGCTTCCCGAAATCGACCACCGTGTCGGTCGGCTTGAGGACAAACGGGCTTCTGCCAACTGCCTCGTCCTTTAGCAAAACCTGCAGAGAGGGTAGAAAGAGGCACCAGTGGTAAGACGACGCTGCTCGTCTGCAAGATGTTGAACGTAGCGTGGAAACATGGGATGGTGATAGACGCTCCAGGTGACTTCTGATGAGTCATCGTCTCTGTCGATGTTGACTACAGCATTAGGCTTCGAGATTTGCGGATCCTTGTTACAGCGCGGCCACACAGTATGAATAGCATCCCATAGCGCTTCCCGCATAGCGCTTGAATCCGGAAAGGGGTCCTTCTCGTCCGCCATCTCGATCCCGTGAAAACTTGTGCAAATGCGATTCGCTAGGCTAGAAGGCGGCTTTTCCTGGGCCCGGACGAAGTTGAATATGACGGTTAATCCCAAGCCATAGCCCTGGGCGAACACTGTCGTTTCGGCGTCGTCTCCCCAGATCCATTCGGGTTCAAAATCAGGTTGTGACATGTCGAAAATTGGACGCGCGGCGTTTCGTATTTGTGGCAGATTTTGGGTACTCGATACAGAAGAGAAGTCTGGGCAGGTGTATTGAAAAGCAGGTCGTGTACGAAGATCGTTATTGACTTTGAGTCACCGATGTTCGTGCACTGACCATCGAGCCTGGTGACACAACACTACATCAACGCCAGCCATATCAAATCAAACACAGCGCCCTAGCTCAGCCGTGCTCATTCGCATCGCGAAACCGCACCAAGTTACACCATCGCGCGGGAGTGTAAAAACCATGCGCCAAGCAGTGCAGGAGTGTCATTGGCGCAAGCGCAGAGGATGCAGCGATAGGGCACGCACACACCTCGAGCTGACGCCTGTCATCATGAGACTTGGATCTGGCAGTGTCGTCTTGAGCTCAGCAAGACCAAGGTTGAGAGTAGCAAGTCACGAAGGAGCTAAGAAGCCAAAGACTTCGATAGGACGGGGAAATGTGATGTGGATTTTGAAAGACGAAAAGGTGCATGTAATAAAGGAGACTACTACGCCAAATTAGTCGATACGAAGAGAAGGGTATATCCAGCTCACATTGCCGCATATCCCACCCAACACATAACACCCGTCCCTACCCACCGCACCCCAACGCCAAAGCAATGCCCTCCCCAACCCTCCCTCACCCTCCCCCACAGCCTCAACACCCCCCTTCCTACAACATAGCATACTCCCTCGACCCCGTCCTCCACACCTCCGCCCCCACGCCCGCGCTCATCCTCCGACTCGCCCTCCTCCTCTCCCTCCGCTCCTCCCCCTCGATCCGACTAATCACGCTCAAATGGCTCAGCCTCTTCGCCTCGTTCCGGCCCGTCTGGTTGACCTCGTCAGCGATGGGCATCAGATCCGCAATCGAGACGTCGTAGCCGGGGGCGAAGTACGACACCGGGCGCGGAGACTCGGAGTGCGAGGACGTTATGATTTCGCGCGCGGAGGTCGAGAGCTGGCTGAAGCGCTTGCTAAGGCGCTTGCTGGAGGAGGGGGACGTTGGCGAGGCGGAGCGCGCGGGGAGATCGTGATCGCTGGGGATGGAGCTGGGCGGTGGGGTGCTGGAGGCTGGGGGTGCTATTGTGCTGGAGGGCTCGCGGATGTGGATTGTCAAGGGGCGGGGAGCGCCTGCGCTGCTGTGGCGCGCGTGGCTGGTGGTGGTGGGTTGGTGGATAGGCAGGTGCTGGGCGGAAATGGAGTGCGGGAGGTAGGGGACGGGGCTTTCGTGGGTGACGGCGATGGGGGCGGAGATGTTGAGGTCTTTTGCGGTGAGGGCTTTTCTTGCGGAGCGGCGCGAGGGCGCTTTGAGGAGGCTCAGGACATAGGCCCTGAGCCAGACGTTGAAGCGCGCCAGGTTGGAGGTTCGATGTTGCGCAGCCCGGACGAGCTGAGCTAGGGACTCAAGTTGGTTTTAACGAGCTAGAGTGCTGGAATGCGAGGGTATGTTCAGGCCTGTTGCCTTGTTAGAAGGATAGCCTAGGGGAAGGGGGCCGTGTGCTCACCTATTCCGTGCAAAGATCGACAAACCCTTCGTTTCACGCGCGCTCTACTCAGTGCAGCCAGGCAAGGCAGGCATGCAGTATCTATACCTCCCTGCGGCGTCGCGTCGCCAAGGAGTCTTCTGGTCGAGCTTGGTCGAGCAGCCAAGGCAGCTGCATGTCCGACAGTACAAAACTCCGTAGGCACGTAGTTCGCGGCGCGCTAGCACGAGAGTGAATGCTAAGCGAAGCCGCGCTGGCCAATCAGACCGCGGCTGAGGTGAGAAGCTCAGCCTTACCGGAGTTCGCAAGACTGTGCGGACCCCGGTAAACTTTTTGCGCTCACCCTACCACAGTATGCGAACTCGTGAACTGTGGAACATGAAACGAAACAGAGGACTGATGTGGTCATAGGTCATGCGTGGGTAAGGTGGACCTCGCTTTCTGTGACCCCGGAATTGGTAGGGATCGGCACTTGGCACCGGTCCAGCGAGCGTAAACCGGAGATTTAACGACTACGCACTTGGATGACATGCGGACGCTCTTAGTCGGTGCTGTGCTGGGCCTCGTTCATGTGTAGCCGAATGTGGAGAGCGTGAGGGCTGGACTGTGCGTGTGGGGGCGCCACACGGCACTTGGCATGCAAGGCGATGTCTTGAAAACGGAGATTTGGGAGGTTTATTTTCGGGCGAAATGACATGGAGAGGCCCTGTAAATATATTGCGGAGTACATAGGGTGGAATGCCGTTATCACCCAGTTTAAAATCATTCAGAACTGCCCATAGAGCTACCAGAAACCTCTGGTAGCTCCTTAACATCATTCATAACTCCCCAGCATTCATAGCTCCTCCTCCTCATCATTCTCCACCAAATCCTCAAAGGCCTTGGCCATCTTCGCCCGACGAACCCACTCCGGCTCAGGACACTTCTCGTCCCACATCGCCGTGGCGTTCCCGTCTTCCTTCTGTGCAGCTGTCAGCCGGGAACGCTTGTTAGCGTCCGCTGCGTCGTTGTCGCTCTCGCTGTGGCGCTTGCGAGCGAGCGGCCGAACGGCGCTGGGTGGTGGTGACTGATATGAAGCCTCTCCGTTCTGAACGGGAGGCGTGGTCTTGATCTTCTTCGTTCTAGGCCGCAAGTGGGCGTCGGTGGTCTGCGTCTCGGAGGTCCTCTTCCTCCCACGCTTTTCGGTGGGGAGAGGGTTGTGGTGCGTGTCTGGATTCGGCTTCCGCTTCTTGCCGGTATGTTTGTCGCTCGTGACCTCTAACTCGATCTCCTCTTCCACTGCTTTGCGCTTCTCATGCGGGATCGGCGTGTTCTCCCGCGCAAATTCCTTCTCCGCCCCATACACTAGCATGTCTGCGATCTGCCGAGCGATGTCACCCATACGTAAGTTGGGTGACTCGGCCTCCTCGCACTTGCGACCATAGCTCTTAGGACGCAATATGCTCATGACCGTCTCGGTGACGTTAGCCTTTAACTCGACGCGTCTCGAGACACATTCGACAAGATAGCTAACGGCGTAAGGCTCGTGTTTCGCTTTGGCAGCTGCTTCCAACTTGGCCTTCTCTGCGTCCGACAGCTGTTTCTTGATGACGGTCAGGACGGTGTCGCGGCATTGAGGGCAGTTGAAGGGCCCCACGTCAAAGGACGGAGTGCAGCAATTGAGACCGCAGGGAGAATCCGAGGTGACGAAATGTCCGCAAACGAGATGATGAAGCCCTGAGCCGTTGCAGGCCGTGGCGGCGTAGTCTGGCGAGTGGAAGCGGATGCCTTGCCATGTCCCTAGGTATCGCTCGGGCAATGTGCCGTCGTCGTCTTCCATGATGATCTCGGCGGCGATATCACACTTGAGGCGAGGAGTGACATGGCGATCCTGCTGGCGCTTCGGCTGCAGTTTGGGACGGGTTGTGTCGGCGTCGGGAGTGGATGTACCAGTGTCACATGCACTTGGAGTAGCTTCATGGACAACTGGGATGTCGCCTTTGCCAGGAGACGAGGAAGTAGATGTGCCAGCGTCATATGCGCTCGGAGTAGCTTCATGGACAACTGGGATGTCGTCTTTGCCAGGAGGCGAGGAAGTAGATGTACCAGCGTCAGATGCGCTTGAAGTGGCCTCTGGGGCAGCTGGGATGTCGTCTTTGCCAGGAGGTGAGGAAGGAGGAGTAGGAACTTGCTCTGGTGCGTCCGTCATGTCGATGTCGACGCTGTCGGCGGTGGAAGTGGACGGCGTGCGAGAGCTGCAGGTGGCATGAACAGGCTGAGGAAACAGCAAGGTAGTCGGTGCCGGTATATTGCGAAGCGGCCTTCCCGTGAGACCGACGTAAGCTGGGAAGGCAGTGTAAGCGGAAGGCGCGACAGAGGGAGAGTAGGAGTAGGCATTCGCAGCTATGAGGCGTGCCTTATTGCTCGACTTACCTGGCGCTCCAGCGAACAGGCTTGGACTTGATGGAAGATTCGCAGCGGGCTGTTGGGCATTGCCTGTGCTCACCGTCGAAAGGTCAACCGCAGGAAGCGAGTTATTGGTGAAGGTCGGAGAGGCGCTTGCAGGCGCGGAGCTCCAGACACGCTTGAGGAATGAAATTGGGTTGAGACGCATGTTTGCGTTATGTCGAAGCAGATTGTATGGGAGCGCTGGTGAAGGGTTATGGCGATGAGAAGAAGGTGGCGACAGGCTTCATAGCTGGTTCGATGGATAGCGGCTTGGCAAAAGTTCGTCTGATAGTGAACGGGATGACGGACGGAGGGTCGCGGTTGCCAAAATGGGTAGCGGGGTCATAATGGTGAAATAGTAGCATCGAGCCGAACGCGATTCATGGGCGACGGTCCTGATGGCACCTTGCTGAGACACAATGAAGCTTCTTGGTGTACAATGATGTTACTGCCGTCTATGCACCTGAAGAGGGTTCTTCGACGTCTCGTTTAGGGTCTGTGACGCCCATCCCGTTCTGCTGGCCCTTGACTGCTTCGAGGACCTCCAACCCCATATCCGTTCGCGGCCCAGTGAAATTCTTCCTTCCATCTACGAACCATTGGACTGTACTTATGATGATGATTATGGCGAAGGCAACGATACAGTAATCTGTATAGTATTAGCATCTCCCATGGATCATCGGCTAGGCGCGCAGTGTTGGCAACTCACTCATGTTGTTCCCTGTCACAGGTAATTCCGGAGGGAAAACGAACAGCACCGTCGTAACAATGACATAGGCAATTCCCAAGAGATTCGCAAACCACGCGAATGCGCTTGGTAGCTTGAACGCCCTTGGAGGCAGCATCTTCCTTCCGCGCAGGACATTGATAGCTATCGGAACGGCATAGCTCACACCCAGCGCAACCACCGAGGCAGAGATGATAGCATTGAAGGCGCTACTAGAGCCGAGGAAGATGCATCCGAAGATAATCGTTAGGACTGTGGTAAGGATAAGCGCGTTCAGAGGCAGTCCTAGCCTGGCATGCACCTTAGCAAAGAACTTTGAAGCCGGAAGCCCGCCGTCTCGTGCAAACGCGTAGGTCATCCTGGAAGACGTCGTCATGATAGAAGTCGTTGCGAACAGAAGGCAGGCTAGCGGGAATATGAGAAGACACACGGCTCCAGCACGATTCTGCGTCGCATTATACAGAATCTGCAAAACAGGGCCGGCTGGGGAGGAAATGATAGATTCAGCATCTCCTCCAGACGCGAAAAGGAGGCTCATCAGGAAGATGAAGCCTGTGAAGGTCCCGATAGCCACGCAATAGATCATGATCTTAGGTCCTTCGACGGAAGCGTTGGGTATTTCTTCTATCATGTGCGCGACGGCATCGTACCCGGTTAGGCCTAGCCCGCCTTGAAGAAGACCAAGCAACCACGCAATACCGTCGGGCCATCCCGTCTCATTGATGAAGTCTGCGAAGACAAAATGTGCCGAAGCATAGTTTGGCGAGGCGCACGCCAGAACCGTGATAGTTATCACAAGAAACCCAGTAATCGACCACGTGATTGCTGCTTTGTTGACGTATGGAAGCAGATCGTTCATGAAGGCATTGACCAAAAAGGCGATAACGGTGTAGGTGATGTAGATCAAGAACTGATGCCAGCGCTCGGGGCTATAGTCAGGAACGTATAGCGCAATGACGCCGACGATCAGCTGCGAGCCGAGCAGTCCTCCAGAGGCAACCAGGGCAATCCATCCGGAAACATTGATCCAGCCGGTTATCCATGAGAGAAGGGGGACCCATCGCTTCCACGAGATGACAGCGACCCAGTGGTATCTGAGATGAATTAGCCCAAGTCCAAGGTTCCTGTGCGACATGCTCCAATCATTGGCGTCATGTGTCACGGGGCCATTTCAACCCAAGGAAATGCTCGCAACCAAAAAGCTTGAGGTTTAACGTACTGTCCACCTGCCGTAGGATACGCCGACAGAAACTCGGCCAGAGACGCCGCTAAGCAAAGATTGCACACGCCAGCCGTGACCAGGCCCCATATGACGCTCGTAGAACCACCGCTCGGGAGCGCAAGAGACAGCGAAGCGGAGAGCGCAGTCCAGGAATTGAGAATCGCAAATGCTAGGCCTAGCATCGAGAGGGGCGAGAAGTTCCGTTGAAGCTCCCCTTTGTGCCCCAGCGCTTCCAGCTGGAGCTCGTCGGCGGTGCTGTCCTGGCGCGGGCGCATTTTCAGTCAGGGGCCCGAATGTGCGGATAGATAGATACAAAAGGTAAAGAGGAAGTTACGCCGTCGCCAATCTAGACAATGCGTATGATACAAATTCAAGAAAGAAAAGAGACAGGATGTTGAGAAGTGAGGGGGGAACAGGATGACATTCCAAAATGACAGCCGGCGCAGGGTTCAAGCTACGAGACGTCATCCTCGCTATGGTGGTGCGATCAGCGCCCACCGGTCCGCCATACCACAACAGGTAGGTCCAACAAAGCGAAGCTTCCTAAGCATCGGGCGCGCAAAAGCTTGACAGAACCCCTTACGTTGCGGCTCCATCCTCAGACGGGGGTCGAATGGAAAACAACTCACATCCGTGCCCGCGGAAAAGCTCCGCGCGCGCCCACTTATATATCGCACACTACCACCATCGCTGCCTCCATCGAAGGTAGATGCGAGCTCGGAAGGTAGCTCTGAGTCTGAGATAGGGGCGTATTTGATGGAAGAGCGGATGCTGGTCATGCTTTGTGATGCTTGAGCGATGGCGATCTGGATGCGTGTTCGAGCCGTTCAACCGATGCGAAGGACGCTAGTCCAATTGAGGAATGGCGTTTGACAAGCCTTATCCCCTCTCTCAACATCATCGCATCCATGGCTTCGCTTTATACCTTCTCCCTTGGATTCGGAATGACTTAGAGGGAAACACATCCGGATACGATACTAGTGGTTCTTAAGCACCCTTTTGGAAGGGCTCCGCAGGCACCAGCGAGTCGAACACGACGGCCGCAACGAGAATATGATGGCGACGGACCTATCTTCCCAGATCCGCGTAAGAGCATAAGAGCCATTTCCATAAGCACTGGAGACATTTGCCGTAAGCCCATGTATTATGAGGTTTGTCCTCATGCCTTCACTCCCCTCCAAACCTCCAACCTCTCCCTCCCATCCACCCCCTTCTCCAGCCTTACCCTCTTCCTCATCGCCACGTCCTCCATATCCACACACCTCTCCACCTTCTCGTCTCTCAACTCTTCCTCCCGCACCCCATGCATCATCACCGCCAGCGCACTCGTCTTCCACACCCTCATCCTCCTCGCCTCCAACAGCGTCATCGCGAAAAGCAAAATAGTAGCAACCTCCAGCGCAACAGGAAGCGTAATCCACCACCAGCGCACGCGGATATACGTCACCGTCGTCGTAGAAAGACCGGTGACCGTGACGTTGTCTGCGCCGATCGCCGTGTTCGCGGTATCGGACCCCGTACCCCGGACTGCGGTCGACATAGAGAGAGCAAGCATGTCGAACACGCTGGGCAGCCCGCCGACTTGGAAGCGCTGGACAATGGGGGCGGTGGAGTGGCCGTCGCCGTTGGGGTCGCCGTTGACTGTTACTTCGCCTTCAATGGTGTCCTTGAAGAACTGCGTGATGAGGTTGGAAGCATTCTTGTTGACGAGAAATGTGCCATTAATTGTGCCCTTGGGGTAGGTAGGGCCCCAGGTGGTAGTGGCATTCATCAGCCCATCGACTGGGATCTCGAACGAAGCGTTGGAACCCGGCGGCTTGAAGTGGTACAGTGCACCGACGTCGTCGCCGCCGTCGGATGTGGTTGCAACGAGCGTTTCGTTGAGAAGGCCGTTGACGACGCTGGAGCGGTACTTCTTGACGCACCAGTAGAGCATGCACTCTTCCGCACTGACTGCAATGGTGGCATTTGGTCCTTCTGCTTCGGTATCAGTGAAGGTGTCGGGGATCTGGATAGTCGAGTAATTGAGCAGCGGGAAACCCGCCGTCAACACCGTCGCGTTGTAGCTTGCGCTCGCTTTCATAACGACGCGGTCCCCGTCGCTGACATCGATACCGCCGGTGTTGAATCCGTTTGGCAGAGACCAGTTGTACGTGTCAGTGCCAAATTCGTTAGTCCAATTGCGGAACAGTCTATCCGTGACATTTGCGCACTTGGAGCACACCGCGAGCGTTTCGAACTCAGGATACGTACAGTTCCCACTGGCGCAATTCGGCCGCGGGGCAAGAGCACTCATGGCAAAAGTGTCGTTAGTTGCACCGGTGAAGAACAGTCCTTGATAGATGGCTGCTCGCATCGCTGGGGGCACTTGGGGATGCGCGTACTTGGAATCTAAGCCGGCGTCGAAGAGGCGGCGTGATGGTATGACGGAGGAGTTTCCTGAACCTACGGGGCCGGGCTCGTAGCTCGCGATTTGCTGGAAGAAGGGGTCCATGGCCATGGATAGGATGGTGATGAGTGCTCCCATTGAAGCAATACTTCTATCAGCAAGTGGTTAGTCACTTGAATCAAAGGTAAAGTAAAGGATGGCAACGAACCTCCATCGTACGCTAATCAGTAGCATAGCGCTTCCCCAAGGGCCCCTACTAGCTTCATCGTACACCTCCATATCCGAGAGAGGATGCGGCTCACGCTTGAACCAGTGCCACCGCAACTGGCCAATAGTCGATGCCACAGGAACTAAAAGCGCAGACTTCATCACCACCGCCAACACGGATATTAGGGCATTGATGGTGATGTCGAACGGCCATTTCGGCAATGGCTGGTTGTCATGGAGCCCAAGAACGAGGAAAATGCCGCCCAAGCAGATGCAGCTAACCCATATGGAACAGACCTCCCAGAGCCAGAGGTCGGTTGCGAGTTGGGTGTAACGGTGTCGCTTTTGTTGCGACTTTTGGAGGCTTGACGTGGATGGGGTAGGTATTGCATGGGCCTGAGCCTGAGGCCGAGTGGGGATCTGAGGTGGGGAAGGTGTTCTAGGTTCGTTCAGTGGTTCGTTCAGTGGGACTGCAGCATACGCGTCCGAGCGCACGTGATGCGCACCACTGGAGTGGTCCGATATGGGCGACACAGGATCCATTTTCGAAATCTCATCGACTTGCGGATACGGTCGCCTTGATGGAAACGAGAGACGCGCAGGTGGTGTTTTTGAGTATCCATCACGTCCGGGCGGTCCATGACGGAGGTTCGTAATGCGGCGATATCAGATTGGGGGCTGCTTCAAGGCGGAAGCGTTTCAAGAATTACGCCCGATTACGCGCAACCCTTCATGCGCCGACTTATTGGATAATAATTGTAAACTAAGGCCTGTTTCTCGTGTAGCGGTTATTCAGCATCCAAGCGACGTTCGAGTTTGGGGCGCAGTGAATCCTCTGGCCCCAAAGTCTTACAGGCTGTGCCTCACAGCCTCGTCGATCCCGCCACGCCGTATTCATCCTCATATTTCAAGAAAATTGATACGTGATGGCTAGTTAGGAAAGGCAGGTTCTCTCCATAGGAGCGCACGCATGTCGTGAACCGCTCTCTGCGCTAGAAGTTAACAGTTGGCTCGCCCAGCAGTACAGTGCAGCACAACTTACCGCATGCTGCCGACTCAAATGGAAGCATCAAGACGAAATAGTGCTGAACAGGTGTCCTTCTCGTCTGTTATAGGCTTTGGAGACGTGATATTGGGGTTAAACTCCTCTGTTCCAGTTAAGTGTCACCGGCGCAAGGTAAGGCGACCGTCAGATCAGCGCTTCGCTCGACTCCTATCAGCTACCGGCAAAAAGACTTATCGCCAAAAAAAATTCCGGGATACGTCTCCCACTGTTGCGAGTGAGCTTTCGCTTCGTCGAAAGGTTGCAAAGAGGGTTCCCAAGGTTCCAAGCTTTGCCGAGGTCTACTTCCGGGACCATTCCGTAATCATATTAGCGTCTTCTATTCGTAAAAGGTTTAGCCCGGCTTCATGACCCGACGCGACCTCCGTCTTCCCCGACTTCCAGTAGACCTCTCGCCAGTCCCGCGCTTTTCCAACCTAGTAGTTGATACTCATAGTACGTCTCCTCTATGGTTTAGATATCCAAAACCACCTCGAGCAGCTTCATATCTCCCGTCCCGTGGATATCCTTAACCTGGCCGTCAAATTAGCCACTTCCATACAAATGCAACGCCGCGGGGGGCTCACTCGATATCTAGAATCCGCCGATTTGAGAAGGCCGCGAAAGTCGGCTTCCGTCCTCTGCTTCGCGCCCAACACGACCATCATCATGATGTCGACTTGCCGCAGGCGGCGCTCCTGGTAGAGAGTCGTCTCTCCGGCTGTGGGCAACACAATGTCGTTAATCAGGAGAGGCGTCTGAGGAGCGCTCTGTTCTAGCGCGGGCACCAGAGCTTTGAAGATGCGGATGCAGTCTTGGTCGTCCCAGTTGTGTGTAACGTATCGAAGCAGATATGCCGCTGCGCCGGCAATAGGCTCAGGTTCGAAGAAGCTGTGCTGCATGAATGCGACTCTGCCGTTCAAGTCCGAAATGTCGTTGCTCGAGGCTTGGGCTAGCATCGAGAGTGAGTCTTGGACGACCATTTGAAGATTCGGGAATGACTAGTGACTTCATGAGTGGGAGGCTGTCTAAGAAGCAAGATTTTGCTTACGCGGGCGAGTGCAATGCTCATGTGTCCGTTTCCTCCGCCTACATCAACGACTTTACCTGCGGTGACTTCATTCCATGGGTAGCTATCTCTCAAATCCTCGAATTGTCGTTCCACTGGATACTGGTCAGCATCTGCTCTCTATCCGTAGCATGTAGGAGGCGTACTCTTGCCAATGCCGGCCATGGCACTCGCAAATCGGCTTGCTCGTTTAGGGTCCTGCCGATAGAACTGAAACATCTCGGAGCCATGCCGAGTTACGAACGGATTGGTGGAGCGGCTGAATGCGAGGGGAGATGCTCTGAGGCTGGCCGATGTTTCCGGAACCGCCATGAAGAATTCATCCAACCTATGGTGAAGTCAGTGGGCACCCGCCTTCAACAAAGAGGCCGAGAATTCTTCGAAGAGGGCTGTTCAACGTACTGATAGTGGACCGCATCTCGCATATGTTGGTCTCTCACATAAAGGACGCTCCTCGAAGTGTGCTTGAAGACATCGGGCTTCACCTCCTCAAACACCCGGTCCGTTGCTAGAATCCTTAGGAATCTGCCGACTCTTTCTTCGTCAAGGCCGACAGCCTTGGATATCTCTTTTAGCTCGGCGCATCCGCTCTCCGGAATAGCATCGAAGAATCGGAACTCGCATGCAACTTGCCAGGCCGCTAGGTCGTACAGGGTACAAATCAGGTTACGAACCTCCGTCTTCGGACCGTTGACGAGCCTCAGTAGGTCATGAGCAGCGTCGTTCAAAGCAGTACGTAGGCTGGCGAACTGGGTCGTCTCTGGAATGCTCTCGGATGAAGGTTCGAAGGTTGGCTCGGGCAGACCATTCGAAGAAAGACCCTCCACGATTTGCGTTGCCGTTTGTTGGACCTGCAACGCCAAGCGGAGCAGATTGGAGTTCGCTTTGTCGGCCATGTTTTGAGTGTGCTTGAACGGACGGCTAGGTGTTCCTGAAGCTTTGGAAAGTGGAAGATGGAGGAGGGCTGGATGCCAACGGTCTTTAAATCTTTAGCGAAGGAAGTAGTACCTAAAACTCCCTAATCTTTCATTTCCACAAATATTGACTTCTGCACAGGGTCGAAGCACGTCCACCCGGCTTACCAACAATGCGAAACTCGTATTATCAACTAATTACACGTGTCAAATCACTCTCTTCCGGAACTGCACCAATGGCCCTTCTCGGATCGCCATATACGCGTCTCGCAACTGGAACTGGTTTCCGAGTCGCCTTCCCCAACCCAGACTCGGGTTTCCTTCCCCTAAAGCGCTTCCCGGAACTATCCTCACATCCATGCGAAATAAGGTTCTGCCCAGCAACATCATCAATTCCGTGATGGCTATGTGCTGTCCGATGCAGCTGCCCGAGCCCTTGAGAAACGGATTGAAGCCATTTTTCAGACGCGCCACTTCATCAGCGGTGATGTCATTCTCCTCTGAAACGAGCCATCTCTCGGGGCGATATGTATTAGCGTCGCCGTAGAATTCTTCACTGTGGCCGTTCGCCCAGCCTGCAGTCCCGACGACGACGCCTTCGGGATAGTATTCGCCGTCAATAGACATGCCTCCACGGAGCACTACACGAGGGAACTCACTCGGTCCCGGAGGAGCCATGCGCAGTGCTTCATCGATGCAAGCTCGAAGATAGGTACTGGATGTGAGTGCGGGCCCGGGTCGAATTTCCTCCGCGGAAGTGAAGGTCGTGCGGATTTCACGCGTCAGCTTATTGTAAACGCGAGGATCGCGACAGATGTAGAAGAATAAGGCGCTGATGGTAGTCGCTGTAGTGTCTCTTCCTGCAATGATGAGGAGGTGTGTCTCGGCCAGAAGTTCCTCTAGCGAGTAGGCGGGCGCTCCGGTATTCGGATCAGTCGCGGTACAAAGGAAGTGGAAGATGTCTTCGCGAACGTGGGAAGATTGCGACTTTCTTTCTAGCGCCAGTCCTTGAGCTACGCCTCTGGCGACGAAGTCATAATACTGCTGGACTTCTCTTGGTGCCACTGCTTCCAGAAGCCTGTTGAGACCGCGGGGTTTCAGCCAGACGACGAGGTCCAGAAACGGAGATTTTGTGACCTTGGTAAGTCAGTACTTCGAGTCTAACCGCTGTGGGTGCGAATGGGGCTATCTTACAGGATAGATAAACTGCATGAACTTGACGATGTGGCTTGGAATATCTATGAAAGGATTGTTGGTCGATGCCGCCTCTTTCGTGTCGAAAGATTTTCCGAAAAGTAAGTCACCGAACAGATCGAATACCAGCTTATCCGCCAATGGACTGATATCACGGGATGATGACCAGGCTGAGTCCTCCAGGTCAAGAGTCGCCAGCTCGTTCCACCTGTCGATGTGTCGGGCGATAGTATCCGATGCAGACTTGGTGGAACGCTCATTGAACGCAAGGCTCAGCAAACGCCGCTTCTTCGCATGGAGGACCGGATCCGTAGTGTTCAAGGTGTTCCGGTCGTTCTGGTTCCGTGGCCACGAGTCATAGAAGTTGGACTTCTTGACGTTTGCTCTGGACCCATAGATGCTATTAAAAGCCTGTGCGGAACAGAAGAGCACCATGTTCGGGGTCGCTCGGAACTTGTTTCCTACAATGCAAGGCGTTAACGCCGCGAAGAGTCCCTAATAGTAGATGATGCTTACCGTAGACTTGGAAGCATTGCCATATCCAAATATGTCTGTCGCCTTTGCAAGCATGATAGAATGATGGCCAGGAGGAAACCCTGGCGAGAAACGGGCCTGGGCATTTGGCCAAAGGGTGCAAGAAAACGTTGTAGATCGTCTTTCCGATAGCCTACGCGTGAAAATTTAGCTTCCATTCTATGTCCTCGCAGCTCCGATGGGCTCATACGTAGGCTACGACCAGAAAAACGGAGAGAAGAGTAAGAGAGGCCATGTTGAACTCAGCAAAGACCATGCCTGAATAGCCTTCCATGAGAGGTGCGACTCGCGTTCACATACTTTTGTAGCACAAATGGGTTGGTAATCAGATGGAGAAACCTCTCTACCGGCAGCCAACTCCGAGCCCAACGCATCTCAACTATTGAGGAACAGACGTTGTTTATCCTCGGGAATTACACGACAGGATGCAGAGCGTAAGGCAGACGCAGACCCCGGAGACTCGTTTGCCTTGTTGGATTTCATGGTCCTCACCGTTAACACACTTCGCCCCCCTCCATCTTGGGAAAAGCTAAACTGTGATTGGTTGTTTCTAAATGCAAATTGCTGAACGGTGATCCTACTGCAGTCTTCCCTTTGAGGCAGGTGTGATTGAAAGAGATATGGTGGTTCGACGTCTGTTGGGAACCGCTAGGCACTTCTCCAGCATTTACCACGGCAATACATGTGAAACGTTCAATTTCAAGACACGGCGAATTAGCGCCACAATTGTGGAGAATGAACGTGCCAGATTCAACTCCAAACGCGTCCTGACATAGACGAAGCACTCGCATGCGAGGGCAGCATGACACAGTATTCTCTGATACGTGATGAACTTCCATATAATCCCCTCTCGAATATATCGATGTTTGAGCGTCCTTAGGCAAATTCTAGAACTAACATACGAGTACTCATCGCCGCGGGTTTGGCGAGGCACGGCCTCAGCTTAATAATATGCCTATCTCATGATGGCAAGAGACTTGCGCCATGGTTCGCTGTCTTCTTTACACGCGTGAAGTCTGGTGCACCACAGTATCCGTATCCGTGCCTACAGTCCACAACTCATACTCGTGGACCATAGCATCCCCGCTGCGTTTGCCGGGCCTGCCAGCACTCTCCGCACTCCTGGCCGGCGACGTCGATGCCCCTGGGCTTCCATCACCTCCTGACCGTAACGCTGAGCGACTTCGACTACTTCTCAGCAAGCTCCGTGAGTAGCTCACGACGGTTCTGGACGCAGCGTATGTCTTGGTCCAGACGGGTCGATACATGGGCAGGCAGGCGCAGACAAAGGCAGCGGTGAGATGGATGCCGGACCAGAGATGCACAACGATGTAGTCCGCTAACGCCACGTTAGTTCAGAAACGAAGTTGTTTGCGTAGACCTCACGGATCTTCTCCCCTGGCTTGTACACCTTTGCCAGGCGGATAATTCCCGATATGATGACACTGTTGTAAAATCACACCAGTCAGCCTTCGATCTACCAGAGTCAATCGACTAGTGAGCCTTACAACGCGCCGAGTAGGAAGATGGCGAGAATGGATAGGCGGGATCTCAGAGAGAGCGATAGTTTCAGCACCGGGCGTACAGGAAGCGCCAGGATCCCGATCGTGATGAAGATTTCCAGAATGCCGTTAGCGAGGACGAAAACTATGTAGCTTCCGCATTTGTCGAGATCTTTCATCTTCCAAAAGTTGGAGGGAGGGATGCATAGGAGGAAACCTCCAATGGCACTGCCGATGCCCCATGCTCCGATGAGGCAAAAGAGGATCCACGAGTTTCGAACGAAGCCGCTTTCCAATCGGAAGATACGAAGGTAGAAGCAAATGATACTGAAGCAAATGCACATTACGCATGGGTGCCAGAGTGTCGAGTTGACGTCGCTGATCTGCACAGATGAGTAAGTCTTGCCATGTCGGTATAGACAAGTATTTTCGGACATACAAGAAGGAAGTTTTCTGCCGCTTTGCGTTCGCCATGGCTGATAAGCACAGCGGCTGGCTGTCCGCCGTGGCTCTGGAAAAGAGCTGCTTGCCTATCAGTTGCGTCTCAAATCGCAACATAGTTGAAGTGCAGCTTACACCATAGAAGCAGGCCTTCTACTATATAATTCAAACACGCAGCGGCCAAGATCCAGAAATCGTCCCATCCAAATCGCAGTTCTTCACGGGAGAGCTTGCACAAAAACCGTAGGCCGACTGCTACGAGGACAACCGCACAGCGGACGACGAGAGTTCGAAATTCGTGAAATGCGTTTTCGCTCCATCCGTCAAAGCCAGCCATGGTATCTTGATCGAGGCTTATACACGAAAAAGGCTAATGGGTAGTACAATAAACAAGCTAATGGGGCGGCGTAGGGCAGCGCAGTGGGAGACTAGAGGCTAGGTAGGCAAGGCTGCGGCGAGGCAATGAGCAGCCTTTAGGAGAAGGTTGACACTGGAAGCGAACCCATATCGCTAAGGACCAATAAAGTACGCCCAACTCGTGGAACAACAAGCCCATTGGCTACCAAGTCCGTTGGATTTTGTACTCCCCGAGGGTAAATTGTTATGGGCCAATCCACCGTCATCATCGTAGGTTGCATGATATTGGCGTTCGCCACATACCTAGGTATGCGCATGGTCAATTGATTGATTGATCCTTTCCTCCCATGCACACGGACCCGAGTAATCCGCCAACTTGGGTTAAGTGCAATGATAACAACGTAGTTCGTGAAGCATGCAGTATTATCTCGCGCTGACAGTGACCAGATACCCGGAACGCATGGGACCCAGCCGCCCAGCTAGGACTCACGCCATGATAAGCGGCGCAGCCACGGCGCCTGCGCATTCGAACAGCGTCCATGGATTCAGACTTCCCACAGGCACTCAGCGCAGAGTTGCGTTTCAAACCCATCGACAAGCGATAGCTGCAACCCAGAGTCTACTCAACACAAATGGCACCGGAGGCGTTCGATGCCGTGGTAGTAAGTGCTGCACCTTCATGCATCTCTATCCTGCTGACACCGCGATAGGTAGGAGGCTCGATCGCGGGCCTCATGCACGGCATCGTGCTGAAAAACCTCGGGCGCAACGTGCGCGTTCTCGAAAGCCGCCAACCTCGTCAACTCAAGGCCCAAGCAGCGGGGTTGAGTCTTGGCCCAGAGGCGCAAAAGCTGGTGCAGATGTACCTGCCTGAAGGGGATCCGTACGCCTGCGAAACTCGCATCACGCAAATACTCAGCAGTGAAGGGATTGTCTTGAATGAGATCCCGCCGGCCATTTCAGTCATCACGTCGAGTTGGAGCGTCGTGTTTGACAGACTGAGGGCGAGGTTCGAAGAGCCTGAGGAGGGCAAAGGAAAGACCTCTTTCGAAACGGGGCAAAGAGTTACAAGCGTCGAAGACAAGGGCGACTTTATCCTCGTGCGTATCCAAGGCGAGTATGGAGGCGACGAGAAGACCATACAGTCGAAGCTCGTGATAGCAGCTGATGGAGCGCGTTCCACTATTCGAAGCCAAGTTATGGCCGATGTCAAGCCTGAATATTCTGGATATCTCGCCTGGCGAGGCTGCGTCCCAGAAGCTAAGACGCCTGAGGCAATGAAAGGTGCTCTGGATGGTAAAATGATTATGGCAATGCTCAAAGGCGGCTGCATCATTTCGTAAGGCTCTTGTATATCTCAACGGGGTTCGCCTGCTCATGTCGGGAACCAGGTACTTAACGCCCGGTCTCGATGGAAGCACTGCCCCCGGAGAGCGCCTTCTCGACTGGTGCTGGTATGAATATTGCGATGGCGAATCCCCTGCGTTTGGCGAGATAATGACCGATGCGGCCGGGCATCGACATAATCAGACCGTCCCGCGCGGGGGTCTCAGCGAGAAAGTTTGGGAACGACAATTAGCTCATGCTGGAGAGGTTCTGCCCGCACATTGGATGGAGATTGTGAGGGAAGCCGATCTCCCCCTCGTCACAGCGATCCGCGGATTTGAGGGATCGAAGGCATCCTTCTGGGGAGGGAAGTTATTACTGGCTGGTGAGGCTTTCACTCAAATGCGGCCCCATTTGGGCCTGGGATGTAATCTTCCTGCACTCCAAGCTTTGACCCTCCTGGAGGTGTGGAAGGGGGAAAAGGCTCTTGGCGACTGGGAGAATGAAGTGGTTGAGTACGCGAAGGAGTTTGCGCTCCGCAGCAAAGCCGCAGGACACTTTGGGATGACTGGTAAATGGCCGGAAGGGTATGTTCCGCCCTATCTGCGGAAGGCAGCTTCGAAAGCTTAGCGGTAGTCCCTGGGCCATGCGCAGTTGAGCGGGCAAACCAGAGAGGAGGGGCACCACATGGACCTCGACAAAATGGCGCCCATGCCGGCCAGTGAGATTGTAGCCATGCTATCATCTTCCTATCTCATCCATCAGGATCTATGCACATTTGCAAAATCCTTCTGCGCCTAGGCTATACGCCATTAATTTTCGCTCACCGAGGCATGCGCCAAGCGGGCCGATTTTGAACGGGCCCAAGGCCCTGGTAGTCGTATGAAAATCAAAGTGGGCGGGCGTCCTCAGGTCCATGGAGCCTTGGAAGCATCCCCACACCTCCGCGACGGGAACGGCCCGGCCCACAGAACACCCCTGGATCGGCGGATAAATAGCTCGCCGGAACTTTAGTTCCCCGCAGCGGAGCATACACGAAACCGGAAAAGAAGCTCTCGCCCCCGCCCTGAACGTGCGTCGGGAACCAACGGACCAATCACCCCACTTGCCCATGCGCGCGGTAGGATTCTGTTCAATAACGGCACTTGTTTCTGGCGCCTCGGCCGGTGCGGGAAGATCATCGCTTTGCAGAGCTTGGGTGACGAACCCGTGTCCGGCCCCCATCATGAAACCATACCCCAAGATCTATCTCTGAGCATGGAAGTAGAAGCCGTGTCACCAAGCTGATGTTCACGTCGGATTTTCAGGGTCTTCGAAGGGGCGGAGAACCATGCTGCAAATGTCTCGATCCTAGCATTGGGAGCAGTGTAGTTGCAGATGACTGGATGGTAGATTGGGCTTCCATATGAAAGGCCCTTCGAGTCCGACGTTGCGATGAGGCGTCTGGTACGAAGTCGGAACTCTGGAAGCCAGGTAGAGAGCCCTCACACTTTTCGAGTTATCTGCTCTTGCTATTATATGATACGTGAAGCCGGATCACGGACTGATCATCGCATTCGTCTTTCGCTTTCCTAGAACCATTCGCAATGGCTCCCCCATATCTCGAAGAACCACTCGGCGATGGCTCGTGGGCCGCCCCAGCCAGGGGACACTCTGAACATATATCGACGCGACCGGAACTAGAACCCATTGCCATAATTGGGTTCGCCTTTACGTTTCCGGGCGGGGTGACTTCTGAGGAGAGTCTATGGGACATGTTGATTAACGGTCGAGTTGATGAAGCGAAATACGCGGAGGATAGGTTCAGCGACAATGCTTTCAGGTCGATGCTCGATCGGGAACCTGGAAATGTGAGGCGAACGTTTACATTTTAGTTGGCACGAGACTAAGCAATATCAGTTACCGGCCCAGGGAGCGCACTTCCTGAACGAGGATATCAGTGCTTTTGATGCTCCGTTCTTCTCCATTTCGTCCGCCGAGGCGGCCGGTATGGATCCGCAGCAAAGGAAGCTCCTGGAGACGACTTACTGGGCTCTCGAGAATGGTACTGTGCCTCGCTAATCACACTGTAATGGAGCGTTAACTCTGCGTAGCCGGATTACCCACGGAGTCCATACGCGGCTCAAAGACGTCAGTCCACGTCGGCTGCTTCACGGGCGACTACAACTTAATGCAGTGCAAGGATCCAGATACTATGCCGACATACCACGCTACAGGAAGTTCTGGGGCGATCCTCGCTAACCGAATTAGTTGGTTCTTCGACTTGAAAGGACCAAGCGTGACGGTAGATACGGCATGCTCGAGCAGTTTAGTGGCTCTCGACCAAGCCTGCCAAGAGCTCCGCCGGAAGCAAACGTCTACGGTAAGCTTCTAGGCCATGCACTTTCAGTACTTCCGCTGACCACCGCGATCAGGCTATCGTCGGCGGTTGCAATATAATCTGCACTCCCGAGTCGTTGACCACCATTGGCAGGATGGGGTTCCTGTCCCCGGATGGCCTTTGCCATAGCTTCGATGAACGCGGTAGCGGATATGCTCGCAGCGAAGGATTCGGTGTACTAATACTCAAATGTGTTTCGGATGCGATCCGTGATGGAGATTCGATCCGAGCCGTACTGCGTGCGACCGCCACGAACCAAGATGGAAGGACCGTCGCTCTGGCGCAGCCTTGTGCAAAGGCTCAAGAAAGCTTGCTACGCTCCACTTACGAAGCTTTCAATCTTGACAGAAGCCTAACGAGGTTCGTCGAAGCCCACGGAACAGGGACGGCTGTCGGAGATCCGATTGAGGCCAACGCCTTAGGACAGTCGTTTGGGGACGTTTGCGACGAGGCGAGGCCCATATTCCTGTAAGCTCTATTGCGGTTGCACAAACGTTCAGCATCGCTAACGCCGCCATAGAGGCGCGAGCAAGGCGAACCTGGGGCACTTGGAAGCCGCGAGCGGTATTGCCGGGATTATCAAAACCATCCTCGTATTGGAAAAAGGCATCATTCCCCCGATTGCGCAGCTTGAGCGTGTTAATGGTAGAATAACCGCGCCGAATTTGAGAGTAAGTCTACTCTATGTTCCGTTAGTAACCAGCTGACAAGTCGAGTTTCCTACCGTCTGCACTCCATGGCCGCAGGATGGCCTCCGGAGAGCGTCCGTTCAGTCATTTGGGTTTGGTGGCACGAACGCCCATGCCGTTCTTGATGACGCATACCACTTCCTACAAACCCGTGGCGTTGTGGGCAATCATCGTGCCGAATCCATGTCATCCGCCACCAACCAGGGAAGCCTCTTAGCGCAATCCAGTGCGCCAAAGCTCCTCGTGTGGTCGGCTCCAGACAAGGATAGCTTAAAGAGGGTTATTAGCTCCTATGTGGATTACTTCAGCCGGGAGCTTGCCGACCGAGAGGCCAGCGAGAGATGGCTCCATCGTCTGGCACACACTCTAGGCAAGAGGCGAACCTCATTCCCTTGGAAATACTTCCAGGTCACCGATTCTTCGAGCCAGCTACAGAAGCTCGAAGTCAGTTCAATGAACCTCAGGATGGCTCTCGACGACCGTAAGCTCGCGCTGGTGTTCACTGGGCAAGGCGCACAATGGCCAGGCATGGGCCACGACCTGCAGAAATACCCCGTTTTCCGTGAGAGCCTGCTCTTGTCAAACAAATACCTCAAGAGTATTGGTTGCGAATGGTCACTGACGAACGCCTTTGATGGTAACTTGGATCTGGATATTAGTTGCGCGGAGGTCAGTCAATCAATCTGCACTGCGTTGCAGATTGCATTGGTGAATTTGCTGCGATCGTTCGGTGTGTCATTTACTTGCGTTATCGGACACTCGTCAGGAGAAATAGGCGCAGCGTAAGTGTCTCGAGAAATGCGTGCAAAAAGGGGAACTAACAATGCTGCTAGATATGCGATCGGGGCGTTGTCTGCACGAGCCGCCATGATGCTCGCTTGCTTCCGCGGAAAACTGTCCGACCGTCTGGCAAAGTGCACGACATATCGTGGCTCAATGATGGCGGTGGGACTCTCCGAAGATGAAGTGGCTCCGTACCTGCAGTCGCTCAAAGCGGAGATCCCGACGGCCGACGTCGTTGTTGGTTGCATCAACAGCCCGCGCAGTATAACCCTCTCCGGTGAAGGATCTCAAATCGCTGCCTTGCGAACGACTCTCCAGAAGGATGGCGCCTTCGCGCGTATTCTCAAAGTCCCCGTAGCTTACCACTCTCACCAGATGAGTGCGATAGCCTCAGAATATGAGTCATTGATTAAGGGCATCGACGAAGGCGACCACCACTCCAATAGGGCCGTCATGATCTCTTCCGTTACCGGAATGAAAGTCTTGAAGGAGACGCTTCGCAATCCGCAGTACTGGGTGTCGAACCTCGTATCACCCGTCCGGTTCTCCGAGGCACTGTCTCACGCAATAACTCGAAGCCAAGGTGACGTGCAGCTTAGCTCCGAGATAGATACAATGCACAGCATCCTTGAGATTGGACCGCATTCGACTCTGCAGGGTCCAGTGAGAGAGATACTGCAGAAGGCTGCCCCAGACGCAGGCATAACGTATCATTCGACCTTGAGTCGAAACCAGCCTTCTATCCCTTGCATCCTAGGAGCTTTGGGAGAGCTCTTCTGCAAAGGCCATGTGGTCAACATCTCGGAAGTCAATCGCAACTACCACAACGCTAAAAGTCAGCCTTCAGCGATCCTGGGTCTTCCGCGGTATCCTTTCGATCATTCCAACAAATATTGGGCAGAGTCTAGAGTCAGCAAGAATTTCAGATTCCGCCCTCATCCGCCTCATGACTTGCTAGGCGTTCCAGTACCGGACTGGAACCCAATGGAACCGAGATGGCGGAATATGTTGCGGATTGAGAGACTACCCTTCATCGAGGACCACAAGATAAACGACTCCATCGTCTATCCTGCAGCAGCAATGATAGCCGCCGCTCTCGAAGGCGCGCGACAGCTAGTTGATGGTCGAGAGATTCGTGCCTATGAAGTGAGGGAGGCCGCCTTCATAAATGCGTTAGTTTTTCCGAACATCTCGACCGAGATCGAGGTGGAGCTCCGGTTTAGACAGGTCGTTCAAAAGGATTCGGCGCAAGTAGACAAGTCCACTTATGAGTTCCGCTTATACAGTTATCAGAACGAAACCTGGACGCACCATTGCCAAGGTATAGTTTGTGCGTTGTATCGGACGGACCGGAAGTCGTACTTTACGCAGAAGGACCCAGTACAGGCAGCGTTGCAACAAGCCGTCGAGGTTTTCAGTGGAATGGAAACTAGCCAAGCGAGGAAGCTTGAGAAGTCCGCGCTATATGAGCAACTCCTCCGACGGTTCGGATATCAGTATGGAGCAACATTCCAGGGACTACACAGCGTGTTCTCTGATGGCCAGAGTAAGGCCACCGCACGCATCCTGCCACTGTCTGAACAGGACAAGGATCGAGCTCGAATTCGGCAGCCTCACATCATTCATCCCGCGATCCTTGATGCTGTTCTCCAACTGGCGCTGGTGGCAGCTGCTAAGGGTGGGAACAATCCGATTCCGACTATAGTGCCACAGCGGGTACAGCGGCTCTGGGTTTCCACTGCTGGGCTCCGCTTTCTAGACGACGACAACATCTGTGTCATCGCAGAATCCGCTATGAGGAGCAGACGGAAAATGGAGGCGTCGGCGTCTGCATTTTGCCCCGGAAGTAACGAATTACTGGTCGAAATCGATGGCTTCGAAGGAACTTCCGTCTCAAAAGTCGCGACCAATGCATCCATGCCAGAGGAAGCGGTTGGACACCTTTGCTTCCGAATGGAATGGCATCCAGATGTCGACTGCATGAGCCGTGAGCAGATAATGGCTCACTGCTGGAGCAGCATAACGCCTGAAACACAAGAGAAGGACCTGATCGACTTCGAGCGCGAGGTTACGGTACTAATCTTCCACTCTCTCATCCAAGCCCAGCAGAGGCTGGCTTCCGAACCAATCACATTTACGAGACCGTACTTCGATAAATACGTGCGGTGGATGAAGTCGCAAATCCAAGCTTTCGAATCGGGGCAGTATCCTGAAGTTCGGGCCCGATACTTATCTCTGGAGAAGAACCCGAACGAGATGAGCAGGGTGCGACGGCTGGCGGATACCAACGGCATGTGGCGCTTCTACGGTGCCGTCGCCGATAACCTCTTCAACATGCTGAGCGGAAAGTTGGACCCTTTACAGCTGCTCTTTGGTGACGACTATGCGACAGACTTCTACAATGAGAGCAATCGCTATTCGCGATGCGGACATGCGCTTGCAAACTATCTTGAATTGCTTGCCCATAAAAACCCGGGAATGCGGGTCCTTGAGGTGGGCGCTGGCACTGGATCCACGACGAGAATGGCGTTGCAAGCCCTGAAGACCCAGGAGGATGAGGAGTTGCCGGAAAGTGCTCGCCTCTGTAGATGCTCTCGGTACGACTTCACAGATATCTCGCCTTCGCTGGTCGGCGCCGCGCAAGAGGAATTCGGACCCGCCCATCCCAGAATGGGATTCAGTCGTTTGGATGTCGAGTGGAATCCGGGAGATCAAGGCTTCGAACTCGGATCCTACGATGTGATCATCGCCGCGAGTGTTTTGCATGCTACGGCGGATATTTCCGAAACGCTTAGGAATGTAAGGGCGTTGCTCAGACCAGGAGGGAAATTGCTCCTGTTCGAGAACGTAAGACCCGACCACGTTCGCATGGGATCCGCTTTTGGCTTGCTCCCCGGATGGTGGCTGGGTGTTGAGGATTCTCGGCAAAACTCCCCATGCCTCAGCGAAGATCGGTGGAATGTAGCTTTAAGGAGCAATGGCTTCTCCGGTGTCGACGTCGAATTTCGAGATTTCGCATCTGAGGAGTGCCACGAGACCAGCGTTATCGTCTCCACTGCCGTGGATCGCTCACTGGTGCATGACCTTGCAAGGAATGGGACTAGCTGGCCTCTGATCATAGCCAACGTGCACGATGCGACGGAAATGGCACTCGCAGAAAGAGTGCGGCTTTCGTTGCAGACCAATCTTGGTCTTCCATGCATTATGGGTTCTTTGGAAGTCACAGCGGCAAGCCCAGCACATGCCGGAAGAGACTGCATCCTTTTGAGCATAAAGCATGCCTCCAAGTCCCTCATGGAGGCCGAGGGGTCCTTCCTCGCTGTTCGATCTCTGGTCAAGTCCTGCTCTAGTATCCTCTGGGTGACAGATGGAGGTGGAAAACAACCTCTGAGCCCAGACCATGGGATTGTTCAAGGACTATCCCGCACCGTCCGGAGAGAGAAGAATGACCTTCGCTTCACTACCCTTGCATTGGAGTCTCCGGAGGTTCGCTTTTACCAGCATGCGGACATGGTTATTCAAGTGTATCGACAAATGGCGGAAGCAAAAGATGTCACGTCGTATGAGCCCGAGTTTGTAGAGATTAACGGGGTCCTCCACACGAACCGAATATTAGAAGCGCCCAACCTCAATGCCAGCGTCTCCCGCTCGATGTCGGGCTATGACAATCGGCCCCGCAAGTTTGGGCACAGCGTCCCCTTGAGGTTATCGACAGGGTCCGATACCGGCCTCCATTCTTTGCGCTTCGAGGACGACACGGATGTTGCTCTTCCACTTGAAGAGGACGAGATCGAAATCCAGGTGAAAGCAGTAGGCTGCAATTTTATGGACGGCCTTTCGGCTCTCGGACGGGTCGATGTGGACTTCATAGGTCTCGAAGTGACAGGAACAGTCAGCAAGACGGGCTCCAGAGCCTGCGCACTACAAGTGGGTGATGAAGTCATTGCATTTAGTCTGGACGCATACAGAACGTACGTCCGAACGAAAGCGTGTCTGGCCATGCCCTTACCACCGAGCCTCTCATTCGTACAGGGAGCCTCGATTCCGATAAACTTCGCAACGGCGTACCGAGCTCTCTTTGGTATTGCGAGGCTGCAGAGGGGAGAATCGGTCCTGATTCATTCCGCAGCAGGTGGCACGGGTCAGGCTGCATTACAGCTTGCGGGGCATGCCGGCGCGAAGGTTTTCGCTACAGTGGGATCCGACCAGAAAAAGCAGTTTCTAGTCGATTACTATGGTCTCCAAGCTGACCACATTTTCTCAAGCAGGGACAACTCCTTCGTAGGCGCTATCCGTAAGGCCACTGCGGAAATAGGCGTCGATGTGATGTTGAACTCACTTTCTGGCGAGCTTCTGCACGCTAGCTGGGAGTGTATAGCTCCATACGGACGGTTCGTCGAAATAGGAAAGAACGACATCCGGCAAAGGTCGCGCATCGACATGGCTCCCTTTGCTAGGAACACAACATTCGCGTCCGTGGACCTAGCTGCAATGATTCGACAATGCCCAGAAACGGCGGGGAGGCTGCTGCATAACGTGGCCGACATGGTCGTCAAAGAGCATGTCCGGACATTGGAGACGACAACCTATAGTGTCAACCGGATCGAGGACGCACTGAGGTTTCTTCTGAGTGGGAGGTCGCAAGGAAAAGTCGTCATTAAAGTCGAGGAAGGGGCCATAGTCCAGGTATGCGTAGCCGGAATGTGATAGCCGATAACAAATACTGATTGAAGAAAGGCAACAACGCGTCTTGGGCGGGGCAGCCTCTTTGCTCAGGACGCTACCTACGTCATTGCGGGAGGTCTTGGTGGCCTAGGGCGTAGTATCGCTCGGTGGATGGCGACAAGGGGCGCACGAAATCTGCTTCTGCTATCTCGCTCCGGGATTGAGCAGCCGAAGGCGTCCAAGTTCATCCACGATATGAGATCACAAGGAGTTCAGATTGAGTGCCCACGATGCGATGTCAGTGACGCAAGGGCGTTGAGTGTTGTTCTGGAGTCCAGGAGTCTGCACATGCCGCCCATCCGAGGATGTATCCAGGCATCTATGGTTCTCAAGGTAGGTAGTTTTTTTATGGTCGGTCCCGTTGACGTTATCGGGGCTGACGTGTGACAGGACTCTGTTTTCGAAAACATGACCTGTGCGGATTTTAATGCGCCGCTCGCTACCAAGGTCAAAGGATCCTGGAACTTGCATTCCCTTCTTCCCTCTGATCTGGACTTCTTCCTCATGCTGTCCTCGGTGGCAGGAATATTTGGAAGTGGAGGACAAGCGAATTACGCCGCTGGGAATACCTACCAGGACGCACTGGCTCGATATCGGGTTCGATCAGGACAGAAAGCCGTCTCCCTCGATCTTGGAACAATGCTTTCGGAAGGCTATCTAGCCAACGCCCCGGAAACGATGGATCGTCTGGCAAAGACGGACGGATTGCAGCCAATCAGCCAAGAGGCTTTGTTCGCGCTTCTGGAACACTATTGCGATCCCTCGGCGGATTCAGGACATCAGCTCATCCTGGGGCTTGGAATACCAGCGGACCTGGGTGCAAAGGGTATTCAACAACCATGGTGGTCTGAGCAGCCGTTGTTTCGCGCCTTGCACCAAATACCGGGAGACGAGCACGCCGAAGCGCCGGCCGAATCCAAGGATGAGAAGGCCATCGAAATAGGCCATGCATTCCGCAGCGTAAAGGACGTGGAGCAGCTCAGGAGCCTCGCCGTCGAAGCGCTTATCAAGCGCTTGAATCGTATAATGCCGGGAACGGTTGGTGGGGAGCGCGAGGAAAGAAGCACAAAGCTCAAAGCACCACTTCATAGCCTGGGTATCGATTCTCTCGTGGCTGTGGAGCTTCGAAATTGGTTCTCCAAGGATATGGGCGCGGATATCGCTACCTTCGAGATCCTGGGCGGTATGGGACTGGAGAAACTGGCTGCCGCACTCGTCGCGCGTAGCACACTGGTTCTGAGGAATTAGACGGGAGAATGTGACGAGACTGGGGGTGCCTGACAAGCGCCGTCTGATAGAAGGAAAGACGGGAATGGGGATGTTGACATGAGGTTGCTTACATAGCGGGCTTGGCGTGTTTTAGACTGCTGTAACGGTGTAAGGGCCTCGGCATCTAATGAAACGCCGACTCAACCCCACGAGGCGTCTATCCATCACCATCGCCATAGCCTCTCTCTTCAATATACATCACACTCGCGTCGAAACACGCCGAAGTCGCTTTGGGGCTGTCGATGCACGTGCGGCCGGCTCTTTTCCTAATTGCCCGGCTGCACCGCTAGCGGCGTCATGCAGAACCCTGCTGGCCGCCGGCGATATTCATGAACACCTTCCTCTCTGCGTCCCTCTGACCCGCAACGGAGCCAGGCCCGCGCCGCCCTGCCCATTGCCCTTGCAATGATGGCGCGCACCTGGCAGAGGATAAAAGGGCCGCGGGCGCAGGACTACGACCTCCTGCCGCTGAGCGAGAAGCTGCCCGACTCGCCCTCCAAGTCCCGAAGAGAGCAACGTCGGACGAGCTTCAAGTGCCTCTGCTACACACTGGGTGGTGTGCTGCTCGTTGCACTCGGCACCATCTATGGCGTCGACAGGTAGGCGCTTCCGCCTCGTTGCGGCTCTCTTGTTCAGCACATTGATCCTCCCAAGGTCGCTCGCCGCGCCGACGACGAACAAGTCCTGCGACACCATCGACGAGGGCTATCGCTGCAGCCCCGAGATCACCCACTTCTGGGGCCAGTATGCCCTCTGGTTCTCGGTCCCGTCCGAAGTCGACGTTGACGCTCCCGAAGGCTGCTCCGTGAGCTTTGCCAGCGTCCTCTCGCGACATGGCGGAAGAGACCCCACCATGGGCAAGACCATTGCCTACGGGGCGACCATCGCGCTGATACAGAACTCGAGCACCGCGTTCCCGGACGAGTTCGCATTCTTGAAGGACTACAAATACACGCTTGGCGCGGATCAATTGACGGATGCGGGGCGGCAAGAGATGGTGAACTCGGGCGCGCATTTCTACCAAAGATACAAGAAGCTGCTGAAGGAGAATGCGCCATTTGTGCGCTCCTCCGGGCAAGACCGTGTTGTCGAATCGGCGAACAAGTGGCTCCAAGGCTACGCTCAAGCGGCAAAGCAGTCGTCGCCAGCCTCAATCGACGTCACCATCCCCGAGGGCGCCGGCATCAACAACACCCTCTCGCACGAGATCTGCACCGCCTTTGAGTCCGGGCCCGCCGACAAAATCGGCGACGCCGCGCAGGACATCTGGATCGCCCAATTCGTCCCCCCGATCCAAGCCCGCGTCAACTCCAAGCTCGGCACCAACCTCAGCACCGCCGAAACCATCTACCTCATGGACATGTGCCCCTTCGACACGCTCTCCTCGCCCACCGCCCGGGTCTCCGACTTCTGCCGCCTCTTCACCGAGGCCGAGTGGCACCAGTACGACTACTACCAGAGCCTGGGCAAGTACTACGGCTACGGGAACGGCAACCCGCTCGGCCCGACGCAGGGCGTTGGATACGTTAACGAGCTTCTCGCGCGGCTGACCCAGACACCCGTGCAGGACCACACGAACACGAATCAGACACTGGACGCGGATCCCGCGACGTTCCCGCTGGACCGCAAAGCATACGCCGATTTCAGCCACGACAACGACATGAGCGCCATCTTCGCCGCGCTGGGCCTGTACAACAGCACGACGCCGCTGTCCAACACCAGCATCGAGGATACCACGGCAACGAACGGGTTCTCGGCGGCCTGGACCGTCCCGTTTGCCGCACGCATGTACGTGGAGAAGCTGAGCTGTGAGGACGCGCAGGAAGAGTACGTGAGAGTCATCATGAACGATCGCGTCGTGCCGCTGGAGTTCTGCGGCAGCGACGAGGCGGGGCGGTGCAGCTTGAGTGCGTTTGTGGAGAGCCAGAGCTTTGCGAGGGGCGGTGGGAATTGGGATCAGTGTTTTGCGGATTCTGTGGCATCCTCGCGCAGCTAGATGTGTGTTGTAGAGGTAGCTGTTATAATATTCGCCTCGGCATATAGCAGATGAGTCGTACATCTATACTTGCGTGCATATACCATTATCGTTGCGTCATTGCCTATTCCTCCCTCTCGTGACTGACACTCCCACACTTAGCCTTCATCATGTAACAAAAGCGGAGCACCTACCTATCCGCTACGCTACCGCCGTACTATACTATCTTCCTTGTCTTGTCTTGACAAGTCTTGTCTCCTACCGCTCAATAGCTCGCCCGTCCACCAGACAGATGCTCAAACAAAGAAAAGAACGCAGACAATGGCTTTCAATTCAGTCTAGCTCATCCATCTATGTGCGAGCAATGGTATTAGCATACAACACGCATGCATGCATACTTCCCGAAAGAGCAAATAATGCACACAACACCAGCAAACAACCTGCCAACACACACACACAGAACAGAAGCGCGAAGATTAAAACAACCCAACCCAAAGCTCGAACGTAATGACAAGCCATCAACCCCATCGACCCCAGCAACGCCCCAGCAAATCCATTTCCGCTTCCGCTTCCGCCACCAACATGACCACTCCCCAACCACCGCCCTACCCTCGCCACACTACTACTGCTGCTGCTCCTAAACTCATCCTCCGCTTCCCAAAGCACATCTGGAACGCCTATACTCCCAGCTCTTCCTCTACCCCTACTCCTATCCCTATCCCTATCCCTTCATCCCTTTCATCCCGCAAACCCAAACCCAAACCCAAACCCCCAGCCCCGTCTCCGAAGTCAGCGCCAAAGCGCTGCTCCTTCCGCCCCGGCCGCGCGTTCCACTACGGGCCGCACAGCGTGACGTACGAGGCGCCGTGCCTGCGGGAGACGTGTGCGAATTGTCGGCGGTGGTATGGGGGGAGTGGACTTGTTGTTGCGGAGGAGCAGGAGGATGGGGAGGATGAGGAGCGCAGAAAGAGAAAGAAAATCAGAAAGCTAGAGGGAAAGGAGAAGAGAACAAGAAGACCCAACCAGCGCACTGGCACGCCCACGCTCACGCTGCGTCTGCGCTACCAACAGCCGCGCTCTACGCAGCCCGCGAAGAGAAAGGTGAGTGAGTGAGTGCGCCCACCACCCACCCCCGGCACGCACGCACCCGAAAGATTTGATTGAGGACTGAAAGCCTGACGATCCCAGGACGACAAGCCGCAGGAACCGCTGAAGGGCATTCTCAAGCCTCCGTCACCGACGTTCGACAGCAAGGAGAGAGTGTTGGGCCGAGATGCGGGAGGCAGATATGCGGGCGGTGGGGGGAGGGGGAAGAAAGTGCGGTTTAGGTAGAGGGAGGGTGGAGAGGGGGTTTGGAAGGGAGGGGGTGACGAGGGGGGCGAGAAGGTGGAGAAGCAAATATGTGCCGTAGAGGAAGGGGACAGGACAAGATGAGATGAGGACTGACTGTGTGGCGAGTAGATGGATATTACAGGAATAATGAGACTGGGTTGACTGCTTCCACCCCTTTCTTGGCATACCTTGTGCCGTACGTAAACCAACTCCTCGTGCTCTTGAACCAACCTCGCGAAGGAAGATGTCGGTCGGTCTCGAGTCGTGAGCTCAGGAACCTAAACGTGACAAACGCGCATCCGCACTCATTCTCTCCTTAGACGAGAGACGTCAATGCATTTAGACTCTAACTGCCAGCGTTGATGTTTATCGCCAGGTACCACATCCTCACGTCCGGCTAAGATACTCAACCGTGCTTACTGAAAACTCTTCTTTCTCACTACATCGCTCTGTCAGAGCGGGCGGAGAACAAAGCCCGCTTTCGTAGTTAGTGGTCTAGCCTCATGCTCTGTTTTCTCCCCTTCTCCCTCGCTCGGTCAAACAAGACTGACGGCAAGAGAAGGTTATTGGGTACTATCGTCATCGCCGGAGAATCGGCACTGCATGCTCACGCCGTGTACGTCTTCTGGAGCAACACGTGCTGAGGTATGTGAGACATGTCTAGCGCAGTGGCGTCTCCGTCGTGGGATTGGTCTTGGTTGCACAGAAAGAAGGCCGTGAGAGCAACCTTGAATGAAATCGGTCAGCAACACTCCCTTGTGATCTTAGTCAGCCAGGGACATACGGGGCCCATGTTCAGGACGAGCGTAAGAATCCCGAGGCTCTAGACCATCATCCATGCAGCAAAGCCGCGTTCCCCGACCCAGATATCCGGGAACTCTGAGCGCGGGTCCTGGCACTCTACAAACTCGTCGGAGAGCGAGACATGCGGGCCAACGAGGATGAGGTTCCACGCACGGCACGGACCGGGCTCAGCCGCGCTGGCCTGCATGAACTGTCAGCGGGAACGGGATCAGAGACGTTTCGAACAGGCGGAGTCTGTGCTGACGTATGACGGAGGATTTCGGCGTGAAGTAAGCTGGGTTCGAAGTTCAGATTATGACCCTGACGTGGAGAAGAGCGCACGTATGAAACGCTTAACGGTCAAGACGTGCAGAGATATGACGAAAGGAATGCATTGTGGGAGAAAGCATCTGCATACGGATTTTTGGCTCACGGGTACAAGTTAGAGGAAAAGACTATACACCTTGGACGAAGATTTCGGCAAGTTCCAGGAAACCCTTTTCATGACGTGGCAGCATTGTAGAGTAGGGGCGACACAATGCGATGATCAAAAAGGTAAAAGGACAAAGAGATATGCTTCAAATCGATGTTAGCCAAGCCTCCTGAAGGTTGGTGGGCTGAGCATGGCGGGAGAAGATATCCGTTGCGGGCCATAGTCGCCATGCAGTATGTAGCACGTTTTCAAGCAATCCCGGTGGTAGACTCGTGCGTTATACAAGTCCGGCCTCGGGTCGTAATTCGATATTTATGGCGCGACCTGTCTCACGCGGCCCTTGAGGAACGTTCAAAGGATGAATGGCGACTTAGCGAGGGGTAACGTGAACGGATTTTGTCGCCACTACGGGGAAGGCGCCGAGGCGGCCTCTTGTGGTACCGCGTGGGCGGTAGCCCGTCAGATGTCAGATGTCAGTACCAGAAAGCCGGAAGGCGTCCTCATGATATGGTATCGTGCAACCTTGTGCAAGGAGTTGTTCCTTGGCCACAGACTGGCTCAGGGGGGAGAGGAAACGTGAAACAGGAAAAACAATCCCAACAACCTGCCTCGCGCCACGGATCAGGGACAGAGAGCCTCAGGTGCTTCCGTGGCTGCCACGCTAGAGTAGACGTGCGCTGAATTCTAAACTGCTCTCCAGCTGCGGGGCTTTCCGGTGATGTAGGTGACACTGCGGCTATTATTGCCATTGTCGTTCGATTCCTAACAACAGTACCAGGGTGAGTATGAACGAATGCCATCCAAGAATAGTGCTGTTCCGCGTCCACCGAATCCTCCTGTGTTTGTCAACGCGGCACAGCGAATCAAGACTGCCACCTGGCGCCAGCGAGTTGGAATTGAGGGATCGCGCCCTGGCTGCAAACGCGAACTCAGGTCTGCAGCCCTTGCGTCTCAAGGATAGATGGAATGCAGACAGACTGTAACCTTTGCCTGACACTCGGGTCTCTGAGGATGATCGCAAATGTAGTCAGGTTGCAGCGTGTCTATTCACCCTCCGCTCGTAACGCTGCGTAATTTCTTTTTACACAAATCAAATCAGGAGAGAAAGGAGGGTGTTGGAAGAAGGTCGAAATTGCCTCCTTCAGAGTTCCAAGGTTCGCTTTCGCCGTATCCCCTTGCTTACGGACAGGGGGTCCGTGAGATCGCAATCTCATTTGCGTCGTGGCAGCCAGGGCGCTTTACGCCTGACACACAAAAAACACATCCCAAAGGGTCCGAAAGTCTTTCTTCCTTTGCGGATTGCATACAATAACCTGCGTTTGACGAAAACCTTCATTGTCGCGTTCTGGGCGGGTGCGCCTGGAAGGGCGTGCGGTCTCCGTCAAGCTGCAAAGTTCCGGTGCGCGCTCCCAAGACGTCGGAGACGACCGGCTGTGGACTTCGTCTCCCTAGGCCAGGACCCACGCTTATTGGCGGTCGCTGACAGCATCGCGACTTGATCCCGGCGTCGGGGTGGCGCGATAGCGGCTTCAGCTTGAAAGGAGCAAACACGCATGATGAGAGTCCTGGAATGAGCCGTAAGCCGCGCTGACCCTTTCGTACCTATTGGATGCGAGGTGTGGCAGAAGGGGGGGGCGCGCGGGACAGAGTCCTGGCGACCCATCCACCCCGTGAAAAGCATGGTGGCAAGGCGAGTAGGAGCGAAGACTCGCGGACTGGATTCCTCGTGCAGCTGACGGGTGTATCGATTCTTATCCCCATGTCGAGCGAGATGCTGCAGCTATAACGCCATCGATATGATCGACGTCCGCATCAGGCGAGGCACATAACGCAGCCGCCCCGCGCCATCGCCCGCGCTGCAAAGTGACGAGATGTGATGAATCGAGGGCGGCCATTGGCATGCTGCCTTCCGGGTCGATCGTCTCCCACGGCTTTGGTACCTGGGTTTTCTTCTCTTTCGCCAGAAATGCCCGAAACAAGCCACCATCTCAGACATCGTGACTGACTCGCTGACTCGCGCCGCCCTCCAGCATGGCTGCCGGCGATGCCCATTCGACGCCCTGATCCGGGCAAAAGCAACCGTGGTGGAGGCCGCGGCCATATGTGAGGCTGTCCGCAAGGGTGCGAGGGCGTGTGTGTTGGAGAGGAGGTGGAAGGGTGAGGCGAGATAGTGCCGCAATCCCTGCCTGTTCTGTTCGGCAAGAGCAGCCGCGCCTCCATGTGACACAAGGCAGGAGGTCGCGTCCGAGCCAACACACCACACCATCTCCAGCTATGCCATTCCGCGACGGCCAATTGTGCTCAAGCATCTAAGATTCTATATGCTACAAAGAGGGCAAGTCTAATACAGTGGGCTCTGTTGGTGCCCGACCCCACAGCCCAACCATCTCCCTCGGTCGCGCTCCCTGTGCGGCCGTGCCAGCAAAGCCCCGACCGTTCCTGACAGCTGTAGCTTTGCCCGAAGCGCCTTGGGTGGAGCCGGCTGGTGGAATTGCCGTCGACGCCCAATCCCAATAATCGCAAAACACCTGCTCTTTTGGTCTCGTGGCTTTCCATCTCCTGCCGCGTCGCCGAACCTCACCGGAAGCTTGCGACGGCTGGAACGGCCGTTCCCCACACACATCCATGTCCACTGTCGCAGCGCCTTCCACCATGCCTCCACATAAATCATTACGTTTCCCTTGCGGTATCCCGACCGGCGCCTGCGCCGGCCCATCTAATGGTATTAGCGGTCTCGACCGCAAAAGCAACCAGAAGCCCAAAATCCGAAATGCCATGCCATGCTCTTGCCAAACGCGCCAGCCAAAACCCCTGCCAACTTTTTTCCACATCATCTTACACCGGAAGGCCTCCGAAAACCCAATGCCTTGACTAGCCTAACCATCCCTCTAATGCAAAGAGCCCAAAAGCGGAGACAACAGCGACCTGGGGGCGTGAAAAGAAAAACATGGCGGTGTGCAACTCCGGCTCAGGCAGCCTCGAAGCAGCAGAAGACTCGAAGGATGCAAAGCACACTCAACGCAAGGAAACTAGCATGCAGGGTGTCGTCTCGGGGGGTTCGTTCCCAATCGCCGCATTGACGCCCGCTGATACCCCCACGTAGCAATAGGAAAAGGGACAAGCATAAATCCACAAAAGCGCAGCGCGTTCAATAAGTGTACATAAGAATTGAATCGTGATAGCGAAGCGGAAAACATGGCGTCGTCAGTCGGGAGAGGGTTGTATTAGGGTGGGGTATCGCAGACGAAGTCAGAATAGAATAGGCGAGGTGGCTTGCGTCCATGCGCCATGAGGACGGCATTCACGGGCGGCACTGAGGGATCGTCGTCATTGAACTGTGCTTCCATCATCGCCTTCGTGCTGTCGAGGCCGAGGGTCGCTGCGAAGACGAGCCGCCGCTGATTTCGTCCAGCTGATCCAGGCAGGAGGTCAGCACTGCGCCACTGTCAGTAGACAACTTTGGGGAGTTCCACAGGCTCGAACTGACTCGCTACGATTTCTTCTTCCCAGACGCCCATCTGGTAGTCGACCAGGCCGTGCTTCTCCATGTTGTCGCAGTTCTTGACGAGCTGGGTGCCCATCTTTTCCAGGAAGTCGTACTCGATGACCGTCTGGGGCGGCTGCGGCCGCTGTCCCGTGCTGACCATGTCGTTCACCATGTCCTTCTGCTTCTGCAGCAGCGTGAGCCAGCAGTTGTTGAACTCCTCCCACAGGCTGAGGCGCTGCTGGTAGTGGGCCTCGTCGTCGCGCACTAGGCCTATAGTCAATTCAGCTGCTCGTTCCCGTCGCGCGCCGCGAGGAGACTCACCTAGTGTCTCGGCCCAGTGGAGCAGCCAGTCGGACAGCCTGAACAGCTGCGTGGCGGCCTCGGCCAGGCGCGAGTCGCGGACGTGCTCGAACGTCTTCTTGAGCTCCGTCTGGTAGTTGTTGTAGAAGTCGTCGTATTCGTTGCCGGCGCCGCCCTGGGGCTCGCCGAAGCCGGGCTGGGGGTATCCGGGCTGGGAGGTCGCGGGGTGCGGGTCCGTCATGCCTGCGGCGGTGTAGGCGGGCGCAAGCGGTTCGCGTCCGACGGGGGCCTGGGGGGTATATCCGAGCGGGGGATACTGGGGAGCAACGTTCTGCGGCGCGATGGCCGAGGAAGGCGCGCTCGTAGGGCCGCCCTCGCTGGGCACGCCGGCGTAGTATTGCGGTTGTGCAACGCCAAAGCCGGTGCCCAGCACCTCGATGGCCGAGTCCCGGCCCTGCTGGTACTGTTGTACGGGCTCATACTGCGCGGAGCCCGGCGCGGCGGCCTGCGCGCCGTACAGGACGCTCTGCCCGTATTGCGGATACTGCTGCGACGCGCGCGCCGGCTGCTGCTCGGGCGGCGCATAGTCCTGTGCGCCGTACGACACGCCCGCCGGCTGGATGGCCGCTCCGACGAACTGTGAGCCTTCTCCGTAAGCGTAACCGTAACTCTGCGAGCTGGTGCGGCCTCCCGAGCCGGCGGCGGACGACGGCGGCGGCGCGGTCAAGGGCGCCTGCCTGAAGCGGTCGGATGCGCTTACCACGGGATATGAGGACTGCGGCTGCAGCAGCGCGCCCTGCTGGTGCTGGTGCTGGCTCGCGTAACCTGGGGGATTCTGCCGTGCCCGACGCTCATTGTCCATCCCACCCGGCCCTCGTTTGAGCTGCGCGCTGAAGGGCGGTTCGCGTGCCCGGTACCCCAGGGGCGACACTGGCGGCGTCGCGTAGTTTGCCAGCTTGGAGGCCTGTCCGAGGTCCTGGAGGGCGGGCGCAAGAGACGGACGTGGCGGCGGAGCGGTGGAGGAGCGGGAGCAGGGCGGGGCAGGCAGTCAGAGAGGGCGGCAGACCGCGTGTCAGGACGGATACTCGATATGCGAATGACAGAGAGGCCGGAGGCGGGCGAGGAGTGACGTCCGATTTGTGTGGATGGGAATGCTCGAAGCTCCAGACGAATGGATATAAACACCGCCCAGGCGCATCACTTGCGCAGCCAATGGAGCCCGAGGCCTGACGAAAACGCAGTGGGCGCAGAAGCCTCACTGCCGCGCGTGAGCCCGCAAGGATATCCTCGGTCCGCCGCGACGAGGATGTTTGGTGAGCGTTGCTGGCAAAACCCGGAGGGCGGCGTCCCGATCGGGAAATGTTGGAGAAGACGACGGCGAAGGCGGGCCACCAAGACACGTCGCCAGATCCTGACAGCACGGCCGTCGGCAAAAGAAACGAGGAGGACCCTGAGCGAGGCTGGTGCGGTGCTGAAGCTGCAGCAGGTACAATGCTCCGCGGGTAGGGCAGTCCTTGCACGCAGCTCCAAAGCCCAAACGAAGTCGGGCGACGAAGCAGGCCGGTCTAAGGGATCGTCTCAGACAACTCAACGCCTACGTTTCGGCCACTTGATAGCCCTACGATGCGCTGGCGTTCTTCACGACTGGAGTCTCGTCGCGCACAGGACGATATGGAGCAGGTGCAGAAAGAAGTGAAGCGTTCGGTCCGAGTCAAGACGGAAGTGCGACAGTCCTGCTATATTTGTAAACCTCGTACCGGGCCCACAGGCAAAGAAAATGGTCCTGGTAAAAGCCCTCAATGAAAAGAGTCGAGCAGGCGTGGTCCCATTGGGCAGCGGCCGGCAGGCACTTAAGGGCGGGCGGCGTCACAGGCGGCGACGCGCAGACACAGAGGCTTGACGTCGCTCGCTGTTGCCGAGGGAAGGCGTCGGATTCGGAACAGCTCCTAGGGCTGGAGTGGGGGGGTGTGCGGATGGGCGTGCCCGGGCGGGAGTGTGGTGACGAGATGAGTGATGGGATTGAAGTGAGCGCGGAAAAAGCCACATTGGGATAGAGGAGCATCAGGCAGAGGGGAGCAAAAGGAAGCGCCAACGCGCCACGGCGGCGAGCAGAGTAATAATAGGGCCGGGCGGCGGGCGAGGGCAGGAAGGGAACTGGAGAACGAGCCAGGCCGCGTTTGGGGAGATGAGGTTCCTGACAGGTGGGTGTGGCTTTGCGCCGGGAGTGGAGCGAGGGAGACGAGGAAAAGAGGCTTGCCCAGTGGTCTTTGGACGAGAGCGTCCCTAGCAAACTCTCCGATATCCGACCGTGCTATGGCGGGGCTTGGGCTAGCATGAGGGCCTGTTCGCCCATGGTTACAGATCGCCCTCGATCTGCAGGAAGGCTGGCCAGGCATTTCTGCAGGGCAGCATCACGCTGCTCGTCGGCCGGCCTGCGCATGTACTGTCGCCGTCTGTCCCCTCTGTCCGCGTCCACTCGCGCCGGAGCACAGCAGCAGTATGTCTTGCTTCATCTTCATGCGCGGAGCAGGAAGGACGCACTCCCGGCGGCGGCGGATTTGTCGCCATATCGCCATGCTAAGCCGCTCCTCCAGCTGCGCTTGGCGTCCGGCCATGGAGCGCCACAGGTCGCCCGCATGCCGGCGACCTCCAGGGCTTTGAGCTGAGCAGCAGACGGGGCCGCCAGCTCGTGGGCCGCCAACCAACGCGCGGTTGAGCGCAGTGCGGCGGGAGTGGTCCGGCTGCGTCGCAGAGCTGTTTCATGCACGCGAAGGTTAGGCCGCTCGAGCGCGAGGCGGGGTGCTGATTCGTTTCTCTGCTTGTCAAATCATCAGACGGCTGTCCAAACCTTCGCAGCGTCATCATCATGTGGAGTTGCTGCGCGAGGGCTGACATTCCGGGCGTGCCCCGTGCGCCCGCCATGGTCCGGGACTCAGGGGGCAATTTCGGCATCGGCCTCGCCCAAGAACTCGCTCATCTCTTCTGCTGCGGGAGGCCGCAGGGATGGCGCGCGTCTGGGCCGATCACCTCCACTTCTCACAGCCTCACTCGCCGATCCTGAGGCAGGGCGATGGGCCCTACCCTTTGTGCTGGCCGCGCTCGGTTTCGCGTTTACAGCTGCCCCGCCCGATACATGACGACAGTTCACTGCTGCGTGCAGAGGACTGGCGGCAGGCGGGCAAACCGACGGAGGACCGCCTGCACGTCTGACTGGGCCGCTGCAGAGGCTACTCTGCCCCTCTGCCGTTGCAAGGCCTTCCGATGCACGGCGTGCGCCAGTGCTCTCTCCTGCGACGCGCTCTGGTGGACCACAGGGCCATGGCACAGAAAAAGCCACTCAGACCACGAGTCTCTCTCTCGCACGCGCGCTCACGCCGCTTCCATGTGGACGCTGCGGTACATATTGCCGCCCGTTGTCGCAGCCATGGTTGTCCAACAACTCACGTGGCGCCGTGCAAGGGTCTCCTTTTTCCCTTGTTCTTCTCGAAATCTCGTGGAACCCGCGAACCGCACGAATTTCCAGATGCGTCTTTGGTCGAAGAGACTGCCGCCAATCGAAACAGGCGGCGTTTGGATTCGGCGTGGTGAACGCGATCAGAGATGAGGAGGCGCGTCATCCGATCCAGCGGCGATCCGGCACCTGCACATCCCCCCTTCGCAGCCGAAATTGCAGGCCACCAAACGCTTCTTCGAGAAGGTTTCATTTCCTTCGAGAACATCTGTGGTCTTGCGGCGCGCCAATTTGCAGCTGACTGACTCTGCTGCCACGTCGGCCACCCTCAGACTGCGCCAGTTGAAGCACGGCGAGACGGCGAGCAGCCCGGCGTCGCAAATGCTTATTTTTGTTCTGGTTTTGAGTTCACGCCAGCAGTCGATCAAAAAAACGGCTGTTATTCTGCTTCTGGCCAAATGCACCGCTGCACCTTCTCCCAGGGCCTTTTAGCCGTTGAGGCTGCTGCCGCCTAATTGCCGGCGTCAAGATGTGCAGCGAAGCGAACGATGTCGAGACGCGGAGGCGACAGGGCGAGTACTTTGATTGGTCCGCCTGTTGAGAAATTCTCCAATTGGACCTGCAAATGGGCGAGTCAAGAGCAAAGTCTATCTCACCCTCTTCGCAGGGGTCGCGTGCATCAGTCCGTTGTTCGATTTCTATCCGCCTTGACGTATTCGCGATATTAGCCACTCTGCTGACTACAGCTCGCACAGCAGCCAAGGTTCGACCGTGTCTGTCATGCGCCGGTGTGCGCCCTGCGTGCCGCTAGAGACGTACTTCCAGAAAAGGTAGACCATAGATCGTTCCACTATGACGTCTTCGAGAATCGACGCCAGGGTGAACTAGCGAAATTCGATTCCCGTCGTCGAATTCAACATCTGCACCAAAAAGGAGCGCCGCATGCGGGCAAACAGAGTGGACGTAGCCTTCGAATTGGGCGAGCAAGTTTGGAACTACACAACAAAGTTTAGGATCAGTCAGCTTCTGGGGCTGGCCCGCCAATGGCGGCGGCGTCTGTTGCAAATGCATGAAGTCGAACAGGGGATCGGAAGAATAATCGGCCGTGAGTGGTCGTCTACTCAACGTAACCGTTCGTTCGGGCCCTGTTGAATCTGAAATCTCGACAACTCGCCGACCGAGGCTGTGCCTTCCACCTTCCGGTTCTCGCCATACCCCCACCGGTCTGAAAGTCAAAGCTCTTTTGCTAGCGCCAGGGAGGCAGGGAAGCACCTGAAACGGTATCCGAATTCCTGGTCAAGCAGTTTCAACGGCTTCAACGGTTCTTATCCTGTCTCACCCGGCTGCGCATGAGGCACGAGACTCGTGGTCGCCGTCCCACAACGCTCCACGGCTCGGGGAAGGGATATCAAAACGGCGAAGCCAAGCGGGCCATATGCACTCTCGCAATGGTGCGCGCACGTCACGTCCATATTCTGATTATAGCCCACCGGCTTGCATTCGACTACATACGCTAGACAGCTGTGTGGCTGAAGAGATACAAGGTAATGTACATGGTTGGTGAAACCTCAACGCTTCACCCAGGTCGGCATCTTACGCGCCTTGACATGTCCCGGTTTCTTCCTTTCAACCTTCCTCGGATCGCGAGTAACGCAGCCAGCTGTGCCAGGAAGCAGTTAGCGCTTGGGTCTTGCGGAACAACGTTTTGAAGAACGAGAGCGCCCAAAACGGGCATGGGGGCTCCACGTGCGCATGAAGAGGAACGCGCGTAGGGGGCGGGAGAACGTAGAAAGGAACACAGCGAAAGGGAGAAGAAGGTGCGTCTGACTCACCTCGTCGCAAGGCCGGTTTCAGCGCTGGCTCGTGCACAAGAAGCGCTTTTGCAACCGCCAATGTCAAGGCCTCGGCCTGTCCCGTTGGCCCACCACCAGAGACCAGCCCAAAGACATTATATTTGTCCAGCCTCTGTGTGGCCTTCAACGCCCAGATGGCGCTCTCGCGGTGGTGCAGTCGTCCGAAAAATTGCGCGAGGGACTTGCCATTGATCAGAGCCTCGCCTTCTCCTTCCACAAGCCAGGCAACGGCAGACGAAGTCTTTCTCCGCCCCACGCCCTTTGCTCTCCCCCATTCGTCTATGACGCCAGGGGCCGGCTTAAAGTCGCCGGGCTGGCTGGCCTTCTTGTACCGCTGCATTGCTTGCACCACCTCCTCAGGCATCAACGACGGATGGATGCAGTTCAATCTCCGTAGTATGTGCAGCATCTTGTGATATCGCTGCGTCTTGACGGGCTCGTTCGTCATGATGCGGTACTGGTCGATGGTCTTCCATGCTACTTTGGGGGCCTCCGAGGCCGGTATGGTCGGCAGAGTAGCGACCTTGCGGAGGAGGGCGGAGAGGTTGATGAAGTCGTCGGTAAAGGTAGGCTTTGCACTGAAATAGGATGGCGACGCTGGCACGACGCGTAGTGTCCGCAGCAGCCTCTTTCCCCCGCCCTTTCCCTTGCCATCCTCTTTCGAGAAATCAATGGGGGGCGCCGCAGTAAACTTCTCTGGTGTCTCGCCGATGAGCTCAGCATGCCGTGATGCCGTCGTCGAGATGCATCGCGAAGTCGGGGGCTGGAAGCTCCTGTGAGCGCATCGTATCGTGGGTTCGCGTCGGGGTCGTGGGGCGGTTCCTAGACATTCAATGGCAGCCCTTAGGCTCCGTGAAAACTCGCCTCGCGCCATGGCGGCTCGAACTGAGTGCCAATGCGCAGAGGGAATGTTGTCGATGCTCCGTCGCCGGGCGTGATAAATTCTGGGAGAGGCTCTGGCCAACGGGCTATACCGTTCTGGGGATAGCGCAGCCCGGAAGAATTGCGCCCCGCGGCCACAAAAAGCTCTTCGGGCAAGGCACCACCCCGCCTCGCCCTCGCCCAAACACTCAAATTTTCGCAACCACGGCGCCTCATACATTGATTGTGCTGCCTATACGCAACTAAAGACCGCAATCATGTCCTTCGGCAAGCTCTACAGCTATCCGGTAAGTGCCTGCGCCCGATGCTCGCCCGTGGAACTACCACAGTCGAAAAGAGTCCTGACAGCTGTCCCACAGGGCAACCCGCGCACCACCTCCCTGCTCGCGGTTGCGAAGGAGAACGGCCTCGACCTCGAGTTTGTCCACACGGAGCCTGCAAAGGGCGTGCCGACCGAGTATCTGAAGCTTAACAAGCTCGGCAAGGTCCCCACCTTTGAGGGCGCCGATGGCTTCGTCCTCACCGAGTGCATCGCCATTGCCGTGTACTGTAAGTCGTAAATCGCTCTCTTTGCGCTGGCACCAGGATGAGGCATATTATCATTCAGTTATCCCTGTCTGAACAACTTGTGTTGAGAACCTTCGACTCTGATTTCGTCACGTAAAATACTCGCGGTTTCGTTAGGCTCCGATGTGACTCAGACTGACACTTTGCAGTGACTTCGCAGAACGAGAAGACCACGCTTCTCGGCAAGACCAAGCAGGACTACGCCTCTATCCTCCGATGGATGTCGTTCGCCAATAGCGAGGTCCTGCCCCCGCTCGGTGGATGGTTCCGTCCCATCATCGGCCGCGACCCCTACAACAAGAAGAACATCGAGGAATCACAAAAGGCTGCTCTCAAGGCCGTCCACACCCTTGAGGAGCACCTCCTTACCCACACCTACCTCGTCGGCGAGCGTCTGACCCTTGCTGACATCTTCGCCGTTGCCATTCTTGCCCGCGGCTTCCAGTACTTCTTCGACAAGACATGGCGTGCGGAGAACCCCAACGTCACCCGTTGGTACGAGACCGTCTACAACCAACCCAGCTACTCTGCTGTCGCTGACAAGCTTGAGTTCATCGACGAGGCCATCAAGAATGTTCCGCCCAAGAAGGAGTCTGCGCCCAAGAAGGAGCAGCCCAAGAAGGAGGCCCCCAAGCCTAAGAAGGAGGTGGCTGAGGAGGAAGAGGAGGATAAGCCTGCCCCGAAACCCAAGCATCCGCTCGAGGCTCTGCCGCGCGCTACTTTCGTCTTGGACGACTGGAAGCGCAAGTACTCCAACAATGACACCCGCGAGGTTGCTCTTCCCTGGTTCTGGGAGAACTGCAACTTCGAGGAATACTCCCTTTGGAAGGTCGACTACAAGTACAACAACGAGTTGAAACTCACTTTCATGACCTCCAACTTGATTGGTAAGTTCTTGGGCAACATGCTCAGAATTTGTTAGCTGACCGGTTGCAGGTGGTTTCTTCGCCCGTCTCGAGGCTAGCCGCAAGTATATCTTCGGTGCCGCTTCCGTCTATGGCGTCAACAACGACTCCGTTGTCCAGGGCGCCTTTGTCATCCGCGGGCAGGAGGCTCTCCCTGCGTTCGACGTCGCGCCCGACTACGAGAGCTACGAGTTTACCAAGCTCGACCCCAAGAAGCCCGAGGACCAGGAGTTTGTCAACGATCAGTGGGCGTGGGACAAGCCCATCACGGTCAATGGCAAGACGTACGAGTGGGCCGACGGTAAGGTGTTCAAGTAAGCGCTTCGCTAGCCAGGGAGGTGTTGGGATTTGGTAATGACCGGATGAATGTTACGATCCGTGATGGCTAGGGAATGACGAACGTGGTTGGGTTCTAGGCAGCTCTTCATAACTGTGTAGATACACACAAACAAGACTTGGTCAGGTCCAGTTGGACGGGCACCATAGTTACGTCAACCTACCTAAGTGTCCCAAGCTATAATATGGTGGTGTGGCATGCATATTTCAGAAGGTCACGGCTGTTTCCCCGCATGGCAGGCTGCACGGCATGGGAAGCTTGGATTATGCCTGGACTCCGCAGTTTCAATAGCTCCAAGGCGATAGCTGGGCGGCGCATGCTCTGAAGACTTGGCATCTCCGCCATTTGATATCCTGAGGCGGTCGCGTGCAGACGTCGAACCTGGGCTTCGGAATCTGGACGCGTAGCCGTGGGTCGAGGCCGCCGTTGACAGCGCATGACAGCTCGAACTTTGACAGGTAGAAAGCCAACCGGCGGCTGAGGTCATCAATTAGCTGCCCCGCGCAATCCATAGCGGGCGGGGGTTACGAATCGCGAGTACCGTACAGTACAGTAGTAGCTGACATTTCCGCCGCGCGCCGTTGAGAATGGCGATATGTAGATGTCTTGCTTGCATGCGACGACCCCAAATCTGAGGCCGCTGGGCAGCGGTTGCGGCGGGGCTGCGGAGGTCTGTGGCTCGCGCGCTCTGATTGGCGGCGCGCGCGACGTGCACCGCCGCCAGCGGAAGGGAGAAAGGACCGGGGGCCTGCGTGCTTGGGTCGTCTTTCTTTTAACCTCGAGGCTGTCCTGGACCTCGAGCCGGACACCGTTTTCTGCACCGGCGCGAAGAGACGGCTTCGCATCGCGTTGTCTAGCGGACCGGAAGTAAGAGCAGGGAGATTTCGTGTGCTTTTGCTGTAAGGCGGTGCGAGGGACGACGTTCCACGTTCAGAGCGCGTTGGGCCTATCTGGGACGGCGGTCAAAGAGTCTGGGAGAGCAGGCGTCTGGGATTGCTGCGGGGACTGTACTGTACTGCAAAAGGAGTTGCGACGCAAGAGGCTGTCCTTGGGCAACGTATTCGAGAAGGCCTGTGGGACCCGCATTCTGGTTCGACGCTGCGCCAAGGCACGACTCGACGGGTGCCCGCGTTCGCAACGAACGACAGACAGACCCACCCCGTACACTGCCGCCGCCGCCGTGGAACAGGAGTCCGGAGTTGCTAGGTGGCTTGTACGTTTGCGCGCAATCTCGTTTGGAGGCGCAGGAGCGAGGGAGAGACGCGTTTGTTTTAAGCCGCCGGAGTCCGGTCGAGTCAAACGGCTTGCGTCGTTCGCAGTTTCGCTCTCTCCTCGTCGCGCCACGCAAACGGTGGCTTGAGTACTGCGGCTAGCTCTGGGATTTGCTGATCGCTACGTTCTGTTCTGCGCGAGAAGCCGTTTGGTGGGGTTTCTGTCAAGAGTCGGCTTTGCAGACGGGTGGCGCTGAGACAAGTCCCTGGGTCGCGGCAAAGCGCAGCGGGAGAGCTGTCATTTGTGAAAAGAAGGACTGCCATCTGCTTGGGCTAGGCTGAGACACGGCTGGAGTGGAATCGAGGGGATCGTTCGGGACAGAAGAGAAGGATAGCAAAGCGGGGATGAAGGAGGGAGATGGGCAGGCGCAGACGAGGCGGACGTCGGGGCATTCCAGCGAGCCTGCCATTCAGGTGATCTGCCTGGTGAGTCCATTCTGTACCTGCGTTTCGATCATTACTGTCGACACAAGTGCGTTTGCCGTTGCCACTGCGTGACAGCGATATGCTGCAGAACCCGTTCCTCGTCCCTTCCCATCCTCACTCGTTTGTTCTCTCCATTTACTAAGTACCGCAGGGCTCCGGCGGCGGTCCAAGCGAAGACAACGTAACCGGCTTCCTCGTCCGTTCCACAGCATCCAAATGGGCGAAGAACTCGGTATTGGCGGTCGATGCAGGGTCCCACCTCGCATCCATTACCCGCATACTAGAAAACGACTTCCCGCTCGTATCCGACCCAGAACCAAAAGAGTGCGCAAAGCCCCGCAACGGTAACGGAAATGGTCGCGACATCGACTCGCCATCACCAGGCACCGCCCGTGTCTCGGTCTCAGACGAAGAATCTGGCGCTGATTCGCCATGTTCTGAGACGGAGCAAGCGCCCACTATAACAACATTAGAGACCGGCGCTTTTGCTGGGTTGCCATTTCCTCACGCGAGTGCCAGAGCGAATGCCTTGCATGTCGTTAGAGAGCATGTGTCGACGTATCTCATCACGCATCCGCATCTAGATCACGTATCGGGCTTCGTCATAAATACGGCTGCTTTTCATAACACGTCACGGCCCAAACGACTTGCCGCGCTACCTTTCACCGTAAATGCGATCAAGACGCACATCTTCAACAACATCGTGTGGCCGAACCTCACAGATGAAGACGGAGGCGTAGGCCTGGTCACGTTTCAGCGACTCGCAGAAGGCGGCAACATCGCGCTCGGAGAAGGAAGCGGTCGGGGCTACATTGAAGTCTGCGACGGTCTTGGTGTACGAGGGTTCAAAGTCAGCCACGGACACTGCATGCGAGGGCCCGGCCACGTGCACCGCGGCTCCAATGCGAATCTCCCCGAAACCCCAGGAATCCACCGCGCTCCAGCACATCACGACGGCGCCGCGGAAAGCCGCGAGGGTCGCTCACTAAGCTTCTCTTTGCCGACGCAGAGCGCGCCCGGCACTCCTCTATTCACCGGCACCACGGATGCAGGACGGAGCACCAACGTTACCGGTGGGAATCAATTCGAGCAATGCGTCATTGATTCCACGGCGTACTTCATCCGCACGGAGTCGACGCCCAGCACCCCGACCAAGGAAGTCTTAATCTTCGGCGACGTGGAGCCAGATTCGATCTCGCTCTCGCCGCGCACAGCGCAGGTCTGGGCCGAGGCCGCGCCGAAAATCGCCGCCGGCATCCTCACGGGCATCTTCATCGAGTGCAGCTACACCAACGCCCAGGGAGATGCGGTACTGTACGGCCACCTCGCGCCAAGGCATCTCCTCGGCGAACTGCAAAACCTCGCCGAAATGGTCAAGGAGGCGCGGAGAGAGCACGAAAAGGAGAAGGAAGAAGCGCGCAAGGGGCGCAAGCGGAAGCGCGCATCGGCGTCGAACGGCCTCCTCATGGCCGGCGCAGTAGACGGCCCCGTAGGAGCCGGCGGCATCGAAATGGCACGCAAGTCCAGCCGCTCGAGGATCTACAACCCCGGCGGCGGAGGCGGAAAAGACACCACCGACGACGAAATCATGACGGACTTCGCGCCGTCGCCGACGCCCGGCCGTGGCGCAACGGGCACGCACACGCCGGCGCATCCTTCTGCGCCCGCCGCGCTCAATCTCAGCAGCGTCAGCGCGGAGCACAGCAAGGCGCTGCTGGCGGCGGCGTTCGATGCCCCGCTCAAGGGGCTCAAGGTCGTCTGCATCCACGTCAAGGACACGCTGGCCGATGGGCCGCTGGTGGGCGAGGGCATCCTGAGGGAGCTGAGAGAGGGGGAGAGGGAGTTGGCGGAGAAGGGGAGGGGGTTGGGGTGCGCTTTTGAGGTTGCGAGGAGTGGGGATAGTTATTGGTTCTAGGGGCTGGTAAAGCTGGAGTGGGTTGGATTGGCACGAACATGGAACGACGGCAGGGATAGGACATCTTTTCCCTCATCTATGTGAAGGGCGTTACGGACGGTGGTGGTTTTCTTTCGGGCTTTGGCTCCTTTTTTTCTTGAGTAAGCGGGTATTATATTCGTTGGTCGGTTGGTTGGGGTTTGTCCGCAGTGTCCCTTTTGTTTTCCCTTCTCTTTCTGCCTCGTTCATGTCTTAACGTAGCTAGGTATGCGAACTACGGAGGAAAGGGACGGGCGGGTGGCCGTAAACAGGGAGTATGTAAGATAGAGAGAAGCTCAGCAAGCAGTAAGCATATGTTACGAATTCATATTTCTCTGAGTTTAAACTGAACTCTGCATGCATACATCTTAAACCTCCTTGATTTGCAAGTGTTTGAGTCCGATGTATAACAAACACAACGTTCTAAAGCAAGAAGAAGTAAGAGAAGAAGAATACGCATCCAATTCGCAGAACTAACAAAACAATACACCCATGTCTTCCCCTCTGTGTCAATCTGAAACCCTAGCTCCCATCCCCATCCACATCCCCAGCCTAGCCTACTCCTCCCTCTCCCTCGCCACATGATTATCCCGCGCATCCCACACACTCCGATACACCATCCGATACGCCATCACCGCAAACGCACTCCCAACCAGCGCCCCCGCCACCACATCGCTGACATGATGCCACCCATCCCTCACTTTACTCGCCGCCAGCAGCACCGCAAGCAACAACGGCGCGACGAAAAGGACGAGCTTCCAATGCGCCTTCCTACCCTCCCTCTCCCCCTCCCTATCCCCCTCTCTCTCCTCACCCCGATTCCGATCCTCGATCTGCTGACCTCGCTGGGGCTGCGGCCCAAAGATCTTACACTTCCCATTCAGCCACAGCGCGAGGAACCCAAACCCCGCGAACGCGGCGCACGCATGCCCCGACGGGAAGCTCATCTGCGCCTCGCGCACGCGCTTCTCGTCGCCCGTGCACACGCCGTCGGGCTTGTACTACAAGCTGGCGGGCCCGGCGCCGCGGTAGTGCGGCGGGATGTGCGGGTTGCAGAGGGCGAGGAAGTGCGGGCGCAGGCCGCCGATGGTGAGTTTGATGAGGGCTTGGAAGAGGGTTGCGGTGGCGAGGGCGTAGCCGAGGCCGATGGTCTGGTTGTGCTTCTCGTTAGCGGCGGGCGGACTAGACCAGATGGGAGGTAAGGCAAGGCAAGGGAAAGGACGTACGGCGGCGTTACTATCCCAAAAACCCCAACTATCCCCACCCTTCGCGTTCCCTCTCCTACTCTCCCGCGCACTCATCCACAGCCCCACACCCCCCATCACCGCAAACGGCCCCAGGAAACTGACCACCGCGCTCACAACAGTGGTCACGTACTCCGCCATGTACGGCTGTCCGTGCTTGATGCCCCAGGGCGTGCGCTCGATTCCGGGAAAGAGCGGGAGTAGGCGCGGCATCAGCGGCCGGCCGAACATGTAGATCAGGTACGCGGTTAGCACGCAGAGGAGTTGCGTCAGGATGTCGAGCCAGCTGCGGCGTAGCCAGAGGCGGAAGGGTGGGGCGTCGGGGAAGCGGGGGAGGAGGCGGTGGTGGAGGGGGCGTTTGGTGGGTGGGAGAGAGGGGTCGGTTGCTGGTGGGGATTTGGCGGCTTCGAGGTCGAGAGAGAGGTTGGGGGCGGGTTGGGTGCCGACTGGTGGAGCGGGCGTGGAGGCGGACATTGGACTGACTGGGGGTATTGATGTTTGGTGGAGAGGAGGTTGAGGTGGTGGGATTACAAGGTTGTGAAGGAGTGCGTAGATGCGGCTGCCGCTGGACGGAAGAAAGAGCGGTAAGAGCAACACTCAGTTTGGCGAATACAGTAGGGTCGAGCAGAGTCCGATGGGCCGAAACTTGCGCGATTTAAACTATGCAGGTGGCATCTGCACTCCGTTAGACACGTGCGTTTATATATGTCGCCCCACCTGAAAGGAGTAGACGGAATGCTATTCTTGGTATCTTATCTCGCTCGTACAGAGGTCTATCATACAAATCTGCGAATGCGAGGAAAACGCCACGTAAATGCTAGACGTACACTTTTCCCGCCCACACTATTCAATATCCTACACATGCTCCAATCATATACTCCCCAACTTACTCTCGCTCAACAACGCTCACCCACCCCTCCTCCTTCCAAACCCCACTCCTCCCACCCTCCTTCAGCACCACTCTCACGTCCTGAACTCTCATCCCCTTATCAACCGCCTTGCACATATCCACCACGCTGAGACCTGTGCCCATAACGGCGGTCAGGGCCTCCATCTCCACGCCGGTTTGGCCTTCGCATTGTACTTTCGCTTCGATCTGTATCCCTCCGTGGCCGGTTTCAGTATCAAATATTGAGAGTTCGACGCCCACGTGCGTGAGCATTATCGGGTGGCATAAGGGTATTAGATCCGGGCACTTCTTTGCTGCCATGATGCCTGCGATGCGAGAGACGGAGAGCACGTCGCCTTTCTTTAGGGAATTTGAGCGAATTAGGGATATTGGAGTGGCGTTCGAGAAGAGCACTGTGCCGACGGCGATCGAGGTACGGATGGTGTGGGGTTTCGAGGATACGGAAACCATGTGCGCTGCGCCGGAGGGCGTGAGATGAGGTAGGGACTGTGTGGCGGAAGGAGAGGCGGTCGTTGGACTGGGTTCATCGGAGGTGGAGTTTTCCTTAGATGAGGATACCTCATCCATGTCGGATGTCGGACGTGAAGTCGAATAGCTCCTCCTCGCAGCGAAGGTGTGAAATCGCCGCAACCCAGCTCTCCTATACCCACTCTCCTTCTTGCTTTCCCAGCTGAACGGCAGATCCTGCGGTCGAACAGAATCACTCACATCTTTGTCCTCCTGCACAGCCTTCTCCGCGCCTTCGTCCCTCAACCAGCCCAAACTCGCATCAAACTCATCCCAATCCAGCGTCCCCTCCGCATCACCCTCCATCTTATTCCTCTTCTCGAACACTTCTTCCCACCTCCTAGCCATGCGCTGCGCAGCTTCATTACTGAGATCATGCTGCCTGACCATATGATCCAGCATCCTCTGCACGTCGGCATCGATCCTTCCATGCATCTCTTCCTTCGTTCCCACGTCAACGTCATCGAAGCGCGTCTGCCACTTGCCTAGCAAGATCCTCAGCCACGTCTTCAGCGTGTTTCGGTTAGTCGACGTCCAGACCTCGTAGGGTAGCGTATCGATGCGTGGGTACGCGTTCTTGAGGCGGTCACGCATTCGCAAGATCTGAGACTGCAGTTCGGGAACGGGCGCTTCGAGATTCACTATCATAGAGGGGTCGACTTCAATGACACCAGACTCGGGGACGGCGGGTCTGAGCCGATCGATTAGAGTGCGATTGGATGGTGCAGATGTTAACCTCTGTGGTTCTGGCCAGGCTGGCGGGATCGGGTCGGGCTTGTTCGCCTTGCCAAAGACGGTGGTCTCTTTAAGCGATGGTTCGGCTTGGTTGAGATCGAAGCCTTTGGGCATCTTGGGTGGTGCCCCGTTCTTGGGAATCTTCTGCGTTTTTGTAGTTTCCTCGGCCTCAGCGCGCCCCTGTTCATGCAACTCTTCAACGTCCTGGACCCGAAAGGTAGCTGTCTTCAGGTCGCTAGGCTGTTCTCCCGCGTTGAACTTCTTCAAGAGGGCGATGGACTGGGATATGTTACGCAGCTGCTCGACTTGGTCCTCAGCAGATAATGTCTTTTGCGTTGGTACCAGGGTTTCAAGCTCCGGTACGGGATTAGCACTAGCGCCCGTAATTTTGTGCTTTCCTAGTTCTTCCAGCTTCTTTTGGCGAGAACCTAGCAGTGCGTCTCGTCGCGTTTTTAGCTGCCCCAAGCTGGGTGAGCTGACAGAATCGTTCTGCTCTGCGGGATGTTCCAATGGCTGGTGCACCTCGCGAGCTGCCTTAGGAGCCATGGGGACTGTTTTGCTAATTTCCCCCACCCCCAATACGTTGCGCCAGCCCCACATCTCCTCTTCTTTGAAGGCCGACTTCTTTCTTTTCTTCTTCTCCGGCCGCTCCTCTCTCTTTGTCTTGGCTTGCTCCGCCTCCTCGGCTTTCCAATCTGTATTCGCCTTGTACTCTTCCAGATGCTTCTTAAAGGCACTAAGCGTGACCTCCAACTCGTCAAGCTCGGCCTGCCACTCTGCTTCGATCTCATTGCGCATCGTCTCATGATACGCAACCAGCGCTGCCAATTTCTTTCTTCGCCTCCACAAAGCTCGCTTCGTTATCCGGGTAAGGCCACCCAGATCCGTAGCATTCTTGAAACCCTCGAAATCGCCGGGATCTGCCGCGGGTGGGAACATCCTCTCGAGGTGTATACGTCCTTCCAGTTCTCTGATCCTCTTCTCAATGGCGCGGACAGGGTAGGGCAAACTCTTCCGCGGTGAGCCGTAAGCGATCTCATGGACAAATTCTTGCATCGTGTTCTTGCTCGATCCTCCTCCTTTCCTTACTATCTTGGCGTCCCTGTCATACTGCTTCCGCAACAAGGTCCATTCCTGAGAGCGTTGGAGGGTTGCCAGCTTCCTAAGGGCACCCAGGCGTAGGTAGCTCGCCTTTTGGCTATTTGGGGATGTCTCAGCCTTACGTACAAGGTCCCAGTATTCTCGATGTGCGTCTTCGTCTGGACGACTTTCTGGCATGTGGCCTTCTGTGAACGTCCGCTTCTCAAGTGCCTGAAGAATCAATCTTTCTTTTCTCCTTCTCTCTTCGTCTATTTTTTTCACCTTCTGAACGTCTTTGATATCCTGGATTGCGGGCTTGTTCTCGCTTCCGCGCTTCGTCTCATCGTTATCAAGCTTTTCACTTGTCATACCCCTATCTGGGAGACCAGGACCCGTTGCAAAGGTTCGGACTTGAGCGGAGGTTTCTATAAGCGATGGGTAAAGAAAATGCCGTCCGGGCGGTGCTATACTGGACCAGGGACGTAGAAGCGAGGCGCTAGCACTGGGTACCGATCTACGGGTTTGACGGCAGTGAACAGAGTTGTCGGAACTTGAACGAGTAGCGCTGGACGACATTGGGGGGTCTACATTCGGTCAGAATTGGCCATCACACGTATAGATAAAGAGTAAAACGTGAAGGATTATGACATATCGGGGTATAAAATTGACGTATATAAGCGCGTGCTTTCTACATCCAGGAGTGACAGTGTTGAATCGAAACCAAGGGATAAACGCTCAGAACGCCATCATCTATGCAGCAATGGCCGCCGTGATATCATGGGGGCATCCAATCGTAAGGAACAGAAAGACGAAAGCCAAATGTCACCCACCAATTAATATCATGGGCCTGTTGGTCATGTTCTCCAAGTCGCCCATATCTGCATGTTTCTCGGCTTTGCGCTTGACTGCAGCTCCGATCACTTGCAGGAGCTCTTGCTCCCGCTGGCCCCATCCGAGGATCGTCTCGTCGCTGAGCAGGCCGTCTCTGCGATCCATCTCAATCTGTTTGATGCGCTCGAATGCTTCTTGATCGATCGGCTCGCCGTTGTTGTCTTGTCGTAGGAGATCGCGGAGGGATACTTCCGCATTCCCATGAAGACAGACCTTGAGGTTACCGTCACTTGTGATACGTAGGCGGTTGCAAGTCCCGCAGAAGTCGTTCGTCATGCTCGTGATGAAGCCGACCTTGCCTACAAAGCCCGGGACTCCATATGTCTTGCTCGTGTCGTTCTTATGGCCGGGGACACTCCGCAAGCTCGGGTATTTGGTCCGAATGATGTCGAGCATCTCCTGAAAGGATATCATCTTGCCTTGGCTCCACTTGTTCCCACCGAACGGCATGTACTCGATGAAGCGCACCTCGATATCCTTCTCACGGCCCATCTCAACGAAAGGTATGATGTCCCTCTCATTCAGCCCGCGCATCACCACGCAGTTGACCTTCAGCTTGATATTCGCACCGAGCTTCTTCATCTCCAATATCCTGTCAATCGATCTCATCACGGCGTCAAAGCCTTTCCGCCGGGTCATGATCTGGAATTGGAACGGATCCAAAGTGTCCAAGCTCAGGTTCACGCCCGTCAACCCAGCTTCTACCATCGCATCCAGCTTCCTGTGTAGCGATATGCCGTTGGTTGTGAGCGCGAGTTCACGGAGGCCTTTCGAGCGAAGCATGCCAATGGACTGCATCAACGGAACGATGTCGCGGCGCACGGTGGGCTCGCCGCCTGTCAACCGAATCTTGGTGACGCCTTGCGATACGAACAGCGACGAAAGGTAGAAGATCTCGGGGGTAGTGAGCATATGCGCGGGAGGCGAAAGCGGAACGCCCTCTACACTATATCAGCGATTGACATGCTAAAGCAAACTTTTCCGCCGTACCTTCGGGCATGCAATACAGACACCGTAGATTACACCGCTCTGTAATGCTGATTCGCAGGTAATCATGCTGTCTGTTGAACGAATCCGTCAAGAACTCAGAAAACGGCTTCGCATTCCTGATCGCCTCTTTGCGCTCCTGCAGATTCGGCCTCTGCGCAATTGGTACAGGTACAGTCGGGACCACACCGCCCGGATACTCCACGCCCGTCTCTTGCACCGCAGCATTCGTCGCAACGCCTCTCGCCGTCCTCGGGGCCCGTATCGACGGTCTAAGAAATCGTTCGCCACGGCCCGCGGCAGCCCAGCAGCGTGCCGCGGTCGGGCCCGGCCGTATCGAGACCATTGGCGCCATCATGGGGATTCGAAGGGCCCTCGTCCTGCATTTGCGAAGGCGGGCATGAGGACTATATACCAAAGGAGCGGCAAGAAGTGGGGATGGGGGATGACTGAGGATTTACGTCGCGTAGAGGTGCATTCGCAGCAGGGATTCTCTGGATGCTTGGCGGCTCGGTGGTTTATTCAGCATCTCCGATGAGTGGGGTTGGCGAACATCTCCGTCGCGAGCCGACGGTTCCCAATACCGCTGACAGCACCAGAAGAGCTTGAGGGTACTTCAAAGCTAGAATCCTCTGGCTTACCCAAAGCTATGGGGTTTGCTAAGAGAGTGTCGACCCCATACTTCCTAATCGGGTTAGCGTTCGATTTAGCTTTCACTCCCCACCTGGGCACCCCCCTAGGCATGCTATGCGCCTTCCACGCAAGACCAAGCGAGTCCTCCAAATAGAATTCCGCAAAAATTGAAGCAGAACTACACGCATAGAGCCCGGTTCAACGTCTTCCACCTCCCGGGATATCTTCTGAGCTCTGCGCGCGCTGATAGGCTAGATGATTAACCGCATACAAATACGAGTGTCGAACTCCTGCTCAGGCCCTTTCCAAATTGCCGTGCCTCGTTTCCCTACCACTATCATGGGCGAAATTGATCTCCAAGAAATAGGGTAGCATTATCTTTTGTCGAAAGAGGAAGTGAAGGATCGGGCCCTGGCTGGAGAACTAGATACGCTGGTGGGTGGGGTGGAGGACTGGTGTATAAGAATGATGTGCTTTCTCTACCACAGTGTGGTGTGTGGAGGAGAACGTCGATTTTCAAAAGCTATCCGCTGTCATCCTTTCCATCATGCATGTCTCCACCCCATTCACACTCCTCTTGCTCCCCCTCCTCGCCCTCGCCCAAGACCTCTCCCACATCAAAGTCCACGTGACTCCCCTCAGCCACACCGGCAACCGCTGTCTCGGGACCGACGAAGCCATCCTCTCCACGGGCCTCATCTCCAACAGCACAGGCCCCGTCCTCTACCACGCCCTGCCCTTCTTCCGGCCGCTTTTCGGCTCCGGCATCGCCGCCTCGGAACAGCGCGCAATGTGCCAGGTCTACCTCAACATGACATTCTCGGAGCCCAACACCCGCGTCTACGTGAACACGTACGGCATGGATATGCGCGGCTACCTGCCGCTGACGGAGTATCAGCGGGCCACGTTTAAGGTGACGTATGATTGGGTGGACACGTTTTTGCAGGTACGGGTTTAGTTTCTCGTTGAGCTCTGAAACGAGTTGGAAATGGGTATCTTGTGATTGCAGAGCATGGAGGCGTTGAAAGCGTTAAAGGGAAATTCGTTGAACTGACGTGCCAGCAGGCGAGTAACCAGCTCGATTTCGTCGGCCCACGCGAGGGCAGGTTCAGCAAGCACTTTGGCGAAGAGTGGTCGGATCGCGACGTCGTTTCGCCGTGTGACGGCGGAATACTCAGAGTGAATTACCAGGCTCGCGGCCAGAATTCAAAGCCGGAAGTTGTAATGGATCCTCCGGTTGAGGATGAAGAATGGTCATTCGCCACAAGCATGTTGCTGTCGAAGTGTTAAATAGTAGGTAGAAGTGGGTCAGAACGGATGCCGTAGACAGAAGATGACCAGGGGAATAGTGCACTATAACGTAGATGAAAGGAGCTCAGGTAGCGATGTGCATATACCGCGCAAGACGTCTGTATGTTTAGATTAGGACAAAGGTCTACAATATACATCCGTCAGCACACTCAGGATCCGTAGAGTTATACGCGATCTGCCCGGCGCTACCTCCGGGTTCAATGCTCGGATCGCGCGGTGACTGAATAATCCTGGCGTCCGCAGGTGAATAAATGGTTTCCAGCACGTCTCCGAAAACATCCCGGATATTCGCGATAGCTTGGCCTTTCTTCACCGGCTCGTCCACTCCTGCCAAGCGTTCGACGAAGCCGCCGTATGTTGACGGCAGCGATTCGAACGTCGTGACGATGTATGTCTTGCTCAGATCAGGGTTATATACCTCGGTTGAATTGGCAGGAAGGATCCGCAAGTCGTCCATGACGCGATTGACGAACTCGAAGGCCCGATCAATTAAGCTCATATTCCAGACTTTAGCAAGACCCATCTCGACGGTTATAGCTGGGATCTTGTTATCGACGAATGCGGTTTCAATACTCCCAGGTTCACCGGGGTCGATTTTCAGCGTGTCAGGTTGGAGGAGCTTCGCCAGCCGTTCTACGTACGGGAGACGGACGTCCGCATAGCACCACAATGATGATTCAGCCCCAGAACTTGGAGTATCTGCGTGGAGTCAGATGTCAGCAGTGTTCGCGCAAACTAGGACTCCTGCCCCTTACGTAGATCCACGCCCACGTCTACCTGCGACTTATTTCCCCAAACATTGTTCCAGATATTGTATGCGAGCAATCTCGGTCCGCTGCCTCCTTCCGACGAGGGAGTACCCGGAAACACGCGATTGACGTTCGTGAAGAATCCAGAATCACTAGCTGTGAAGTAGTTCCTCTGGTTTAGATAGATGCCCATGGGATTGACGGTCGGGATGCCAATGACTGGTGCCGGTATTAGCTACAGTTCGCGCGAGCGGGCAACAGCCTACCTGTGCCATTGAGTGTCGAAACCTGGCGTTCTAGCTGCGCAAAGATGCGCTGGACTACCCTGACCCCATTGAGCTCGTCACCATGTATAGCCGCAGAGAGCGACAGTTTCTTCCCTGTCTCCAAGCTCTCGGGTGTACCACGAGCCACGAATACAGGCACATGTAGCGGGCTTCCGCCATTGAGCTCTCCCACCCTCAAGTAGTATCTCGAAACGGTTTGCGCAGGAACGTCGCGGAGGTCGAGATACGAGATGACAGGGACGCCGTTCAGGACATCGCCCGTAAAGTCCGTGGCGGCGACGCTGCCGGCAAGAACAGCGAGGGACGCGAATACCGGCGTGAGAAGCTGCATGGTTGTGTCAGCTCACCTCGAAAATACTTCGTACTTCATTAGAAGAGTCGAAAACGCCCACCTTTATACACTGCTCACCGCCCGATAAGACTCACCGTGCTACGGCTCGTTCAGCAAAAGCTCGTGAACAATTAGGAAGGTCCTAAGCATTTCCGCTGCCATGACGGCGCCGAGAACGCCCAGACAGAGCTACTGTATCTCCCGCAAGGGGAATTCGTATCCAGGTCTTTGGGTCGCGCGCGGCAGTATGTAAGCGACTGCTTGGGAAGCAATGGGGGATGGCAATCGCCGCGTCGACATGCCTTTCGCGATATGTATATGCAGCGGATTGCGATTGGAAAGGCTTGCGTGTTGCAAGGACCCAACGAATCAGATGTGACGGCCGCTTAGTCATCACCCACAGACCGCAACTTCTGATCTATTATGGAGTGGGAGCCTTCGTCGTTATCTTTGCATTTCGACAAGGGCTACCACCACTCAGTGCGCCCTTGTGTTTGCTCCTCGCCTTATATTGCGACCGTTCAATAAGAGCGTTTCGATAGCCTTAGAAAGCATTACCTCCCATGCCAGAGAACCCCATCCCTTCGGTCCCAGAGTGTTCAAGTATACCTGGGTAGGGACACGGAGACGACGGTCAGGAAAGCTGGGACTTGCTCGTGTTCACCAGTCGCCATGCGTTTCCATTTGCCTCAGCATAGCTATCTTAGACTAGGCCCCGGAAGCTCCCCTCGAGCTGGAAGCGTCAAAACCAGTTTGGGGTATATACGCTCTCATCCAAAAAGGTACCATCACGAAAAGAAAGACCCTCCAGGCATCGATACACTGGTGGGATATCAAAAGGCCCTGCGGTGCGGAGACGAGCTTTAAATGCCAGAACAGCCTTCGTCTTGTTCGATTTGCTCGATGACGAGCATCGCCATATACAACCTACAAGCACGCCAAATGGAAGTGCGGGGGGGTCTGAAGCTCTCATGAGCTCGGACCCCGTAATGCATCATCCCGTAGGTGACGAGAGCGAGCAGCAGTGCTTAGCCGAGCCGCAGCACGCCAATCGGCCTGGAGACTGTTGAGTTTGCTGTACGGGAAGAGTTTCATTAGATTTCACCGCTGCTAAATATTCTCAGACCTGGCCATAGCGCCCTCTCGCACCGCCGCCCGCCCTGCAAACAGCCCATATAAAGCAGGCCGCACCCACTTTGAGCACTTCAACATTCGTCCCACACCCGACTCTGCAACCCAACTCCAACTCCAGCTCACAGCAATTCACTGCTCTCGCCAAAGGCCCACCATCAACAACTCCAACCCACGTGTACTAACACAACACGGTCCGTGCCCACACCCTGTTTTACACTCATTCACTAACGGCCCGGCGAGACATTTTAACAAACTCAAACATACCTATTATCAAACATACCTATTACATATTCCACCGAGCTTCTTTCCAAGCAGATATCATGGCTCGCCGAAGCAGCAAGAATATGAGCACCTCTGTGCCATCTTCGACCACGTCTGACGCCAACAACACTGCCGCTCCCGGCACCGGCATGGCCCGCGATGTCATGACCAACAACCCTGCCACAACCTCAAAGGACACACCAACTATCGACCGTCAAGCCACTACGCCGACGATTACTTCGACGACGTCACCTTCCGTTGATACTGCTACCGACGCGTCCGGGACCACCACATCACAAACGGCCGCCGATCGAAAAGCAGAGAAAAAGCGCCAAAAGAAAGCGCGCTACGAGGCCAACAAGAAGAAGCGAGAGAAAGCCGGAACTGAACTCCCAGGTGTCTCGAAAGCTCCATCGACTACTTCATCTGGCTCCATGTCTCCCATCGCCGGAGCTCAGACCGCTTGTACACACCCGCCTATGGTTGCTACCTGCCTTCCCCCGGTGGACCGAAATGTTTCCACGCTCTCCGCCAAAGGCCCAGTCACTGCACACTCTCTCGTACCTCCCGAATCGGCCCCAGCGCTTGGACAGAAACCAGCCCGCTCTCGCAAGCCGCCTGTGAAAGATGGCACCGGTAGCGTCCTTCAGGGCCGGAGTGTTCGGGATCGGCGTCCTATCGCAAAGGGACATAAGGAGCTTACGAAGAAGGCCCGCGACCACAATTCGTCCAATCCGGCAGCCGACATGGCGAAGCACAGCAAACATCCCACGATGAAGTTACTTCGAATGCGTCGACAGCCGGGCACTGATCAGACTGTTAACCAAAATCATGGCCATGATACATCGAGTGTGGCGGGCACTGTATGTGATGAGGGTGCCGTTGCCCTGTATGGCACTGAAGACTCCATCTCATTGGAGACACCATCTTACGCTCCATCCATGGAAGAGCCCCACGACAGGATTTTCGAAGCCGACACTAATGCGACTTACTACGACGACAATGTCAATATGGTGGGCTCAAACAATGGTTTCACCGATGCGCCGTCTGACGATATGCCCGATCTTGAGGATCTCTCCCTAGACGAAAGCCGCACATCCCGAGAAGAGCTCGACAGGCATACAAAAGAGCAAGAGGAGAACGGTGAGCAGGAACCCTCGACCAGCAATGGTGGAGCGACTCAAATAGAGGCTGAACGCCAGGCGGAGCCTGAGCGGCTGGCCTACCAAGACACCACGTATGAGCCGGATTGCCCTAGGTCGCCGGAATCCTACGTGGATTTGCAGCTTCCCGAATACACGCAACAGAAGAGGTTGAATACGACGGGCCAACAGGAACAAGGTCGAATGCCAGCCAATAGTGTCGCCGTTGAGGAGCAGGCCAACACCCCCGCAACACCGGTTGGTTTGCTTTGTCTTCTGAACGCCGCTGAGTACCCAATGATGATCTCTGCAGACCTCGAACAAGCGCTAGTTGCCTTGCACGTGGCTCCGCTACGTGACCTTCCAGTGCCGAAGAAGCAGCAGCAGAAGTTCAGTAAGAATCGAGGTGGCAAGAAGCAGGATCACCCGCCGGTCAAGGATGTCACTATTGAAGAGGTAATCGCTACCCCGGCAACTCCAAGTGGACTCCTTAGTCTTCCGAATGCCGCTCAATACACGGCCGTCCTCTCCGCGGACGCTGTGCAGGGATTGATAGCCTTGCACGTGGGTCCTCTACCTGATCCACCCGCTCCCGACAAGAAACAGAAGTCTAGGAAGGCTGCGAAACATCTGACGCCAGCTAACGAAAAGTCCGACGTCACGCAGGCGGAAGCTGCTCAGGATACAGTTTCTGACGAAGCGAGTGGCCAGACCGATACTCGCCAATCTTTGGACGCCCAAGGCTCCAATCATCAAGTGGCAGACGGCCACCTAAGCTCTAAGGATCGAGTACAGTTCTTGGAAGTTATCGAGACTCTCTACACTCCTCACGATCAGTGGCACGAGTTACAGCGCGCTTCCTTTGGTACGCTTATGGCTGCTGCGCCTGTGACGTCGACTACTGCAGATGAGAACTTCCAGGGAGACGTTCCAAAAACGAAGGATCCGTTCCACTTCCCGGAAAGTATCTCGACCTTCCACATCGCCCACGATAATTGGCACGCCTCTCAGCAAACCGTCTTCCATACGCTGATGAGTAGCAGCCGTCTCACGACTAGCTCAGATGAAATACCGTCAGCTGAGGCCCTCATCTCGTCCGAGACTGAGTTGAACGCGGCGCCTATGACTCCTGAGCGCCTCACCACTGCCTTCGAGCAACATTCGGCAGCCAAGTCGGGTTCAACAACAGGCGTCCAGACTGGCCATAGCGGAGCGAACGACAGCGCGGCCGACACCGACACGTCTGAGGATCGTTCTGAACCCGCCCTTTCGACGACGGGATCCACGACTTCCCAAGCATCTTCCCCTCTAGCGAAGAAGAAACGGCATCGCAACCCGACCGGCGAGCTACGCGAGATGCGCAACACTTTCCTAGGCGGTATATCTCTCGACACGTTCCTGATCGAGCTCCCTTGGGATCAGCAGACCGGCACCACCACCAAGCAGGAGATCTGCGAAGTCTTCGCCGGCCTCTCCGACAGTGACTCTCGCCTTGCTCAGCGCCGCATCAAGCTGGGTAACACGTCGCTTTACGACTTCCTCCGCGGCATTGCATTTGATGCAGATGAGGCTGCGGATGTTAGGAATGTGGCGAAGGCTTTCAGGACGTCTGCTAAGGAGTCACTGCGTGCTTCATCGAAGATTGCGCGGTTCTTGGAGCTTGAGTCTTCTGCTGAATCGGATTAGGATGACTAGGGGAGGTGAGGATTGATTGAGTGGGTAGTTGAGGGTTGCTAAGGCGGTATGGACCTGGGCAATGATATGCGAATCATGCATAAGCGGTGGGCCTCAGGGTAGCGTTGGCGGTTTTCTGTTCTTCACATTTCATTTCTTCAAAATAGGGCGATCGGGCCCTCACTTCATTTCCTATGTAAAAGTGGGGGGCTCGAAATGGCTCTCACATGGACGCCGCCACGCTCCCCTTCTATCTCATCTGCTGAAAATATGGATAATTTGAGTCCGCTTCCCTATCTCTTCTCGTTATTTCATAGTGCACACTCGTTTCTTTCATCCTGAGGAGATGCTGCCATGGACGGGTTCTACCTTCTGCGTCGGAATACGTCACTGTTAGCCTGCAACCAGGTAGTTGCAGTTGCGGCGACCATGCAACAAGGAAGGCACGAACCGTGAGGTTGTCCTCCTCCTAGACAGGCTCCCGATTACGCATCCTCCTCCTCCGTAGACCTCATTTCTACAGCATCACATAGAGCCCTCGCGGCGAACTACTTCCATTTTTATTATTCTGTCAACCGCAGCTCTTGTTCAACCCGCCTAAGGTTTGTTTCCCGGATTGCTCCAGACGTCATGTGCTGACGAAAACAGGCCTGTTGGAGGCTATCCAGAGCGCGAAAAGCTCACCGCCCGCTATTTCATACACCCGCAGCTATCAGATTATTGGAGCCAGTGGTAGGGATTCTGGAACCGCCCGCCCAAACAAACAGCTGTAGTGAAAGAGACCCGCGACCACGTTGCTGTGCGAACGCCACGCGTGTGGCTCTACCGATCGCGCGCACAAAACTTCTCTTCCACGAAATCCATGCCGCTCCGCGCTCTTGAAACCTCCGCCATGCAGCCGCAATGAGATCAACTCTCTCTCGCTACGTCATCGCTAACGATATCCTTAGACGACGGCGTAGACTAGATTCCTACCGAGACCAACGCGCCGGGATCCGGTATACGTTTGGCAGAGTCGACGTCAAGCTTGGAAAAATGGCCGCTTCGGACTCGCGACGCGAGCGGCGCAGGAAAGGGAAGGAGCGCATCTCGGGGCAGCCTAAGTCGCCGTATATGGAAGATGCGCAAGAGGAGGGGGATGCGGCACAGAGTGACAAGGCAACGCCCGGAGAAGGTATGGAAACATTGCGTTAAGGCACGTCCGGCATAGCCTAGCCCTGGCTAACATGACCTCAGAACCCACCACCCCAACGGGCTCGCTGGAGCGCACCATTTTTCAATTGCGCCCCCAGTCAGGATTAGCGCAGACCACCGAGGGACCTCAGGGAGACAACAGCGCAGTTCCAACGGCTTCGAAGAAGAAGGGAAAGAGCAAGGCTAAACCTGGCTCCTCCTCGCAGGCTGCAGAAGCGGGCCACACACTTTCGTTGTCCGGAGTGTCGATACAGACGAACATCCCAATGCCCCCAACCGAGTTGGAGAGACAGCGAAACGAAATTCTAAAACACATTGCGGAAGAGCGAAGAGAAGGCCGCTTGCCTCTCCTGCAAACGGACGGCGCTGGAGCTGCAGTCCCAGTCCAGTCATTGCCTCGTCGCAAGCCGTTGGTGATCGATCTGAACGACGCTAAGAAGGTCCCAACCCTCTCTGCATTGATCAACATAGGCCTAGACAATGAAGAGCCCACCAGGACTCATGACGAGGAAACAGAGCATCCTCGACCCGGCGCGGATACGACGAGAACTTCGGCGCCGGTGCGAATTTCGCCCCGTTCACGTTCGCTACTCCTAAAGCACCTCGACGACGCCGACGGAGTGCCATCGTACCCTGTGCTGATCAACAAGGAAGACCAGGCTGAAGAGTCTTTGATAGTCCAGAATGAGGAATCAGAACATGCTCAGCCTGATACAGCTCCGATAGAGCAGTCTACTTCCACCACGCTCGCATACCCAACGGTTGTCTCCGCTGAGCCGGATCGAACGTTTCCGGATCCGACATCCCCCGAATCCGACAGAGAAGTCCCCGCGTCAGATACAGACGACGACAAGACTATCATTGATAGAGAGTTTCAGCACGCCAAAGAGGAATGGTTCCGAGTACGAAAGCGTCCACTGACACCGCGCCACGCCCGACACCGTCGCATCGTCTCAACCGACTCCGCCGTCAAGCCCGTGCCCAAGCGCTCTGTTCCGATTAAGAATCGCCGCGTAACCAACGACGGGATAGTTGAGTTCAAGGCCAAGGCCGATGCCGGTGCCTCGAAGGAACATTCTTCAATGGCACCGCCAGAGAAACCATCTAGGAGGAAGATCTCTGTGGCCATACCAGTGAAGGTCCAACCAGCGCAGCCACCTCTCCCAACGCCGCTCTCAGCCTCCACCCTCGTCAACGAAGTACCACCCGAGACCGAAAAAGAAGAACGAGAGCTAGAATACAAGCACCGCCACACTTTTATTGGCACCGCCTCGCTCGACGACTTCCTCGAACTGCTCGAGCTCTCCTCAGCCCACACCACGACTAAACGCCAAGTCGCGAAGGCCTTCGTCCTGCTCGCCGCCGCAGAGCAGGTCCAGGCGCGCCAGTCCTCCACCTCGGGGAGCGGCTGGGAACTGGTGGCGCGCATCACGCCGGATATCGCTCCTGGGTACGCTGACTACTTGAACCAGGCGCACGTCAAGCTAGGTTCTATCTCGCTGTGTCAGTTTCTAGAGTTGGTGCGGTGGGATGAGAAGGAGGAGGTGGCGGCTTTGAGCGTGGTGGAGGCGTTTTGCGCGGCGAGTCATATTGACCGGGGTGTTGTGGCGGGGACGAGGTCGAAGGCGAGGGCGTTTAGGAGCTGGATGGTGAAGCAGGAGAAGGAGTGTTGAGAGAGTGCGTTGTTGGATGAGAGGGGCCTAATTTGTGCTGTGTTGGCTTGTTGGCTTCAGAATGGTGGTATGCAGATCCGGTGCCTTGTTGCGAGATACTTCGTGTTTCGTGGGCGAGCGGTGGATGGTTGTGTTGATACACGCTAGAGTAGTGATTAATAGCTAATGGAGTTCCCTCGCCGAGATACGAGAAGTCCCGTAAGGGAGTAGAAATAAAACAAACACATCTGAGTGTTAACTCATATTCGCTTACCGTTATTGTAGCAGCCTGTGTTTATAGCGCCAGCTGTAGCTCGCGAATGGTGCGCCGCCCTATCCGTCGGATATGTCCCGACACAGTCCTACTTTTCAGCCCTGCCCACGAGATAGAAACGCACTATGATAGAATGACAATGACAATCGACAGCACCTCTTTCGCCATTCTAGATCTAATCCACGTGCTATGTGCTACGGCACACACACACCAGCATGCTCCAAACCTCCAAGCAGAGCAATCCCATCCGCACTAGCCTTTATCCCGTCCCAACCTCAACCTCACGATACCCTCCTACCACTCCTCGCCGAACTTGCCCCTCCACCTCCACCCCCACCTCCACCGTGCCATCATACCAAGCCCCGCATCTCCCCTACAACTCCCCCACCTCAACTCTCCTCATCCACATCATCCTTCGGCCACAGCGCGTCCTTCCACACCAGCGCGCCATCTCCTCTAGACAGGAAGACCCCGGACCACATCGCGCGTCAGCGTCGTCCCAGGATAAGCGTCCTGCATCGCTGAGAGCACTGCGTTGGCGCAGTCGATGGGCGTCTGGTCGTCGTCGGGGGGGGCGGAGTAGGCGTGGAGGATGCGGCCTTCCTACGAGAGGGAGGGGGTGGGTGTTAGGTCGTGGGCGGCGGAGTGGAGGATGTATATGGAGTGGGGGGTGGGGGTGGCATGGTTGGTGGTGGGGAAGTCAAGGGGTGCTGGGAATTGGAGTGGGAGTGGGAGTAGGTAAGTTAAGGGGTGGCTGGGCATGTGGTATATGTAGGGAAGAAGGAGGGGCGTTTGTTTGTGGACGTAGAAGCGAGAGGGTTTGTGTCGGGCTTGGACAGCGTTCGGGGAGGTGGGTGGTGGGTGGTAGGTGGTAGAATCTTCCGTGGAGAGTTGCGAGTGCCAACACCGCTTCGAAGGAGCCCGGGACAGGAGGCGAGCGATCTTCGGAAGTGCGAGCTGAGTACTGAAGACCTCCGGGTCCTTCGTCACTGCTATCTTGACGCATGTTTAAGCTTTGCGCGGGGGATACCTCTGTGGCCTGGACGTTGCGTTCATAGTTTCCGTGGTATCGATGTCAGGGACATAGTGGTCAAACTCCTCGGGCCACTTTTCGATTCCCGGTGGCGGTAGCGACCATCCCTTAGGTTCACAGCGCCCGAAGTATTCGCACGCACACTGCTGCGGAGGTGGGCATCGAATCGCCTCTCTCGTGAAGATGTAAGCCCAGAGCTTCTCGAACACCCGACCGCTGACGTCGCTGATGAGGTCCGTGTCCATCAGCCACCGTCTCATACGCTCGTATTCTGCTTTCGGCCGCTGCTGGATGGCTTTCCGAGTAACGGCGAACTGGGCGCAGCATTGGCTGGCGATGGTGCGTGGAAGCTCGACGTCGCGCCCGAAGAGCGTGGACCAGACTCTTCCGATCTCGTATTCGGTGTCCTCGCGGTGTACGCCGGGTCCCCATACCACGGCGTCGTGATCGACGGGGCGAATCTCCCGCGGGCAGCTTGGGTACCAATCGCACCTCAGCGGCGCGTATCCAGCCTTATCCAGAGCCGGCAGTCGAAAATCGTTGATGATGGCTACCATGTCGCCCTCCTGGTGCCAGGAGAACTGGTGGCCGTGAATGAAGACGGAGTAATCTGGGAGGGAGTCGTAGTTGTTGATGATGTAGCTGAGGTACATCATTGCCTCGTTTCCCCCGTTTGCGGGGAAGTACGTAGAGGGTGGAGGCGAAGGATCGTCGTAGTTGTAACGGTGGAGCTTCCACATACTAGAATTTCTTGTTAGAAGGATAAAGCATGGCAGGAGTAAGGACGTACGGGTCTCGTATTTCAGTTACCCAGTTGAGATCTGTAGCCAAGCCCACTGCTGCTACAATTGCTCCAGTGAGACCGGTAGCCTTTGGGGATTCGGCAGTCGGATAGGTGCTTGAGGTTGAAGGCAGGACAACAGAAAGCGTGTGTACTATTGAACTGTGTTGCCCTTCCTCATTTTCCTTATATGCTGTAGGTGTAGGTGTAGCGGGACTTAAAAGCATCCCCATATTGTCTAGCCCGGCCGTCGATGTAGGCAATTGCGAGCGTTCGTTGTCTAAAGAGCTTGATACTAAGGGTTGGGATGGTGACAATACGTCTTGCTGCGCTTCCTTCCCATCATGTTCGAATATCGAAGGCCACTTCTTGCCGGATTTGAGTGCGTACGATGTCCAGGACTCTTCGAGGTCGCTGCAGTACAAATGGAAGAAGACTGTGAACGCGACAAGGGAAAGGATTGACAGTAAAAAGGACCTCGCCTTCCGGCTAAAGAATGTATGCATAGCGGAAAGGTAAGGAGCGCTAGGGATGGGCAGAGAAGCAGGACTGAGGGAGAGGGTGTGAAAAGCGAGGAGACAGGAACTCATCGGTATATGCAGCCTGACCTATGGTTGCGCATTCTGAATTTAGAATCGGATGATACTGTGTACGCGCTGGTTGACAGATTGCTTGCGTATGGCTTTGTGGGTTGCCGCATTAGTGCATGCGGCGTAGGTGCATACCAGGGCTCAAGTCAGCCCAGCCCCCGCCGGCGCACATATGCAGCAGCGACGGACCCAGCTAACGCGCGGGTGTTTCTGACGTACTCAGACGGGTCGCCATTTTTGGGCTGTTGGTTACGCATAGGCATATTCCAGTCGCGCCTCAGGCGGCGTCGGAAGCGGAGGTTCACAGTCGACGTATTACCTGGCACAAGCGCGCCCCACACCAAGGCCGCGTAAAACAAAATCGTCTAGGCTAGGAAGGTGATAGATGAAAGTTTTGGCGCGTGTGTTATCGTGAGGAGTTTGCAGAGGTTCCCCTCGGCTGACGAAAAGGGTGACGAAGATGAGGTTGGATGGGGGCGCGGCGCTAGTCTATAATTGGGATAGGCGCTTGCGGGTCGGCTCCAGGGGCTGTTCGATCCAGCCGCCAGGAACAGCACATCAACCTCACTGCGCACGCTCTTGCATGGGAGTATGTTCCATCAGCGGGGATCGTCTTCGGAGCTTTCAGCTTCTTGTTTCAGACATGGTGGTACAACTATATAAAACCCCCGCGGTCAATGTCTCTACCGGTCTAGCCTTTCCTAGCACGAACACGACAGCCCCAAGTTATGTCCAGAAGAAAGAAGCGTCGGCTTTCGACGTGACCTGCCCTCATCGGGGATGATTAACATTAGCAAAAACTGCACCTACATACAGATAGTAGGAAGGAAGTCCACAGAGTACTTTTCAAAAACCAAAAGACGACGGCCTATGACTGCGACTTGGTCGAGCGACGCGGAACGTTCACGATGCCCAGAATAGCGAAGATACTCCACCTCACCACCCGAGTACCGCCACACGTGGCTCAGTATCTATATTTCTATCAACGAGGATTGGGTGCGGCTGTCGGTCGAACGAAATTCCGCTGCGTAGGCGCCGAGAAATGCAGCCGTTGGCGCCTATTTCCTCAGCCTTCCTCAACATCGCTGGCTCTGCTAAATTCCTCCTATCTTGTTGCCTTCACTCATAAACGACGTTGCACCACAACTAATGTACATCTAGGTGTTTGCGAAGACCAACAGCAGTCTGAGCTGCAATGGCTGAGACTCTCGCTGCAGTCGCCAGCATCGTCCAACTCGTCGACGTTAGTTCGAGGCTCGTCCGTCGCCTTGAGCAGTTCCACTCCGACACAGGAGAAGTTCCGAAGTCCCTTCGCCACATCAGCACTGAGCTGCCTGTGTTGAGTACCACCCTGCATCGAATCCGGCAAGCGGTCGAGGCGGACTTAGTAGACGACGGCACCAAAGAGGTCCTTATACCTGTGATCGATGGGTGTCGAGAACAGATAGAGCAACTGAACGCCATTCTTGCAAAGACGCTACCGGCAACCAATGACAGCTGGCGTACAAAGAGCAAGAAGGCGATAGTAAGCCTGCACCAAGACGACAAAGTCGAGAGCATTACGAAGATTTTACGAAACTACATCGCAACCCTAACGTTCTATCATGCGGCGGCGTCGTCGACCCTGCAGCCGCTTACAGGTGAGTGACTTAGAGGCAGTCTGCATAACTTTCCACTGATTCGCAATACGTAGATGCAAAACTCGCAAAGATACGCCAGTGGCTATCTGCACCGGATCCTTCCACGAACTATCAGAAAGCGCTTAAACAACGGCAAGACGACACTGGTCAGTGGTTCCTCGAAAGCGACCAGTATGCCGCGTGGAAGACGGATGCCGCAACGTTCCTTTGGCTTCATGGCATCCCGGGATGCGGAAAGACTATCCTCAGCTCGACTATTCTCCAGAGCGTGCTCCAACACTGCAACAATGATCCCGGGAAGGCAGTTGCGTACTTCTACTTCGACTTCAATGACGCGCAGAAGCAGAATTCAGAGCTTATGCTACGGTCATTGATCTGTCAGCTCTCACAGCAGTGCATTAGGATCCCAACGAGCCTCAACACGCTGTTCTCCTCTTGCGAGAATGGGCAGCGACAGCCGTCTCTACATGCCCTTGTGGAAGTGATGCAGCAGATGGTGCAGGAATTCCCGCACGTCTACGTAGTCCTCGATGCTCTAGACGAGTGTGCCGAGCGTTCGGAGCTGACAGACATCCTCGAGACGACGGCTGCATGGCAGCTTCAAAACTTGCATGTCCTCGTGACAAGCCGCAAAGAACGAGATATCGAGAGTTCGTTGGAGACCTTTATAGATCAGGAAAATATCGTCCACCTTCAGAGCGAGCTGGTAGACAGAGACATAAAAAAATACGTTCGGCAAAGGTTGGCTGCCGATAGAAGCCTAAGCAAATGGCAGAAAGACACCACCGTCAGGCTGGAGATTGAGGCCGCTCTCATGAAAGGAGCACGTGGAATGTACGGGTGTTATCCTACTATTTCCTGAAAATGCCAGGCTAATAATCGCCATAGGTTTCGATGGGCTGTCTGCCAGCTAGACACGCTAGGGAAGTGTCGTAATCGAGCAATGCTACGGAAATCACTCGCAGCCCTTCCCCCAACGCTGGACAAAACGTATGATCGCATCCTTTGCGCGATTGGAGAAGAGGATTCCCAATACGCTGTCCGCATCCTGCGGTGGCTGACGTTCTCAGCTCGGCCGCTCTCGGTGGATGAGGTCGCTGAAATAGTCGCCATCGATGTGGAGCGCAACCCCGCTTTCGATCGCGAGGAAGTCCTAGAGGATCCGCTGGAGGTATTGAACATATGCGGTAGTCTTGTTACTATGACTATGGACGAAGGAGATGGGAGGTTGCAGCCAACAAGACAAGTCGTTTTGCTGGCGCATTACTCCGTTAAAGAGTATCTCCTCTCGGACAGAATCTTGAGAGGTCGGGCAGCTCGCTATGGCATGCAAAGCGCTGCGTGCCACGACGCTATAGCACAGGGCTGCCTTGGATACCTTCTTCAATTTCAAGGATCAGAGCTTCTGTCTGAGGATACGAAAGACTTCAAGCTAGCAGAGTACTCAGCAAGCTTCTGGATACACCATGCGCAGGGCACGGACGAGGAGACAGAAGAGTTCAGTCATGCAGCAATGGATCTGTTACTGGAGAGAAACGACGCGTATCTGAACTGGCTTCGGATTCATGATCCAGCCAAACCATGGGAGGGCTCTGATTTTCGGAGGGACCCAGGATCAGTTCCTGCTCCATTGTATTATGTAAGCCGCTTTGGCTTGAGAAGAACAGCGGAGCTGCTGCTTGACAAAGACGCCGACGTCAACGCGCGTGGTGGATACCCCAACGCACTCTACGCGGCTTCATTTAGCGGCCACGAGCAGATTGTGAGGCTGCTGCTCGACAATGGCGCCGACGTCAACGCGCGGAGTACAAAATACAACGCAAACGCACTCTACGCGGCTTCATCTAGCGGCCACGAGCAGATTGTGAGGCTGCTGCTCAACAATAGCGCCAACGTTAACGCGCAGGGTGGATACTACAGCAACGCACTCCAGGCGGCTTCTAAAGGAGGCTATGAGGCGATTGTGAGGCTGCTGCTCGACAATGGCGCCGACGTTCACGCGCAGGGTGGATACTACAGCAACGCACTCTACGCGGCTTCATCTATAGGCCACGAGCAGGTTGTAAGGCTGCTGCTCAACAATAGCGCTGACATTAACGCGCAGGGTGGATACTACGGCAACGCACTCCAGGCGGCTTCTGAAGGAGGCCATGAGGCGATTGTGAGGCTGCTGCTCGACAATGGCGCCGACGTTCACGCGCGGGGTGGATACTACGGCAACGCACTCCAGGCGGCTTCTGAAGGAGGCCATGAGGCGATTGTGAGGCTGCTGCTCGACAATGGCGCCGACGTTCACGCGCGGGGTGGATACTACGGCAACGCACTCCAGGCGGCTTCTGAAGGAGGCCATGAGGCGATTGTAAGGCTGCTGGTCGATAACGGCGCCATCGCATTTAATTAAGGCATCACAATTGCTAATTTTCGTCGACGTTACGCAAGGGGAAAGAATAACTGAGGCTGTAACGTTATTAAAGGAAGCTGTCAACAGTTCATCTACGTAATGGCCGTAAACAATGCTAGTCTTAATAGTTAGTGTATTACCAGAAAGGTGAGCTGCTACCAACTTGGTGCAGGAAAGACTGTCTATTAAGGTACGAGGTTGTTTGTGAGCCTACTAGGTCAACGGAAACACGGGATACTGATTCAAAAGTCTAAGCTCGGCAAGACATCACTGTGCTCCTCAAAAGGCATTTCTACATGATGTATCCTCTTCCATTCATTCCATCCCATCATGTCTCTGACATCTGTTCATTACAACATGATAGCAAGTCAGAACCAAGGCACGTTCGCCCCCAAGGCTAAGGATCGCTGCCATTCCAACATATGGATCTATCCGGCAAAGAAGCCAAAGTACTCACCCTTAACCCAGACCGAAGTTATATCCCTTGCGAGGGACCCCCGCGGCGATTTCACAGCCACTTCCTTCTCCACTTGCTGATCTTCGCAAGACGAGCGATGAGAGAAAGCATCTGAGTACAGGGAGGGTCGATCGCAATACCGAAACGGCGGATATACTGCTCGGAAGTACTGGTGAAAGAGCTCTTCGACTTCTCCACCAGACGTGCGTTCAAATTCCCGCTGGTAAAAGGCTAGTTCGGCATCGATATAAGGATATGAGTCCGCGTCGATATTGCCGTGCCACTCTTCGAAAGCCAAGTGATTAGAAGCTTCCTGTAGCACGCCTTTGGACTTTGCTGGACGCCCTGGGCCAGCCTTGCGTGGAAGTACCATCCCAAACTGGTCCCATTCGACTGGCTTTTGCGGCGACCGATCGTGTTCGAAGTCGAAGTCGAAGTCCGCGAACAGGGATTGATCGATCGGATCTTCGTACAGTCCTTCCCAGTGTCGCTGAAAGCGGGCCAAGCAGGCCTGATCATTAGAGGCGAAGAGTAAAGCGGAGTTCTCTTGTTGCTCCTCGGTCCACCCAGAGCCCTCATACATTGGAACTCTAGGTATGAAGAGGCCTGCTTCTGAGACTTCCCCTGAGCTCGCGTCAGAGTTTCCTGGGAAGTAGTAGTCATCAGCGAGGCCACCTCTCGGGATATCCATGTATGAGAAGTGCATGGTATGTGGAGCAGTTCGACGTGTGTACAGGTCGTTACACACCATGCGATCTTCGTACTCGTCGAATGACGACCAGGATGAACCTAACGAGGAAGAAACCGCTCGCTGTAGCTCTTCCTGATGGAGCAGGGCTACCTCCTCTTCATCTACCGGCCGAAGCCCAGATTGCCCTCGACGATTCTTGCACAGCCGACGCAGACATCCGATTGCGTTACCAACTGTCTTTCCAACTCGCTTCCAACAAGGCTCCTGTTTCCGAAAAGCCACATTCTCAGCAAATCGACGTGTAGTGGTTTGCGGACGCTCCATCGGGGGCCGGTCTGCGGTGGCCATATCGAATTCCTCGTGAAAACTAGACGGACGAGGGAGTTGGCTGGATGCTGTTTCAAAGGTGGTCGGCATGTTTACCAAGTCCTGCTAGCCGGCGAGTTGTGAAACGTACCTGTCGGTTGCGAATACAGGCTGGAAATAAACCAGGACGGAACTTTATTAAGTATACTAACTCGAATAATCCTTATTCACGCATAGGGCTGTCGACGCTCCTCGTACATTCATACTTACCCATATTGTCGCACAACGCTGGAGCCGGTACCAGAAGTTGACGATACATGGATATATACCCACAACGGTTCTTGTATAAGAGAGGACATGGATAGGGTGCACAACGTTAGGCAAAAGGTGGAGCATAACATGTCGGCTTTTTAATGATGGATTGCTGAGACGTTTGTGATACATGTACCAAAAATGTCTCATTCAATCACTTTCCCATGGATTACGGTCTGGCGTCGAGAGCAATCAGGGTGGGACACAGTCCGGGCAAAGCTAACTCAACTCTTTCAGGACCCACACCTGATGCTGAATTTTGGTTATCGTTTTCCTTCCCCTCGATTCAGAGGACTAAAACATCCTCTAGGCAATTATTTTGACAATATCTTCCTCATTCGCTATCTACACTTGGGCTTTCACCCTATACTTACCTAGGTAGGCAATCGTGGAACTCGCTACACGGCCCTCTCATTCTCCGCCGTCGTTATCACTCACCCACGCTGCCGAATCGTATGTTTCCCTTCGTGGATATCAGAACACACAGGCTCTCACATCTCCTTGCCTTAATACCCCGTCCGACTCCCACTAAAAGATCTCAGCCCTATCTCCCCCTACGAGTGTACTAGCTAGCTTCAAGCTTTTAGGTCTATCTCTCCCCCTACCCGCCTACAGCAAACTCTCCTCTCCCACCCCATCAGCGCTACTCCCACAGCCGCCCTACCACACTACATCACACCACACCTTCCAACCTCTGCCCGTATAGCCCAACCCCCCATTCACCCCCTAACCCCGCCATCGACCTACCTGACGCCCAACCCTCTACCTCTCGGCCCAGCACTCCGCCGCCATCCCTCATTCACCTCACTACCGCGACGAGCTCCCGACGTGGCGGGAAAACATGCAGAGCACAGAAACGGTTCGGGCTGCGGAGCACAACTAGCTGAAGCAGTGGTCTGATAAGGTTAAGATGAACTGGCTGATGAACTGGCTAATTCTGAGGGATTTTGTAGACAGGGGGATTTTGTAACTGAGAAGAATGCGAAAGAGGTCAGTCAACCATTCTTTCTTTGAAGCCTACAGATTACAGGCGGAGATTAAGAAAACCTTTCCAGCATGGACTTCACCAGCAATGAACTGCAATGCACAACAGCGACCCATCACATAACGAAAGTAATGCATTCCCACCCCACCAACACCCTGTAAGTTAGAAACTACCAAAAAACCAACCCAAACACAAACATCCACGCACCATCGCGCGCCGCATCCCGGTCCGGTCAAACCTTGATATCCCCGATCGAGGGCAGGTTCATTCTCATTATGATGATCAACTGCCCCTCCCTGTAAAATGACTATCTGAAAAACAACCTAAACATCCACGCCCCATCGCACGCCGCATCTCGGTCAAGCCTTGATATCCCCGATCGAGGGCAGGATCATCGTGGCTATAATGATCAACCACCCCTCATATTACCCATTATGCCATTCGGCATTCCATCCGTCCCTGATGCATTCGCATCCCCTGCAGATCCCGCCCAGTAGAAAGAAGTATTGTCGTGCTGATAGGTGGGCTTAATGCCGGATCTGCTGTCGTATATCCCCTGTGCAGGACCGTTCGGTCGACTGCTGATAGTTTTTGGAGTTGCGTACATTCTGTGTGCGTGGAGTTTTGCTGGATCGCTCGCTGGAAAAGTTGTCGAAATGGAATTGTGGATCTTCTTCGTACATGTTCGTTTGGTGTGTTAATGGGGAGGGTGTTAGCAAATGAGCAGGTTTAGGCTTGACGTTCGGAGAGCCAGTTGTGGGAGCGCGCGAGACTGTGGGTTGCTTGACCTGGCGTATCAAGGAACCTCTTTGCGCTCCAAGGACGCTTGAAGCGTCTAATTGGGTGTGGCTATAGTCCCTCCACCGCTCAAGGGGATTGATGGTCGACGCATGCCTGTCTCGTTTGCAGTGTCGGAAGTGTGCTCGTCAGCGCCGACGTCTTTCGTGGGAAGGCCGAGAGTGTTCTCATGGACATCGAGATGGTGTATGAGAAGGCCGCGGCAGTTCGGATCAGCTCCTTGCAATGCGGAAGTGGTAGGCTTGACGTCGTTTTCTTCGAGGACGGCGAGTGATTGCGTGGCAGGTGGTCCAACAATAATGGGGTGCAGCGACGACCCAGCATCACGCTGCGGCGTACCACCATCGTCCTGATAGCCCGTAGGATCTCCAGCAGCGTCAACTTCGAGGGCAGACCTCACGATGAGCACAGTCGCCTCGACGTCGAGATCGCTGAGAGTTGCCTTTGCGAAAACTGGCTGTAGCAGTTTAGGCTCTTGAGTTCGCTGCATTAGACGGTCAGTGATTGCAGCAGCTGTGAGAGAATGGGTGTTGCTCACCTTCGAAGCATCTCCATTGCTGGCGATAGCTTCCACGTTAGCCGTTGGTAGAGAAGGCTTTGATATATTCTTTGCCTCATCTTTGATTGTCATTGGTTCCCGCGGTTTGACTTCAACCTGCGACTGCGGCTCGAGACGCCCGCTCTGAAGCACTTCCAAGCCAGCCTCGCACTCCGTCTCGAGCGAACGGACACCCAAGTCCAGAGCCGGAAGCTGTGGCATCTGTGGAGCCGGCGGAAAGTAGTCGCCGCACCAGCCGGAGAACCAATCCACAAGGTTCTCGGACGCGGGAAGTTGAGGCAGGTTTGCCGGCGCCGAGCTAGCATCCACTTTATCCTCATGCAGCAGGTCAAGCGGAAGAGTGAGCGGAGTTGAAAGCGTGAGAAGCTTGAGTTTGCTCTCTTCCGCGTCCGTTTCCGCGTCCGACTCAGGCTCGGGCGTAGTATCTCGGGTTACATAGGAGATAGAATCTTGATATGAGGACTCTCCGTCACTGTCGAGCATGGAAGAAGAGCATGCGAGGTATTCTTTAGCAAGATCCTCATCTAGGACATCATTTGCAGCCTCTTCATCGTCCGTGTCTACAGCCTCACGTTCGGATTCGTACTCCAAAACTGGAGCTTGGACAATGGCCTGCGTGTCTTTGGAAGCATTCCTCAAGGCACAAGAAGGAAGGGAGGTATCGTCGCAGACATCCTTCTCGTTGGAAAGAATGGTTTGTGCCGGCGCATTGGCGAGCGGAAGCGTGACGGTTTCCTCCATGTCCACTGGGGATTGCTCGTCATAGTCTAATTCATCCTGCAGTCCATAATCAGAAGGAGCGTTGGAAAGCTCTTCGGTGATGTTAGGAGCATCGGAGATGTCTCCTTCTGCCTTTGATGCGATGAGTGAACTCTCTTCTTGGCCCTCCTCGGGAGCCGCGGAGAAGCGCATGCCTTCCTCCACTTCGCGATCTTCCATCGGCGCAGTCTCCTCGACCAAAACGGCATCAGTCGGGTCCTGGTTGTCGTCGCTCAGTTCTGACTCAACGGGGGATATTTCAGGCTCAGTAACTGGGTCCGTGCTAGTGACGTCGGCGACTAGATTGGCTTCTTCTTGATAGGCATTCTGTTCGACCTTAGCCTCGGTGGACACCGAAGATTCGTCCAGCAATTCACCACTAGATGGAGTAATCTCGTGCTGTTCATATTCCGGGGAAGCTTGGTCCCCTTCCGGGACTGCCTCAGAGGCGCCAACTGTAGCCGCGACTTCAGCCTGCTGTGACTCCCCGGATGGAGGAGAGGACTGCTCAGAAAGGCCACTGAGTGCCGAAACTACCGGCTCTTGGATAGCATTTTCTTCCACCAGGTAGCTGTCGATCATCTTTTCTTCTGCGGGTTTCTCGTTCTGCTCAGACTGGACCGTTTTGCCAGACACGGTGGCCTCTTGGTCCTCAGAGACCTTCACGTCGTCCTGGATAGGTGCCTTTCCTTCGCCTTGAAGATCCGACGGGAGACATGTACCTATAGTAGGCATCAATGGAGAAGCGGAGATCTGGCCAGTATCCACAGCCACCCCCGGCTTCAACTCGAACGGATTCTTCGTCTTCCAGGCTTCGAAGTTGGGAGCCGCTTGCGCCATACAGGTGCCAGTGAACCTAGACTTCTTGCACGGAGCCTTGCAGCGCTGAGGTAAATCCTTCGGAGGTGAGTGGGCGCCGAATTGGAGCGGGCTACCATTGCTCGGCGGATTCGAGAAGCACAGATCCACGGTTGGGCTGAGGGTTGCCTGTTGCTTCCAGTCTTTGTTCTTGAGCCCCATAGGGTCCATAGCCTGGTTGTGCTCCTCCAAGGCAACGTCATTTGAGTCCAACATCTTCTGATCGTCCCCAGTCGGTGAGCTAAAAGCGGGGGATGTAGGTGCCGTCGAGGATGGAGATGCAGTGCCCGTCCTATTGGTCGACTTATTCGTTGCAGCAAGCAGCGAGAGGAATGCGTTGGTGTCTGCTTCCTTCTTGAGAGCTGCCTTGCATGCAGCCACCTTGTCTTCGACAGATGCCATCTCTCGCTCGACAAATTCCGCCTTCTCGTCCGTCGACCAGTTCTGAGCTCCGATGACTTCGGCAGCCTGCTCAAGGAAGTCCAGAGCAGTACTATCCGTGGCATATTTATTCGCGACTTCAATCCACGGACGCGGCGCAAGCGCATCTAGGTCCACCCTCTGCTTCGTGTAGAACTGGGCAATGCGAGCGATCCGATGCGACTTACGGGCAACAAGCTGTGGGGATGAACCTGGCCATAGATACTCCGCGGCGTCCGTGATGAAGTCACGCCGCGTGTAGCCATTCCCAGAGGCCTGCTGCCCGACGTTCGGGAAGATCTTTTGCGCCGTTTTGTACTCCTGGATCCGCTGGGCGAGGGGAGACATGCCGTTCTTGAGCTTTGTTGACACCGCTTTAGACTTCTTCGGGGCTTTCACATTCTTTCCCGGCTTTTCCTTCTCACTAATATCAGCTCGCTGGTCTGAATTCGGGATCTTGGCTACATTCGACTCCTTCTGGACACGAGCTCGGGTGAGATGAATATTCGGACGCTCTGTGGTCGGTTCGTCGTCATCGGATGCGGCGCGCTCGCACTCAGCGGCTTGGAGCATGACCTCTTTCAGCTTCTCTTCGTCATGCCTGCCTCCGATCATAGGCGTCGGGCGAAGGCTATCGACGACGATGAGGGCGTCGTTACCCTCCGCCTCGCGGATCCAGTCGGAGCGAGAGAAGAGGAGATACACGATGCCTGGCTGGACGAGTATGAAGTTGGAGCCGTGCTTGACTGCCTCGACGGCGTACTCGTACGCGGATTCGTGAAGAAGACGGTTGGCGACCTTAGTCGCATGGCGCATATCGCTAGGTCGGAGATCATCGATGTCGCCGTCGCGCTTGAATAGGGGCCCGGTGGCGCTGTTCTTTGCGGAGAAAGTCATGTTGATTTGATGGTTGCGGAGGGTTTGATGTAGAGTGACCTGTAGTTATGGGAGTTAGTGGAGGGTGGAGGGTTGAGGTCAATTTATATGACGTAGTTGCAGGTACCTTCTGTGAACTGTCAAATACAGCAGGGGTAGCTTACAGCGGTGCAGTGTGGCAAGGATGGTTGGATTATAGCGTTCAGTCGTGCGCGCTAGATGCGGTAGGTCGATTGCAAGCGCGGGTTGAGCTGAGCGTGCTGTCGGGGCGAGTGTGGGAAAGGAAAAAGCACGTGTAAGGTAGAGAGACCTTTTGTAGGAACAATAGCGAGCTGGCTTAGTCAGGCGTGGAGAGCCTGCCAAAAGAGTGAATCCAGCAGCACGTGCCTTGCGGCAGGCCGAAGCACCAGGGCCCAGGTGTTGCACCGTCCATTCCCTCCCTATGGATTCACTATGGGAACCCTTGTTGGCGAACGACATACAAGCAGCTGCCTGCTAGTTTGACCGCCGTCATAGCGACTCGGAATGGCTTTCAAGGGCGCTGGGGTTTGTCGAATTTGACGCGTATGCCATGCTGAAGCTATGTGGGATAGCGATTGAGAGTTACAGCCTTAGAATAGAAAGGGACTATTAGGCTCAAAGGACCAAGAGCGAAGAAACAGCCCCTGGGATATAGAGAAGTAAAATATTCATGTTTCGTTACATACGCATTTCCCAAAAGGGGCTACCTAAGTACTCGCAGTAAGCAAGCGGGTTATCATCCGAAACTCCAGAGGAAAGTGTATTTACTCCCTTCCTCCGGCTCGCCTCTCGTAATCGTCCGTAAGTCTCGAAGCGTCCACAATCTCCACGCCCTTTCCAAGGCCTACCATGTCCGTGTTCTCCCACCATCGATCGCCGTGGCCGGCATGCTCTGATTTCGACTTGCCAGCTGCACCCTCGTCATCGGTGTCCACCAATCCGCCTAGCCCAGTGCCATCGCCGCCGACAACTACAACAGTTTGGCTAACCCAGCGCTTGAGGTCTTCGATGTTGGAGCCGTGAGGGCCGCTCAGAGCGTCTACGACGTACACAAGCTCGGGGCCGAGGTGGCGAAGCATATGTACAAAGCCAGTGGGCGTGGTGAAGGGCATGACCATAGCGGGGTCCTCGACGAGCCGAAGAGCTTGCGCGTGGAGAGTGTTCCAGAGTACGGTATCTGAGCTTCGTGCGGACAGGGCTGGGGTATAAACGGTCTCTTCCGGGTGCGGTTCGATAGACTGAAGTTCTTCTCCTGGTGTACGCGCGGGAGTGGATATGGCTGAGTAGGATGAGCCGAGGGAAGCAGCACCCGTCCGCGAGTTGGGTCGTGATCGCAGAGAGGGCGAGTAGATGAGCACAAAGAGCTTGGTTTTGCTGAAGTCGGTGTCGGGGAGGTGGGAGAGTATGGTCTACAAAATGTTAGCTTAGACTCCCTTCCCTTCACACTACACTTACAGCATTCTCTGAGCGGTACGAGCCATCCTCCTCATGCGTGTCCATCAAAGACTCGGCGGACACAACAATAGCCACCGTCTTCCTCCTGCCGCTAGCTGAGGGTCCACCCCTCACCGAAGCGGCGAACGACTTTGTCTGCGTGTCCACCGCCGCCGCGCTCTGCGAAGACTGCGCTTCGACATTGCGCCTGATGGCTGCTTCCTCGGACCATCTGTTATGGTCCGCATAATCATCTTTATCCTCCTCCCGGATCGAAGCAAGCGCCGCCCCAGCAGCAGCTCCTGCGGCTGCAAACCCAGCGGCTGTCTTCTTGCTCACAGTGTCAAACAGCTGCTGCGGACTCGGTGTCCGTCGCATGACGCCCTGCACGCGCGACATGAGGCCCTCGTCGTCGCGCGCCACTCCCTGCGACATGCTCTCGCGCGAGCCCTCGGGCATCTTCCTGTACTCATCCTCGCCATAGCTCAGATCGGCATCGTCGGATTCATCGTCGTCGCGTCGCTCACTCCATACCCAGGCGGCGAAGCCCGCGGTCGCAACAGTGACGGTGAGGACTAGGGGTACCCAGTAGCCGAAGGTGGTGCGGCGGCTGGACGAGGACTGGCGGCGGTCGTAGCGGTCGTACGAGAAGGACATTGTTCTGGGCCGTTCAATTCATGATATTGCTGTAGAGCGCGCGGGGAGGTGGGTGTTGTGGAGGGCTAGTCTAGCGTGCGGAGACCTGATGTTGTTGTGCTCTTGATGTGGCTGGGAGCTATGGACCCCTGTCAAAGAAACACATGCAGCCGAAGCGCCGAGGAGTCATGGACGAGAAACTTTGGCGGGGCTTCCTGACACTCTCGCACGCACCCCGCCAGTTGTGTATACCTTGAACAAGAGCTTGGAATTCTTGCCGCGGTCCACACTGCCCGCTAGAGAAACTTCACAACCTTCTTAAATCGATTGCTGCGCAAAGAAGCCCAATTCGGCGGCATGCCTCACGCTACGCTGCCCTCCCCGGGCTTCCAGGCCCTCATTCTGTGCGGGCCTGGAGCTTCCCTCGGTACCTTCACCTCCTCGCCAAAGGACATACCAAAGGCTCTTCTACCTATTGCAAACCGACCTATGGTTTGGTACCCATTGGAGTGGTGCTACCGCATGGGAGTCACAGGTAGAAGGCGGCTCCACCAGGGCACATACATATGCTAACGATAGCTTCAGATATCACAATAGTCACTCCTCCAGAGTCACTAGAAGCCATCGAAGCTGCCATGTCCCAGAACCCGCATCTCACATCGCTCCCCTCACCAAAGCCCGACCTGATTGCGCCGAAAGACCTGACACACGAGACCGGAACCGGGCACCTCTTCCGGCTACCCGAAGTGCAGGATGCTATCAAGGGCGACTTCATCGTGCTTCCCTGCGACATTGTCTGCGAATTAGACGGCACGGCGTTGGCGGACGCGTGGATGGTCGAGGAAGCTGGACTCGGCGCTGCGAGCGGGGGATTGAAAGACACGGGGAAGATACCCATAGGTGTCGGCGGCGAGAAACTCGGCAGGAGAGGCGGCCTAGGCGTGTGGTACCAGACCAAGGGCGAAGGCAGCAAAAAGGGCGAAGAGACAGACTTCATCGCGACCACACCTCTCCCGACACCAATCGTCCCGCCGCCAACAGATTCATTACGGCGCGACATCTCAAACCTCGTCTACACGGTTCCGACCGATACCCTAAACGACATCACAGAAGAGAACAAATGCTTCCCCGTTCGGCATTCCCTCATCCGCAAGCACGGCCGGATAAAGATGCTCACCACACACCGAGACGCCCATATCTACTTCTTTCCCTACTGGGTCCTAGAGATGATAAAAAAGAACGAGAAATTCGAAAGCATTAGCGAGGAAGTGCTAGGCTGGTGGGCAAAATCGGGCTGGCAAGACGGGCTAGGAGAAAAGCTCGGCCTGCGACAGGTCTTCCATCCCGAGGACGGCTCGGGCAGCGACTCCGGCTCGCAGGTCGTCGAGGAGGAAATCGACGTCTCCAAGTTCAGCACCACGTACGCCAACGGCCGCGCACACAACAACTTATCGCCAACACCAACGACGCTGGCTTCAAGAGTACGAGACTCCAGCGTCTCTGGAGCAGCCAAGTCCATCACCCCATACAAACCGAAACTCACCATTCCTCCCATCCTAGCCTACGTGCAACCATCGGATCCCTCCGTCCCGCTCATCCGCCGCGTCGACACCGCACACCTCCTCCTCACCATCTCCCTGCGCCTGGCAAAGCTCCCCTCGATCGAAGAAGTCGGCCGCGACGCCGCCTCTCCCTTCGCCCACGCCACCAAAATCGCACACCGACACACCATCCCGAGGAAGTGCCGGATAGAAGCCGAGAACTCCCTACTAGCCGAAAACATCGTCGTTGAAGAGAAGTGCAACGTCAAAGAATCCGTCATCGGCCCGAACTGCAAGCTCGGCGAGGGCGCGCGGCTCCTCAGGTGTCTGTTGATGGATGGCGTGGAGGTCGGCGCCAACGTGCAGCTGACGGACTGTATACTAGGGCGGAGATGCAAGGTTGAAGGCGGCGCGGCGAAGGGGGATGAGAGGACGATATTGAAGGATTGCGAGGTGCAGGACGGGCAGGTTGTTGAGTGGGGCACGGAAGCGAAGAATGAGAAGTTCATGCGGTTTGAGCTGCCGAGCGATGATGGAGAGGATGAAGGGGGATTTGGGGATGATGAGATGATGATGGATGAGTCTGAGGGCGTCTCGCAGCGGTAATGTGATGTTTTTCCCGAGCGCTGTTCGAAGGAGGCGGTATATCGCTTGAAAAAGCATTCGAATATCCCACCCACCCACCCTCTAGCGGAGTGATATTTGAATCTTCTCATCAATTCAAGAAGCGATCCAATATGGTAATACAGTGCAACCTTTAACGCGTCTTTCCATGATGATACAGCTACTAGGAAACATCACCCGTGCGAACTCATGCTAATGACGGATGGATCTGAAGCAGACAGCTCTCCCGATCTGGAAGATCCACTATTCTACTGCTCTGCTCCTCTGCCTCGTTCTACCTATCCTCCCCTTCACGGCTTACACGCCAAGCACAACGGCATCTGGATGCCATGCCATCTCCCACCGTCAACGCACTATGTTATCAAGACTCAAGATGCGTGATCCGGCTACGGAGGAAGCGCGTGTGGCTGCATACTGCATATGTGGCGCCGCGAAAGAAGGAGCGAATCCTGCGGATCCGCGCAGAAGCAAGGAGAAGAAGGGGGCATAATCTATAGTAAGCTTGGTACAGTACAGAACTTGGAGAGGGTGGGTGAGTAAGTGGTGCGAATGGTTAGTTAGTAGGGAAGTGGCCTTGCAGGAATAAGGTGAGTAAGAGAAGCGAGGGATGAGTAACCGGGGGTGGCGTTTTCCCGGCATGGGGGAGGCGTTGCTGATAGGTAGAGCTTAGTGGTGGTGGAGCGCGAACTATACCAAACAAAAGCTTCATGCAGACGGTAGAGGGGAGTGAGAAATGGGATGTGCTTTGGGGGATGGGATACGCGCTGAAGATCAAGAGAGAGGCCTCGCGAAGATCGAATCTCAGACGCCCATGCAGTAGCCTTCCAGTCTCAGCAGGATGGGAGAAAGACGTAGTTAGCTGAGCGCATTTTCAGGCGCGCTATGTGGAATGCGGTATGCATGCATTGCTCATCAAAGAGTTTATGTTCCATGCCACTGGGGAGAAAGCGTGGCGAAATTCATCCGAGTGATGCAGAGTGTGAAAAGGCAATTAGAAATTCTAAGTCGACATGGGCTTAAACGGAGGACTTCCTATACTGATGTCCGAAGCCACAACGACTAGCGCCAACCGGACGGGGGCCACTCCGTAAGGTAGACTAGACAATTAACAGTGAGCGAGAGCATTACCGCCACAAAACCCAGTAAGCCACATAGCCGGTGTAGTACTGTACATATGTTTCAGATCTAGAGCGTGGTATTGATCAACAGAGCGGAGCTGAATTCTCGGTGTAACCCGTTCGAGGCAATGCCTTAGGCATGCGATGCACGTGGAGCCGTCAGCAACGAGGATCCCATGTGCGAAGCCGTTCGTAGTGGCAGACTAGACGCGCGAGGACACATGTTGGAGAAGATTATTTCGCGTAGTTCCAGTGGTTCGCGTGGTGAATTGCCATGCACGTGCGCATGATCACTCGCAGGATGCTTAAGCACCGCTAGATAAGAGAGGACTTTTCTCGACGAAAGTTCGGCCGAGAAGTAGATCGACAATACGGGTGTTGGTCCGTCATAATCCAATGATGCCTGTGCCGCGTGGAAAGTCGCCGGATACGCAGTAGTCGTCAAGGCCTGCATAGAATCCTTCAATGCTCCAAAACGCGGCGAAGCTCTAGTATGCGAGGCGCATTGATCGGACGCGAGTCAATACCTCCAAACTGATAAGTGCTGGTGTCGAATGGGCCCGGGTGCTGAAATAGAAACTTAACAGGGCAGTTATAAGAAGAGGAGATACTGTCGACGACGTCATCTGTTTCACCGTCGCATGCTTTGTAGAGAGCGCCGCTAGGACCGCGATCCTCGGAAGACGTTGGGAGCCATGGTTGCAATGTAGCTGTAGTGGATAGTGCTTGACTGTCGAATCGCAAGGCGGATCCGAGGAGGAGCGGTGGCTCATGAGGTGAGATTCGCCTGTTCGTGCGACGCGGCGTAGCGTAGCGGAGTGCGAAGTCAGCCACAGTTGGAGACAGCAACGGATCAACCAAGGAACACTTGGCTAGGGTACGCTGGTGGCCGCATGCTGGTCTGTGACGAAGCCTTTCATCGCGATCGAGGCAGCGCACTGTAGGGCTGTGGTGGTGGCTGCCGATGGCGGAGAGAAATGGGCACCGCGAAGGAGATGAGACGCAACGGAGCCCGCAGAGAGGGCAGACGAAGGGCAGACGGATGCGCCAAATTGGACGGACAGTCAGTCATCTTCGCGTCCGCCAGAGGGCAAGTGCGGTCATGGTCGCAGCGGCCCTGTCCACTACTGCCCCCAGCACCACGACCGTGGCTGAGCCGGGATGCGTCGCTCCTCCGCCTCGTAAACTCACCAGCGGGCGTCCTCCACGCCAACCTCCACCGCTGCCTGGCCGTGACCTCTCCTCTCTCTTCCACCCTCTCCGTGCCGTCGCCAGTGCTTCTTCTGCCCGCTGCCGCCTCGATCGCTGCCCGCCAGTTGTTTGCCGCTGCACGATTTCGGCATTTGCGATTGACGCTGCTGTGCCGCACCGACGACTCGGCCCTCGAGCGCATACCCACCGAAGCGATCCGCAGCTCTGGGACCCTCGTTAGGCTGAATTGTCGTCCGCTTCTCGACTGAGCTCTGCGCCTGTTCTAAATACACTCACTCTACCACGCTCGTTTACCCTCATATACGCTCTCTCGCTCTGCATGAGGGGTCCCTCGTGACCGTTCGTTGCGCGAGAGCAGAGACAAAGCCCGTGAACTGAGCTGGACGTGCCCGTCATACCAGCGTTCCCGCCCGCGTAGCTCCACCCGCATCTCGCGACCGCTCCAATGCCCATGCGTTCCGGCTCGAAGCGCTACATCAACCTACAGCACGATGTCCACGAGACGACGCCCTGGTACTGGCGCTTCATAGCGCTCGCTGCCTCGTGGATGATACTGGGAGGGTATGTCGCACGGCATTCCAGCTGAAGAAGGTTGGAAAGGAAAGCTAACGGCTTGCGCTCCAGCTACCTCATACTCCCAGGCCTCTATGCGAAAGACCCGCAGCTCAAGTTCTCCCAAGCGGTGTTGTCCGTCTTCGTCGTCGCACTCCTCACAGCCGGATACTCGTTCACCGCGCTGCTCTGCTTCGCTTGTCGCAATGAGATATTCCAGGCCGAATCCATCTTCCTGTACGACTCCAGCGACGCTCACACAGCATAATACCCGCTAACCATGCATATACAGACCCGCCCTCACCTCATCCGCCCTCGGCCTCCTCTCCATAGCCTACAACTTCCTCTCCTCGCGCAGCTTCGAATGGGGCACCGCCGCCATATCCGGCACCGTCATCAGCACCACGTCGACCCTCCTCTACGGCATCCTCCTCATCTGGACCCACCGCCGCATCGTCAAGCTCAAGGAACATCAGGCTTCACGCGGGAACACGTGGTCTGAGCAGTCCTACTACATGAACTATCTCCAAAACATGTACCCCAGCGCATCACGCTCGCCCTCCGCGCCACCCGAGATACCGCTCAGCGAAGACGACCGCATAAATCAGCAGATGGCCATGCTTCTCATGAAGAGTGATCCGGGCCCAAGCCCAGATGCCAGCAGTGCCACGTTCAGAATAGACCTCCCCGAAGATGAGGAAGAGAGGCAGCGCATCGCGAATAGCCAAGAGTTGGTAGGAACCCCGCCGCAAGCACACCCCGATGCCAGTCGGGGACGAGCAAACAGCCGGCCAGACAGCCTCAGTGAGCAGCAAGCATGGGAGCGATGGCAGGACCGCGGCCGGACAACCGATCGACCCTCCAGCATCGGCGCCCGAAGCAACCACTCGCGGGCTATGAGCCGCGAGGAGCGGAGAAGAGAGATTGAACTAGGGCATGTGTAAACGCATTCCCTTCGTCTCCTATTTTCGGCTTCTACAAAATCCTTTTGCAGCGCATTTCCAGCAGCGACGGTGTTTCGGGCACGAAGGGTTTCACGGAGTTTCAACGGCACAGGTATATGATATCACGCAATTTTTGGGAGGGCTAATCTCGGGAGGGGAAATGGACGATCCTTTGAGATGTGTGTATGTATCGGGCGCTTGGATATACCTCTTTTCTCTTTTGGCAGGCGCTGTTTGTTGGACAGGACAGTTGTGTAGCTGGTGTAGGTAGCGTAGCAGTGAGTTCGTAAATACCTAAAGGGCCAAATCTATTGAATAGTCGGCTCCAACACCCAGCCGCTCTCCTTATTCCAACCCGTCCATCCAAATTAAACGTACTGTGTACTTTCCCAACCTCTTCTGCCGCCTCCGTACTCCGTCGCCCCCAAACCTCTCACCCCCAACCAGAACCCCGACCTTGGCCCCAGGCCTCAACCCAGCCCAATCCACCACCCTCAAAATCACACCTTGTATCAAACTGAAACACAGGACTACAAAGTCCCGTTTCTCGCCACTGCGTGGAAAGGCCCCCTCTTCCCGGTGAGGAAGTACGCAACTTGGACTGGGCGGGATTAGATTGGATTGGATTGGGTATAGGTTTCTCACGAAAGAGAAGCGCTGACTGGTTGGTTACTGTGTACCTGGGTAGGTCTTACTCATCGCTGTGGGCGCGAGCCGACGAAGGAAAGAAGAGGAACTGAACTATTGAGCGCTGAGCTGTAGAGTAGCTGGATGCCCATATAGGGATAATAATGGGGAAGGGAAGGGAGAGAGGCAAGCCACTGTGGCTGATGGGGCGTGGCTGTGCAGATATGGCTGTGGGACTGGCCACAACGATGATGAGAAGCAGAACCCAACGTCTAGGAGTCGAGCACCGGCCGACGGTAAGATAGTCAGTCATCCTCGTTCCCAACCCAGCTCCTAGACTTCCGCCGCCGGTCGGTACACCGATAGAACCCTATATTACCTAGCATTCATTCACAAAACAAACAAAACAAACAAAACACACAACTCCAAAAAAAAATTGCAAATAATATCAAGCCCATACCACACTCGATCTCGCGCCCCGTCCGAACCCAGCCCAAAAATAATAATAAATTTAAGAAACCCCCCATAATCTCGCAGGAAACATCCTCTGGGTCAGCCCTGCCAACCGATTATGTTAACGGTGATTATGTTCGATTTCTTTGTTTGGAGTGTGGAATAATTGGGTATATATACACCTACCCTGCAAACTTAGTACTAAACGCAAGTTGAGGTCTCTGCGATTGGCTGGGCTGGGCTGGTTCATTAGAAGTTGCTCATCGACCTCGCGCGGCGGCTACGCTACGCTACGCTACGCAACGCATGCGGTCTTGGCTCTTCGTCGGGCGGATATGGGTGTAGCAATTGCTTGATAGAATTTGGATATGGTATGCTGGGTTGGGTTGATATATAAGTCTACGTGAGGACTTACTCTACCATTGACTAAGACGATGAAGACTAAAGATAATTTGCACGAACGTACCCTGCACACCGCTCTGAGCACAGGCAGCATCGATGATGTCGTTTGATCTTGTGGGCCTCAAGCTGTCCTGGACGAAGAGAGAGAATCGAGACGTCCATCCATCGAGCGCGTTATCGTTGGCATTCTGATTCAGCTACAGGTTAAACAGGGGTGTAAATGCTTCAGTAGCAAAAAGAGGGGTGAGTGCAGAGACTCCAACGGCCATCGAAACAAGCGCGAGGGCGAAAATAGCTTGCCAAATAGAAGACTGAATTCAATATAGGATAGAAGAGAACAGTACCTAGGCCGCATTATTCCATCCGCAATACAATTTAGTGACCTTTTTGTTTTCCTCGTTTTCCGTCTGTGTACTAATGCATGTGTATCCGCATGCCATGTATGTGAGGAAAGGACTGTCGTTACCTATTTCCAGCGTCCCGATAGACAATCTAGCGAAGTGGACCCTCGTCAGGTCTCCCAACCCTAGTTCGGCAGCTCAACCTTGATGGCGAACTGCTTCAGGTACTCATAATGCGGGATACTCTCCTTCACGGTGTCGCGGATAATCTTCGCGCCCTCCTCGCCATACTTCTCCGTCCATTCGGCGAAGAGCTGCTCGTCGCTCTTGGGCGTCTTCTTCTTGGTGGCATCAGCGGTCCCAGCTCGCGACTAGGAGGGGGGACGGGAGACGGAAAAGGTGTGGAAAGGTCAATGAGTGATACTTACGGTCGTCCTAGCCCTCAACTCGGTGCTATCAATCGCGTCCTCGTGGAACCCCTTCCACTTCTCAAACGCCTCCTTGGCGACCTTGTGGTCTTCGTCATTGTCCCATTTCAGCATCTCCGGCTCGTACTCAATGCCCGTGGTCTTGCAGAAGGCCTCGATAATGCCAGAGGGATTGTCAAGGAGGTCATCAGCATCGATGACGCAGATCTCTGCGGCGGCGTGTGTGCCATTGGCATCGTTGGTCCCGTTCGTGCCGTTCGTGTAGCCATTGGCAAATTGTCCAGCGAGTTTAGGACCAACCTGTCCGTCGTGGCGGAGGTAGTCGAACAGACGGCGGAGCTCATCATAGCCAGCTTCGTCAGGGCGGAAGTTGTAGAACCCCGTCATCTCATCGAGCGGTGGGATGGTGCAGCGGTAGTAGCTCGGGATGCTGTTCCTCGGGTGGCGAATGAGAAAGGTGAAGTGGAAGTTGGCCAAGAGGTCCCTCGGGATCACAGTCGGGTTGCCAGGCTCTCCCTTGTTAGGGTACGGGTACGGTGGCCCATCCCGGTCGGTCCTCGTGGTGACAGGGGACAGAGCAGTAGTGTCGGTTCCGACGCCACGCTTGTAGTTGATGAGAGAGGGAGCGATCTGGGCTGGCTTGTTGTTGGGCGGGATCCAGTACTGGGCCATGTCCTTGATGAAGATGCGCTTGCCCTGGGAAGAGGTGAGTTTGCGCCATGTCCCCCGATCGGCATCGATTCGTGGGGTAGTGGTGTCAAGGGAAGAAAGCAAAGAAATGTGATTCGGTGTTGGTAGGCGTAGTGGGCTTTGCGAGGGGTTATCCAATGTCGGAAAGAAAAGAAATCACGAGGACGGGCGTGCTGAGTGGGTTGAAGGGTGGAGAGTTGTGCGAGGTTGAAGCTGCGGGCACGATAAGCGGGTTTGGGATCCTAGCAAGCGCGTCGAGACCGTGGTCCTGCTGGCGAGTTGAATCGCCCCCGTCTTGCGCAAGCAAGCCACAAACTGGCGTCAATTCGTGGGGGAGAAGGCTGAAAGTACACGTGACGAAGAAAGACGACGGATGGGACTAAGTGTAGAAAGAAAAAGCTTGATTGGATGTGGGTACTGATGAACGCAAATAGAGACGGAAAACGACATGAAGGACGACGAGACATCAATGACAGAAGGGGAAGCGCGAACCTCAGTGTTCTCTTTCGCGATTCTGTCAAAGATGGTCCGATAGGTGCTCTCAGAGTAACCGCTCTCAAGCCGACTCTTTTCATCGTCTTCATATCTTTCTGCAAGTCGTTCTGGTCCGAAGTAGTAGGCGTCGCCAAAAGGCTCGTGGACGCATTGGAGCGTGTCCCGGCGGGTCATGAAAACCTAGAAGGAGTCAGCATCGAGGTACCTCAACAAAACCGGGGAGATGGAATACCCGCTCAAAGGCCGTAGAGCAGGCCCGGGGATGGGTAGCCACAAAGATGGGCTTGTTCGACATCGTGGACTTTCGTCAATCGATAGCCGTAAGAAGAGGGATCTGTATTCCAAGATTCCGATACTTAGAAGATCAACAAGGCGGGTTGAGGCAGGCTCAAATATATCTCAATTCGAGCAAAGCAATTGCCGCCGAGTTGCGCAGGCACTAGCAGACCCTTAAAAGCGGGCTCAGGTCCAGGCGGGTGCGGTCGCTGTACGCAGCTCCACTATTGGAGAAGGCGGCCTGGGTTAAATACTAGCAGGAAGGCTTCCAAGGTTGCTCGATCAATCAGGCCAGGCCGGAGAACACGTTACACGGGTTGACATACAGCTCGTATGGACCGCGGGCATGAGGGTGGTGGCGCAGAGCACCCGAGGCCGAAAGTGGCTTTGTTCGTGGGGCACCAGGGCAATCAGCGGGGGAGGATTCGGAACGCGAACGAGATGCCGTCATGCCGGGCGACATGTGTGAATAAGAGTTCAACAAACCCCAAGCGCTCTATGCGGCACGGATGCCGACGTCGACCTGCGAGTGATGTCACTGAAAATTGGCATGCGTTCTGAAGCGATCCCGCTACGCCCGTTCCGGTTAGGCCGCAGCTAGCCGCGAATTTCACTTGGCATTCGGCCTCCATCCTTCTTCAACCTCACTTTTTGCCCCGGGCGGTGTCCTTTCGGATCACGATACCACACGCAGCGCACCTGATACGTGTGCGTGGCCGTGGAGCGGCGTCGATTATTGCATAGGGCTACGGTCGACCGGATAGGGAACAGGCATATTCCGAATGCTCTCCCCTTGCTGCGTACGCTCAGCTCCGAGGAGACATTATCCACAGTAATGACAGATCTAGTGGGATGGTCCACGGTTTCTAAGTTACATTGACACGGAAGCATTGCCTTGCGACCTCGGGACCAGACGATGCGACCTGAATGCTTGACTCTGCGAAGGCGTGAGAAGAATGGCTAACGGTAGAGCACAACAGGTCGTGCAATGAGCACAACCACAAAAGAGATATGATAAGACGGTGGTGACGGCGAGACTTAGACTCATGTCATTAAAATGCATTCCAGATTTTTGGACTTTACATGACGGATCAGCCTTTCAAGCTGTCATCAAATCCGTATCCGAGTACTAAGCAGATTCCCGGTTAAGGGCATCCCATACACGCCATATCCTTCAGTCCGTTTACCGATTAAGCTTATTCTCGACCGCAACCGTCTCGGCGCTCTCAGGCACCCTCTCCTCAGCCGGCGGACCACCTATATTCCCGCGCTGTCCACTCGGCACATCCTCTGGCAAATTCCTCTGGTGCGCGAACTCAGGATCCCGACCTTGAACAACATCGCCCTTCTCCTCCGTCGTACCCAGTCCGATGGTTCCCAGACCTTGCTTCTTCCTACCGTGCTGGCCGTCATGTCGGAGCTCGGTGGAAGTCTCGCCCTGGCCGGGATGGCCGAGACCGGTGTGCACGTCGGACGAGTCGGCGCCCTGGATGGTTTCCGACGCCTTTTGGTACATCTTCTGGTTGTTGAGGTCCGGGTTCGGCTCGTAGGTTGCGTTGGCGGGTGCAGAGCCTGGCGGCAGGGTTTGGGCGGAGAACTCGGGGGCGCGGTCGCTCTCTGAGGCAAGGACACCTGGCTTGTGCTGGGAATGTGTTAAATGGCGTCGAAGCGGGCTTGGATTTCGACTTACACCGCCCGTCTGGAGAGGCTCAGAGCCGGGCACTCGCGAGCCGAACTGGCCCTCTTGGTTGGCAACGGCAGCGTCGTTCTTTGAAGCGCTCATAATGGATTGCTTGTGAATTCGTGAAGTTGTAGAGCTGTAGAATGGGATTTCGAGACAAATTGAGAATTGGAACTTAAATTGTAGGTTTTCGGAGTTATGAATTGGTTGTGTAGAGCTTTCGTAGCTTTTATCGAAGGCTATACTGAGCTGTGAGTGCTTGATATCACAACGACGTCATCAGAAGAAGGAGCGACCCCAGTACCTTCCCTGCATCTTTGCTGCCCAACGGTGCCTGGAGCCGCAAGGCAGAACTGGGGCGAAGATGTGCGACATCATCAAATTTATTGCGGGTATTGCAGGCTATGCATCGGCGCTAGAGATGAAGGCATGGATCACGTGACTCTTGACACCCCGGCCGAAACTCGCTCTTGCGACTCGACAAGGCCAATAAACTCCATAGCAATGCAGCATCCTGCAAAGGTGGCAGTACAGTGCAGAGATGTAAATTCAAAGATGGTCGGGATAGGAGGTAGGGGTGTTAATTCTTTAGCTTCTCTACGTATTACACTGTCGATCAGGCCCCTTCCATTCCCTTACGAGCTATGCTGTCTACGCTGCCCTTACAGGACTGCCAGGTCAGCATAGCTCACAAACCATGTGCCATTCCCTGTATCGAGAGTGGCATTAGTCTGCACCGTCTTGCCTCCCTTTAAGCTGCCGCCCTCGACCACGCCACCGCCCACCGGTCGCTGCAGCTTATTCGCTCCGCTTTTCACAGTAAAGTTGGCAAGGGAGATCTCCCAGCCATTCCTGCTCACGACCGTCGGCATGCCAAAGTAGCTCGCCTGCACTTCATCTTTGCTGATGTGCAGCTCGTAGTACCCGCGGTAGTACAGGTCCTGCCATTGAAGCTCATCGTTGGCGTTCTGCAGCCAGGTGGAGTAGTTGTTCGCCTGCGCGAGCGAGATGTTGGCGCCATACGGGCAGGGAGAGGTGACAGCGCTGCCGGCAAATTCGACGCCGATACTTCCCTCTCCAGTCTCCTTGTCATAAGACTTCTCGCCGAGCCAGACGAGGTCACTGACCCACGAAGCGTGGCTATCACCTGCGAGGAAGATATTATTGCCAATGCCGTTGTTGTACAAATGGCTGAGCGTGCGGTTTCTGTTAGACGTGTATCCATCCCAGGCGTCGTAATCGAACGGGTTCTCATCGCCATAGGCTGCTGATTCATTGATGCGGCTGAAGATAATCTGAGAGCCGACGAGGCGCCATGTCGCTCCACGCTCGGCAGACTTGGAGAGCGCATCATAGAACCAGTATTCCTGGCGTGGACCCATGAGTGAACGACCTGCATCATCAGAAATTGTATGGATATAGTCCGTGTTCCCTAAAGTGGCGTTACGATTAGCATATATCTCAACATGGTATTCGTACCGCGGAATTAACTTACAGTACAAATCCGTGATCGAGCGGTCGTAGTTGCGAGTATCGAGCATGATGAGATCGAACAGCTTGCCAATGCTAAAACTACGCCAAATGCGCAGATTGTCGTCCATCTCAACCTGTCGGATCGGCATCCACTCGAAGTATGCACGGACCGCGTTCATCTTGCGTTGATCGAACACGACACCGCCGTCCTCTATGAAACTTTCCTCGGTGTTGTTCATGTGAGACGTGCCGTCCCGGTAAACGTTGTCTGCCACTTCGTGGTCATCCTGCGCGGAATATCAGTATAGCCGCATATCTACTGTTTCGGGATGACGCACCCAGACTGGGATCCAAGGGAAGTTTTGGTGGCTTGCGATGAGATCAAGATCCGTGCGGTAGGTTGCAAGCCTCTTCCTGTAATCATACAGGGAGATGATCTCTTTATCTGGTAGCGGGACACGCCCAATGCTTTGGCCCCAGCCATAGTCTCCGTTGGCATATTCGTAGATATAGTCACCCAGGTGGACCACGTAGTCAACAGAGTCCTGCAAGCGGCCATTAGTTAATGGGTCGATGTCCCTTGGTCAAAGTTGGCATACCTTTCGCACAGCATTTCCGTACGCGTTGAAGAAGCCGAAGGGGTAATTAGAGCAAGAATATACGGCGATACCGACTTTCGTAATGTCGTCGTCGGCCTTAGGAGATGTCTTGGTTCTCCCCAATGGGCTCGTGTTGTTGGAGTTGCACACGTTGAACTGATAGTAGTACGTCGTGTAAGGCTCCAAGTTCTTGGCTTCGATCTACGCTGGTGTCAGGTAGCCCAAATGTAGAAGTGCGGCCGTCATACCTTCACAGTATAGTCCACATCGCTGCTAGTGTAGACCTTCCCGGAATCGGCGACGTTGCTGAGCTGCTTGTCCGACGCGATCTTGTACTCGACGCAGACCGGCGCCTTCGACACAGAGACGAACTTCTCGTTGTCGTGGTCAAAAAGCTGGACATAACCAGAAACCGTTACATTGGACTTGTCATTGTCCGACGATGGGCCAACCCGCGTCCAGAGGATAACGCTGTCAGGGTACGGATCGCCCGAAGCGACACCGTGGGTAAAGTTGAGCTTCGTTGGGTCCCACGGGCTCTGAGGATCGTTCCGCTTGACGACCTTGCGGATGGATATGCCGAGAGAAGGATAGTGTTCAGACGGCGACCGGTAATTAATGTTCTTCGTCCAGCTTGCGCCGACGACCACGATGGACGAAAGAAGGGAAAGCAAGTGAAGCTTCATATTGGCAATTGGCTCTTTGCGAAGAGAGAAAAGACTCGTCCAAGCTTGCGTAAAAGCTACTTACCAGGTTCTTGGGCCCTTTTGTACCTCCCAAAAATTTCTACGCTGCCACAGCTCAGAGCTACTCCCCTACCTTCTCCCTTGTCCAAAGCGTCATTCCATGCAGGCACGGGTTCTACAGCTCCTGAATACTCCAATTGGACCCCCGGAATGCAGCATGCCTAAGTGGAAGGGCGAGTAAACCCGGTCGTTGGAGCTTCCGCGGCTCGATAAACAGCGTAGGCTACGTGCTATTCTCCGGAGTTGAGGGGCAACGAGAACGGCATTTCGTCATCAGCTAGAATATCAGGAGTGTGATTCGCCGTGTCTTGGGAAACGTGGGAGCTGCAGCTCGGAGGAGAGCCCTCATCGTGAGGGGTGGTGAGGGTGTGCGCGATTCTGCGGATGCCATTGGTACGTTAATCTGGCGAGGCTGTGGGCTTCGTAGGTACCGAAGCTTGACCATGCTTGTGGAGCTTAGCTGCATGCCCGGCCGTATAAGGCAGGTCCAAGTATCTATTCATCGCGTCCAGAACACGATGGGGTGAGAGTTCGATGCCGGGCGTTTGGTGTCTTGTTGGCGTGTTAGGGGCTATTTCGGAGCGGGCACAAGCCACTACGGAGCGGGCATTCAGGCGCGCCACTTTCCGGCCGTAGTGCCAAATCACGGCGCAACCAGCCCGTGGATGCCTGCGCGTTCCTGGGCTGAGCAGTAGCACCAACTCCAAATGAAGTCAGCAGCGCGAAGCTCCCCTGAACAATAATGGCTTCTACCGCTCCCCGACCGGCCATTGCTGCTAGATATCATCAGGTACGGCCGAATCGGAGTGAGTGCTACAAAGAACGAGCGCGTCGAAAGCTTTAAAGCAACACCACTTCCCATCTCTTCTTCCAGAGTCATACAACCGCTCTTCGTCCTCAACGGCACTGAACACCATTCCAACCCTACGCAACCATCCTTCCACAGTAATGGCCCCCAAAATCGCCATCATCGGCGCCGGCCCAGGTGGCTGCATACTAGCGCGTCTGCTCCACCAGCACAACATTCCCTGCACTATCTTCGAAGGCGAAAAATCAGTCAACTACCGCTCGCAAGGCGGGACACTCGACCTGCGCGCCCGCACGGGGCTCCAAGCCGTCAAAGACGCCGGGCTATGGCCCGAATTCCTCAAGCATGCGCGCTACGACGGCGAGAGCATGCTCATCTGCGACAAGAGCCGGCGGGCGTGGATGAAGCGGCCTCCTAGCAAACAGGGCGAGAAGAACGCGCTGCATCAGGCGCCGGAGATTGATCGCTCGGCGCTGCGGCAGATGCTGATGGAGAGCTTGCCCGAGGGCATCGTGCGGTGGAACTATCGGCTGAAGAGCGTGGAGCCGGATATGGCCATGGTTTTTGAGAATGGAGAGGTGCAGCGTGGGTACGATTTGATCGTGGGTGCGGACGGCGCCTTCAGCAAAGCGCGGAATCTGCTCTCCTCGGAGAAACCGTTCTACTCTGGTCTAGGCGGCTATAGCCTCTCGATACCGGACGCGGAGAACACGGCACCAGAAGTTTACAAACTCGTCAACCGCGGCAGCGTATTCTCCTTTGGTGACCTCAAGACGCTGAATGCGCAGCAGCTGGGCGACGGAAGCATCAATATCTCTTACTACGCGCACTTTCCCGAGGACTACGCCTCAACATGCGGGTACGACGTAACGGACTTGGAATCCGTCAAGAAAGAGCTGAGAAGGGAATTGCACGACTGGTCCCCAGAGTTGAAGAACACCTTCGAGAAGGCCCAAGGGACCGTGCAGTGGAGAAACCTGTACATGCTCCCCGTGGGCTTCCAGTGGGAGCACAGGAAGGGGCTCACACTTCTCGGCGACGCAGCACACCTTATGACTCCATTCGGCGGCATCGGAGTTAATACAGCTTTCTACGACGCCATGTTGCTCTCGCGCGCCATTATCGACTACACCAATTCGGCAGGCGCTAACGACCTCGATACACACGTTATCAAGTACGAGAATGAGATGCTCGCTTTCGCAAAGGAAGGGCAGATATTGACCGAAGGGTCGATGAAGGATATGTTGTTCACGCCAGGCGCGCCTCGGACGTCGATTGAGTCCTATATTCTGCGCCATATGAGACCTGAATTTCCTGCTTGGTCGCATCCGTTCCTCTCGGTGCTGGTACATACGGTGTACTTCTTCTACAAGCTGTTTGTGTGAGCCTCGTCGGGGTGGAAGTCACATAGCAGTGGAGGAGGAAGAGTAGGGTAGTTCACCGCTTAGCGTTTCCTTTGTAGAGCTATTCCTTCCTCTTGCACACCGTCTCCCTTCTCTATACCCACCTCATTCTGAGCCATACTTTTCTCAAGGTTCTCAAAGCCGATAGATTGCGCACACGACAGCGTACACGGTGAACATTTTTCAAAAAGAAACGGACTGCATTCATTGTAGGCTTCCAGCAGTGCCCTTCCAGGCCAACAGAACCCTCTACACATCACCAGCCCCAACCCGCCCCCTACGTCATACTCAAACTAAACCCCGTCGTCGTAAACACAGCATTGCTCCCCGTAAACGGCTCCGTCCCGGCGCCCACACTCTGCAAAATCTGACTCTTACTCAGTCCCTGGCTACTACTCAAATAATTAACAAAAGCCATCAAATCGCCACTGAAGCTGGCAACCTGGCTGCTCGCCACAAAGCTAAACACGTTCATCTGCCCATTCATGCCATTATACAGCTTCCAGCTAGTGCCGGCCAGCGTGACGGTCGCGATGAGCGAGCCGGTGGCCGAGATGGGCCCCGCGCCGCCGAGGGCCGCGAGCCAGATCATGATCTCGTACTCGGCGGAGCCGGAGGCGGACGAGGAGGTGAAGAGGTCGTAGGCGACGTTTGCGACGAGCGAGCTGCCCGTGTATGTCCAGGACCATGTCGAGGGGAGCGAGGAGATGGACGAGAGCGACTTTTTGGTCAGGCTCGTTACGACGTTGGCGTACGACTTCACGTTGTACGAGCCGCCGGCCCAGGTCCATTTGGTGTGCCATTTGAGGGTGGAGCCGCTGAGGCCGTCGACGCCGGTGCATTGGGAGCCTGAGGTGGCTGCGGACTGGCCCCAGAGATTCTAACAGAGGATTAGGGTGAAGGATGGGTCAACGTATGGTAGATCGGCGAACATTGTAGACCGTGTAGGCCCCTGTGACTGCGGAGTCCCATTGACCGCAGTAATCGGCGCGCTTCTCGATCGTGGGTGTTGGACTGGCGATTGCAATGCATGCGGTGCTGGCAAGCGTCAAGAACGTTGAGAACTTCATGGTGGAAGACGGTCACGCAGGAAGACAAGGCTTGCCCAGAAGAACCACGAGAAGAGTTCTAGAAGGTTAAATATATTCCTAGACTCCAGAGAGAAACAAAGATAACCGCGTGATGAAAAGAGGAGAAATGACGCGCCGTAGGCGGAGAAACTGAAATGAAGTCCCATGTCTACCGTTTCGCATCGTCGTACGTGCATGCCGCCGAATCGAGAAACGAAACCAACGACGGCCAATCCATAAGCAGCCCATTCCCTATTTTACCCTGGTTTGAATAGAGGTAACGCTGCTCGGGGAAGAAAAGCGGCCGCTAGATGTTGCCGAACGTCATGGATTCCCATGCGAGGACTGGGTTTCCCCACAAATTCTTCCGTTTCCTCCACCTAATTCTCCGAAGCTAAATTAAGGAGGCAATATAAACGGCGGCGGATCCAGGGTAATGAGAAACAGTTTTACCGGGTTGAATGAACTCGATTAGAGCCGTTGTTTCGATCGTTGAAAAGCATGAGTTCATGGTACAACATGCTCCCCGTTCTGGTGGCCACGCTCAAGCCTGCAGTATGCGGCTGGCAAAGCAGAGACTGCTGTGTCGTCCTGTAGCACTTCTGGATGGCGATTGAGGATCTGAATATGCCTGTGGAGCGGGTGACGAGGATAGAACAATCCGCCGATGCTCGAGATTGCGAATGTATTCTACCGAATGCCGTATGAAGAGACCCGTGATCTTTTGGTACAAGCTGCATGATGGCCAGATAGACAACGCACTCCAGCGGCGCTTATACGGGTCGCTCGTATGTTGTCGTAAAGGGCGGTTCTTCCCTATCGACGTCGTCACTCCAATCTTCGGGTGCCTTTAGGAATTAGTGCTCACCCCATCTGCAGAAGCGGTGTTATAAGCTTACCTCGCCAGTGCCCCGGTCTACCCGAAAATAATCCTTTCCCTTCTGACGCGATTCCAGTTGACGGAGAAACGTGGCAGACTTCGTGGGTGGGCCGGGATCAAGAACAACAAATCTTCGGTACACCCTTTTCAAGCCGTCTCCAGTGTTCGAGCACACGGGCCCGTCAAGCCAACTCTGAACGCCCTCCCATTTAACATCCGGTAGATCCCAGTTGAAGTAGTCTGAGACATGCATCAGAATGTCGACATTGACCTCCTCGATAAGCGGAAGATTCTTTAAGATTGCATCAATCGCCGTGGATAAAGCGTTGTCTGGTTTCGAATAGCATGCAGCCTCTTCCTTCCACTGCGTGGGCTCTTGAAGCTTGTCGTCCTGGTCCGGGCTTGTTCGTTTGAATCTCGCCGTTGGCCGCACCTCTATCCCGATAAAGCGGCGCTCGACAGGGCCTTCCCACCATGAGTAACCGGCCCAGACCGTAAGCTTAAGCTTCTTGAGTCGGCGTAGTAGTGGTAACAACGCCATAAAACGCGGTGAAAGATCTTCTCGTTTGGGAACATGGTATCCCATTGTCCCGCGAATTGCTCGTTGGATCTCTAGAGTGATTCGGACGGAGTCGTCGTCGTGTGCTCGCTCAGCTAGCTCTTCAGAGCTCGCGTTGATCCTTGCCGCAAGCTTGTTACTTGCAGTCTCCTCAGCAGGCCTCATATCTGTGATCGTGGCGGGAAGCAGTGAGTTGAAAAGGCTCGCATAAAGCTGCAGGCATTCTTCCCGCAGCTGACGGCATGTTGCAAGGATATTGGTAGGCGGTCGCACTGGCAGGTATATTCGGGTATCAACGTAGGTTGGCCAGATCTTGTTAGACCGATGGAGAGAGCGAGTATCCGGTGTTACGCTTGACGTGTATACGTGCTGCGGTAAAGCCATGTGCGCAAATATCTCGTCTCGGAGCTCGCGGGGAAGTGTCAGGAGCGGTGACGGATCGCCCTTAGGTTGGCAGGCCATGATGTGAAGTGAGTAGGGTGTACAGATATTGGGACGATGGAGTTCTTGTACGTTTCGAGGGTTGCTGCCTTGAGCGGGGGTGTTTGTTTACGCCAAGGAACGCTACTTCAGACGGGAGCCAACATCAGCGAAATGGACTGGGGACATATATCGGCGTCGACGTCGTTGTCGTTTCGTAATTGAGAAGTCTGATGGCTTTGTAGCTCGTTGCGCGGTCTAATATAGAAGATTGGGAGTGAGTGCCGATGGAAGAACCGCGATTAGTCGGTGTGGCCTTACGTAATCAGACAGTCTTTCCTTGGGTCCAAGACTAACAAGACGCCATCAACAGTAAGTTTAATACCGTTTTTTCAACAGAGCGGCCGTGTACATACATTTCTGCCAGAGCAACATATTTGTTCTAAGGGCCCTACGAGCGTAGGAGATGGCTCAATCGGTGGCCGAACGTACACCTTTTCATTCCTTCCTCGGTCTATGTTTCAGCTGTCAGGTTGAGCCACATCATTATCGAGGAAAATATATGTACCAGGTACGTTGCTCAGGCCTACGTGTCTAGCACATTTTGTTTCTTATCCTTTCAGTCATAAAGAAGCCACGCTTTAGACCTTTAACAGCTGAAGACGTAGAACAAGCTAAGTGTTAGCTATTCCACTTCAAAACACAAGTGTACTTCTCCGCTCACACTGCCAGTAAACAGAGGTACGGGCGATTGTTCGACCGGTCCATACCAGCCTTGGAGCCTTGATAAACACCAGGTCCTCCATCTGCGCCCACCCCCGCACTACCCTTCTTGAAGCTCCCCGCCAGTGAGCGCGCGATTGACAAGCTTACATGATGCTTTCGCTGATGACTGTTTGCAGAGATTTGAAATAGCATCTACGAATATGCCTTTGAGAAAACTCCAGTCTCCCACATCCACAAGTTCCGGGGAAGCAGGTTAGAGCAAGCCTGAAGGATGGGAGGGTATATATACCACGCAGCGATTCCTAGAAAGCCACGCGCGAATGGCCTCGGCGGGTAAATACCGAAGCCATGCTAGGATGGTAGCTCTGCTCTCGTCCCCTGATCGGAGGTATTTGCTAATGTGTGCCACCACGCTGGCAAGGTCGCGAGGACGCAGGTGCGTTTGCAGATTCACTCAGAGTACCGGCCCAATCTGGCTAAGATCTGCTCAGATACACGTCGATTGGACCGACCGGAATAGCTTCTTTGCGGTGTCCTATCCAAATGGAAGACAGTCCAAGAATCATCCGCTGGAGCTTGTCCTCTATTAGATCTGGAGCACAACCGCCGCCTTGCGCGAGCTGACTGATATCAAGACACTCATCAAGTGGGCTCACGTCTTCCCTAGAATTCGCGTCATGGGGAAGCTGAAGCCCTAAGATAAATGGCCCGGGGATAATCTTACGATCTTTCCCGCCCATCAGCGTGAAGTCTGGAAGAAAACATCTGGAAAGGTGGCGTCGACAAAGTCCTCGCTTGTTGACGGGCGATGATGAGCGACAATCTTATATCGCCATTACAATACAGCTTACGAGCCACGGATACCGAAAGCGCTTGGTGACAAACTCGTTGCCGGACCAGTCGACGTGTCAATACTTTAATAATATGGATCTTCTTCGGTCGAATACGCATGTTCGGACGGCAATATATCTCTAGGCGCCCGATGAACAGCGGCCGTGGTGACGCTGCTAGTCTATTAGAAGGCACCACGATGTCTCGGAATCGGACAAGCCTAGGAGCAGAACGAGTCCATATTGTACTGTTTCTCATTGATCAGGACTTACCTTTCCCAATTCAAGATGATGGTTTGAGGGACCAATACGCACAAGGGAGCCCTGAGAGTAGTCTGTTCCTGGAAGAGTCGGGCCTTTTGCTAATTGAGAACCTCAGACATGGTTTGTCTTTTGTAAATACGCCTGGGTTCATGGGGATCTGCGTTCACCTGGCTGGCGCATGCGCAAACCGATCGTTCCTCTGCGGCGTTTCCCGAAAGTGTGGAGCTTCGAGTTCAGATCGTGTTTTGTCCACAGGTGGAGAATTCCTGCCAATAATTAGACCTGAATTGCGCCAATCGTTAATCGCGCCGATGGTCGGAGCGTGCTGCTGAAGATGAGCTTGACTTTCCTTCGCTCAGCCGTTTACGGACAGTGGATAAACAGATAGACGGAAAAGCTTCGGGACAACAGTGTTCTCCCGAGTCCGGAAAACTGGATGGCTGCAACCCTGGAGCAGGTCTGGTAGAGAAGATCATCCTCTATGAGGCATGTTTCCTGGCCATGACGTCGGACGGGGAAGGTTTGTGTGAAGACGAAGACCGCGGGTCTTCCAGTCCCGAACGGAGTCTGACACCCGTCACCCAGCGTTTTCCCCTCGTTTGGCCCGAGGCTTCGTCTCCGTCGTCGTAACCGAAACTCAAAGTGGGCTTAGGAGCGGCCCGATACTTTAGGTACCAACCGGATCCGCTGCCCTCATCCCTGCTGCATGCATACGCGGACCTGTTAGTGCCCCCTGCTTGCTCAGGGACATCGCAATTTCGTTGCCGCACATCACGAGAGGGGACATCGGTCAGGTAACAACTTACGCCATATGCACAAAATCTACAACTAGGATGGCGTGCGTGAATAGCCGTATCGAACGCGCCGCACAAAGCTGATCAGATTCGTTATCGCTGAGCATGCGGAGAAAGACGTCTGGGGAAGCGTCTTATCAAAACCTGTGGAGACCGCCGCAGACCCGCACATCCTGGATGAGCCGACGAGGACCCCCACGCTCTAAGGGCGCCACAATATCCGCTGAAACCGGTAGTGCCAGGCACCTTAGGTCTCTTGCTGCTCGTATGAGGCACGGCTTTCCTCGCTCTACCGTGGTTGCGCCTGCGGGCAAAGGGAAGTCCTTCATATTGGAGAAACGAGGCCAGAATTCAGCTGAGGGACTGATATGTCACCGCCAGTGCAGTTATGCAAGGGGAGCCGCCGTGAATACACCGAATCCCAGGCTTCACATTAGTTCCTAGGATCTTCCCGTCCCGGCCGACGACAGCTTGGGTGCGATGCTGCACAAAGCAACCGGGGCCTTGCTGGCGATGGCGCGGTGCGGGTTCGAGCTGGCCTGAGCTGGCCCGGTAAATGCTCCAACCTGGCCGGGTGGCTTGACGAAAGGCGTCAGCTGGCAGGAAAGGGAGTCGAAACCTTGTGAGTTGGGCCGCCCAGATGCGAGTCATTGCCAATATTTTCTGACCATTGCCCTTAAAGTGGTGGCTTTCCCCTTCCCCATTCTTTTTCTTTCTTGCTGTCTCCCACTACTGCAACCATCGCTCACCGCTCGTCGACCCCGCCAACCGCTGGAGATACCGTCCCATGTCGCACCGGATGGGTAGAAAGTTCGATCGTCACCAGATCTTGCGGCAGAAAGACCCTTGGGAGGTGGCAAGGAATGTCTTCGATGTCGCTCTGGAATTCGCGCTGCTAGGCTACGTCGACAAAGCGACCGAACTATACAATCTCTTCGAGAACTTCGCTTCCGGCTGCAAGACGTCATGGAGTCCCGGGTTATACTTTGCATGGGAGGCTACCGGACTGTGGCCAGACTCGATTCCCGCCGAGGAACGGACGCCGGCATTTCTGTCGAAGATGGAGACGGAGCGTATACTGTGGAAGAGGGATATGCATAAGTCGGATGAAGGATTGGACAAGTTGATTGCGATTGCGGCTGGCGAGGGAAAGTTGGACTCTTGGGGCGACACGCAAGTACGAGCGGACGACCTCGCCGCTGCTATTGATCTTGCGCTATACATGAACAAACGGGAGAAGGCACTCGATATCCTCCAAATAATTGCGGACAACTTCAACGTAACGTGGCTGGAGCTCTCGAGATCGCGACAGGCCTGGCGCTACCTCAAGCACAACGCGCTCGCTCGGACAATCGAAGTGAAGGAGGAAAAGCTGGAGGAGTTCTTCGAGGAGGTTTATGCCACGTTCAAGGAGCGTCTGGAAAAGGGTGCTGCGCGGATATACAAGGATCTACCGATGAAGGAGCTCGTGAAAATGTGCAATGACAACACCATCAAGAACGCTGTGTGGGAAGAGATGGATGTGGAAGACCCAGACGACCCTCCAGAGACAATCCTTCACAAGGGTGCCACCGCGGAACAAATCAAGAAGTGCGAGGAAAGACTGGAGCACGATCTCCCTGACGACTTCAAGGAATTCCTTTCCCTAACCAACGGCATCGACACATTCTGGAACGGCTTCTACGGCGAGCCGAAAATGCTAAGCACTGAGGAGATCCACTACTTCGACGCCAGCGAGCAGCAAGCAATATGGGAGGAGGCGGCAGTCGAAATCGGCTTCTTTACGGGCATGAGCGTCCCAGCGAAGTACCCAAGAATGAACCCAGTGATTCAGATCAACGGCGGCGGCGAGGACTCCAAGTTCGTTTGGTTTATGACTCCAGAGCTCGGGCGGGCCCTGGGAGGTGCCTTCTTTGAGGCATTTGGACAGCTACCGCCAGACGAGCACGAGCATGTCAAGAAACTCCTCGGGCATTTCCACGCGGGGCTCAAGGACGTAACACAGATTGAGTGGCAGGTCATTCTCTGGAGCGTGCAGACTCTATCGCTCGTAACGTACCATTCTTTCCGGGAGTATCTGGAGGTTCTGGCGGGCGATACCGCGAACGAGGACATCCTGGACGAGGAAGACGAGCAGGGGCGGTTACTTCACAGCCACGACATTTTCGCATACCAGCTGCGGTAGCTTTGGGTGGTTTTTTCTTGAACTGTCGCACCGTGTTAAAAAGCGAGGAGGCACTCTCGACGTCCTTTAGGCACCTTCTTTCTGGGTTTCTTTTGCTTTTGTTGCTCTCCTATCTCCTTCGACATCCCATGCGGAACATACTGTATTACTTCTCATTTAATCTAACGATGTCTACGGTCGCGGCTAGGCGTCGGTGGCTGAAATTCTTCCAAAGCGATCATGGAGGTCGGTTCTATAGCTACATAGACATACCAATCGAAAGCTTGTCGTGTATGCATACGATCCGATGCTGCAATTGACGTGATACGACAGGAGTGCTCCGTTCTTTGGGTTGCCCAAACTACTGCTGTGCGACAGAAGGCCTCCGCCAGCGGAAAGGGCCCGAAGGCAGTCAGCATCCCCTATAACGCATATGTACGACGACGGCGAGGCTGCAGGAAGTCGTATCAGCTGTGGCGTGGATGCCGATGCGGTGGTTGCAGGATCTGGGGGCGTCCTGGCGGCTGAGGGGAACGAGCTCGGCACAGATGACGCTCGTGGGTGGGGCGCTTGAGAAACATCAAAGGGAAGCCGGCTATTGTTTGCGCGCAAAACACCACCTCCGCCGCCCCTCCACCACGCCCAATTCCGACGACTGCCCGTACCGCTCGCCTGTACCATACGCATCTCTGCTGCAGGAGAGCATTGCCTGGACAGCCCGGCGCCTCGCGCCTCACCCGCCGCTGGCTGCCTGTGCGGTCTCCTTTCACCACCGCTGCCCGCAATCCACGAGCCAGTCTCGCAACCTGTGCCATCACCCACTATGCAGAGAGACGGCGGTATCCCTCTCTCGATGGAGCAGTCTGCGGCTCGCCGGCGCGTCCTGCGTTCTTACCGCGACCCCGCGCAACACAGCGATTCCAGCGACGGCGAAACGGTGACAATCACTTCTGAATCGGTACGTCTGGGATCGTCCCACAGCACCATTCCGCTCTCACTGCGACGGACCACGTCCGTAGCTGCCTATGGTAGTGGAGGCGCACAGTCGACATCAGTTGGCGTGACAACCGTCGAGCCATGAGTCTTTTACCTCTTCGCACTCCCTTCAATACTCTTACACTGCTCTCAGGACAATAGCTAACACTCCAGTAGCAACCACAGATCACACTCCGTCGCAGTACCCGCACGCGCCCAGAGAGCTCCTCTCGCCGAACGAACACTGATCACCGCCCCTCGTACCCGTCATTGGGTACTTCGAACTCCGATCCGTCCTCCCTTTACACAGACATAACGAACCAAGCCGCAGGTCCACCTTCGCGTGGCCGTGGGTCGAGGCGGGCTTTCGGCGTCCGCGGTCGGCGTCGTGGCGGGAGCAACTCTGCCATAGGTTCTCCTCCACAAGCTGACACTGGGCGAGGGCGCGGGAGCATTGGCGGCGAAAACGCCAGTCCTCAAACAGCGCCGTTAATTGGGCTCGTAGAAGACGACGGCCTGCTTGAAGACGACTTGCCTTCACTCTTCCCCGCGTCTAGACCACAACCTGTGTCCGGCGGACCTGTAGCAAGGATTACAACTTTCTCGGCGAGACGACAGGCGCCACCAATCCTCTCAGACGACTTCGACGACCTGGAGGACTACGCCGAGCTGGGCGGTCGGCTCGCCTACATGACTACGCGCATCGGTCCAGGGTTTGGGTCACCTTCTATGGATGATTCAGCCCTCGATTCTATTCGAATCAGATCCGGCGCCCTCAAGCGCTCAAGAGACAAGTTTGAAAATATGGATGGGAAGGATGTTACCAGGACCCTAAACAGCAAAGGAGCTGTCGTCGTCATGCTATACCGCAGTGGAGCCCCAGATCCCCAGGCAAACGATGTTTGGCCGAATTTCCGCAATTCGGCCAAGCTGCCCGCGAGGTATTGTTTGCTCGACAAAAACTGCCCTCAAGCAACAAGAGAGAGTAGAAGACGCCGATCGGCCAAGATCATCAAGATGAAGGCCGATGCACCAGTTCCCCAGCCCGTCGCAGGCGACGAGCTGCCAGATGCCCCTGTCTACCGACCGGAATGGAAACTCCCCGTGGAGCTCTTGGAGTTGATAGCGAGCCACCTCAACCGCGACGACATAAAGTCTATGCGCTTAGTCAGCCGCGAGCTAAATCATTACGTTTCGCAAGTCATTTTCAAGACGGTGGTTGTGCCTTTCAATACTGAAATCTATGGCATGCTTGGGCAGGAGCAAAAGCCGGACCTGAAGGGCAAGAACAAGGCAAAAGCTGGAGCAACACTAGGATTCACGTGGAAGAACGCCAATGGCGACGATGTATACAATGGCCATGGTCTCGATGTGTTCCGTGGGTTCGGACGACACATCCGCAAGTTCGGCATGAGCTTTGAGGTTAACGAGGACGCCCTCGCGAAACCACCCGAGAAGTCTTTAACGGAGCGGCATACCAGCTTTTGGGGATCTTATGATTGGCCTTTCGAGGAATATCGTAGATTCGATGATGTCGCTGGATTAGAGTCCGCCGCCGACGAGACACCAAGGATGAAGACAGCATTCTCGGAGCTTTCCAAGGTCAGAGAGCTCGCCCTCTCTCTTGACAGCGGCCTCGGCTGGCTCAACGGACCGGATCGGTCCATTCGCGCGCGGATCCTGCAGCGCCCGCCAGAGGTTTTTGGGACTCTTAAGAAGATACCAGACCGCCGAGCACAGGCTCAGCAAGAACTCTGGGAACATATTGAAGCCTGCCATGGCGAAGCGGCTAGCGACGTCAAGGTGGCGACGCTCTATAAGCTGGAGGCGAGTCGGCCATTATCAGAGCTTCAGGAAAATACCATGGCTGCGGAAGATCAGCCAGAGATGCCGTTCCTAGACCCTCATATTGTGCACCAAGCTATCCCCCATGACACCGCCGAGATCCAGGTGCCGTCGTCATTTGAGGATCCGGAAGTGCTCGACCGATTTGTCTCGACGCCGGTTTCGTCCGGCACTGGTATCCTCTTCTCTTCGACGATCCAGCCGACCGATGCCGGACAGCTCATGAGCCCCATTATTCCCTCCAATCTTACGAAGGCTCAGAAGGAGTGGCTTCTAGAGACAGAGTGGGCCCAGCGCGCGTTCATGTCTTCATACATGCTCTCGATCATAGACAATCCCGTCACCTTCATCCCAGTCCACACTTTCAACATTTCCCGATTGTCCGACCGCTATATTCCTTTGCTCAACCGCATCGACTTCTGGAACGCACTGCCGAATCTTACAAACGTCACTTTGACGGTCATACCAAGTTGGCGTACCGTCAGCAAGGACGAGGCCGGCTTCGTGGAGACACCGAAGATCAACCCGTCCGGGGGGATTGATCCTTTCTACGATCTGCTACGTAGGATCATCAGTCGACGTCAGAACATCACCAAGCTTACGATTGGCTGGGTCACTGGTGGCGAGCATGCTGAAGGCATGCATGCAAGGAATAAACTAATTCTACCAGCTCCTCTGATGACAGCCGATATGGTCACCAGCCAAGACCCCGGCATCCTGCAGAACGCGATACTACAGTTGCCATTCGTTGAGGACCTCACGCTAAAGAACTGCTGGATGACGCCAGCTGCCCTGAGGCAATTCGTCAAGGAACACGACAACCTTAGTCTAAAGCACCTAGTCCTCAATTCGGTGTCAATCACGGCGATACTGAGGCCCCATCAGAACGCACAGCAGGCCGTCGGCAATCAGCAGCCGGCTATGGCTGGGCTTCTCCCGGCGTTCCAAGCTAATGGACCCGGGCAGCACAACGCGGTCAATCCTGGACAAATCCTTCAATTCCACATTCAGGCACTACATCTTCAGATACAGCATATGACGGCTCAGGGCGGGGCGTATGCTCCCCAGGTGGCCGCTTTACAAGCCCAATTGACGAACCAGATCAACCTTCAACAGCAGGCTGCGAATAACGCTTTGAATCAGAACGCCAATGGCCATCAGGCAGCGCAGCTGCAATTGACCCAGGTGAATAACCTCGCGGCTCTCTTCGCCCAAGCGAATGCTATCCAACAGCAACAGGCGGCCAATCCTCCAGCAGCTCCCACACAGGCGGCTCCGAATGTTCAGTCGGTCCTGAGAACTCAACCTCGCGAAGGCTCCTGGATGAACCTCATCGACGTCCTCTCCCCAGGGCCGAGCCTCGCTGACTTCGGCTCCGAATTCTCCCAGGCAGACGCCGAACGCAGAACCTCCCTCCAGTCCATCGAATTCATCTCCTGTGGCTATGCCAAGCTCCCGTACTCGCAATTCGACCAAAACGCCATCGAAGCTGCCAACGGTCTCGCGGCATCCACCCGGGGCCCCATCTTCACGAAACGCTACAACGCTCTAGCGCCAGCGATGCTGAGTCCAAAGTGGGCGCTTCTCGGCGAAATCGTCCAGGACGTAGATATCAGTGAGCTGGCTGCGCTGAACGCTGGCTGGGACCTCGAGACGGGCTGGAAGGATCAGGATGAGGCGAGGGCGGTGGAGTTCGATGGCTTGCTGCCCGGTGGGACCGGCAGGTTTACGGGCGTGGTGCGCGCTTCGGATAGGGTGGCGGAGGCTTCTGCGAGTTAGTGGTTGCCCTGCTTCCCCGGCGCGTCCGATGGTGCGGAGTGCTGACTTGTTTGGAGTAGGTGTGGGGAGTTGTGCGAAGCTGATCAAGAGTATGGGTATTGCTGGTTAGTGGGGAAGATGGCGGGTGTTCGTTGCTCCAACGGTATTAGCTTGGGAAGGCGGCTCTTTGCTCTTCCCTTCGGGCTCGGAGTCTTTTTTTAGTGGCGTCGATGCTGCGCTTCTACGTACGTCTGCATCCGCTTCTTGGAGTCAGAGTACAAGTGCGGGCATCAACTTATCTTGCGAGCGAGACTTTCTTGTACATATCTTCTACCACAAAAGCGTTTGCACGACATTATGATTGCCACGAGGAAGCATCACGAAGGGAGGAGGATTTGTTTGCTTTTTTGAGAGTCGGTCGGCACACTTATGCGTCCCTGCCTACCCTGCCTGCCTATGTAGCAGTAGCAATAGAAATGTGAGCGTAGACTATAAACGAGTTGGTTTCCTGATCCGCATCTCCGCTGTGAATTTGAGATTAATGGATGGACCTTTGCAGGTGGATGTTGTTTTATTTATTACGGGTTTAGAATGGCTTGCTTGGACACCTTGCGAAATGTCGAGGGAGAGAGATTGGCAGGGGTTGCGGAAGAGTTGTCTGCTTGTCTGCCTACCTGCCCGCTAGCTTGACGTAGCGCAGGTTATGCATCGTCTATTGAGGTGAGGGGGAGGGGCTTCTGTAGTGGAATGGAGTGGAGTTGGAGGCGCATGACTGAAATGTATTTGCCGCAGCATTGCGAGACAAAAGGGGGACGGTAAAATAAGTTTAATCATTGCATTTATTGCAGGAAGGGGGTTTTTGATTCTTCCGTTCATTCCAGTCTATGCTAGCTCCAAACGTGCACACTCGGCATGCGCTTCCTTTCTCCAGAATGCCACTGAAGCCATTGATGGCGGCGGGTGTGCTAAAACTATAGGATCTCGTAGACGTCCGCGACGGACCGGATGTCCTTTGAGAAGTTGATGTCCTGGTTCATCGAGAGGAGGGTGACGGAGGAGACCTAGACAATGGTTAGCGTCAAATCCATCGGAGCCCATTGCGGACGATTGAGAGTGAGCTCCGAAGAGGTGACTTACGCTGACATCGACGAACGGAGTCGTCTTGCTGAAGCGGACCCGCATGGGGAAAAACTCTGCCTCGCTGTCTGCCTGGGCCTCGAATTCGAAGCTGCCCGAGCTGTGCTCTTCGTCTACGGCGCCGATGTTCCACTCCAGGCTGTCGCCGCTGACTTCGTACACAGCGTCGAAGGAAGATACGTTCGGCTCATCTGTCTGATATGGGATCGTGATTGAGACGTCCTTCAATGAATCGCTGCCAGTGAGCTCATATTCGACCGTAATGTTGAACATCTTGCCGGAATCCTCCACCCAAACGCGGAATGTGATGGGCGGGTCGTGTACGTCCTCTGGCTTGGGAGCTAGTTTCCATTTCATGACACCAATGCCCATGTTTGAGGGGAAGCCTTTGCTGGTGTCGGCGAGCTGAATGATCTTGTTGTTCTTGAAGGCGGCCTTGTCGACCTTGGGGTGCGTCATCAGTTGCGCGCCGCGTGTCTCGCCGGCATGGAGGTCGAGCTTGACTTGTGTGAAGGCGGGGTCGGTGATCTTGAGCTGCATTTCGCCCTTGACCTCGAAGGACTTCAGCAGACCTTCGCGGTCTAGGCGTGCGGAGATGGACTCGTTGGTGGTGATGTGAACAGCTTCGCGGTCTGTGGACAATGACTGACGTGCGCTTGCTGGAGCTGCGGCGGGAGTTGCGGCCTTTGGTGAGGTAAGAGGCTCGCTCTCTGGCGGCAAGTCGCCCGCTACCTGCTCAAAGATGTTGGTCGTCTTGCTCTTCTTGCCCAGCTGCATACCCTTCTTGCCTAACGCCAATGGCTTGCTCGCCTTCTTCTTTTCCTCATAGCTGTCGTATGTATCCGGGACGATAGCTGGAACGCTGGGCGTGAACGTCGGGTACTGCGGGGTGCGAGCAGAACCACCACCCATGCCTCCGCCCATACCTCCTCCCATTCCACGCGAAGACCTCGACATCTCTTTGCGCTGCATCTCCAGCTGCTTGGCGCGGCGCTTACGCTCCTCTGAAGCCTCCAGCTCCTTATTCCGCGCAATAATCTCCTGGATACGCTCCTCATGTGACTCCATATCCAAGAACGTCTTAATCTGGCTCAGCGTCAGGTTCTCCCTGTATCCTAGCGTTACAATCTCATCAAACGCCGTGAGCAGCTCGAAGGCGTTCTTCAGGATCTCGCGCTCATCGAGGGACTTGCATATCGACGAGACAACCTGAGCAAAGAGGTGCAGCGAGTTGATATCCTGCAGGATGTTGGATTGCAGGTTGGTGATCAGCACCATGTACAGCTCGTCGAGCGGCTGGTAGACGTAGCGCACGTTGTCCTGCTCGACGGTTGTGTGTTGCGAGGCGCCGGAGGCGAGCTTGGGGAAGGAGGCGAGGAGGGCTTCGATGCGGGAGCGCTGCATTTCGCGGAATTGGCGCGAGAGGACGGCTTTGCCGCCTCGGGTGCATATTGAGGCTGCGAGGACAACCTGGCGATGGGGTCAGCTGTGAGGTGAGGAATGAGAGAGGTGGTAGAAAGAAACTGAGCAATTATACCATTGTGAGGCTCTCCTACTCCAGGGGTAATGTCTCCAAGCTCTATAGCCTTGATGGTGTGCCGCCTGTTGAGATCGTGGGGCCTATGTCCGGCGACGGAGGGGATACTGTCCACGGTGGAAATTGCGGGACTGGCTAAAGCAATTTTGGACGGAGCTTGGGTTGGTCGGGTCTGAGAAGGGCGGAGGACCGTGTGAACAGAACGCGTTTCTTCGTAGTCCTATGGGCGACTGTTATACCTAGCGGTGCGCCCAACGCTGTCCCGCCCACACTCGGCCTGGAAGTCCGCGATGTGTTCAAAGTTCTGTCACGTGAGGGTGGTGCCTAGCCGCTTTAACGCTAGTGGACACTTAAGTTGCTCCTCCCTTTCCGACACCCACGTCGAACACTCTTCTCCTCATTCCCTTGAACGCCCGTCGCCTGCCCCTACGACGTGCACCGTCGGCTGTGGGCACTACTGGCATCATATTCTCGGTGTTTTCGACTTCCCCTCCGAATACCTAAGCCAGTAGCGGCGATACCGCCGTCCTGCAGTCCGCTTTCGCTGGGGTCGTCACCTGCAGCTGAAGCTTGGCGCGGCCTTTGTTCTTAGATTACCCGCTCCTCACTCTCACTCACCCACACCAAACACAACAACAATACGCCGCTCCGACTGCACCCGCGGCGCGATGGGCATCTAGAGCACGTCTCACGACGCTGTTGCCTTATCGCAAACCACGGATTGCGCGTTTGCTCCCTCGCCACTTCTGACGCGCTCGGTTTGAACTTACGCGCCCGCCCGCTTCCTTCGCGTTGAGTACCTGCGTGAACGCGAGACAGGCGCAAACGACACCGATTTCCAGTTGCGTCTTTTCTCACAAACTAGTAATTATGGCTGCCGCAGCCCGATCACTTCCTAGCCTCGAGGTCACCACTGCGGCGGATATCATGGATCTCCACTCAGACGACGGGCTCGACTTCGGTGACGGGGACATTGACATAGAGTTACACTCTACTGGCGAGATCAATCGGCAAGATGACGATCTGTCACTCCATGACGCTGGAACGGATCTTGACTTGGATGTCCAGACCGCACCTGCGGACCAAGATGATTTCATGGTCGACAACGAAGACCTCATTGAGGAGGACGAGCTCGATTATGACGTCAACGTCGCTGTCGATGCAGGCCGACACTCGACAGCCGATTCTGGAGCAGGGCAGCTGGAACCTGCGGTCGCTCCGGAGGAAGATCTGATTGACTATTCCGACGACGAGGAGCAGCCAATGTGGGATGGCCATAACAATACATCCATTGCGGGGGCCGCGCCGGCAGACTACAGTGTTCCGGCTGAGCGTGACAGCGCTTCACCAAGCGCAGCACAGGAGAGTTCTAAGGCCTTGCGTGTTGTCAACGACAGCGCCTCTGCGGATGAGTACAAAGAAGAAACGAGTCACAGCGGAGATCACTTTGAGTCAGACCAGCCATGGCAGGATGAGCCTCAGGCCGATCCGTACGCGCCTGACCCCAATATCGAACCAGATGCTGTCCAACACGACGACAATGAGGAACACCCGTGGGAACACGAACATCAGCTAGACGCGGATGAGGAGGCTGTTTCCCAGGACCGTTACGCCAACCTGGACAGCCAGGTGACGAAAGATCCTAGTCCCGTTTCAGGTCATAATGACGCCTCCGTTGATGTTCATTCCGAGTTTGACCATCAAGCCCAATATGAGCAGCGCCGCCAAGAAATACTTGCCCATCCTGTCACTGTCAATTATGAAGGCTCAGAATTGTGGTTGTTCAAGCAGCACGATTACGAGGAGAGCGGGGACTTCCTCCTCGAAGATGAGTCAATGGCTAGCACACAGATTTGCAATCTCTTCAATGCCTGTAGGACGTCTCTCGGCCCGAACATCACTGACGACATCGAAATCGGCCTTCGGTTTGATCACCTCCACAATATGGAACTCTACCAGGACAGCACTCCGTGTGCAGTCCTCACCTTGGAGGAGCTCGTTAGCCTTTACCTGCAACTCCATGCCCATGACGGAACTACTGAACCTGAATCCTTCTACGTGACGCTCCTTTTCCGGCCACGTGTCTTGTCAATGTTCAACGAGCTGAAGAAGGCTGTTGCTGAAGGAACCGGTTACACCGCCCTGAATAATGCAATTAATTCAGGACAAACTGCATTCAGTGCCCGACTCGCACACGATTCTCCGGAGCAGAGATATGACTGGGAGGACGGAGAAGAAGAGCAGGAATCGCATGAGGATGAGTATCACGAGGAACATAGAGAAAAGAACGAGGAAGATCACCAAGAGTCTCACGACGAGCGCCAGGAGGTGCTTAACGAGGAGCAACACCTCGAAGAGGACGCCAAGAATGCGCCCCAGCCACATGAGCAGTACCCCGATAACGAATCCTCTGCATCTCGCACAGATTCTGTTGACAATCGTGTAGCTGCAGCAGATGATAGGACTTCTCCTGCAGACTCGCACAAAGTAGAAGACGTCCACGAGGTGAGCGGATTTCAACCCCATGCCGAGACTACGCCCGCCAAGGAATCGAATTACGAAGAGGAGGACCTCATTGACTATAGCGACGACGAAGATCAAGCCGAAGTCACCGAGGTCGACCAGGCTCCGGTTGATCAACCATCGTCTTCTTCGTCCACGGTCCAAGGTGACGACACGTTCTTTGAGCAAGGCAAAGTTCAAGGATCAGCAGATCATAACGACTTCCCCGAGGACGGTGGAGAAGATGCTTACCAATACCACGGAAACGTAACGGGCGGTCTTTCCGCACAATACCAGGAGTCCGATCGAAATAATGATGATCAGGTCTATGGCGAGGGATATAACGAGGGATTCGATCAAGCCTATGAGCATGACCGATTCGCCAACGCGGACGACTTCGAAGGGTTTCCGGCGCACGAGGAAGACCAGGGGGACGATGAGAATACTAACTACTATGACAATTTCGGAGAGCAAGACGTAGACCAGCAAGTCAACTTCACTCTGACTGCTGAAGGGGGCGAAGGTGGCAGTCTTAATGCCGTGGAGCCGACCATTCTGAATGACGGCTTCAATGGAGACGACCTCTTGGATTTCGACAACGCAGATGCGACTGCCGACATTTCCCCCCAGGATCAAGTCGGAGGCTTTTCCGAAGACGAGATCGATTATGATGACGAGGACGGCGCGGTCGGTCAAGCTCCGGTCGACGCGTCTGCGGCTGCAGATCCCGTTGCCGGCTCGTCTTCTGGGCTCAAGAATCTGTCTCCCCAAGGACAGAAGAGATCCATCGATGACGTCGGCAATGATGTGGGCTATGCGACCAATCCAACAGGTACGCTTTATCCTTAGTGGGGAAGAAGCCCCCGGTCTAACTATATCGCCATAGATGCGAAACGACTCCGAGTGTAGACTACCCCCGTCCTCAACATGGACTGTCGACCGTTACTAACCTCAATTATTTGCACTGTGATTCCAGTACTCTCGGTATCGTGGACGACAATTTATACCGCCATGGCCCCGACCTTGCAACCTCTATGGATGGTCTACGACTCCGTATGGATACTAACTATAGGTTTCACTCGCGACGATATACCTGCGCCCGAGCGATATAAACATACCACAATATCCAAGGTACGTGAGTCTGCTTTTTACGTCTTTCTACCAGCTGCCACTGCCAATGAGAGCTGCATAATTTTTGCCGGGGGAGGGGTTTTTTTTTCTCGAGAAGGTGAAACTGGATATGGAGGGTGTCTGGCGGTCTTGATGGGTGTATTTCCAGCATTCGGAGTTCAGCATCTTTTTGGGATTTCTCAATCGGAGCACGGCGAGACGGATGAAAGGCTGGCATGTCATACGGCCTTTGATACCCAAAGTCCATGATGAATTCGGGCCAGGCGTTTGCGGCACACTTAACGTCTTTGGATCTGCGGAGCTTTGAGGGGGAGGGAGGTGCGGGAATGCTGGCGATTCATTGACGAATGGCCGACATCTGAACGTCAGCGCAAGTCTACTTTCAATACTGCGCACGCATGCACTGGTGGATTGTGGGTCTGTCTAGCACTCTTTACTCAGCCCCGAAGCCGCATTAACTTCCAACTTTCAGTCAGCATGCTCGTGCATATAATTCCAAGTGTGACTGGATGCGCTGTAACTCGATATTGTGCAATGCGGCCAGGGCGTCAAGAAGGTATCGTGATGCAGTTACAGCCGGGGCTGCTTGGCGTCTCACAGCTGATCAGCGCACCTGACGCTGGACTGAGGCAGGACGGGGGCAAGGGACGGGGGCAAGGGACGGCGGTCTGAGGCTGGCTGGCTTTGCGGGCCCACATTTCGAAAATAGCCCCTGCATGCGCCAGCCCCAAATCTGGCCGCCGCCGTGAAACCATCGATAATCGAAAGAAGCCATCGGAAAGCCGCACGCCACGCCACGTCCTCTGCTGGATGACTGTTGCTCACGACTCTCCTTTCTGAGTGTATTCTTGCTCTTTGCTCTCGCCGCGCAGCACCCTACCCGAAGCAGCTCGTGGCAGGCCTCGCATACACCCGCGCGCTTTATCCGCCTGTCGCTCGCTCGCTCGCGCACTCGTCATCCCCACACTCGCTGCATCACCCTGTCCAAACACTGACGGAGCCCTTCGCACGGCGTTTGGTGAAACGCGAACCGATTCTGCTCCCTCGAGTGCGCGCCGTCGTTGCCGTCGTCGCTGCCGAACCGACTGCCCACGTTGCTTAATTGCGGTGTCTGTGCCTGTGCCTGTGATTGCGCTTTCGCCGAGGCCGCGACTTCGACCCTATCGATAGAGCACGTATCCCGGACGCTGCGCACGAACGTACACCTCGAGACGGACGCGACACCACGGCGATCACATATTCATAACCTTGCGGAAGAGAGAGCAAAGGGCCTCAGGGACCTTTTGCGGCAGTGCGATGGAAGACAAGTACGTTGTCGTTGCGCGGAGCTGCTGCGCGGTGCCAGGGATGAGACTCACGGTTCGGACAGATATGTCGGCCTTATACTGGCCGTATCTTCATCTCTTGCGATTGGTATGTGAAGTTGAGCGGAAGGCTCAGACGCTGTTTGCTGACAGTTCGCGAATAGGCACGAGTTTCGTCATAACGAAAAAGGTTCGTCGCCGCGCGCACTTGCCTCCTATCCCGCCGTTCGTCGTCGGCCTCGAGCGCCGCGCCTCTTGTGGACAATATCGCTGATTCAGCGCTGATATAGGGTCTCAATGCTACGGCGGAAAAGCATGGCTTCAACGGAGAAGGCTTCTCGTATCTACAAAACCCTACGTGGTGGGCTGGCATGGTTACCAGTGAGCGGCGCTATCTCTGGACAGCAGGGGCATCTGGCTGACTGTTTGCAGTGGTGCTCGGTGAAATCTTCAATTTTGCAGCATATGCATTCGCGCCCGCCATTCTGGTGACCCCGCTAGGAGCGCTATCAGTCCTCATCGGGTGCGTAGGCGGTGCCGGTGTTTCAAGCGGCATGCTAATAGGGAAACAGAGCGGTTCTGGGATCGTATTTCCTCCACGAATATCTGGGGCTATTGGGAAAGATTGGCTGCGCCATATGTCTGATTGGATCCGTCATTATCGTTCTGCATGCGCCGCCGGACAGGGAGGTCTCGTCGGTAGATGAGATCCTCAACTTTGCGATCCAGCCCGGTATGCGTTGGCCCAAATTGAATCTTCAGCCGTGGACTTTGCTGACATGTAGTTGTCTAGGCTTTCTCTTCTACTGCGCCTTTGTCGCTATCTTCTCCGTCTTCATGATCTACAAGATCGCACCGAAGCACGGCCGCAAGAACCCTCTTATCTACCTCTCCATTTGCTCAACGACCGGCTCTGTTTCCATCATGGCTATTAAAGCATTCGGCATTGCGCTCAAGATGACCTTTGCGGGAAACAACCAGTTCACGCATCCTTCAACCTACGTTTTCGTCATAATGATTGTCGGTTGCATTCTCACCCAGATGAACTATTTCAACAAGGCTCTGAGCCAGTTCTCCACCAACATGTAGGATCTCCTGCGTGTTTGACCAAATGAATGCTAACAAAGAAACAGTGTTAATCCCCTCTACTACGTAACGTTCACGACCTGCACGCTCGTCGCATCCTTCCTCTTATTCCGCGGTTTCAATACGACTTCAGCAGTGAACACGATATCGCTTCTCTGTGGATTCCTCGTCATCTTCTCCGGTGTCTACCTCCTCAATCTCTCACGCGACGACCCCGATGGAAGAGGAGCGATAGGAAACGACTTCTCAGACGCCCCGCCAACCGACGGTATTTCAGGGTTCCCCACACGAAGAAGCATGCAATTGCGGAGAAGTACAGATACTGGTGGATATAGGAGTCCGTTCCTCGCTGGCACGCCAAACGGACGGGGCAGCATATCAGATCGAAGAGCGCTCATGCAGGACTATGATGTCGAGAACCAGTTCGAGCTCGGCGATCTGGTCGAAGACTCGGACGAGGGCGAGAACGGCAAGAGGACGAGCTTCGATGAGGAGATCTCAGCTCAGAATGGCGGCCACCCCAGCACCGGCAGCGTAAGAGTCAAGAAAGAAACGGTGCGGACAAATCGCAAGAGCTCAGAGCGATGAGCTAGACCGCAACAATCTTTTCGACGTTCTACTATTTCTCTTAGACATGGCGACAAACCTAGAAGGGCCTCTGTACATATAGCATCTGGGCCTCGACGACGGTAGAGAGCGGATACCGCACGGCTGGCTGCGCGGTCTGGCGTCAGGGTTTCTGTTTTGCTTTGGCATCGCGGAGTATGCGAAGTTTCGCATGGGTATTGTATTGGTACGTACACGCGGCGTTTAGGGCATTTATGGCATGAGGATGGATTGAATGGGTTTCGCGGGTCCAAGCACCCTGGATGATGGAGCTTTTGTACTTGTACGGATGGATAGCATTGGGTATGCCTAAGAGGGTGGCGGGCTGATGAGGCCTGAATTCTTGCTCGTTCGAGTAGGGAATGGAACGATTATCTCAAGATCAGAAGTGATCAGTTGTGTGAGACGGATCTATGTGAGGCCGCGGACCGTGCCCTGTGTGATGCGTACTCGCTTTTTGACGTGCCTGATCAACGGTGCAGGAAACAAACTTCTGGGGGCCCTAGCCTTTCTTACCCTATCTATACGATGCACCGTGGGCCTCGGGTAGGGCTGATGTATACCCGTGGACCAACGTGACCGCGTGAGGGCGCTAGACGAATCAGGCAAAGTCGCCTGCTTGCAAACAAACCCGATCCCAAAACACCCACACCACATCTCCCACCATATCGACCCTCGCGGCCTCCCAATCTCCAAAAATGGCCGACAATGGCTCCTCCACCGGCCCAAAGCTACTCCAGCAGGCCGAGAAAATCCTGCTCCATCCCATCCGCCCACACCTCTTTTCGTACTGCCCAACCATGGACCTAATCGCGCTAGTCACAGACGAGGAAAACCTAGATGTCTACAGAATTAACGGGCAGCGCGCCTTTGGGCTCAAAAGGAAGAGCGAGGATGAATGCGTCGATGCGATTTGTTGGGAGTTTAATGGGCAGGCGGTTGCGGTGGCGTGGAGCGATGGGTTTACGGATGTTGTGAGTAGTGAGACCGGGAAGGTTATCCATAAGGATGTCCCGCCGCCGCCGACTGTGAGAGGAGATGAAGAGGGGGAGGGAGAAGAGGTGGGGAAGAGGATTAGGTGCATTGGGTGGGGATTGAATTTTATTGATGTCGAGGCTGTCAAGAGGAGGACGGGGTTGAAGAAGCAGAAGAAAAAGACAAATGGGTCGACTCCAGCGACGACAACAATAGATTTCAGCGCCCCAACGACAGAGGACTGGGACGAGTTCAAGGATGATACGAGTCTGGAGGATTTTCTGCAACGACAGCCGGATTTCCAGAGCCTGGATATCGCGCCCGATTTGCCGGATCAGCTCGCTATGATGGATCTGGAGACGCTGCTGCCAAAACTACCTGCGATACCGCTACCGCCCGCAAACCCGTTTATGATGCGCGGTCCGCAGGCCGACTCGGGAGCTTTTAGCTCGCAGGCGCAGGTCGATAGCTTGCTGCATAGCCACCATATGAAGGATCATAATTCGGTGGATATGTTGATACGGTGTACCCAGAAGGGCACGGTGCATCCTTCGATTTATGATTCGCTTGAGACAGTCAACGTACATTTACCGGATGCCTGGGGGATGCAGTGTAGGCCGCTTCTGCACACGAGTCACCCGTATAGCTGCAGCCATGGCTTGCTGCTTGAGACAACGTCGGCAGCCGATCCAGAGCGGAAGAGGATAGCATTTGTGCCGTTAACACTGGGCTTCATACCGTCCGCGGGCATCTACCTCCATCTCATTGCGTCAAAAACCGCGCAGCTGCAGAACTTGCTTTCGTACATCACGCAAACGCTACAACGGACCCGGACTTTCTTCACGCTCTCGCAGGATCTTCCCTCGAAGTTCATGCGCAATATCGGCGAAACGCTCGAGGAGAAACACCAAGGCGACCTCGTCACGAATCTTTACCACCTCGCCTGTACGGGGTGCTGTCCGCCTGTTATACGGGAGTGGCTTGTGGACGAACTCGCGGAGCAGGGACACAAGAGGTGGGATAACGCGGTTGTATCGGGACTGAGCACAGTTATCCAACTCATACACGAGAACCTTCTCCCTGCACTTGACCGCTGCTCGATCATCATATCACGGTTACGCGGGCTCGCGGCTTACCATGAGCAGGGCTGGATATTCAGCGGTCCGGTGTCGGATTTCACAGTCCTCCTCGACTTGCTGAAGAATCTGCAGTTGCTGGGTCACACAACGCTGATGTATGCCGCGGACGAGAAGCGGCAGTTTGCTAGCTTCAGCAAGTGGCTGCGCTTCTGCATTGACTTCGAGGCTACAGAGCCGGATAGCCAGTCTCGCGCGGAAATGGAGGCTAGAGACCCCGGGGTCGATATCGCCATGGTGCTCGAATATATTCGATACGGACTCACGAAAAGCGACCTCAGGCCTTACCTCAAGGCTGAAAAGGAGTTGAGCGGAGATATATCGCAGAAAGAGCCAGCGAGCTACGATGACACTGTCAAATCAATCCAGCTACTCAAAGAGGATGCGAGGTACAAAGAAGAAGCACTATGCTTAGAACGTGTCCTAAGCCACTTCGGCGATGGAGTGAGAAGTTTGCTGAAGCAAGTGAGCCGATGGCAAGAAAACAGCATCAGCATGGACTGCGGTATCGTGCTGGAGGACGGCGACGTGGGCGATGCCGTGGATATGCGAATGGTATTCGAAGTAAGCTCACATTTCATTCATCCACCTTTTACCACCCCAGCTAACACCCGTCCAACAGCCCTCCCCTTCAGACAACGACACAATATCCACATATATCGCGCTCTCCTCCCCCTCAACCCCATCGAATCTTCACATCCACCGCCTCACGCACACGCCTACGCTAACCACGCTGCCCGCATCCCTGCACGCCTACGCCGTAACAGCACTTACCTTCTCCACCACCCCATACAACAATAAAATCCTCGACGCGAAATTCGCAGACGATACTTCCCTCCTCATTCTACTCCAATCAGAATCACAATCATCGTCCAACACCGCGGAGGACTCGAAAACATGCTCCCTACTCTCGCTACCATATACTACAACCACAACCTCGACCTCCTCCACCACATCGGGGCCAGCAGCTTCCATCTCAGGCTCCCCCATCCCACACACCCCCCTCCCAACCCGCACCCTCCCCTCCTTCCTCCTCCCCGCCGGCTCTCCACCCTCGCGGGCGACCATCACGCTCAGCGCCGACGATGTGCGTAAATACACGCGCCATGTCTTCGAGCGGCGCTTCACGCCCATGAAGTTGATTGTCAACGGGAGGAAAGGGCGGCGAGTCGTCGTCGTGCTGGGAAGTGATAGGAAGCATTATCGGGTGCTGGATTTGGACTTTCGGGAGACGAAGAATAAGGGCGAGAAAAAGGAGGGATACGGAGCGGAAGAGGAGAGCGGGAGTAGTAGCGGTGGCGATAGCGATAGCGATATCGAGATGGGCGGTGCGTAGATGGAGAGCCTGTGTGCTTATGATATGATCTCATAGACATGGTAGCGTACTGTATTATGGAATGGATATGCGAAGATATTGATCAGCAAGCCTGATTCGAGAGTGGCGGTACGTGTATGGTTTTATACAATCACTACTTTCCGAAAGCCACAATCCTCTGTGCGGGCCATCTGGTCGGGGCTTAATGCAACTATGAGCCAAGGTAGGTCTACATGGTAGCACGGTTTATAATGGAACACAGACCCACGCGCCATCGACTTCACATTCTCAGTACAAAACCAATGCATTTTCGGATTCGCATTCCCTAGGGTCCTATCATGCACGCAAGCAGGAGGAAACCTAGCTTGCAGAAGAGATTCATAACGCCCGGCCACCCGCATAGAGAGTTATGGAGAGTATAACCGACCGCATCATTGTCCCACACCGACGCCACCATATCAACCCCTCTAGTCCTTCGTCTTCTGGGTACCACGGAGCAGACCCGTCCTCCGCGCAGCAATGAGACCGGCCTTTTGACCTTGTGCGGCTTCTCGGGAGATGGTCGAGGCTTTACCGATATGCTGGTGGTTACCACCACCGTGAGGATGGTCGACGGGGTTCATGGCAACACCACGAGTCTTGGGCCAGGAGTTGCGCTTGGCGGCGAACTAGAACACATGTCAATATCCACCCATTATAATAACCACACCACAGTGTAGTGAAATGTACCTTATGCTTCGCTCTCGAGGCCTTGAGGAGGGGCTTGTCTGTTCGGCCACCACCCGCAACGATACCGACCATACCACGGCAGGAGCTGGGGAGCACCTTCTTGGCGCCAGACGGGAGCTTGACGCGGGTCTTGCCCTCGTCGGGGTTGTGGCCGATGACGGTCACGTAGTTGCCAGAGGTGCGGCCGAGCGCACCACGGTCACCGGACTTGTCTTCGACGTTGGTGAGGACGGTACCTTCGGGGACGGAGCCGAGCGGGAGGACGTTGCCGACGGTGAGAGCGGCGTGCTTTCCGGCATAGATGAACTTTGTAATGTCAGCCCTGGCTGTGTTCCTTCGCATTTATATTTCCAGCTGCTCTAACTGACCTGGCCGGTGTACATGCCCTCGTTGGCAATGAAAGTTTCGGTTTGGAGCTTGAAGCGGTATGGCTACGGAGATGGTCAGCGGACAATTTCGGTAGATTCTCGAAGAGAGGCATCGTACGTTGCGGAAGGTGACCTTCGCGAGAGGAGCGCCTATACACAATTCTGTCAGATATGTCCCAGAAAACGATAGACCCGAGCCAAGTACTCACCACGACCGGAATCGTGGACAATCTCCTTCACGACGCCTCGAATGTACCCATTGCGCTCAGCCTGTGCGAATTAGCCCTCCATCCCCAATGTTGTGCGATTTCGCAATCGTGCGGGCGGCGACGTACGTAGTCGAGCGTGCGGAACTGGGCGGGCGCCTTGTTCAAGCGGGTGTTGGCCGTGAAGATGGAGCCGCGGCCCTTACGCTGGTTCCTGATAACCCTACCCATGGCGACGGTGTTGTGGTGGAGGGTGTGATGTTCGACAGGATTGTGTAGACGGCGGTTGGTGTTCGAAGTTGTGGGCTGCGAAAATTCGCTTGGGTTTCCGCTTTGGTGATGGCGTGCCAAGGCTTAACTTGACGCTGCGAGCTTCACGATCACCACTCGAGCTGAGCTCATCCATGTCATTCTCGTCTGTCTTTTGTACAATGGGATCAGAAGCAGAAGTTGGCGTTCCCATCTGGGAGGAGTAGCATATAGCAAGTGCATTAGGCTACGGTTGGTCCGAAAAGGACGAACCACAACGGCGCCCTCAGACGACGGCATGGAGATTGCTCGATACGGCTTCTCTTTTTGGTATTAAGTATACGTAGGAGGAAATGGCTCTCATGCATTTCATATACTCTGGTGCTGTTGCAAGACCTTCGTGGGGTCCATCTCATTTCCTCTGCCTATTCTCTCATCACTTTCATGATAACGCCGTCCAGTTCCTTCACGAACCCTCGCAAAAGATCATTCCTGAGCTTCTAAAATCCGTCTTCACGCAAAGCCTGTACGTCGCCTTCACTTGTGCGGTAGGACACGGACCGAGCCACCGAATGTCGTCGAGGGCTCATGAACTCGGACGGAAATGGAATGCAATTCGATATCGGCATCCTCCCCTACGTCTTACTATGATCTAGGTCAAGCAACATGATAGACCGAAGAGGCAACATTTCAGTCGTTGCTGTTATGTATGGAAGGAGACGGGACTTATAGATCCATGTTCGCAAGAAACCTGGCGCCCAAACGAGCGTTGAGGCTTCTTAACCACCTCGTGAATTCGGGCAGCTCCTACCCTTCCCTAGCCTGTGCTACAGCGGAAATTATCTGAGACTGCTAAAGTGACTTTGCTAACTATCTGCTCTAGGGTTTTCACTCTCTGGCCACGCACCACAGGACCTGATCACCCTCAGCAAAGCCGCATCATATACGCGGGAGTGATTCACCGCGAGTCCACTGCAGTATTCGAAGGGGAATCAGTCCCAGCTTCCATTGTGTTTGTTACATCGTGGTATTCCATCTGCACATGTGTATCGAGGACTTCGAATCAACCCACCATACTCTTTAGGATGGCGGCACCGGAATCGCCGCCGGAATCGCCGCCGGAACCGCGTCGAGGACCGGAAGCCTGGAAGGTGCGGTGCTACAACTCAGTCCGCCCTAGTGTTAGAAGAGCGTTGAAGATCATAGACCGGTCCACTCGTGTTTGATAGAGTCCTCGCCGAAATAATCCACAACGCTTCGTACCTGGGTTACCCGCGCCTCGGATTGTACCGGAAACCTGATTAAGGCCCGAACCCCTCGCGTTATTGAAAGACATTCTGTCGGAGCGACTAACTGCGCTGCTACAATCGTTTGCGTGCTCATCCGAAAGCGGGTTTAGGTAGAAGTGTCAAGGTACGATCGAAGTACGTCTGGCTGCGGAGGAGAAGTCGCAGACATCGAAGGGGCCGCGCTAGTTTGCAGACGTCTAGATTGTAAATTCAACGGCGAGTATAGTGCTTCTGTCGTCGCCCGTATGAGCGGAGGGATTGGAGTGCAGTTTCTGTGGTTCAGGTGAGGGATCTAGCATTAGTGTTGGAATGGACATACCCAGCACCCATCGGGCTCACGCAGTGTATAAGAACAGGGCGACAGAAGTTCTTGCCTGGCCGACGTGTCTCTGTGCCTCTACATCCCTTCATAAAAGCAATAGGATCCCATCGAGCGGCCATTCTCCCGTGCCGTTATCAAAGATAAAGGTCACTCACCCACCGACGGAGAACCATTTCCGGTCTTGAGCAATCAAGCCAATGCAAGCAGCAGCCTTCCCTATAAGATATCAGACGATGAGTATATACGAGATGCTCAACAAATCAACCCTGTCATCTCAGGTACACTACTATAGAAGTCAATATGTCGCTTGCAGGACTGCATGGATGCCTAATCCAATTATTCATTCTAGGCCCATTTTCCCCCTTCTCTCCCAGAATCGGGCAGCGCATCAATCCGATAACCGGTCAACCTGTATCAATCCCTGAGTCAAATCCTGCTGCACTGCCACGACGGAAGCCCGCGGACGGACCAACAACCAAAAGAGCCCTACGCCGCCGGTTCCGCTCCCTCCGCAAGCTCAGGAGACAGCAGCGCCTAGGCACCGTCGCATTGGCCTAGTAGTAGGATTCTACGCGCTAACTCCCACATGACGCGTTCCCAATCCATCCACCCTACCGCTACAGGAACACGCGAGCGATAACCCGCGTTGACAGTGGCAGTGTAAATTTAGCCTTGCACGTGACATTGCGAGCGGACCAACCGGCAAGCCGCCTGTACGAGCGCGCTAGCTCGCAAGGGGAAATATGCGAGCAGGGCTAAGGCTCGGGGTTGTAAGCGTGTGCCTCAGGAGGAATTCGGACGTTCCGGCTTTGCGGCGGGGGACGGCGTGGCATATAAGGGTGGGCGATTTCAGGCGCGATGGGTGAATGTGAGACTTCCGGGCTTTTCCATTTTGCAAGTTGTTTGTTTGGAGGCGAGGTTGCTTCACTCTCACTACCGCTCCTGGCTGTCACCCCCGATCACACCCGTTCGTTCCGTTGCTCGCTGGATCCCACACTTCGCTATTGAAAAATTCAAGATCGATTTTCACTCGAAATCACGACGTACTCCTCGGTCTCTTGCAGTTGCTACCGAACGATATCCAACAATTTCGACGCCCTATTGTACAATTCACCACCGTTACTTTCCTCCCATCCCCGGCAAAAGAGGGCTCAATGCCACCAGTCATGGCTCTCGAAACGCGAACCATGCTCGAAAAGCGCGACAACATGGGCTTCGCCATTCCACCCGCCGCCATCATCCTTCTGGTGATGTTGGGTGCCGCCTTCTTGGTCTGCATGGGCTTCGCCGTGGCGCGTTTTCTGGTCGACGACAAGGACGACACCTGGACTAGACGGCCGGTAGCTCAAGACGATTATATGCGGGAGGTACGGGCGAGGAATATAGAGGGCTTGATGGCGGAGGGAGCGCGGCCGTATTATAAATCACATCGGTCGGACCAAAGGTGAGGGTAGGGGCCCAAGAGTGTTTGGATTCGTGGTTGATCGGTCATCGCAGTTATCCATCCGATAGGAGGAGTTAAGTTCGGCGACCGATGCTTAATAGCTGGCGACATTGCGGTAACAGGCTATGAGACGAAGCCCACACGACGGGGTAATGATTGGGAGGACCGGTCGGCAACATGGCGTTACGGAAGAAACGAAGCGGGAGCCTCTCTCTTTGGAGTACATATTTTGGTCTGGGTATAGGAAGGCTGCCGGACATGGAACTAGTGGAGGAAGATACCATTGGCGGATGACATCGGGTTCGAAAACATAGCTGAACCCTTGTGGAGACACATGGTCGCGTGTAACTGATAATCTCCGGTTGTTGAGTGACACCCCGCCCTGATGCAAGTTTCCGCGAATACATGGTAGATAATGGCAATATCCGGCTCTCTATCACTGCTTCGTTAGCCATCTGAGCTCGAAGGCGAATGCCTCTTAGCCGGCAGGTCCGTCAGCATGTGGTCGAAGACTATCCAAGTCCACGCCCACAACCGTCGCCGGCCACTCTAACCATGTCCACATCTCCTCTTTCAGCACCAGGGCAGCTGTCGAAAGAATGTTTGAGGCCAGGCCCTCAATCCACCATACATTCTCGACCCGAGCTGGAAGGATAGCATAATGTGCCAGAATGATCCAAGCCTCAGGTTGCCGCTGCTCGATGAGGTCGATAAAGTCAAGGGAGTTCGATATCGGCCAGGTAACGACCGAGGTCCAGTCGATAAGCCTCCCGCCCGGTCGTCTATCGTCGCCAGCCACTGTGAGTTGTGAGACCAGTCCAAAACATTCTCTCAACCTCTTTAAAGAACTTCTGAGGGTATCGAACCAATACTCGTAGCGGCGGTCGGGGTGGGCCCAGAGGTTTTCCAGCTCTGCAAGCTTGCGGTCTTCTTCAATGGCTTGCGGCGATATAGGATAACGATGAGGCCACCACTCGCGCTTCACAATAGGCTGTAGAATCCCGTTTGCTATTAGATGCCAACACGGAACCAGGATTATGAGTATGCCTCGTAAGTTACGCATGATCCCGATGATGGCGTGTGCCAGTCCGCTGACAGCTGCGCGCCGCTGATTCGGCCGTCCGCCCTCGCTTTGAAGGGATTTTAAAAGGCTTTTACACTCGTCAGCCGTCGTGAGAACTATAAACACCGAGGTGGTGGTAGCGTATGCAAATAGAGCTTCTGCATTGTCCGCGGAAACCTCCTCCATGGCCGAGCGGTAGTGAACCAGACCTGTGTTCATCTGAACAGCAGCCATGGTTTGATAGGTTTCCCGCTCTTTCTCTACGCCGACAGTGCGGGAGAGATGAAGTGAGGACATGGCGAATATACCGCGCAACACGAACCGATGGCTCTCCACCAGCTTAGGAATTGCTGCACACCAGGTTGCTTGTGCTGTCGCATTGTGCGAAATAGTGGCGCTTGTCCCAGTGACGAAATTATGTAGCAGTAGTTGCAGGCGGGGAAGTAGTATTTCTGGATAGCCTTCGAGTAAGCTATTTTGAGCCAGGTAATCCAGGAGTGTCGGAGGTGGAAGCGAATAAGCGATATCTTTAGGTTCATGAGAGAACGCATGAAATGGAGAAACGGCCTGGCTGCTCTCACTCCCTGGTTGGAGTGCGGAGATTGAGGACGGCGGAGATGGATCCAGTGCGCGGAAGCTACATTCTAAGCCACGCTTGATACAGTTCTTGCAGTCCGGACGGCATTGGTCACACTTTGTGCGTCAGCTGCGGGAATGATGAAGAATGGATGAAGCGCGTATTGCGATCCTGAAGAACTGACCTTGATGCGTCTTCTTTTGCAGGTACGACACCCAAATTTTGTTTTGTGGTGAGCTCTGCGTGTCGACATCACAAGAGCATCCCGTCTAATAACGAACAACGAATGTAGTACAAGAAGCGTGCAGCAAAGACCGAGTCCATTAGATGATGCCCTGAAGTTTCTCGTGACGGATGAGATAAAGGAGTTACCGGGGAAAACGAAAAGCCGAGATGACGCCCCAAAATGGCTAGCGTCATTCCGTCCACCGCCCTCAAAAACGACGGACGCTCACGACTCACGATCGCAAATCTGGTTCAGCAAACTTGCTGTTTCCAGCATCAGAAACCTACAAATGTACTTCCAAGAGACCTCTGGCACCTTCTTCTCTCGGCCTAGTTGATCCTGCAGAGAATCACCGCCAAGCTCCAGCCACCCGCAGATCCCCGCATTCCAACATTAACCTCATTCTCAGTTTGTGCCTGACCAGGTTCCATTCTTCCCTGCAAAGATCCAGGTGAGCCCCTCATATCGTCATGTAGTAAACATATTTCCCGGCTTCGGCACTACTCAACGAGCTCGGAGTCCTTCCGCATAGAGTCCAATCTCTCAGCTTCCCCGCTGGCGCTGTGCTGACAGCCGTTGAAGGCCAACCCAATGACGTCGGCAAACGGCTTGCTCGTGCGGACCCTGCTAATAGCTTCATCCACCGTTACATTTCGGTACCTGCACCTGTTCATGGGATCAACTGCGGGGTATAGCAACATGGACGGTAACCCGCCCGTTGGTATCACTCGCGCATGTCCCGCGCCCGGTACAAGAACCGACAATCTCGTCGCCTGGGCACTTTGCGATCCTCGTCGCTTCAAATTTTCCATCATTCTAGTGTCCTCTTTCATTGACGTTCCTCTACCAGAATGCGCGGCTTCAACATTTTCGCCTCCTCGGCGGTACCACTACTGGTAGCAGCACAGTGCCCAGATTATTCCGACTATTCGAAGGAAGTTCACGAGCCTCTCAGCTCTGGGAAGAATCAGCTCGCATACCAGCGCCCGTCTCCAGAATGCCGAACTTTCACATCGCAAGGCGTCGAGGACTTGATCACTCGCATGGAAGGCGTGATTAAAGACCCGGATCTCTACCGCCTCTTTCAAAACGCATATCCGAACACGCTCGACACGGCGATAAAATGGAAAGGATATGCAGCAGACAACGCAGAAGAGGAGCTCACATTCGTCATCACGGGAGACATCAACGCGATGTGGTTGCGCGACTCTGCGAATCAGATGCAGAGCTACCTCCCTCTGCTGAACGCGAGCAGTGATTCGAATTCGCTTGCGAGCCTCTACAGAGGAGTAATAAACCTCCAAGCACGGTACTTACTTACGTCGCCTTATTGCAACTCTTTCCAACCTCCGTTTGAGAGTGGCATCGACCTCGGGAACAACACGAGCGCAAGCCAGGACACAGTGAAGCCGCCATACTCAGACATATCTGTTTTCGAATGCAAGTATGAGCTTGATTCGCTTGCAGCTTTCCTGGAGGTCTCCGCCAACTACTACAATGCGACCGGCGATTTAGACTTCTTTGGCAAATTCAGATGGATCGACGCGGTTGAGGCGATCCTTCAAGTGGCGAACGACATGATGACGCCGACGTATGCGGACAATGGCGCAGTCTTGGATAGCCCCTACATGTTCACGCGTCTGACCACTCGGTCGACGGAGACTCTCGCAAATGACGGCCTGGGAAACCCAGTCGCGGGCGGCACAGGGCTCATCAGGAGTGCCTTCCGTCCCAGCGACGACTCAACCATCTACCAGCTCTACATTCCAGCCAACATGATGTTCAGCGCCTATCTTTCCTCAACTGCAGACATAATGAGCAAGCTCAGCAACGGCAAGGCCGCCTCGCTCGCCCAGAAAATGTCCGACCTCTCCTCGTCCCTTCGCGACGCCATCGAAACCCATGGGACGGTAAACCACCCCAAGTACGGCAAGGTCTACGCTTTTGAAATCGATGGCTTCGGCTCAACCACCATCATGGACGACGCAAACATCCCCGGCCTCCTCTCCGCTCCCTTCTTCACCTACCCCGTCGACGAAGGAACCTACCAAAACACCCGCGACCTCATCCTCAGCGCCTCCAATCCCTACTTCATGCGCGGTCCCGTGATCAGCGCGGTTGGCGGGCCACACCAGGGACCGGGGATGGCGTGGCCAATGGCGTCCATCGTGCGCATTCTAACGAGCGATAACGATGGCGAGATCAGGGACGAGTTGGACCAGATTCTAACGAGCACAGACGGGCTGGGATTGATCCATGAGAGTATTAATAGCTTCAATGAGAGCGATTGGACGAGGCAGTGGTTTAGTTGGGCGAATGGCCTGTTTGGGCAGATGATTTTGGACTTGGAGGAGAGGAAGCCAGAGATTTTGGCGATGAGCTTTCAGTGAGGTGGGGAAGATGATGGGGCATACATGCAAGGGCGAGATGATGAGGTGGTGTTAATATTCTACGGATATGGTGGTAAATGCAGAATTTGGAGTACATGCCTTGTTTTCGAAGGTCCATCGTCTTCCGTCCCGCTAGCAAGGGGAACAATTATGGCTGTGACGTTGCTCAAGACGTTTAGCTCTTGCTCTTGCCGATATGTGTGCATAGGGTACGGGAGGTAGCTGTGCTGCTGGTTCACGAACAACGCGACAGTTCACCTAGCTAGCTTGTCCTGGGTTGGGTGCCTCAGTATGTGCTTTGACTACTCACTACCACATCCCTGAACTAACCCAACATAACCTTTTTTGCCTGGAGAGTGATTGCCCGGAGCGGGGGTGTGGATCGGAGGCGACGACGCCGTTTTAGAGGCATGATGGGGGATTTTGGCTACGGCGGGTGGTATTATAAGCGTCTAGATGTGCACAATTTGGAAATTGCAGAGCTAGCCGGTGGATAGATGGATGGTGGAAAAGACAAGGGAGTAGAAGTGATAAAGTTCAGTTCCCGTGATATCGGCTCTGAAGAATTCACATCTCTCATTCAATGTGTACCTAAGTTGCTATCACGTTCTGAGCACCTGCACTAGCCCCACTGCATCCATCTTCCCGAAAAGCTCCCGGTGTGAAGAGCACGAGCGCTCGTAACGTTGCGCACCCATGTTTAGCTCCGTCCTTCCCGAGACACGTGCTCGCTGCGCATAGGCTGGGGGCGGGGCCACACCGCATCAGCGCTTGTGTGATGCCTTGGTGTAGATGGATATTCGGGTGGGTGTGTTATCACGCACGGGGTTTGGGAAGGAAGGAACGAGCGTGACCGTGTATCGCGGTACATGGTACACGTAGCAGCAACGTATCCCTCTCAATTTTGGCTCAGGAAAGCTAGTCCTGGGGATCTTCAACGTGCAATGTGTCTTTTCTTGGTGGGCCTATATCGCGGTGCATGTAGTAGCATGTGGGGATTTTAAGTTTGAGAAGGCCCTTCTTGCAGGCTTTCAATATGTAAAGACCTGAGACGTGTCGAGATTTTGGAATAGTTGGGGATGTGTAGCACCACACTCGGTGGGACGGGATCGAAAGTGCGGTGAAGATTGGCTACCCAGGCGATGGTGTAGATGGTCATAAAACACGATGAAAATGCGTAGGGGTACGGTCGATCGGTGTGATTCTACAAAGGTACGAGAAACTGGACCGGTTTGCTCAACGTTGCACGGCGACGTGAGGGGTAGCGGAGTCCTAGTCAACCTCTGCCACGGTTGATATCACCCCCTCGCGCAGCCTGAGGTAAGCGACGGAGCCTTTTTGACTTTGGCGCATAGATCTTCAAACGTATCGCCCGTATCTCCTGAGCAATAGTATAGGAGTCTGCTGTAGTCCTGAAGCGGTAGCCCTCGTCGCCGGGAGTTGAAGATGGCGAGATGTTGATGGTTTCGTTACTACAGACGTTTGAGCATCTCATTGAGGGAGTGGTGGTACAAGCACCGGCGTTCTCCGCAGGGCCAGATTGATAAGTGATAAGTTTAGCTGTTCCTCCCAAGCGTCCAGGCCAAGAAGGATATATGGCAGGGTGCTGTTCGAGGTTTCCAGATGTTGTCTATATCGGGAACCACGTGAGCGGGCCAGGAACGAGACCAGGCTCCGACGACTTGAGACGGCATGACGAATTGAAGATCAAACGAGGCTGCGGAGATTCTTTTGCGAACCCGAGGATGTCCCTGTGCTACCCCTAGGACTAGAGTGTTCCAACAATCGTTCGGTGCGGTTGCGCGCGGCTGGTAGTGTTTGCTGGCAGTCTTCAATTCGTGATCTCTTCGCCGACTCGACGAGTTGACTCCACGCAAGCTGGATAGGGGGACGTGTTGGATATGTATGCTGCGCCGCAGTCAGCGCTTCCCAAGGAGTGGCATGAGGCCTGGCAGCTCGACAGGGAGTGATGGGCGGTGGTCGTTTCAGATGGCGCAGAGACAGCGGTTACGCATTGATGGCTCATGCTTGGGTCGCCTCCCAATGCCAGGTCGACGTGAAGAAAGGCCCGATGGATAGCACGGCACTCTCTCCGCGGCGGAGGAGACACGAAATTTGTGACGAAGTATGTATGTAGCTGCAGCAACAACCTGAAGCAATGAATCGTCACTTGTGGCCCGACCTCCGCTCCCTTGCGCGCCAGCGATCCGACGATTTGACTGGGCCGGCGCCGGACGCAGGGATTAGCGCCGAATCCGGCTGAGCGACACCGCGGCGCCGTCGCCATTGGACGCCCGCGTCGATCGAGGCGTGCGCGGGAGCAGGCTCTGGCCTTGTTTTGGCCAGCGAACACAGGGGCGGCCGCGAATTGGGGGCTGCGCGTTCCGGCAGTCAGGTCCCGACTCTTCGACATGCCGCTCCTCGTGGGACGACGAGGCTGCGACGCTGCCCTTGAAGTCTCTTTGCACGACATTGAGGCCGGACGAAAATGCAACTATGGTTCATCACCCGATTCAGCATCCACGATTGCGCGGCTCGCAGCAGGCCAGATGCTCGCACTGCACGCCCACTACGCCGTCCGTCCACGGTTCGGCCGGCGGGGCTGAAATGAAGGAGAACAGGCCCCTCATCGGCGTGCGCTTGCAGCCAACGACAGCTCGTCATGGCATTGTTTAACGAAATGCATGCTCATGGCGCCGTCTGAGGCCGCCGCTGCCAATGATCTCCCTGCCTTCCGGAAACCTTCCATCGCGACTGGTCGTGCCTTCCCACAGCCTGGATGCGCCATGGCTGGCTGTCCGCTAGCCATCAATAGCACGTCGATGCCGCCTTCCGACAGGAGATTGGAGATATGGCAGGTACATCTTCGACTCCAGCCCAGCCCTCTCGTCTTTCCTCTCTCCTACACACTCGCCGACACGCTATCAGCTGCTGCTTTTTGGACCCGATCTGCTACCGTGTTTCACATAGGACAAATTCCGACTACTCCAAGCTGTGCATTAAGCGCTGTGACCCCATTCCCCTCTTATACACCAAGCCAACATCGCCAGCGCCAATTGGGCCAATCTCAAACCGCCATCTTTGCGGCTCACACTGCGCACACTGCACCTCGATTCCTCGCCGCAAGCCTCGTGCATCAAACATCGTACATCTACCGACTTGAGCAAATCCCCGTCTCTCCCAGACTGCTCAGCCGCATCTACCCTGGTCAGCCTCGCCAACAGCGCATCAAACGGCACCTTGTCCAGTTTCAACGTCGTCCATTAACCGCGATACTGCCTGCTTCCAATCGAAAGCCCGCGTCTATTACTTTCCAGGTTCGTCTGCCGGCACCTTCAAACGTTTGCGTAAACTAAAACGAATCTGGTAGAGCGGCCAGCATGGCTCTCTATTTTTGACCCCCGACCACCATACGAGTTTATGCTAAGCGACTGGCATGTTCGGGGGTTTAACCAACATCCTCGCTTCACATCAAAATCCTCCTCGCTTTTATCTGCCTGGGGCCTCCCAGCCTTTCGGCAATGGGTTCAACAACGCTCGTCACATTCTTGTTGTATGTATACCCCTCCTGTGCCGCTTGCGTCCTCAGGTGACTCAAACTTCCTCCAGCGACTGCCCAGCTGCGGCTCGCACAATAGAACTTCTTGGGTCTTGGGATAATTTCACGAAGCCATATTCGCTGAAGCGAGACCGGCGACGTGGTCACGGCATCTGGTCCGGCTGTTATATATTCGAAGACATCATCTGCGACGGAGACTTCGATAGCGTGGGTGGAAGAAGAAACGGAGCGCTCAAAATGGGCGGGACGTATTGGTACTACGTGAGTATTATTCCAGTCTGGAAAGCACGGGAACTCTTGCAACCCAAGTGGATACTCCTGGACTGGCCAGAGCATTGTGGTTGGCCCGAATGTCACTGACATCCCTCGTAGTACAAGGTCGACGATGAGGAGCACCACAATCCCTCCGAGCCCTCAACGACTGTTTGCCCCTTACTCCCTGGCCAACGTTTGAACGTCCTGGAAGTTCCAATAGAATCAAGAAGTCGGAGTAACTCGGAAAGCGACCAAATCTTCACCCGCAATCCTCAGGACAAGTTCCTGACCCCCGTTCCCCCCAAGCCACTGCCTTCCCCGAAGCTGGGCGACCTTTGTACAGAGACGTACAGGATCCCGCTACAGTCTCTCGGAGGGCCACGGTCTGCTACGTATCCTTCAATGAGCCAATCTCTCACGCCTGGATATGAACGACGCGCGCGGAGCGCTTCCACTTCGCCGGCGATGCCGTCAAGCGCATTATTTCCGGACCTCAAGAGCCTAAAAGTGAAGCTTGCGTCGAAGCGATCTGCATCGAACAACCGGGAGCAGCCCAGAAACGTGAGAGAGCTACAAATAGGAGCCCCAACTCTCATAAGTACGACTGCGGAAGAAGTCAATCTCGTGCCTTTGTCGTCCTTACAAGCTCCCTCGACCTCGTCGTCTGTACGGACACGCTCGGTTTCGTCCCCAGCGCCACTTATCACGGCCAAGCTGCGGGAGTTCTCTCCGCTAGGATCGCATCCCGTGGACCCCGTTAAGGACCTCATTTTTGCATCTGAAAAGATGACGCCGGCCGGCGCAGAGCGACTCATCCAGCGTCCAAGATCTCACGTGCCTGAAATTAGCGCTACTGAGCCTCCTTCAAGCCCAGGCATAGTCAGAGCCAACTCATCCGAAACCAGACGAACGAAAATATTCTGCAATGAGCCATGGCTCGCTTCTCCGAGGCTTCGGCAGAGCTTCGAGGAAGACAGTGAAGAGGCGAAACAACGCCCAGAGCCTGCGCTAGTACTGCAAAGACCAACACTCTCGCTTGAGCCTCCCTCCCATGACTCACGTCCCTCATCAAGCCATGGAAGCCACCGAAGCCCTGGCCTACGGCAAACGCCACTTGACAAGGATAAGGCACTCCCTGCTCTACCACGGTACCTCGTTCCTGCTCCACTGTTCGCTTGTAACGGCGATGCTATCAGTGTGAAAGAGTATAAGGAACGCGAGAAGGCGGAAGATGGCGAAGAAGAGCACCAAGACGACTCGGAAATTCGCCTTATCTCCGAGAGAAGTGGGCAGTTCTCGACCTGGAGCTCCGACTCTATCACATTCAGTTCGCCAACATCCGACGAAGACGCCGTTCACTCTCCTACCTTCAGCTCGTTGACGAGCAACTGCAGCGAAATGGGATCGCCGCAGAGACTCTCAGCCCGTTTCTCCATTAGCGACTACATGGTCGACCAGGATGAGGAATCCGCAATCAAGCACGAGAAAGAAGACGACGAGCAGAACCAGGAAGCTGAAGAGGCGAGCACACAAACGTACTTATCGACCTCACCTCCGCAGCTAGACCAGCTGCGTCTCTCAGGGTTCGGGTCGAGCCTGTTCAACATCGATATCCGTGCAACAGACTCAACGTCCCGTAGACAGGTATCCTGTTTCGGACTGGGCTTTCAAGGCTACAAGCTTCCCGAGGATGAGGTCGGTTCCCAGGCTACGCTCACCAAGGACACGCTGCCCCCCGAGCCGACGATCAAGCATGGGCGTGAAAGCTCGGTCAGCCATTTCGAGAAGTTGATGAATGACTTCGGCTACCTCGGCGATTCCGTCCTATAAAGATGTTCCTGCCAGACTTAAAGCTCGCACTTCGATTCGACCGCACACGATTTTGGCATACCCCATTTCACCTTTCGATTCGCACCCACTTCGCTTCGAACCACATATTTTACGACTTCTACCGCCAACTCTCTAGACGACATTTTCGCCGCTTCAACTAGTGCCCCATTTACACCCCTTTAAACTCTCGCTTCGCTTCTTTTTCGTAGTTTCCCCTTGCCATGTACCACGATGGCTCAGCAATGATTTTAGCGTTGGCGTTTTCTGGAGGTACCTCTGCTTCACGATATACCATACATCTTTTCCTTACGTCGGTCGCTACCCAGCATCTATAGAAAGTACGGGTTGGTCATCGGAAAAGAGGTCAGGGATTTTGCGCATACGCTTTTGTACGATTTTGCAACGTCCTATTACGGCTGCATATACTTGTATGATGTTCACAGAGACACGTTTTGCGCAGCAAATTTCTTCGCGATATCGGCGATTAGTTAGCAGCGCCGCAAATCGAAACGATTAATTCTCCGAGATGATGTGCGCAGTTCCAGGCATCGGTGTTGTTTGTGCGCCTTGCTGCAGCCTAGCGTTTCATCGGACTTTCTGCTTGCTGCTGCGCCCCGTCCGTCAGCACCAGCCGCCTCCTTTTCCCTACGTCACACCAACATTGTTTGAAAAGGCCAAAAAAAAAGTTCCTTAGCATCATCCTCCGTCCGCCAATTTAGTACAGACCCCATACTATTATTCACGTGTCGAGACTGCCATCTCACGGCCGCGCCTTCCCACCCCACTTCGCTTATCATACACCAACTATGTCAGCTCCACCATCGCCCAACGCCATGAAGCGCAGAAACCTGGAGGATATCAATGAACGAATTACGACGAAGAAAGTGAAGATTTCTAGCGGGGGTTCGGCACCCGCATCACCAACTGCGGATGTGGATGAAGAAAAACTCGATCATTCTCGCGTAACTGGAGTGTTGGCTGAAGACGAGCCGCGAGAGCAAGGGCAAGAGCAAAAGCAGGACGAAGCTCCTAGTGAGAATTCCGATCTGGGGGCTGATATTCTTCCTACGCACGATGCTGGTTGCTACCCTGGCGATGCGTATGCACATATCTTTACGGCGGAGATGGAGGACGCGTTGGATAGGGCGGCGAAGATGCGGATTCCCGGGGAGGATGAGGAGGATGGAGGTGAAGATGGAGGTGAAGGTGAGCTGGGAAGGGAGGAGCGTGGAGGGGAGGCGCAGGTGATGGTGGATGAGGAGGAGCGTCCCAGCACCCCCAGCACAAACGACTGGATCATGCAGCCCGAGACTGGCGATCTCGAGGCCAACACGAACATAGAAGGCTCAGGACTCCCAGACCTTATCAGCCCCAGCCCCGGCGAAGCGGACAGCGACGACTTGGAACTGGAACCCGGCCAACCCATCGGCGACGAAGGAAGCCTCGCTTGCGAATGGGCGCTCGGCCCGCAGTGGGCAGACATCCCCCTCGTCGAGGCGATATGCTGCATGCCGCCGCTGCCTGCGTGGAGCGAGGAGCAGCAGGCGGAGCTGGAGAGGGCGGCTGCGATGCCGCTGCCGGATGAGAGTGAGGATATGTGAACGAGCGCGAGGGAGAATGTTGGGGGTGTCTGCAGAGGTAGTTTTCGGGTCTATCTAGCAGTCAGTATTGCTTCAAGTTTGGTATGATCAGGGAACGTACCTATGCCGCCAGGAGAGTGTCGTTGCGTTGCGCGTCACAGTGTATTGCTTTGAGGGGGAGAATAGGATGCGCAGTAGTGAGTCGAATTTGTCCTTCCCCGCAGGTATGATTGGCTGGCCGGTGTACAAGGTGCTGTGAGTCTCAGGCGCTCGTTGAGTGCACGTCCTAGCATGACTACGGCCGAGAAGAAGAGTCATCAACGCGGTATAAAAGAGAGTTTTGCTAGGCTCGTCCGCCATTTCTCTTTCACCAACATCTTCACCAACATCTACTCCTCAATATCTGCATATCGAACAATATCACCACAGCCCCAAAAATGGCGACCCCCCTCTGCACCTTGGTAACAATCAACTACGTCATCAACTTCTTGCCCATGAGGGGCTACACGACGGATCCCGATATAGTCAAATTCGTCCAGGACAAGGCGCCCAAGTGGCGCGACTGGCGCATCGGCAAACTGCGCACCATAAAGTCTAAGGACGATTTGGGGGTGTGGATGAAACAGAGGTCCCGTGTGGACGGGGGATGGAATAAAGAGAAAAAGGCGAGCGGGATTGTTACGACTAACGGCCGTGAGTATATGTTCTTTCGTGGATATGGAGGTGTGTGGAAGCTGGCTGATTAGGTGCAGTGAGTCAGACGGTGAAGATTTTTAAGGTGTTGGAGAGGTATGGCTGGGCGGGGTAATACCTGGTTATATGCTGCGGCGGCGGCGAATGGATGGATAGACGGGCGGTGAGGCGTTTCCGACTTGCTAGGCTTCTCTTCATTTGCCGACTACATTCTTTTCTGTATATCAAATTGTATGTTGTTGTTTGACGAAGAGTGTGTATAACTCTCGGCTTTCTATATGTTTCTTTGTATGAGTCAATTGAGTCCAACGGCGATGCATTGACCGTCTCCAGGCTAAGAGTGGCCAGTGCCCGAAGAGCAAGCACTGATATGAGCTCAGTCCGACGGGAGAACGCAACTTTCGCTCCCCTTATTCGCCTCTGTCTTCTAATTAATGATGCATCGCATCACCGCGTCTCCATCTTCCCCATCGTTTTGGCATTACCGCAAAACCTCTTACTCGCGAAAGGGGAAGGCCCATCACGTGACCATCTCATTCACCATCAGACGGCTCCCCCGCCCCGCCATTGGACAATCCAGCGTTGTACGTAAGCCCCACGGACCACCCAAAAGCCCAAGCCCTAAGCGAGCATGTGACCCCTCGCACGGTCCCTCTGCCTCCGTCTATATAAACCCCCCGCACCCTCCCTCCTATTTCCTCTTTTTTCTTTTTCCCCCATGCCTCTTGGCTCCGGCCTTGAGATGACTGTCATTGACCGACAGTGCGGGTTTCTCAAGTCGTAGGATCTCACTGAGTTGGACCTTGGTCCTCTCAGTGAACCTTGGTCTTTCCGCTCTGCCACGAGCCGCAGACCCGCCCGCGGTTAGGCTACGCGCCTTTCCACTCCAACGTGAGCGCTAGAGTTTCGCAGGCTCGACGGCGTTTCTGTTCGATGGCTGCCTAAGGACGTTACTGGTCTCAGTACGGTGGCACAGGTATTATAAGGACTTCGCTGAAGGACACCTGGAACGGCGGCTAGGTACCCTTCGGGATACCTGAAGCTGTTCATATTCCGTTTGTATCGGACCCGGGGTGGTTCGTTGGGCGTAGACACCCAGCTGCGAAACTGGGCGATAGGGACTAGTGTTGAGTGCCACGTCGCTGATGTGGGCTTGAAGCTGGGTTTAGTTTTGTTTGAGGCTGTTGGAGAGCATGTGAGGGTGAAGGCAATGGGTCTTGGTTGCTGCCTACTGCCTACCGACCTGCGTGGCCTCGAGTCGCGGTGTTTTGAAGCTTCGTCCTTGTCCCTCCGCCTGCTAGTCGCCGCAGTCCTTGTTCCTTGCCTCCGCCGTCTTCTATTCACCGCATGCCCCGTCCATACTCTTGTCTTCAATCATGGATGCGTTAACGGCGCGTCACAACGCGCTGCCTTCACCTTCACCTTCACCTTCACCTTCACCACCGGGCAGTTTGGGCGTTGAGCCACCCGTAGCTCGACCGCCCCATACAAACACCCCAGCGACAATAGAGTGCAGTCTGCCCAGAGAGCAGTCCTCCGGCCACTTCCCAGCTCATTCTTCCCACGAGGATCCCCACGAGCAAGGCACGGATCAATCTCGCGCCGTAGGTGAAGGCGCTGTTGCACTTACGCGCCACAAGGTGGAAGAGAATGATCCGGGGATACAAATACCTACCTACGGCACTGAATAGCGACCGACTCCCTCGCTCACACACGACCACAACTATAATACAATACGGCATCGCGCAGTGTACAGAACCCGGAGTACGGCCGCATATCCTCAGGCTCTCCTACTGGGAGCGAGTCAATACTTTCGCATTATGCGAGCCAGGTTAACCGCCAGAAGCCGTCAGGACGTTTGCGCGCGCAAGAGCTAGGCGTGGCATCTTCGTCTTAGGCCTCGAGGTCCCTCCGGCTTCTCGAGTGACGAACAGTTCGGGGAAACATCTTTTTACACTCGGTGACGGACGATGGACAACGGCGGGTGGCCACAATGACGGACAGGAGCGAATATGGGGAGGGTGAGTCGGCTGGCAGCGTCTGTGAGCTGGAAAAGGACACCACAGTGACAGAGGAAGGATCGTTGCCGCTCTCACGCGTGAGAGAGAAACCGCCGTGTTCATGTGAAGCATTGAATTACTAAGAGAGAAGCTCAAAAAGCCTACATGGTCATGTCATAAGCAGAATACGATCACCTCAACATACCGAACATAATATCTGAAACTGAAGCACCCCTTCAACGAATCTCAAAAACCACAGAAGCGATAGACTCCTCATTCTGATAGAGCATCGCTTCTCCATCCATCATCCCGTGAACGTAGCATTCGCCCAGCAGCTGATAATAAAGGAAGCCTTCCTGACCTTGCCTCTGCCGCAGACCGTCCAAGATCCCCTTGATGCATCCATCTGCTTCGCTCCCAGTTGTGTCTCGCATAGGTAGTTTGCACCGCGGACAGATCTTTTGCTCCGATGCGGTCGTACTCTTGAGGGCTTTGCCGGGGGTCTCATCCGTCGCAGTGATCGTAGATGGACCGGGTTCTTGGGCTCCTCCGGTTGTGTCTAGCTTGTCACGATCTCCGTTGGTCGACGCTACGCCGGAGCTTGATTGACGGTGTTCATTTTCAGACTGGGTTTCTGCGTCGCTAGCTTCATGGCTATTCGGAAAGGAGACATGACTCGAGTCTCCAAGGGTAGGCTCACGGCGAGAGGAGCCCTGAGTATCTGAGCCACGCAGGCTGGAACCTGTCTGATTGCCGGTTTCTTCCACGTTCCCGTCATCATTGCTTTGGACTTGTCTAGAGCGCTCAGAAGCCTCTGAAACTGCTGACACTGTCCTTTGCTCTAGAGCGGACGTCGACGCATGATCAGGCACGACCGTGGGAGACCCGCTCAAGGCCTGGTTGGTCATGTCGCATCGCCCGGTCTCACTCGGGGCCTGTCTCGCAGCTTCCAGTGCTGCTAGCTTCGGATGCTTCCATTCTTGCATTAGCTTGGCTTTTCTGGCCCTGATTATCTTCTTCCATCGACGTCCGAACTTTAACTGGGCGTTGAACTCCCACCAATCATAGTGGAGCTGCTCTTTGGGTCCGCTATGGATGTCCGTGCCGTTTTGAAGAAGTTTGGTAGCCGCTCCTTGCGTTGCATTCGAGGAATCGTTTACAGCGGCCCTTTCCACGTGAACCGGCCGCTGATCTTGAGCGCTAGTGTTCGAATATTCCTGCACAGGAACTTGAACCATTGGTTGCTCAGAGGTACCAGTTATCGCTTCCTTTTCTGCTTCGGCCTTTTCTTCGATCGCAGTGCGGGACTCTTCCATTGCTCGCCATTCGATCTTCCGCTTTACAGTCCTCCAGCCGCTAAATGATTCCCTCACTTTCTTCATGAAGTGTTCCATTAACTCATTCTTCCAGCCCTTCTTGTCCTCGACTTCCTTTACAGCCTTCCCGTCGCTAAATGATTCCCTCAATTTCTTCATGAAGTGTTCCATTAACTCAGTCTCCGTGCGGCCCTTCTTGTCCTCGACTTTCTTTACCCTAGTCTGTCGAGACCGTTCCGTTTCCTCCAACCATTTCCCCATCAGCCTAGTCATCTCAATATTCTTCCGCCGACGATGTTGCGTCTTGCGGGCCACATACTGTCGGTAGCAAGACACCACTGTGCGGACAATGAACTTAAGTTCGGACACCAGCTCTTTCCCATACATCTCGTCCCCTTTCTTCTGGCTCTCGCGTAAGATCACGGGAACGCTGAGTCCGTACAAGATGCAGACCTTGTCACCCTCCTTGATGTCTTTGCCGACCAAGCCAAGCCGTCCGTTTTTTGTCTTAACAAGCGCTCGGTTCCAGGTGACAGCTTGAACCCTTCGACAAAATTGCGAGACGACCGAATTGCGTTCGTAATTGATCAAGTCGGTTGTGTTGACCGCACCGCTTCCGTAACCCCCTTTCTTGAAAGATTCCGCGCAGGCACGTGAGTAATACTGCGGTGGGTTCTTGCCATCCCTGCCGCGGTCGGCAACCAGCGTCCGCCAAAATGCCTCCGGAGGCCGCCCATCGGCGTCAGGCCATTCTGCCAGCTCTGCCCACTCTTTCGGAATTTGACCGTTCCTCGCCACCTGCTCCACCCTGCCGATGGTGTCCAGGTGAAACCCTCGAACATACATGCTATAGTGACCTAGCTCAAACCTTTTGCGGAACCTCAAGGCTTTCCTATCCACCCTCTTTGTCTCGGCTGCGGAATAACTCTTGTAAGTTGAGCTTGGAAGACCGACCAGGGGATCGGCGTTCCTGCGACTCATTTTAGGGCCTGTTACTCCGGCGAGCTGATACATCCCGAAGGGCGCTCCTGACAGCTGAGGGACCCAAGAAGGTAGGGGCATGTCTTGGTGAGTGGTCTCGAAGTCTCCATGATGGGCTCCCGCTTGCTCAGTGGTCCGAGCTTTGATTGCCTGCGCTTGCTCTACCGATCTGAAGCTGCTTCCTGGCTTCTGGTTTCTTCTCGCTTGTCGCCTGTGCTCGCGTCTCTCCTTCTTCACTCTGGCTTTCTTCCTTGCCTCCTCCACTCTCTTGGCTGAACGGCGCCTAGACTCCAGCAACTTCTCTTCTGTCGCCCATGGTCGACAAATGACATCCAATGCTCTACTAGGATCCGCCTGAAGAGACCGCTGAATACAGAACTGGATGAAATCCTTACAAACGTCCACGTATGGTAATTTGTAATCGACGTGGTATCGTTTCCGTTGCGTGAATAGCTCCAGGCCGTCCCGAACGTAATCGGAAGAGGCAGCTCCATATAGCTCAGCCGCCGTAGGTGTAGTATCCTTCGCAATCGCGAGAAGGGCGTAGATTGTATCATGCGGATTGCTGGTATCGAAGATGGTCAAGCTTGACACAAGGTATTCCAAGCTCAGCAGTGGCTGCATCTGACTCTTAGTCGCAAACACCGGATTCGTTCTGCGACGAGAGGAAGGCGAGCTCACACATCCCTCATTAACCGCTGTCGACGATGCGTCGGACTCCGAATCGGATGTGGCATCGGCATCAGAAGGTTCCTCTTCATTCTTATCGTCGGGTAGTGCTAGGTGTTCTTGCTTGTAGTCCCTGAAAAGACGGTCCGTGGCGTCGACAAGGAGGCTTGCTCCCAAAGCTGAGACATGATCGAACAGCCCTGGTACATGGCGGTCTTTGGACTTCTTTTGCATAACTTCGGACAAACGATGAGTGGCAGTCTCGACTTCCACAAAAAGCTCGACGGCAATTGCGAAATCCTTCCACGAGATATGGTCTTCGCCGCAGTAGATAACCGCTGTTCTAGCCAGTGCGATTTCTTGCACCACCCAGCGTCTTGAGAACCATTCTCTTTGCATGAGTTCCAAGAGAGAGCGCCATTTCTTGCTTGCATCTCCGCGTTCGCACAATTCATCGAAATCGCGTAATTGCAACACCTCCTTCTTGATGAACCTCAGGGCAGTCCTACTAGAGTCGTTGGCTTCGCCTAGCCAAACGCACACCCTATCGGCATTGCCATAGATGTCCCACATCATTTCGACCTGGTGGCTCTTCTCGTTGGAATCTAGCAAACCGCGAAGGGCAAAAGTTAGCCTATGTTCTACTCCAAGCCATCAAGGCAGTGAAATGACTACTGACCTTCCTGATCAATGCATATGTCATCTACCCATAAGTGCCTAACTTTGACTGGATCTCGCAAAGCTTTCAAGGCTGCGAATAAGTTGGGACGGATGTATTTGGCGAAGATCTTACGATCCTCCCGGATATGGATGTACGCAGTAGGATCGCTAGTCCCCCAGCACCAAGACAACGCTTCATACCCTCGGTCATTTTCTTTCCCAGTGATCGTGACTAATTCGCATTCGACGGCGGGATTCTCTGGGCTACTCGGCAGCAGCTTGAGCAATCGAATGGCTCTATCCTTTCTCGGGAGAGGCTCGTAGTTGAATGTTTTGTATTTGGGTGGTATTCGCTTCTTGGTCCTTCTCTGATACTCAAGAAATTCGCTCAGCTTCTTTGATTTCTCCGCTTCGTCTGAGTTATACTGGTCGACGCGGTCCATGGTCCTCGGAGGTCGTCTTCTGAAAGAGTGGTCGTAGAGGCTCAGTGGTAGCTGTACGCGTGCATCTTATGAAACTCGAGCTCCCATAGCGTGCCACCTACCACTAGCCCACAAGACCACAACAATATCGCTTGTCCTACCTGTATCAAGGTCGGCTAACCACATTGACTGCTCGAGCGGCGCACCAAAAACCTGGACCACCCGCAGTCCCCTGTCGTCTGCGAACTGAAGTCGTTTCGAGGCCTTCGTGATGTAAATTGTGTTGTTGAATCGATGCAGTGCGTCTTAGCAACCTGACAAATGGTTAGCCTGGCGGCTAAATGGGCCTGCGTGATAGGACATAAGGTTGAACATGTACAATCTGAGCAGATTACCTGTGCCATCTTTGAGGCGGGGCTAGCTGCCGTGTCCAGCATGATCCCACCGTCAACAACAACTTGTGACTAGAAGATAGGGGCCGCAAACGCAACTAGCATGGATGGCAATCGGCTGGAAAGTACGGAGGAGCAATGAAGAGGGTCGGCGGCGTGAAGAAGAAGAAAAGAGATGACGGCATGAGAGCGGTTTTGAAAAGTTTTCGTCATAGACAGCATGGTGGGAAGGAGCCCCCAGCAGCACCTACCAACTTACCTACCTATCGCCCGCCCATAAACTCAGGCTTAAACGGCTTGACACCCCCAGCCTTCATAAGTTCCCTCAGTGCCACAGTAGCATACTGGCTAGATCCCAGTTCAAGCTTCAGCACTACCGCCAGCTTCTTCTCGCTCTCATCCGGCATCTCCACGTCTCCTGTACCTGCCTGATCTTCCTTCTCACCGTGTGCGGAACACTTTTCCCTCCGAATCCTTTGCAAATCTGTCTCCACAAATTGCTCCTCATCCCGCATATACTCCTTTACCTCAAACTCCAGCGGCTTCAGCGGCTTCGCAAGGAACTTCCTATACCCGCCGCTGAGGCTGATATCCTTCCATGGCCGACGCATCTTATGCGGATCAAGACCACCTCCTTTCTCGCTGGCCATGAATTCCTCGTAGAACTTGCCAATGGAGTTTTTAGGGTACTCTACGTCGAAGCCCGGCTGCGGGAGCACGACATCGAAGACATTGTATTTCCCGCTCTCAGCTTCATCTTTTGTGAGGGGGCGTGCGCGCTCGAATGCATCTTCGTGTGCCAGAGCGCTGTCGGCGCCAGAGGGATTGATGACAATCTCGCCGTCTTGGTCGATGTCTTCTTTCTTGACTTCTTGTATGCTTTCTTCTTTGTCCTTGTGTTCATGGACGAGCACGAGGTCACCTTCGATGACCTTGTCGCCGTTCGTAGCCCACCTCTTTCCGGCGACGACGTTCCACACAAGGCTCTGGTACGCATGAACGTACATCAACCTCAGATTTCTCGGAATAGACATCAGCGCACCCCGCCAATCCGTCCTTCTGTCATGCATTCCCGTTTTGCTATTCCTCGAGCTTAGATGCTGAATGATGTTGCGTTCAGCCGAGAATTTCCTGGGTAGAATGTCGAGAGCAGCGCTGCCTTTGCCGGTCGTCTTCCAGATATGCAGGGCTTTCGCACGGTTCCTGTCGTCTTGAGAAACGAGCACTCTTGAATCCTCCGCTGTACCGTTGGCGGCAGCGAGGGTGACGTCGCTGTAAGCCAAGAGGTCTTCGACAGCGCCTTTGAGATCACCTTGGAGCATTTTCAGCCCCACAGTGTCTGTGCTCGCGGAGAATGTACCGAAGCGCTGCAGGCCGTAGTAGTTGATGTAGCCCCTCTCCGAGAAGTCTTTGACTGCCTTAGCCACAATGTCATTCCCGAGCTGAACGCGATGTGCGAGGTCCAGTCCCTCTTCGCCCTGGAAATGACAATCCCGGAGCGTGATAGTGAACTCATTGCCCTTCAAGTCGCCCAGCCCAAGGTCGTGGTCATGGTACGAGAAGTCTCCAATAGCTGCATTGAAGAGCACTTGATTGAACCCATTCATGCGCTCGGCGGTTTGACGCTTCACGCAGACTCGTTGAATAGTACATGCGCGCCTGTCCTTCGTTCCCGCGAAGGAAAATGCTTTGGCGCCGCTACCGAGCTTGCTGCCTAGGAAGCCAACAACCTCCATTGTGTCTTTGTTCTCTTTGTACAAAGTGAAGTGTAGGTACTCTCCGCCGAGCTCGTCCCACGGCAGCTGTCCCCTTCGCCGATCTGGATCTTGATCGCGATCTTGCCGATTCCCGCCCTTGCCTTTCTTCTTCCCTTTGCGTTCCTGAGGCGGGACTGCCTTTATTCGAATGGACTGATTTGCTTCCATGGAGCTCTCGAGCATGTTGGGAAATATTCGGCGTAAAGACCTATGAGCCTGGGTTCGGGTTTCTTTGTCTGCTATCGGAGGTGTTATGACAGGCTTGAACTCTCGCGCCTTCTTGTTTCCGTGTTTGCGTATCGATCGCACGAGCGAGAGGATTTGGGTCGTGGTAGATTCGCCGAATATAGAGTGGAGGGTTGCGAGGTCTTCCTCAGAAGGCTGCTTCAGGATTAGCCGCCGCCGCTACCGACAGAAATGCCCCGTTGTGACCCACCTCGAAAGATTCCTCTACCTCTACCTTCGGTTGCTCGTGCCCGTTTGTCTCTTTTGTTGCCTCACCATCCTGAGGCGCTGCCTCGGTCTTCACATCGTGCTCAGCTACGATCGCAGCACCCTCAATCGCCCCGTCACCCTCCTGTTCCTGCTTCGCAGGAGCTTGCTCTCCATCAATCTTCACGATATCCTGCTCACCCACAATCGCAGCACCATCCATCTCCCCCTCGCCCTTCCGTCCCTTCTCCCCCTCGCCCTTCCGTTCCCCCTTCCCCCTATCCCTCTTCCCCAACCCCACACTCTCCAACCTCACCACCCGTCCATCAAGCCCAATCTCATTAACCATAAAATCCGTGTACCGCTGCTTCAACACCCCCGTAAACCCCAGATTCCCCGGGGACACGTACTCGACTATCCCCGCGCGAATTTCCTTCTCCAGATCATTGTCAATTGGCGCCGTGGCGGGAGCTTGCGGAGCTTCTTCTTCTGCGGTGGTGGCGGTGGTGGTGGTAGGAGACGTGTCCGAGGCGAGGCGAGCGCGTTTCGATGGGCGGGCGTCGTCGGGGTCGGAGGGGGAGGACATTGTGCGAGCTGGATTGGGTTAGAGAGGAGGTTGTTTAGAGAGGCTTTGGTGGTCGGGAGGTGGGAAGGAAAGGTGCGCTTCGAGCTCGATTTTCGGGGTTTGGCGGGGAAATTTTACGCGAGGGGCAACGAACGCGCAAGGCAAGGCGGGACGAGGGGAGGCACAGGGGAAGGAGCCGGGGAAGGAAGATGCTTTTGAGGCACGAAGTAGCTTATTTCGACAGGACCAAGATTTTTTGGACTATGATGGGCATGTGACCTAGTTCAATCCAATACTAATATCATCGCGGCCCGGATGTTGAGAGGCCCGGCCTGGAACATACACAAGAACCATCATCACCAGCAAAGGCACAAAGACATTGTGAAATGCAATTCCATTTATCTATTCAAAACAAAGACCACAACCTACAACAGCGCGACATCAAGATCTCCTTCAAGAAGTTAATGCCAGCAGTGCTGCAAGCCGGATAATAATAAAAAAAGACTCCACCGCCAACGACCCGGGGTATAATATATGCTCATCGTTACGTCCCTTGCCCATTTTTCCAGCGACCGCTTGCAAGCCCTAAGTATGGACATGAAGTCATGTTGTTGTGTTGAGAAAAACGAGAGGATGCGGTTAGGGGAATAAGGTGTACATGCTATAAATTAGGGGCCCGCAGTCGGGGAACGAAGAGAATGTTGTCCATCAAGGACCCGTCAAGGTATCCTATACACCTCAAGGTGAGGGGGAGAAGGGTAGAAAACGCTTACGGCTGGGCAAAGATAGCCAGCGTAGCGCAGAAGTTGGAGCGGTTGTCGGCGTCCTTGGCGAGACCCTGACCACCAGCCGTGATCATGTTGACCGAAGCCTTTGTCGAGAGACCAAAGATGTTGACGTTGGTCGAGTTCTCAACTTGGTTGATGTCGGTTTGGCAATCCTGGGTGTTCACGCACGTCTGCTCGTAGTTCTGGAAGAACGAGTAGGTACCGGAGCCGTAGTTCCAGATGCTCTGGCTGTCGATGATGCGCATGGCCCACGCAGTCTTGCTCTCAGCTTGGCTGAAGTCGGGATCGAAGAACTTGGTGTTGGTCTTGAAGGGCTGAGTCGCATCAGGGTTTGGCTGATAGTAGGGAGTCTCCGTCTGGATAGCGCCGAGGAAGACGTCCTTAGCACCCTGGAACTGGTATTGCGAGAGTTGAGAGTGCTCAGAAGCAGTACCGTAGAGCCAGACGGGGCCCTGGGATTCAACTAGCATACCGCGGCCGTTGTAGATGTCGATCTGGGAGTGGTCGCCCTGGTCGAGCTCGTGGTCGGCAGTCCAGAGCCACACGTTTTCGAAGTAGCCAGAAGCAGACTTCGTGATGTGGAGCTGCATAAAGGAGCCGATGCACTCAGTGTTGGCATCGTGTGTGGCAGTCGGGTTCTTCTTGCAGTTGGAAGACTGGAGCTTGGTGCCCTCGAAACCACCAACACGGAAGTGGGTATCCCAGAGACCGGCCTGGCCAGCCTCAGCGTTAATGTTCCATTCCATGAGGATCGCACCAGGAGCGGGGCCCTGGGTGGTGATGATGCAGTCGCTCATTTCGAAAGTGCCCTTGTCTCCAGACTTGGCGCCGACTTGGAAGGCTGGCTTGGGGTCGTCCTGGTTACCGAAGAAGTCTCCAGTAGCCATGAACATAGGCCAGATCTCACCAACAACCTTGACGTTCTTCTCGGCTGGGATGGTGATGGTCTTCGTGATGAGGTAGGCACCGTGATCAGCGTAGAGGATCTGTCCTTCTTGGAGACCGTCGATCACCTTCTGGATAGCGTCGGTATCATCGGTGCTGCCGTCGCCCTTGGCGCCTGCAGTCTTGAGGCTGACGAACGAATCGACACTGACGTCCTCGTACTGGGGCTTGCTGCGCTCGAAGAAGCCGTTGTCGCCAAGGAGGCTAGCAGGCTTTTGGGGTGCGTCGCTGATGTCGCCCTGAACACGATCCTGAGCACCACCGGCAGCGAGAGCGTTACCTTGGGCCCAGCCGGTGACAGTCTTTCCGCCAGCGAGGATCTGCTGGCCCTTGAAGTCCTGAACAGCGACCGGAGAACCGGAGAAATCGACATTGTCCAGGACCAGCGAACCCCCAGTGGCCGGGATGCTGTTCTCGGAGAAGGAAGTGTTGACGCCGATAGGAGTGTTGACATATTTGCTGTCCATCATGATGACGGAGCCGACAGTCTGGTTCTCGGGAGCATTGGCCATGTCAAGTCCGACTTTGCAGCCGCTGAACGTGTTAGACTTCATGGTCCAGAGCCAGTTCCAGTTCATGTAAATGCCAGTGCCGCAGTTGTTGAAGGTCATGTTGCGTGTGGTGAACTGCTGGCTACCAAGGAAAGCACCGATAGCGCCACCGTTGAAGACAAGATCGGACATGAAGCCGCCGGAACCGTTGTCCTGGAAGATACCCTTCTGATCCTTGCCCGCGTCACCCTCCGCCATGTTGAACACGACGTTCTGGATGCTGGTAGCTTGTGAGACCTGCCAGTGAACACCCGCGGCAACTTTGGCGGCCGAGATGTCGATGACCATGTTGCGAATCTGGCGGTAGAAGTTGTTCTGGTTGGTGTACCAGTTGGCGCCATTCCCACCCGGAATGTACGGGTCAGCATCGATGACGCCCATGCCCTCAAAGCTGGCCGAAGCCTTCAGAGTGGGCATCTGTTTGGCATCACCGATGAATTGCGTGTAGTAGTACTGGATGATGGGCTCGCTGACGACGTAGGTTCCAGGAGGGAAGTAGACGATTGCCGGGGTAGTAGTCGAAGAGTCACACTTCTCTCCACAGCGGGTACCATCAGCGATGGCCTTGTTGATGGCAGCGGTGTCATCGGTGGAGCCGTCGCCCGTCGCACCGTAATCCTTGATATTGCGGTAGACCTTGTAGCCGGCAGGGTCGGCGTTGAATGGTGCCTGACCCTGACGTTTGATGTCGGCAAGCCAGTATCCAGAGCCGGCAGCGGCAGTTCCAGCCTGCGCAACCGGTGCAGCAGTGGAGGGAGTGACTGAAAGGAGGACGCGCAGCGTGAGGAGCAGCGCGGAAGCGCTAAAAACTACCATGATGGCAGTGAGGATGCCGAACTTTGAGTGTGGAAAATGTCGGATGTGGGAATGCAGAAACTGAAGAGAATGGTCGTCAGTGTCCTGCAAAGACGAGGTGCTGTTGGTTCTTGTTTTGAAGACGTCGAGGAATGCGAGTGTAAGTGGTTGACCCTGGCAACGAGTGGCGGAGATATGCTCTGGAAGGTTTTATACCAGTACAGAGACAGAAGCTCGTAGAAATGAATGACGATAGTGAGAGTAGATAATAGTATTGAATAGAAACAAAGACAACACAATAGGATGCGAGCAACGTGCGAGGCTGCGTGAAGGCGAGAAAGGGAAGGGGAGCATTGTTAATATACACCTCGCAGAGGCGAAAGAGATTAGACTCACAGTAGGTTCACGCCAATGGAGGAGCGTGTTTCCAGAACTCCTTGTTTCAAGTTTGAGATCGCCGGTATGCGTTTGTCGCTCTCGTGTGGCGTCTCCATAGCCGGCATTGCATTCACATTTTATATCCAACGTCTTCACGTTATACCAGCGCTCTTTTGCCGCTCCATCGTCCCCAACTGCGCTCGCCGATCCACACGGCAAGCCATCATTCTCACTCGCCTCATGATATGGACACAGAGCCATGCCCGGCTGCACTGGGGCGCGTGTCCCAAAGCGGGACGGAGGAATGCACCTGTGGCTGTCGGACGCACATTCAGACTGCCGGGGGTTTTGCCAGCAGGGAGCGTCGTGCGTGTCTTCCCAGTTGCTAAGGCCGCGGGTGAAACATCAAACGGCGTGGGCCAGTAAAGTGGTGTGGATCTGGAAGGGTCCTGTGAGGAGGTCAAGGGATGGCGTTCTGTGCCTGGCAGCCGGCCGATCGTTTGTTGCCGGGGGTGCCACAGCCGAGCCCCGGTTCTGAAACAGGAAAGTTTCAGGCGGCTGGCGGACGAGCACAAGGCTGGCGCTGACTGGCTTGCCCGGAAATATTCGAGATGTGGGCGCTTCATGACCGGGCGCTGGCTGGATGGCGAGAGGCCCAGGGCGACGCGACGGGCCGCCAGCACATCGCTGCTGTTCATTTCGCGAATCGCCGCGACGAAGAAGCAAGGCTGCGAAGAGTGCCAGCGAGACAGGGCTGCCAAGGCCCGCGACAACTCGCTCACATGCTGCCGGGAGGAATCGCGTGCCTCAGACAGATGACATGCCTGTTGGGAGACGCACCCCGCCACACCCTTCATTTCGCCGTGTCTGGGGCGACCAGCAGGATCATAAAGCCTAACGGACAAAGGAAGTCGGTTTAGGTAGAGACAGAGGTCACCTTCCTCAGGCGCACAAAGAGCCCAAAAGCCCGCGGAGCCTGGGGAAAGTGAATGTGCACATGGTGTGCCAATCGGCGCATCGGCACCAGACCCGTCGCGGTAACACGCTCACCACCATACCAGGGTCCTCTTGCAATAGAGTGCACTTTTATTTCAGGAGCGACTACGGACGAGGCCTTGTTTGATTTGAGGGCACCGTTACACGTACATCCCTTATGCTTGGGATGCGCTTTTCTTCTCCTTTCATCCAATAGCAATTCACAAAGCCTGCTTTCTCTTGCCTTTTCCGCACACAATCTGGGAGGTCGTGCTTCTAGATCGGAGGTGCAGTCAAGTCCACATGCATCGGAGATGATGGAGCAGGCACTAGGTTACGTGCTCGAGCTTCCCACTTCCATCACCAGAAATCCTTTGCGCTGCCTTCCGTGGCAGCCGTGGCAGCTTGCATCGACTGGCTGCATCCGGCATGCTCATCCTGAACGTCGCGGATCACCCGCGCAAGTCTTTCGATCCCTTCTGCCAGCATATCTTCCTCTTCCCAGGCAAAGCAGACCCTACACCGAGTTAGCACAGTCCTCAGACAAGTTGCATCGACGCCTCTAGCTCTTCTCTTCGTCATTGCGCCCATCTGGTGGAGCCCACGAAGAGGTGGTGGCTTCGAGACAGGCAGCGACGCTTGCGCTGGGCCTTCCTACCTGATATCATGCTCGAAGTGCGTACCCTCATTCTCGGTATCTCCGGGGACTTGGAAGATCTCGCCCTGTATACGTATAGCCGTTTAGCGCCCCGAAACGTGGATCTGGATCGATCTTTGCCCTTACCTGTGCCACGACGACGTTTTCCTCGTCTTTAGCGCGTTGTGCGACAACAGCGCCTTTGAGTGGATGCGGCAACGTTAGCCAGATGAAATATCCTCCCACGACATTTCGATCCGTTTGAGGAAGGCGGACACCCAGCGGAATCAGCTCCTGGTTGATAGCCTTGACCATTCGTTGATAGCGCTTCCCGTAAGCTGGCTGCAGAGTGTTATAGACGTAATGCTGGAGATCTTCCGATTCCAACGTCTCCGCCAAAAATGTGGCTGCCAATTGAGAAGGGGCGCCACCAGAGCGGCTTGAGCCTCTGTAACGACGTTAGCTATCGTCTCAGGAGTGAGACAGCTCAAATGAGCCATGGTCGTGGTACGGGCTGTGTATATTCCAAGCCTCTTCGTATTCACGCTTCTAGAATGCCATCTGATCGAAAACGCTGAGGAGTAAACGGCTGCCACGAAGGCCGGATGACGTTGAGAGCAGGGCGTGGAAGATACACTTACGTTTGAGATACACCATAGGCTAACTTCGGGGTCCCTTCACACCATCCAGTTCTCATGCCCGGTCCGCAGATTTTTGAGAAGCTTCCGTTTGAGGCCGCATTACCGAAGCCATCAGCGCCTTCCCTTTCGGCGCCGCCGTCGAGATACCCATCGATGTCCACGATCCGAGGTAGGATCGCCTTTTCGACTGACAGTGTCTGGGCTGTGAGACTGGATGGCCACTGCAGGAAATCATAGACATCATCCGTAATCACCAAGGCGTCATATTCTCTGGCAACTCTGACCAGCTCTTCTCTTCTCCTCAGTGTCATCGTCTTGAAGGACGGGTTGGAAAACGTCGGCACTGCATAGATGATATGGCGGTAAATTTTTGACCAAGGCCGCGGTGGTTTGATGTGCTGACCGGTTCGTCAGTGAGACATATGCTAAGTAACCAGCGTGGACCGCGTCGTCAGAGTGTACAGTGGCGCTCTAGCTGTGCTGTTGATGTGTAGGCCTGGCTTCGCACAACGGCAAGTCCGACGAGACACCCAGCTCAACCTTTGCCTCCTGAGAGCTCTCTGGTCGCTGGGCAGAGGGCGGAGTCCTAGTTCACCCATTCCGTAGCGTTTGCTGGACCGGATGATGCTTCACGCCAACGTGTGACGGAGCGCCAGCTGTACACTGAACAATCGGATGCTGGAGGTGATCTCGACTGACTCACCGGTTCGTTGTTCCCTTGAGCCCTCGCTTTCTCCTCGCTCTTCCTTATTTCCCTCCTTAAGAAGTCAACATCAATACCCTCCTCATCTTCGGGCACGGAGCGGAGCTTTAGTGCACTATCCTCGAAAATTCGGAAGGCTAGCTGTGAACACCGCAGTAGGCGTTAGCGAAACTGTTAAGCTAAAGGAACCGACACCCCAGTACGTCCCCGGTCTTTGTCCGCAGAAGGCTTTTAGGGGTCGTTCTCCATAGCCAAAGAGAGAGCGCCCAAGGCATGCCGGAGGTGCCGCGATCTACGTACCATATACGCAGGCGATACTATCCACACATTACGCGTGTAAACGGGGTCGGTGAAAACCTGCAAAAGGCACGCTAAGTTCTGCGATGCCCCTCCAGTAATACTGATTCTATCCTCTGTTATTGGATTCGGAGGATGATAGAACTTGTTTAGCCAAGATGCCATATTCGAGCGTAATTTCAGATCTGTGCAAAAGTCAGTAAACAACGGGCACCATTGACGCTCGAGAGCAATCATTCCTCCATTGTCTGGGCCGTACAGCATCGCAGGCTGTGAGATCGAAGGGTGCCTGAGGACATGCTGCGACCCCTTTTGTACCAAATGAGTGGGGAGTAGAGAGGTGTTCGGCCACCTAAGACGGGGACGTCGTCAGCACAGAATCCCAACGGCGATGTTCGGGAGACTTTTCAGGTACGCGTAACGCCCCGAGAACGGTTCCAGGAGTAACGGTACACTATGGTTGGAGTATCGGGCTAGGATAGGGAGCTGACGTGCCCTCTCAATAGATTGATGAGCTTCTTCTGGCTAGTCGCGGAGCCGACGACTTCCGAAAAGTTCAATGCGGGCATGTTTCTCCTTTTCCACGCAGATGTTAGGTGGTAGGTCGGGACTCTCGGAACGAGGATTGAGGAATGCTGAGCAATCGGGATCGGAGGCTCTTTTCGGTAAGCCTATCCTCAGAGGCTCAGCCTCAGTAGCTGATGTGTGGCACTAATATGTGGCACCGAGCCCAGTGCGCCGCGAAAAGCTGCCAAAGACGTCCTCGGGGGCTAAAAAGTGGCCTGAAAAGCAGGAGAGGCTAAAGTAAGATAGAGACCGGTTGACAGCGTGTTGACAGGGCCCAGTGGTGGTTTGGAATGCAAGGGACGATTTGCCTGTCATCAGGCCGACCAAGTGCCCCGCCAGGGTGTCGTTTATCGATAATGGGCATACGTCATCTGCCCCATCCCTGCCACGTCCATCCTCAAATAGCACCTCGCACAGGGCAAAGATCGCTCACTTGAGGATTTGGAAACATCGTAGATGTTTACTACTTCCGGACAGCTGTGTGCAGAGAACGAGGGCCCTTCTTGAAGAGAGAAGTCAGGATGAACGAGGAACAGTCTGAAGGCCTTCGCCGCTTGACGTGGGGATTATTCGGTGGGCTGGTCCGAGGCGCAGGTCGTGAACGGATGCTTCCGAGCCCGCGGCTGAGAGCAAGGACGCACGTAAAATTCTTTCACGGCGCCGTCGAGGCCAATGAGCATCCGGCTAGCCGGCAGAAACATTGCACGGACAAGGCAATGCACCGCACACGTGTGGCGCGCCTTGGGGCCGCTTCGGCAGCGCGACGAGCGTCATCCTTGCCCTTCGCAGCATGGCCCACTTCATTGCGACGCCGCCCAGATCGAGGCGCTCTACATATGCAATGGCTCTGCCCAGTTCGCTAGCCTTCCGTACTTCACGTCTCTACGGTGACACACGCGGTCCAAAGGTCCTTCATGGGGCGTTGTTTGTTATTATCCCTCTCGTCCACGAGCTGCTTCGCTCGTAGTCCAGTCCAGTGCTCTGCCTGCACATCCCGGCGCTTCTCCTCCTAACCAACCTGCCAACCTGTCGCATTCTTCTCGCAATGCTGCCAGACAAGAAGCGATCGAGCCACAGGCTCTCCTCGCTGTTCTCCTCGAGCTCTGGCGATTCCCAGGCGTCCGGCTCCATCGCATCCTCCGACTCGACCAGCCGTTTGTCCAAAGTCAAGAACCGCATCTCCTCTGCGGCCCATCTCGCGCCCGAATACCCTCCTCCGCCTCCGCCGAACTACCCGTCCAGCCCCCAGCCCACAATACAACCTGTCGGATCCGCGCCTGCCGCCCTTGCGCCCCTCGAGCCTCCGCCGCCCATCGCCGCCCCGCGCTCTCGAAGCAACTCGCCCGCGCGATTAGGCAAGAGCCGCCCTGGCACGCCCACCGAGGCAGGCGGCGGACTACTGGCGCCCGTGGAGGGAAACCTGAAGAAACTGAGGCGGAGGAGCAAGCTGTTTGGCAGCGAAGAGAACAGCAGCAATGAGCGGGTCAACGAGCCCGGCCAGAGCCAGAGCCAGAGCCAGAGCAGCCCTCTGGCTTGGATCGTCGGACACAAGGGGAAGCTGCCCTACAACCTCACAATGCTACTCAACGGCGAGAAGGTGCCCGAGTTGTGGGACGACCAAGGTGACACCTTCGTCTACCTTTTCCCGAGAACCTCAAATAAAGAGCCGTCTTTCCGCATAGACTCCTCTGTCTACGCCGCCTCCCAAGTCATGACTCGGCTAGTACACGGAAGGCTGTACAGCGAATCCAACCTTGGTCCACACGACCTTCCCGATCGGACCCTTCGCAATTCCTCCGCTGGCAACTACCCGACCTCTCGAACCGCGTCTCCCGATGCCAGTGCGCCAGAGGGCAGCTCTGATGGATCCAAGGGATCGCGAGCGCTGAGCGATGCCACGGAAGATGACCATTCTGAGAAGCATCTCTACATGCCTATCGCTTTGAGCACCGATCATGCGCCTGTCGTGCCTCAAAGACAGGAACCGAGGCTGTCATCCAGCGATATTGACACGCTAATCACGTACCGCAACTTCTTCGCTTTCCTGATTGGCCAGTCGCTCGTCGCAACCCCCAGGCACTCTGAAATTTTCGACATCTTCATGCGAATAGCAGACGTTCTGCAGCATTACAGCTTCTCCAACGTTGATGGCTCTACCTATGGCGAGGTCGCAGCGTCCAGTTTCGACAGCTACGTCGATGAGTTGCATCTCGCGGACGTGAGGCACAGCCGCGAAAAGACCATCGAGGCAATCGTACTAGGCGAGAGAATGCGCTCTATAACCCTGTATACAGAGGGTTTCGTCCACGCAGTCGGCAAATTCGAAAGCATCAAGGAGCTTCAGAACCCGAAGTTCGATTTGATCAGCCACAAGACGATTACCCGAATAGCACGAGCGTCCATGGACTTGGAGAACCGTGAGCAGACTATCAACATTAAATTGAAAGACTTCGAATTTCCCGCCATTTTCTCTGGTATCATGAACTCAGCTATGGCCGACGAAAAGAAGCTGGTTCGCTTCAAGACTTGGAGGTCTGCTTTCATGAGCACTCGGTCTTTCACGCTCGATTACTACAAGACTAAATACGGCTCCTGGCTTCCGAAGGCGAAATCCAAGGTAAGTACGTCACGCTGTACATGTCTTAGCGTGACCTTGGAAAGCCAGCCCCGGAGGCCTTCCATCGGTAAAGGCTAGATCATGTTCCGGTATTGGCTCGTCGCATTGTTCAACACATTTACTAATGTGCCTCAATAGAAGAACAACCTTACCACGAGCGGCCTTAATCGTCTGGTGCTCCTGGATATGTATCGCGATTTGTCCGACCTGTACGATCTGCTCGTGGATCGGACCAACCTGACGAACCGTACTGCGGACGGCTTCATCAGCGAAGACGAAGGTTCGGATTTCGAGTCGGTTGCGAATCGGGCACTGCGAAAAGTGCTGAGTGAATACGACCGCAGCACGCCGCCAGTGCAACCCCCGATCCCATTTGATGTGCCACTGTATCCCACGCTGAAGGGCATCAGGCCAGACTATCCCTCCGGCGATCATAAGAAAGATGCGAAGGCTCGGAGCAAGAAGCTTGGTAAAGATGAAATCGTGCGCATGGTCAAGCACTCGCACAACCCCGATGCAGAGAAGCCCACGGCCTTTCTAGAGGCCTTCAGACACTTCGAGCAAAAGCAGGTCTCCGGTTGCACCATGGAAGAAATGTGTGAGCTTCGAATAGGGCAGTGGTTATTCCTCTATGCTGTGATCCAGTCGCTGCCCATGCTTGCTGTTGACGCCCCCGGCGTTCGATTCACGGAAGGTGTGGAGTACTTCCTCTGCGAAGTGCCTCGGTCCGGCATACCCTGGGGACGAGAAGACACAACTCGCTCGCGGACTTGGTTTGGTGTTGCTGGAGGCTCGCAAGTTGTTAGCCTCCCAACTGACGTCGTCGAACACGGCGTTGAAGGCGTCTTCCGTCGATCTCACTGCTGGAAGATGGCAGAAAAGTGGGCACAGAGCGACCACCTCCTGAACGCAGCCATGCAAGAACTGAACGCATCTCCGCTTCCGCCTCCGCCCAACCTCCTCGATCCGTCCTCTGCAGGCAATCGATCGCGCTCAGAGAGCCCTGACCGGCGGCGCGAGAGCGTAATGAATCTAGGCCTTGAAGCCCTACCTCTCCCTCCTGGGGTCGCACCTACCGCTGGTTCGCCTGCGCTTCGGCCCGCATCTTCCAACGATCCCACAAAAACGTTCGACGCCATTCTCGGGTCCGCCGCATATCCGCCCAAGGACAAGAAGAAAAAGAAATGATCAACGACTGCGTTCCGCTCTTTGAAGGCCTCCAGGCCAGATAATTCTAGCCAATATTACGATGTACAGGATGTTGATGTTGACTGTAAAAAAGTGGTTATTGCATTGCATTGCATATGTTTGTTTTCGTTGATCCATTCATCGCGCTGGTGTTCATATAGCGTTGGCGGATTTCTGGATATCGCCGCACGTTGAAGACCCTTAGGCTAGATGAAGAGATGTTGGGTGTATGTAGACGCATGAGTCGGAATCAGACTCGAATAATGAACCATTGTATATCAGCGTATAAAAGAGCTATCCCAATTTGATGTCGTACAATCTCGAATGTGACATTCGCAGTACGAGGAGTCTCGGTTTGGCGCGGCCCGAGCTTCCACACCGCCCGATAGCTCCGATAACGGTTGGATAAATAACTACCGAGCTCCCTCTGCTTGCGGGCTGGAGCTCCTTCGCGAGGATAAACCCTCGCTGCTAGCTCAATTGACTTGAGTGTGCTCTCATTTCCATTTCTGCGCCATGACTTCCTCCCTCCCCGGCAATCGCGACCTGCCCGTTTCCCAGTATGACCTCAGCACGTACTGCGGTCGGGTGCGGCACTCTGCAGACATCAGTGACCCGAGGTGAGAAAGCTGCGCACTGGAATCCTCTTTACAAGCGCGCTAGGTGTGGTGAGTACCACTACCATTAGCTTTCGCATCAGGCTTCCCCACCCTTCGTAATTGGAGCACGAGAGCTGACTTTTGACAAACTAGGACCCTACTCACATCCTCGGCCGGCCTCGAACATGCGAAACAGCTTGTTACTGCGTACAAGACGGGGAAGATACGGGACATGACACCGGAGCTATGGAGGGCGAAGAAGATAATCGATTCCACGATACACCCAGGTACGGGTTGGACGGGATTGAGGGCTGCGAACACGGCGCGCTGATCGGCTTCAAGATACTGGACAGCCTGTCTTCCTGCCCTTCCGGATGTCATGCTTCGTGCTGTCCAACCTGGTTGTTACGGCTGGCATGCTCACGCCAGGATTGGGGGTAGGGGCGCTCGTCCTGCTGTGGAGCGATTGCTAAGGTCTTGCAGACTGCCGGAACTGTAGGATGGCAGGTTACCAACCAGTCGCTGAACGTAGCCATCAACTTCTCGAACGCGAATAAATCAACGCCGCTATCCACCCAGACGATCATCAAGTCATACCTCCTGGCCGTGAGCGCCTCTTGCGGAGTCGCATTGGGTCTGAATGCTGTCGTGCCCCGCCTAAAACGACTCTCGCCGAACGCAAAAGTAATTGCCACGCGACTTGTACCCTTTGCTGCCGTAGCTAGCGCAGGCGCTCTGAACGTGTTCCTCATGCGCGGGGAGGAAATCCGACAAGGCATCGACGTCTATCCAGTCCTCTCAGACGAGGAGAAGCACAAGGTCGAAGCTGGCGATTTGGAGGTCAAACCCCTTGGCAAGAGCAGGAAGGCAGCTACGCTTGCTGTGGGAGAGACGGCGCTCAGTCGTGTCCTGAATGCGACGCCGATCATGGTCCTTCCGCCCCTCATCCTCGTTAGGCTCCAGAAGACAGACTGGCTCAAGCAGAGACCTAGGATGACTTTGCCGGTCAACCTTGGTGAGTCACTTCCGGGGGATGTGTTGTCCGGTGCTGACGCCTCGTAGGACTCATTCTCACGACATCTATCTTCGCACTGCCACTAGCACTCGCCGCATTTCCTCAGCGTCAGACTGTAAGTGCCAAGACGTTGGAGGCTGAATTCCACGATCGCGGAGGCAAGGACGGAATGGTGGAATTTAACCGTGGCATATGAGGGCAGAAGACGAGACGTGCGTAGAACATACTCGAAAAGTTGCTAAGATGGGCATCAATATCTGTAGCATAGCGGACACGTTTCCGGAGACATACACCAGGCTCGTGGGGTGAAGATGAATGCGGCGAAGGAATGCCGCCGCCGATTGGTCAGATAGCTGTGCGACTCGAAGCTATACGGTAGTTAAAGGCTCTCAAAGAAAGCAAGTGAAATGTATACAGTTTGGATGAAAATACTCCTTCCCAGGCTCCAGTGTGCTAATTGACTAATATTCACTCGGGAATATTATCGTTGCCCGGCACGGGTTGCTGCGCCAGTGTCAAGGTGGCCTCAACTGCTTCGAGCCAGGTGTTCAAAAAGTTGCCCGAACCAGGGAGCTCTGACATCTCTTAAAGTTTCCCATGCAGCATCCTCACCACTTTCACGCCCTCATGCACCTTTCCATTCTGCTCCTGGGATAAATTTCCCTTTCCTTTCTTTATCTTAACCCCAAGTTCGTTCTAACGATACCCCCGCTTTCGACGACAACCCGACTCGCGCGCATCCCACCTTTCGACGTGGTCTACCTCGAATCAGCAGCGCCTCGAAATTCCTCACCCACAATGGCTCCCCCCGGCCGCCGGAGACTCAATCTCTCCCCCGCGACGCTCCTCCTCGGCCTCATCCTCCTCTTCTCCTCGACCGCCTCCGCCGCGTCCGCAGTCCTAGGGATCGACCTAGGAACCGAGTACATCAAAGCCGCACTCGTTAAGCCCGGAATCCCTCTCGAGATTGTCCTCACCAAAGACTCGAAACGAAAAGAGACCTCCGCCGTCGCTTTCAAGCCCTCGAAAAGCGGACCGCTCCCCGTGGGCTCGTTCCCCGAGCGCTTCTACGGTTCCGATGCTGTCGCGCTTGCGGCCAGGTTTCCCGGCGATGTATACCCGAATCTGAAGCAGTTGCTGGGTGTGCCCAGTGAGGGCGATGCGGTCAATGTGTATACGGAGAGGTATCCTGCGCTGCGGGTTACGGGCACGGAGGGGCGCAAGACGGTTAGCCTGAAGAGCGGTGTCTTTGCTGAGGAGGAGAAACCCTTCTCGGTTGAGGAGCTGCTGGCGATGGAGCTGAAGAATGTGAAGGATAACGCGAAGACACTGGCGGGCAAGGGCGCGGATATTTCAGAGGTCGTCTTCACCGTCCCGCCATTCTATACCGTCGAGGAGAGGCGCGCGCTGGAGGTTGCGGCGCGATTGGCGGGCTTGAAGGTCCTCAGCATCGTTAGCGACGGGCTTGCCGTCGGGATCAACTATGCCACGAGCAGGACGTTCCCCGTTGTCAACGAGGGGGGCAAACCGGAGATCAACCTGGTGTTTGATATGGGTGCCGGATCGGCATCCGCGACTGTTCTCAAGTTCCAGGGACGGACTGTCAAGGATGTGGGCAAGCATAACAAGACAGTCCAGGAGGTTCAGGTTCTTGGAGCGGGCTGGGACAGGACCCTCGGCGGCGACGCGCTGAACGCTCTCCTGGTCAAAGACATGATCTCCTCCTTCGTCGAAGTTCCAGGCGCAAAGAGCGCATCCATCTCCGCAGACAAGGTCAAGGCCCATGGACGCGCCGCAGCAAAGCTCTGGAAGGAGGCAGAGAAGGTCCGACAGATTCTCAGCGCCAATACCCAGACTTCTACATTCTTCGAAAGCTTCTATGAAGACATCGACTTCCGCTACAAAGTCTCCCGCTCCCAGTTTGAGGAGCTCGCCACTGACTTTGCTACCCGCGTGGAAGGGCCCATCGACCAGGCTCTCGAAGCGGCTGGTCTGAAGATCTCCGACATCGACTCGGTGATCGTTCATGGCGGAGCTTCGCGCACACTCTTTGTTCAGAGCCGCCTCGAGTCCCTCGTTGGCAAAGCGAAGATCAAGACCAACGTCAACTCAGATGAGGCTGCCGTGTTCGGTGCTGCTTTCAAGGCCGCTGGTCTCAGCCCATCTTTCCGCGTCAAGGAGATTCGCGACAGCGACACCCAGGGCTATAACCACGGCATCCAGTACATGTTCAACATGAAGGACCGTGATCAGAAGGTCTTCACTCCCAGCACCAAGATTGGCGCCACTAAGGACCTACCCTTCCAGATGATGGGCGAGTTCGAGTTCACCATCTACCAGGCGGTCCCCGGAGCTTCCGGTGATGTTGTCAAGCAACCCGTTCTCCACTTCACCAGCGGTAACTTGACAAGGGCAGTCACCAAGATGATTGACGGCGACGGCTGTGACCGTGAGACCTTCAACAACTACGTTCAAGTCAGGCTTAGCCCTATCATCGGTGTGCCTGAGGTGACTTCTGCGTGGGTCACTTGCGAGGCTGACGCGGAAGAGGCCAAGGGCGGCATTGTCGACGGAGTTAAGAACTTCTTTGGTATGGGCGACAAGAAAGACCAGCAACCTCTGAAGGAGGATGAGGGCGCTTCCGAATCCGCCACCGCTTCTTCAGAGTCCTCATCATCTTCCACTTCTTCGTCTTCGGCAGAGACTCCTTCTCCCGAGGCTGCGAAGTCTGGTCCTAAGAAGAAGACTGTGAGGTCTGCGATTACGTATTCGGTCACGCAGCAGGGTTACGAGAAGCATCCTCGCAAAGAATTCAAGCGGATGCAGGACAGGTAAGCCCTGCGATATGTCCTCCAAAATGCTTTTACTAACGACATTCCTAGGCTCACTGCTTTTGATGCATCGGATAAATCCCGCCGCGTCCGCGAAGAGGTCCTGAACTCGCTCGAAGCCTTCACTTACCGTGCGCGCGATTACTTAGAGGACGAATCGTTTATCGCTGCCTCTACCGCCAACGTTCGCTCAACCCTCGAAAAGAAGCTGAGCGCAGCATCTGACTGGATCTATTCCGAAGGCCATGATGCGGCTGAAAACGTTCTAAAGACCAAGCTTAAGGAGCTCGAGGACATCGTCAACCCAATTCTGAAGCGTAAAGATGAGGCCGTCAAGCGACCTGATGCCATCAAGGAGCTCCAGAGCCATATTGACGACGTGAAGAACGTAGTCGGCATCGTGAAAGCGCAACTCGACGACCAGAAAGCTGCCAGCTCGAAGGCAGCTGAAGCGGCCAGCAAGTCTTCAGCATCCACCCCACCAGCGTCCCCTTCTTCGGCGGATCCATTGGCCGATTTAGAAGAAGACGATATGCTTAAGGCATCCGCGTCGGAAGCTGCCGCCGAGCCCGAGACCACTGAGATCCCAACCATCTACACGGATGAAGATCTCAAGTTCATCGAGGACACGCACAAGAATGCGAGCAAGTGGCTCGAGGAGATCCAGAACAAGCAGAAGAAGCTCAAAGAATCTGACGACCCAGCGTTCACCACCAAAGACGTCAAAGACCAGACGGAAAAGCTCAATAACGCCATCATGAACATGATGATGAAGAAAGCCCGCTTCCTCAACGTACCCAAGCAACAAAAAGCCAGGGCCAAAGCCTCCAAACCCAAGAAGAAGGCCGACAAAAAGACCAAGAAGTCGAAGAAAGACGAGAAGGCCGCCGCAGAGGACAGGAAAGAGCCGACGCAAGAAGAGCTCGACGAAGCGCTGAGGAAGGCTGGTGTGAAAGGTGAGGGCATCAAGCTCCAGAGCTTTGGGCATCAGCAGGAGATCCAGGATGAGAATGGCAGGATTCTGACAAAGCTAGATCTTGGAGAGGATGCCACGGAGGAGGATATCATGGCGGCTATTGATAAGGCGACAAAGGAAGGGAGGGAGAAGCTGGAGCGGGAGAAGGAGAAGGAGGCGAGGGAGCGAGATGAGCTGTGAACATGGCTGCTGATGGACGAGCCCTTGATTAAAGCGCGATGATGGGACCATGTGTTTTTGAGCCAAACCATGCTGTGAGCATTTGTAGGAGTTTATGAGAATCAGATCTCTCGCATTTAAAAGTATGTGCATCAGTGCCCTCGCGTGCAATACTGCCTTTTGGTGCGACTCTGTCTTCTAGAATCTCTTTGAACGCATTCGATGAAGTGGTGTTGGTCGGGATCGACATCGCATTCCCCGCTTGCGTCATCCAGTCCTCGCCGGCCAGCCCTATGGCAGCATCTCAACCCAGGCGCATGGCATTCTTAGGGTTCCTTATCGTACGTCACAGTCATGCAATGCACTTCAAGATCGATCCATCTCTCCTTCCCACGTGTCCAGGCCTTCGTTCACGACATTTCCTCCTTTCAACACCTCATGAATCATCACTCCCGCACTCCGCCCCAACGTCATCTTTATCCCGACATCCTCACACTAAGCGGCCCAATCGCAGCACCAAAAGGGTAGAATAGTAATAGGGCCCATTCAAATATCATATACAATGGACCCTTCTCCTCCGCCCCAACCCCCAGGCACAACAACCACACAACCCATGTCCGCGCCCACCCGCTCGAAACTCCTCTCCAGCGGATTCAAGAACTTCCTCAACAAGCCCGCGCTCTCGCACCCGCAGAGGAATCTCACGGTGCAGTTCCACAACGCTGAAGTCCGGGCGAATATGTTGTCGACAAACAACGCAGGAGCTGGTTCGGCGGACATGCCGAAGACGAGTGAGATGCCTGGCGAGCACTTTGAGCCCCGGCAAACAGCGACGAGCGAGGATTATACGCCGGATGTGAGGAAGAGTATCAGGTTGAGTGTGCCGCGGCAGAGGTTGGTTGATGATGTGGGTTTTACCTCCCAAAGTTCCGCTTTATGCTTTACTGTGGTTGTAGGGGGAGTTTTGCAAACTTGGCAATCACACACTCAGGCCAAAACGCTGGGGTATAAGGTCCCATTGGCTGAGTTGACAAAACTTTCCCCGGGAACCATAGTAGTGGGGACAGAATCGAGCTCTTGGAGCTGACGGGAATGTAGATCATCGCGCTGTATAGCTGCCAACCGACCGTAGAACGCGTAAAGCGCTACACCCCCGACTGCGTCTATGACGACCAATTCGTCTACGCAAACGACCGCTACAAAATGGCCGGCCAATGGTTCGCCCTCCCCAAGCTCTTCAAATCCAGCACCAACGAGGGCTACCAAGTGATCCGCTCCGACGACGAAATGATCCAGTTCAAGAACAAGCAGGCCTGGACGTTCCGCCTCATCCCCAAGACGGCCACCATCACGGGGCTGGTGAGCTTGAGCTTGGACCCCGCGACGCGGGACAGCGAGTTCATGCAGATCAAGTACCATAAGGATCAGGCGAACGATAAGGATTATAGCCATGAGGGCGCCGGGTTTAGCTTTAAGAAGTGGCAGGCGGATAATGTGGTCAAGCATATGGATGCGCCTGAGTTGAAGGAGTTTGAGAAGGATAAGGGGGCGGCGAAGGAGCATGTGAGGAAGTATGGGACGGGGACTGAGGAGGGGGATGCGCCGAAGCAGGATTTTACGAAGTAGGAATGGGTGGGTATAGCGATCGCAAGGGGGACGCACTACCAAGGCTTGATGAGATAAAAAGTTTGCTCTCTGCAAATGCTACCAGCGGTTGCGCTCTTACGATGTTCTGCTGTTGCCGCTAGCTCGGCCCGTTCGTCAAGAAATCTCGTTATCTAACTGTTAGCTTTTCGTAAGAATAGCTAAGTCCTGTTCTTACCCTAGCTAATAGTAGTATTATATGTATCTGTTAGGTTTGTTATTACGTATATAGGTGTTAGGTATAGCGCCTACGCTACGTACCTAGGTAGCTTGTAGACATGTATTGTGTACCTGTGCGGATCTCTCTGTATGATGTAGCTCCCCACATAGACCCTAACTCAACAAAACGTATGCTGCGCAAAAGATGCATTTGCGACTCTCTGTTCACGAAGATTCGTTCCTACGACATGAAATGGTATTGAATACTAATCGCAACGCTACTACAGAGACGCTTTTGCAGATTCCCGCCACATCTTACAATTCTCAGAAAGTGGCTCCACAATGTTTGCATAGGCAGCCGCCCAGAGCCTCAGGTTATCCCACTGAGCATTTCTCTCTTCGCTAGTGCGCAGCCCGGTTAGGCAGAAATTGACAGCCTTGTCGTACAGCTTCAATAGCGGGTCGTCGGTGTCATCCAGCCACTCAAGCGCTAGGGATAGCCGACTGTAGTATCCGACGGGCATTCCTTTCAGATCAAATCGAGACTTGAACGCCGTCATGTGCCAGATCTCTAGAAGTAGAATGCCCAGCTCCAAGAGATCCTCTTTTGGTCGAGGGTAGTGTTGGGTTGGGTACTTTTGTTTCGGAGTGTTTCCAAACGTGGCAGAAACGAATGGTCTCGTGAAATCGACAGGAGGAATATCAGGACGGGTAATTGGATCTTCAGCACCGGTTGTTGGATCTTCAGGCCGGAGCGGGAAGTATATGATGGCTTTTGACCAGACTCCAGGAGTCCACTCCGATCGCAGTAGCTGTAGAAAGTTTGAAGCTACTCGAAAGGCGAGTATCATCCGGTCCTTGAGAGAGACTGACCGATCTCGAAGTGTGAGAGTTCTCCAGCGATAAAGAAGTGAATTAAGCGAAATCGCACCATGGTAAAGAGACGGCAGTAACTCTTTCCTTTTTGCTGGTTTAGTTCCGATCCTGCCAGATGTAGTGAGAACGAATGTGACAAGTTCTCGCCCAGAGTTTGCGGAAGTGAAAGCTGCACAAAGATCGTCTCTAATCTTTATTTCCCTCTCCGCTGCAGTTTGAGGTGGAGCTTGCGGAGCATTGATGAGTTCTTCCACGGCTTGCACATTCACCTCGTAAGCCTGTACTTGCTGTTGTTCCAATGTGATGGTGATGGCAAGGTAGAAAGATAGATTTTCCGTGGCTTTCTCTATCTTGGCTAGTGTTGACATGTGGAACGCGGTATCGAGTCGATCATCGAGGAATAATTGCGCTTCGTGCCGAATTTGGCAGGGAGTACGCAATCCATGATTGAGAGCTTTGTATAGACTGCTCGTGGAATTCCGAATTTATCCGGAGCAAAAGGATCCAATCCTTCTGCTCTTTCAGTTATGACGCCTTATATATCCGGTAACAGAATTTGATAGAAAGTCTTGGCGAGCATCAAAGTGCGTCGATTCACACAGCTTCCAATCGGCTTTCGATTCGAGGCGACGAGCCGGATCAAGCGATCAAGGCGGGCAATCGACGCGTTCAGCTCCTTGATGGCGTCTTTCAGCTCACTTTCGGAGAACATGAGCCTCACTCTTGGAACAACGTCCTTTAGGTGACCGTGCACCTGCATCTGGTTTGCGATGATGATCGTCACCAGATCATCAATACTGGCCTGTTACTGTAAGCGTTTCGTTCACTCCGAGGATTGGCGTCGAAACTAACCTCTACTCCGGGTACTAGTCCAGAGATTTTCTTCGCGATGGTTCGAACTGCGTCGAATGCGAGTTCTATTTCAGTCGCAAAGGTCCGATATGTATTCTGCCCCAGATAGTCCTCGATATCTTCACCAATAGATCTGTCTTTCAAGAAGTCGTGTGGATTCAGGTAGAGACCAGCGGGGTTCCCATGGCCGCACTTAACAAGAACCGTCCATAGAATCTCTGCGAGACAAATCTTTTGATAGTCCAGAGCGTGTGCCAGGTCGTCAACGTAGTGGCTTCTCCGAACAAACAATCCGCCGGCGTGCATTGTTTGTCTATACCCACGAATCCCATAAACAACTATCGGTATCGCGCCTAATACAAGGCCTGCAACTTCGATTCCTGACATTGCATCGTCTCCTCGCGAGGCAAAATATGGGATGAAATAATGGTCTCCTAGGTAAACGCAACTTTGGGAAATTCCGAAGAGGAGTCATCCCAACCTGCCTGAGTTATTATATCAGGTGAAGGACTAGACGAGGTTGTGTGACGCTATACGGAGGCGTTCAGCCACGAGCACTTTTGGTCGTCTCAATGCACTCCTCGCCTAAGAAATGGAGATGATTGGACAACGGGATCATGCGACCTCAACAGAGACCATGTCACCGGTCATGCCACTGCCTCCTCCTATAGTCCTAAAGTTCGGTACTTTTCCCAGCTCACCCGCCCTGACAGTCTCCCCAATTCGTACAGATAATGACAGACGTTACAACATCCAGTGTATCGTTGGGCTTCGGTGGTACCCAGAGGATGCCCACACGAGGTCCAGAGTCAACAAGGAGTCTGTCTTACCTCATCGACGTCTCCCGGCAGCTTTTCACCAGGGTCTCTAACACGGTAGGGAAAAGATTGAGATATGCCGCGAAGGGGGGTGTGGACAAAGACGCCGACACGGGAAACCGTATAAGAGCCGAACTGGATCGATTCGAACTTTGGGTTATGAACGCCGACGTCGAATCTTTGGACAAAGACTATGCACACACAAGATACTCCCGTTCAGCGAGCTCCCTCTACTCCTCAAGCGTCCATGAGATGTTGCAGCAGCTTCTGTTGGTCCTAAACCGCTCCCTTGTGGAAGGTACCAATCCCACTCGCGCGCATGACAAATTACTAATGAAATGGAGTAGTGCTCCATTTCTTTGGCGAGACGCCGGAATTAGCGGCCGATGATATCCATGGAGCATTAGATTTCGATCCCAGGCCAGCAGCTCAAATATCCATAGAAGAGATTCCTGATCTTCCTGATCTTCCTGATCTTCCTGGCATGCCATTCGCCTTCACTCTGCCGCGCCATGAACACGATACGAGCATCTTGAAGAGGCTCACTCAAATTGGAACAGGGCTCATTACAGGGCTCGTTGAACCCTCTGAGCTAATAAGTGGAGTATTTCTCCCTCAAACAGAAAATCCCTCTTCGTCATCTGCTAAGGATGACGGCCTGGGCGACCAATATACAAAAATAACGGAAGAGAACTGGGAAATGATTCTGGACAGCCTACGAGCTCCGATTGACCGACTCTACAAGGCCACAATATTGATTCGCACTACGCCAGGCGCTCCCGATTATGATTCCCGGAGAGCCCAAAGCGACGAACTGGATCCACCTATTCGATTGATTGTAGACGATCAGCTGAGAGATGCAGCACGATCCGGCGACAATGCGAAAGTCTTGGCCTTGCTCCAGGGTGGTGCGGATCCCAACGCAGCCTTCGATGGGACTGAGTTCATCTGCTCCGAAATGCCGCTCGCGTTGGCGTCCAGTCACGGTCACATTGATGTTGTCACGACTCTTCTCGAACACCAAGCAGACACCGAGGGCCTTGCATACCTAGGGGCACATGGAAGCAGCACTCCACTTTTACAAGCCGTGGAACAGCGTCACGCTGACATTGTGCGAACACTTCTCGCTTTCCACGTGGACATCGAAGCTCGAGATGACCTAGGTCGAACACCATTGCTACGAGCCTTAGAGCTCAGAGACCACTCTCTCGTGGTTTTGCTTCTAGACCATGGTGCCGATATCGAATCGCAAGATCTGTACGATCGGACAGGATTGATTATCTCCTCAGAGCTTGGAGACAGCGCCCTCATGGTTTTACTTCTCCAGCAAAACGCCAATGTCGAAGCGCGAGATCATTTAGATCGAACACCATTGCTTATAGCGTCACGGCGTGGGCACCACTCTCTTGTTCGTTTACTCCTCCAGCGGGGCGCCAATGTGAACGCTATGGATAGCGAAGGCCGATTTCCCTTGATGCTCGCGCTGGCGCACGAAAACTACAAGATTGCCCAATTGCTCATCGACTACCACGCTGATGTCAACCAGCGAACGAGGAGCGCTGGCTCAGCTCTCGTGCAGGCGGTAATGGCAAAGCGCCAGAATGCCGTGGAGTTTCTTCTCCATCACGGCGCAAGTGTGGATGAGGAACCATGGATAGAAGAAAACACACGGGGAGTTGGAAGGACATTGTTGTCGTGGGCAGCAGAAGACGGACAAGCTGCAATTGTGCAACTCCTTCTTGAGCATGGCGCGCAGGTCGACTCTGCGGACGACATACAAGCGACCCCTCTGATGTGGGCTGCAATCCAGAAACACCCAGATGTCATGAAAATACTTCTTGAACACGGTGCTAGCAACCAGGCCAAAAGGAACGGTCAGACGCCTCTCCATTACGTGGCACGGGAAGGGTTTCAAGAAATAGCAAGGCCCATTCTTGAGAAGAACCCACCTAATATGGATAGCCGGGATACCTGTGGGCGCACACCGCTATCGTACGCTGCAGAGGGAGGCAACGAGGAGATCGTCAGGGAACTCATCCGGAGACAAGCGGATGTGAACGCTGCAGATGACGCAAACCACCAAACACCGCTGCACTGGGCTGCATTGTGCGGGCATCGAAATATTGTCCAATCTATACTTGCAACCGGTGACGCCAAGGTGAAACAGACAGATGGTTCCGGCCAAACGCCGCTGTGCTGCGCCGTACGCCACGGACACGCCGATACAGTGAGATTGCTTCTGGAACACGGCGATGTCGACGTGGACGGTAGAAGCCTGGAAGATAGGACGCCTCTGTCTTACGCTGCTGAAGGTGGCTACGCGGAGATAGTGGGCTTACTCCTCTCGACGGGCCGTGTCAACGTCAACGCCACGGGAGGTCTGTTTGGTCAAACTCCACTGTCCTTTGCCGCAAAAGAAGGACGCTATGAAGTGGTAAAGGAATTACTCAGTATCGACGAGGTCGATAAGAATCTTGGGGACACCTCGGGACGGACGCCGCTGTCATATGCCGCACAACACGGCCACGAAGAAGTGGTCAAGTTGTTGCTTGCGTGCAAGGACGTGGGCGTAAACATCAAAGCTAAAAACGGAAGGACGCCGTTGTCGTACGCAAGGTATGGTGGACATAAGGGGACGGTGAAGCGCCTTCTAGAAGCAGGCGCGGAGGACTGCGAGGTATGATGAAGTAGCCTCGAGACAATTCACCCCCAGCACGTGTCGTTAATTTCGATCTCTCGGAGAGTTGTGCGCAAGTAGCTCCCTCTGTTATATGCAGAAATCCGCGAAAGTCTTGGTGCTTTTCGCCGTTCGCTCCACGCTCATTTTTCTGAAGGAGCTTTGAAGCGGGCGTCTACCAAACTTTGTATTTTCTCTTCAAATTAAAATTGTCTAAAGAAGTCTTTTTCCCAAGGCAATTCTTCTTCAAAAAGTATTAATCACTTAAAGACTTAGCAAGAGAAGCTCTTCAAAAACGAAGAAAAAATAACTCCTGCAAAACAATTCATTTCTTTAAAATTCGAAGACTATTCCTTCGTATATTGAAGAGTAGTTCTTGAAATTTTGATATCTACATATAACAGATGCAGGGGTAGAAACTACACAATCAAGTAATTAGTACCACCACAGTCTGTAAAACACAGACCTCATTCAGAGAACAGCATCCTCAACCTCCTTTCATTTGTACCGCTTCCTCACCATCGTGCCTCGCCAGCTATTTGTCGGTCCTCCGGACGGCCCCTCAATCCAACCACCTTGAAGAATGTCGCGTCCAAAAAGTGGGAAGAAAGCGAAATGTTTCATGCTCCATACGTTGCAGTCATTCAGCATTGTAATAGCTCCCTTGCGTTCTAAGCTGTAGGCCCCGCAAAGACAGAAACCCGTTTGTAGCACAATCGTTATGTATCGAAACACTGCTTGCTAAGCAAAGCTCATACTCGTAGGCTCAATAGACAAACAATACACATCGCCATCGCAACCCTCTCGCTATCTCTTCTCATCGACTAGTGACTCCCGCACCCGACCTAGGCTACTACACCCAACTCATACCCGCTAACCTCCAAACTCACATCCACACCATGCAATCTCCGAAACCTGGTCCTTGCGTCCCCATTCCGATCCGCCTGCAGCTCATCCGGATACAGGCTCAGCAATCGCTGCACCTCCGCTTTCGGCAGCTTCAAGATACACACAATCTTGACATCCGCATCCGCCGGTCGCGTCTCCTGAAGTGAAAGGCACAGGTTCTCTAGGCCCATTTCGCGCTCCAGCCGTAGGAAGGACGCGTAGAATGTGTGTTGGTGCGGATGTGGAGGATGGTGAACGTGCGGTAATGGGTGCTGGTGTTGTGGGACGGGTGGTGGCGGAGTTGGAGTATGGAGGGCCATGTGCTGAGCGAGCGGGCTGGGGTTCGGCGGTGGGTTGTTCTGGAGGCCATGAGGGTGCGGTGTCGGTGGTGCGGGATGGTGGTTGTGTTGCCATGCGTTTTGAGCAAATTGAACAAATGGCATAGGTCCGCCTGGTGGTAGGCCATTATTTCCATTCCCAGTGCTATTCGGGGCGCCGGGGAAGTGTGGAGGGGCAATTATTTGGTGCGGCGTAGGCTGTCCAGCGGTCTGTCCCATAGCCAGCGAAACCTGCTGTTGCAAGGCCTGGATCTGCTGCTGTATCTGCTGCTGCAGCACGTGCATCTGTCCTCCGATCGCGTTGATAGCGTGGACTTGTGCTGCCAAACCCGGTATGTTATGTCCCAGTTGCCCTATCATATTCGGTGTGCCCATAGTCCCGCACCTGAGAAATATCCACAAACTCTTGAGTTTCGGTAGATCTGCCTTCATCGAGCGTTCTTGCGTCTTCGAGCCGAGATATGTCGCCCATAATTTAACATCCTTTTCGCGTATTCGGAGGTAGACGCTCGTTATGTTCTCGGAGAACGGCGAGGATATGACGCGGAAGATGTTGCAATCGGACGGATGCGTAAACAGAAACTTGTTCAAGGAATAGAGTAGCGGCGCTGCCTCTTCATGCACCTGTCTTGAGACGGTCAACAGTCCTAGCGCAACACCGTGCTTCGGCGCAGAAGGAGCAGGCCACCAGAACGGGTATGGTGACACGAGAGCGAAGGTATAGATGCGGTCTCGTAGTTCTCGTGGTAGCGAAAGTAGTAGGGAGAACGCCGGGTCGCTGGGGGCTGCTGGCGCAGGCGCAGAAGCAGACGCTGAAGCAGAAATATTGCCATGCGACGCGGGCCGCGGACGAACGGGCGTCAGTGGAGGAGCGTCCGGCATCGTGGTATCTGAAGTGCCACTGCTGCCCGTCGAGGAGCGCGATCTTGAGCGCGGAGTTGAAGTACGAGAAGCGATCTCCATTTTTCGGCGGCTCCTGCTCGGTTTGTAATACGACGGCCGTAGGGCGTGGTGGGACAAAACGGGGGGTTGAAAGTCGCGCTGGTGGAGGCGCTCGGCACAGATACGCAAGCGCCCAAGAAGCCCTTTATATCGCCCAGAGGACACAAAGGTATAAATAGGGCCTACAGGCCTTGAATGAGGGGAAAGTGGAGAGCTCTGGTGCGATGTTGAGGCGGCTGGGTCGCTCGCTGGCAAATCATGGTTCCCAGGTGCTCGGAACGAAGCCGCCTTGGCGCGCCGATCACACGTGCGAGCCAATCACTTGCATGAGTCTTTAGACCTCACCACATCTCACGACAGCGTCTCCGGATGCGCTTCGGGTGCCGAAGGCATCTTCTTGAGTTCGCCAAAGAATCCATTTTTGCGCAGTCACATGAGAGTCCGTAGGCGAAGGTACTGCCTATACTTTTAAAGAGCATCTCCGCATGTAGAAGGACGAAAATCATGTGAAAGGCACTCATGACAACTTAGATATCGTACGCAACAGCTCCACAGCACATACACTACCTGGGTATCAATGTGACATGTGAAAATCAATCTAAACACATCAAAGTCATACGCTTCAGGACTAGCCATAAATGCCGGAAAAGAAGGGATTATGCATATAACTACACAGCTGTTAGCCGTCACGCCCAACTCAAAGCTCTCGCAAACATACCATATTCGCAAGCCAAACAACCCCCACAATGATCAAAAGCTTCTTCTTGGCATCCTTCGACAGGCCTGAGCCCTGTCTTCCATTTACCAAGCCATGATCTATGTCCCCTTGCGAAGCTGGACCGGGAAGGGCATTGTCGTAGTTCGGAAACGCGAGTTCACTCCCGGCTCTACTATGGGAGCTCTTCGCTGCCGCTCGTCCTTTGACTCCGTCTCCACTACTTATAATCCACGCCGTAACAGTCATCGTTGCAGCATGCACGTTCCACGCTGCCCAAACGAAGATCGGAGTGAGGGCAACCAGGTCTCGCCATCGATCGCTAAACAAGCCACCGTCACCGCGGAACCCCACCCTAAGAAGTCCACGGCCGTCGCCGGCAAGCCAGATATGATTCGACAAGAGATACAGCTCAAGCGATATTCGCCCCAGCCAAGCAAAGGAAGCGCAATAGTAAGACCTGAAGAACCTTGTTGCGTTGCGTAGGACCACGAAGGACACAACCGGTAACCAGGCAATGTAAGGCATCCACCAGTTATAGTCCGGTTTATCATGTGACCTTCGCGTCAGGATCCAAAACAAGGGGACGATAACGAGCGCAGCGTAGACAGAAATCCTCCTCAAGACGTTGAAATATTCTTGAATTATGCGCGGTACTTCTTCCAAGCGTGCCGCAGGTGCGCTGAGGATAGAAGCAATCCGTACATGAAGGACGGCGACTATCATTCCGATGTAGACGATGTACTTGTCCATTCCCAGGTGGAATCTCCATTCGGTCGCGTTCAGATCGGCTCGGCAGGTATAATGCAGAACAGAGAAGCAGAGCTCGAGGATGCCCCGGATATGAATGAAGAGTGTGACCACCAACGCGGAGGTCACTATCTTCCCAATGATATGTGGGATGGAGTCGTTCGTATGTTGTCTTGCCCGCAGCGTAAGATACACGACCATGAACCAGAAGCTGACCAAGGGCGCGAAGTGATATGAGGTGTATGGTCTGTCCATCATGAACGATAGAGAGACCGCGAGGAGATTCAGTCGAACGAGGACAGTGGCGACTCGCCGGAGTGAGTAGTCCTTATTCTGTAGGAAGTATATCGTATGACCATATCCGGAGAGGAACAAGTAGAATGCCAGAAATACGCGCAGTACTTCGTAAAAGTCCAGCACATTCGACGAGCCGGTGTAAGCGTAGACGAGAACATAGACTTGCATCCATCCCTTGAACTCGTCAGCCTGTAGCCGTGGAAGAAATGAGTGGGCGGCTGATGCTCCAGGAGTGCTTGGTCTGCGGCGCTCCTGAGGAGCCGGAATCGCTTTGATGTTGAACAGGCATGCTATCAGCACGAGCCCAAGTATAAGTCTGAAGTCAAGGTTAGAGAATTGCTTCGGAAACTTGTTAAAGACCTGAGTTCTGTCGGCGAGAAAACAGCAGCAAGCGCTTAGAATCAGGGTGAAGAGTGCGAATGGCACGTTCGACATCGGGGTGCTAGTCGTTGACCTCGCTAACCCTGGAAAACAATTAGCCCACGTCAAGCCCAATTGTCCGAGCAGGGGAGTGCTGCGCGTATACCATGCCACTTACCCGAGTCTTTAGGCCGAGCAACATTATGGCCGTTCGTAATTTGGTGCATGCTGCTCATTTCAAATTGCTCGTGAACCGGGCTTGCAGACATACTCCTTCCCGACTGAGACAACACGAAAGGAAATAGCGCCACAGCGCAGAGCAGGCCCGCCACCTGGATCCACTTCGTAGCCACGTACCCGCTGCAGCACGTCCTATTGTACGGGTAGCCTTGCCGTTGAGCAGCTTTCGCATTGCATCGAAGGTTAAGTAAGACATCTGCCATCTTACTGGCTACAGTATCGATGACATGCAGACCGCTCTCGCCGTACGTCTCGGGTCGTCCTCGAGTCATGTTGGCATAGCTCCAGAGAACGCTCACGCCGCTGGAGACAGTCTTCTCCTGGAGATAATGGTTCATGGCGTTGATCTTGCTCGGCACAATCGTTGCTTCTCGTGAAGGACTGAGCCTCTCGTACAAGGGTTCAATAACCGGGGCAAAGACGATCTGATCGCCGACGCCCTCACGGCCGGACGCGATCGCCTCTTCCAAGGGGCCAACGTGCCCTTCGCCGTATGCGGCCGATATCACGGAGTCCACGGATTGCTTGAAATATCTGAGGAAGTCCTCCTGGTAATGCCGCGCATGCCATAGCCCACCCCCAACCAGCATGACCACCGATCGTCGAGAATTGTATAGCTCCTTCTTTGCTGGATCATCCTTCTCTTTGAAGCCAGGCTCCTGTCGTTCTCGAAAAGCTTTCAGTTCCTCGTGCAGCGCAGAGCTGTTCAGCCAAGGGTCCCAAATGAACTTCAGTTTTGCGCCATCCACTGCATACCAAAGGTCGCTGTGAGTGTCTGGCTTGTTCCGCTCCTTGAAGACCCATTTAGAGCCCGGAGCCTCAATTTTCCTCGCGGTAGCCCAGAAGAGCTGCCGGGTCAGGGTGTCTCCTACGAACAGTATCTTCCCATCTTCGTTGCAGCTCGCAATCTCCGGCGCCTTATACTCGTACAGCAGGCATCCCGGCGGTTGCCAATTCAGGAAGGGCTTATGATCTGGTTTGCGGTCGGGGGAGTCGAGCCATTGTCCGGTGTTAGGCAGCGCTCCGCATTTGAAAGGGTCGGCGGCATCTGGGACGCTACAGTTAGCGGCTGGTGCTAAGCAGGTAGTTGCAGTAGAATCGGCCGCGTCGTACCTAGCACGAAGCGTCGATACACATTGAACAAGACAACTGCGAGCGCGAGGACGACGGTAGCTCTGTTGAACGCAGTGGGGACGCTGCTAGGGCCTAGCAGCCGGATACGAGGCATGCCCGTCACTCATGTATGTCGTATCGGAACAGCTCGGACCACGCTATCAAACAACGCGAGGAAACAAAAGACACAGTTGGGGTTGCAGCGCTGCAGAAACAAAAGGTGAGGACAGAGAGAAGGCCGTAAACACGGCACGGAATCTTTGGCAGGCATGACGGCGCCGGTTGGCGCGCCATGGGTGACAATTGGACTCTCCTGCTCCACTGCTCCACCAAGCTTCGCCAAGGTGGTTCGCCAAGCGTTAGGTTCCGTTCGCGGAAAGAAGGCACGCGACCCTTCAGCAGATTGTACCTAGGTACTTTGTGGTATCAAATGCCTTAACTTTCTCATGTACACTCATTTCTGTCCACTGCTTTCCTGGCTCAGCAAGTCCTCAGGCTCTTCAGAACTCCGTTTTCCCCCCTCTCCTAACAGGCGCCAAGGCACTTTTGCATCCCTGCAGACACGCAAGCATCTTGGTGGTTACGACGCCACTTTCGGGGAGGGACGAATCGTGCCGTGTGCCGACGGGACGCCTCAACTGCACTAGGCCGCTCATTCTGCTGGCCTCACTGCGAAGCAAGGTGCGGAGTACGATTTGCTTTGATTGCTACACTGTAAAAGCCGGCGACTCCACCGCTTGCTTCCTACAAAACGTACCGGAAGTATGGGTTCTCCTTGTCTGTCAGGTCCATGAAAGCCAGCCTATCCCTCTCCTCCTCATTCACGGGGTGCGCTTCCCTCCTCTTATTCTCTCTCCAAAGTACGATATACAGAGTAGCGGAAGCCGCGATGGTGACGCAATAACTGCACGTTCTTGGTCAGCTCAGGTCACAACTCGATGGAGGCCGCTCCGGGGGGAGAACCGCGAACTCACCATATAATCAACCCCGTCCACAGCTCAGGATAATGCTGCTTCTTCGTCTGACTCTTAATCAACTGCGGCCCAACAATATTCCCTACACAATAAGCCACGAAGATCGCCGCCGCCATACAACTCTTCTTCGTCGCGCCGGCCACATTACTCATTCCAATAACAATCGTCAGGCTCACCACCGCGCCGAACGTCCCGATGATGCTGTACCCCGCAACCGGCGTAGGCGCATGGTACGTCCAGTCGGACTTCCAGATCATTGCGCAGCCGGCGATGACGGGCAGGCAGTTCAGAATGAGCAGGAATATGCGGATATTAGGTATGCGGGAAGACGCCCAACCGCATGCAAGGATTGCGATGAGGCAGATGCCGCCGAGTGGGAATTGTAGGAGGATGGATTCGAGAGACGACCAGCCGAAGGTGCTTACGATCAGGGGACCGAAGCCGGAGACCGCGCCGTTGACCGTGTACGCCGAACCCATCATGATGAAGACGAGCCACAGCTTGATATCCAGGAAGGCTTCTTTAAGCTGCGCCATCTTGATCTTCTGGCACCTCACCCCCGTCTGGCCCTTCCTTAAGCGCTCAACAGCCACAACGCGTTCGCTCGGTGTGAGAAAGCCCGCGGAAACCGGCGAATTCGGAATGAAGAAGCACCAGATGCCAAACAAAAACGTCAGGCACCCTGCGAGGATGTAAATGTACTGCCACCTCTTCAGCTCCCCACTCGTAATCTGCGCAAATCCGTAGTTCAGCGCGGCCCCGATAATCGTAAACAGCCCTGTTGACGAGAACCACCAGCTTTGCCTCAGCGCCTGCTCCTCCTGCGTATAGTACCCGCTAACAATGCACATGAACCCCGTGGGGATAATGCTCTCCACGAAGCCCAGGAAGAAGCGCTGCGCATATAGACCTTGCCATGAAGTTACGGCGGCAGTCAGCATACAGATGAGCGACCAGAAGACGACTACGCCGCCGAGGATGCGGCCGAGGTTGAAGCGCTGCAAGGCGAAGGTCATTGGGTAAAGGCCGGCTAGCATGCCGAAGTAGAACATGGAGGTTGCCCAGCTGAGGCGTGAGGTGTTGGTCGTCGAGGGCGTGGTCGATGTATCGACAATACTCAAGGAGAGATCCTTGGTCATGCCGAAGAGCACAGCGGAGCCCAGAATCGCTTTGTCGTAGTACACCAGTCCATAACCTAACACCTTTGCATTAGTACTTGCGCTATTGGGATAGAGTAGCATGGAGGAAGGGAGAGCATACCAACGATCATCGCCGGAATCAAAAACCAGTCAATCTTCCCCAGCACCCTCGCTTCAACCTCCGGATCAATGTCCTGCGCATGCTCGCCCACAAGCTTAATCGCGACATCCTTATCCATCATCGAGCTTGCGCCAGACGCCGGAGCGTCGGGTGGCAAAGTGCTCGTCTCCGCGCCCTTCTCTTCTTGACTGGACATGCTTGCTGCTCACACTGTTCGATGAACAGACGATGGGACCAAAGGGAGGAGCAATGACTCTCGCGAAGTGAAAAGAAAAGCTTTTGTTCCATCATATCACATCATTCCGGCGGGATGCCATCCTTCGTTAGCGCCATAGGCGAAGCACTCCGCTGGGCAACATCTAGCCTTCCAGGCTCCGCGGCCTCAAGCCTTGCTTAGAGCGGAGAAGAAAAAGCACATTATTCACTTTTCTCAAATATGATTGGACAAGGAAGTTGTCCCCGAGCGGGAAAAGTTGAATGCGCCTGCGTGACCAAACCAAACACAGGCTAGCGGTCTATGACTAATGCCTTGAGCAAAAGTTTTGGTAACTCGCTCAAGTGCACTCAAAATTCTCACCACGAGAGTACCTACCATTCGAAGCATCCGATATGCACAGTAGTTAGTAACGATCAAGCGTCTTCTTAATCCGGAAGTCTAGCCCCGTCTGAACGGCATCCAAATGCAGCTACCCGTCTCTTGCCTCGCTCGATCCGCTGGTCCCCATCAGCAGACCTTGAGCTGGATACAACACAATATCCTGTTTTGTATGAGACAAGAGCAAGCCCTCGACGATCTTTGAGTACGGAGCCGTTAATACGTATGGCGGACTTTGTAATTTATCAGTCGAGACATGCCTCCTCGAGCTTCCGCTCTCCGGCGTTCAAGAGGGGTTGAAGAAGGCGAAACACAGTTAAGACGATGGATACACACTGTGGAATGTGAAGAGCAATTGAACATAAAGATATGTATAGTCAGACAGGGACGCTAGCGCTACGAAACTCCTCATGCCTAGTCCTGCCCAGCCCAGATCTTGTATCCAATCCGCGATCTCTCAGCGAAAACGCCCTTCCGACGACACCGCATTCCATTCCGGTGTAATTCGAATCGTAAAACGCAAAAGGAAAAATAGCCAATGCTCGCTTCAACGCCAGGACAGCCTGGAGCTCAAAAACTTCGCTCAATGTACAGTGCGAATGTAGCAGCTTGTGTGTGCTGACCAAACCATCGCATGCCACATGCTGCTTCCTTTCAGCCTTGGGAAGCCATTCTTCTTCCTTTCATTGTTCTTCGACCGATCCAATCCATAACAGAGGAGATATGCTGAGAGATGGGGTATAGTTAGATCCGTGATGAACACCAGATGAGAGATAGGGGACTGATATAAAGAAAAAAAGTACAGAGTGGAGTTTGTCTAAACTCATGAACGTCCTCCTCTTCTTGTAGATCGAGAGTTCTGAGTATCACTACGGACGCGGATCTGAGGAGGTTCGGGTTGTGGTGAATCTCTCATGGCGGCGTCGTAGCTTGGAATTGGTGGACCGGCTTGGTGCGGGTTGTGCATTGGCGGTCTGCGCTCTTGCCAATAGTCATCGTCGTGACTTGTTGCTGTGCTGAGATTCGGGGAGCCCTGAGGGCTGGTATACTCGGGTGGGAGCTCGCCAGGTTGGAGGAAACCAAGTCCGTGGACTGCCTGGTGGTGGGCTGCTGCTTCTGCGCTGGTGCCCTCGCCCGCATCGTCTTCATGGGAGTCTACAAGGCTCAGCTGTGCTAAGGATATGTCTGTGGGGCTGCGCTGCGGACCGGGACTCGTTGGCTGGTGCCGTCCGAGACGCATTGCCTGACTGCTTGTCCTAGCATGTCCATATCCAGCGGAGATGTAGTTTCCAGCCATTCCTTCCCGGATACCATCTCGGCCGCTGTCGAGGAGAATGGATCCTTGTTCGCTTCCATACGGTGGCGGAGGAGCCAAACTGCCGGTCATCGGTGCTAGTCCCCACTTCTTCACGTTGGCTTCGATAAAGACGAAACCCATCTGTCCGAAGTTGACATGTACCTGACACGGTCCGTTGGCGCCAACCGTAGGAAAGAAGTTCTGCGTCTTCAGGCCGTGTGCGACATCATCCAGCTTCTTTCCGTTCCGTGTGAAGAAAATGGTGCCCGTGCGAGGTCGGTATCCGACGCCAATGACATCTCCTTGCACATATGCGGGGCCGTAGGGAGAGGGTGTGAAAGGCTGGTTATATCGGCGGGATCCGTGCGACATGTATGCTATTGAGTACTTGTGGTAGCCTGTAAAGCGTTAGAAGAGTAGGGGAGGCCAGAATTTGAGTAAAATGACGCACCTGGCAGTCTAAACAGCGGATACGGCTTCGTTGATACGCCGATAGCAATATTCGTAGTGTCGGGCTTGTCATAGATCTTCGCCTCCCAGTAATAGACCTCATTCTGCTTTGGTATCGGCAGATTGCTCTGTACGCTGCATTCAGAGTCGAAGAATTCAATCTCGGTCCTTCCTTCTACGAAGCAGTTGGCGATTTCCAGCTCCGGTTCAAACTCCCAGGCGGATACACCCTTCTCTTGTATGGCCAAGAATTGCGATAAAGAAATGTCGGTTTGCACGGATTCCGGGGGGTTCGCCTGGATGAAGGCTACAGCAAGTTAGTAGGCGCTCAAGCTACGGTCCATACGGTTACACGAATTAGACGTCATGAGAATATCACCATACCTTTAGCCCGCAGGTACTCGGTCCGTTGTAAATCATCCATCTCCTCCAGCGCCTCTGCCTCCTCCTTCGCGAACTGCTGCTCATCATCATACTCTCCAGGCCTCGTTAACCGGTCTAAGAAAATGCGTCCCTGCTGTGTATATCGGAAGTAATAGACGATGGCGGCGAGAATAAGAACGAATCCGGCAGCGCCGAGCACCGAAAAGATGCCGATCATGATGCCTTTCGCTGTTGACCCTATATTATCATATTGCGCTATCCGCACAGGGTCGTTGTAGAATCGCTCGGTGCCTTGGGCCGTCTCGAGCACGATGGCAGGCGGCGCGGAGGTCGCATGATGGCTGGGCAGATGCATCTTGGAAAGCGTGGTTGGAGGCGAGCCAGCTAGCGGAGCCTCTTGCGAGAGCATGGTGGAGAGTGGTCTGCGCCCTCTGGTGGCAGAGAGAGGCAGAATAGAGTCCGACGTCGTGGATGAGTCGTGCCGGTGGGCGCAGTAGCGCTCGTGCTGTCGCTCAGTGACCTGTGCCCCGGAGGAAGTGAATCCAGCGGGGGCCGGGCGACTGGTGACGTACAGCGCGACGACTGGCAGCGCAGGCGTACAATAGCGATGCTGGCGAGCGATAAGGGAATCAAGATGTCGGGCGGCGACGAGGACAGCGGTGCAGTCGCTGAGAGAGAGTTCGGCGTCAGGAGAGGAGGTGTGTGGGCGTTGGGGTCGTCGACCAGAACTGAGACAGCTTGAGGCAGAGGACGCAGCCGGCGAGAACGCCAAGATCACGCTTGCCACCTCCACCGCATGCGACGTGATAATCCGGCCGGCTTTCCGAACCTGCAATGTTTTCGGTTCTTCAGCTGCACTTTCGCTCCGTTTCGCGGCGGGGATGGGAAGTCGTGCTTTTTCGCAGTTAATGTCGGTTCCTTGCTTAAGGGAGGGTCTGGTTCAGCGAGCCGTGGTCGAATGATACCCGTGGACCCGCGGTACGCCGCAGCCGCATGGGAATCCAGAAGCCTCCATCACAACTCTCCAGCTTGAACCGGCCAGCACGTCCAGGACCTGCATTCAGCAGACGAGATTGGTACCACGTTCTGTGTGCGGCTCGGCCAAAGTCGCCCTGGAAACGCGCGGTAGAAAGAAGGGTCTTCCATGCTGTTCTGCCCCGTGGGATGCGCCATCCAATCGCTCCCCGACCGCCCATCCTCTCAGAAGCGTCGCGCAAAGATGAAACGCAAGGCGGAGGCCTGTCCGTAGAACCGCCCCAGGCACATTCTATTCATAGACAGGTCTGGCATGCATCTTAATGTTTGATTCAGCTGACACCTTCTTCATGAACAGCAGAATAAGGGCAAACATTCATTCTTTCATCTCACGGCAGACACTAGCAATGGGAAACGGTAGTGGTCGGAGGATTCGGAACCGGAACACCAGCGTGCCTCTGCCTCCCTTTTTCTGCAGACAGGCTATTTGACGTTTGACATGCTCCGTTGCGGCTGTAGCTTCATGCGGGTTGGAGCACTTCACGAGTCAATCGTTCACACCGCTGTCTTGCTTTTCTCGGGGGACAGCAAGGACTCTTTCGAGCGGCATATCTCAGCCTTGCGCAATGACCTCCAGCCCTATCCGCGAATCCGAGGCCGCCCGCCATTGACGTCAAGCATCGCCTCAACACCATGTCGCCCTCACGATCCTTTAACGTCATATAGCATCGTATCACGCGACCTCATCATCGGACCTGAGTTCTGCTCCGCTCGCTCCTTCAGCGATCAATACCGCCGGAATACAAGATCATCTTTCTCCGTGCGCCTCAATCCTTCCTACCCCCGCTTTCCCTAACACTCCCCCATGTAGCTCGGCAGCCCCGAGGTCATTTCTTGTTCTGCCTGGTAACTGACGTCCATTTACACACTGTAAATGGAGGGATTGTGTTCTTGGCATGCTTAATTGAGTAGATGCTAGTTCTATTTTGCAAGTCTTCCAGTACTAGTAGGAGTGGGATTACGAAAAGCGTTTGATGTCTTGTAGAGATGCGGTGGATAAATAAACGAGCTGTATACTCCCAATTCTTGCTGACGGTCTTCCTACTACTGTTGAAAACAACTGAGACCCACCCGCAATGTTACCGTCTACGCCTCTCTCCCTCGCTCTTTTCGCCTCCCCGGCCCTAGCAACAGCATTCTCAGACCTCCTACCACGAAACGAGACCGCGAACTCCACGGACAAATGCCATGGTGAGGTGGACAACATCTGGGACTACGCAAACGCAACAACGAACCTCACAATCCCCGGCTTCACGCCGCCGGGCTTCTCGCCCCGTAACTGGACCGTCAATATCGGCCTGCGCGACTCCCGCGACGCACTCCGCAACACCAGCCAGGACCAAGTCACTCTGTGGATCGACTCGCCAGCCGAAGACGACAACCTGACTTCCGTCGACCTGCCATACATCGGCTGCGTCGTGGCGTTCGATATGAGGCAGTACAAGAAGAGCAGCGGGCAAGGAGGAGAGGACGGTTGCAAGGGTGTGTTCAGTGACAAGTGCTATAATGCACTAGTGTCAAAGGCGAAGTCGGCCGCGGAGGCGCAATCCGGCGAGACGAGAGAAAGAAAGACGTCCCTACTGTGTATGGATATGGCCAGGCTTGATGACGAATCGTGCGATGATAGCGAAGTCTCGGTGGCATCGAGTGTGACAAGTGAGTTGCTGTGCTTTTCTCCCCTTCTCTTGTCTCTCAGATCCCGTGGTCGATCGGAAGGGACTGACATTGTTGTCGAGGCTTCTTCGGCAATGGCACTGAGTGCAGCGAGCCGGGTATGGCAGAGGGAAGTCGCCTGCGCGCGGCGGGCTCATTCCTACAGGTTGGGGGAGAGGGTTCTTACTACAATTACACGACCTACGAACAGATGGCGACAAACGCTCAACCCATCATGTTTGTTGCCTGGCTGAAGAGTACGACTGAGAGCGATGAGAAATGGGGCGATGCTCGATTGCTGTGCCCAACGACGGATCAGATCCAACCAGGAAGTAGGGCGATCTCGGCCGCGACCAGTGTGAAGAGGCCTGGAGGTGGGTTTTACGTCGCATTAGCCATTAGCGCTGCAATATCCGTTAGCATGATGTAGGTGTCTACTGTAATTATCAGCTAGCGAGAGATCTCGTACCATCTACATTATCGTAAAGAAGGCCTTCAGCGTCTTTGACTTTCTGCTCGTTGATTGACATATGTTACAACCGTGGACATGGTGGGGAGAGGAGTCAGTTGATAAAGCATTGATCGATATTCAATCAAGGGTGGCCCACTCAAATCAAGACGGCGAGGTGGAAAAGGAGGAATGCGGATATTTTCGTGTTGACGCGGCGCACAGAGTCGTCTTGCTCCAGATACCAAATCAAGGAAAAAACCAAAATGTCTCTGACGCCCGTTTTCGGTATTACTGTCCGGCTTGGGTACCTGCCATACGGCCCATGACCCTCCAAGCCAGGATAGGGCACGGGAAGCTGCAGGAGACCGGAAGCCACCCGCACACGTCAAAGATACCGCGTCCACCTGGGAAGTGTAACGCGTCATAGAGTTGATAATAGCGTTCTTATCCCCCAACGCCAATTCTCCTTGAGCGTCGTGCTTGACGGAAAGTGCTCCGAGCGTCGAAACGTTGAATTCGCGCCACAGCATGCGGGTGAAAACTTCAAGAGTACCTTCACTTTGACAAGACTGCTCTCAGTCGTCCGTGCTGACTCTTCCAAGGGTTGATTTTGTCGGTGGCACCCTAATATCGGTCGTACGCAGAAGTGGGCGCGGATGAGCAGGAAGAACTGACTATTTGAGGTGCACGTGTTAGAGTAATGGGGTTATTTAAAGATGAAAACTGCCCATCCAAGCGAGTCACGATCCTGTGTTGCGCAGTTCACCACGTCGACGGAAGAATACTGATGATGGCCAGGGGAAGCTGGAAGCCGCGTGTGCGTTACCTTATGCGACTTGGAGACCACGGAGGAGCCGTCGAAACTGGAAGAGGAGGCCAACTGCGTGGGGTTCTTCTTTGCCAGTGTAACGTCCTGGTCAAAGTATAGCCAGTGATCAGATGTGAGATGAGTGGGCCGCTCTGTAACTACTTGATTGATGTTCCAGTAATGGAACATTTCTACCCACCCTTCTAAGCAGAATACTTACCATTGAAGATTCCGTACGTGCTTATTATTCCTCATTGGAAGGCTTGTGAGACCGGTTGGGCAAACACTTGAGGATTGACGCCCGGCGCATCACCCGATCGGTTGCCTTCTCAATTCCTCTCGCACGGGCTCCTCCCGAATGCCCCTAATTCAGCGTGAAGGCGGATCCATTAGACGGGTCTAGCAGGCTCAGGCCAAAAGCGGATTGACCGGTGGAATTGTCGAGACTATTCCCGGTGTGACGTCTTCGCTGAAGGCCAGCCTGTACCGTGCTCACTTAACAGTAACAGGAGTGTTCTCCCTGCTGACAAAGTTTGTTAGGTTTCTTCGGTCCGGGTCTTGAACATAGTCACAACGCGGCGACTGAGGATAGATCGGTGCTTGCGGCTCAACCCCTCGAGGTATATACCCTTTCAATGACCCAACAAGCGACAGTTCGAGGTAGATGATGTTACTCTCATAGGGCTGATTGTGCGCGTCTCGGATGCCAGCCACGCAGACGCGGATCGTGGGACCAGCACATCCTACCCTGTGATAGAACGACGGATGGCCTGGTGCCATTCGATATCTTCGCCATAGCATTCTTGTGCAACTGGTGATGATGCGACCTAATGTTGACTCGTGTGATGTGGGCAATGATGCGGATACTGCGCCGATGGAACCTCGGAAGGCGCTGGCCACGGTTGCCCCAGACGGCAGGAGCTACTTTCTATGGAAAGAGCACCCAGGCGCACCAACCTTGGAATCTGCCCGTGGCCCCCGGGAGCTAACGGCGGTCTAGGTTACCTCGACATGCAGGGCTATTCAGGCGGTGGAATTCGTCTGGGCTCGATGCGAGTGGACAGGTGGAAGCCCCAATGGAAGACAACGGATACCTCCCTCCATCATCCTCGATCCCAGCTTCTGATGGGATGAAAACAATGTGGGGAAGGCGGTCGATGAAGCGGCTTGTCTCTGGTCGCGATCATAATCCACACCTGCCCCTGATCCATGGCAAGGTCACATCTTGAGCCGCCGTAGCAGAAATGCTCGGAGAGCAGCTCGACTCAGATCTAGAAATGGTGGTTAGGGCTGTATCCGACCGTTGATTAAGGGATATGATATCTTTGATGCCAACCATGATCCCCGCAGACCGCAAGAGACATTTGAAGGTGTGTCGTCATTCATGTTATACGGAGTAGGAGGACGTGAGAAGCAACGGTGGCCCATTTTACTACCGCGCCGTCGTATTGTAGCATTCGGTACATGATCTCGGTTGAAGCATACCTAGGTAGAAAATAGACATTCGTTCGGAGTCGCGACGGACGGGCAGGTGCGGTGGGACGGCAAGCAGCCTGACTTGAGCAGGTCTGGAGAGACGTTCCCGCGGGCACGTGAGGGCGTGCCTGCCAACCTTGGAAGGCTCAATGCCGTCTGCTTTTGCGCAACGGGCTGCACACCTGGGCAGCTAATACAAATTCGAAGGTGACGGCGGCTTGCATTCACTGCTGCTTATGGTGAGGGTGGGTGTGGTCGTGGGCTTTGTCTCGCTGCATTCTGCCCTCTGCCCTTGTAGCCGAGTGTGGGTTGGTTGGCGGCGGGCCGAAAATCTGCGAGCACACTCCCATCGTACGCCGTGATATTTCTTTCCATCTTGCGGCTCCGTCGACGCCGCTCGACCTCCACTTCAGCCCGGCATTGCCCTACTTGCCTCCGCTTCGTCGCACCGCAGCCTCGTCCTCTCTTGTCCCGCCGCCTCGCACGCTGGATTCAGGGCCGTAACCCCTCGCCTGCGTCTAGCCGCCGCCGGGGCGCGCGTCATTCACCACGCAAACCGCTCTGCAGCTCCCGCCAAAAAACTAGACAACCGAGCCTTCATAATATTGGAGAAGATGATTGTGGACCCGTAGGGCGCACCGACGAGCGAGCTGGTACGTAGCCTCGCCCTGTCAATCCGTCCTAGAGCTCTGCCCAGGTACATCGAGCTAACAGTGTATGGCACGAACAGATCTAGCTTGAGCCATCGCCACAGCCAACCCCCCCTCTTTCCTCGCCGCCGCTGCAGTGCACCAATTCGCCCTCTGCCGTCGCTGCTCCGAAGCCCATATATTGCGGGAGTCGCTGCGCGTCGCTCCTTCCCCGCAGTGCAAACAATCCCACACCATGGCGTGGCAACCGCAGGAGGAGCCTCTGCGCCAGCTCGCGCAGTGTCTCCGAGACTCGCTCAGCGGCCAGGACCAGAATGCGCAGAAAAACGCCGAAATCGTATGTGTCCCGTCGCTCGCTCGCTGTGCCTGCGCTAACCTCCCGCCGCTCTACAGATGCTGAAAACGGCCAAGACCTCGCCCGACATCGACAAATACCTGGCCTACGTCTTTTCAAACGGCCAGCCTCCGCCGGCAGTAAACATGGACGCCACCGGCTACTTCCAGGCCCGCGCTGCCGCAGCCGTCATGTTGAAGAATGACATCAAGTCCTCGTACAAGACCATCCCCGAGACGTCCAAGTCCTACATACGCTCGATAATATTGGTCGGCCTGCAGGACCCCAACTCGCAGATGCGAGGCTATGCGGGGAACGTCATCACCGAGGTCGTGCGTCAAGGTGGCCTCATGGGATGGCCGCAGGTTCTGTCTGATCTGATCGCCATGGTCAGCAACACGGACGGGAACGTCTCACAACAAGCTCAGGAGGGCGCCATGAGCGCGTTACTGAAGATCTGCGAGGACCACAAGCGCGCTCTTGATCGCGACTACCAGGGCCAACGGCCCCTGACCTTCCTATTTCCCAAGCTCCTGGAGTTCACCACGAGCCCTCTACCCAAAGTGCGCGCCGACGCCCTCTCCAGTATCAATTTGTTCATTCCAGACAAGCCTCAGGCCGTTGTAGCGAATATAGATGCATTGTTACAGCAGCTCTTTCGCCTCGCAGGAGATTCGAGCGACGAAGTACGGAAACACGTCTGCCGTTCCTTCGTTCACATTGCGGATATTGCGCCGCAGAAGATAGTACCCCATATGGAGGGCTTGGTGGACTATATGGTGACGCAGCAGCGCAACGTCGAGAATGCAGATCTAGCCCTGGACGCCGCCGAATTCTGGTTATGCGTCGGCGAGGACGAAAAGATGCGGAACCACCTCGGGCCTTATCTCGCGAAGATCGTGCCTGTTTTATTAGAGAGCATGGTATACGGCGAAGATGACATACTGCGTCTGGAAGGCGAGAGGGACGATGCCGAGCTCGAAGACCGAGAGCAGGATATCAAACCCACCTTCGCTGCTAGCAAATCGGCCCGGCTGACGACCAATGCCAATGGGGAGACTACGAACGCCAACGGGACTACCGTCCCGTCTAGCACTGGAGTTGACGATGACGATTTGAGCGATGGTGAAATCGACGAATTTGATGACGACGATTCTATTACCGGTGACCCAGAAGAACAGTGGAACCTCAGGAAATGTTCAGCCGCTGCGCTGGATGTGCTTGCGTCGGTCTTCCACGAGCCAGTATTCCAGGCCACGCTCCCATACTTGACAGAGAATCTGAGTCACGCGGAATGGCCGAACCGAGAAGCAGCTGTTCTTGCCCTCGGGGCCATCGCCGACGGCTGCATGCCAGCTGTCGAACCACACCTGCCGATGCTCACCCCTTACCTGATATCGCTCCTGCAGGACAGCGAGCCTGTTGTCCGGCAGATCACCTGCTGGTCTCTGGGGCGGTACTCTGGATGGGCGTCGCATCTTGATGAGAGTGGTAAACAGCAGTTCTTTGTGCCAATGATGGACGGAATTCTGCAGAGGATGCTTGACAGTAATAAGCGAGTCCAAGAGGCAGCGGCATCTGCCTTCGCAAACCTCGAAGAGAAAGCGAACAAGCAGCTCAGCGTCTACTGCCCTATTATTGTCCACCAGTTCGTCCAATGCTTCGCGAAGTACAAAGACCGGAACATGTTCATCCTCTACGACTGCGTTCAGACGCTCGCTGAACACGTCGGCCCCGCGCTTGCTCAAGACGAGCTCGTCAGCATCCTCATGCCCGCGCTTATCCAACGCTGGAACAAAGTCTCTGATCAGTCGAGGGAGATGTTTCCACTGCTCGAATGTCTCTCGTATGTTGCCACAGCGCTTGGGTCGCGCTTTTCGCGGTATGCGTCTGGCATCTTCACCCGATGCATCAACATCATCCACCGAAATCTCGAGGAGACTATGCTCGCCGAGACCAATCCAGCTCTCGATATACCGGATAAGGACTTCCTGGTGACTGGCCTAGATCTGGTCAGCGCAATCATTCAGGCCCTCGATCTACAAGACAGTGCTGCGCTAGTTGCTGGAGCGCCAAACTTTTTCCAGCTGCTCGCTGTCTGCATGAAGGACCCCAACAACGACGTTCGACAGTCCGCGTACGCACTCCTTGGAGACTGCGCTATCTATGTCTTCCCTCAACTGCAGCCCTGCCTGCCGGAGATTCTGGATATTCTTATCGCACAGTTGGAGCTCTCGCAAGTCATGATCGATGCGGAAGAGACGGGCTACTCAGTCATTAATAACGCATGCTGGTCCGTCGGCGAGATCTCAATGAGACAGAAGGATGGGATGCAGCCTTACGTGGAGAGACTTACCCACAAGATTGCAACGATACTTTTCGACGAAAAAGTGCCAGAATCGCTCAACGAAAACGCAGCTATCGCCCTCGGAAGATTAGGAATAGGTTGCGCGCAGTACCTTGCTCCGCACCTCGCTCAGATTGCTCCTCCCTTCTTGCGAGCAATAAAAAATGTGATGTGGACCGACGAGAAGGGGCATGCTCTAACTGGCTTCATGCAGATTATCCTCGCAAACCCTTCCGCAATGGAGCAGTGCCTCTTGGAATTCTTCGACGAGATGTCGCTGGCCGAACGTAACCTTGTGACTGGGCCCACCGAGGATCACAAGGCGCTCCGGGAGACGTTTCAACAGGTGAGTACAATGAGTCAAACTTCTAGACATGGGCAAGAAATTAAGATCGTCAACAGGTTATTGAGCAATACAAGAGCATGATTCCAGACTTCGACGCCTTTCTCCGAAGCCTACCACACCAGACTAGATTTCGCGAGCTGTACGGCGTCTGAATACGATTTCTATTCTTTTACATGTGGCTGCAGGCGTTGGGGGTGAAAACGAGCTATAGGACGAGACGGCTTCTGACGGTTCGCGGGGGCTTCGGACACCGTGGCAGGACAGGGAACATGCACCACCGTATGAGGGTGTGCATCACGATCTATGAGGCGGAGCGGGATTGGCATCTCATCTATAGACATTTCAGCGACTTTCCTACATCCGGCGAGGTTCTAAAGGGATGACCCCTTAGTTGGTTTACACTCAAAGCAAGCGACTGTTACTCGACATTTCTCGGCGTTTTCTTTTGGACGCGCAACAAACGATACATAGCCGTAGGTAGCCTTCCGTCACTCAAACGGGTTCGATATTCATTTCAGAGGTCGGTTCCCAGTCGTGCTTGCGGTAGCGGCGGTGGTTGTGCAGATCAAACCTGCACGAAGTCCGAAGCCTCACAGCGTTTCTGGACCAGGATGCCGCAGCGGAAGGGCGTTACCGTGCTTCCACAGGGGTTGGCGGGCAATTCTGTCTTTCACGTTAGTGACGAGGTGTTAAGGTCTCGGGTGAGGTTCGCATTCCCTAACTTGTCCAAGCAAAGTGCATGCAGACTGGAGACTGCATCTCGACACCGTTCAACCACGTTCCAGACCACGCGACGGCAAGGGCTCAAATTCTATAAATACAACCGGCAATGTTGACCATCGGCCTGGGAAATGTCCGTTCAGCTCGTCAAGGGTCAATTTAAAGAATTGGTTGGCGAGTCGGGAGCGGGATGGGGAATGTGATAACAGTGCGGCGCCAACGCCCTTCCAATGACACAGGTGCCTCAAGAGTCTGCAATGTTGATCATGGTGGAGATGAGAAGTTGGGAGAGGACGAAAATCGCAGCTAAGAGTTACTATATTCGATACTAGAAGGTCACTTTTTGTTTCAGAGCGCGAGCCGCTGGCCAAGACTCTGGTCTGGCGACATCCTGGACCAGCTGGAGAAGAGCCACCGAGAGCACAAGTGCGGGACGTCATGAAATGAGTACCGGTATGGAGAAGATCGGAGGCTCTCCCTCTGGACGGTGGTCCGTGGCCGGGTCGGTGGGGACAAGTGTTCGTCGGACTGCTTCTTCTGTGTAGCCTGCCACCTGCTCAGTGACCGGTACTTGTCCACTGTACACTGCTGTCCACGCCGGCGGGAGAATATAGTGCTACTTATTTTAAGCTCTTCGGCGACGTTCGAAGACTGGTTCTGCGGGCGCCGTGGGGCGCTCTGGGGCAGCAAAACGTGTGGCTTGCAGGCAGATGGAACGTTTTATTGCGCGCTGAACGTTCTCCCTTCACGTCGTGCCGGCTTGGCAACATGTCCACATCTTGCGAGACAGGCGTCAGCAATGCAAGATGCGGAGCAGGAATGGAAGCGGGATTCTGGCGACCCTGGCCTCCGTCCCCAGAGCGGCATGGGTGCCCGGGCGCGGGTGCAAGCTTAAAAGAGTTTATCTCTATTAATAGCGCGTGGGCATGGGCTGCTGGGCCAACCTCACCTCGACACCGGGCGACGCTTGTCCCTGCGTGGCTCCCATATCTAGCCGGCGCGCACCTGCAAATACATAATTTCTTCGCTTGAACCTGCTCCCGCGCATTTCGCGATGCCACCTGCGCCCGTGGGCCACAGTGCCTCGGTCGGCCGGCGGCTGCCTATTGGCCGTGGCGGGCTTCTTTGTCCCCCGAGCCCTTCGTACTTCGCGTCTTTTGCTTCTTTGCTCGGGCGCGCATGGAATGGAATGAATTCCGACACGCGGAATGCGCGGCCACAGCAGCAGCCCTACATGATACAGACGTCGAGGCTCTCGGCCCCAGGTGGGTTCCTACGGCGGCGGCGGCTCTCGTGGCACGCAGCACGCACCGCCCCTTTGGGCTCGCGTAATTACCACGTCCACGTCCAACGCAGTAGTCGCCCAATTTTACATGCACCAGCTATTGCCCAAAAGATGCAGGCGGAGGATTGCGGGCCATTTAGCCAGGCCTGTTGGCAGGAGCAGCAACAGGCGCGGGGCCCTGAGTATGGGCGCGCGCGCGCACGTACGTAGTAAGGCATCAGGCAGGCAGGCAGTCAGTTCTGTCTGTCCATCCGTCAGTAGCAGCGGCAGTGTGGTCTCGCGACCGTCACGGCGTGGATGTGCTCTACTGTATCGTCGCAGGCATCCAGCAGCGCGGCGGAGGAGGACGGACGGGCCTCTTTTTGTCTCGTCTGGTGACAGGCTGCTGGCGGCGGGCAAGCGATGACGGGCGGGGCGCTATTTTTGGGTGGCCGCCGATATTGGACCCCAGTCCCGCCAGCCTTTAGCGATCGCTCTGCTGCCTCGCCTCAGCACCCTCTCCCATCCTGCCCCCCTCTGATTTGCCCGCCCCGGCCGCGGCCTCATCAACGTGAATTGCGCGCTGCAACTCGACTTGCACTCCCCACCGCACGCCCGCGCGCCGCCCTCCCAGAACGGCACCCTCTCAGCGCCCCATCCGGCGCAGAGCTGACTCCTTTGTGCTCCTCTTTATTGCCTGCGCGCGGCGTCGAACTGCCCAGAGCAGCCTGGTCGCGCCCCGGCGCCCGCTGCCACTGGTCCATTGCCTCCTCTGCACGGCCCGTGGACTGCCGGCCATCGGCTCACTAAACCAGCCGTTTTACGCCGCGAGCGCTGGGCACGTTGGCCGTGGCCTGTCTGCACGCTGGCCCAGCGCCCGTCGGAAGGCAGCGAACTGTGGCGGCCCTGCAGACCGCCCGCCCAAACGTCCAGACAGGCCTCCGCAGCATCCCAGAACCGGCGGCATGACAGGGGCACCTGCTCAAAGGCCGACGGCCTCCATGTTCGCAGAGCGCCCCAGGCCTGGGGCTGCTCACGGCAGGGGTTGCTCAGGCCACGATGTTGCTGCAAGCCGAGAAATGCTAAACTGCAATCCGCTGAGACACCTTACCTCCAGCGGACTGGCGGGAGACACTCTGCTGGAGCCTGAGCAGCTGTGCTCCAACGGGGGTCCATGGCCCTGGATAGAGCTTGATCTCCACGGGAGTTACACCGGGGCTATGTCATACGAGCATGAGCCAGCGGCCACGACGGTGAATCACTCTATCGCCGTGCTATAGCTCCCGCTACACATTCTCTCCCCAACCCTGCTAGCCCCTCCCGTCTCGCCGTTAACCGGCTGCCAGCTGCTCCCCTCTCGTGGCCACGCTGCTATTTGTGGGCTGCCTCTCTCCCGCATCATTGACAGGGCCCCTCCCCTGACCTCTGTCTCTCTGCACAGAAGCACAAGTCGAGTCCGCTTCCATGCCCGCCGTGGCTGCTCCTCGAGCCTGTCCACTGAAGCCTCGTCTGGATCCCGCATAGACCATCTGCAGGGGGCTCCTCCCGTACCTCTTTTTCCATACGCTGTCACCCCTCGTCCATACGTTCGTTGCCTGTCGTCTGCCAGACACAATTCACACCTCTGCTTCAATATCACCACTCAGCCCTACCCAGTGCTAATCTCCCGAGTCGCCTCCCGTGCTATATACATATCGTCAAACATCCGGCACCAGCCTCCAAAACGTCTCCGCCTTTTTCGTCATCGCCTCCCGCACCCCAAGCGCCTCGCTCTATCAACCTCCACCAACATCTGCGGCCCGCAGTTACTCAGCCCCTCGCCTACTTCACCTCCCTTTTTCATCTCAACTAGCGCCCTCCAGGAGCACTCGACAGTAAACTATCCACTACACACTTATTCCAAACACCCCTCAAACCCATCTTGTGCATCACTGAAGGGCCTTTCCTCCCTCTCATCAAATGGCAGGACCCGGTGGTGGCCCTTCGAGGCGCAGTCACACCAAGTCCCGAAAAGGATGCAAGACGTGCAAAAAGAGGCATATTCGCTGCGATGAAACCTTCCCTCAATGGTAAGTCCCCGCAGCAAATGATATCAGACAAAATACTGAGAGTGTGCAGCCGGAATTGCACGAAGCACCAGGTCCGCTGCGACTACATGGACAGCCCGACAGCAATGATCCCTGAGTCTCCAAAGTCTCCCCAGCAACCCAACCTTCTCTGGACGCCCGAGATTGATGCCACTATTGAGCTCTGGCGGCAGACTGGAGAGTTCCCGTTTCCCGAACTGAGGGTGTATCCGCAACCGCAATGGCGCATTTTCCCCAAGACCGACCTGCGTCTCGTCCACCATCTTGCCTCGATCTCGAATGAGATGTTCAGAAATCGGACGTCCAAACTTACTCTCTGGACTGACATGATGCCAAAGTAAGCGTTCGTGTTTTGGCCGTTATTCGTATTCGGCTGTCTGCTGCGAACGAGCCAATCTGACCCTGCTAGATTTCTGAGCCTCGCCGCATCGCATCCTTTCGTGATGCACTCTATTCTCGCATTTTCCGCATCGCATCTGGCGTGGATCAGTCAGTCGAGCGAAACGCGAAATCTCGCGTTTCACCACGCCGGCATTGCGCTGAAGGGCTTGCATGAAGGCATCGCAAACTTCACAAAAGTCAATTCGGATGCGGTGCTCGCGTCTTCTCTTCTTCTCGCATGGCAAGCCACTGACTGGTGAGTCGCGTATCCTGCTGCATTCCAACGAGCAAGGACTGACTGAGTGCGCCAGGCGAGGTTGGGCCTCGTTGGTTACCGGCACCAAGACTGTAGGTGCTACCAGGTCTTCTCACTTACCAGCTGCTAACCAGCTACAGGTCATCCAGGCAATGCAACCGTGGCGGCATGAGTCCATGTTCGCTGACTACATTGCCGAACACAGCCCAATGCCCAACAAGAACTTCATGAACCCGATCAGCTCGCCAATCTCCCAAGAAGCGCGAAGGGAGCACCTCAATATCCTGTCAGATATTCAAAGCTCCTTACAACGACTACAGCCATATCTCAGCCTCAACAGACACGAGCAGGAAGGAAAATGGGTCGACCAGCTACGCGGTTACATCGAACGATTAAGAACGTCTGGCGCCGCGCAAACAACTGAAGAGCAGTTTGGTCAGCTCTACGCTCTCCGGAAATGGCTCTTCTGGGTACCAATATCTCTCCTGGCAGCCAAACGCATGGATGCCACCGTTCTGGTTGTGCTCGCCCACTTCTACGCAACGGCCCTGGCTTTGGAGCCCATGTTCCCGGACATTGGATCCGTCTTCTGCGCGAATCTCGCCCTTGGTCCGTTGGAGGAGATCATCCTAATTGTCCAGGGCTACCAGAACCCCAGCTATGATGACCGGACACAGTCCGTCTCGTATCTGATCCAGTTCCCCAGTGACATGGCTTCCTCCTACAAGACACGGCGGGATTGGCTAAGACAGCAAGCTATAGAAGCCTCGCCAGTGCAGCAGCCACCGTATGGTTTGGAGACGTTGAACCTGGATCTTCAGAATCAGATCGCGCAGTACAGCTACGGCCAGAGTCTAAGTCCAGCCTTCGCGCCCTCGCCGCTCAATTTCTTCCCTACGCCAGGGATGTCGTCCGGCCAGACGTCGCCTTACCTCGAAGTACCGCGTACAACCGTCGAACAATACGGTGGGAGTAGCTTCGCGTCTCCGCTGGGGTCACCTGCAGCTGTACCGCCGCCATATTCGGTACCAGAAGAACATGCATTCAGTTTTGGTATGCCCCCTATGGGATACCACCCCAGCGGGTTCGTGGCCACTCCTACTACAATCTGGACGTAAATACACGAGGCTGAACGATCGTCCAGGGACCCGAAGTTGAAGTCACAGCCTCCCTCCACTGCTGCAACCGCGCCCGACTACGGCAAGGCCCCGGCTCCAGCTACAACAAGATCCTTCGAGGGCCAGAACGCTCCTCAGCAGCAGCTTCCCCCGCTTCAATACAGTCATGCCTGAGATCCACTTCGGGGAGGAAAAGCGAAAGCGAACCATGGATCTCATGACGACTTGGCACGGCTATATCAAGAGGCACGATATCTATCGTCCACATCATACCATCACGAGATGACGAACCATTCGATTCACGCATAGCCCTTCAGAATTTTTAGCTTCCCCGCAACATCTGAAATGTCCTCTGACACTCGACTCGCACGATAACCTTCGATCGTTCAGGACCGGCCCAACGTTAGCTTTCTTGCCGCACGCCCTGCAGCAGCCACTCGCTGGTGGCGCCACGCTCTCGGAACAGCAACCGAAGAAAGGCTATCGATGCCGATTGGCTCCGGGCATGTGTCGGCTTGTCGCAGCATTGATGCATCTTATTTATCTTGCTTTTTATGTACGTTAAGGTTGTTTTAGCTGGCTTGCATCTTTTTTCTTGTGGGGAACCAGAGCCTGGACCCGAGTACAGAACTGGGGGGCGTCGCAGCCTGGCGCCGGCAGTGGCACTGGGCGCCAGATGCGCCAACCACTTCATGATAGCATTGTTAAGGGCGTTTTTTTGGTGGTGGCTTTCGCAGCGTTGCAACGTATAGTTGTTGTTTGGTGGGCATACCCAGAGTACGGAAGTTTGCTAGCGGATGGGGGCATCTTCTATTTTTCTCTTTCAATGTCTCATGTTTTTCTACATTTTTAGCAGCAGCGGCTGAAAGAGCTGAAAAGCTGGAGGGGAAACAAAGGGTGCTGCAAAATTCAAGCATTTCCAAGAGCCAAGACAAGCCTCGATTTATTTGGAGTTTCACCGAGTGCGTCCACTCTGGGGTCACAGGTCACATGGTCGCGCTGCCGGGAAATGACGGAACGTCGGAAGGAAGCTTGGGGAGATGTGGCGTTAGCGGAGGGGGATGACCGGCGAGCAGGCACGTTGTGGGGTGCTTTCGACTTGCTCATTAGAGTGCGCAACAGTGTGATGTCAAAAAACATGGCATGCAATTGATTAAGGGTATCTGCTTTGGGCCTGGTTCTAGATTCCTAGCGCGCATGCTACAGTACCGTGACTTGGGGTGTGCCCTGGTTTGCCTGATTTCCACTCACACTCCACTGCACAGCAGCGCACCATTCCGGGATTGGGGAAGGGGGTGTCCTGTCCTTTCCAATAGCCGCACGTTTGCTGGGCCTGCTGAAAATAGATACCGGCCAATCAGCCGTAGCGAACGGCGAATCGAGATGGCGTAGAACGATTTGCTGTTGCTGTCCGCTGGGGAAAAGACGTTTGTGAGCTATCAAGTCGGCGTTACGTTATGGGCTGCCCCGTGCGTGAGCGCTATCGCTTCGTCTTTGGCCGGTCCGCTGCAGGCGCGTCATATCTATTCAGGCACCAAGCGATCGTCCCGTTGGGTGGGTGGTTGGCAGGCTGGACTTGCGCTTTTCTGAAGAGCCCGCAGACCCTTGGCTTGCTGCTGCTGTGACACAGACACCCTTCCATTCGCGCAGAAGAGCTGCCAGGTACACGCTACCGACATTACGCACAGCGAAAGGGAAGAAAAGCCTCAGGAAGTTGTTGCCGGACGGGAAATCATTCATTTGACGGGACCGCGGCGTGGACTGTCCGTCCGCCCCGCGTTCCTTGTTGTGCTGTGCTGCTGCTGCTGCTGCGGCCGAAATAGCAGGCCCGACTAACCTGTTACAGCAGGGTCTGCGAAAGAGAGGGATTGTCGCTGTGGCAGTGCAGGACTGTGTCGGATTGGATGCGATGGTCGGAGACCGGTGAGGAAGCGGAGCTGTGAGGTTGACCGACTGATGATCATGATCATCAACGACAACGGTGTTAGAAGCAGCAGCAAGGGGGAAGTTGAAACTTGATATCGTTAGAGGATAACGGGCGGTTTGGCGATCATAGAACGCCCGGGCACGTAGTAGTGTGCTACGCTAGCGGCGGCCAGCGGGAGGTATACTGCCCAAGGTATACAGCAAGGCATACAATCCAATACACACTCGCTTCCAGCACTACCTTCCTATGTCTATTCCTTTCTTGCTTTGCCGACATCATATCCATTTTACCCCGTTCTTCCCCCATCATTCCACCATGCTCCTCCGCCCAAAACGGGCTTACTACCGGCTGGGTAGTTCTGTTATCAACAAGGGGGTGCGATATCATATCGTCGGGAAAGTCGCAACGCACGTCTTCCTGCACCTCCTCCGCAATAAAGCTGCACATCCATGACAACCTTTTACCCTTGTGGTGGTTGGGGGGTTAGGCCGCCGATGCCTGTCCCGTCACTCCTGTCTCTGTTTCTGCTGAGCGGGCCATCATCCAGGATGCCTCCCTGTCACCAAAGAAGCCGACCTTTCCACCACATGCAGGGCACGTGCACGGGTAGGTCGGGAGCCAGTGGTAGCGCGCTCGAGTCGCTTACCCCTGTCCCTGAAAAGTGGAGTCGGTGGGAAGGTTACTTGGGGGTGGGACAACAGCGGCTCACCGCGGTTAGACTAAAGTCGGAAGCGGGGGGCGTGATGGTGGCCAGTCCAGCTGCTGGCTTTCCACTTTCTTTTCCTTTGGAGCGGAGCGCCGGCCGCGAAAGTTGCCGAGGATGTTTGCACGCAAGGAGGGTCGACTGCGCCAAGACGGCGGTCGGAAATGAGGATGCACGTGGGCGAGCGTGCGCTGTCGCTGAATTTTCCTGGGTTGGCGGTGGGGAGCCAGGGGTGCTGCTTCATGTCCCTTTTGGTGAGTTTTGTGGTTTGGGGTTTCGTCCTTGCGTTTTGGGCAAGCAGGACTTCTTTTCAACGACCCGAAGTCTAGACGTTTCTTTCCCCCCCAAACCTCATTTCCTGTCGCCCTGAGAGGTCGCCGACTTCTTCTTCATGCGACCAGGCTCCGGCCGGCATTTGGAGACTACTGTGTTTGACTCTCAAACCGAGTTTGGACTAGTAATGGGACGGACAGGTGCCCTTACATTGTTCCACACCCACCCGTTTACCTAACCTACTGTCGAATCTTCACCGGCTTTTCTAGCACGCTTCTAGCTTGCGACGCTTTCATCTCCAGGAGGTCTGGTAGCGGCACTCGGCGCGCTTCGTCCCACGGCGGGCAAGGTCCACGGACGTCAGACCAACACCGAAGTGTGGATGATTACCATTGTAGAACCAGGTTTAAGACGAGTAGCTGTAACGGAGTACCTTCCCGCGGTAAGACGAAGTACCATGCATTCCTCCACAAGAGAAGGCTGTGTACAGAAGCAGTGTCGATCTTTGACCGGACTTGTAACGCTACGGATGCAACTGCCGGATAGCCAAAGGCATCGAGGGGTTTCGATCGGATGGACTTCGCGCCTACCACACTCTACTAGAGGTTGGCATTATTGATAATGATGAGTCTGATAGACTGCCGGGTGAGGGTGACCTGAGACCGAAAGAGACAGAGCAAGCTCAGTGTTATACTGCAATGCGTATCGAGCGAGAAACAGCTGCACTTTCCGTTGGTAGGGAGAATGTACCTGCGAGCCTTCTCGCATCGCCCGAGGAGGGTTTAGCTTTCTATTAGGATGTTCGACCTCTTTTCATTTATTATAGTCATATCCCAGATAAGCAGCATCGTGCTTCGATAGCTTCGAAGAACGCATCTGAGTAAGGATTTCTTACTTGAACGCAAAGCTTAGTTTGCCTCGAGCCTTTCCCAGCCGTATCTTTCCTTCCGAAATTCGTTTTCACTCAGCCAAGATCAGAAGAACAGTATCCCGAGACACTTATGTGCAATATAAATGCTTCCGAAGAAAGCCCCGCTCCGAAATACGTCACCATCGTGGTACCCCATGAGCGAACCGCGTTCCGATCAATCGGAATGGTTCCGAGAGCTTGGGCCCGGGCCGACGTTAACTCCGACGCTAGCCCACTCCATGAGGTAAAGCTTCGCCTTAACACTGTCTCCAACACACCTCAGCCCCAGCTCTGCTACACCAATAATCATGTCCGGAGGCTGGAATACGATCGAGAGCGATGCGGTACGTCTGCCCAGCTTGTTCCATCTCCATTCGGCTGCTGATTCCAGCCACAGGGCGTCTTCACATACCTCATCGAGAAGCTCGGCGTCAGAGATGTACAGTTCGAGGAGCTCATGACACTTGAGCCGGAGGAACTGCGGCGGCTAGGCAAGATATACGGCGTCATATTCCTCTTCAAGTACCCCACTGGTGAGACGCGGTCGGATACACCGAAGGATGGAAGCTTCGACCACGATGCAGCAAACAACCTCTTCTTCGCCGCGCAGACAATACAGAATGCATGCGGTACACAAGCGCTACTTTCGGTATTGCTGAACAAGGATGGAGAAGTCGATATTGGAAAGGAATTGAGGGAGTTCAAAGAGTTCACGGGAGAGTTTCCACCGGAGGTGCGTTGACGCCGAGGGGCATGTGGTGGAACATGCGGCTGATATGCCTCCACAGTTCCGCGGCGAGACGCTGTCGAACTCCGATGTCATCCGAGAAGTGCACAACTCCTTCGCGAGATCATCGCCCTTCATAGACGAGACGCAGCGAACAGCGACCGAGGACGACGACGTCTACCACTTCATTGCGTACGGATATCCCCGCTCGCTCATGCCTCGTATGCTGACACTGAGGTAGCTATACCTCAATAAATAACAAGCTCTACGAGCTCGATGGACTACAACCCGCACCCATCTCCCATGGCGACTGCACCGCAGAACAATTCCCCGACAAAGTCATACCGGTCCTCCAGCGTCGCATCGGCAGATACCCCGCGACCGAGATCCGATTCAATCTTCTCGCTTGCGTCCAAGACCTCCGAATCCGCGCCCGGGAGATAGGAGATATGGAAGCTTTGGAAGAGCAGGAGGATAAGCGCAACGCTTGGCTATGGGAGAACGCTCTTCGGAGGCACAACTTTGTTGGGTTCGTGGGTGAGCTGATGAAAGGTGTTGTGAAGGCGAAGTTAGCACAGGGAGGCGGCGCCTACGACAAATGGGTAGAGGAGGCAAAAGGGAAGACGAAGAAGAGGATGGAAGACCGGAAGAAGCAGGGTATCGCCAGCGATGGTATCGATTGAAGTTGGCATCTCTAGCTCGGAGCGGGCAGCTAGCATAAGGCATCGATGTCTTCGGGACAGGAAAGACCCGGTCGGAGAAGAATTACTCGAACCGACCCTGACTTACTGAAACATATCTAATTATCGTAAGGATCCTCCGTGGGAGTGACTAAAGCGGAGGTGTTTCGGCATGCCCGTTTAAACAGGCACGCCTTTGTCCTGTCAACAGTATTGACAATGTCTTACTAAACTTTGATGCATCGCACACCGGCGGCTCTACAGACCCCCGAAGCGGCGCACTAAGTCGTAGAATGTCTCGCTGACTGAGCCTACCCCGAAGACCTTCCCCTTGTGGCAGCGCCGTGCGAGGCGAATGTAACAGTTGCGCTTTCAGTCCGCGTTCAGTCAGCCTCGCGACATTAATTACTCCGCCCCCTACTCTGCCCCGCTCAATCGCATTATCGAATCTCTGCAGCAACAGAGTTCCTAAATTGACGCTTCCTGGCTTACAGATCTCGACCTTGCACGACCCGGTCAGCTATTCGGCCCGGTTGCACGTCATCTTCCCGCTTTCAGCAACCTGGCGATAACAAACCCGGGCGTCCCGGCGAAGCGGACAATGGATCGGAGGATTTGCACCGGGGATCGTGATGTCGTGCCCGAGCTTAGTCTGACGTCGGGCTGAGGTGCTGTACCACGAGCGATGTGCGATATAGTCTCGACAGCGCAGGCGAGAACCGGCTTAGGTTTTCGGGAATCTTGGAATGGGTATTGCTCATCCTAGAGGCTTTCAGGGGGCGTTGGGACTTGTGCGGATCTCTGTGCGTGTAAACCTGCCCTCATGCGCATTGCTCGGCAAGACGTACCGAAACGGTGCTCAACGAACCGCCCAACGCCCGCACAACCGCGTCTGAAAACTCTCTGCATCTGTGGAACGTAAGTGCAGAAGATACCTGAAGCAGAAATTCTATGAACAAGCTAAATAGCAAGGTAGATAAGCTAGTCTTGGTTCAGTCCATAGGACCTTAAGCCTCCTACCCGCGTCAAGGGGCCAGCTACTAGGAGGTATAGATGGCGGGGAAAATGGCAGATATATGGCAAGAAGGAAGGAAAAGAAACAGAAGAGAAAGGGGAAGACTTACCTGGAACTGACTAACCACTTACCTAACCCGTTATCCTCCTCCACACTCCGAAACCTGATCTGCATGATGAGTTAGCAAAGCATAGTCTTTTCTCTTCAAATATTGCGTTGCCTACCTGACTTCTCCTCCACCACATGACCGTGGGCACCTTCGCGCTCGTTAAACTCCGTAACGGCGACGAGGCATTTCCTACACCAGCAATTAGCAGAAACGGGGGCGCGAGCACTCACCTGCTCCTTCTCCTTCAGCCACCCCGGGATGGGTAGCTCTTCAGGGTGCGGCGCTTTCCCTTTGCACAATCAATTAGCCTTCCTCTTTCATTTTCCTCACAGCTTGCTTCAAGAGACGCTCAGAAGAAAGAATGACTTACACCACCCTGGCATTGCATAGTATGCCTTTTTCTTCTCGGCTTCGCACCGCCCGCACGCTCGCGGCGGCCAGCAAATATGGGCTTTCTCCTTCATGACTAACTAATGCGTATGTGAGCAGTTCCTTGACTAATGTAAGGAAACAAGGGGATACTTAGCTGAATTTCTGAAGAGCTTTTACGAGCTGTGAGCGTGGTGTATCTTCCTTGGTGAAGAAAGGAAGAAAGAAGGAAATGGGTGGATATTTATTCCCTTGATTAGTGGACCAAGCTGGAACCATGGACTCCTCGCTTAAGCGAGCCGATTTTTGGAGGGGAGTCATTTCTTTCCGTCTCTTTGGGTTGCTGGCGTTTAGCCTAGGTTTGGGTTAAGGTAAAGGCCATGGTTGAAGGGACGTTGGGTTTAGACGTACCGCTGTTTGTCATAGGCTAATCCTTCCTTCCCTGTCACCACTTTTCGAAGCTGAACTAAACATACTATAGGAGTTGTTTAACTTTTCTTCAATTATCTTTTTCTATGACTATTTAGGCCCGGAAATTAGAGCGAAGTTCATCTCTAACCCCAAAGTCTCTTCCGTAGCCTCCTCACGCCTCTCCTGCTGCGCCTCTCGCTCCTGCTGCGCCTCCCGCTCCTGCTGCTCCTGCTGCTCTTGCTGCTTCTTCGCCCTCGTCAAAGGCCGCGGTCCTGGCGCATTCAGAAGGCCTGCATTACCGCGGCGCCCGGCTGGGGACTCGCGAGCACGAGTCGAAGCAGAAGCACTGCGAGACGCCTCGCCTCCACCACCTCCCCGACCTATACCCGCACTGCGCTTAGCACCCGCGATGGTTTCCGGAGACATGGTTTCAGGGTCGGAGGCATCATCGCTACCGTGAACCGTCTCACTAGACAGTATGGACCGGCGAGAGGACTGCTTCTTGGACGCCGATCTCGCATTCGACTTCACCTCCCCGGCGTCCTTGCTCGTCTTCGGCTTCTTCTTCCGGGGCGGCTTCGCGGCCTTCTCCGCGGCTTTCGCGTCCTCGACTACCAGCTTCTCCTGGAGCTCTTTCGACGCTGCGGTGACATCGAATCCGGTTGGGACGACACCGGCGGCATGTTCGCGAACGTCTTGTTCATGGCATCGAGCTCCTCGATCGTCTGCAGCTTGCGCTTCGTTGGAGTAGCCTTCGGCGTCACACCCAAGTCGGCGTCCGTCTCGAACATGTGACCCGCTGTCTGTGTCATGATCGGGGTCCGATCGTCGCCCGTGACCTCCACATTTCGAAAGCCAATGTTCTGGAACTAATAGGCCAGGACCTCCGTTGGAGTCAGAGTCTTCAGCTCCTTCGCAGCCGCTGGGCACTGGGGATGCTCCCTCTGGAAGAGGGTCCCGTTGTAGAGAACAAAGCCCTCTAAGTCGCGGACCGGAACCGTAATCGACCCATCACCGCGGTCGTACAAGTCGCTCAGCTTTTCTTGAGATACCATAGCCGCGAGCCCGGCGAGAGCATTCCTGGTCGACGACATGATTTGTTGCTTGTTGAAGCTGCCTTCCACGTATATCTGGACAATGAAGCAATCCTGCGATTGCCCAAAGCGTACGATCCGGCCGACCGATTGGACTAGGAGCATTATGGTAGCAATAGAACAACTAAGGGGAAGGAGGGGGTTCGGCTCTTGCACCATTTAACACATAACGAGAAGAGTAGTCTTTAAACCAAGCCTTACCCTCCCGACCAGCTTTGCACGAGCGGAACTCTAGAGGATGGACTTGGCTTGAAGTGAATTTGTGGGAGGTCTCCAGGATGGATGCATAGTTGGCAATTGCAGACGAACAGCTGCGTTACTTATAAAGCGACGCAGCTAGAAGCATATGTACCTCTCATCCATTGACCGAGCTGATTACTGCTTAACCATTGAAGGTCCCCGGGCTCCCTTATACATGGTTAGCTGGCTGCGGGCCCGATGTAGCGAAGCACATGACGAACTGGCCGAGAACGCATCAGGAGGTAAACGAGAAAACCCGTATATTGAGCACTATAGCTCACGTGTATTTCCACTCCATTGCTATCTATTGTATCTGCCATTCATCGCACCACGCCAAGTCCATGTGCAATTTGCTTACCGATCCATCCACCTACATCTCGAATCCTCCGTGAAATCCAATCGTCGGCTAGCCAAGAACTCCACGCTATGTAAAAAGGGGCTGAAACGCTGACAGAAAGGCAGAGATAAGAAAACCAAAGTGATGGAAAGAGGCTGTGTACATTACGTCGTGGGGCATACATGCTGTCGTGAAAAGGGGCATTATACTCATAAAGGGGTAAGGAAGCGAAACGCGACCGTCAAAGGATGGAGAGCGTGAGGCCACGACATATTCCGGTGAGCTGACCGCTTTTTTGAGAAATTCGCTGGCACCTGTTGGTTGAACAAGAGATCCGCCTCGTCAGGCGCTCCTAGACGGAAGGATCGCATGGGCTGTGCATTAGCGTGCTTCTGCCACCACCATCGGCATTTGCATTCGACATGCTCATAGCTCATCCTTCTCATGCGAGCCTAGAGGATCTTCTACTGCCCCCTCTGCGTTCTGGGGAGGGGATTCTGAAATGTGATCTGCCTCCAACGCCTCCGCAACAGCAGCCGAGGTTGACACAGATGGCGCCTCATCTGATTGCATCGGAGAAAGTATCTCTTCGGGCTGAGCGGGTCTAACGGATGCAGAGGCGGTGCCTGATGCCGGCTGAGCATTTTCTGTGATCGCTGGTGCCGACAAGGATGGAGACGCTAGCGACAGATCGGCCTCGTGTGACACGACTTCCGCGGTTCTACACGGGCTTTGCGAATCTGTAGAGAAAGGAACATGCGCAGAGCTCTCTGGTATTGAAGAGATCACATCTTCCGAACAGGAGATTCGAAGGTTAGACTTATCGATTGGTACCGCCACGGAGGACTGGGCAGGAATGCTTTGGTCGCTCCTCGCCGGCCGTAGCTGTGTGACGGTAAGCGTGGAGATGGACGTCGCGGTTGTGGTGGCGGAGGAAGTCATAACGAGGGACGAAGTCGGGTCGGGCAAATGCGGCAAAGGAATGTCGGATACCGTCGATAGCGAGGAGCGTGTGCTCCCATCAGGTGTCTTATTCATCGATAAGAAGACCACCAAGACGCTGAGCAGTAAAATAAAGAAATTCCTTTGGTCGCGTAGAAGGAGAAGAACGTAGTTTTTCAGGAGCGTGCCGAGAGGGATCTCATCCATGTGTGGTTGGTGTGAGCGGCAGCGAGCTCGGCCACGGGATACACTGCGCGCTTGGCGCTCCTCAGCGGGGATATCAGACACTGGAGGTGGCTGCGGGGATGATTTCTCCTGCTCTTTCTTCAATGCCTCCTCCATGGCCCGTAGTCGTTCGGCCACTGAATGGGCCTCCGCAAGCGCTTGAGCCTCGAACTCCAGCCTGATGGTCTCCTTTGCCTCTTCAATTTTCTCATCCAGCGATTCTTCTAGTCTCCTCTTTTCGGCTGCCTCTTCCTCCAACTTCTTTTGTAAGGCAGCTGCTTCAGCCTCGATTCGTGTCTGTAGCTCCGCTTCGTCCGCTCTCCTCTTAGCTTCTGCCTCCTGCTCCAGCTGCCTTTGCCGCGCTGCTTCCTCTTCCATCTGGAGCTGTAGTTCGGCGGCGTACAGCTGCTTCCTCCTCATGGCCTCCTTCTCCTCTTCCATTCTCTTCTCTAAGGCTTTCCTGACCACTTCAGGTATCCAGGGTGATATCTCGACGTCGCATCTCTCCATCTCGCTCCAAGCTGCTGACCATGCACCCGCGCGCATCAAGCCGTTTGCTGCATATATTTTGAGGTCCCATCTCTTCGTGCCACGACCGACCCCTTTGCCGGGCCGCTTCACCTGCCGGTGACAGTCCGTGCAAATGCTTTCGTCATCGGCTTCAGGAGTCGGATAAGCCCATTCAGCCTCCTCTTCAGCGGTTACCGTGCCTCCGCTCATCCCGCTCATGCGACTGCCTCGTCCTGTTACGTCATCGGTCACACTGCGTACATCCTCCACGTCATCTCCCTGATCATCTATATCCGCTTCCGGACCAACGAAATGCCCGCATTTGAGCAGTCGCGGTGTCTTCAACTCCAGGCTCTCTAAGATCCTCTCCTCCAAGACATCGTATTCCTCCCTCGGATGCGGTATCAACAGTCCTCGTCGCATTAACACAATATCCTGCAGCTTCTCTTCCAATATCTTGTAGTTCTCCACTAACCACTCTGGCATCACCTTGACCATCAGCTCATGAGCATATGGCATTTGCATCGGGAGTATCGTAACGTGAAGCAGCACCAGAGGCAGATGTTGCTGCGGCGTTGGTGTATGTCGTGGGCTCTGATGCGCCTGAGACTCCCGGTGAACACTATCTCTATGGGAGCGTGGTCGCCTTGACCCCGTGGTGGAAACGCTCTCAGACCTCCCGCTCTTGCTAGGCGTCGCAAGCTTGTATGATCCCTTTAGGCGCTCTCGGGAGGTTTCGAAGGCAGGCAACGGCGGCGGGGAGGACATCTGCATGGCGCGGACGGAGGACGGATTGCGAAACGGCAGTCGTTCTTTCCGCGGCGTATATCGTGTCTCGACGCCATTGCCTGGTACCGCGGGTTTGGAGGATATCGAGATCTCGGACGGAAGCGATGAGATGAAGCTAGTTGTCGTTACACCCGAAGCGCGACGCGATTGCGAGGTTGAGAGAATTGGCGGTCGCGAAGTGTATGAGGATCTATATGGCTGAGGCTCGGACTCTTCGTGTTCATCCTCCGTCTCAATGCTAGGGATAACGTCATCGGCCCCTGGCAGCGATATTTCAGAGTTGAAGGACACGTCGCCTTCGTACACTTCTGACGGCGAAGGAGGTTCTTGATCTTCTGGGTCTTCATAAATAGCGAATGGGGGAGCACCCGGCGGAGGCGTGTGGTGAATCGTGGTCATGGCGAATGTTTGTCGCTTGTGCGACGCTCAACGGGTGTCACTCGAGAATCGGCGTGCAAATCGAGCGAAGGGAAAAGTGGAGTAAGGATATAACGATTGCTCAGAATCAATTGGCAGCAGACCTGGACTGTATTGTTCCGCACTAGTGCTGTGGTGCGGCTTTGGCGCGTTGGAGTTGAGATGTTGATGTTTTGGTTCGGGAAAACAAAGTTCCGCCGTTGCAGGGGGTAACCGAGAGTGAATGTTGACCTCCCCTGCCACACCCACTTACAACTCACTCTGGAGCGCTAACGCTAGTCTGCCACTCAGACGGTCCCCAATGGCTTTAGAACTCTTCCCAAGCGCGCGCCTCTTCCTAGGGCCTAGCGATGCGCTCTATGGTTATGACAGGATTTGGATTATCATTTACGAAGGTACATCTTCTTGAATGCTCGCAGCACGGTGTGGCTACCATAGTCCTAACTCTATCCAAGGATACCGTGACTTCATCGGGAGGAATGGCGAAGACAAGGAAGATTTACGACTCCTTTCAGCAGCCCTTGCCGAGAAGAAGAAATGTACTGGTCAATTCTCTTCTGCACTAATTTGAGAGCTGACATGTAATGCAGGGCGCGCACGACGCTTGCTTATCAATACTCTGACGGATAGCGACCCAACTAGGATGCCGGATTGGTGGCAGAATCGATATGACCGTGCGAAAACGCCTCGAGCGAACGCAGCTTTAAATGGCGACACGCCCCTGGTCTGGACAATCGATTTCGATCAAGATCGCGTCTTCTACGACCGAGATGGCTTTCACCTGGTGCGCGAGCTCAATACATCCGACGGCCGGCCTCTACGACTGCGTCAATTCAAGCCATATGTACCTCTGAAGCTCTCTTCGAGGCCTACCACCGCATCCTCCGCAATATGCTCCCGAGAAGTTGCACCTCAAGACGTAATTCCAAAGCAACTGTTCGACCTAGTGTACCGCATCACATCTGACTACGAACTTAACTGGAGGGAGGCGGGATACAACGTCGAAGATTACGGACTTACCCAGCTTGCCATGGGTGTCCTGAGTTGCTGTATGTTGGGGTACACATGGAATAATAATTTGTATATCCGCTAACCATCATTCACATGTAGTCACGCTCAATTTCCAATCCCTCACGATTCATCCCAATCAACTCCACTGGAACATGCGAAACTGGCGCGAGGGTGTCTGCCCCGAGAAGCTGCTGCACTGGCGCGCGTGGCCAAGTCCCCAGATCGTGCCGGCCATCTATCTGAATGGAGTTTACTTCATCTTCACAGAGCGCATTAGCGACGCTATGTCCCTTGTGAACGACCACTACGTCGACGTAGCGTTTGACCCTTCTAAGCATATAGCGGATACCGATTTCTTTTCTGATACAACCTGGTGCTGCAACCCGACCTGCAACATCACATACATCGTAACCTCGATCACCCACATTCAAGTCTATCGGAAGGCGCAGAGGAGCGTCAAATGCACGCCCGTAGAGCCGTTCTTCGATGGTCAGAACCCTCCCTCCGAAATCGCTGTACGCTGGATGCTAAATGCAATCCACGGAGATGCATACCCGCTCACTACACGTATCCATAAGCTTCCTCTCGAGCTGCAAGAGATGATACTCGACTACGCCTCTGGCGGCGAGATCGACCGGGCTTACTACGCAGGTATTCTCGGTCTCGGCATCCCGTTCGAATGGAAGAGCGGCGGCATGCCACTCAAACGCCTCAAACTGTCAAAGAACAGGAAAATTAGCGAGACGTTCCACGAGCAGCAAATACACTTCTGGAACAACTTCGTTGGGATAACGTATCAGCCCGACGACGGGCGAGCCCCAAGCCGCTCGCCGGAGCCTGACTTCTCCGAGTATGAAGAAGATGAGCTGCTGTAGGTGGATTTATTTTTTGCTATCCACGGTGTACGACGAACCCCTTGGAGATTTGAGAACAAGTGGCAGGGTTCGCCCTTGGAGCTGTCATACACCCTCTTCGGAGCGTGTCTCGCTAGTTTCGGTACTCTATGTTGACTTCGGAGTTTCTTTGTTTCACGTAGAGAGGAACCTCTATGCTTTCCACACATGTGGAACTTCGTTCCACTTCGCAAGCTCCTAGACCTAATTTCCGCGTTCTTTTCAGTTGATCACATTGCCAAGGAGCAGCGTTGAGTACCTATAAACCCCAAATATATCACATTTCCGTTCATTTAAATTTTCATATGGACTTTATTCGTGAGTATATATATGAATTATGCAAGTATCAATCATATGTAACAATTTAGTTCGAGGCCTCTCTGGCCTCGTAGAGCGAGCTCAGCTCAGCTCTTCGTGTATGCTTTGAAACGCTTCAGAATAAGACAACAACAAAGATGCTCTTTGACATCAGCTAGTCAAAGCAAGGAACAAAGCCCGAGCATGAACTTGCCACAGTGCCAAGTGGGACTCAATTTTCTTTGTCCACCTTCATCATACGGTCTGATTGAAAGACGTTATCCGCCTAACAATAGTTGCACCGATCCTTCTTACGAACCCTATGGCTATCGCCCTTCACGCCAAGCACATCCACATCCTTCGACGCGCGCCGCTGGGAGCGGCGCAGGCTAGTACGCGGCGTAACGATGTCAGTGTCCGATGCTCGCTCCTCATAGCCATACATTTCGACGTCATTCGGCGGCGCCTCAGTATCATACGTCTGGCTTTTTGTGACGGGCTGCTGTGCAAACGACGCGCGCTTGCCGGCGCCAAAGGAGCTATTGCGTGAACCGGGAGTCCGCATAATACCCGTATTGTTGGTGAAAAGGCTGGAGTGGCGGCGATTGAGACCCTCGGCTTCGAAGAGCGCGTCAAGATCCACAGCTTCCAGATTCGGATCGGTGAATTTGCCGACGGAGCTGCGGCGGCGGGTGGGTGGTGGGAGGGCTGGAGGCGCGTAAGCCTCGCGGTGACCAGAGGGGTTGGGCGGCACGTAAGAGTTTGCGGGCTGGTAGCCTTCGGGGATCTGGCGAGATGCAGAGCGCGTGCGACGGGAGGTTTGCGGACCTTCAGGATCTTCGCGGTAGTTTGGTTGCCGTCGGCGTGAGGTTCGAGCGCTGCGCCGAGTAGGCGGTGTGTACGAGTGCTGACGTCGGCGGCGATCCCACTCGTCGCTGCTCTCATCATCGTCGACATTCCATGCCTCTGGCTGCTCGCGTGCCTTGCGAGTACGAGGACCCTTACGAGTTGAGGGGTCGAACTCCAACTGGGTTTTATGAATCAGCTCGGTCGCTTCCTCATTAAGCCTGTGGTCTTCATCATCCAGCTCCGCAATCTTGCGCTTCTTGCCCTTACCCTTACCCTTCGCCCGGGCCTGCCGCTGACGGAGAATTTCAGCGAAGAGAACTTCCAAGTTGCCGTGGTTGACAAGTAGATGGGTGGGTGTGTAACCGCGTTCCTCGAACTGACGGATCTGAGCGGGAGGCCGGGCGCGAGCCTTTTGATGGTGCATATGGTAGGTCAACGTGTCCTCATGCGGTTTTGGCTGGCCCCTATAATCATTATGGCGAGGGTAGTTTTCAAAGCCCTCGAGCTCTCGAAGCTGGCCGTCCTTAGCCCATTTGACAAAATCTTCAGCAATGCTGCATTCAGGGTGTCCGGCAAGCGTGGCAGCAAATTTACCCTTGGGCTCCCCGCTAAGCTGACGCATGTCGACGTCGACGTGTGCCTTCCGACAAATGTACTCGAAGTCTAGGAAGCGCTCCATGCAGTAGAGATGGACATATCCAGAGGCGGCAAGGTGGGGATCGTAGTTATTCTTCGATCCAAACGACCGTTCATCGAATGCGACGCGGTAGTGGCCATGAAGAATAGTGCCTGTCTGGTGAATTTGCGCTGGGCACTCTCGAAAGCGGCATTTGTTCCAGGAGGGGGTATTATACCGACGTGCAGAATCCGTAGGTCCAACTTGAATAAAGAGTTGCAGCTTGCGTTTGATGGGCCCTGTCGTGTCCTCGGGATACCTCAGAATGAAGTCCTTGATCTGATTGGCAGTCATGGTCTTGTCCTTGAGCTCACCATCCTCAGTATACCTGAACTCATAGCGACCGCTGCTCCAGTCGCCGAGCGGATGCGGTGTGTATGTGTACACTTTCGCCGGGTCGTAGTTATTGCACTTTGCGGTGCGGGTGGTCAAACCTTTGGTGGTATTGTTGGTTCGAATCCAATGCCTGTCTGGGTCAAGCTTCGGCTTCTCCCATTGAAAGCGATTATCGAAGACAGACTTGCGCTTCTGAACCTGATGTGTCTGCAAAGCGTTGTAACCATCTGCGTTTGCCGAATTGCCACGAGAACGGTCGGGATATGTGGAGTCGCTGTGCTCAGACAAGCTCGCATTGCTACGAGCCTTCTTGAGCGGGCGAGTTGACTCGTTCTCGTCAGCTTGGGACACCGAGCGACGGAGCTTATTTGACTCGAACGTGCTTGATGCGTTCTGTACGGGATCCTGTGCAGCTTCCTCCAGCTGCTGGTAGAGCCCATTGCCATAGTATGGCGCTTGTTGAGCACCCGGAAGTTGAGGGTCAGGAGGATCTGGATAATCGAAGTGTTGATCGTTGCCCACGTACCCGGCAAAATGATCCTGGAAAAGAGTTGGGTTGAATGGGGCTTCTGAACGGATCGTAGATCGACGTTTCCCATTCAGCGATGTTTGAGACTGGGGGCTCGGAGACTCAATTGCTGGAGTGCCATTCAAGTGCGCTGGAGGAGCGTTCTCAATTGCCTGAGGGCAAATATATGGTCCAGCTACCATCGGCGACTGTGCGTAATCCATCATGCCCAAGCCGTCCGTGGCTCCTGGCAGTGCAGACAAAGAATTCTGCAGAAGGTTAATCGACGCTACCCGAACAGGCGCAGTCTGGTTCCCCAGATCGAAGATATGATCAGGGTCAAGCTGATTGATTGGATAACCGCTCTGGCCAAATCCGTCTTGCGGATCGTGTGCAGCCCAATCCTGTTGCAGCCCATAGAGTTCATCAGCACCCTCGAAATTCTCGGGAATCCGCCAAAAGTCAGGACCCGAGAAGTCGATGTTAGTGCTGTCAAAGTCAAAAGACAGACCCTGGCACTGGTTAGAAGCGCTTGCTCGTCGAGAGCTACGTCGGCTTCCTTGAGGAAGGCCAACCACGGATCCGCCCCTAGAAGAGGTCTTGTTCGGGCGTCGTGCCTGCGACGCCGCTGAGTTATGTCGAGAGCTATTCGGCATCGTGAGTGACTCGCGAGGTTTGTGGGTCGTTTCCGGCATCAGCCACTCTTTGGACTTGTCGGGGCTAAGCTAGGTGTGTGTGTGATGAATGTTTTGGAGATCACAGAGAAAGGGGTTATAGGTCGTTGAGACACTATACGCAACGTACACAACGTCCATATATGTCAGGTTACAACGTCTTTGTGAACGCGAGTCATTGTGAATAATATACGCTGTATTTTTAGTACTAGACAAAGAGCGCCAGAGAACGTAACAATGCCATGACGAAAGAGAGAATGGGATTGTGGACTAAAACAAAGCACGGAAACAAGGGAAAGAGGCCTCGTTGCATCGATCATTGTTCGAAGGCGACTGCAAGAGGCGGCTTCGATAAGTGGCGCCTCATAGCGGGGCAAAAGCCGTGGACGATGAAGTGGCAGCGCGTATACCATACTTCTAAACTGTCATCTGTCAGCAGGCGAAGCTATGTGACGGAAGGACTACGAATAGACATGAAGTGGGTCAGAAGGTCTCCAAGCAATGCATCCACATAAAAGTCACATGACGTTCAGAACAGGTCTGTGAATTTGCATGTATTTCATCATGAAAGAGGGTGTGAGGAAAGAAGGAAGAGACGGCAAGACGTACTTGACACTTCCAGAGGGGCGCAATGGGTGAGATCGTCCTTCGTTCGAGTCCTCGCGCGTCGCAGCCAGAGATCGCCAGGATGTGGCCTTAATTCGTAAATGGCAAGCCAGCGTGGTTGTGTGCCTTATATCGCGGCAAGGCGAGAGGATTGAGTCGTGACGCTACCTTTGTGTGTGAAGTAGGTAATGTGAGGTTGGTGCGAGGAACCCAGACGAAAATTCGTACACCCCGGAAAAACTATGCTCCTATCGATAAGCACAGCCTTACCCCCTCTTCGGCACTTCGGAAATACCATCAAACGAAACCTCAGTCATCTAGGCACTCAGATTCGCGAAGCATCCGGGGTCTGGCTCTTGCAAAACACGTGCGAAACAGGGAAACCCCACGGTCCGGCTCCTCGCTAGGACTCTCGAAACACGCTGCTTCCTCGACGACGAGCTGAAATAGTTCATCGCCGAAACATGATCGCCTTCACGGCGTCACTAGCTGTCGGCGACAGCACTTCTTTGAGATGGCCTTCGAACAAGAGCTGGTCCCGGAGCGAGTGGTTCCGCGGACTTAGTTGTAGTCTACTTCGTCGTACTTGAGATCCCAAAGGTATTCCCGACGTCGGACCGGTATCATGACCATGAGAATGCTCCTCTCTCAAAAGTCGCAGTCTGGGGAAGCAGGCGTAGTTCGTCTTCAGGTAGGAGCCTTTTCTGACTCCATGAGACGACTTTCTCGCAACAGCACCTCCTTGGCTACCGTAGATATAACTACAGATCGAACATCTTATTCCCAGCTTCGAACGGCCCAGTACCAGGATCACGAGTTCGATGCGCAAAGATCCCGTCTTTTCCATCTAGCGCAAAACGGGAGTCTCGGACCATTTCCCCCGCCTCAGGTGTATCGTTAGACGTTAAACGTCTGGGCTGCTCAAACGGAACATTCCAATCCACCGGGCACGAAAAAAGCCAGTGCCCTACGCCGTGGCAGGCCCGATAAGGTTCAGGATTCTGTTATACACCATCCTCCAAGAATATCCGGGTGTCATGGATCCGATGTATAGTGTTTCTTGTCACAACTCTTATACCACAGTGCTTCTGCTTCAGCCAGCCGTCCTTCTTTATGTTGTCTGTTTCGAAGGACTTTCCGCACGCCTGCAATGGCCTATCCATCTGATACCGTAGTCTTAGGAAACGTTACCTTCTACCTTACAATCATCCTCCTTTTCCTATCATGGGTCACCGTTTCTTTGCGACTGTGGGTGAGATTGCGCATCACGAAGTCCCCAGGCTGGGATGATGCCACGATCGTGCTAGCATTGGTCCGTCAAACGTCACATATTTTGGCATCTTGGGCTGACATGTAGTAGGCACTCTTCACATGCTACTGTGCCTTCATCCTCGTCATCACTGTCGGCGCGCAAGCGGAACATCAGTTCACGGTACAGGAGATTCTACAGAATCTAATGGTAGGTCTGGGTGCCTTGCAAACCCGTCTGTCTACTTACCACAAACAGTTCGTACAACTCAGCGAAGTTTTCTACATCCTTACGACTACCGCCCTCAAGATCTCTTTGGGCCTGTTCTTTCTCCGGCTCTTGACAAAACCCTGGCAACGACGTCTATTCCACACCATATTAGCCGTCTCCGCCCTCTACGGCGTTTTCTACTTCTTCGCTACCATTTTCGTATGCGGCAATCCGGCGAAGCTTGCAGACAGCCTTTTGGGCTCCCGGCGCTGTGCCCCTACTGGATTCATCCTCGCTACAGGATATTTGTACGGGATTATCAATGTCGTCGCTGACTGGATCTTTACTCTTATCCCTATTCTCATCCTTATCGATAGTGATATGGACCGAAGCTCGAAGATCTCTGTTGGCCTTGTTATGGGCTTCGCTGCTATCGGATCCATCTCTAGCATCCTCCGCATGGTGTTCCTGAAGGGTTTACTCTTCCAGGCCAATGTGTCACGTACGTACTTCAGTCAGAGGTGGTTTACACTTGGCTAACCGCCGTATAGCCGACTCCATCAAAGCTACTATCTTCGCAACCGCAGAGCCGGGGACGGGTATCATCGCGGCCTCCGGCGCCATCCTACGCCCGCTCGTCCGCCAGATCAAAACCGACGTTCATGATAAAATCTCGAGGTACGGGTCGAGTAAGAGGTCGCGCTACGCTTCGACACATGACCCAAGCGATGCCGGTAACCGCGACAGCATAATTGCGTTGACAACGGTGGAGAGCTCGAACCCCCGCGTATCTCTAGCATCGAAGAAGCAGTCAGTTGATCTGGAGGATCCATGGGATGACATGGTCTCGGTGCAGCAAGCACAGATGGGACGAATGGTGACGATACGGGTTGCTGCAGGGGAATCAGTGATTGGACCCCCTGTACCTCCCAAAGACGGATGGAACCGTCCACGATGACGATTTGAAGTTACGTGAGTTACGCTTTTCATGTATATATGTATCACGATATAGCATTTGCTGGCGTACGGTACCAGAGGGATTGCATTGGATAGGTGTGCGTTCATTCTTCGTACTCAGGAAAGGACACTGGCTCGCCTGCCCATACTCCCCGAAGGCAATGGTGCCGCTTCAGCGATTCTATTTTAGACCTGAAACGGCCAATTGATTGCGCGAACTATTGTGCGACCGAAATGTCAGGCACCCTTGTCGTGGCCCCAGGAACGTTTCGAGCGAGTGGCTGTGCATGAGCCGGCTTCCTTCCTTCCTGCTTTTGTGCCTCTACGGGGGGATGAGGTGAAAGAATGTTTGCGACCTAAGAAATGCCCAGGTGCAGCTCGAGACACCTGCGATGGATCAGAATCAGAGCGATGATGCATGCGTAAGGTGCAGTTGAGTGGTGAGCGCCAAGCAGGGACGCCCCCAGCCACTCTTTCCGCACGCAGCCTTCGTCGTCACCCTGGGCACCCCCAGCCTCCGGATTCGTGGTCCAGGGCGGCCCACCGGCGCAAGGCACTATGACTGCGCCGCTGAGGTTTCAAGGGCCGCTGCAGACTGCAACTGCCTGCTTTATCTCCATGTCTCCTGCTGGCTAACTTTCGTCACTGACCTGCAGCTTTCACACCGCCCAGGCGCTTCGCCAAACAGCTTGCTTGCTTTCTTGCCGCAGCATCCGTCCGATAGACGCACCACACTCGTTTGATAGAATTTCGTAGAGCTTTGGGGGGAGACTATGGAGGTACGAGCAATACCTGTTACATTGGCACGCGTCTGCGAGCTTCAAGTTCTAGACGCTATCATTCTTCGCTGTGGACTGCCGCTAACTCCGGAGCTTTAGGCTACTATCGAAGAGCCCTACTGCGACTCGCCGTCATCTTCACGAAGCACTACGCCTACCCCCTCAAGCCGGGCCTCAACTGCAAAACCGCTTCCCTCGCTCCCGCACGCCTCTTCGTCACACCCTATAGATGCCTATCGCGATGACCCCTCCGATAGCGAAGATGAGGAACCCGTCATCGCATCACCCACACCACAGCGGCATCACCGCACATCAGACCTCACGAACCACCAACCTCACATATACTTCACGCCGTACACGGACGCCATCCCCGAAAGTGACGACGATGTCCCCCTCGCGCACCTATATCCGTATCCGGCGGATGCACCGCCTTCATACGCGGCTGCAGTAAGGCAGTCATTCCGCGATACGCTGATACAGCATATACCACACAATTCGGTGTCCACAGAGCCGGATGAGGAGCTGGGTGCTGATCGGGCGCAAGCGGATGATGTACGATTTACGGTAGAGCGGGTCGTCGCGGCGATTATTGTGAGCATGCTGCTGCTGATCATTGCTGCGCTGCTTGCGTTGGTGGCACTTGGATATTTCGTCAAGGACTCGTTTTGAGAACAGGCAGCAAGTGGTTGAGTTTGACGAGCAATGAAAGGCGGCCAGCGGAGCTTTGTTTACGGACTGCTTATGATACCTAGAGATGCATTGTATCGGAGTTTTGGATACAGGGCTTTGAGAGCCCTTTTTGCATATGCACATCAAGAATACATATCTGTCATGTTAGTTCTCTGTCTTCGAAGTCCTGGTGATTTGCTTTCCTTGAGCACTTGTGGCATAGCTTTGACCGCTAGTATCCTGTGGAAAGCCTATGTTCATGCTTTTCAAGCGCCACATTTGAGGATATTGTTGATGCCCCCGTTTTGATAGGCTATAGTCTCGACGTTCACGTCCGTCGCTGGAAGGATTTCGTACAGTACGGTCCATCTGAGTTTGTCGAATGCATAGCCCACATGTCCTGCGTAGCAAATATGGTCTCTTCCTTACCTCACAGTCTGAAAACGTAAACTTAAGTACTGTGAAGTGTTCCTAGGAACCATAGACGCCATACCATTCGTGATGCTTGAGGTATGACAGACAGCTCGTTTCCCCACCAATCACCGCCTCTACCAGCATATCAAAATCTCACTTGCCACGGCACACAAAGTGTTATCAAATTACCCCTCACCTCCCTCTTGATGACGTATACCGCCCACTCTACACTCAGTCCTCCAGCCCACCGTACGCTGCTTTCTTGTCCCATAATTAAATTTACCTTATATATATTTTTTGGTGAGCGACTCAGCCATCAAACTACTCAGAAATCTTCCTTGGTCTAGGTTCGTCCACCCATCAAGCCTACTTCTACCAAGCATTGCTAACCGTAAGCAGTGGTCATGATTTCCGCTTGTCATCTCGTCAGAGCTACAAGCGCGGGAGACCGGGGTTCGATTCCCCGAGGGAGAGACTCACCGCGATTACTTTTTTTGCAGATTTTTTTTATTGGGGCTTGCTTATGATTTTGTTATAGTTTACAGTAGGTGGGATCACTCGTAAAACAAAGAAACCTTGCAATGGGATGCAGTTGGGGTGCTTCTCGGTATATGGGACTTTATAATCGGGATTATATTATGCTCTCATACATGCCATACAATGCTGACCTGGTTCGTGCTATGATCCCGTATTTGATGTGTGATGTAACCACCACCACTTCTTCTTCTTCTTATCTGCTTCTACCCCGCCTGCGCGAAAGCCGATTGCTCGCATCCGTGTCATGGTCATTGGCTCCCGTACGATGCAGATGCATATCCTATAACAAGGCTCTTCTTCTGGAGGTACTCGGGGCATTTCACGCATATTTGCGCAGCTAGAGCAGCACGTATTCACCCTCCATTCTAGTCCATGCTCTCCGCAAGGGCAATAACAGAGAACCTCAGGTCACCGCCATGCTCGGATTCAATCCTGATCAGCCTGCCAATTCCCATCTCGAGGGCAGCTGGACTCAGCACATCTTCATCATCCTTCAGCAAGCCGCGATCCAACGGGCCCTTTCTGCCGCCTTCCAGCTCCCACAGGTGCCCGTCTTTACCCTTGACGAAGGCCACAAAATGCTGGCCCAGATGCTCTCCCTCTTCAGGAGTCGGAGCGGCGGTGTCACCAAGCTTCGCAGCTTCCGCATGAGCTTTTTCGAAAGCCTCAGAGTCCTCAAGCACTTTCGCGCGCTCCCACATCGTCTTGGGCAAGGCAGCATTCCTTATTTGATCCAGCGTCGAGCCAGACTGAACATGCTTTGATGCCTCGCCATTCAGCAGGCAGTGTACCAGACCAATGGAGCCGCATGCGTGCCCGATTGTCTGCTTGAACCATATCACCGGCTCTTCCTCGCCCTTCCGCTCATATTCTCCCTTGTCCTTGTCCTCGGCTGTACGAGCTTCGTCCCATGTAGGCGTCAGCGGAATGATGACTAGCAAGGCGAGCGCCGGACGAGGGATGACGGCGAGGAGGTCGGGATCGGTGAGCGAGTAAACGTCGTGGAAGGAGAAGGATCTGTCGAGGCCGAGGGAGTAGGCGAGGTGGTTCATCACCTGCGGGTTATTCTCCAGCATTGTAAAGAGCTTTTTTGTCATGATTTGGACGACGTTAGGTGTAGTTTAGAAGTGGTGGGACGGTAGTTGAGGGGGTTGGTAGGATTCGTGGTCCTAAATACACGTTCGAAGGTGAGTAAGTGATCACTGGGAAGGCGCCAGGCAGCAGCCGAAAGCGCGCTGTGGACCGTCGTAAGGCAGCTATCGATGCTTCCTGAAATTGAGGGTGAAAAGACGCACCGAGGGCTTCCCCGGTCTTTCCCCCGCACTAGGCCTGATTTGGACGCGGGGTATTCACTCAGAGACCGAACATTGCGCGCTCTAGACGTCTGTTTACGGAGCTTGCTCGCTCAGCACAAAGAAGTAATGCCTAGTCACTTCACACAGTACTTCTTTAATCTTACCAATTTACAATGCAGGGTCCCATCGGCTCGGGGCTTCCTCTTGGGCGAGCTCCGTTCTCGATGATCGGCTCTCCGCAGTAGCTCCCACAGTCAAATACCAGCTTACTTCTCTCCATTTCAGCTCAACTTAGATCATCCCCTTTCACTTTCTGCTACTTCTCTGTCCGCCTAATTGCCCATAAGCTTCTACTTCCACGTAATCACACTTCAAACGCCAGCAACATGGACGACGAAGCTAGGCAAGCTCTCGCTAGCATGGCGATGCCAAAAAGACCCATCAACTACGTCCCCGCAAAGTCAGGCGAGATCCTCAAGCTAGGTCACATCACATGTCGCATCATGGAAGATGGGTCAAGAACAGGCAAGTCCCCTAACGACCCTCATCTCTCTGGGGGCTCCACGAATCCCACCCGCGCGACACAGAGCTAACAAACTTAAGACAACCGCATCGGCAGCGCCGAATTCACCGTCCCAGCCGGAACCGCCGGGCCTCCAGCACACTGGCACGAAATGCACGACGAAACCTTCCTCGTAACGCAAGGAACAATACGCTTCCACGCGCCCAACGGCCAGATCGTAGACGCGAAAGAAGGAGATTACGTGACGGTCCCCATTCGCGCGCCGCACACTTTCTCCAATCCATTCGACGTCGAAGCCAAGTTCTTCAATACATACACGCCGGCGTTCTATATCGATTACTTCAGGATACTGGCGGAGGTGAGTAAGAGCGATGAGAAGATGAGCAAGGAGAAGAATCTGGAGGTCATGGCGCGGTTTGCGACGATGCCGGCGCAGCCTATGCTGGAGGAGATGGCGAAGGGGAAGTAGGGGACGAAAAATGTGGCTACAAACATATAGAATCGGAATTGAATGCTCCGTATCGTGTATCTGTCAACTTGCTTCGATTGAAAGCTTGTGCAGTGTTTTGAGGAGCATCATTGCCTCCATGGATGTTTCCACCCTCTATGGCGCAAAGCAATTTTAATCACCTAAGACAATTGAGGAGAGTGTTCTTAATATAGGGCAGCAGCGCGTAGGCGTTTCTTTTTCGACGAAACTGAAGGAACTGGAAGCCCACTGGCTGAAATGTTGCACGCATGGTGCGCCGAGAGAGGACGAAGCGATACTTCCTAACCTCAGCCTGGTTGCCTGTTACCTCCTCTTCACCATTTCTCGCCCTGTTTTGCGAACCCAAATGGAATACAGTACACAACATGAGCTCTCGGATGAGCAAGACCTATGTCAAACCCATGCTGTCTGAAGAGAGGGAAAGGCTCCCTCCTGCGAGTGAGGTCAAGAGAGTGCCACTTGAGAAGCGGTCTTGGAAGGTACTCCTTGCTTGTTCTTGTAGGGGCGTGGCTGGAAATCGGCGATCAAACAACACATAGTCTCGAATGAGTTCTCTCGTGTAGTGTAGGGCCTCTGAAGTAAGAGGTGGTTGATGTATCTGGTAAAGTTGTACTTCGTCCGCGAAGTGTTGGTCGGCGTCGCGGCTTGTGCACAGCCGGGAGTCCAAAATGGCCTTTCCCGGTTTGTAATAGCCCCAAGTACATCACCCGTCGCGTTTTCGAGCACATTTCCTTTCCATCTCAAGCAGGGCTTTGATTGCTGCCTTTTCCAAGTACGGCATCAGAGTACGAGCCGTGCAATGACGCGGCTTCGCGGCGTCGCGAGACACGGCCAGTCAATGTCGGTAGCCAAGGGAGCTGAATATTCCCCGCCATCTAGGCATATGCAACGCCGCATATAACTGCGGCGGGTGAGCTCTGCAATCCTCCACGGCCTCATCACTTTTCAGGCCCCCTTCATTGCAAGGCTTTGATTTCAAAGATGGAGAGTCGGGCTTACCTCTTATCGTTCGTCTCCGGGGTGTCCAGCGAAGTTTTGCTTTTCTCCAGAGGCGAATGGGATCGCTATGCGCCAACCATTCTGAAGAGCCTCACCCTCTCGGCTTTAGGAAGCTTCTGCCTCTTATGGAAGGGGCTTGGACTTTCTCTTATAGCGGCGCTCCGGGAGACGACGCTTTTGGGCGCAGTCTTCCTTCTGGGTCTTTTCAGTTCTATGGCCATCTACCGCCTGTTCTTCCACCCTCTGAGAGCGTTCCCCGGACCAGTTGCTGCTCGACTATCTGCACTCTGGGTGTTCAAAGAGAGTTGCCCAGACCTGAGGTTCTACGTCAAGCTTCGGCAGCTGCATAACCAGTATGGTGACTTTATACGTATCCGTAAGTCAAACACGATGTTCGCAAGCTGGACACTACTAAGCCTGCTTTAGGGCCTCGAGAGATCTCTATATGCAATCCTGACGCGGTCGTGGATATCCACGGTCCCCGAAACCATATTCGGAAAGGCGAATTCTATGATCAGCTAAGTCCCCATCGGAGCCTTCAGATGACACGCGATCCCGCATTCCACAGCCGGAAACGCCGTTATTGGGATAAAGCGTTCCAAACCAAGTGTAGGTGCTTTCATTTTCACGATCATATCTACTCGCTAACCGCCACCATCAGCGTTGCAAGAGTATATGCCCCGGCTAAGGAAACACTACGGGACCCTCTTGGACATCTTCACTCGTCATGCGGCGTCTGGAGAACCCATCGACATGAGCGATTCCTTCATGTACTTGGGCTTCGACCTGATATCTGAATTGACGTTCGGCGAGTCATTCGATATGCTGTCCACTGGAATACCGAATGAGATCATTGGGGAGTTCATCCAAGGCAAGAAGTTCGTAGGCTTCATGGTACTCAGCATGTGGCTCTTCTATCTCCTGAAGGCTCTGCCTCCTATACATGACCGCATCGAGTACTGGTTGATGTGGTACGAAAGGGCACTAGACAAGAGGAAAGCGGTTCGCCACCCACATTCATTCAAATTGCTGGAAGCCTGACTAGTTTAGATGGACTTGCAATCGCCGGATTTCTACACGCACATCTCGCAAGCGGAGAACTTCGAGCACGACCGTTCTCATGAGGCACAGCTAGCCATCGTGGCCGGATCTGATACGGTCGCTATCACCTTAACGAATGTTTGCTATTTGCTTTGCCGGTATCCGGAGTATCAAAAGAAACTGTTCGAGGAGGTCGGTGAACTACCAGACGAGGATGGGCTCATCGATGACCAGATTCTGGTGGGCAAGCCTTGCCTGCTGGGCATCATCAACGAAGCCTTGAGATTGTACCCACCGGTTCCCTCCGGCGTGCAGCGCTTGACTCCACCAGAAGGGGCCGTGATCGCTGGCCGCTACATTCCTGGGAACACGGTCGTAACTACACCAACGTATGCTCTGCAACGAGGTATGCTTCTCCCCTATCATCAAATCCACTCCTGCTGATAGCCAGCAGATAAACGCGCATTCGTCAAACCGGACGACTTCATACCCGAGCGGTGGTTCTCGCAACCAGAACTCATCCTGCGAAAAGACGCGTTCTTTCCATTCTCGTACGGAGCCTACAACTGTGCTGGTAAACCGATGGCCATGATGGAGCTTCGCATGTCCCTGGCCATGGTCATCAAACGATTCAGCCTCTCCTTCGCCCCCGGGAAAGAAGCGGAGTGTCAGCGATTCGTCGAAGATCAGGCCGACTGCTTTATCATGCATCTTCACCCGCTTCCTCTTATCCTGAAACGGAGAGCCGGAACCGAATGATGACAATTGGGCTCGTAGTGTCTTCGCAATATAGCTGCACAGCGCCTAGTGGCTGTGCACTCGCGACATCGGCGGTCTGTCACAATGCATGGTTACCTCCGTCTCCTCTTATTATTCAACATTGAATTACGATGTGGGCAGTGAAAGGAGATGCCCTTGTCTATGAATTACGTCCCTTTCCCTGAGCAAGGCCGTATAAATTTTCCTTACTGCACCATAGCTTTCCGCAGCCAACATCGCGCAATGCGCTCCGGTACACTGATTCCAACGGAGCTCCTCCCGCACTAGCATGACCGCCTATGGCAATGATGGGGCTCTTCAAATGGATCCGCCCCATTCGGACAGCAGCTCCAGGATCCAAGTCAATAAGGAGCCTGGAGTCCTTCGGTGAGTCTCCTCAAAGCCAACAAGTTCTTGAAGAGAGTGACCGGCATATCGGCAGTGACGGTTCCTCTGTCCATCCTCAGCACGGCAAGATTGACATGATCAAGCACAAAGGAAAGGCAGCGGGTCGCCGTATCTTGGCTCATTTCAATGGCTCTACGGGAAGGGACGTTTTACCCCAGTACGATGACTCTGTCGACCGATATCCTACCGTTCGCTATCTGGCAGAGGGCGGGAGCGGCAAAGTCCATCTTTGCGAAGATAGGAAGCAGGGCACACTCGTGGCGGTCAAGTCTATCCAGTACGATGACACGAGCATGCCGCATGAGGCGCAAATCATCCAGCAGCTGGGGCGCCATGCAAACATTGTGAAATGCTACGACGTCGCCGATCATCCTGCGGAGGAATTCTATAAACGGATTGTCTTTGAGTATTGCCCGCTAGGTGATCTCGCGGACTACATCGAACAATGCGACGGAGACGTACCCGAGTTATTCATATGGCATGCGTTCAACCAGATCACACAGGGCCTCCAGCATATCCATGCGACCGGCATTGTACATGGCGATCTCAAACTCGCCAATGTATTGCTTGCTTCACCTCCTCGCGGCGCGCTGTTTCCCACACTCAAAATTGCCGATTTTGGAGCTTCACTGGTCAAACCCCCTGCGCAGATTCCCCGAACACATCGAGGAACATGGGCGTACGCATCCCCTGAGGCCGAATTCTTGTTCGGCCCTGAGACCGATGTTTGGGCTCTCGGCTGCATCATCCACTACCTCGCCAACAAACGCTTGCCTTTCCACAGCATCGAGATGAACGACCTAGATTCCGTCGAGGCTTGGTTCGACAAAACCGGCAGGGCCATTCCCCCAGGAACACCATTTCGGAGGGACTATAAACACTTCTGCTACTGGCTAGCCGAGCACCCGGTCGTGATTACACGCGTGGATAAGTCTTCGAAGTGCTCCACGATGACGCGCACGAAGCTACTGAACTACTTCATGCATCGCGTCCTCGATACGGACTGGAAGACCCGCATCACGACAAATGAGCTACAACGCTTTATGACTGTTCTGGAACCTTTCGTGTTCAACGTCAAGGCGGCCGGTTACCATTCGGTACTGGAAAGCTTCGAGGAAGGCCTTGATGTAGGGGTGAATGAAGGTGCTACCTCGCGCATCATGGATTCGTACGTGGTTATGCAGATGTTCTGCGCGCTTGCGATTCTGGTTAGCAAGTGGAAGGATCCACATCTGCTCGGGTTCGGGAAAGATCTGTTGACGGTTATGAATACCGAGCACCATGCGCAGGCTTGTCGATGTCTGTGCGATGTGAAGCTGGATTTGCCGTGGCGGAGTCAACACGCCGATCCTTAGTATGTCCCTAGAGACAACAGGATGAGGTTTGAGTGTCTTGAAGGGTCTGGAGGCAAGCCGCCATGACCGCTCCTAGCAAGTTTACAGAGCGCGCAACACAGCTCACCGGCGTGGCTTTTCATTCAACGTAAGTGATTCCAGAACTATGTTCGGAAAGCACCTCCCCATATTCAACACAATAGGCACAATATTGGTACTATGCTTTTCACCCGCTTCGCTTCCTCTTCCTAAGCTCTATCCGATTACAGAATCCCTGCTTCATGTCTTTCACCGATTGTCCTTTTTGTCTGCTCTCACTGATAGTGGTATCATTCTTTCCTATTGTGCGCTTTCTAGCGGTGAAGCTTCGGAGCCCTTTACGACTAGCCACCTTTCGATAGCCTAGCTTATACTTCCCATACAAAACGTTCGAGCTCTCCCATTCTTCCATACCGTCGAGCAATCTTTTCTCATACCCTCTCCCCAAGCGCAGCGGTTCCTTTCCTGCGCTCGATCTCTACATATCTCCCCGCAGCAACGCCGCCTGGAGCGGACTCCCTACGTCTGCCTGCCCGACGGCTCACCGCACCTCGACCGCCTAGCTCAAACCCGAAGCAGGGCAATTCTTCCAACTCTTCTGCTTGATATCTCCGACCCATCGGCATCTTCACACAAGGCATTCGCCCCAACTGCTAATCTTAGGCGCCGGCGCCTTACCTGCACTTTATCACGCTCATATCTTCCTTCACCGACACTGTCCGAAGCCCGCATCTAGACGTTCGCCCAGACGCTGGCCCAGCAACCAAAGGTGGATACTCTTTCACTCGACCCTACCCCGCCATCCTCGACTAAAAATGTCCTCTCCCGCGAGAGCACCCTCTCTCTTGGGATCGACTGTACTTGCGCAACCTCATCTCGATACGATCGACTCCGGATATTCGTCTGAGCCAAGCGACGCAAAGCCTGTCATCGCGCCTGGTAGCACGATGGGTAAGATCAGCGTGAAGGAAACGCCTGCGAAAGAGCGCGGCCGGAGCGCGAATAGAGGCCGCACGGAGACACCGGCCACGGGCAAGCAAGCGACACCGCGAGCTACGCCTGTCCCCGATGGCCCTCGGAAGCAAAAGCCGGTTCTGGGTCGTCCGAACCTAAAGTTGAAGCTCCCCACGCCTGCTTCTACTCCCGCTACGGAGCCGACGGCCGATGCACCTGCAAGTCGCCTTACTACCAAGCCGCCCACCGCGACAAAGAAGGGTAGAGCTACTTCTCTGGCTGCGGAAGTTGGACCGGCGACTATCCTCACACTTACGGCGCCGACCGCGGCCACCGTGAATGCACCCACGGACAGCTTCACGACTGAAGCCCCAGCTACGAACAAGGCGAGTAGGAGGACCGCGGCGCGAAAGAAGGATGCGGACACTCTGTTTGGCTCCGAGTACGAGGCTCATATTCTTGAGGCGTTAAAGGGAGGAAAGGCCAACAAGGTAGATGACGAGGAATACATGCCCAGTTCCCCACGTAAGTCCCGGTCCCCTTACATTACTGATTACATCCGTCACTAACACAGAACAGCGACTCTTCTAGTAGCACCCGCAGGTAAACGCAATCCGGGCCAACCAGCGGAACAGGCCACTCCCGCTCGCGTCGTCCGTAGCGACTCCGCAGAATACGAGATCCCATCCTCCTCCACCATCTCCTCAGAACTTGCGCCGAAGCACGGGCGTGGCCACTTCCCTGCCAACATTGACCAGTCCATTTTCGACCTCGCCGACATTCTGCGCTCGCAGACGGAGATCCAAGTTGACCTGCCTAACCTGCAAAACGACGCGGACCCGGACATCGAAGAGCCGTGGACCGCCAAGCACCTTACGCACCTATATATCGTGTGCTACAGTCAATCCCTCTTTCACGCCTGCGACCTCATCGCCGATACCTGGATCCGCGCGTTCCAGCGCCTCAACACCTCCAAGGATGCGCGTCACCGCATCTGGCGCCCTAATAAGAGCGTCTACGTAGACAAGCAAGCCCCGCAGTGGTACCTCGACATCCAGGACCCAATCCTCGCGCTCGACGTCACCGACTTCGACATGTCGCTCATCAACTCGCTGTACTACTATACGCCCAAGAGCTGTGGCGCGCGGCTGCTCTGGGCGGACGCCATGGCGCTGTGCGGCGACAAGCTTGAGGACATGATGGAGCGGACGAAGGAGAAGGGGAAGGAGTGGCATAAGGATGCGGTCTGGGACATTATGTGCAGTGCGCTGCGCATGGGCCGGAGGAAGCTGACTATGAAGATTGAGGAGTGGACCGAGGGCGCGTGGTGCAAGCGGTATCACGTGCATGGGAAGCATGGGCTGAAGTGCTATCGCGCCATGGCCAAGGATCAGAGGGACGATCAGGTGCGGGTTGAGCGGCAGGCACGGAAGCGTGGGGCGGAGCAAATGGATGGCGAGGGTGGACAGGGTGAGGCGGCTAAGCGGGTCAAGTTCACGAATAGGGACGTGAGGGATGGACAAGACTCTGAGGAGGAGTGATAGGTTAGCCTATCTTATACTGGCGTTTGAGGAGGGCGTACCTGGTTCTCAAGGGTTTCTGGATACCCGGAGCATCGCTGGCTTATGGTGGCAAAGACGCTGGCTTCCCAGGCGGCAGACTGAACCGTAGCTTCTCTAGCAACGCTTCCTCTTTTGCCAGCATTTCCGCTTTCCAGAGGAGAGTCGGGGTACGGTAAGTCTACCGCATAGAGAATCTCAGCTCAACAAGTATCGACAGGCGTCCACTTGGCCACTGTGACACCTGCATCCATCACTCTACAAATACGTTTCATGCTACCAGAGCCAGCGACCTCATCACTAACCACCAACGGAAGAGTACGTACTCTGAATGACTTAAAGAACGGCAACCCACTTGATCACCTGCACAAAGTTCCTCCACCAAGACTTTCCATCTCACAATCTCCTTCGCCTCTCCGCACATGCGGCATACACAACCACCTGCGCATCATCAAAGACCATGTCAGAGACACGCCCGCACTCATTACGGCGGATGTTTTGCTCGCCAACCGCTTCTTTGAAATCCAGAACGCGCACTGTATTAAAAGGCCCCTTGCCGTCCTCAGTCCTCTTCCACACTCGAACAGTACCATTGTACGAAGCTAACACTATCATCCCTGCAGGGGATTCTGGGTCAGTTGCTGGTACCATCCGCACCGCACGTACGCCATTAGCATGTCCTTGGAGACAGAGTTCCTCCTCTCCATTTTGCAAATTGTAAATTCAGACGCCCCCATCGGAGCAAGCAGCTAGCACTTTGTCTTCGTCTCTCCCGATGAGCTAGAATTTCGAAGCCCCCGATGTTATACCTCCAAATCTCTTGCCGGAGCTGCCCAGACTCCAGATTGCACGACTTCAGCACCCGATCCCCAGACAAAGACACAGCGCGCCTGCCGTCCAGCGCCACCCGGACGGCGAGCACAGCACCCTCATGTCCCAGCAGCGCATGCCGCAAACGAAACGCCAATCGCCCATTCTTGAGCCCCGCTTTCCACACCTTGACGCTCTGATCCCGCGATGCCGTGACCAAGGACTCCCCGCGGAACGCTATGCCCAGCAGGGTGTCATGGTGCGCTTGCTCGAGCTGCTGGACCAAGGCGCCAGTATCAAGAACCCAGATGAGCAGAGCCCCCTTGGAGGCGCCGCTGAAGAATAAGCCGGCTTCCTCTGAGGCTTCGAGCGCGGTGACGGCGGTGCGGTGCTGCAGGAGCGGCGGGTAGATGAGATGACGGGTTCGCTTGGACTATACCTGCACGGAGTGGTCTTTGCCGCCGCTGATGAGGAAAGAAGGGGTAGAGGCTAGGGCGATGATGGTGGAGGTGTGGAGCGAGCTTGGGTCCTTTGATTTTGGGAGGTAGGCGATGTCAACCACCGCGTATTTATAAGATACACTAATCGGTGCTGACTAGGAGCTATGCAGAGTTGGATGTTGATGCGGCACAGAGGTGCGCTTGCGTTGCAATTGTTGCCACACACTGACTGTGGCGCAAGGTCTGGCTCTATCTCACAAATACGGCCCCTCTCCGCACTCCAAGAAGCCGCGTCAATCATCCTATGATTTCGAACGAACAGAGAGACGAGATGTGAGAATTTGTGGACACCCCTAGATCTACTTTAACCCCCATCTCTCAATCCTAACGCTAGAAACTTACTCTCGGACGCCTTTGACACGTATGGCGATTTAAAGCATGCTAGGATTCCGCGGCACTTGCTAACGTGTACCGCCACGGTTGATGACTGAGTTAAACGCCGTTCAAAAAGGTATATACTCATTACCCAACAGCTCCTCTACCTATGCGCCATCATACGCCGCCTCCCTCATAAAAGGACTCCTTTCCCGAATCCTCCTCCCATAGCTCTGCAACACAAGCGGCATAAAACTCAGCGCCAGCGCCACAAATCCCAACAAAGAGCTCGCCCACTGAAACCCCAGTGTCTGATACATGCTCTGCGTCGCGAGCGGCAAGAACGCCGCAAACAGATTCTCCAGGAAAGCTACGCCCGCTATAGCGCTGGCAGCGTACTTTGCGTAAGCGTCCATGATGTAGCCCGTGACGGCGGTAGTGGCGCAGAACATGCCGAAGCCGACGAAGGAGAGCGAGATGGTGGGTATGATCCAGTGCAGGTGGGGATAGGATGTCCATGCGAACCAGAAAAGTCCGGCTGATAGGCCGAGAAAGGAGGCCGGGATGCTGAGGTAGAGCCGTGCCTCTGGGATGGGGCGGCCGGGCGACTCGTGATTCTTCGCCGCCGAGTGGAAGTACAAACTATCCTGGCAAAGTGATAACAGCAGACCGACTAGCTCCCCTAAAACAACAGCGGACTGCACCATGCCGGTCCCGAAGAAAGACCAGTTGTAAAGCGAAGAATAAACCTGAGTAATGGACTGTGTGAACATAAACGCAGTGCCGACGCAGAACGCTGACCAGAGGCCGAAAGAGAGCACGACGGCCTCGGTGCAGAGCATGCGCGTGGGTCGAATGAGGGTCTCTTTGAGGATGTCGCTGATGAGTGTGTGCTCTTGCTCGGCTTTTGCGTAGACGGGGACGCCGGTTGCTTTGCGGATGCGACGAGCGCGCTGAGTGAGGATGACGTCTGGACGGACTTCGGGGAGGCCGAGGAAGAGCATGGGGATGAGTGTACAATAGAAGATTATCTGCACGAGAAAGATCCTGATCTTCATTAGCGATCATGTTTGGAGCGATGTCGGCTGGGATGGGACCTACCAGCGCCATGAAGTGTATTGGACTATTACGCTTCCCAGGACGGGGCCCATGCTTAGACCGGCTAAGAGGCCCCAGATATACAGAGATGTTCCAAAGCTCTTAGCCTTACCATCCCTCCACATGTCGCTGACGATGCCGCTGGTGATGTTTGCTAGGACTCCGGAACAACCACCAGTGATGATCCGCGTTACAATAAGTGTAGCAAAGTTGTTCGCTAGTGCCTGAGGGATAAGGAAGATGATTAAGAAAGCGTAGATGACCTACTCATCTGGTTAGCCCACGCATGGATGTAGAGGGAAAGACATACCAGGTAACTCCATCTTACTCCAAAGTTCTCCATGAGTGGAAGCCCCAGCATAGGAGCAGCAGCACCACCTATGGTCCAAGATAGGACAGGCCAATATGAATGTGGGAAGTCTTCGTCGCTGACATGGAAGCTTTCGTTGATCTGTTCTGCTGCACTCGTCATGGCCGTCCCGTTGATTTGAACCACGAAGGTCATGAAGCACGCCAGAACCGTCACCCTCCACTTCTTCGAGATCGGCCAATTGAAAGGGTTATGCGGGTCCTGTGGGCCAACCCAATCGACGTACTTATCTCCAACGGTCGAAGCTTCTTTCCGACCGAAGACGTTCGAGTATCGTAGGTCGGTGGAGTGAAGTTGTTCTTGTGAATGGCGATCAGTATCGCCAGCTTCTAGCTCCCACTGAGATGAGGCGAGCGAGGAAGGGCTCCAGTTGGAAAAGGGAGATGCCATAGCGAAGGTAGTGAATAACGCGAGCCAGGAAGTCCAGGCTTTGATCTCGTGTTGAAAGCAAATGTAGAAGCGCTCAGGGGGCTGTGCGAAAGGTGAGGGCGATCAACGAAAGTAGGGAAGAATGCCCTGAGGTGTTGAATGGAAAATCCTGAACAGTGGAAAGACGAGTGGGCTATGGGAACTATTTGAGTATGTTGGCCGGGCGTCACCAACGCAGCTCCATGCAAGACACCTGTATGAGTAGCATCAGACTCGTCTGTAAAGGGGGTCCTACGCCCCTGGTTGGAAGTATCGTCCCGTCTCTTCACACACGGATCAAATAGAAATGGGGAAGCTGCGATCCGAGACGCGATTGGGCTCGTGGATTAGGCGCAGCGGGAGACGACCCCGGTATCCAAAGCGATGGCGGGAAGAGCGGCTGGGAGTAAAAATGCAGATGTGATTGCGGGTGATCTCAAAGTTAATTGAAGGCTTGACTTTCGAAGGGCAAAGAAAAAGGATGCGGGCCGGAAGCAATGAAAAAGACCATTTAGATCCGCCTCCCCATGACGACCACCACCAGTTACCGTCATGGACAATGCTCTGTAAAAGCCATGGCGCCATGGAGGGTGACATCATCCGACAAAAAGTGCTAACGAGCGCTTGACTAAGAAAATACCATTCGTTGTTGGCGAAAGCCTCGGAATAACGTAAGAGAAAACTGGAGGCGACGATGTGGTTCCGAAAAGGAAGCTAACCGAATTCGGAGGTGGCGCCCTTCTCCATCTGTGCTCACCATTGATCGACGGTGATATGTCGCGCATTGTCGACGGGTGTCCCTGGCTGGTTGCGCTAGAGTGGGGAAGCTGGAGAATGCTTGATGCCGTAGCCCGATGTAGCGAGAATTTACATTTAGTGGTGCTGCTGCTTGAACGTGATTCGTCGACCGAGATGTGACAAATAGGCGCCCTCCTGAGGTTCAGGTACCAGACCCGGTGAAGGGGTCATCTGACTATACACAGTACTTGGGTAATTGGGTATCTGAGTCGACATAAAGCAGCGAGGTGGGAGTCGTAATTCGATGTCTCTCGTGACCTAGCTGTCGAATCACGCCGTAAAGGCTCTCAGCTCTCGTTTCGGCACCTCCTCATGACCCCCAGCCAAGTATAGCGCCCATAGCCTTTCAGAGCTTCGAACTTGATCGACCACTTTCCTACCAGATCGACCGGCCTTGTGGAGTGTCCCTCATACTGTAGGCCCCAAAACAGACGTGACAGCTGCAGCGCATTGCCATCTACACCGAGTACCTGCACCATCTCAATCTTGTCCATGCTCTTTAACTGCACTCTGGTCTTCCGCATCAAAAGCATACAATTCACTCTCCCAGTACTTGTCCTCCGGCGTCGCCTTAAACGTCAGAATGAGCAGGTCGAGATGCAGGCTTAGACAGCACGATGATATCGCGGCCGGGACCTCGTAGAGCTCTTCCGGGGTACGAGCGCACAATTTGACGCGTTTGATGAGCCGCTTTTCCATTGGACCGAGCTCCCTCCAAAAAAAAGAAGAAATGCGAGCGAAAGGAGCGAAACCGTAGCGTTGTATATGCGAGCGAGCGAAGCTTTCCGAGTACATCTGTTTACAGACACGCAGAAGAGCGAGCTAGTGTTACGGGTAGGTTGCAGCATTTGCAAGGACGATTTCGTATATCTGCAGCCGAAGCTCCAGTGGCAAATTCAACAGGGAGGGTTTTGCAGGAGAGGAAAGACGAAGAGCGCGGGCGCGGAGGCGAGCAGGGACATCTGAGGGTCGACTTGAGGGACCCATAGGCGGACAGTAGTTCGAGGGTTGAAGGACTTCCGAGCGAGGCTTGAGAGTTGAGCCGTCCGGGCGACGGTGCCGGAAAGAGGGGGCGTTTTGAGTTTTCGACTGCCGTGTCACTACGTCCGCGCTGTCATGGCCGGTGAGCAAAGAAGAGACTGGTCGTCCCTTGCTTCGAGGGAAATTTGGCGGCTGTAGCACGGTGGTACAGCCGACGCGCGCATACTTCATTTCATCCCGGGTCGTGACCTCGGGAGGTCCTTTAGCGCCTGGCATTGCAACGAATGCTCCTTCTCATCCGGGATCCTAAAGCCCTTCAGCACACGATACGACGGCCATGGACGCGACTAGCCCGCGCTCGCGATTGCAAGCTCACCTCCGTTCTCAAACCCTTCCAATCCAAAAACCACTGCAGATCCTCCATCTGCCCAGCTGCTTTTTGGGCCTTTCGGTTTAAATTCGTCTGCGAATATTCCGATTTGTGTTCTTCAGTCCACATCCCCGCGCTCAAGGCCAACGAAACCGATATCGACGGGCTCAAGTTCGACGTGAGATAGCGCTGCTCCTCGATTGCAGACAGGTCTATTCGGAAGGCTATCCTATCGCAGTCTCGACCGCTCTTTGCTTCCGCTCCCTTGTCCAGTTCCTCGACTTCTGGCGCCGGCCGAAACCAAAGCTGAGGGTCAAGATCCGAGATGTTGAGATTAACACGAGCAGGGGAGCGATACGTACGCGGCGCTATGCATACTACAGAAGAAGTTCGCCAGACCAGACGTTACATGCAAAAGTTTATGGCTGAAGACTTCGATGCTCATAATTGACGAGATGCTGAGACCGAGCAAGTGGAAGAGGCTTCAGAGCGTTGCACTGCCTGCGATCGAGAAGATGCTGAAGAAGATCGATAGAAACGACGAGATTTGCATTACCAATCTGGTGCAGGAGAACAAGGTCCACCTCTTGGAAATCTTGGAGGCCTTGCTGCTAACCGCTCGGAAGGGTTCTGTGGCTAAGGTGTGATTGTTTGGAGCTTCCGACGCCGAAGAGAATCCAAGGTAGAGCGGTGCCTAGTTTAGAAAGGCAAAGAGGTCGCCGTGATGAGATTTAGAAGGGAGGGTGCGCTGAAGGCGTAAGCTTGAGAACTTGCTCCGCCTAAAGTCTCAAAGGCCACAACACTGGAATGTGCTCCCAGGTGCTTCTTGAGAGAGACGACGAGGATAGAACTTGATGTTCCTCACCTAAAACAATTACCTTCGAGGGAACGTGCCTTCAGCGCCCTTTCAATAGGTCGCCTACTCACGCTTCCGGCAAGGCAGCGGATCGGTAGTATGGCGCAGATTGTAGCCCTTTCCAAATTCACACTCCTATCCAGAGGTGGTATCTGCAGCCTCATCTTCTGAGCCCGAAGCGTCGGCTTTGGGATGCGTCAATTCCAGCCTCCAATATCTGACATCCTTCCCCTCCCTCACAACAGTGTATTTCCAGACACCGAGAGTCTTTTCGACAGCCTCAATGGTGGGATTGCCCGGCGTCCCGCCAAATCTCAAGTTCGGTTTCTCAGGGTCGAAGAGGTATTGGAAATTCCGCTTGATCTCGATCGAAGGATTCGGAACCACGACCTTGTCGACGTTGGGAAGGAGGCGCAGCTCTTCCATAACGTATTTGGAGAAGTTTTGTGCGGCGGGGAACAGCGGCGCGTATTTGGCGCGGAACGGTGCGCGGGAGAACGGGCTGGTGATCTTGAAAGTTAGCCGGTCGAGGTTGAGCGGTCCGCATTCGAGCTCGTAGAAGAAGCGCCGGAGATCCTTGGTTTCGAGCATATTGCTGTCCCAGAGTATAGTGATGTTCCGCACACAGCTGAGCTTGCGATAGGGAACTTTCAAGATAGCTGGGCTCCAGTAGGGAGAGCTGGCGTTGCGAATCTTCAGGGAGAAATTGGCGCGTGTGAAGGCTCGTTGACAGGCTTCATGATGGATCAGTCGACAGGCGAGCAGCGGCAGGAGGAATGTAGAGGCCGATTGCGTCTCGTCCTGCTCATCGAACAGAAAGTCGTACACGAGAAGCCTGATCTCGGCGGGTATGTTGAGTAGATACGGCTCGGCGACGTCGATGCGAGATTTCCGGCGGTGCTTCCAGAGATGGTAGCCAGAATATGCGAATGCTAAGACTAGCTCCATCCAAGCGCGTGAGGGCAAGCAGCGTCGTGTGTGTGGGTAGAGGAGAAGAGCGGCCAGCAGTGGTGGGGCCTCGTGTCGAGGCGCAGGGTCCCCTCCAACGCGTCAAGCTCGCGCCTTCCGTGGCTGGGCATGCAGGGCAACATCCTTCGCCCACCGGCTTTCTCACCGACATCAGCGCATCATGTCCCGAATCGAGCAGCACCGCTATCCGACGGCTCTCCGCTGTCAATTGACTCATTTTCCCAGCCGGCTGCCATATGTAAACCTTGCAGTCCAGCCGTGGAGAATCCGCTAGGCTCACTGTCAAGCCCGACTGTTTCTCGCCAAGATGGCCTCGACGACCGCCGAACAGCAAATGGTGCATGTCAATGCTACCGACGCAAGGAAATTCGTCGAACACGTGCTCGTCGGAAACGGAGTGCCCCGAGAGAATGCAGTTATCGTCTCCCGATGCCTGGTCGAAGCCGATCTTCGTGGGGTGGATACGCACGGCATCAACCGCATCCCCAGCTACATGGCGCGCATTCGAGAAGGCGTGCTTGACCCGAAAGCCTCGCCGACGCTACGCCAAGTCACGCCCGTTGTTGCTCAGGTAGATGGACGCAATGGTTTCGGATTCCTCGCCGCACATATGGGCATGGCTGCCGCGATAAGGATGGCACAGGAGTCGGGAATTGGCATGGTCTCGGTCAAGCATTCGAACCACTTTGGCATGTCTGCCTGGATAGTACAGCAGGCTGTGGACGCAGGCATGATGAGTCTGGTCTTCACGAACTCGTCCCCCGCGCTGCCTGTTTGGGGAGGGAAATCCAAGCTGATGGGCGTTTCCCCCATTGCTTGTGGAGCACCCGCGGGGAAAGGGCGGCCATTTATTGTGGATATGGCACCCAGCGTTGCGGCTCGTGGCAAGATATATAAAGCATTGCGAAGAGGAGAGAAGATCCCCACGGACTGGGCATTGGACAAGGACGGCAAGCAGACTGACGATGCAGCAAAGGCGTTGGAAGGAGTCATGCTTCCCATGGGCGGGCCCAAAGGCTCAGCACTGGCCATCATGATGGACGTCTTCTCTGGCGTCCTTTCCGGAAGCGCGTTTGCGGGCCATGTCACGAATCCGTACGATGCATCGAAGCCAGCAGATGTTGGTCATTTTCTTGTCGCCATCAAGCCGGACCTCTTCATGCCCACGGACGAGTTCAAAGATCGGATGGATTACCTGTACAGCCGCGTGACAGGCTCTGAACGGATGGCGGGTGTAGACCGTGTGTACTTCCCCGGCGAGACCGAACTTCTGAGAAAGGAAGAGCGTCTGGAACGCGGGATACCGCTCGTACATGCCGAAGTCGAGGCGCTCAACAAGGAGGCTCAACGCGTCGGAGCAGCTCGCATAGCTACTGCATCTCCGTCCGTGAAATCCCGTCTCTAAGTTAGGTTCAACGCAGAATCGCCTCGGTCGATCTTCCTCCGAGGAATTCGAACCAATCCTGAGGTCCTCGTCGGGTAAGCGATTATCCTGGAAGCCTTCAACGGCTCTTCTTCGGTGTCCGGCGGCGGGAATTTGCGAATTCAGCCGCCAAGCAACCGCCAAGGAGCGATGTTTGTGGGGGGCGGGGGACGCCGTCGCCTTCAAGTTCTAACGCCGGGGTGAGGCCTGCGCTGAAAATCTGCGTGGTGATCGGATCGCTCCTCCGGAACTGCTTCAGAGCCGGATCGCACGCCCAAACCGCGGTCCCAAAAGCTTCCTACGAACGCCGGGAGCCTCTTCCCAATAATTCGCACAGTATTGCGCAAACAGCTCCGGGCGACAAGCTCGCTTCTTTGGCGTGTGAAATCAAGCTCCGCCGAGTTCGGCCCTTCCGATGGTCAAGCTCCACTTCCGCGTGCCGTGCAAAAGCTTCCCCGCTCCAACATGCGCCGTTTTCTCGGCGTTGTAACATGGCATGCAGACGCTACAACGTCGGTATGCCTGGCAGCCAGTCAAATGCAAGCCGCAACCAAAGAACGGCGGCATGATTTTCCAAATGTGTACGCAGGTCGCTCGTTGCGAGGCTGCTGAGCCGAGTATGTTGAGAACCTTGGTCGGCGCGCGCGTACAGCTGCCGCTTTTTGCACGTCGTTCGCCCATCATCCCGGAGTAGGTGTGACGCCAGGCAGTATATGTAGGTAACCTCCAACCCGGTTTGTGAGAGCTGAAGCTGCGTCCCCAAGTCCCCGGTTGAGTCGGCCCACTCTCCATACCTCACGCTGCACAGTCAAGGCGTCCTCAACAACCACACTTCAGGCCGCCCTGTCCGCGGCATCACTCCACTGCCATCTTTCTCTCACAGCAATACCACCGCAATGTGGAATCCGTGGCGCGAAAATTTGAAGGACACGCCGAAAGAGGCTCTCAACTGGCGGCTCTGGTATGGGGTTTTCGGTAAGAGTATCAGCTTTCTAGCACTTCGTCACTGGCTTATCGTATCACATAGTTTTCGGTCTTATGGGCGCTGCCCGAGGAATCGACGAGGGCTTGATTGGAACGACTGCAGAGCTCAAACCCTTCATCAACAAGTTCGGCCTGGAGGATCCGGACAAGTCGGAGCATGAGCAGGCAGAGCTTCTTTCAAACATCACAAGTATGGTGCAAATGGGCTCTATCCTCGGCGCCCTCGTTGCCTTCTATCTTACCGACAAGATTGGTCGTCTCTGGGCTACACGGCTCCTTTGTCTCCTTTGGGTGACGGGTATCTCGATCTTTCTGGGCAGCGCGGCTACCGGAAGCATTGGTATGGTCTACGCGGGGCGCTTCATCGCAGGTATCGGTATCGGTCAAACCACGGTCGTTGCGCCTACGTATCTTGCCGAGACAGCACCAAGGGCTATCCGAGGTCTTTGCGTCTGCGCATTTGCAGGTGCGGTCTATATGTGAGTAGCAGAGTAACTTTCGCCTCTAAAAGCAGTCGCTAATACACTGGCAGCGGTATCATGCTCGCGTACTTCGCTTCATGGGGCTCCTCGATCCACATCTCGTCCGACACCGATGCGCAATGGCTTGTGCCGAACAGCATGCATCTTATGTTTGCCGGCATCATCTTCACACTGTCCTGGCTTAGCCGCGAATCACCTCGCTGGCTCATCAAAGTCGGGCGTCATGAAGAGGCCTTGGAGACCCTCACGCGTCTCCGCCAGCTCCCTCCCGACCATCCATACGTTACCTCTGAGATCATTGACATCAATGATCAACTAAACCGCGAGCGAGAAGCAACCATGGGAACATCTTGGCTGGGTCCCATCCGCGAACTATTTGCAAGCAAGGCAAATTTGTATCGCATTCAGCTCAGTATCATGTCGCAGCTGCTGTCTCAATGGTCGGGCGCGAATTCAATCACAATTTACGCTCCGCAATATTTTGAAATGATGTAAGCTTCTCCATTCCGTATCGTCGTTAATCAATTTAACATCTCAGGGGCACTACCGGTCAACGGGAAAAGCTCTTCGCGACGGCCATCTTTGGCCTCGTTAAATTCATCTCCAGCATCATCTGCGCCTTCTTCCTCATCGACTTCATCGGCCGCAAGCGCGCGCTCTCCACAGGTATCACCCTGCAGCTCCTTTCCATGCTCTACATGGCCATCTTCCTGCTCATCGACCGAAGTGTCGGCGACGACGACACCCCGCAGTCCCCGAGCATGAAGCACGCAGCCACCGGCGCAATCGTGATGATCTACTTCAGCGGCTTCGGGTGGGCGCTGGGGTGGAACAGCATCCAATACCTCATCAATTCGGAGATCTACCCTCTCCGTTTGCGTGCTCTCGGCGGCAGTATCGCGATGACGTTCCACTTCGTTAATCAGTATGGGAACTCGAAGGCTGTGCCGCTAATGTTTATTGGTATGACACACGGCGGGACTATGCTTTTCTTTAGCTGCGTGACGGCTATTGGGCTCGTGTGGGTGTGGTTCTTCTTGCCTGAGACGACGGGCAAGAGTCTGGAGGCTATGGATGAGATGTTCAATCTCCCGTGGCATCTTATTGGACGGAAGGGCGCGCAGCTTACGAGGGGTAGCGGGGGAATGTCGGAGGTGCTGGATACGGAGGGCGAGAAGGCGGCGGCGGAGCAGATGGAGGAGAAGCCTGGGGCTGTGGCGACGAGGACACGCTCGGTCTAAATCCGGTTTCAAGAGAAGCAGGAAACGTCATCGAAAAATGACGAAAGGACACGAAGAAGTTGAACGAGGTATGAACGAACGAGGACGACTTTGACCTGCGCTTAGCAGACCCTAAAGGCCTTCCGGGCTTTATGACAACATACAAAATGGAACTATGTACGCCGGAACCTAAAGTGTTTCAGCAAGTAATACGCTTCATCGTGAAAGCGAAGCCCTCGGTGTCTCCGCAGAGAGCTTTCTAGCCCTAGAATCTTTAAACCTCCTCTGGTCCTCTCTTAACGCTGACAAAGCTACTACAGAAACACCCCTATACACTTCCATCACACTGCCAGCACAGCAAACTCCACCTTTGAACGACGTTTTGGGACTGTGGCCCTTCAGGCCTTACTATTAACTTCTCTGCTAATCTACTTGAGAAAGGAGGATCTCTGATCTATCTAGAGGCAGGCTAATATAACAGTGCTGCATCGAGCTAGTCAGGCTTAATTGCATGAACAGACATACATACATACGATTGCCAAAAACATCCACGCAAAAGACAACTATCCAGCCCCATGTTCTACCTCATCTCCATGTACGCGAGCCAGGAGAGGATGTAGCCGATGGAAGAGGATCTATGTGAGCACGAGACTCTACTGGTGCCCGCTAGAGTTTGCATGATGAAGTGAGGTGGGTGTGTCTGATTCGTTGGAGTGGTGGAGCGGCTGCGTTTCAATGTTGGCGTTTGTGCTGCGCGGCATGGTTGCTAGAGTCTTGTGCTTCGGGGGGCTAGCCACCCAGGCATCACGGTTTAGAGAGGCCTAGAGGGCTTCCGCACGTTATGTGAAGAGTGAAGGGAGTAAATAAGTAGCAGTCCCTGTTGAAGGACTTCAGGCTTCCTTTTGCGTAGTGCGAGCTTGCTGCTTGCTGCTTATTGTGGGAGCTTCAGCGTATGAAAAGGCGGCAGAGTATTTTCGTACGGCTAGGTCGGTATTTCGACGCCGATGTATTTAGAAGGTGAGTAAGAAGGTAAAGTAAAGGCTGCAGTACTTGCTGAACTAGGCAGGCATATTGCATGCTCTTAGAATTTCTCGCGAACAAGCCCTTTGCATGTCTCGCAGAGACTAACTGCACTGCCCTCCTCCATGCAATCTTTGGCGCGTTTTGAAAATTCACACGATGGACGAAGAAGTGTGGAGAGAGAGTAATAGTGGTCGAAGATAGTGGCAGTGCGACGACGATGTACTACGGGAAAGGCGTTTGCTAGCTCCCTCGTTGAAGCTGCAGAAATCTACTGAGATTTACTCATATTGTCTCTCTAGCGGTTCATAGTTCACTGCTCCTCTATTCAGCAGACAAGGACTCCATCTCAGTCAAGCTGCCAAACTAGATTGCCTGCAGCTCGCGGTCTCTGCATAAGGATCACTGAGCATGAATTGCTTCAGCACCCTTTGCATCCCTGGGGACTGACTAGCTTCTAGCTCGGTATCTAGCCGGCGAAAGGCATGTAGTAGCCGTGAAGTTGGGCTGAGTAGAGTACGCGCTCGTGGGTCATGAAGGCCTGGACGCGTTCCTTCAAAAATAAAGGCTGTGTCCCCGTGTAATTCTTAGCCCATTGGCAAATATTGCGCCCCAGGCCTGCCCGAGCAGGGTAGCACTTCCGTTCTGGTAGGCGATTGCATCTAGAGTCGCTGTGTGATGCAAAAAGCCGGTGTTCTGGAAGTTCTCGAAGATGTTGACGAGCGGTGTGCTGGCGTTGTACTTCGTACACGCGCCGGACCAGCCGTCGTCGCGAGTGTCACCGTGTCTCGTAGCCTGGGGTAATACTGGAGTATTCCGGCCACGAAACGGACGTTGGTTGAGAATTAATCAATCCCAGCAATAACGAACCTCACGGCTTCCGGAGTAGAGGCGATCGCGGCGTCTCCGGACAGCGCACCTGTACAGTACACTTTGCTTCCCTTTTCATACTGATAGTGGCTCGCCCATATACGGGGAGGTTGGTGTAGATAGTTAGCGGCTACACCTGGGGCTTGCTTGATAGAGACCTTGTGCCGTTACCGCAGTAAGCGTAGGTTTAAAACCTACTTCTCTTAGTTTCTGCCTTTAACGCTGCAGAGTTTTTTTACTAGAATAAGAATTCTTCTTTAAGAGGTAAGAATATATAAGATTAATATAATAAGAGAGTAATCTACTTCTTACGTAGTTTTAAATTTAAAGAATAAGGGTAAAAAAGAGAGGGTTTTTATTACTTCGCGTAGTTTTCCTTTATCTGCCCTGTAGGAAAATTGTAGAATAGTTGTATAGCTCTCACGGAGCTAGGTCAATTCAATGATTTCAGCCAGCCAGCCAGTCGCCCATATACGCATGGGCGAAGCAAGAGGGGTACCTTGCCTTACTCTTTTCTTACCATTCCACCACTCTCGTCTTTCCTTTTTCTTCTTTTTCTTGGGGTAGATCAAGGGTTAGAGTAGGGTTTTGGTTTAGGGGTTAGAAAGGGTTAGAAAGTGGGGAATCTTTCTTAGGTATGTCACTTGTGTGTCTGTGGCCCGTAAGTAGCCTATGTGCTTTAGCTAAAAGAGCAATTGGAAGCGAGGTGTATTGTGCAGGTGTTCTGCCCAGAGCCGCGGCGAGAGGCGATAGTAGCAACGGCGTTGATTAGGTCCCAGCACTTCGGGTGAAGGTCGCTGCCTCGATATTTAGCGGGCCATGGGCCGGTAGTAGGGCTAACACTCGGCCCTAGGAAAATACGATGCAAGTTCTTTGGTCGAGCCCAATTGAAATCTTGAAAGAAGGCATTCTCGTAAAGCCGCACGTTCATGTTAATGCCCTTGCAACCACCAACTTACCGAGGCTCTCCATACATGCGTAGCTGTTCGCCCGACAGTTGGCCAGAGACACGCCAGATGGTCGCAGCGTACCAAAGGAAAGGGTCGGTGGCGGAGCTCTCGCCGCAACGTACAACCGTCTCTTAAATATACCCGGTCGAAGCCTCTCCGCGTGATGAAGAGTAGTCTGATCCATGATGTCCCATTGATCCTACCATGGCCAAAACTGGAAGCACTCAATTTGTGTGGCGAGAGCTCTCCCATGCCTAGTATTGCAGATTGTTCGACCGACAAATGATGCATTGCTCTGGCTGGGATAGCATCTGATAAGCAGCTCACGATTAGCTGTAGCCCCTCGGGGGAGAAGTTTGCTCTCGGAGGCAAGGGTCTTCAGACTCTCGCAGACGAGTGCCTCCTTCCTGCGCCGAATGCATTCTAACTCTTTTGGGCTTGAATAGTGACGGGGCTTCTGGACCGCGGAGCAGTGACAGGAATGTGAGTGTACTAGCCCATCCGTCATGGCAGCGGTCGTGGGTTCCCAAAGAGTATAAGAAATCGAGGATGCAGAAGGCGTCACGCCCGAGATGGTCGGCAAGAGTGTTGCTAACGGCGCTGGACTTGACATTAGTGAACGCGCTTCCCCGGAAGTCCGTATAGGCTTGCGAGCAGACTGGCAGCCGCCATCCATCACCAGGATACATGTACCATGGTACTGGCTAGCATAATCATAAGGCCAATCTTAGCTCTGGCAGCAAAGCTACACGGGTCTTAGCTATTCAGGGGAGGTGCGGGCTGCGCAGTGGTCCCATACGCCATGTCTATGGCGGAGTCATTGCGTCCGTGTCCTGCCCGAGATATCCTGTCCTGCCAGCACGCATCGAGGCTGGTAATCCTATTGTCCTTCTTGCTTTGGCCATACGGACAACGCCGCCATGTTCATGAGTTGGCACTGCCGTCTCGTGGGGCGCGTAGCCTTTCCATAAGAGTGGGATTTGACAATACGATTGGATGTTGGGCGCTACCCGCAGGATGCGGATAGGGTAGGCTCGCAGTGGAGTGCGGAGAGGGCTGATCCGCTGTTGAACACTGAGGGCGGACTCTTGCCGCCATAGCAGCTAGGGGCGTTCTTGTGGACTTGTAAGCAGAGCGACGGGTTATTGGGACACACATACAATAAGAGTGAGCTAGTGTATAAACGAGACCGAGACCTATTGCTAGAACAGCGTGAGCATCCGTGAGCCTGAAGGCCTTCGGGCCCCTTTTTCCGTCTCCATCTCCAGCGGCTCTACGGCTCATTCAAAGGCTTGGTTATAGGGAGACGCCTTTTTTTGGGTGGGTCGGACTTATATTAGACTTAGATGGGGTTGAGTGCAATGCCTGTGAGCATCTGTATAGTTCTTGGTCAAGGTAGTATCCTCGGCGGAGGTGGACCGAGTTGGGATACGTCTTTCCGGATGGCTCTAGCCTCCTGCCCAATCTTCAGGTACCTGAATATTAATTGAGGCGATCGCATAGGTGGTCATTGCACTTACGGGTATAATTATAAATATCTTTAGTGTGGACGCATTTTCTCCAATTCTCTGATAGCAGTGCTACTGCGTTCGTTCTGGACGGTTGAGTACATTACCTATACTACTTACCTGGGTTAATTCTCCTCTTGCATTACGCATTCCGCCTGGGAAGTTCTACACTCCCGGCACGTCGCATAAGTGGTGCGGGCGTAGTCTTTCTCTGATGCTTCGGTGGCTCATTCGTAGTTGTACTCGTAGGGCGTCGGTGCGAGTGATTCGAATACCGTGAGCTCCGGAAGTCTGTAGCGAGACCTGTCTTTGACTGCACGAGAAAGGAGCAGTAATGGATCCGCATATCGTAAGAGGGCTTCATTATGCAGAGGGTGTCCAGGTGTACTCTTTCGAGCTAGCCAAAAAGAGATGCGTTGGGTCGCTTGAGGTCTGTCATAACCCCACACTTCAAAATCCCTCAACTAAGCGGCGAACTCCTCCGAAGTAAAAAGAGAATGGGGAGAGAGAAACAAACTGGCAAAAAAAACCTCAGAGTGGCTGGTAAATTGCCAACTACAGGAACTGCTGGGAATTAGGATTTGAGGAGTGAATTGACTTAATGGGAAGCTTACTTGAACTTTTCGTATGTAAGCATATGCTTTGTTGGAGGTTCGAACTGAACTTACCCTGTGATCTATCTTCTGTTAGCTTTGCATGGTAGGAGGGAGACGTTCAGTGGGCTTACCTTCGCATTTGCCTGGAGATACAAGTGCGACGCGTTGCCACTGCGCCAAGCTGGCTCGATCTGAGAGAAGATTTGGCAGATTTTGAAAATTAACTAGTACATATGCTTTGGATTAATTGGGGGCCGAAGTGTCAAAGCCTGTTCTTTGATGCGTGGAGCGTTGTCTGGGTAGTGACGACTAAGTGAGGGGTAAGTGTGTATGCATATGGCTCGGCATTCCAATAATATGTGGTTGGGCTAAACTTAGTACCCCAAACCTAGTTTCGGATCAAGCTTTGTAAGCAACGAGATCGTACCACAGGTACTTCGATAGCTGGAACAGCAAGCTTGAGAAACTATGAAGCGTTTAGATGGCATTTCACAGGCAAGGAATCCGGCTTTGGGGCCCAATTCCCGGCTCAGAGCCAACAGATATCCATTGCATTTCTGGATGCGCTATCTATCTCAAACCTTTGCTCTTGGGGCAAGCACAGAGAGATGAGCAGAAGTTCATGTTTGTCAAAACTTCCAGGGCGAAGTCGGGGGAGTGGGGAAGCTGCCCATATCTTTTCTGAGATTCTAAACAGATCTCCCACAGATGTTGTTAGAGTTGTTCTTGTTCGGAGCGTGGTGTTTCAGTACGCAGAGACAATCACTTCTCGTATCTGGACCGCATAATCCGAGCTCACATGTGTGAGTTCACATGCGTCAGTAAGAGCATTGTTATTGGGTATGAGCCCATCGTACGTGTCGAGGTCGAGCTCAAAGCCCAACGGTCTGGAGATGGGCTGACACCAGTCAGGCTTGCCGTTTCAGGCTAGCGCGCCTCGGCTGCCGAGTGACGTATTGCGGGGCTCACGGGATCCTGGCCTTGAAAGCACGAGAATCTTCGATCTGTGTCACCCACAACCCAGAGCTCTCCAGAAATATCGTGACGCTACTGGTTGCTTCACGATATTTCTGACTCCACGCCGAGGGCTATATAAGTCGGTCGAGTACGCTATATTCAACCTCTTTCCCTCTTCATAGACAATTAACAGGATAATCTTCGACACACTCATTCAGCCAGCCATCACGGTTGTTTCGGCACACTCATCCACACATCGAGTTCCTGCTGCTTTGATATCCACACTCCAACATGACTTCGTTCGACGCTTACACAGACAAGGCAGCCAAAGCTCTCGCCGACAGCTTTGAGCTCGCCAAAGGCTATGCACATGCACAACTCACGCCGATACATCTCGCCGTCTCCCTCATCGATCCGCCGCCGGACGAGACGAACAAGGTCGACAAGCCCCTGACACCCTTCTTCCGCCAAGTCATCGACCGCGCGAATGGCGACCCGCAGCTGGCAGAGCGAAGCCTCAAGAAAGCTCTGGTACGGTTACCAAGCCAGGACCCGCCGCCGGAGCGAACCTCACCCTCGCCAGCTATGGCCAAAGTCCTACGGTCCGCCGAGGAGCTCGCCCGAACACAGAAGGACAGCTATATCGCGATAGAGCATCTCATTCAGTGCCTGGCGCAGGATGCCGCCGTCCAGCGGTGTCTAGCCGAGGCCAACATCCCCAGCTCCAAGCAGATCGATCAGGCTGTTCAGGCCATTCGCGGCACCCGCCGAGTCGACTCAAAGACAGCAGATGCGGAGTCAGAGAATGAGAACTTGAAGAAGTTCACCATCGATATGACGGCCATGGCGCGGGAAGGCAAGATCGACCCAGTCATTGGCCGTGAGGAGGAGATCCGACGAGTCATCCGCATCCTGTCACGGCGAACCAAGAACAACCCCGTCCTCATCGGTGAGCCCGGTGTTGGTAAGACCACAGTTGTCGAGGGTCTTGCCCGCCGAATCGTCGACGCCGATGTCCCCGCCAACCTCGCAGCTTGCAAGCTGCTCTCTCTCGACGTGGGGGCTTTGGTCGCCGGCAGCAAATACCGAGGAGAGTTCGAAGAGCGCATGAAGGGTGTCCTGAAGGAGATTGAGGAGTCCAGGGAGATGATAGTATTGTTCGTGGACGAAATCCATCTACTTATGGGAGCTGGTTCTTCCGGAGAGGGCGGCATGGACGCTGCCAACCTTCTGAAGCCCATGCTGGCCCGTGGACAGCTTCACTGTATCGGCGCTACGACCCTCGGCGAATACAGGAAGTACATCGAGAAGGACCAGGCTTTCGAGCGACGTTTCCAGCAGATTCTGGTGAAGGAGCCGACGATTCCCGAGACCATCTCAATTCTCCGTGGACTGAAGGAGCGGTACGAGACGCATCACGGTGTCACCATTTTGGATGGTGCCATCGTGTCTGCTGCGACTCTGGCCGCTCGATATCTTACCCAGCGACGTCTCCCCGATTCGGCGGTCGACCTTATCGATGAGGCTGCCGCCGCGGTCCGCGTTACTCGGGAGTCACAACCAGAAGCCCTCGACAACATGGAGCGTCGTCTGCGCCAATTGCAGATTGAGATCCACGCTCTGGAGCGTGAGAAGGATGACGCTTCGCGAACTCGTCTGAAGGAGGCTAAGGCGGAAGCTGCTAATATCGAAGAAGAGCTGAAGCCTCTGAAGGAGATGTATGAGCGCGAGAAGGGCAGAAGCAAAGAGATTCAAGAGGCGAAGATGAAGCTTGAGAACCTCAATAACAAACTCGCCGAGGCGGAGCGTGTCCGCGACCTCCAAACCGCCTCCGACCTTGCATACTACGCTATCCCGGACCTCAAGCAACGCATCGCCGAGCTCGAGCAGGAGAAGAAGAAGGCAGATGTCGAGATGTGGGCTCACCAGGCGGGTGGCGGCGAGGTCCTCCTCAGTGATGCCGTCGGACCGGATCAGATCAACGAAATTGTAGCTCGTTGGACCGGCATTCCAGTCACCCGGCTGAAGACCACCGAGAAAGACAAGTTGCTCCACATGGAGCGTCACCTCGCCAAGATTGTGGTTGGTCAGAGAGAAGCAGTCAATGCTGTATCCAATGCTATTCGGCTCCAGCGGTCCGGTCTTGCGAATCCCAACCAACCACCAAGCTTCCTCTTCTGCGGTCCTTCTGGTACCGGTAAGACACTGCTTACCAAGGCTCTTGCCGAGTTCCTCTTCGACGATCCGAAGGCCATGATCCGCTTCGATATGTCGGAATACCAGGAGCGTCACTCGCTCAGCAGGATGATTGGCGCCCCGCCAGGGTATGTCGGTCACGATGCTGGAGGCCAGCTCACCGAAGCTCTTCGCCGCCGCCCATTCTCCATCCTCCTCTTCGACGAGGTAGAGAAAGCCGCGAAGGAAGTCCTCACCGTTCTCCTGCAGCTCATGGACGACGGCCGCATCACCGACGGCCAAGGCAGGATTGTCGATGCAAAGAACTCCATCGTCGTCATGACCTCCAACATCGGCGCTGAATACCTCTCGCGGGCCAATGCGCCGGACGGCAAGATTGACCCCACTACGAAGGAAATGGTCATGGGCGCTATCCGCAACTATTTCCTCCCCGAGTTCCTCAACCGTATCTCCTCCATCGTCATCTTCAATCGCCTCTCGAAGAAGGAGATCCGGAAGATTGTCGATATACGCATGATCGAAATCCAGAAACGTCTTAATGCCAACGGCCGCAATGTGAGCATCGACATGTCGCCCGAGGTCCGCGATTATCTTGGGTCCGCGGGTTACTCGCCTGCGTACGGTGCTCGCCCTCTGGCTCGTCTCATCGAAAAGGAGGTCCTGAACCGCATGGCTGTCATGATCCTCCGTGGCAGCATCAAAGACGGTGAAGTCGCAAGGGTCGTCTTGGAAGATGGTCATATCCAGGTCCTGCCCAACCACACCGACAGCGAGGAAGACTCAGAGATGTACGATGAGTCCGATGCGGTTGCCGAGATGGATGACGAGGTCGATGGAGGGATGGATCTCTACGAGTAAAACATCCTATCACGAGTAGATGAGGAGAGGTAGAATGCTCACGTAGACACAGGATTAGGTGATCCGGGGTCTAGAGCGAGAAGACCTTTCGATTCTCAGCACAGTAACAGGGGTATTATGCTACATCTTTCGGGAAGTTCAGCATGCAAAAGACATGCGATCGATGTTTCTTAAGGGATATGAATAATGATTGACGAGGATGCAGCTATTTCTTCATGGATTTCCAAAAAGCTATCGGCGCTGGTTAGGAGTTTGGTCAACGGATATGGTCTGGCCGCTTGTAAATAAGTAATGAGAACTCCTTGGAACTTCAACCACTTCCCCTGTGCACTTGGTGATATTCGGAGCAGAGTGCTATACTTGCTAAGGCCGAAAAAATCTAAACTCGTGGCGCCTGACTCCCGTCAATAGCAATCGTAACATATCTGTCATCACAAGAGCAGAAAAGGACCACGAAGATCAACAAATGTCATGAGCTTTTGTCATTTCCTCTATTGTCGCCGACGTGAACTACCTAGGTAACCAAACATTACCCTAGACTCCGGTATACCGCCGCTACACCGCGCAAGTCTAGTAGAAGAAACCAAGGATCTTGCCAGCAACGTGCTTCCTCCTAGCCTCCTCGTGGTCCATAATACCGGCGGAGGTAGTGAGGACGATATAACCGAACTGACGCGAGGGCAGCAGCTTGACAACCCACTTCTCCATATCGCGCAGCTGGACGTTGTAGCGGGGCGAGATGACGCCGGTCTTGTTGATGCGGCCGTTGAGCTGGATGACGATCTTGCCGTTGCGGTGGTCGTCGACCTCCTCGAACTCGCCAATGTAACCCTGAAGACGAGAGGTCAGTATGTTGCGAAGAATTAAACATCAGACATCATGAGAATCCGAAGACGTGTAAGTCCTTCGCTGAGAACTTGATATATCGGACACTTAAAGGGCAAAGATTGTAGTGCAGTCGTAATCATTGCCTAGTTATCAGCCCGAAAAGGCAGGAGAGGTGAAGAAAAAAGACTTTCGACTTACATGCTTCTGCATGACGGTCAAGAACTTGATGATGACCTTCGAGGAGGGGCGGATCAGAACTTGGCGCTGCAAGTATATTAGCGACTACTTGCAGAGGCGTAAGTGTCTGCAACTCACCTTTCCGGACTTCTCAGCATTGTTGATGGCGTCTGCGGTGGGTGTACTGTTAGCAAAACATCCACAGAGAAAGGAAGTGCAGACAGAGGCAATCCTTCCTTGCCAACGCAGAGCTCCTCGAAACAGCACGCAAGCGGCTGTCCAGAACTCTACTGCGGAGGCCGATAGGATCCCTGCCATGTGTATCCGAGTAGACGTACTGAGCGCATCGTTGAGGACGGAGGTCTTGACCATTTTGGCGGCGGCGGGAGATTCTCAATGGCGTATGGCGACTGAGGTATCTGCGCGAATATAAGGTTAGCCTTCAGAAGCCAGAGCGTGAAAGAGTGCCCTCAGTCTGCAACATGAGGGGTCCCTAGCTCTTGTCGCAGAGGGGAAGCAGTGTCGCATCCATTCTTGCGAATGAGGCGATTGCTTCTCCTGGCTATCTGAAGGGCACTCGATGTAAGAGCGACATACCTCGTGAGGGAGGGTGGTGTTGACGATAGGAGCAAATTGGCGATGCGGAAAAGTTCGAGCTTGACTTGGGTTCAATTCTGATGTGGGCTCGGCTAATGAGACGGGCCGAAGGTGGCCTGTGCGCCGACCCTTCACTTCGCTCTTGGGCGTCTTCGTGAGGCCTACTAGTAGCACGAAAACGCATTCTTATTTGCTCGTACGGCCTTGAGCCTGCTGGGGATAGCATTGATAGCTTCCGCGGCCACCATTTTGATTACCCTATCTCATACCAGGGCCGCGTGAAGTCACGGCTTCGCTAACAGCCTTAGTCATGACGTACTATCCTGTCTCCATCTCTTACCTACGAATCTACACCACTCATTCTAGACTTCCTCTCTCGTAGAATTCATCTATCCTGCTCGCACGCATAGCAACATCATGTCCGAAGCTTGTTGCACCTGCGCCACACTGCTGTCCTCGATACCACCAACCTACGATGAGAAGACCGAGAAACCGACGCAGTACGAGCGCCGCCTCGAATGCTGCGGGCGCGCCATTTGCGCAAGATGTATAACCGATAACCCGCGCTTTGCAACCTATTGCCCTTTCTGTCAGGTATCCATCGTACCGACTCCGCTGCCTCAAGGTCTGCGAGACCCTCCTGCATACTCGCCACCAACTGGAGTGCGAGCAGACGACGAACCATCGCCGTATTCAGCGCATAACTCTTTACAACCGCTGCCAGAGAAGGCAAAAGGTGGGGATGGAGAGGACGCGCCGGACGTCCTACATTTTGTGGATCCCAAAGACGACACCATAGCCTCCCTTTCCCTCCGATACGGTGTACCCGCCGATGCTCTGCGAAGAATCAACGGGCTGTACGCAGACCATCTCCTAGCGGCGCGTAGAACAGTGTTGATTCCGGGCGAGCATTACAAGGGCGGCGTGAGTCTAAGTCCAAGGCCCATAGAAGGCGAAGAGGAGGAGATACGGAAAGGAAAGGTCAGGAAGTTTATGGTGGCCTGCAAAGTGGCAGAGTAAGCACTATCCCGCCGCTATTCTTGCTTCCCGGTGAACGAGGCTGATCAGAGCGAGCAATGCTCCCCGATGCAGATACGATATAGCATTATTGTACTTGCAGCAAGCAGACTACCACCTTGACCAAGCGATCGCGGCGTACGAAGCTGATGAAGGGTGGGAACAAGAGCATCCGCTTGAGGCAGCGAGGAAAGGAAAGGCCAAGGCTGCACAAACATCCGGGCGACGGAAATGGGGCTTTGGCGGCAGCGGGGGCGGTTTGACAGGCCAAATATCTTGATGATATTTCTGGTCCCGAGGACTATCGGAAGGGCGCAATGCGGACGTCTCTCGTCGTATCATCTAATGGGTAACGGAAGCAGCGCTCGTAGTGTTGAGGGTTGGGATACTGCAAGTACATGAGCATGCGGAGTTGCCTCCCTCGTCTTCCTCCTCTCTACAGCATTACACTTGGGATACTAGGTACCATCTCTGTGTCGTGGCTAGTTCGGATCCCTCTTGCATTATTGCATGGCAGGGTAGGGCAAGGGACGGTGCGAGACGGTGCGGCACGGTGCGAGTGGGGGCGGCGTGATGGCGTGATGCCAACGGTGAGCGAACATGGCGTGTTTTGCTTAGCCAATTGTTTGAATATTCTGCCTTTCTTAGCTGACATACTTTCAAGAATAGCCTGAAACGAAACCAAACCATAAACCACTCTTAAAGCAAAACTTCGAATCTCATACGCTAGAAAAGGGCAGTGAGGAGCGCGCATGAGGGTATCTTCCATCGTCCCCTGCATTGTATCTCAGTCATGCAGGAACGAGGCGTTGCATGCGGGAGAGAAATCAGGGAACGGGGAACGGGGAAAGGCCTAGCCTCTTCACAGGCTGCACAAGAATGCTTCTAATAACTTCCAGCTCACGGATTGGGCGAACAGACACTACAGGGCCATTTTCGGCCCTACAATATAACAACACGACTGATAACGGGTACTGGTGAAGAGCGCTTATGGGAGCGGTGAAATCGCTCCACGCCTCACCTGTACATATATTGGCTGACCTTTGCATCCATGACCAGTTTTCGCAGATGAATCCTTTGAGCTGTACAATGAATGTTTCTAGTGATGTCTTTCATATTCGAGCACCGCAGTCGGCATAGCATGTTGTTACCAGATCTGGTCCGTGTATTCACACGATTTCTTGGGTCCGTTATATAGCCATTTCCCCCTTACTTCCATCACTCAACTCATGCCTCCTGACTTGCCAATTCACCAATATATGTTCTTGGGACCAGCTAAGAAGTCCCCAAAAGCCCCCAGAAAGTCTGGTCGGTCGACGAGTCCGAGAGCGGTAGAGCTGAGACGGTGAATACGCGTGTCTAGAACTTAGCATGGCCAGCACTGATGAGCGTCTCAGACTCCACAACAGAATTTCCCAACGCAAGCACCGTATGTACCCCGGAGGCAATCACGTATAGATCATGCTTCTAATGGTCGACTCTAGGCTCGAAAGTCCGCCAGGCTCGCGAAAACGCCGAAGGGGAATTTACATCGACTCAACAGGCCGCAGAGGAGCCCCCGGACTCTCCACAGCACGCGACCGCAGAGGCCAGCGCGACTTCTACCATTGGTCATATAGTCGTTCCGAGTCCCACGTCCACCTCTCCGCGCCCTGGCGCTATGATAATGGCCGAAGATCTGCTACAATGCGACCCTCCGTGGCAGCACGTGGACTCACTGCTGAGCCTGCCCGCGGAAAACGATAGCACCGTGTCACAGCAAGGCTTCACGCTCCAGAGCTTCAAGGTTATGCACTGCACCTGCAACTCCACAGATGGTCCATGCTCGAGCCACCTAGAGATTCTACGCGCCCAGATAATGGTCGAGTCGAACTCGTCTCTGCCGCCCATGCCGCCACCGCTTTCTTCGACCCTATCCAGCCCGTACAGCCGCTCGATGATGCCCCTCGGCGACAGCGCATTCGCTTCCAGCATGAGCGCAGACACAAGCCCACCCAGCGACCTCCCGCCCGCGACATCCGAGCCGTCGTCGGCAAAAGCAAGACTGCGTGCTCCCAGCACCTCTTCTACAGCGGACATGACACCACGCTTCAGCATGGTGCTCGAAGCAATACGCCAAGCTGGGTTCCAGGACTTTGAAGAAGTGGCTGTGGCCTATTACACGTCGCGGTTTGAATGGGGCAGCGTCCCCGCCATGGTGCAGTGCGTCAGCCGCAGTCATCGTCTGAAAGCTATGCTGCACGAGCTGCAGCAGAGTAGTAGGCAGTGGCCGCGGTGGGAGTCTCGTGGGCTCCACGAGAGCGTTTCGGAAGCAGCAGTGTCGCTCTGTGTCGACGATATGGAGCGCGTGTCCCAGGCGCCAGGAGTCAGCCCATCGCAAAGTGAGACGGCGAATCTCATCTCTGCGCTTGAGTGGCTGCTACGTGACCAGGGATGCAACTCCCAGAGTTACTCGAGGACAACGGGTGAGTCAAGCTTGTCCGAACAGGTCGAGGCTGGCCCGGACTCGGTAAGTCGAGACTGAGCTGCCACGATCAAGATGCGGTCTAACAGCATGGCTAGATGCCACATCTCTGGTCCTTGCTCACGGAATTGGCCGGAGCACAGGGCCTCTACTGTGGTAGAATTGCGCGTATCCTGCTCGCTATAATACTGTTTGCTCGACGCGCACAGTGAATTATCTGTTTACGAGTTAGGATGCAGTAAGTTTTTGGGAACTGATTTGCTACATGGAATGTGATTGCGTGCTTAGACGTCTAACAAGATTAAAGGCAAAGATATGCGGCATGAATTTTCTAGAAGAAACAGATGTCTTATATTGAGCTGATGAAGGAAGCGTTCACTTCCACCCATTCGCCTGCAAGGCCAGGAATTGACGCTGAGCCGCGGGAACCGTATTCTTCGACTCACCACGCTCAATGACTAGCATTTCGATAGCCCATGCACCTATGGTGTTGAGCAGGTAATCAATATCCTCTCTCGTATTATGCGCATGGAATACAAGCCTGATCAGGGCCGTTCCTTTAGGGACAGTAGGATCTAACGCGGCCAGTACAAGATCAGCATAGTTCTTTGTGTGTGTGTGTGAGAGAGAGAGAGAGAGAGAGAGAGAGAGAGAGAGAGAGAGAGAGAGAGAATAGGAGGAGGAAGCTTTGAAACACCAATCAAGTGCTAGTTGAACTCAAGTGGCATTTCGCGATAGCAGTGGTAGTCACATCGTACCCCTGGGTTACGTACAGGAGATGGGGTAGGCGTTGATGTTGGCGATTAGCAGATGGCCGAAAAGATGGGCCTCGTGGCTAGGGCGTACTTTGATGGGTATGACGTGCGAATGGACGGAGCGTTCCTCCCACTCTTCGGCGAGCGGAACAGATAAGAGACCTTCATCCAGGGCCTCTTCCCAGTCGGGGTGTTCCAGCAGTGCCTGGAAAAAGTATCTCACGTTGGCTTGAAGCTGGCCTTGCTCCTAAAAAGAGTCGACGTGTCAGTTACAGATTCATGAAACCCTGGCTCCAATAGTACACACGTACCTTTGCTGTCTGACCACTACTTAATAACTGATAAGCAGCCCGAATAGAAGCGACCATGGGAACTGAAGGTGCGCCACTATATGTCAAGCATCGGGAGAAGTGAGCGAGGGTAGCGCGCACGGTCTTGTTGCAAAGGATTACGCCACCCGTCGATGCCAAAGCTTTGCTGCACATGTGGACTCGTATGGCAATCTCATTCTCCAACCCTAGCATCTGGACCTGAGGGAATGGATTAGTCACGAGAGAAGTCGGCGCAAAAGTTGCTACTCACCAAACCGGCGCCATCTGGGCCTATGATACCATTGCTGTGGGCTTCATCAATGATGAACTGGGCATTTCCGGTGGGAAACACCTCTTTAGCGACCGCCACCATCTCTCTGAGCGGGCATATGTCGCCTTCCATGCTGTAGACAGATTCGACACAGATCAGAACCGACCTGTCCCCCCTCGCAAAAGCGGGGTCGTCGGTCTTGAGACGGGTCAAGACATCGCGCAAAGCGTCTGGATTGTTGTGCTGGAACGAGAGTTTGTGGGCGGCCACACTGACTCGGAGGCCAACGACGGTGCTTGCGTGGGACAGCTCATCCCACACAATGGCGTCGCCCGGCAGCGCCACGGCCTCCAGCACACTGATGTTAGCGAAGAAGCCGGAGTGGCACACCCACGCCGTCTCAGCGTTGTGAAATGCGGCTATCTCGTCTTCGACCTGTCGCAGATAGTCATAGTTGCCGTACTGGGTGCGGGATCCTGAAGCGCTGAGACGCCAGTCGTCGCCCAGGCTGCCCAGCTCCTCCATGAAAGCATTGCGGATGCGGCCCGAGCGGCTGAGAGAGAGGAAGTCGCTCGAGGTGAAATCGATGACGCTATCGTCCCAGCGTGGCTTCAGGATGATGAGGGCGCCCTTCTCACGGTGGACATCCAGAGCCTGCTCTAGTCTGCGGTAGAAGGCCGGCTCACTCTGCTTCATCGACGGGCGGCGCAGCACTTGGTGGGCCGCCCATTCCTGGAAGAACTCCTTGTAGTACACCATGGTGGTCGATGGCAGTACGGTGTGAAGTTGAGGGTTGCTAAACAAGCGGCTCAGCACCGTGGACGTGCAAGTGCCCCTGTTCGAACTAAATCTGAGACGTATATGCAGGCAGGTCAATGCGAGGCGAAATGCTACTCAGTGGCTGACCGCATGTGAGACTGGCTGACAGGACGATGGCTGACGATGCGCAATTCGCGTGTCCCCGTGTGAGTGACTGCATGGTGGTGACGGTGGAGGAAGGGATGGCTGACAGCGAGCCTGTCACGACATCGCTACGGGTAGAGAGATGGGCAGACTGCCAGCAAGAGTGTCAATTTTGTTGTAGTGGTTTTGATCGGACTCTTGAGAGTGAGAGAGAGAGAGAGAGAGTCAAACGCCTGGAAGACTTTCCTCAGTTGTACCAACCTTTACAATCCCTGACAATGGCGCCGATGCTCAACGGCGATGCCAATCTCAACGGCACTCGTCTCAACGACACCCATCTCAATGCCACCAACGGCGTCAATGGCCACACCACAGAGGCCAAGGGCACCTTCGAGCCCATTGCAATCTGCGGCATGGCATGCCGACTGCCCGGTGGGGTCAGCTCCCCTGCAGACCTGTGGGACTTCCTGATTGCGGGCGGCGACGGACGCTGCCGCGTGCCGCAAAGCCGCTACAACATCGCGGGCCACTACTCAGCTGCCAAGCGGCCCGGCACCGTGGATGTGCAAGTGCCGCTGCTCGAACTGCATCTAAGACGTTTCCTAACTTTTGCGCAGCGAATATGGCTATTTCCTCGACGAGTCGGTCGACCTGGCGGGCCTCGACACGTCCTTCACGGCCATGGGCCGTTCCGAGCTCGAGCTGCTGGACCCGCAGCAGCGCTGTACATGTTGGGCGCTAGGATCAGGTTGCTGCCGGCCACAATGGCGCCCTCGCAGTCCCCCTTGGCAATGGCGGCGCAGGCTTCGTTCAGGGCAATCATCGACGACGAGCACGCCGTGCGGATCGTCATGTTCGGCCCTTGCAGGTCCAGCTCGTGGGCAACACGTGCCGAAGCCATATAGTCTTGGCTGCCGCCAAGGGCGTAGAGGCTGGACAGCAGCTCCTCGCGCCGCAAAATGTCGTGCCAATCCTCGCCAAAGGACCCAACGTAGACGCCCGTGTTGGTGCCCGCCCAGCCCGTCGTGCCCGCATCGTGCAGCGCCTCGCGCACCACCTCGAGCAGCAGGCGCGATGTCGGGCCAGGGCGTTCTCAGCTCCGATGGCTCCAGCCGCAGTCTCTCAGCGGATGCGAACGGGTATGCGCGCGGCGAGGGCGTTGTGGCCGTGTACACAAAGTCACTATGCGCTGCGCTCCGCGACGGCAACCCCATCCGCTCTGTCGTCGTTGGGTGTGCCGCCAACTCAGACGGCCGGACTATTCCTGCCTCTATGCCCAGCGCGGCAGCACAGGCGACGCTGATCCGGCGCACCTACGCGCTGGCGGGCCTGCAGGACGTGGGCAAGACGGGGCTGTTCGAGTGCCATGCCACGGGGACTGTGACGGGCGACCCAATCGAGTGCGCTGCCATTGCTGATGTCTTCGGTCATGTGGGCGTTCACGTCGGCACCGTGAAGCCGAACATGGGCCATTCCGAGGCTGCGTCCGGGCTGACGGCTATACTCAAAGCCACGCTGGCGTTGGAACATCGTGTATGTAACTAGCACGTGATGTGATGTTGACGACCCGGGATGTGTGCTGTGTGCTGTGTGCTGTGTGCTGACAACTTCAGACTATACCGCCCAACATCAAGTACGCCCCGCTCAACCCGCGCATCCCCTTTGAACGCGCGCAGCTGCACATTCCCACCGAGCCGACGCCATGGCCGCAGGGCCGCGAAGAGCGTGCAAGCGTCAACTCGTTCGGCATCGGCGGCAGCAACGCCCACGCCATCCTCGAGTCGCCCGTGCGTTTCATGCCACCGTCGTCTCCATCGCCAGATGCACCATCGCAAGATGCGCCCCAACTATTGCTGTTCTCCGCAAACACGGCCCCGGCTCTCAAGGACGTGTGCCGCGTCTACGAGAACCTGTTCGAGACGCCGACCCATCTTGTCGCCGACATTGCCTACACGCTTGCCAACGGCCGCGAGCACCTCTCCCACCGCTCCTTTGCAGTGGTCAGTCCCACCAAGTTCGAGCAAGGCGTTTCGCTGTCCACGTCCGCGAAGAAGGGTGCGACGCTGGAACCCCATGTCGTTCTGGTCTTCACCGGCCAGGGCGCCGCATGGCCGCAGATGGGACGTGACTTGGTGCGCTCCAACCGCACCTTCGCCCGCACCATCGACTCTCTGGACGCCCACCTGAAGCGCCTGGGCGCCGACTGGACCCTGAAAGACGAGCTCCTCAAACCCCCACGTACCAGCCGTGTCCACGAGGCCGAGTTCTCGCAGCCGCTCTGCACTGCGCTCCAGCTAGCCCTCGTCGAAATGCTGGCCTCTGTGGGTGTCAAACCTCAAGCCGTGGTCGGCCATTCAAGTGGCGAGATTGGAGCTGCGTACGCCGCAGGTGCCCTCACCGCCGAAGAAGCCATTGCAGTGGCCTTCCACCGCGGAGCCTCCACCAAGGGCCGGACGGAGCGCGGCGGAATGGCTGCCGTGGGACTTGGCTGGGAAGCAGTGCAGCAGTACCTCGTTCCCGGCGTCATCGCGGCCTGCGACAACTCACCGAGCAGTGTGACGCTTTCGGGCGATGCCGACAAGCTAGCCGACGTTGTAGCCAGCATCAAACAAGCGCAACCGGACATACCAGCCACCATGCTCAAGGTGGAGAAGGCCTACCACTCAAACCACATGCTAGCCCTCGGAGAAGCGTACCATCAAGCCTTGGTCGACGCCCAAGTCGTGGGCAGGCCCCCGACGATCCCCTTCTTCTCCAGTGTGACGGGCGAACTGCTTGGAGACAGCAAGGGCAGCCAGCTGGGTCCCAATTACTGGCAATCCAATCTCGAACGCCCGGTGCTATTCAAGGCTGCTATACAGGCCATCCTCAAGTCCACAACCATCAAGAACCCGGTCTTGCTGGAGCTTGGCCCGCATTCAGCTCTTGCAGGACCAGTGAGACAGATCTTGACGGCTGCTTCGAGCAACGCTGCCTACGTAGCATCCCTGGTGCGTCGACAGAACAGCGCCGAGAACTTGCTGCAGGCCATCGGGAAGCTCTACACGCTACATGTTGCTCTAAACTTCAAAGCTCTCATCACCGCCCCCGCTTCTCTCGTCGCTGGCTTGCCTCGTTATCCGTGGGATCACTCGCAAAAGTTTTGGTACAAGTCGCGAATGTCCAAAGAGTGGCTGGGCAGAGAACACGTCCACCACCCCCTATTGGGCTCAAAGGTAACCGCGAGCACGGACCTAGAACCTATTTGGCGGAATCTTCTCTCTCCCAAAACTACGCCTTGGATCGCCCATCATAAACTCTCAGCGTCTATTGTCTTCCCACTTGCTGGATTTGCATCCATGGCAGCCGAGGCTGGGCGTCAAGTGAGTGGCATTGACGACGGAGTGAGTATTCGGAACCTTGTAGTGCACAACGCTTTGGTGATCGATGGCGAGGCCCCTACAGAAGTTATTACTACCTTGCGTCGCGAGCGCTTGACCGACACTTCGACTAGCACATGGTGGGAGTTTACCATATCCTCGTACAATGGCCATATCTGGACCAAGCACACCACGGGCGATGTCCGAGGCGAAACGTTCGACAGCCAGCTGGCACACAACGTGGAGTTGAAAAATCTACCGAGGAAAGTCGACAGTGACAAATTATATGAAGCAGTACGACGGGCGGGCCTTGATTATGGCCCCACCTTCAATACCTTGGAAGACATCAGGACATCAACGACGTCCATGACAGGGACGGCCACAATGCGAAATAATCAATGGGGAGATGAGGCCCAATACCATATGCATCCTGTCGTCCTGGACACGTACTTTCAGCTGATGAGCTGCTCAATCGTTAAAGGTATCGGCCGTGACTACCGACGAATGGTAGCGGCGAAGATTGAGCTTATAACAATCTTCCGCAGCGCCGAGGATAAGCTCGAGATCTTCACCGCAGCCGAACCTTCTAACGAGGGTTATATCGGCGATGGCTGGGTGTGTGCGAGCTTGAAGAAGGTCTTGAGCGTTTCTGGCTCCCACGGCCACATTTTTGACGAGCCGGTGGTGAGCGACGAGGGCACAACTTCCATCACCGCTCGAAGCGAATGGGTTCCCCATATTGATTTCCAAAACAACAGCGAACTCATCAAAGAGCCTCTCAGCCACGAAGAATGCATTCCTCTCCTAGAAGAGCTCGCCCGACTAGCCATTTCTCTCGCCAGCGGAGCTGCTAGAAACCTCGACGTACACGCACCACACTTGGTCAAGTACAAGGAGTGGCTCCTTCAGCATACGTCGTCAGAGCTTGGAGGTTCGGATGCAGTCACGCTGGCACAGGATATTGAAACCCTGGTGAAGAGACTCGAAGCTACCCCCGCCGCACGCGCAGCATCAGCTATTGCCGCCATCTCTAGCTCTATCGGATCTGTGTTGAAAGGAGAGATCATGAACGACGATGGCAGCTTGATAGCGTTTCTTGGAGAACATGACAACAGCAACTACATCCGGAGCATCGCCCACACCAAGCCCAACGTCAGCGTCCTCGAGGTAGGCGCAGGGCTTGGGGACAAGACATCAAGAATTGTCAGTTGTTTGACGCGCGCTGACGGACAGCCTCTGTACTCGCAGCTCGTTGTCGCGGATGCATCCTTCAGCAAGGTGAACGCGATCAAACAAGGGCTGAAGGGCGTTCCAAACGCAAAATTTTCCGTCTTAGATGTGAGCAGAAACCTGACGGAGCAGGGTTTTGAATATCAACAATTTGATCTCATCATCGCCACAAACGTCATTAACACAGGCAACGATATCCAAGCAAGCTTAAAAAACCTTCGCCAACTGCTACGACCCAATGGCAGGTTGCTTTTGCAGGAACCCCGACCCGGGCTGTTGTGGGCCAAATTCGCCTTGGGCACTCAGCCAGGCTGGTGGTCTGACGTTGAGGATCTGAGCCGCGCTGCCGAGCCTTTCATGAGCGCAGAGGAATGGCAAAAAGCCCTCGCAGCGGCTGGCTTTTCCGACGTCGAGCGCGTCAAGTCAAGCTCGGAGCATTACACGAACAGTGTTCTACTTGCACGCCCACAGGCCCCCAAAGCGCCAATCAAGAGAGTGACGCTGCTGGTGAGCGATCGCAGTGCATCTGGACCTAGTCTTATTTCGAGCGAGCTCGAGGCTCGGGGTTATGCTATTGACCGCCGTTCACTGGGACAGACACTGCCACAGGGCCAGGACGTTGTTGCACTCCTTGAGGAGGAGCAACCTCTTTTCGAGGACACTGACACAGTCCGGCTTGTTCAGTTCAAATCCCTGCTTCGCGATCTTGGAAATGGCGGCCTGTTGTGGGTGACGCGACTCTCCAGCGTTGGCTGCACCGATCCGAGGTACGCCCAAGTCGTTGGTCTAGCGCGGACGCTCCGTTCGGAGATGTCCATTGACTTTGCGATTTTGGAGACAGACAAGGTCGTGTCTCCGGCAGGGGCAAGCGCAGTGGCCAATGTGGTGAGCAAGTTTCAGACAAGAGAAGACGACGGTGTGCTAGGACCTGATCTTGAATATGCCATCCACAAAGGCCAAACGCTCGTCAACCGCATCTTCCCCTTCTCCCTCGACGAGGAACTGCTTGTGTCGCAAGACTCAGACGAGGCTGCTCTGACCCAGCAGCACCCAGGCCGTCTTAACACGCTGACCTGGTCAGTCACGTCTTCGGCCCCTCCAAAAGATAACGAGGTCGAGGTCGAGATATATGCCACCGGGCTGAACTTTAGAGACGTCTTGGTGGGCATGCAGATTATCCCCGGGCGTCACCCCACATTTGGTTACGAAGCTTCTGGAGTTGTCCGCCGTGTAGGCCCCAAGGCAACTAGACTCGCCGTGGGCGACCGTGTCGTTACCTTAGCATCCAACCTGCTCTCCACGGTGACGACAAGCCCCGAAACCCATTACGAGATGCTGCCTGAACATGTCAGCTTTGTCGAGGGCGCCTCCATTCCCCTCATCTTCGTCACTGCCATTTACGGTCTTCGCGACGTTGGGCGTCTCTCTAAGGGCCAGTCAGTTTTGATTCACAGCGGCGCGGGTGGGGTTGGGCTTGCTGCCATCCAGGTAGCCCGCATGCTCGGCGTCGAGATCTACACCACCGTCGGCAGCGAGAGGAAGGTGCAGTACTTGACGGACACTTATGGCATTCCAAGAAACCGCATATTCAACTCAAGAGACTCTTCCTTTGTTGATGACGTGCTGCGCGAGACTAGTGGAAGGGGGGTAGACGTGGTGCTCAACTCGCTTACTGGAGAGCTTCTGCACGCAACTTGGAAGTGTGTTGCGAAATGGGGTACCATGGTGGAGATTGGGAAGCGCGATCTTTTGGGGAATGCGCGACTTGACATGGGCCCCTTCCTGGCCAACCGCAACTATTGCTGCTTCGACATTGACCTCATGGGACAAGAACGACCTGAGCTTCTCAACCAGCTGCTCAAATTCACCATGGATTGCTTTGCCCAAGGACACCTCAAGCCGATCCGGGTGGATCAAGTGTTTGCAGCGTCTCGAGTGCTGGACGCTTTTCGGTACATGCAGCAGGGCAAGCACATTGGCAAGATTGTGATTGAGGTCCGCGACCCCTCAGGAAAGCTGTTGCTCGAGAGCGTCGACGCTACCAAAAAGATAGGCGCTGGGCTCGACGGAGCGGCGTCGTATCTACTCGTTGGTGGTCTCGGTGGGCTGGGCCGCTCCATGTCGGTGTGGATGGCACAGCGGGGAGCGCGGAACTTCACCTTCTTATCTCGGAGTGCAGGCGGTGGCACGCACGATGCCGACTTTGTCGCCGAGCTCGAAAGCATGGGATGCACTGTCCAGCTTGTACGTGGAGACGTGACCAACCCCACCGATGTTGTGCGTGCGGTAGACGGAACTGTCGCGCCATTGCGGGGAATCGTCCAGATGTCCATGGTCCTCCGCGACCAGATGTTTGAGGGGATGAGCGTCGAGGACTGGAACGCTGTCACGCGCCCTAAGGTCCAGGGCACCTGGAATCTTCACAATGCGACGACAGCGAGTGGGTGCGAGCTGGACTTCTTCCTCTTGTTCAGCTCGCTATCAGGCATTGTTGGCCAGGTCGGACAGGCCAACTACGCGAGCGGCAACACGTTCCTGGATGCATTTGTGCTGTATCGCGCCAGTCAGAATCTTCCCTGCACAGCAATCGACCTGGGAGCTATGGAGGGCGTCGGCTACCTGTCCGACAACCTGGATCTTCTCAAGAAGATGCATGGCACCGGCTGGAGTGTTGTGCAGGAAACGGAGCTCCTCGACGCTCTGCCTCTCGCCTTCATGTCTCCAGCCACGCGCAGCCAACGCAAACGAGACATGACAACTGGCGACACCTTCCTACTCGGTCTAGCGCCAACGATACCCTTGAGCAGCCCAGGAAGTAGTTCTCGGCTGAAACGGGACGTCCGGATCGCCGTTTACCACAACATGGGCAGTGGCAGCACCAAGGTCACCAGCTCCGCACCCGATGTATTGGGCGATTTCCTCGCAACCGTCAAGAAGGATCCAAGCCTTCTGAGGTCCACCGAGACTATAGAGCTGCTAGCAATCGAGGTCGGAAAGAAGCTGTGCAGCCTGGTCCTAGCAGATGACACCGATCTCGAAATTTCCGCGAACATGGCTGATCTTGGCTTGGATTCATTGGTGGCTGTTGAGATGCGGGGCTGGTGGAAGCTGACGTTTGGATTTGACATTAGCACTCTGGACATGTTGAGCTTGGGGACGCTAGAGGCGATGGGCAAACGTATTGCTGATGAACTCATCACGAAGTTCGACGCGTAGCGGGGGATACTGGTTTGTATGGTAGCTTGTTTTACTTTTTTTAAAGCTAGGTGTCTGATGAATTTTATTCCATATCTACCTTCAACTATCCACGTTGTCTCCACTTGAATGCTTGTCTTCCCGGCTCATGGCCTTAAACTCGTAATTTTGTCCATTGGACATGCGTTGACAAGAAGCAGTGTAATAGGCGCACGCATTTCGTAAGATGCAACCTCCACTATGACTTGGAGCCCTTGCCCCTTTCTTGTTCGTACATCAAATATTCGTGTCCATCTTTCTCCACCTTCTCGCACACCATATTCACCTCTTCAAGCCCTTAATATCTCGCCAGTCAACCTGGCGGTGGATGGCTTCTCTGGTGGTGCGGGTGTCTTGAGGTCTCTCACCCTTATGGCGAGGCCGCGGAGCAATCTGCTGCTGGTGCATTAACTAATAAAGTAGCACGAGAAAGAGTCTCTTCGCAGATAGTATCACGTGAAGGCAAGTCCGTATCTCAACATTCGGATTGGCATGTGGGATTCGGATTGTTTTTCGCGTCTGGTGCATGCATTCGGGATAATGAGTGCAAATTGTAGGGAAACTATGCACCCTCAAGCTGTTCCAAAACTGGAACTGCCCTCTTCATCTCAGTGATGATTTCGTTCCAGACTAATGCTTTCACCTTGAGCGCAGTATCGCTCTTCAAGTTTGGGAATGCCAAGATGCGGTATTCTTCTTCCCCAAACAGCGATTGGATATATTTACCCTTGGTATTGCGTTTCAGCCACTGGAAGACAAGGGGTAGATGTAATGTGCGTAAGGTAGTGCTACTTACATGCTCATCCTCTGATGTGCGTGCCGCCGTGACATAAAATCTCGCACCGTAATCTGCCGACTTGCCTAGAACCGAGGCATGGAGGGGCACTGCGAGTTGCATCAATGTCGAGCCTTTAGCAATAGCGCGTCCGAGGCTAGTGAAGACGAGACCAGGACAGACGGTGTTGACAATAACGCCCACTCTAGTTTAGGATGAGCACAGAATCCTCGTGTCTGGGGCAGCGAACAGCATTCCTCACCTGCCATCTGGCTCTACGGCCTTCTTGCAGATTTCTTCGACGGCATATGTCAACAGCAGCTTGCTGTTGGCGTAGTTTGGCTCTATCTGGTGAGAAGGCCAGTTTTGCCGGTCGCTGCAATGTCGCAATATGCCATCGTCAGTGGCCCATCGGGCCCAATCGCGGATGTCGGGATCAATATGATCACGAGAAGTTACAAAGACCAGATGTGGCTTCCTGGATGCCCTGGGGCGTCGCTTTCTCATCAACTGCAGCAGGAGCAGTCCCAGCAGAGTAGTGCTCAGAGTGTTGACCTGGATCGTCTCCTCCCTGCGAGGACGGATGAGTGAGCAATATAGAGTGAAGCTTTAAACGTGGACTAACCAGCCTTCCGGACTCTGCACATATTCGGCATTGATGAGGCCAGCGTTCAAGACAGCAACGTCGAGGCCACGGCGCGTTGCCGTGGCCTCCTTCAGCCGGTCGACAAAGGCTAGGCACGAGGAATATCTGCTCAAATCGAGTTCAATGACATGTATCTTGCCTTGTCCAACGATACCAGCCCGCTTTTCCACTTCGTCTTTGACACCGTTGCCTTGCGGCAAACTCCGCGATGTGATGACTACACTTGCGCCTAGTGTCGCGAAATGCAGTGCTGCAGCCAGACCGAGGCCGGCAGTTGCACCTGTAACGAGGACTGTCTGCCCCTCAAATGACTTAACAGGGGGCAGAGGCTCGGGCCAAAATTTGTCGCGTAAGCGACGGAGGATGAGGGGGCTCATGGTTGCGTGTTGGAGGATAATCGAATAACGCCGGGGCAAAAGCTCAATACTATTGCACCTGGCGTGTGTTGGAAAGCGTACAGGCGATGTTCCCATTGCTAGGCTTTGATTGGATGTTGATGGTTAAAGTAGATATGCAGTCAGCCACGCGAACAAACCCGAAATAGGCAACACGAGGTATATGCGAGGTCAGACAGCATGAAATACCATATATCGTATACCTAGAGTGATGACAAGGGCAGCACGCATCGACAACTTTGCAACCAATACCACAATAACGATGACGGAAGACTTTATCTCCGAAACCTTCCTGATCACGCCCCGTGAAAGCCCAATTGGTCCCACGAGGATCGATTGCCGTTGGAGATGCAACAGAGATGGGCAACATTTCGGCGCTCTGGATCTGCGTCTGCACCTGCTTCCTGCAGCCCAAGAGGGCGCCTTTGAAGACGCTACTGATACCCCTCTGGGCACGCTGTTTCGCGGCATCTGGGGCAAAGCGCAGGGGCACGGGCTGGCAGATACGACCGAGATGGCGATCACCGTGATACTGGTCCCACGTGGCCGCCACGGCTTTGTGTGCAGGAGTGACATCCTCCATCTCAGGGTGGGGCAATCGCAGTTTGTCGAGCGTGTCATCGCCTTCGCAGGATGGGACAAGCACCTTCCGGCTCTGCCCACCGGCACTGACGACACCAAGTGTCTTTTGGCGCTGCTGCCATGCTCTCCCGGCGCACTGCTCCTAAGGCAGCCGCACGATGAAGCGCTGCAGGACGATCTCACGGCCCGCTTGTCATTCAACTGGCTGCTGCCCAACAGGCCCGTTGCCCGCCGCGTGGCAGTAGTCTCCGGGCGCCCGTTCCCCGATCGGAAGCGCCAGATGTACAGCGCCCAGGGCTTCTTCGCCGCTGCCCATGCCCTCGGTATTTCGCTCGTGGTCGTGGACAATGTAGGGCACTGGCTCGAGAACAGTGCTTATCAGAGCCTTCGCGACGAGTTCGTTCCCATGGACATGGACATCAATCGCTTGGCCGATCTGCCACAGCGGCTGGTCGCGGCTCTGAAAGACAAGCACCTCGACGGCATCGTTACCTTCTGGGATGCGTACGTCATCCAGACAGCCGAAGCGGCAGAGCTCCTTGGACTGCCCACAGAATCGTCCGTGGCGTTGCGGCAAGCGCACCTCAAGCACGAGATGCGCGAGCTCGTCAGCCAGCCTAATATCCAGGCAGTCACTATCGACAGCGTGGAGCGGCTAGATGATCCTTCCATGGCCGAGACGCTCCGCAGCCTGCGGTATCCCTTGGTCGTGAAGCCATGTCGTGGCGGCACATCCGAAAGCGTCAAAAAGGTGACGGACGAAAGCAGCATGCGAGAAGCTGTACGCATAGCATTCAAAGACGGATTCCCCAATCCAGCCATTGCTCTCGTCTTGCTCGAGACGTACGTCGATGGCCCCGAGCTCGACGCCAACTTCATGCTCTGGAACGGCGAGATCCAATTCCTCGAGGTGACGGATAGCTTTCCGTGCGCCGCCGACGCGACCGATGCCACCGTTGCTGACCCCTTCCGCGAGACGGTACAGATCTCAAACAGTCTACTGCCTCCTGACGAAATCGAAGTCATCCGCTCTTCTCTGCACCGCAGCATCCTGAAGCTGGGTTTCGGCTCCGGCGTCTTCCACCTTGAAGCCCGCATGCGGAACCCGTCCATGAAGTACCAAGATACTCGCGGTGACGGGATTCTAGACCTGGACTTGGGTCCTTGTGTCGCAGCCAACCGTCGTGGTAAAGCGGACGTGTTCCTCGTCGAAATCAACGTCCGTCCGCCCGGCACGGGAGGCACATGGGCGACCTTGTTCGCCTACGGCGTTGACCAAGGCGCACTGCACTTTCTTCGCGCCCTCGATGATGGTGAGCGTTTTGCGGCTCTGTCACAGCCTTATGCGTTCCCCAGTGGCAGTGCCGGTGGTGGCGGCGGCGCTCAATACTGGACTGCGCAATGTCTGGTTCCCATCCATCGCGACAACATTCGTGTGCCAGACGACTTGTGGGAGAGAGTCTATCGGGCACTGCCTGACGTGGAACCCTATGTGGTTAGGGCCGAGATGTACGCAGAGCCGGGCACGATTGTGTCTATCAGGAGGAGTGTGGGGTGGATTGGTTATGTGTTGCTCTACTCGAGGACGAGTAGGAGACATGTGCTGGAGATGTATCATTGGCTCGCTGAGGCTTGCATCAAGGTGTTGGATGAAGAGCTATAGCGATTGTATATAAGAAATGCAATCTATTTATTCTTTCAATGCACATCACTAAGTAGCGATTGCCGCGTTCGCCGCTCCTGCCTTGTCTACATAACCAACATGCACATCATCCCTCTCCATCATGCCCGTCAAGACCTGCATGTCCGGATCCAGCGAGGCGGGGGCGCGGAAAGCATCGAACTTGAAGTCGTGCCACTCCTTCGCGGACCAAAGCTTCCCAGCGGCGTCGCGGAAGGGAGTATCGTTAGCAATGCGCAGGAAGTAAGCGATGCTATAACGATCTTCGTGCTGCTTCTCGTGGATCGGAATCACGCGGTGCACTGCCGAAAGGAGCTGCCCCTTTGAAGGGAAACGCAAGCTGTCGCCAACATTGATGACGGCGTGCTTGGGGCGAGGCTCTACAAACGCCCAAGTCTCCTGATCTGGCGAGAGAGCCTGGAGTCCCCACTGTCCGGCAAGCAGGAAGGTGAGAGAGCCAATGTCGGTGTGCTTGTTGTGACCCACACTGCTACCCTTCAGCTCGTCGTGCTTGGGGTATCGCAGCAGTGTCAGATTGGTAAGCGAAGGGACTTTGTCATTGTGAAAAGCCTCGAAACGGTCGCCACCCTTGAGACCCATCTCGTCAGAGAGCCTCTCTAGCATCATAATGGTAACGGTGTGGGCGTTGCTCGAGAAGTCGAAGAACAAGTCCGTCTTGGCCAGCGCCGAGGCTGTCGTGAGATCGGTGGAGCCCTTGAGAAACTCTCGGCGCGATATCTTGAGAGATTCGTATCCGTCGACTGTGTCCGGCCGGGGGCCTACTTCGGTTCCTTGAGGCTCGTACCCGTAGTTGTCGCTTTGACGAGCATCTTGCATCTTGACGTCGAGCGGCTGTTCGAAGTAGTCCTTCATTGCGACCAGCATCTCCTCCCACTGCCGGCATAGAACGTCATCGCTGGTCAAATCGAGGTAGAAGAAGCCCCAGTTACGGCAGGCATCAATCAACTTCTTGCTCTCAGAGGTATCCCCGGATCGAAGGTGGTCGAGACGAATAGTCGGCAGAGTGAGTAGAGGGGATGGTTTGGCGTTGGCAATCATGTCTGGAGTTGGAGATGAAGATCTGAGATAGATTGAGATGGTGCTGCTAAGAATAGTGATGATAGTGGTCGTGATGAACGTGTTTCCTCGTTCATGGCTGTAAATTCATCACAACTTATGCTCGTCGTGCAAAGTCTGCTACGAGGTGTCGGCGAGACTACAGTCCGCTATCCAGACTGCGAAGGCAATAGACGGTGACATGTCCGCTTCGACGGCATTCAGGACCGGCCAGTAGTTTCGCCATTGCGTGGGCCCCCAATTGCAGTTAGCGCAATGATGCACATGCAAGGTCAGCCACGGGTGTCAGCCATGCGCTCAACGCTCGCTATCGAATACGCCCGTCACCAAGAGACACTTTTGGAAACCTCATCATCTGGAACAGTCAATTCTTCACTCTAACTCTAGCGGATAGCAGCAGTAGCGACACCACGTCTTTCCAGAACAGCAACCATGGACAGCAATGTTGCTTCTGAGCCGCTTAACACCACAATTCTCGAGGTCGTCGACGGCTGGGCCGCCAGAACACCTTCCGGAATAGCTGCCGAGTTTGAGGGACAGAAAATCACATATGCCGAGTTGCGAAGCGCGTCGCTCCATGTCAGTCGGGCACTGCTATCAGCTGGTGTGCAGCCTTGCGATAGAGTGCCGCTTCTGACGGACATGTCCCTCGACATGATCCCCGCCGTGATGGGAATTCTGAGAGTTGGGGCATGTTTTGCGCCCATGGATGTCGCCGCCTGGAGCCGCCCACGCATCGAGGCGGCCTTGTCAAAGCTCGCTGCGCCCACAGCCCTCGTCACCAGCTACTGTCCTGGACTGCAGCTGCCTGTTGTCACGGTGAACTTCCAGAAGCAATGGCTGCGTCAACCGCTCGAAGACGCCGACGGACTGTTCGCCAAGCTAGATGCAATCCGCAGTGGACTCCGCACCGACCATCTCGCCTGGATCATCTTCACATCTGGAACTACTGGGAAACCAAAAGGCGTCATGGTCTATCACAAAGGTATCCAGGCACTGGTGCCCGAATTCCTCGACTACGATAACCTGAAGGCCGATGTGGAAGCGCGCGGGGTCCGGTGCTTGCTGGCCGCTTCGGTTGCATTTGACGGGTGTCAGGCAACTGTTTGGGGTACCCTGAGAAGGGGCCGGACGCTGGTGATGGCTTCACCGTCCAATTTTCACGAAGTCGCTGCCACGTGTGAAGTGTGGACCCTAACGCCGTCAATGCTGGCAGCCTTGGACCCGGCGGGGCCTTACGACCGAGTGCACATCATCTTCATAGGCGCCGAGGCACCTTCACGCGAAGTCTACCAGCACTGGATTCGTCCTCAGCGCAGGGTGATCAATACGTATGGGCCGTCCGAGACTACATGCATCATCAGTATGGGAGACCTCAGCCCAGAAGGAGAACCTACCTTTGGTGAGCTGATGTCCAGCGTCAAGGTCGTGCTTGTAGACGCCGATCTTCAGGAGGCCAATGTCGGCGAGGTCATGATTTCTGGGCCGGGTCTGGCCGCCGGCTATCTGAACAACGACGAGCTCACGGCGACTAAATTTATCCAGTGGAAGGGGCAACGTTTCTACCGAACGGGGGATCTTGCACGGAGGCGCAAAGATGGACAGCTTGTGTTCATGGGCAGAGCAGATTCGCTCGTCAAGAACCGCGGCTTCTTGATCAATCTGGAGACGGAGGTCGAACCGGCGCTTCTGAGCTTCGATCCTGTGCGGGTGGCCGTAGCCTTCAAGGCGCAAAACGGGCGGCTCACGGGGTGTGTTCAACCGGCCACTGTGGACGTAGACCAGCTACGCCAGTTTTTGCGAGGACGCTGTGATCCCTTCGTCATCCCCGACGATTTGGTGGCACTGGACAGTTTTCCGCTTAACGTCAATGGCAAAACAGACCGAAATGCGCTCAAGGTCCAGCCCGAATTCAGTGCAACCCAGCAGGACGAGGATGATCCCGACGATGACGACCGCTACCAGAATGGATACGATGCCTTGTGTGCAGGCTTTGCCCAGATCCTACACGTCCCATTCAAGCAGCTGGATAGGGACTCGTCGTTTACCGCACTGGGAGGGCATTCGCTGGCGGCCATCCGTCTCTCCAACTTCTTGAAGCAGCACGGACACTCGCTTCTCGCAGTTCAGATGCTGCGGCTGGACTCGATCAAGCGACTGGAGGAGGCGATCAACCAGAACAAAACGCATAAAAAGGCAAGCAAGGACAAGCTGCCCGACGGGCCTGCGCCCGCAACCGACGTGCAGAAGCTGTTAATCCGGCGTTCGTTGCAGGACCCAAAAATATGTGCGCTCATCGGCGTGGCCACGCACATTGGAGACGCTCAAGCCATGCCAACAGCCAGCGAGCTGCACGATGCCATCGTCACGGCCGGCTCAGCGCACCAGATCTTCCAGACGCGCTTCGATCTGTCCGACCTGACCCTACACGACCTCGGGCGACTGAACCTCGACTGGAGAGAAGTGAGCGTCCCCAGAGTAGCCGAGTTTGAGGCTGCCTGTGCGGCGTGCGAGGAGCAGGCCTGGCACGAATTGAGGGAGACGACGCCCGCCGACGTGGAGGTGCCATACTGTCAGATCACTTGTGTCTCCGTCCCGCACCGCAAGGCAGTGGCTCTGGTGACGCGCATGCACCATATCTTGACCGATGTCTTTTCGGCCGCCCTGTTCTGGCGGGACGTAGAGCGCGCGCTGGCGGGCGAGCAAGTCCCGCGCGGACCCCAGATACAGAACTTTGCACGGTTCATGCACGCATACAAGCGAGAGAATTTAGACCGAGCGCGCATGACATTTGAGAAGATGCTCGGGGACCTGCCAGCGACGGCGGTGCTGCAGCCTCCCTCCCCTAGCACACCACAGCACACACAGCAGATGCAGCTCGGGTTGGTCCGTCTCAACTCGCCGGCCACTGTGGCCAAGGCCGCGCTCGACGGGGCGGCGCGCAACCATCGCGTCACCGCTACGACACTGGTCTACGCGGCGTGGTCGCTCTTCCTGAGTAGCATTACGGCATGGGACCGCGTGGGGTTTTCTGTTAGCCTCTCGGGGCGTACCGTGCCGTGGCCGGAGGCGCAATTGGTGCTAGGGTCGTTGGTCAACAGAGCCATCTTCAGCACTCATGTTGCACCGAAGGCCACGGTGCGCGAATGGCTCGCCGATGTGCACAAGACAACGTTGGATCTTGTCGAATTTGATGGCCTCACACACGGGCTGCCCGAGTCGCTGATGGCGGACCCGCGCACCAACACCACCAACGTGCTGTGCTTCCTCGACGTGCCCCAGTCCTCGTCCAACTGGAACTACCGCGACCAGCAAGGGCACAACTACCTCATCGACTGGTACATATTTCCGGATGGCAACGGAGGCGTCAAGACTGAGTTCGAAGTCCAGGCTCAACGCGTTGATTTGGACTGGGCGAAGGCTGTCGCAGGCGTGCCTGGGCGCTTGCTGGACCAGCTGGCCCATGCCACGCCTGAGATACTGGTAGGCCATTTGCTGAGATAGTCAAATAGCAATATAACTGTTTGTGCAAGTACGCGAACTTACAAATATCAAGGTTCGGCCAGGCTTGGTGCAACATGTTGATCATCCCTAACTACTCGGCCCTCGCCGCTCTGACCAAATCCCCAAACCTAGTTCCCGCCGCTCCAGCCAACTCGACAGGATTTCCAATCTCCACAATCTCGCCTGTGTCCATGACAATGACTCTGTCGAAATCCATGATCATGTCCAGCCGATGGCTCACAGCTATCACTGTATAGCCATTAAATTCGTTCCTGATGATCTCCTGCATGATGCGTTCCGTCTCGACATCTACACTCGAGCTCACTTCGTCCAGCAACAGTATCCCGCCGTGTGCCTGCTGCCGCGCTCGGATACGCTGTCTAAGCAGCGCGCGTCCAACCGACATGAGCTGCCGCTGCCCGGCACTCAGAGTCCCCGCACTCATGCCTGCATCCAAACCGCCGCGCGCTACGACGAAGCTCCACAGGCCGACCGCCGTTAGCACCTCTTCGCATTCTGCAGCCGTTGAAACACCCAGTGGATCCACATTTGTCCGGAATGTGCAGCCATCGGGCAGGAAGACGGCTTCCTGGGGCATGGCAATGATGCGCTGACGCAGCGCAAGCCGATTGAGGCGACGGAGCGGCGTGCCGTCGATTGTGGCATTGCCTGCTGTCTCTGGGAGGGGATTGACGAGTTTGAGAAGGAGGGCGATGAGGCTGGACTTGCCGCTGCCGGTACGTCCGCAGATGGCCACCCTCTCGCCTGAAGCGACTGTCAGGTGGATGTCACGAAGGGCGAGTTTGGGCGTGCCCTCGCCTTCAACCTGCTCTTCGTAGCTTGCTGAGATCCCCTGCAATGCCACAACACCATGTCGAGGCCATCGTTCAGAAGGAACAATGTCCTCCTCGTCCATGTCCTCGGGGGTAACGGTTTCACCAAAAGACTTCAGTCGAGCTATTGCCCCCAGAGACGTCTCCAGCTTGGTCCAGTAGATGACGATGCCTGAGAGATTCTCCCCGAGGGTCAAGAGGCTGTAGAGAGAAGCGCCAGCGAACCCAGACTTAGAGTGAAGTCGGACGGCAAACGTCGTCAGTAATACTGCCATGATCATGACTACGACGTTGAGCACCAGATTCAGCCACTCTTGGATCATGAGCAGCAGATAGGCAGGCCGTTGGCTGCACCCGATCAGGCGAGCATTTCTTTGAACATCGTCGGGCATGAACCCGAACGCTCGCAGGGTTGTGATGCCCTTGACGGTGTCTAGGAAGTGCGTGTACAGGGGACTCTTCGCCTCAAGGTCGAGCAGCCGTATCTGCCTGGAAGTGCGCAAGTAGAATCGTTGCACAACATACAGCAGCGCACCGAGGAAGGGATAGCTTATCGCCAGGTATGCCGACGACGTGAGCATGACAGCAATCTGTCCGGCCGCTTGAGCGAGAGTCACGAGCGTGTTGATGGTAGCTTCCGGCAGCTCAGTATCGATAAGATTCAAATCCTGCGAAAACAAGTTCGTGACGACACCAGTATCCGTCTTGGTGAAGAAGGCAAGCGGTGCCCGGATAAGAGTGTTCAAGGCCTTGCGGTGTATGTTGGCGCCGGCTCTCTTCACCGAGATGATGAAGATGGCGACACCGAGGAGCAGCAGTGCTATCGAGGCACAGGCCTGGAGCAAGGCATAGATGCCAACGTAGTAGGCGTCCGAGTGCGCCCGATGTGCCGACTTTATGGCGTCAGTCCAAAACGTGAGCCAGACCGTTGGAAAGTTAGTGAAGAATCCCCAAAGCGCAGCGAAGAAGCCGCTACACAGTGCCAAGAACATCCCCATGCTTTTAATGTAGTGCTTGTATACCACTCGATCCCCAACTTGCCGCGCGCTATCTGTGGCTGGCGCCGGCAATGCCTTACTTATTGTCCGCGCCGCAGAAGGCTGCGGTTGTGGTTGTGGTTGCGGCTCCCTTGATGTTGTGGATGTCGACTTTTGTGACAGAGTGTGTTGATAAAAGCCTTGACCAACCCTCAGCTGGTCGAAGCTACCTTGCGCGACAATGGTGCCGTCTTCAAGTTCTATGATATGATCTGCGGCGGGCAGGTGCCGCACGCTGTGGGTGCACAACACCACGGTAGCCCTCCGTCTTCGCAGCAGGCCATGTGGCCCAAAGACTTGGTCAAAGACGTGCTCCTCGGTCTCGGCATCCAGGCCGCTGAACACATCGTCTAGCACAAGCAGATCAGCCTGTATATACAAAGCTCGTGCGAGAGAAACGCGTTGCTTCTGGCCACCGGACAGTGTGATTCCGTCAGACCCGACATTGGTCCCGTCTCCTTGGGGGAGCGTAGCAAAATCGTAGCTGAGATTAGTCGCGTTAATGACTTCAGCGTACCTCACCGGGTTGAATGCCGAAAAGGCCACGATGTTGTCTCTCACCGACCCGTTGGAGAGGAACGCAGTCTGGTCGCAGTAGCCAACGTGGCTATGATGCATCCTCAACTTCACTTGGCCCTCACTGAATGGCATCTCGCCCAGCAGCGCCCTGCAGAGGGTCGACTTTCCCGAGCCAACGGGCCCCACGACCATGGTGAGTGAGCTTCGCGCCAGTGAGAAGTTCACATTCTGCAATACGAATTTGTCCGCTTCCCACCCAAACTTGGCGTCCTTGACGGCCAGCTCTACTTCAGGCAAAGCCTCAGCATCAACAAGAAGCTGGCGAACATCCTCACGTGTCTCGCACTCCAAGAAGGCCTGAATGCGGCCCAAACAGGCGAAGCCAGAAACGATCTCGGGGACAGCCTGGAAGACCTGCGACAGCGGGATCGTCATCAGCGTCAGGAAAGAAAGACTGGTAAACACACGTGAATTGTCGAGTGCTCGTTGCGTGAAGGCAAAGACCAGGGGCGGGCCAAACAGCAGCGGGATAAAGCCGAAGAGCGCAGCAGCGATGAAGATGCGGCGGAACCGAGCTCCTGCCGCAAGCTCCTCGATGCGAAGCCTCTGCACAAAGTCGCCGACGGCAGCAGAAAGCCCCGATATCTTCAGATTCTTCATGCTAGCAATTACGGTGGCCGTCAGACCGACACGCGTCTGCACGCGGGCCATCCACGCTCTCTGCGCATCCCCAGTGAAGTTGATCAGGACGCCCAGGCAGGCGAAGCAGACAATGACGATACCAATGGCTGCGACAAAGACGACACCCAGCCGCCTGTATAGCATCCAGGCAGCCAGCGCAACCTGGACCAGACACGCCCACAGTTCGTGCAGAGTCCTGAAGCCCATCCGGATGCGCTCCAGGTCGGTGCTCATCAGCGTCAGCGCGGCGCTGTCATCGGCCGCTCCGACACGCGCTTTCGTGGCCTTGATGAAGATCTCAGGGACTAATATCGATCGCATCATGATGCGCAGGCGGTGGTGGAAGTACCAGGTAAAGGCCATGGAGGTGGCGATTCCGGAGTAGATAAAGAAGCTCGCGCCGATCAGGCCATATCCAATATTAGGGTTGAGTTTAGGCTCCGCGAGATAGCCCAATAGGGTCTCGATGAAAAAGGGCTGGCAAAAGGTGAAGCCGAGGAGCGCCAGGCGCGGGGCGATAGGAAGCAGTAGAGGCACCTTGAGGGTGCGCGCAAGGACCTTAGCCAGGCTAAACTTATCGCCCTTGAGTTTGGCATAGTCCATGTTGCGAGAGAACTTGGCGTGGAGGGCTTCGGCGTCAAGGGAGCTATCGAGCGGTAGGAGGGTCTCAAGGGTCAGGATGGTCCGGTAACCCGCGAGGAACAGCTTGTTCAGCCAGAAGAAGACACCGAGAGAGAAGATGCCGCTCGTCTCCTCTGGGCTGTGCTCTTTCTCGTCGTTGTTCCAGCGCACCCAGCTTGCTTTTTGCCGGGCTTCCAACACCAGGATGCCCGCCTTCAAAGCCACGGCAGCACAAAAGATGCCGCTGTAGACGCGCTCCGAGTGGCTCGTCGAAGATAAAAACAGAGTTCTCGCCTGCGCCGCATCCAGCAGTAGAGTGAGGCACAGATAGGTAGTCAGCAGTGTCGATGGCCGCGGGTTTCTGCTGTGCTCAACCGCACTGAGCGCCATCATGAGGAGCACTGCTACGACTCTGAGAACGACGGCTGCCATGAACATGCTGGACACATGCACATGACTGACTGCCGCGAGAACAACAAGGGCAAGCGCTAGACAGACATAGGCCGTTATTGCACCCTGCACGATTGGTGAGCATGATTAACGAGAATGGAGAGCCGTACATACCAACTTGATATACTGGAACGTTGGTGCATGCACCATCTTCGGCTTGCGTGCCTGCGAAAGCGTGCGCCATGACGACGCGACGATGAACAGCGCCGAGGGCACGATGGAGAAGAACAGCTGCTCGAACTGAAGACTGAAGTCAAACTCCTTACTGTCTAGCTGCAGCAGCATGTCCTCTCCCGTGGTGAAAGGCATAATGGGTGACGACGGTGCAAAGGACGCAGCTGCGCTGGAGCGCGAGGTAAATCGATGTCAGCCATCCTCAATGCTTCCCGAGTGCTGTCAGCCAAAACGTCTCAGATAGGAAACTCGCTTGCCTGAGCCATCTATCATGTGACTGTAGATTGAGGTTGGGTGGAGAGACATAGGGTCTGTGCACGCTTATCGATAGCGACCGTCCGATTAACTATGTTCTATGTTCTCGCCTCTCTTTCATCCGTATCTATAACCTTAGAACATTAGAACGATTCGCTTTGCCGTCGTTCCGTTCTTGACGCTGCCAGGCGCTGTTCTGTTTTTGGAACGATTCTGATATCGTGGTACGTCCGCCAATCAGCGCCACTTGCCCCGTGCACCACGCTTAAGCGCCGAAACGTCGTCCGAATCACCATCTGCACCTCACCCCTCGAAGCGCCCTCGAACATGCATCCCCCGTTTCAGACAGTTGCGCACCTGCATATGGCCTGTTCCTCTCCCTCATTTGCCAGCCTCCAGATGTACCCTCAACGCCAACGATGATCTGGAGAAGGCTACGAAGCCACGGTGCTAAAACGTCCCTCTTGTGGCCGCCTATGAGACCAATAAACAGCCCACTCTTGGGCCGCACATCCGTTGGTGGGGGTTAATGTGCAGATTCGGGTTGCAGAGAGGTGGACGGGGTGTTAATTGAGGGTCTATTTCTGAGTAGAGGTGCAGATTTACGCGCTCACGATGCATGCTCACGGCGCACCATAGATGACAATGAGAGCTAAAAACGCTACTCGCGGAGGAGGAAACATCGATCTACCCGATTACTCTTATTTTGGAGATGCAGACGAGGTGGGTAAGCGGCTGGACGTCGAGGGGATGGTGTGCGTAGGGCATGAAACGCCCATCGCGACCAGAATTGTTTTAAAGGCAGGGTGTTCCCTCCCCCCTCTCCTTTTGTGTTTCCAGGCAAGCCCTCGAAGTGTTATATCAGTTCATCGCTGCGTTCGTCGCGTTTCCTGTCCGTTCATTCTGTTTTGCTGTTAGGGTGCTCCTGGTTGCGTGCCCTCTCCTTTCCTTACGCTATCGGTCCTTTATATATATACCGTCTCGTCGTCACTCTTCATCTTCCCCTGCCCGCTTTGTACGAAGCATAAAAGAAGATTCGAAGAGAAGGGAAGAAGAAAGCCGTCAAGATGAAGATCAATCCCGCACCGCTCCACCTCGCCCAAACCGTCATCACGGGCCTCGTCCTCGCCATGAGCATCGCTATCTTGGGTACCTCAGCGCATACCCTCGATGTCTTCAAAAAGCAGCAGACGTCCAACCCGTGGTGGCTTCCACTATGGCCGCAACACTTCGATGTGCAGGGCACGAAGGCGCTCATTGCGTCTGCTGCGGTGACCGTGTTCCTCTCTATCGTATTCCTTGTCCTGTCGCTCGTTCCCAAGGTAAGTCTCGTTCAATTCCTCAAGAAGAGTTCAGGGGCTGATATGATGTGCAGTTCAACCTGGCGAACAAGCACACGCTCCGCGCTCTCATCGCTCTGGGCACTACAATCCCCTCCGCGCTCCTCGCCCTCGTCACCGTCATCTACGCGCACGTCATCAACCACGATACTCCCAACCACGACACCATTCAGACATGGACCTGCAAGTACAAGAACAGCAAGCCCCTGCAGCAAGACCTCGCCCTCCCGGCGAACATGGGTAACGGGAACTTTGGATCGCTCTGCATGCAAAGCAAGTTTGCGCTGTATGGGACCTTGACGGTGCTGTTGCTGCTCGGTGGGAGCATGGCGCTCAGCGTGCTTGGGTGGCTGGCGGACAAGTGGTCTGCTAGGCAGACCAGGAAGGAGATGGAGCAGTCTTGAGCAAGCAGAGATGCAGGAAGCTCTCATGGGGACGGCCCGTCCATGCCAACTCCGGGTGAACCTGCTGAGCTTGGGCGAATGATCGATGCCGTGCGGCGACTAGGGATGATTGGAAAGAAGTTAATTGAGGAATCGGCGTTTAGCGAAGGGGTCGGCTTTAAATAGTCCCGCATGCGGGTGCTGGGTTTGCTTCAGGAGCTCGATGATGGCCTACCTTATTTTTGACGATATGAGACGGCAATATGGAATGCCCGGTAGGATTCTCTCAGCGCGTTATGTATTAAATGTAGTGTTAAACCCGTTCATCATAATCTTATTGCTGCCGCGACGCTGCTCGTCTCCGTCATAGTTGAGGACCTTCGGCTTACTCTTGCGCTGCAATGTGCTGAAAGAGACACGATTGCCTATAGTAATCAGCCGCGAATTGACAAAGCAAGCCGCTGCAGCCGGAGTTTGCAGACGCTCTATCAGCTTCAATTCACGCGTCATTGCGAACAGCGTTAGTCTACCTGCCACCTGAATTCTCAAAACCCACAGTTTGCATGAGACCTTTCCGCATCGCAACATCGATTCACAAACCCGAAGGTTATTTTAAAACGCAGCCGGCACTCAAAGCCCGACGCTTCCTTCACAGGGCCTGCCGCTGATTCACATTGATGACCGATCTCCTCGCCTACCACTCGCAACGCGTCGAACAAAACCCCCGACGGGCCTGGCCTCGCGTCTCTTGCGCGACACTGATCAACGAGATCTCCCCCACTCACACGCGCCTTACCCGTCGCTCATTTCGCCATCGTCATCCACACGCTCCTTGACATTCCCTTCTTCCTTTCTTCCCTCCCCGACCAGAGCCTGCCTGCCCCGCGAAATCTACCCGCCAACAGCGCGACCTTTCCAAATTATTGATTACGGCGTGAACACCCCGGCTCCCTGTGCGCATAGACGGCTGCACTCCAGCACGATTCCGCATTCAGCTTCCCTCGCTAGGGTGCCAATCCCCCCAAACCAAGCACAACCACCGGCCGGCCTCAGCCGTCTCGTCTCACCGGCAGTCCTTCGTTTTCCTTTCCTTTCTGGCAATAATGCGCCGCGGAGAGACGACGACGAGCACGACGACGACACACCAGCACAGGAACAAGAGGCAGTACCAGCCGAGCATCACTAGCTTCTTTGCGGCGCGTGAGGACCGAGACTACAGCAGCGAGTCCGACGAGGACCTGCGGGGTCCTGGCCCGATTAACCGGCCGCACGCTAGGCGGAGTGCACAACAACAACAGCAGCAGCAACAGCAGCAGCAGCGAGATAGCCTCGTACCCAGCGTACCTGGGAGCGTGCAAGCGGACCTGCTGAGCGTCGGGATGCGGGTGCGAAAGAGCGTGCCCGAGGGCTACAAGACGCACAAGACAGCCTCGCTGCCCTCGATCCAGACGACGCTCTCGGCGTCGACGATGCACAAGCCCCCGAGCGCTTCGGCCGCATCCCACCACCACGACGATCACAGCGTCAAACCGCCGCGCGACCCTGTGCCGGAGCCGCTCCAGCACCAGCGGGAGCTGCTGCCCTTCTGCGGGCTGCACAAGATCGGCGGCTATGCGGAGCAGCCGGTCACGAATGTGCATCTGTACGGCGGCGTGGACGGCACCGGCGAGCGCCCCATGAACCTGTTCCCCTTACCCGCCGAAGCCTTCAACCAGCCCTTCTCGCAGTCCTCCTCTGCCGCGTCCTCCATCTCCATCGAGTCGCTGCCGCCGAACCCTACGAATCCGTCCAAGCGCCCGTGGCACGATGAAGACGAGCAGCCGGCGGCGGCGCTGAAGACAGACTTCTACTTCAAGATCCCGATGAAGGTGTCCGAGGACGAGGTGCCCGTGAGCCCACTGAGCGAGTCGCCGCCACCTGAGAGCATCAATGCCTTCGCCCAGGCTGCACTACGCCCCTTCGCACAGCCCAAGACACGGAGACACGGCGGCGGCGGCAGGGCAATGGACATTGACGGCATGGTCGTCAAGGAGGGAGACATCATCGAAATGGATGTCGAGAACGCAGAGCAAACCGAGCGACGTGTGCTCGTGGGTAGCTCGAGCGACTTCGGCGAGGCTGACTTTCTGCGGCCCTGGTCTCCGGGACGAGAAGTCGACATGGGCGGTGTATAAAACCGCCACCGTCCCGAAACATCCAGACGACGACAACCGGATAAGAAGCCGGCCGTCCCTGGAGCGAAGTCTACTGGGGAAGATTTATCTGCTGCCGACCCCTCCACACCCCCAGACGCCTTCTTTCCTTCCATGTTTTGATATCCCACCTCCTTTCCCTTCAATTCTCTTCCTCAGTCGGGTCGGCTTCCTGCCAGCCACCCACACACGCACATATCTTCCTTCTATTTCCTTCCCTTTCCAATCTTCCTTTAGCGTTCAAGCACAAAGTGGCGTAATGGTGTTTTCAAGGCCGGAAACGGGATGGAATGGGTTCCAATTGGGGCGCCCGCGTATACCCAGCGTTTTTCCTATGTCAAATTTCGGGTTTGTGGGTTTTGCTACATTTACTTGTCTGTCTGTCTGTCTGTCTGTCTGTCTGTCTCATAGCTGTATAGTCTAGCTAGCTATCGGATCGGTTGATTTTTCACAGTTATAGAAGCGTCAATCCTATTCGAGGGGGATGAATATACATGCATGCCCATTAATTAGCTCCATCATTCCTTTGGCAAGGTTGATGTGTGAACTGGGAAATACATCATGGACACTTGTCACGTGGAAATGCGTTTCTGGAGCGGGCGTGCAGCACTCCGAAGTGGGAATGGGGTGAGGACGGCGGACGCATTCGTACCTGATGAGGCTTTTTCTCTGTGTTACCGGATATCTAAAAGGTATCTATCTAAGATATGCCCTCTCCATTACGGCCGTTATCAATCTGAGTCTCTAGGAAAGGGTGACAGAGAGACGGTCAACGTTTAGGAGAGCGCGAGGCTACAGTGTGAGATGGGGAATCGTCGCTACCTCATCGTCCTCCCAGCCACTGAGGCCGCCAGCTGGCAGAGTTTGCAATCTGCCAGGCTGCGGTCCTCCTCGTGTGGCCGTTAGTACTCGACAATCTTGGCCCTATTCCTGACTTCCTCAGGCAGCTCGTTAGCCTTGATAATGCCCAGGCGAATCGCATCGCCCCAGACGAACATGGCTCGCTCCTGTGCGTAGCCTAGGTAATCGAACTCTTCCTCTTCGTTCTGCTCTTCAGAAAGGCTCGCATCTTCGGCGTCGGCACCCTTCGCCTCTTCTTCCTCGCCCTTCTCCTTGCTCCCGTCGTTCTTGCCTTCTGCATCGGCTTCAATCCTCATCTCCTTGGTGGCACTCTCCAACTCCGCAGCCTTCTCGCTCATCTCCGCCGCATCCTCTTTGTCAAAGTCTGGGAGACCAGGAACATGAGCCTGGACAATTCCCCAAGCGACCCACTGCGCTGAATTTGCAAGCCGCCAAAGTCTCGTCTCAGCTATCAGCCTGCCCGCCTCCTCTTCCGTCTGGCGCTCAGCCTGGGCCTCTTGATCTTGGTATGAATACTTGCCGCCGGGCGGAGCACGGGAGTCCAACATGAACGCCGAAATGGTAGTAGGGGCAGCAGTCGCCGCGAGTGCCGTACTGCTCCCGGACGTATGGAGAGGGCCAAGATGCGGAGTAGAAGCACCAAGAGATGGAGTAGGAGGGTTGGACGCGGAACCGCCGGGCGCCTTGTAGGTTGGATTGTGCTGAAGGTAGGAGTAGATGAAGCGATACTGCTCCTCCCGTGTGGGATAGTAAGAAGTGTTGCAACGGAAAGGGTAGTCTGGATCGTGGTAGTTGTAGCACCATTCGGTCTATCAGGGATGTTAGTTTAGCACTAAATCTCAATAAGGTCCTAAAGGGTGAATGTAGATCGATTAATGCTGACTTACAAAATGGTTCGCAAACTCAAGACCGGGGAGATTCGCGTTTGCATACTCGAAATCGATGACCACGAGTTGCTTATGCTCGTTCGCCGGCAGCATGAGGGGAGACTCATTAGCGGGCATCATGCGAAGGATGTTTCCATACTGGGTCTACAGTCGTATCTTGTCAGCACTGCTAGTAAGATGAAGATGTGCCATGAGACTCACATCATTGTGGGCAAAGACAAGCCGCTCATTGACTCTATCCTTCCCACCGTACTGCTCCTCAAGCCAGACTCTGTACTTTTCGATCATTCTCCTGAAGATAGGCCATGGAACCCCACAAATTAACCCTCGCTGTTTCCATTTGTCGGCCGGAGACTGAACCGGCCCCTGCTTCCCTTCTAAGATCTGCTTGTCGAGCCAGTTCACGATTTGTTCGCATCGGCTGACCCACTTATCCCAGTTACGCCAGACGAAGGGTCCAGCTTCTCGCTCGCTCTGTAGAAGATCGATACCTTCGTGAAGCTCTCGCATGCGTTTTGCTATCTGCTTTGAAGTTTCCGGGGACCGTAGCTCCTCTGGAGTGAGTGGCTCGGCGTAGAAATACTCCTCGAAGCGTCCATTAGCGAAGGTTCCGAGCAAGCGTGGTCCAATGCGTTTGCGAGCAAGTCGACGAAGGATTTGCAATTCCACTTCTCGATCAATGAGGTGCTCGACCTGTGGGCCGTAGATACGAAGGAGAAGCTTACTGCACGGGGTTAGAGTGGATCACAGTGGAGAGAATGCGGAACTCACGGAGGTGGATTCTTGGGTGCCGGTGGGCCATCCTCGCGCCGCTCCTGCGAATGGAGATGTTCTGGTGGAGAAACGACATAGACGGCATTTGTTAATGCGCCGCTCAGCCGCTCCACGTCAATTTCGTTACTCTGGTCCAATGGCACTCGCCGCCAACCCTTAAGCTTTAGCGTATGCGCAAGTCGAACGATCTCGAACTTGAACGTGGCCCACGCCTCTTTCTCCTTCGTAGCATGTCGTCCTGCAGACTTGCCCGATGTGTCAGCTTCGCCCTCGGGCTCAGGGGCCCCTGCACCGTAGGCCATAGTCTTGGAATTGTCCAGAACAGCGTCGCAACTGGGGACAAGCTGATCTACTGAATCAAAATATTCTGTGTCTGACGAAATAGTTGACCGGCGCTTCATGATCGCCGACAACTTGCGGCCATGGGAAGCTCGCCGCTGACGAGGCGAACCTTCGACTGACTTCAGAGACAAAGTCCTCTCGAGAATAGTTGCTAGCTGCTCAAGTGCAACAGAACCTTCCGAAGACTCAGACCCTCTTCTTTCTTTGGCAGCAGCACCGTCAGGCGTGGCCTCCCCCGCGGAGGCAGTAGAGGCAGCCGCTTCTTTGACGGATGACACTTTCCGCTTTGCTTTTCGCGCCGCTCGCCTGGCTTTTTCATTCTTCAGCCATGCTCTGACGTGTTTCAACAAGTTGTCATGCGAATGACGACTGTGCGGAGAGGTGTTTGTGGCATCAGAGCCGTCAGAGATAAGGGAAGATAGCGAAGGGTTGGCATCCATGCTCTGCGCCTTCGACGAACCGAGGCGTTCGATAGACGGTCTACCGGATAGGCGTTTACCGCTCGTATTCGCGCGAAATCGTCGTGCAGCCTTGTCAAGATCGAGCGAATCCTTCTGATCAAGTTCCTTGTGCTTGCCCTTCATCAAGGGAGATATGCTTTCTGGTTCGGCAATGGAGACGGCTGTGGCAAGAGAATAAGTAAAGCGTTCTCTGATGAATGGATGGTATATTGAATTGCTCTCTCTGCCTTTACGGTCGTTTCCCAAGTAAAGCTGTCTTGGAGGGGAAAGTCGCCGAGGAGTCTGCGCGACTCGCTCGTCAATACATTGGAGGCGTACATCATTGCTTGCGTGGGGCTGAGATGTAGCGAAGCGGTGAAGAGCATACAGAAGCACACAGTAGGAAATGTGAGAGAGGAATTACGAGGATGGTTGCGACGGTGCAGTAGAAAGGCAGAGAGACCAAAATAAGACGCAATGGTGCAGTTGCATAAGCACAACGTAAAGGACGGAAAGGAAGTGGAAACGCACCTTTCGTGATATTCGCCTGCGGTGACGTGCTTGCCTCCACGGCGCGGCCACTGGCTGACAAGCTTTGGCTCGCGCTGTCGGGCTGCTGTGGCTGTCCACCGGAGGACGCCATACTGATTGGACGCGCTGTGTTAGACGCTTCCGAAAGCGGTCAATAAAGGTATAATCGGCGGGCCACAGGCACCGCAGGGAGGAGAGGAATCTGCAATTGCCGTTTCCTAGTGTGCGACTTGGAAGCTGGCAGGAGTCCGTCCCTCCGTAGTTTCGGGGCGCAGAGCAGGGCTGCTCTCGATAGTGCGTGTGGCTAGGACGGACCGGCGCCAGGGTAGCACGTGCCAAGGCGATTGGCGGTGGTGAAAGCTGGGAAGCGAGGGCAGGCTGCAGGTCGAATGCAGGCGGAAGACGTGGTGAGGGAGAAGAAACTCGGCGGGCATCCGACGCGAAGAAAGAGGGCATGGAAGGCGCACGCTGCACAGGTGGCGCCTGCCCTTTGGGTCGGGTTGTCGTGCCTTGCTTTGCTATCAGTGGCTCGTTCCGATTCAGGCTTGGCGGGTCTACGCAAGTTCTCGCCGCCATGCGAAGCACATGAATGCAGCGCGACCGCTTGTATTCGCTAGCACATCGCCTAGCCCGGGAGATACGTATACAATAGCACATGCCATTTCCAGCCCTCTCTGGCCAGTAGTGGCACAGTAAAACGCTGGCATTTACAAGAAAAAGAATATATGCTGGCCCGGCATAGGCCAAAAGAAATGTACAATGAATGTCGGGTATCCTGCCACAGTAGCCAAAAGTCAACGGAATGCTATGCTTACGTCCCTTAAGCCCAACCCTGGAAGTGTTCCCCCTTGTCCCATGTTGTACAGATATATACAACCCTTTGGTTGTAGCAAGGGTCTGCCGTGGAAGGTACTCCAATGCGCCTCACTTTACCCCAGCGAATCTATAAACAAGTGTCGTGTGCTCTTTTGTGACCATCTATGCTGCTGCCCACTCCACCGTCTCCAGAGCAAGCATTACCAGAACAAGCGTCGAAGGGAGGATCCAGACAACGTAGCTTTGGAATAGGAGATTGGACATGGCGCCCATGTAGACGTTGTTGATTTGGCAAATCTGTGCCAACTGAAGAGCGCTCGGTGCTCCGGTCAGGAGGAAGCAGACAATGACGAAGATGGGGTCGTCCAAAATACTAACCGGCACGAACTTTGCCGTTATCGCCAGAAGCGGCGCCATAATGATGGTAGGGATAAGCATCCGGCTGACCAGCGACGCAATGACGAGCTTCTTCTCCACAGCCGTGTCCTCCGTCAAGTGAGTCTCCTGCGGGAGAGTATTCCGGGCCAGATTCGCACCCAGGACGACCAGAATGAGCGGGACAGCAACGCCGCCGCTTTGGCTAACTGCGCGGGTAACTGAATTGCTGAGAAAAGTTCCAGGGTCGAAGAACGCGTGCTGGAGCAGAGGGACCGAGGCAATGATGATAGCGACCAGCATAGCCCAGAGTGGAGGATTCATAAACTCCCAGCATCCGTGGAGGAATTTTGCTGTCCATGAATACAGCTTGGACAGCGTGCGCTGCATCCAGGGAGGGAGAGCAAGGAACACACGTCGGCCGGCGCGAGCAATAACTCCACCCAAATATTGTCCAGAGCGCTGGATGGCCCGTTTGACACGGAACCACCAGCCCTTGAGGTCCTTGGGGAGCGTGTCGAGCTTATATGGCAAGACAGAGCCATTAGCTATATCGCTGTTGCCATGACCATTGGCACTGCCGTTGGCATTGCCATTCATGCTGCCCTGCCCTTTCACCACAGTGTTGCCATGTGTGGGTGTCGCGAAGTCGGTCGCAGACTGAACGTGCTCGCGCTGAATGATCGAGTCTGAATCGCTCGAGGACCCGGACGAAGAAACGGAGGTGGCGTAACTGGTGTAGCCGGTGGCGTTCCCAGACTCGTAGTCTGAGTGCGAGTCGTCGAGCAGGCGCTCGGTCTCTTCCTCGTTGTATTCGCCATCTTCCATAATGCTTCTTCTTCCCTCATCTTCGTCCTTATAAGCGCTGGCGGGTGCTAGCAGCACGTTGAAACCCCAGGTCCAGCGCACGAGCTGGCCGAGCTGCTGAAAGATGAGCAGGTACAAGATGCCGCGAGCAGCTACTTCGTTATCGTTGTCGCCGGGTATCCTGCCCCAGTGCAGTCCTGACAGGGTCTTGGAAAGCGAGATGACGAGCGAAATGGGAAGCGAGTTCGAGTTACCGAAAACCTGTAGCTGTTAGTATATGTTCAACATCAGAAATCTCCAATAAGGAATGGCTTACCGCCATTGCTACCACGAAGTTCTTGCCCCTCTTTTTGAATTTGCATATTCGAGATACGATCAAGGCTGAGAGGTATGACACGAGCACTTGGACGACGAAAATGAAAGGAATGACTGCTAGTTCGACCAGTTTCTCGGCGCTAAGCTGGGAGGCGAGTTTGGTGAAGACTAGAAATAGTATGTTAGTATACTGAATGGAGCGTCGCACATTCTCGGGGAGAGCGGATTAGGCGATCCTGACTGAAGTTACAAGAATCCATTGGGCATTGCCTGACCCCATTGACAGTATAAAGGGGGCGAAACGGCGAACAGGGATCGGGAATTTTCCACATACTCAAACATGGCGTGAAGAGCTGGGTGTTCAGGTTCGCGACGAACTTCTGCGCGTCGGCATCGAACATGCCCATCCTTGCAATGATGTAGCCCGGTAAACTAACGCAAACGACCTCCATAACGGCCTCAAAGACGAGCATTGTGAGGTGGCCGAAGTCGGGATGCGAGCTGTGCGCCGTCTTCTTGAACGCGTCCATGAAGCCATTGCTGCCAGGATAGGAGTCGGAGGTCATCGAAAGGAAATCGGCGGAGGGGCTGGATTGTAGGGTTCGCAGGCGCAGCGACTGGACGCCAGAAAACATGGCCATTTTGAGGCGCTCTCCTCTGCGGGGGGCGTTTCTGTGATGCGGAGGATGCGGGTGTCGTGAAGCGTTGAATGTATGGGCGCTTGGCCGCGGCGGCCGTGGTACAGGACGTTGCGGACTGCAAACGTCACAGCTACCGGGAAAGACGGAAAGCCTAGAGGCACGAGCGCGCCGAAGCGCGGGCAATGGCGGGGGATGCGGCCATTTATGAGGTATTTGCAGTGGGAGTGGATGCAGGAGGAACGGCAGAAGCAAGCAGGCCAGGCCAGCCACAGGCGACTTCGCGCGGTGTTATCGACGGCGAGGGCTGCCATGCTTTTTGGCCGCCGCGCTAAAAGTTGCCCGCGGGCGTTGGGCTTTGTTGGCCATGTGGCGTCGGCTGCGCCACAGCTTTCTTTCGCGCGCACGCGTTAAGGCGCTGATAGCGACGATCCGCATCGATGCCCAGAGTGTGCGATCGGTCATCGAGAACAGCAGGACAGCATCCCATCTGCCACCACTACGGGCCCTACTGTCTTTGATTCTGTCGTCGTGTCTAAGCACCGCAGTCTGCCCGTTGGCCGGATCGAGCGCGTTTGGCAGTCAAAGCGCCGAACCAGTTGCACGAGCAAGTCCCGCTTGTCTCCGCCACTGGGTTCGACGACGTGCAAAGCTGGCCCCTCGTCGATATCAGACGCTCTGTTGGTGCTCTTTTTCCGTCAAGTCTCCATCCGCTCCTCCTTGCGCGTGCTTTCGTATCATTTTCGCCCCCCCCCCCCTGGCTTTTGCTAGAGACGCCGCGCGGCGCATAACCGGCTCTGCCAGCTCGATTTCATTGCGTCACCGACCGCTCTTCAGCCACAGCCACAGCCCACGACCGCGCCCGCACCCGCACCTGCACCCAACGTCAACACCACGAAGCTCTGAACGCGCCGAATAGACGTGCGTACGGCGGGGTCACGGCAGCACCTCCTGCGAGTTCTATCACTACCCCCTCTGCCCGCTCCTATTGCTCTGTGCACCATGGCAGCCGCACCCTCTACACCAGGCGACGACTTCGACTCCGACTCCCCTTTCGACTCTCCCTCTCCCTCTTCTCCGTCGCCCCCCGTTCCCTCCGAAATCAGACCCAATGCCTCTCCTAGAACCTCCCTCGACCACGCCCGCCCCGCTCCCCGCTCGATATCAACGTCTGGCGCCACAGCAAATATGACAACCTCCTCAACGCCGCTTGGAAACATTAACGCCGCAAGAAACCCACGCCCCCCGAACGCCCCCACCATCTCCAGCAGAGGCAGCGGTCTCAACGTCTCGCAGGATATACTGGCAAGGATACAAGCTGTCCACCTGGGTAGGCAAGGTGCGCCGCCTGGCGGAGCGCCACGTCCCAATGTCATGTCACCCCCAGCAGGCGGTCCGGTCGCCGGCAACCCAGGGCCTGCTTCTTCGGGAGGGCCTCTTATAGGCAATCCAGGCGGCGTCCCTGCCAATTTTCGACTTCCCCCCACCAGGCCGGATATGGCCAATTTCCAGTCTGCACCTGCTGTCCCTGGTCGCGTTGGCAGGCCCCCAAAACCCTCTCTCGCCGAAAAGCGCGGCCTCAGACTCCCCGGTGGCCTACCTGGGACGACCTCTTCAAGCAATGGCTCGGCTACACCTGCTGGCAGGAAGAAGCCGGGCCTGTCGCTCTCCCAGATGAACGGAGATCAGGCCCAGAATGGTCCCCCTAAGAAACAGGAGACCATGCTAGACAAATACGCCGAATACATCGACACCAAAACAGGAAGTCTCAAATTCAAAGGCAAGGCTATCCTGAACTCGGACGGCGTGCAATTCTCCAGCGGCACAACCTTCAACATCTCGCTGGACGAGGTGGATACCCTCGACGAGCTCGGTAAGGGAAACTACGGTACCGTATACAAAGTCAGACACAGCAGGCCTCGGATGAGGAGACCTGGGCAAGGGCTAGCGGGCAACAAAGCCCCACCAGGCTCCCCATCTCGCAAGGACTTCGACGACGAATCCAGCCCGACGAATGCAAAGCCTTCCGGAGGCACTGGCGTCGTCATGGCCATGAAGGAAATCCGACTCGAACTCGACGACGCGAAATTTGCCGCCATTATTATGGAACTGGACATCCTCCACCGCTGCGTATCTCCCTACATAATCGACTTCTACGGTGCTTTTTTCCAGGAAGGTGCCGTATACATCTGCATAGAGTTCATGGACGGTGGCTCGATAGACAAGTTGTACGGCGACGGTATCCCAGAGAGCGTTCTGCGCAAAATTACCTATGCAACTACCATGGGCCTGAAGTCGCTGAAGGACGAGCACAACATCATCCACCGCGATGTAAAACCGACGAACATCCTTATGAACACGCGAGGTCAGATCAAGATTTGCGACTTTGGGGTCAGCGGTAACCTCGTAGCGAGTATCGCAAAAACGAACATCGGATGCCAGAGCTACATGGCTCCCGAGCGAATTTCTTCTGGTGGTATAGCTCAGGCTGGTGCTAACCCTGGAGGAGGTACATATAGCGTGCAGAGCGATATTTGGAGTTTGGGTCTCACTATAATCGAGTGCGCGCTGGGCAGGTATCCTTATCCACCGGAAACGTACAACAATATCTTCAGCCAGCTCAGCGTAAGTTCCATAGATGCCTAAAATTTTGCACCATTTGGCTAATCAACCGTACAGGCCATTGTAGATGGTGAACCACCTGATCTACCAGAGGAGGGGTTCTCGGAAGCAGCACGCAACTTCGTTCGCGGCTGCTTAAATAAGATCCCGAACCTGCGTCCAACATATGCCATGCTTCTCCAACACGCATGGCTTGCGCCTCTCGCGAAGCCTGAGACAATCGCGGAAGAAGATGAAGAGGAGGCTGAGGCGGCGGCAGCCACAGATTCCGAATCACATACCTCAAAAGGATCGCCCGAACCTATCGAAGTCGTAGCCGATCAGGAAGTGGCGGACTGGGTAAAGGAAGCTCTAGAAAAGCGGCGTCAAGGAAAGCTTGGCAAGGCACCGAAGCCCGCTCTTCACGCTGCGCCACTTGACGCTGTGTCAAGCCCTTCACACAATGGCGTCAATAGTTTGGATGTGCCACCCCAGGAAACGACCGTCAGCACCTAGTAGGAGGGCCTCGACACAGCCCGAATCTTCGCCGGCAGTCGGCAGTGCTGCAATATCCTTTCAGTTCTAAAGAGACCGCCATCGGCGCTGTTCCAGCCGCGCAAGCTTGTCCATCTCATAGGAAGGCTGTGCGCTACCGTACATAATCGATCTCATTCGAACTGCGTTTGATCTTTCAGTGAGAACCGTTGTCAATCACTCTTTTGGTGTGCCTTCGCAAGGCTCAACAGGCTGCCCAGGAGTTATGGCGCCGGAAAGGAGGCCGCTTTGAGCGCAGTGCAGCTCGGCATACACGTCGCGTACCCTTTAAATCCTCTTGTCGAGACATGGTTGCAGGCATTAGGTTCGATGGCATAGGGATGTACCTAAGTAAATGAATAAGAGACTTGTTGCGGTGGTATGAAAAGTTTCCCGTCTTGGAATAATTAGCATGATATCTGCTTCTAGTGCTGGGCGAGTTCACAATACCGTTGCGATGCTCCTGAAGACCAGGCTGGCTGTTGCAGAACGGTATACGTTGCGAGTGAAAGGCCGCCCGACGTCGATCTTCCACAGCGCTAGGATCTGCTTAGGGAAAGTGCAGGCGGAGGCGCGCTGCCACGTGACGTCCGCCAAGACCTGCACCGGGAAATGTGTCCTCGAGTGGAGCTCAAAGATTATTGACCACAACTTTCTTTGAGCCACGCCCACTCCTTCTCTCCATGCCACAACTCCGAAGCAGCTTTCTATAATTCTGAATTCCGCGCCGCACCTCTGACTGCGGTTTCCTCTTCGGTCCCTCCCTATATTCCCTGTTTTCGAAGTATTCTGTCCAGCAGTCCCGCAGTCGATCTAACCAAAATGTCCGGGACGGACTACACCTATGATGAGCAGGTTCGTTTGCCCTGCACTATAAATACGCAACATCTCTGACAAGCTTTTAGGGACAATTCTTCCCGTACTTCATTGTCACAATTACCAGTCTCGTTACGATTCCAGTCACATATTCGCTCTTGAAGCCGAGCAAAGGTGCGCGGTCGCCGAAAGCCACTATGCCCATCTCTCTAACATTCCTTTAGAACTTGAGAACACCGCGACCCGGATACCGTCGGACTTTACACCAGAACATGCTGGTCTTATCGAGAGGCAGCGGAAAAAGCAGAAGCGGCGAGAGCGGAGGATAAAGCGGGCGATTGTTAGCCTTGGAGGATGGATGGTAATTGCGGGAATGATATATCTCATCATCGTCACTGCGCGCACAGTACCGAAGATTTGGGATCCATACGAGGTGCTGGGTGTTTCTAGGGTATGTGCGCTGTTCACTGCTTGGCGTTTGAAACATTGCTGACCGCAAGACAGTCGTACAGCGAACAGCAGATCAAAAAACACTACCGAAAGCTCTCCCTTACCCTGCACCCCGATAAGGCCCGCGAAGACCCTGCGAAGAATATCACAAAGGAGTCTATCAACGATCACTGGGTGGAGGTCACCAAGGCATTCAAGGCGCTCACCGATGAGGAGATCCGGAACAATTATATTCAATACGGTCACCCGGACGGGAAGCAGAGCTTTAGCATTGGCATAGCGCTTCCGAAGTGGATCGTCACGGAGGGTCATGGCAAATACGTCCTGCTCATGTACGCTCTCGCGCTTGGTGTCATCCTACCCTATACCGTCGGCAAATGGTGGTACGGAACGCAAAAGGTGACGAAGGAAAAGATCTTGGTTGCGAGTGCTGGAAAGCTGTTCCGCGAGTACGACAACGACCAGGGCCAGAGCGGCGTGATTGGAGCTCTGAGCACCGGCGAAGAGTTCAATGAAGTTCTCGACGGACACAAGGCGGACAGCGGTCTTTCAAAGCTTGAGCAGAAGGTCCTCGCGGACGGTGCAGAGTCACCGGTGTCAACGACGCTTACGAAGAAGGAACGCCAGAAAATTGAAGACCTAGAGGACAGTCGACGCAGAAAGGTTCTGACGCTATTGTGGGCATATCTCGGTCGCATCGAGCTGGACGACGAGACACTCAATGAGGGTAAGCAAACAAGTGTCGCAACCAGATGTAAGCTGACTCCTGATCAGAGAAATATGAGGTTGCCCCAATTGCGCTCAAGCTCAATGAAGCCTATGCTTCGATCGCCCTGGCATACGGTAACACCAAGGCAGTCCTGTCTGCCTATCACACATCGCAGAACCTCATCCAAGCTTTGCGACCGAACGCCTCGCCTTTGGAACAGCTCCCTTACTTCACCCCTGCCGTTGCCGAAGCCGCTGAAGCGGAACGCTCAAGGACCCACCTTTCGATCCAAGAGTTCATGCGCATCCCCGCTGATCAACGAAAGGCACGTGTAGTAGCGTCTGGTCGTCTCTCCGAGGCGCAGTTCAGCAAAGCCATGTCTGTGGCTTCGAAGCTGCCTGTTCTGCACGTCGAGAAGGCGTTCTTCAAGGTCGTGGGAGAGCGCTACGTTACCCCCAGCAGTCTAGTCCAGTTTGTGCTCAAGGCCCGATTTATTTCCCCTGGAGCGACGAACATCCCTGATGTCAACCCCAAGGACCTGCTCGACATTGATCCCGAAGAGGGTGACGTAGCTGCCATCACCGGGCGCAAAGATGATCGTTCCGACGAGAAGCCCATCCAGCCACCTCTTGCTCATGCACCGTACTACGCTCGCGATCACGCTCCTAGGTGGCATGTGTTCCTAGCAGACAGCAAGCAAGGTCGAATTGCGGTACCGCCCTTCACATTCTCCACCTTTGATAAGCCAATCTTGAACGACGACGGCAAGCCAACCTACAACGTGCAAACATTGAAGATGCAGTTCGGCGCCCCACCTCAGCCGGGCAGCTACACGTTTGTCATGTACATGATCTGCGACAGCTACATTGGCATGGACACCAAGATGGAGGTAACGCTTGTGGTGGAGGATGCGAGTAAAGCCGAGGAGGTCGAAGAGGAGGACGAGATCAGTGAACCGGACGAGGGTAAGTCTCCGCTGTGTTCCGCAACAGCATTAAGCGAAGACGGCATAACTGACGATGTTTGCAGACACCATTGCCGGCCAAATGCGCTCGCTCAAGTCCGGTGATGCGCCGGGCGCGACGAAGAAACGCAGGGCTCGGGACGACGACTCAAGCGATGGAAGCGACACCGAAGGAGACGTCGACTCCGACAGCGAGACGGATACGGATACTGACACGGACGAGGAGTAGAATCGCTTCGAGCGGATCACGAGTGGCTGACCTGGCCACATGCTATAAGTCACAGCTTTTAAGGTTGGCGTGGCGGAGATTCCTGGAGTTGACAGTTTTCTAATTGACAGGACAGACAGTGGACCAAAGCGGGTCTCGTCTGTCTGATCACGGCATTTGTAGGCGTTTCGAGCACACTTCTTCTTTTTCTTCCGGATTGGCATAGCTGCTAGGTAGAAGCAGTAGGGCGTACGTGTACATGAGTCGAAATCGTCACTACTTTTAGCAACATCATCACATCAACCGGCCCGTTTTGAAGCCCAAGGCTCTTGTCGGTTGCAGATGAATGACAATTTGAATGGGAGGAGCCCAGTGCAAAACAGCACCTGTTTTCAAACTGACTTGAGGCTAGAACAATGGCAGTGAGTCGGCCCTTGAGATGATCTGATCACGTCGATCCGCTAGTCAGGCCAAAAACTGGGCGCGTTGCTGTGGTGCAGATGAGGCTAAAGAGTCCCGGTAAAGGATTCGGGAAAAGCAACCATGGGACGCACAGTTTCCGGACTTGCTTGAGCGCATTGCCATAACGTCTTATAGCATAGAGAATATGAGCTTATTTGCCGACGCTGCGGGTCACAGACCCCTTGCTACGCGACTACAGGGGTTTCATGTGCGCCGCAACACCAACATCCTCACCCCTTCGCACCATCACCAACCGTCTCAACGTGACAAATATGCACCCCGCATCACGGCACGCCGCCTGCTCAGGCTTCAACGGTCTCCGGATCCTCGCGAACCGATCTGGTGCCAAGAACGGCTGCGCGCAGGATCTGCCACTTGCCTGGCATCCTCAGGAGCCCAGATTGGCCTGAGTCCTGCCCTGCTGCCGATTCGAGCTGTGGCGCGCACAGGGAGAGCAGTTTAAGCTCTCTTGGCAGTCGTTTGAGCTGGGGGGAAGGGGAGGGCTTGGCAGGGACGGGTAGGTGGTGCGCCGGCGGACGGGGGCAGCATGACGGGCTTGACAGTTTGACAGGACGACGGGCGCGTTGTTGCAGGCAGAATATAAGCCTGAGGGTGTGGTCCCGATTTCTCCATCATCACCACCATCCAGATCCACTCCACTCTCTACTTCTCTTCTCCAGTCATTCCCTTCGGGTTAGCCCAGTTAATACAGACTTTGATAGTCGATACTTGCCTTTCTCTTTTGCTTTGACAGCATCACGCTCTTTACGTCTGCGACGTTTGTAGTAATCTTCTTACCTTTCTAATCCCCTCCTTTTTGAGTATTAACTGGGCTTTCCTCAACCCTTCTCCTCAATCAACACAATTCGAGATGTCTCTCAAGACCTTTGCCACTCTGGCCCTTGCGACTGGTTTCGCTGGTAAGTGGCCCACACATGCCTACCTTGACAAGAGACTAACGGAGCTTGCAGTCGCTAAGCCCGTCCACTCGCCGCTGAACCTGCCCGCCTACCCGAAGCGCAACAATGCCATCGGCAACGGCTTCAACGGCAATGGCTTCAACTTCATCGATGGGTTCAACAACTTCAACCAGCAGCAGCAGGTGATCCAGATCCAGGAGCAGAACCTTCAGATCATCGACAACGGCTTCCAGCAGCAGGTTGTGCAGCAGGTCAACGAGGTGCTCATCGTCGACCAGCAGAACAACGGCTTCAACAACGACCTGAACAACATGTTCCGCAAGGCCAACTTCCGCAACAACTTCAACGACGTCTCCACTGTCATGCTCGTCGTTCAGGAGATCCAGGTCGCAATCGATGATGGCAGAGGCAACCAGTTCCAGCAGAACGTCTTCGCTCAGAGCGTGCTTGTGGCCAACCGTGGTTCTTTCCAGACCAACACTGTCATGAGTATGTTACCTCTCCGTCTTACCTTAGCTTAACGCAGCTCACTAATATTCCTTCCAGTCTTCGACTCCCGCACCCTTATCGCTCAGGACATTCTCGGTGGCGGTTTCGGTGGCGTCGCTGGCATTGGCGGTGTCGGTGGTGTTGCTGCTGCCACTGGTGCCGTCCTCCCGACCAAGACCAACGATGTTCAGCTCCTCGGCGCTAAGCCCACCTGGTCATCTGTTGCCGAAGACCCAGCTGCCACCCTCGGCGGTGTCTGGCAAGCCGAGCTCGAGGACCTCCAGAAGGCCGACCAGGATGCTGCTGACAACGGTGTCAACGCCGATGCTGCCGCTCAGGAGAAGGCTGCTCTCGAGGCGGCGAACGCCGAGGATGCGAACGCTGAGGGCGAAAATGCCGAGGGCGAGCAGTCCGAGTAGATGCAGAACACTCCCTGCAGACGGAGTTCTTCTCTTCTACCTGTACCTTGTCCGATAGAGTGATAGTGGTTGTTGATGGTCCCTCGTGGTGGTCGCGGTAGTGTCTGGTCTGGTCTGTCGTCGGACATATACTAGTATACCCTCAATTGTGTTAGACTTCCTCGCGTCTTTTATCTCATTCTTGATGCTCATCATGCCTTCATCGGCGTCCGGGTTTCTTGGGTTCTTCAGGCATGGTTTGGATATTTGCTGTTGTTGCTGTTGCCAGCTCCTGACTGGTTCGGAGAATGAGGAATGAAAATGGCTCAAGGAAATGAACTTGAAGCGAGAAATAGGAAATAGTGATAAAGTTTACTTCAATGTGTTCTGTCAATCCTGCACTGTGATGTGACTTACTCTGGGCGGTCTTGTGACTGGACAGCTACAGGAATGTATCTTGCTGAGAAGTGCGTGGTAGAGCTGCGCGTGTCTTGACTTGGGTGTTGGGTCGGCGTACAGCTGACGACGGGGTATGCATTCGACGGCCCGCGATGCTGAGTGGAGCATGCCTTATCCGGATTCTTGGGAGGATATCGTGGGGCGTGGGATGTGATGCGCGATGGAGCTCAATGATCGCCTAAGGCAGCGACCTAGTGAGCTTACGGAGCAAGCGTCGTTATTCAACTCAAATGGTGAAAGAGGAAGCACAACGTGTGCTAAGGGGAGCCTCGCTCAGAATAGAGACCAAGTTGTTGCGACCGCGAGTTGGGACATGAGGCACCTTTGTACTCAACCCTCTTCGGTTCCCACTGATTCCGGATTGGAGATGCTGCACAGCGATATGCAAACCTCGGTATCCGCAAATAGATCGAAACGCTCTTTTGGTTTAAAGGGAAGCGTGCAGCCTATCGCAGGCTCGCATGGAGGGTGTTTCGCAACAAACACCGTTTCAGAGATCGCGGAATGCGTTTTGGGATCGACCACAGCATGGTTGCGCAGACCAAAGGTATCGCCGGAAAACAAGCCTCCGAGGTGAGAAACATTGCTGTCGCCATATTCCGAAGCATAGGTGTCATCTGTGTTGCATGAAGTGATGGATTGTTGGGTTGCGGTTGAGTACTAGATACTAATGGACCACGACGTCGTATTGGGAATGCTCTCAAATACTGAACCTTGTCCTCAGATAAGACCCTCCAGGTAGGTTGCTGAAGCATCCAAAAGAATAGAAGGCGGATTTTTGATGCTAGATTTTAATGAGACCACTTATCTGAACCGTTTCAATGAGCTCTGCCATGAAGCGAGGGAAATATTCCTCGACGGCAGTGCTATGGACGTCAACATGCCCATGTGGTGGGCGATCCGGATGGCAGAAATGCCCGGGACATTAAGACGGGATAGGCAAGCTTCTCTGCATCGGACAGAGCTCCGTATAATTCGCCGGATTGACCAGTCGTCCGGTCTTGCATGAGCCCAAAACCGCCTTCTCGCATCTGTTCTCGGATAGTCGTTCGATGTTGGTGGCTTCCCGACTTAAGGGCAAGTAACCGTGTTCGGGTTTCTAAGAATGAGAATTGGCCGGCGTGCATGACCAGCCCACGTGGATTGCACTGGTGATGGTCAAGACGACGGGATAAGCCCTGCGTAGGTGGAGCCCTGGAGTGCGCTCAGGGAGGAAGCCGTACTAGGCCCGTTTCGGACTAGGCGCTTGCAATATTCGGTGACGCCTGCAGTCAATCCATGGATCATCTACCTTTCACAAACGAAACTTCCAACTTTCCCATCGCTCCGTCACCTCGCGGACCTGGACACCGTGTCTCCAGCTCAGTCTAAGCTAACCTTAGTCGCCCACTAACACATAAAATTCGACGATGCAGAGTCCTCTCCGACTCGATACCAAAAAGCGAGCCAGGTCCCCGAGCTTGCTATATGCTCTGTCGATACCATTCCTCAGAAGCCGCTTTGCTTTCGGAGCTCTGTTCTTCTTTGTTATCCTTTTCATATTTCTCCCCCTGGTCGGCGTCTATACTTCTCAGATCTCGATCCTTCAGAGAGGGAACGGCGTCATCTTCACATCAATCACGCTGGGCTCTTCGAAAGCACCACGCTCGCCAGTTCGCATTGCGAAGGCTTCACTTCTCTATGGTCGGACGAATCCTATCTATGAAAAGGCGTTGAGCACGCATGCCGAACACAACAAGCTCTATAACTACGACATGCACGTTCTCCGCTCTCGCCTCGCAAAGGGTTTCTCGAACAAGCTGCTGTGGTTGCAGCAGCTGATTGCGGTGGAACTGCAGAAGCCCAATGAAGAGAGGGTTGAGTGGATCATGTCTGCACTCTCACATCGGCGCCTTCCACTGGAAAGCTGACCATCTTTATTCGCACAGGTACTTTGACCCATCAGCCGTGCTTCTCAATCCGCGAATCCCTTTGAGCGTTTTCCTTCCACCTTCGGATAATGGCCTCGATCATCTTCAGTTCATCTTCACAACAGCCTCGAACGACTTCGATTGCAATTCCGTGCTCTTCGTCCACATTTCGGATTCGGCGCTCAAGACCTTGGCGAAAGCCGTCGTTGCTCCTATGCTCGAGCCAGACCGTGAATGGGGAGCCGACAAAGCAATATCAGCATTGCAGTATGTGTTGGAGCAGGACGGGCATAGAGATGCGGCAATCTACCAGGATGCCAGGTGGTATAACACGGAAATGATCGAAGACCACTGGATTGCTCGCGGCGGCTTTTTCCAGTGCGCATCTAGGGAGTTTCAAGGCAAGAAGTGGAAGGGCGTGGATGAGCTGCTCCACATACTCGAATCGGATCCACACAAGTTCTCACTTCCGCTAGAAGCCACGGTATACGCAAAAGAGCCCCAGCAGTTCTGGAGTCGCATCGCAGAAGCTAAGCGCGTTTTGAAGGTGGCGGCAGAACGAGGCCATGATGTATCGAAAGGAGATCTGCGGGCCGAGGTACGGACTCTGAAGGTCCAAGTGGAGCTCTACGCCTTTGATGGCGTTGATTTGTCGAGGGCCATCGATGTACTCAAAGACTCACTGGAACTTGAGTGACGCGGCCAACGGATCACGCTGGACGTCTGACACGTGGAACTACTGCACGGCTTATGGGACCTAACAATGGGGTATAATATGTATGGGGGATTTGCTAGGAGGATAAGCTACCGTGTCAGCTAATCTACCAGCTCGTGCTTTTCGAGAAGCTATCAGCAGCCACGAAACTAGGCTGATTCATCGAAAGGAGGTCGTGCATCGGTCCCGTGAGCATCCGCATGCGGGGTATATGTCTAAGCCCGCAATCCCTCAAGATAAGGAAGTATGACGAGTCGCTATTTCTGGCGTCGCATGCGAGAAATCCGTCAAAACCTATTCTGAGAGCCCATGGAACATTCTTGGAAAGTGTGAGGAGAGTGCAATGTACGGAAGGAACGGCCTGCTCCTGGACCAGCGGGCGGCCAAGGAGCACCAAGTCTATCTCCACGACGATAGCCTGGAATGCCAACATCCAGGTTTTCGCATGCTGAACCCGTCGTAACCTCAAGGCGTTCAGCGTTCAGTACTGACGTTGGCCATTGAAGCCCCATTGGACCTATTGTACATAACGTCGCGCTCCCATCTCGCGCACTCCGGACCACCCATCCACCTCTCGCCTCCCCGCCATGTACGCAGAAGAAATGACGTTCTACCCTCGCTCCCCACTCACATCCCACATCTTGCTTGCCACAGCAGTCCACGTTGAACAAGCCAATAGCGCATCGGTAGGCGCTTAGCTGCATGTCATCGATTCGCTCTCATTGCTTCCGCCCGATCGGGCGATATTAGCTGGCATTCTGTGCAGCTTGGAAGCGGCTATATTAAGCCACATTAAGGACTTGGCTGGCAAGCACTAGCTCGTTCGCGATTGGATCGTGCTGTATGAGGAGAATTATGGGCCTTTTCGTGCCCGGATGGAATGGTGGCACGAGCGGCTCTGCGGGAGGGTGGAGAACTGGTACTGTCTTTTGTGCGCTGGACGCGTAGATGAGTATGTTTCTATTCTGGAGGGAAGCTTGGAAGAGATTTGTGATGTGTCTCTCTTGACTCGAAGGCTTGGAGTATGATGCTGCTGAGTGATAGCATTGCGTGTACGTCTGGCCTAACAAAGGCAGAAATACTCTCACGACATCAAAAACCACCGCCTCCCCATCATCATCAACGGAACAACAAACATCTCACAAGCCCCTCAGCACTTCATTACGCCCAGGGCAGGCCTCGCGGCTCCCCCATCCTGACCCGCCCTTCCTCCGTTCTAGCCGCGTTCGCGCCCACCAGGCCCAAAAGCGCTATTTTGGGGACTTTTCGCAATCGCGGCCACCATCCCCTTTCTCGCCTAGATCTTGCATCGGAAGATCTGTGCGTTTTTAGCGCTTGGACACTTGGCCTCGTTTATCGTGGAGCCGCTCGCGCTCACCCCTGTCTGACCAATCACCGGCGCCTACATCTATTTTTGAGCGGCGAGGGTTTCCGCTGGCGCCAACGGTCGTTTGGACAGGATCCTGTCAATGGGAAAGTCGGAATGGCTGGGGGACGTGTGTACGATTGAACGGGAGCATGTATATATCTACCGCCTCGCGGCGGGCCTCAAGGGTGGTTTCCATTCCAAAACAAACAATCACCAAAAAAAAACTTCCCATATTCGAGCGTTGCGTGCTAGAGAGTTTTCCGAACTTTTTGTTAATTTTTTTTTCCTTTGAGAGAGATCGGGTATCTCTTGTTTCCTTGATCCTATCTTGGTTCTTTCTAATTTCCTACCTACTACGGCACGGGCGAAGAAAAGAGTCTCACGTATACAAGATTTGGCTATTTACGGGCTTACCTTACCTTACGGTACTTTGGGCTATTTCGAGGTTGACGTTGGGCCCTGGCCTATTTCTGATCCGGATCCTGAGACTACCGATCGGTATACTAAGGACGACTACGACGAACGACACATTGCTGCTGCTGCTTGCTTGGATATAATACTTCGACCCACTTCACCTCCTCATCGACGTCAACAATAACGAAGGACCTTTACCCACATCGACAATGATCTTCACAACACCGATAACGATCCTCCTGGCCATAGGCCCGGCCTCTATCCTCGCTGTCCCTACGGGGACCGTTGGGTCATCGATAGCAGATATCATTGCTAAACGGTATCTGGACGCTGATCTTGTGAGCAAACTTGAGGATGGCGTCTGTGATCTCACATCCGCTTCTATGCCAGCCGGTATGTCCCTCTTCTCACTCTCTTCGAGTTCAATATTAGCTGACAAGCTCCAGCACCTACACCCCTCCCACCTCCATCCACCGGCCTCACTCTCTCCCACGTAGCCATCGGCCGCGGCACACAGAACTATACCTGCGCTTCCGCCGCTGCAACCGAGACCCCCAAAGCCAAGGGCGCCATGGCCTCTCTCTTCAACGCAACCTGTAACGCGGTCCGCGCCCCCGCTGTGCTCGCCAACGTCACGGCTCTCGCCCTCAACTACGAAATTCCCACCTCGGAAATCGCAGAGACTCTGCTATCTGGGCACCACGAGTTCACGGACAAGGGCGTCCCCTTGTTCAAGCTGGTGACCGAGAGCGTGAATTATGGGATGGTGTACGGAAAGGTGATTGCCAACTCTACAGCGCCGACGACAGCAAGCAAGGGAACGAACGACCTGGGAAGCGTTTTGTGGTTGAAGCTGAACGGGATTGATGGCGACTATAAGGAGGTGTATCGGATAAACACTGCTGGCGGAGCGGCGCCTAAAACATGCGAGGGTATCAATGGCGAATTTACTGTACCCTACGCTGCCGAGTACTGGTTCTGGAAGTAAACGCATCGAAAGCGTTAGGGGGGTGGAGAAGAAGTTCCAGTATTGTATCCGTGTACATAGCAGCATTTGTCGGCGTTGGGAAGGATGGGTTGGCCACTAGTGTTCGATAGCGCCTAGGTGGTCTCGCAGATAGGTATTACGTTCTCGACGGTCGCTCTGGGTCTTCAGTCTGGACTGAGGAAGGATGTAGGGTAATCGTATAATTATTTTTGCGCGAAACCTGTACGTTCTTCTGGAAGAGTATCGTGATTACGATGCCTCTCACGGTATGTAAGGCCTTAGCTCTCATCCGGCTCTGCTCTTTTCTCTCTGCGGTGACGAGAGCTTCTCTTCCTGCCTACTGTGGCCCCAGCTTTGACGGCATCCGCGTCCTTCTCTTTTCCATTTCTACAGTCCTTCTTCGGCCAGTTCCTGGCAATGTCGATTCGGGATCTGGGCGCAAAGATCTCTAGAACGACGTATAGGAGGTAGTCGACAATGACGCACAGACAAAAGAGCTTTCCGGCCCATATACCGCATCCATAGTACCTCTTGAGCCTGTCGATGAGTGCGAAACTCTGGACGCCTGCGCGGCTCCGTGTAGTGGACCGTGCAGCACCTACTCCCGCATCCTGGCCATGCTCATCATAGCTGAACGCTCCGCTGATCTCATCGTACACGATTTCCGTTCTTTGCGCGACATCGGTCCACGAGTACATTTGCTTGACTTGGTTGTGGAAGAGCTCCGTTCTGACCTTTCCCTCCCGCAATTTTGCAATCGCGCGACCAGTAGCAGCAACCAAATCATCCTCTTCTGGAGCTGCAAACTCTGTCATGTGGTTGGGCAACACTTCCGGAATACCACCAACTCGAGTGCATACCACGTACAGTCCGCAGGACGCAGCTTCGACAATGACGGTGCCGAAGGCTTCGGTCAGCGACGGGTGGAGATAGATGTGGCCTTGTACCATCACATCGCGAACCTCTTCGTGGCGCACCGGACCGAGCAAGGATACCCTATCCTGGAGGACGTTCCGCTCAATCATTTGTTCTAGGTCGATTGCTTTGGGGCCCGTACCAGCGATTATGAAGCGTACATTGGGATGAGAAGCGAGGATACGAGGAATGGCCGCAATAAGGAGGTCAATGCCCTTGTTGTAGAAAAGGCGGGATATCACAACAATGGTTATAGTATCGTGTGGACCCAGAGGCTGTGGGGGACCGGGCGCACTGTGACGACGTGCATTGTGGGAGTGGTATGACAGGGGTCGGAAGTTCTCTGCGACAACAGCGTTTGGAATGACCGAGACCATGAGGGGATCAAGCGAGGCTCTGAGTACTGTGTTCTCCTTGCTAGAGGTTGTCAGTTGAAGTCACCGCCATTAAGGGCGCCACATACCCTGTATGGCTGACGCAAATAACATGGTCCACATCGCTCAGAGTGAACTTCAGAAGCTTATTCGTGAGGATACTCGCGGCGTCTGCAAAGCCAAACAAGCTGTGATCCGTCATCACCGCCCTCAGCCCCATGGTCCGCGCATGAAGGATTGCTTCATGACATAGATTGCTGAGACTAGCATGGCCGTGTACAATCTCGATCTGCTCCCGTATTATTATGTTCCGGAAGATGGGGAAGAAGGAGAAGACGGTCGGGAATGTCGTTTCACGGTAGACGACCCAGAAGGGAACGTGGTAGACCTTGAGGCCATTCGTAAGGTATCGGACGCCCGTTCGGCCGGCATATGCGTGTGTAATGATGATCACTTTGTGTCCTCGATCTATGAGTTTCTGGTGTTTGTGAGAATACGGCGCGAGAAGAGAGGGAGGGCTCTCACGCTGGACAGCTGGTACATATGACTTTCCACTCCACCTTCAATAGATTAGACCTCGTTGGAGACACAATTTCGGAGAGGCATGAAGCGTACCCGGCTGCGGAAAGAAGTTGTCGCTAACCATACTGGGGGGGAAGTGAGCATCATGGCCAAGCAGGATTCGTTGGAGAACTTACGCAATGTTGTAGGGCATCTTGGTGTATTCGAGGACGGTCTCCTCGATTCGGCGCAAAATGTGAATGCATGACAGGTCAAGATGCGCTAGTTAGAAAGCTGCGGCGGTTGAGGACAGCATCCATCAACTTTCGCCGAAGGAAGCTGGGAGCTCGAGCCCACGCGTCATTGGCTGTCGGCGTGTGCAAGCTCCGCGAAGTCTTGGCACTTTCGGAATTTCTTCAGAAGCACGTCGAGCTGCAACGACTTTCAACCACCTCCAAATGCCCAAAATGCGCGGCCCCATATACGCGCGCTGGATACCACCGAAGCTGGCAACAGAGCCGCAAAGCTCTTCAGCCACCGCACCCACACCGAACCCGGCAGAACCCCGCCCGAACGCTTCGCCAGAGGTGTCCCACCACAAGAAGAAGAAGAAAAAGTCGAAGAGGAGAGACAATGAAGAGACTGATCAAGAGGCGCAGGTGGTAGAGGCATCAAAGTCTGAGGTGCATGTCGAAGTAGCGTCTCCGGAATCTCCCAAACCGGTCAAGAAGCCCAAGAAGCGAAAGCGAGACGCGAAGTTCGACGAGGCGCAAGGTGAGGAGGACGAATCGATGCCAAAGAAGCATAGGACAATACTGTCAAAGTTTGATAAAGTCGCGCGAAGGGCGCAAGTAGAGGCTAAGGATAGCCCCGAGGATACCGGGGAGGAGAAGGCCAAGTCAGAAGTGCTTCACGGTAGGTAGAGTACCTCAAGGTGGCTGTTATACTACATAGTGCTGATGCCGACAGACTTGGAGCCTCTACCTCAACCTGCGCAAGTTCCTGAGCCTGCCTTCGAGCCCACTTTCTCTGTCCTGCCGACCTGGCTGGCCCAACCCGTCACCGTAGAAGCGTCTAAGACCGTGCCGTTCAGCGAGCTTGGAGTACAGCCCTTTTTCGCGAGGAAGTTGGATACGCAGGGCTTTACGGAGGCTCTAGCAGTACAGTCTGCACTGTTGCCGATGTTGCATCCCGGCTTCGAGCAGCACCTGGGGGATATATGTGTATCAGGTACGTAGGACATTCCGACTGCAGAAAGCCGCTCCTGAAGGCTTTCAGCAAGGAAAGAACAGATGCTGACCTGCACCGCGCTCGCAGCAAAAACCGGTTCCGGAAAGACGCTTGCCTTCTTACTACCAATTATCGAGGCCTTGAAAGACCGGGCCACTACGTCGCTATCCGCCATTATCATCGTCCCGAGCCGTAAGCTAGTCGATCAGGCTGTACGAGTTGCGGAAGATCTGTGCCTGGGCACTAAGATCAAGGTCGGAACAGCTGTGGGGAGTGTCCCATTCACCACCGAGCAGAAACAACTTGTCCAATTGAGGGCACAGTATGATCCAAAAAGAGCTGAAGAGCTGCACGACAGGGCGTCGCGACAATTGGAGACGGGTTTCGTCGAGAAAGGTGGGATCGTTGATGATCTGATGCACATGCCTATCGAACATGTTCCCCGGTACGACTCCGGCGTGGATATCCTCATCTGTACTCCTGGACGACTTGTAGAACACCTAGAATCTACTACCGGATTCCTTTTGCGGTCTGTCAGGTGGCTGGTCATCGACGAAGCGGACCAGCTGCTGAAGCAGGATTTTCAAGGGTGGGCTACCATGCTAATGGACGCGTTACACGGCGAGACACCCAATGATTTCATGGACATCCAAGAACGCCTTCGGAAGCAAAGACAGGGCTCGTCATGGGCTGTCGCCCTACCAGCTCGCAGGCTGATTACAAAAGTCGTTTTGAGTGCGACTATGGAAAAGGATCTGACAAAACTCGGTATGTTGAGATTGAAGCGACCGAAATTAGTTGTGGTGCAAGATGAGGCAGGAGAAGAGCACCAGGTCACGAATGACGCCGATGTCTTCGAGCTGCCCTTAACGCTGGACGAATATGCGGTTCCAGTGGGTAATGGCCAGAGGAAACCGTTATACCTGCTTTACTTTTTGCTTAATGCGGCCTTCAAGAGTTCCGATGGGGCACGAAAGGACTCCTCGAGCCCCGATACTTCGTCAGAAGACGAATCCGAGTCAGAAAACAAATCGATTGGCGGTCAAAAGAGCAGGGTCTTGGTATTTACCCAGAGCAATGAGAGTGCATCAAGGCTCTCTCATCTACTCTCCGTTCTTGAACCGTCGCTCAAGGATTATCTCAAGACGATGAGCCCGTCATCAACGGCCAAGGCTTCGAAAAAATTGCTAAAGGCCTTCAGCACGGGTAATGTCAAAATTCTAATCGCGTCCGACGCTGCGTCCAGAGGGCTGGATATCCCAGACATCACCCACGTTGTCAACTATGACTTGCCTACAAGTATCACTAGCTACGTGCACCGTGTTGGACGAACCGCCCGCGCTGGCAAGGCCGGCGAAGCTTGGACGCTGTTTACAAAGACAGAAGCCGCCTGGTTCTGGAAGCAACTAGCGAAGGGCGATAGTATCCGAAGAGGTGGAAGGAAGGTTAAGCGAATCGAGTACAGCCAGTGGAACGTCACGTTCAATCGAAAGAGAACATACGAAGCAGCACTATCGCAGCTGCAGGACGCCGTCGAGGGTGCGGATGAGAGTTGACATCTAGCTTCCTGAAGGGACTCCGAGCTCTAAACGCGGGTACGGCACCTCCCGGTGCTATGGACTACTTCAGCAGGTGTTGCACTCTACGACATGCTCTGCATACAGATCCAGCTCGGCTAGCTGTCTTGTTCTGGAAGTAGGATAATGGTATCTTGGGGCCGTAAGGCCTCTAGCTCCGGACTTTGCCCACATGGCGAGGCCAACTCTTCTTTCTCATCCAAGAACCGCGGGATCCTTTGCTTTCGGGCTTGGCCGACGACGTCATCATATTGTGTAAATAACGATTTGCGATCAGGCCTTGCGTTCTCCCGAGTTGGTGGATGTCGGCGTAGCCGGTGAAATTTGGATTGGCAGCATGTGCGCGACGGAGGATCCCGGGCGGGCTGAAACATACAGGTACCACTCGGTACTGTAGCAGATCTGGACGGGTGATGCGCGCTTAGACTGTCTCCACAGCAGTTACTGGTGAATCCACGCTTCCAAGATTAAGGCTCCGTGTGATCGAAGCGCATGCTCGTACAGCACCAAGCTTCGTGCAAAGCTTCTTTGTGTTGTTGAAATGCTTGGTACGAGTGCTTGACACCCTCCTTATCGACCGCTCTGCACCGGACACTAAAAGCTCGAGTCCAGATGCAGCGAAGACCTGGAGATGCTGCGTCGTGGAGGGGAGCATGACGGATCGACGACAAGGCTGCTGTCCGAAAGGGGCAGGTGGTAGGCCGATATCCCGATATCCCACACGTCGAGAACGAGCGGAACAGCACAAAGTCTGATCTGGTTGGCCGCATGTTTGATCGCGACTACGCTCTAGAAAGCAGCTAGAAGCACTCATTGGGCGGCTGGGCGTGAAGCTTGTGGAGCGGGGAGAAGACCAAACGGAATGGGTTAGCGTCAGCGAGAGTGCTGGATCGCGTGCAACCTTTCTTCAACCACATCCCTTATCGTCGCCCCGGCACTCTGCCGCTGCCCGCATGCCCCCCCATGGCAGACGGCGCGCTCTTTGTTCCCTGCTCTTAATTTGTGCTGCGCACGCAAGTCACCCTCTCAATCTATATCGCTTGAGGCAATTGGCGGGAGTGTGACGAATCTGGCCACGCATCCGCCCCTCCATGGCGCCTTGTCGACAATGCCTTACGTGCTACATCATCGGTGCGCAGGGCCATGATGATCAGGAAGCCAGCAAGCTGCTCGGGTGCCAGTGCCATACGGTGGTACTTGCAGAGTCGCGCGGCGCGGAAACGAAACACGGTACGCCGCTCGCGTTCACCGGGTTACTCTTCGCTGTCAATGTCAGTCAACTACCGATTCAAAACACAACCCGACCAATTTACTAGCTTGGCATCAGTCACAGCGCTCAGGAACCCCAGCTTCCAGCGGATGTGGCTCTCAGATCCAGAAGCTTGCCGTTGCCAAGGACACAGGGGCGATGCTTGATGCCGCGCTTCTGCGCCTTGACTGGTCGGCTCCAGCGCGTCTCCTGCAACATCATGATCTTGCTTTTGGCCTGCAGCACCACTAAGGCTTATTTCCAGCAGCCTGCTCAGAGGCCTTTGTCCGTTCATTTGGAGCTTCGCCAATAGAACGCGGCTCGTCCCCCCTCCAACATGTACCTGCGACTACGAAACGAGGCACTGTCGGTCCGCGCCGAGCCAACAACGGTGGAGCGGTTGCCTCCTCCAATTCATTCCGCCGGCCAATGCTCGTAGCGAACGCGCTCAATCTGTCTCTCTAGCATCAAGGTCACACAGATCAGGTAGGCTCTTACCGGGACAATATCCTCGGTGCTTTCTGGCGCCGTTTCAACATGCGATGTACGCGTCGGATATGGTGTGCATGCGCCTCACCGCCCGGAGTGGACCCCAAAGCAGAAGGTAGCCTCTCCCTGCCTGATCGCTCTACACCACCTCCTCCTGGTACCTGCCAAGAAAGGCTTCGCATTGAATAGTGCGCGTCTTTGATTGAAGATGTGATCGCCCCGCAAGTCTGGGCGTTCGCTGGCCCCGGGACCGCAGCGCCACATACTGTAGCAAGGGAGGTGCGGATCTACTACGCCTACTATATGCCCGTGCTGCATTGAAGGGTTCTGAGTATAAAGGCATGTCTATTCCCGCCGTTGCTTGGGCCTCCATCCTCACCGTCGGCCATCCACTGAGGACTCCTTTCGCTTTCCTCTTCTCTTCTTCTCATTCGCCTTCCGTTTCTCGCAGTACATAGTGCGGATACCCAATATGCCTTCCTTCACGTACCTCACCGCGGCTCTAGCCCTTGCCAGCACTGTCAGCGCCACTCCCGTCGAGCTTCACAAGCGGAAGGCCTTCACGATCGAGCAGGTTGAGCGCAAGACCTTCGTCAAGAACGGTCCAGTGCAGGTGGCCAAGACCCTCCGCAAGTACGGCAAGGCTGTGCCCGCGCACATCCTCAAGGCTGCCGAGCTCGGTCCCAACAACGATGTCTTGACTGCTGCCGCCGAGAATGGCACCGCTCCCGCTGTGCCTGCCGACCAGTACGACTCTCTGTACCTCAGCCCGGTCACGATTGGAAACACCACTGTCCAACTCGACTTTGACACTGGTAGCGGCGATCTGTAAGTTAATATATTCAAAATCACGCATCATTACCCTTTCGGGATTCCTGCCAAGCCACATTCATCCTGGCGTGAAACAGATCGTCGGCTGGCTTGACGTCGACATTCAAGCGGCGGATTGTTTCGTTCCACAGGCTGGAAGGAGCATTGGTTTGATATCAATGCGCTGTTTCGCATACAGCTCATCTAATTTAGCACTTGGCGAGATATCTTCCGGCCGGCAGTTGGCGGTGGCTACATCCCTGCTCCCCGAAATCTACGCGCATTGAACCTGAACTTCGCTAACGAGCTCTTTAGGTGGGTCTTCTCCTCGCTCCAGCCTTCGGCGCAGTTGTCCGGCCATGACTACTACAAGGTCGACAGCTCGAAGGCGGTGTCTGGCGCCAGCTGGAGGATCTCGTATGGCGATGGTTCAGGAGCCTCCGGCAAGGTGTATGCGGACAAGGTCGTCGTTGGCGGCGTGACCGCGACGTCGCAAGCCGTTGAGGCTGCCACCTCCGTCTCTGCGCAATTCCAGCAGGACCGGGACACTGACGGCCTGCTCGGCCTCTCCTTCAGCTCTCTCAACACCATCAGGCCCAATCCCCAGAAGACGTGGTTCGACACTGTGCACCAGGATCTCGCTCAGCCCCTCTTCGCCGTCACCCTCAAGTACCACGCCGCCGGCACCTATGACTTCGGTTTCCTCGACAGCTCCAAGTATACGGGCGACATCACCTACGTCAATGTCGACACCTCCAACGGATGGTGGGAGTTCACGGCCACCGGCTACACCGTCGGCACCGGTAGCGAGTCCACGGCGAGCATCGACGGCATCGCTGACACTGGTACCACGCTGCTCTACCTTCCCACCGCTGTCGTCACCGCCTACTACGCCAAGGTCGCCAACTCGCAGAACTCGAACACCTATGGCGGCTACGTGTTCCCCTGCAGCGCTTCCCTCCCCGACTTCTCGCTCACCGTTGGCGGCGTCAAGCAGAAGATCCCGGGCAAGTACATGAACTACGCTCCTGTCGAGACTGGTTCCTCGACCTGCTACGGCGGCATCCAGACCAACGAGGGCATCGGCTTCAGCATCTTCGGCGACATCTTCCTCAAGAGCAAGTATGTTGTTCACGAGATGAGCTCGACGCCTCGCATTGGATTCGCAGACCAGCCTAACTTGTAAATGCCGTTCCAGGAGCGCTGACGCGGGTGGCCACGACGCATGACGCGTCTTCACATCTTTTTTCTTTCGTTGTCTACTTTTTATTCTTCTTCTTTCTCTTCGCCATTATAGGCTGGGCCAGATCAGATGTTGGGTTGTTAGATGCATACCATACTATCCTGCATGGAATGGGTACATATGTGGATGATATGACGGTCAAATCAACAACGCAATATCAAATCAAGACGTTCGAACAAGGAAAGACTTTGCTATCTACTCTTATGGTGACGTAATGATGTTGGACAGTTGACTAAAACAGCCGATGACAGATGGGATAAAGTCATGCCATGCTGTACGCACGTCGGTCCATCCGCCGGGCTAGGGGATCCGATGGCATATTGAAGCGCAGCCAGGAAAGGACCCGCGCCTGGCTTCTGCAGGGCGACTTCAACCTCATGATATGATATAAGTCGAAGGGGGTCTACCCAAAGCCTGGAGTGCTACAAGCTACTTGGCCGAACTATTGAGAATCGAAAGGCACAAGTTGATTCGATCAAGGGGTCCGTAGGAGATGTTTTCTATTGCTTCGAGATCCACAGTTCATTTGATCAAAGAGCCCGTAGGAGACGTCTCCTGCCGCTAGATGTCTAGCCCAATCTACAAATCGGAGGAACGCACTTCGCGCAAGTGAACCATGCTTGCCGGCGCCGTAGTCCGTCCTGCATGTCTTCACTTCGGCACGCCTGTGTTAAGCACGACAAGCCCTCCACCGCATCATCGACTGTGCATGGCTGGGGGCGGAATATCGCTCAAGCGGTCTCGGTCCGCTTGCTTCGTGCAAGCCACCCGGGTGTCGGCTTCGGCAGAATGAACTTTCGGAGACCATTAGGCATCCACGGGATAGAAAGTCCAGACCTAGCGGCACATTGAAACGCGTGAGAACCACGCGATGCCACGCCGAAAGCGGGAATCCAGACACCTAGACCATGAAGTGCGTGCAATGCTATGTCGTACGAAAAGGCGGGGATACGGGTTGGGGCTGGGATGCTGCAGCAAATCATGCAGATGGCGCTCTTAAGGTTCTGGCAAACCAGGGAGCTGGAATCCTGAATGGTCGGGATCAGATCGGATCGGTGTGCTGGTGGCTTGAAGGAGTCGGACTGGGGGTGCTTAAAGCATGGTCGATGAGGAGCTCGCCGAGTGGCCTAAGGTGCGATGGTGTGGTATGCGTGAAATAGTGCATATACGGAGCAGTGCGATAGCGGTTTGGGTGTGAAGTTAGATCATTCGCCGTCTGGCTCGGTAGGATGGTGGCCGCAGAGCAACGAGGGGTACTCGCATTCATGTTTTAGAGGTGGAAGCCATTGCTTAGACTTGGTTCCTTGCACGTGCATATAGATCGTGCAGTGAGAGCGTCAATGACTCGCCTCCAGTGCTTAGGATGTCTGACGCGCACGTCTCGCTTTCTCTCGGCCAAGGCTGTAGGTAGATTGTGGTCGAAGAGCGCAGAAGCCAAGAGCTGGACACTCCTTGCTGCTGCTCCACGAATATCCCAGCGTGAAGTCGAATTGATTAGCGAAGAGCTGGCATATCTATCGGTATGCCCTCCGAGATTGTGGAACTTGAGGGTGTCCACTCTGGAGATAACTGAACGCAATGGTCGTCTCTTTCGTCTGCTTGTACGCTCTTAGAGTGTTACCCCTTGCAAAGTCGCTCTTTCCAGAAGTGTCGCTGTCATTCGCTCCGATCAGAGGTGAGGAAGAAAAGGGAACTTATGAAGAGGAGGAAGTCCTCTTTGGGGGGCGTTGAGCTCGTTCACTGCATGCACTGCATGTGCTGACGAGTGGTCGGAAAATCAGGGCGTTTTCATTGCTGCGGCCTAGGCGGGGAACAGGGAGTGTTGGTTCCACAGCAGTGGAACCCCCGCCAAGCAGAACACTTGCAGATGCCAGAGAACGAGGCGCGATGATCTGCATGAAGCTGCAAGGACAGGGCTGGGAATCCCTTCAGTGAAAGGCATGCTAATTCGCTATTTTGCGATCAAGGAAATGGATTGTTCGGCTCTGCACAGTTGGAATACGATACCTAGATCGCGGTGTGGCTTTAATGTGCAGCAAGCATGTGCCACTTCACGTTGTTTGCTAAATAGAAAGGAGACGAGCGAAGTTCATGCGTGTCGTCGTTGATCTGATCAAGCTGAGTTCTTTTCGTAAAGAGTCGGTTGGCCTCTGTGGACTATGGAGTCGAATGTCTTTCGACTGCTGAGCCCGTGACTTCGATCAGCTGCACAGAATGGTGCATTCCGCTCCTCTCATGTGCTCGGGTAAGGCATACGGTCAACACGTCACAGGCGTTCTGACCGCTTGCTAGTCGCTTCCTATGCCAGACGACTGAGTGCATGCCGTTGGGCGTAAATGCTCGTGTTTTGCCTCACTTTTTCTTCTTGTCCTTTCTGCTCTTGCCGGCGCCTCCACTGCCTGCGGCGCTCCCCCCAGGCCCGCCCACCTCCCCCTGCATTTCCGCCATCATATCTTGCAGGAAATTGTCGCTCACACCGCCTCCGGTCAAGGCGGGAGAATGAAGCGGCAGGATCCTGTTCATCTTCCACCCTTTGGGTATAGCGGGCTCTGGCAGCTCCTTAGGCGTCGGCAGGCCCGCGATTGGTAGTCTAAAAGGCGTGTTCTGTTGTGTGGGGTGCGCCTTCAGGTACTGGGCTATCATGATGTAGAGGTGATGCTTGTTCTTGATGTTCCTGGTCGTCTGCTTGCCGTCCTGCTTGATAAGGACGCGTATCCGGCCGGGGTTTTCCCAGTTTTTTGGATGCGTCTTGTCCGGCTCGAAGACGGTCTTTAGTCCCAGACTCGCGGCAGCATCAGCCATCTCCCGCGCGAGTGGGTTCTCCACAGCCAGCTCGGCTCCTACCCTACGCCCTTCTGTTCGTGTCCGTGATTTGTCAAAGTATACGGGATACAGGCACTGGAAGTGTTTAGACTTCTCCCGATCGGCTGAGGACTTGACGAGCGGAGACTGCGGTTGTAGCATTTGCGACGGGGCAGAGGGGAAACTCGGGATTTGCGCGGGTGTGATGAGAGAAGAGACATCGGAGAGATCGGCCTCGGGCGGATCGCTGTCCGAGTCACTGACTTCCTCTATCCGTGGATTCATGGTTGATGCAGTGAGTGAGTGCGCTGTGAATGCGAGCGAGGCCCCGAAGAATGGGCGCACGTCTGGTCGGATGACGGGGAAGGCGCTGCATATGAGTTAGTGCTGCTATCGGCAAGCCCCACGGCAGCCGGGATATATACCGAAGTGAGGAGTTGTATGCGGTACGAGCGTGAATGAGGGGAGTCGACGATAGCTTGGCGAAGTGCGAAGTGGGAGGAATAATAGCCCTAGCGTGCCTAGTGCCGAAGACCTTCCTATTCGGCCCGAGCGTGCAGCACCCCTCTTCCGACCCGATCTGCTCACAAGCCAACTCCACCATCCCCATCGTTTGCTTTCCGCCTGGTGGCCCGCCATGATTGACCGCGTCCAGGATTATCCATGACAATCAGCGCTACTGCCCTACGGCACGGGTAGGGCCAACAAGCCGGCCCCCAACAGCCCCGTCGACTGGTCCTCCTCGCAGCCCGTCGCCTCCCGTCGTTGACCTGGGCTAATTGAGTTTGACCGGTGCTAAGTACATGGATCAGGGTGTTACGGCTGAGTATATCTCAGGGCTTAGACTTTGCAGCTCCGTTCTTCTCGTTCGCTCTGATCCCGGGCGCTGTCACTTCTTCTGCTTCTTCTGCAGGCGTATACGAACACTTCGACTCTGGCTGCGCCGTCCAGGCCGATACGCTTCCCGTTTGACCCTGCGTCACCATCTGACTATCGGCACCTGTTGTCCTGCGGAAAGATGACTTGGATACTTTCTCCGCCTTCCACGCCTCCCCCTGTCTGGCTCGTGATGTTCTTGGCCGCTATGCCTTGTCAAGAGAGGGAATCCGGGCACCATAATAGCCTATACTATTGAAGGCTAATGCCAGCTACTCACCACCATCACAGCACCTATACCGTGTTCGGATCTTGTCTGTTTCTGTCGGTGTCGGAACACACGTGTCGTTCTAGCCGGTACCTCCTACGGCGACGAACGTTCGGCAGTCGGATTACCACCTGCCTGCTTTTGAATGCCGATACGCCCCACGAGCCGCCCTGGCAGGGCGGCTTAAGAACCGAAGCCACCTCTAAGTCGCCTACCGGTGGCGTCGATCAGACCGACCAAAGAAGGACTAGGGGCGGCTCTTCGTGAGAGGGGCGTGTAGGGCGTCCACTACCCTTACTAGAAACCCTCCGACACGCCCGCCAGTTGATCAGTGTTCCAACATCCCGGGGAAATCGGAGGGGTCCCGATTGCTGCCAGCGGCCCGACATGTGCTAAGCATCTAGGAACCCGTGCCAGTAGGGCTATGCGGGCGACGAGCCAGCGGATGCAAGGGGCATGTGCCCTGTGCTTCTCCAAGGTATACTCTCTAATCCTCTATCTCGTCTCTTCAACCTGCTTTCGGAAACGACTGCATGGCCCGCCAACCTGGTTGATTCTGTTGTTCTTCATAGATTGGTCGGCATCGGCAAGCTGTGTCTTAGTCCTCCTCGTGTAAGATCTGGCCTGATATACCGCTCCACCAACAGGGACATTATCGGCCGGGTAACGGGGGTTTTGTTTCCATTGGTCGAAAATAGAGTATTTTTGAGGCACATATAGACTCCAAAAATACGGTAAGTCGGCGGCTTCCAGTCTTCATTCTCAAAGGGATCACCGAAAGCTGACACTGTCTCCTGGGAGAGGCGTGGGTGTATCTCGGAAAAAGAGCTATCGTTAGAGAATACGTATTATCAAACCGGATTGTCCAACCTAACGCTAAGGATATTAGGCTCGTTTGGCTCGGCATCCCGAGCACCACAACTATGGTCCGATTTTGGTCAGCTAAGAATTGCCCTAGGCGCTTTCCCCATGATCCATGATCAACCTGCACCCCGGTAGTTCCAAGCTCACTACCGGCGCTACTGGGGCATGATCCACTAAGTTGACTAAAGCAAACAGTCGGTGAAGCTTGTGGGTGCTTTACGGCGTGGCTCCAAGGTATATGTACCTCTTCAGTTCCTTCCCTTATCTTTTGTCGTTCTTTGTTCTTCAGTTCAAGCCCTATTGTCATCCCAATCCCCTATCTCCAACATCCTTCCCACATCACCCCTCAACATCCGCCGCCGCCATGGGTGCCAAAAAAAGCAAGCCAAGTAACAGTGACATTGATCCCACTGGCGTCGAAACCCCGATTCACAGCGCCGTCCTCCATCGTAACATTGGGCAGATACCCCCTATGGCCATCTCAGATTCGGACAACGAGTATCGTTTGGACAACGGCTCTTCCATGTACGACGCATCTGGGGGAGCCGCGGTGGCGAGTCTTGGCCATGGGTACAAAGAGCGGATCGGGAATGCCATTATGAAGGCGGTCCTCATGGGGTATTATTTTCCATCGCTCTCATTTAGTAACAAGCCGTACGAGGCGCTGTGCCGCAAGCTCGTCAGCTCTACTCATGGGTGCATGGCAAAGGCTTGGGTATGCAATTCCGGTCAGTCTAGTCGTACCTGCAAGTGTCTAGTACATAACGATATTGATACTATACAGGATCTGATGCAGTAGAGGCGGCTATCAAGCTAGCACTCCAATTTTTTTACGACCAGGGCCAAGAAGAGCGAGAATGGTTCATTGCTCGAGAGCAATCGTATCACGGCGCAACCACGGGGGCTCTCGCCTTGAGCGGCCATCGAGCGCGTCGAAAGCCTTTTGAGCGTTGGCTGCCCTTCAAAGTCCATCACATTCCCGCCTGTAATGAATACCGTGATCGCCGCGAGGGTGAGAGCGATTCCCAATACGTTGCGAGGAAAGCAGGGGAATTGGAGGCGGCGTTCCAGAAGATCGGTCCAGGAAATGTGGTAGGCTTTTTTGCAGAACCAGTCGTTGGGGCTGTAAGTCAACTGTTCCCTTTTTCTTCTCCTTTCAATATTTTAAGGCTTAGGAGTGGCGACTTGTCGTCAAGTTGTAGTTCGGCGTTTTGGTTACACAAAAGGTCGGCTAAGCTCGATGGCCGTTGGCCAATGGTCTTAGTAATCTGCGTCGTGCATATTCCGTATGCAGTATGCAGTATGCAGTCCAGTAACTGTTCAATAGGCTCTTGGCTGTGCGGCCCCTCCTCCTGGCTACCTGAAAGAAATGAAGAAAGTCTGCCGAAGACACGGCGCTCTCTTCATTAGCGACGAGATCATGTGCGGCATGGGTCGCACTGGCACATTGCACGCTTGGGAGTACTACGATATTGTCCCAGACATCCAAGTCATCGGCAAAGGTCTTGCGGCTGGTGCGCAACCTATCGGCGCCATGCTCTGCGGTCAGCATGTCCTCGACGCTCTCGCCGGAGGGATCTTCGTCCACGGTCACACTTTCCAAGGCCATCCCGTGACATGCGCCGCGGCCGTTGAGGTTCTGAAGATAATCGAGGAGGACCGTCTCCTTGAGAATGTCCGCCGCTTGGGAGACCTCCTGGAAAAGACTCTCTTGCATGAAGCACTCGGTAATCACCCTAATGTGGGCAGCATCCGCGGGGTCAGGTTCTTCATGGGAGTAAGTGCCTTCCTGGATGCATTATTTCCATTGTTTCTGACCTCTTGCAGCTCGAGTTCGTGAAGGACAAGGCCACGAAAGAACCCTTTGACGTGAAATACCGTGTCTACGAAGGGCTCCGTGAGATATGTATGAACCACATCCCCGTGTGACAAGCCCCATCCACAACTAACTTCCTTCGCAGTCGAGAGGGCCGGCATCTACGTTTATCCGGGTAACGGCACCATGGATGGTGAGAAGGGCGACCATCTAATCACCGCCCCTCCATTCAACATTACCGAAGCGCGCCTCCGCGACCTCGTCAAGCGTATCGCCAAGGTAATCAACGAGTACTTTGCCGAACTGAACGCCAAGATCGAGAAAGAAGAAGCAGAAGCTCAAAGCCCCAAACTCTAAGAGTGTGGTTAAACCGGAAGTTGCCTGGCCCATTCGAACCGGTCCAAAGTATACATGGGTATGTATCAGGTGGCTGTCCTCAATTCTGGTGCTTGGTGCGAGGCGGTCTGAACACCGATGCTGCTGGTTGTTGTTTCAAATTGATTCAAAGTATGATGGCAGTTTTTCATTTGTACTGGGCGGTTGCGTGACGAGCATAGCAAGTCGGTTATCTGATGTGGCATACAGCTGGGCGGTGTTCCGATACATCGTCTCGGGGAGGGCAGTCTGTGTGTTTGTTTTTAGTTCTAGTTGGTCTGCTTTTGTGTACCTAGGTACTCTCCACTGATTCTCTCTATATTCAAAATGATGTACGCGGCATTCTGCACTCCTATGAATCCTATCTCCGCGAAGACGTGGTACGTCCGACGCCAGCCGACGCAGTCCAAGACAAGAGCGCGTTCCTCCATCCCAGGGAACTCTGGCCATTTGGATTCACATGCCCCATACTGTGCAGTACAGCATCCCTCAGAACAAAATTTCCATGCTCTAAAATCTAGAAATCTAGCTTCTTCAGGTACTCAACCTCCCATCTGGCCACTATCGGCAGATCGGCACCCATCAGCGGTCAGCCTTGGCACCTGGCCAGAACTCCCACTCACACGCCAGCTCCCAACGCCGCGGTCCAGCCGACAAATGTAGCGACCTGCATACGAAGCCGGCATGAGCGTGGCGCACGCAGGAAGGGAAAAAACCGCTTTCTCTCTACCCTGCAGCGCTGCGTGCTTGCGGAAATGGAGGGGAAGCAGCTGATGCGAAGTGGGTCGTTTTGTTCAATGACGACGCGAGGCGGGTTGCGTGGGAAGGGCAAGGGGGTGGCATTGGCGCAGTGGCAGAGTCGGTAGGTGTCAGGCCAGCGAGGGCAGATGAGTAATTTCTGTATGCGAAGACGATCGGTAGCGGTGGCAGCGGCGAAGTGGGTTAACCGCGAAGAGCGCCTACAGATGCTCACACCGGTCGAGGAGCAGAGCACGCACGGAATCCCCTGCGCGGATGACGATAGAGGGACCCAGAGTAGGGCGTAAATGACCGCTTTCCACTGAGGCGGAATTGACTGAGCTAGACTACAGCGTACAGTAATCGGCCGGCAGGCACAGTGATAGGCGTGCCTGATGACCTCACCCTAATAACTCCGCAGGAAGAAACGGTGCCTGGCAAGGTGCAGGACCACCACGGCAAGCTCACCTCAGCCTTCCATCATTTCATCATTTCTCGGGCATGGCAGCAAACTCCGAGAACAGCGCGCGCTCCCAAGGTTCTCAACTCAGCTTTGTCGAGCCGCCCGAGCGTCCAGTGTCAGGCTTGTCGTACCGCGAACCTTGGGAGACGGGCCAGCACGTGACCGGATTTCGGGTTCGGTTTCAAGGAGCTATTAAAAACGGGGTTTCGGGCTGGATGTTTGGTGCAGCAGCATTTTTGGAACTGAGTGCTATTAAGTGCTACGGGCCTTGAAGGCCCTTAGAACATTCTGCGTGTGAAGGTTGCGCTCTCGGTCCCTTTCTGTGACATCGGCGGGCGAGGCAGGCTGAGCAGCAGCGCTCAGAGCAGCCTGGAGCACTTCTTCACTCAGCACGCCAGCCGGATTCCCCGAGTCCGCACGGATTGTCAGCGCCGGTGGGAGCTGCTGGTGGTGGTGTGCGGAGAAGGCCAGCGGTGCAAGCGACCGAATATTAAGTGGGATCGGGCGGCGTCCTTTTATCGGGTGAATTGGACGGGTTAGCTACTTGGCCTGTCCGCCCCAACGAGCAGGTGACGCTTCATATTGCCGTCGCACGCTGCGGCCTCGTCGTCCCGCCGGTGCAACGAGCCTCTTTGCAAGCCGCGAGAAGCAGAGCGTGCAGAGCGTGCGAGAGTGCGCACGGCGAAGACAGGGCGGGCGTCTGGCGGCGCGCGCACGCCCCCCGCGCTGGCGGAGCGGCTTCTTTTCTGGTTGCTACGGCGCGTGTGCGTGACGATTCGACGGCCTTGGCCCGTGCACACAGTGAGAGGCACTCCGCGATGGCCCAAGGGCCTGCGGCAGCCCTCCACCTCCACTACGACGCTCTCCGCCTCTGGCATGCTCCAGGCTCGTCATTCTTCCCCGAGTGCCCGCACAACACCGCTGCCCTGAGCCCGCTGCTGCACCCGGCCCATGGTTTTGCACGCAGCGGCCTAGCACGCCCGTCTCCGCACCTCCCTCGATCGGCTCGCCAGCGATAACGGCACACGGCGCCTCGAGCCCTCGCGGAGACCACGCTCACGGGTAAAATTCTGCCTCCTCGACGACCACACTCACCCAATTCAGCGCGGGAGCCGTCCTTCACTCGCCCTGCCGGCCTGCCCGTCTCTCGCCGCCCGCGAAGAAGCAGCGTTTCAACGTCCATCCGCGCACGCCAACGGGCCCGAGAGCAATGTCGACGCCCTCCACCGCCACGGCCACGCTCCCTCCCCATCATCAGTTCTATTCTCACCACCAAGCATACCAGCCCAGCATCTCCAATGCTCAGCTCGCCAACGGCACTGCTCGGATAGGCAATTCGCTCTACAACGGCTACGCCAGCGGCACGTCAAATTCAGACCTGCGTCGGACCGCGACCGCCCACAGACAGACGCAACAGCTGCCCCCGCTCGCGGCGGGCCCCGCGTCCGACATGAATTCGAGCACTGCACGTCCTCCCAAGAGGCGAAATCCCGACTGGGCTGACTTCTACAAGAACGGTCTGCCCAAAGAAGTCATTGTAATCGACGATGACGACGACGAGCCGGCCCGCCCACCGCCCCGCCAGGCGCACCCGGCAAGAACTGCGACAAACGGGCCCATGAGACATGCAGACAAGAAGCGGAAAACGACTGCTTCCACTGCGTATGATCCCGTATACAACCAGCACACCTCGTATTCCACCACCCAGACGCCCTACGACTACTCGCCCAACAACTCCCTCTCGACCGACAGGACCACCTCTGCGCTCAACACCACAGCCGCCACTTCCTTAACCTCCCAAGCAAGCAATGGCCAACACGTCTCCCCACTCGAGAACGGCGTAGTCGGCCAGAAGCGGAAACGCACCCGCGCCGCTGCGCAGGACGAGGCCAAAGAGGCGAAGAGGAGGGAGCTCGATGACCAAGACCCCTTTGCCCTCTATCAACCCCCGCCCAATCCTATCATCAAAGCGAAGGACGTATACGTGCAAGTCATCACCGATGTAAGGCTCACAACCCCGCTCTCCATGCACCACGCACTAATACCATGCCACAGAAATCATACACCAAGGATCACAAGGTCGACGACGAAGACGGGCACTACGTTGTCAACCCGGACGCCGACCTAACAGATCGATGTACGTCATACCGTCGTCCTCCTACAGTGGCTGTCCTAACCTTGTTGTAGACCAAATCCTCAAGCTGCTGGGCCAAGGGACATTCGGCAAGGTCGTTGAGGCCTGGGACCGGAGAAAACAAACCAAGTGCGCCATCAAAGTCATTCGATCGGTGCCCAAATACCGCGAAGCGTCGCGTATCGAGCTAAGAGTCCTGTCAACGCTCGCGTCAAACGACAAGTACAACCAGAACCGGTGTATCCACCTACGGGATTGCTTCGACTTCCGGAACCACATCTGCATAGTGACGGATCTCTATGGCCAAAGCGTATTCGACTTCCTCAAGTCCAACTCGTTCGTACCATTCCCGAGCTCGCACATCCAGAAGTTCGCCAAGCAACTGTTTACTAGCGTTGCCTTCCTCCATGACCTCAGCCTGATCCACACCGACTTGAAGCCAGAAAACATTCTCCTGGTCAACAACAACTACCAGACCTTCACATACAACCGGACGGTGCCCTCGTCATCGACATTAACCAGCCGCCAGGCGAGGCATCGCAAAGTCTTGCTCGACCCTGAGATCCGGTTAATAGACTTCGGATCGGCCACCTTCAACGACGAATACCACTCATCCGTCGTATCAACCCGCCACTACCGTGCACCTGAGATTATCCTCAATCTTGGGTGGAGTTACCCATGCGATATCTGGAGTATCGGATGCATACTGGTCGAGTTCTTCACCGGCGATGCCTTGTTCCAGACTCACGACAACCTGGAGCACCTCGCTATGATGGAGGCGGTCTGTGGCGGAAAGATTGATCGCGACATAATTAAGCAGGTCTATAAGCAGGATCGCAATGCTCGCAACTCGTCCTCTTCGTATGTCTGCACTACTCTCCTTGCGGCTACTAAACTGACAATGACCAGTGCGGCTCGATATTTCAAGAACTACAAGTTGGACTATCCAAACACAGATACCCAGAAGAGCTCGAAGAAGTTTGTCAAAGCCATGAAGAAGCTTCACGTATGTACAAGCCCATCAGTGTATCTCTCTGGACATGATACTAACTCTTCTAGGAAACCATCCCTCCTCACACCGAGTTCAATCGCAAATTCCTTGATCTGCTGAAACGGATATTCGTCTACGATCCCAAGAAGCGCATCACTGCCAAAGAAGCTCTCCAGCATCCCTGGTTCCAAGAGAGCCTCATGGACGACGGCACCGAAGCGCACAAGATCCGACTAGAAAGGGAAAAGAAGTTTCGTCAGCGGCAAGAAGAGGAACGTCGCTATCGGCCAGAACGAGCCTACTGAGCATATTCAAGTCTAGGCCCTAGCCCGATGACAGATTCTCAAAAGACGCCACACAGCTGCGTGCGGGTGGCGCTCGGGGTGGACTTCGTGTTTTGCTTCTTCGATCTTCTGCATTTACGACAGCGACATGATGCATGGAGGACACCTTTGGACAGGGTCTTATTGGCGTTGAAAGAGTCAGTGTTATCTTGGTTACTGCTATGCCCTTTTTCTCGTTCAAGCGCTAGCAGAATAATGGATAGAGGGCTCTACTTGGTGTTCCTTCCAGCCTCCAAAAGCGTTTGCATCAGCCGAGACGGCACGAAAAGCCAGAAGATATACCATTATCGAGCATGATCAGTACGGCATGGATGGGAGGTGCGCGGATCGGATGACATGCTCGAAGCTCGAGCTTGAGTACACAGCAGGAATGCCTGGAATGTGATATAGGGCGTTGTATAATCTAGCTCTGTGGCTCTTTTGTATTAAGTAGGCATACAACGCTTAATCAAGGCACACATCTCCACCTTCACGTCAAACCATTTGCGTGTACTAGTGCATACTCGGCTGCTGCATTCGGGAGCCCGGGAAAGCGGCCAAGCCGCCGGTTCGAAAAAGATTTGCAAATGAGCTTTACACGCGGCGTCTGGACGCACGCCACGTTGTTGGCTGGCTTCTGCCCCCGGCTGCTGACCCGCGTCCTGCGTCTCGCTTGGTCAGCGCAGCTGGAAAACGTAGGGCTGAGAATGCGCGAGAGCGTCCAGAAAGGGCAAGATTGGCGAGCGAGTCAATGGCGGGCGCCAAGAGATCGCGGGACTGTGGGTAAACACGATAAACAGTCGCGTTTTGCAAACACCAAACTTCCGCGACGAACCCATGGTAAAGGAGTAGACGAAGATGGCGAACACGAAACAGCAGGAGAACATGCTCCTCACGGAGCATTTTACTTGGCCTCCAATTGTGCGTTGTCCTGAATACCGTGGATATATGTGCGCGCAAGAACTAATTCTGACCAGTCCCTCATAGACGACATCATCAACGCAGTAAACGAAGTCCTCTACCGCTGCACCGATACCTTTGAATCCGGATTATCTGCCGCCGACCCCTCCCTGCTCGGTTTCGCCGACCGCTACGCCGCTGAGAACCGCGTACCTGAGAAAGACGAGGATGGGAGCGAGGTCTACCCGGAGGCGAAGCTGGAGATTGAAGAGGGCGTGCTGAAGCTCGAGACGCTGATGGAGAATGCGGTCGATAAGAACTTTGACAAGCTGGAGATTTGGACGCTCAGGAATGTGCTGTGTTTGCCCAGGGAGGGGGATGCAGGTGGGGTGGGGGAGTGGGTGAGGTTGGGGCATTATGAGGTATGTCGATTATATTTCTTTAGCGCTGATAGGAGAGCGGTTGGGGGTACGAAGGGAGGATGTGCTTGCGGCAAGAAGGAGAGGAATTGGACCGTTGAGGTGCTGCAGCAAAGAAAGAAATCTAACGCATAACCAGAACCTCCAAATCCCACCGAAAGACAACACGCTGACCCTGGAATCGCTCTACGCTCTGCGCCGCAAACTCGCAGAGACGACGAAACTCCACGCCGCACTCCTCGCAGAGAAGACCCGCAATGCGGCTCAGATAGCGAAGCTACGATCGCTGCTTCAACCTGCCATGGCACCGAAACGCGAACCGTGCTCGTCTACATCCCCAGCAAAGTCTCATGATCAGAACGGTACAAACGGAGACACACCATTTGCCTTCCTTACGCACTCCTCCGCCGCTCAGAGTCTCGGCGTACAACCTCTTCCCCAGACCAGCACTTCTTCGGTCCCGCCAGAGTCGCGGACTCCACTCACGACACATACTACATTCACCACCTCGCAGCTGCCATACCTAAGCCAACTGCTCGCGTCACTAAAACCACACCTTGCAACGACTGCGCTACCAAGCAGAAGCGAAGGCGAAAAAGAGGAGTTGGCACGGGAAAGACGTATCTACGTCGAGAGCCAGAGTAAGAGGATCTTGGAGAGGAGAGGCGTGGATACTACAGGCGGAGTGGAAGGTGCTGTGGAAGGCAGCAGGGTTAGAGCGGAAGAGGTCAGGGGGCTGGAGAGTATAGTCGCGGGGATGCAGAGGGGGAGAGGAGAGGAAGAGGGGGATGCTATGGATACTTCGTGAAGGCGTTGTTGGGAGAAGAGATGAATGATGTGATGAGGGAATGATGGTGTATGGGTATGGCCAGGAACGGGGATTTTCTTTTGGCGCGTTTATTCGCGGTGTCGGTCAGGCGGTATACAAGGTTGTGGGAGGCTCCTTTTACGCGGTTCACGTTTGGAGTTTGGACTGGGTTGATACCACGATTGAGGAGCGCCGATGGATTCAATTGGTCACTTTTACACCGGTTCACTTCCTCTTCGCCATATTCGACATGCCCCCGGCCCGTATGAAGGCGAATTCGCACTGGACCGCGGAACACCGCGTTGAAGGACATCAGGCGCTTGAAAGGCGTCTTGAAGGATGACCCCACCCTGCGACGGCGAAGATTCGTGATCCGTCTCTCGTAGTGTAACCCCCTTTGAAGAGCAGAGAGGACAGGAGCCCATCACACAGCAGCGTCCTCATTCAAGCATTCCAACCATACATATAAAACCTCCTCCTTCCCAAGCCCTCTCTTCTCCTTTCCTTCTCTATAGACTGACTGCTTCCTCTTCTTGACATAGACATAGACATAGACATATATCCAGCATCATCGACTAGACTGTCTAAGACACGCAGAACCCTCCAACGACAACAGCCCTCAGCCGGCCAACACAACACAATCAACTACGATCACTTATACTTCCTTCCTCACCTCCTTACACGTCCCCTCCTACCCCTTCCAAGCAAGCATTCAACTCGATGGCCAGATCCTCGCCCCTCAACTTCGAGCCCGTCAACGCCTTTATCCCCAGCCGTCCAACGCACTGGGCGTGCCGTGCGTGCGGGAATGAAGTCCCAAACGGCTACGGCGATAGGTGCACGAGGTGGCAGTGTGGGCATAAGAGGTGTGTTGCGGGGTGTCGGTGGGTGTAATACGTTAGTACCTGGGAAGAGGGTAGAAGGGGTAGGGGGGATGATGTGAGGTTGTTGTGAAAGTTGTAAATGGGAGTGGGTGCTGAGGCTGGCTGGCTGGTCTTCTGCCCTGATTGGTATGTACTATGTGTATTTAGCGGGTGGTTAGATGTAGAGTCATGCAGTTTTTCTAGTGACTCTTTCTCTCTTTAGCCAGTTGGGCGATTTCTCTTTTCTGTAGAGGCGCAGGGACTTTTGTGATTAGATGTTTTTGGGAAACTTCTTTTATTGTTAGCGCGTTGGTTGCCAGAGTACCTTTTGTAGGACTCTTGGGTGGCTCTGTTGGATCTTCTAGAATGTTGCGTTGTATTTCATTTTGCGTACGTTGCCTGCATTATTCTCGTGCTTTTTCCCCTGACGACGGCCGGCTGTCTTGCAAGCGCTCAGTTTAACCCCCTTGATTCACGATGTGCGTCTGTCACTGTTTATTTTCCCTTCCTGCCTTCCTGATTATCGACGAGGAACGTTTTTTCTTTTTTTGTTGCAGGATCATTCTACGGAAGTGGTACGTGTAGCCAAAGGGGCGAGCGGGTATCCGGGGGTTGAAGCATGTGAGCAAGTACGGGGGCCCAACGGGAAAGGATGCAGCTGACAGAGAGAGTATGAAGCCCAACAGCGCAGTCGATATCCCGACGGATAAGAAGACCCGAAGAAGGACACAGGCCTCGACAAAAATCTGCCGAACTTAGGCCGCGGTGCGTAGTATACAGAGCTGATGACGTTGGATGCGTCCCCGAGCCCTTGACGTAGCGTCAGAGCGACGACAACGCAAAGTTCCCCGCCTCTTAGGAGGCATATTAGCTCGTACTATAGATTGATTGTAGGCGTTGGAGAACAGAACAAGCGGTTAAATCAGCAGAGCGCTGTATATTGAAGAAGACCCAAGCAGGCGGGCCTGAGGGCAAGGCAAGCGACCGGCAAGAGAGTATGGAGCCTAGCGAGGACCATGAAGTGGGCTCGCCATGCTTCCACGCTAGATGAAATGCTGTGGAATATTACCAGCAAGAACTAGCTCGATGAGGAGAGCGGGGATATACCTGCTACGGATTGTGCGGCCTGATTTGCTAGCAGACAATCACCATACTCGAGTAAAACGTAGTCTAAAAGTGGAAGCAAGCGTAATCGGCAATCTCCAAAAAGGTGTTTTCAAAGCCGATGGTTAAGCTATGCCCAAAGTCGGAGAATTATGAAAATTGAAGACTCTTAGTATACCTGAGCCCGGGGCACTCATTGTTCCACTTGATCCGATATCCGTACCAGAACGCCAATACTAGTACAAGCAGCCATCCGCAGAAGCTAAAACTAGTCTCAAGCTTCATGCACCGTCTGTGCCGCCCTCGTCGAATCCTTCTTTCTGCCAGACGGTGTTGTCCTCTGCACCGGCGGCTATCGGACCACCAGCCGTTGCCGCTGTTGCGACTGCACTCGTATGCACGCCTGCGTATGACCACAGCATCCAAAACACCAAAAAGTGCAGCCCGAACAGATACGCGGCAAACAAGTTCCTACTCGTCCTCGTCTGCAGCACGAGCCTCGTCACCCTGAAAACCATGCGCTCAAGGACGTGCATTCTCCTCAGTGCTCTCGCCGACTCCCTTCCACGGAACGCAGCGAACGGCGATATGCTCGACTCGTAGGCGGAGCGATATCGATCCATGCTCAGACCGGAAGACGTGCTGTCCGAGATATGGATGCTGGAAGGATTCGGGTTTGCGGCGTAGGCGGATGCAGAGGACGCCGGATGACCGCGGTTGTACGTGGAGACGTAGCGCGTCTTCTCATAGAGGTCGAGGTTGTCTTTTTGCAAGGCGGCGACTTCGGAACGGAGGGTGGAGACATTTTGGTACGTCTTTTGGAGCTCGGCTTCCAGTTCTGCGTTGCGCTTCTTGAAACGGTCGCGCTGCGCTGTCACCATGGGCAATATACCGGAGCCGCCGCCAACGGGTTCCCCGGCGCGTAGGGCGGCCATTGTGCCCTGTGGCGTATGCGCTGGGTCAAAGCCGGAGATGATGGATGATGTGGGCGACGATCTCCCACGTCGGCCGCCACCGAAAGACGACTGTGGGTATCTCGACGTATATGTACCTGCTACGGACATGGCCGACGGATCGAAGGCATGCGTAGCCTCCTGCTGCACCCTCTCCAGGTCAGCCTCTAGTGTCTCATTTAGGTTCCTGGACTTCTCCAGTTCCATGTTGGTGTTGGAGAGCTCATCTTGCAGCGCTTCTAATCGACTCTGGAGGTCTTGATGTGAGACGCGAAGCACGGTGAGCTCGTTGCTGATCTTCTTGTTGCGCGCTAGGAGAAGCTGTTCCAAAGTTTCGCCTTTTCCTTTGCCGGGTGTGCCATTGTGGGCGAGCGCGATTTCAGTCGCTTCATCGTCGTCATCACCAGTCGCAAACTCTATAGACTGAATACAGTTAGCGCACGGGTACAAATGAGGCGGCGGAAGTACACACTTTGAGAACTTCAAGCTCCTGCTTGACGTTATCGTAGTCGCCCCACTTCTGGACCTTCTCACGAAGAGCGTCCTTTTCGCTCTTTAGGTTCTTGATCTCCCGCTCCAAGCTGCGTGTCTCCGTCTGTAGGCGCGTCCGCTCTGAATCCTTCTCGAACCGCGCAGTCTCCAGCTTTCGCAGGAGAGAAGAGTTCTCGGATTGCAACCGGAGGAAGGCAGGATCATCCTCGACAGGCACCTGCTGCGTGGCCTGCGCTGACGCTGATTGCGCCAATTCGAGACGTAGCTGCTCGTTACGAGCTTCAACCTCAGCCAGGCGATGGCTCGTTCTTTCCAGTTCTGAGCTGACAATCTCAAGTTCTGCCGCTGTGGCGCCCCGATCTACCTCCCCTTCGGCCTCTTCTCCCTTTCCGAGCCTCTGCGAGACCTCGTAGCTGGCCTTGAGCTCCTTCAGAAGCCGTTCTTGGCTCTCGACCTTTTCTTCCAAGCTCTTTTCCTTGGCCTCCCAGTTGTCCTGCTTCTCGCTTAACACGGCAGACCATGACGACTCAACCTCTTTGATCTTGCTATCCCGCGTCTCCTCCAGCGCTTTACGAGCGGCACGCTCCTCCTCAAGCTTCTTTTCCGCCTCTTCCAGCTGCGTGGTCAGTTTCGACACGGTCTTCTGCAGATGCTGGTTCTCCGAGGTGAGCTTAGGCACAATCTCTTCAGCAGTTACCAAGGAATCAACGGAAGCTTCCAGGAGGGGATACGGGTCAGGTGCTTCAGATAGCGGGGAGTATAGTTGGAAGAATGCAGCTTGGACGGTCTTGGACTGATTTGAAATGAGGTCAATGAAACCTTGGTAAGCTAGAGAGGGTCAGTATAGCAACCCTTAAAGCTGCCACGGTGCACTTGCATTTCAGAAGGGCCTTGATATCGTTCAACTTGCTCGCGTCATCTAGCCTTCGGAAGTCCTTCGTCTTCTGGGCAAGGTCCTTTCGCTGGGTAAGGGCATCTCGCTGGTGCGCGACGAGGTCCGAGGCGACGGTGTCGAGTTGAGGAACGAGCGATGTCAGGTCGATATCTGCGCGGCGTCGTCAGCTCGCTCGAGCGCGTCTCTGGCTAGACTGTTCTTACTCCGCCATGCTCCGATGGCTTTCTGAAACTTGTTGTCATCAGCCGCGTCTTCTCCGGCGTCCTGTCCTGGCTCTTCGCCATGCCGCAGCGCGTCCTGCGAGCTTCTGCTCTCGACATCTACTCCTCCCTCCATGCCTGCTCTTCGCTGTGGGGTTGCGACTCGTGTACGACGGCCCGAGAGGACGATTGCCTCAGCAGGGTCTATTCATTCAGCGTGAAGGTGTCAAGCAGCGGCGTCGGCGCATTGGCGAGCAGGCGTTGGCGGTGCTCGTGGATGCAGACAGCTTTCACGATGTCGGGGATGGGCTGCGGCGCAAGGGCCAACGCCGATTGGCGGGACCAGCCTTGGGGTCCGCCAGAGCTCGAGGCTGCAACCTACAGTATACTTGCTCCACCATGGACGCTTTTCGCGATTCGCGCTCGTAGCTAGCCATGGCGACCTTGGTGCCCATCCACTATGGCAGAAGCATCCTCCTCCCGATTGAGCGCGCGCGCGCCCCCGCAAGACGGAGCTTACGTCCTCCGCAAACTGGTAGCAGACCTGCCGCTGTCCGCTGATGGACAGTCGACCGACGTGCGCATCACCTGTGTAGAAGTATGGAGTACGTATGAAGCCTGGGCCTGCTGAGCGCCGCAGGAGGCGTATTGCTAGTATGAGAGGCCTAATTGAGCGCCTAGACGGCAACCTGTACGTCGGCACCTCCGCCGCAGAGGTCCTCCACTTCGTCCTGCTACCCCCCGAGTCCGATGATCCCGCTGAAGAGCCCACCGCTATAATCGCCTCGAGGCTGGAGCCCACGTCTAAGGATGCGGCCCGCGTCGGTGTTCAGCAGATCCTTCTGCTGCCCAACGTCAACAAGGCCTGTATTCTCTGCAATAACACCCTGAGCTTCTACACCCTGCCGGAGCTGAGCCCAGACTCGAGCACGAAGTCCTTCACATGCTCGTGGGTCGGTGGCCCAGATCTCAACGCCGAGCACGGCCCAAACGACGATGGCGTCGTGGTTATGATCGGGCTGAAGAGCAAGGTTCGCTTGGTGAAGATATCGGAGGATGGCCCCCCGAAAGGCGTCAAGCTGATAGCATATGGGGGCTGTTTAGTGTCTATTCGCCGGGACAACTATTCGTGTGCCGCGGATTCGCACTCGTATGCGCTACTAGACTTGGAACATCAGCAGAAGATTGGTCTATTTCCGATATCGTCTCTTGATCCGGATGCTGGCGATGTCGGTGGAGCGGCAGAAGATATCACTTCGACACAACAAGTGCCTTCAAGGAGCGTTTCATCCGCGAGCGCACATCCTCGGGGTGTCCACGAAGAACAACGAGGGCATGCGAGGAGCACGAGCTTGGGTCTGTTCGCGACGGGTGGTTCTGCAGCTCGTACGGAAAGCCCACGTCCGCCAGGGCAAAGATACGGATTTGATGTGCCGGAGTCACTATCAAGGGCAATGTCTCCGGCACCGGCTCCGTCTCCGGGGCGCTCACCTACACGAGAGCATCCGGAGCGAACGTCGAGCCTTCCGCGGGCTGGAACCCCTTCGCAGGACAAGCCATTACCTCCCGCCCCAGCCCCAGAAGAGGATACGGTTCAACAAGAAGAAGAGCCCCAAGCCCCGCCATTTGTGCCTCTCAGGCCTCACGTCGCGTCACCGTCGCCCAACGAGTTCTTACTCACTGTTGGCACGACGCCTTCAGAACCCGGCGTCGGCATGTTTGTTAATCTTGACGGCGATATGTGTCGCGGTAGCATTCAATTCAGTAGCTATCCTGACGCTATCGTTGTGGACGGCAAAGGTATGGACATGTCCGCTTCGATGGAACCAGATATAGACGCTGAAGAAGGCTACGTGTTGGCCGTCGTCCATCAAGAGGAGGATGGTCGGATTACATACGGTGTGGAGATTCAGCGATGGGACGTTGACCCTGGAGAAGGAGAATCCTCCAAAGAGTGGTTGGATTTGACATTGTTGGGCAGCGCTTCGGCGGAGAATGGCCAGCGGGTCACAGTACCGTTGGGCATGCGCACTGTCGTTGAACCCGCCGACCTAGTACTCCCCGAGATCGGAGCGAAACTTTCCGTCAAACGCTTGCAATCCGGATACTCTGAAGAACCTACTTCTACACCGGAAGCCGGCAAGGGTAAAGCCGTCCAGGACAAGGCGGATCTCGAGTTTACCGAGCGGTTATCAAAGCTCCAGACACGGACTGTTCTTTGGGCGGGGAATCATATCTGGTGGACCGTTCGCAACCCTCTCGTGACTCGTCTAGACGCTCAGCTGCATGACGCACAATCCACTCCGACTGGTGATGGGGTGCGCATCCAACCGAATAGAGCTTTGCTAGAACGAGTCCTAGGGGAAATTCGCGGCCAAGAACCTCGCAATGAGACGGAGTATCTCAGCCTCATCTATATCCGCCAAAAGGCATCCATCCTCCTGTTTATGGAGTTGATCCTTCGGAGCAGTACGAACATTATCATCTTTGAAAACGAGAAGCGAATCACCGAGCAAGCACTCATAGAGGGAGAGATCGACCCGCGAGTAGTTGTTTCGCTGCTGCCGATCCTGAGTAAAGAAGTGGTCGAAGGACCTGAGGGGATACAAATATCTGGAGGAATCACCACACTCGTGGAGCAATTCTTGCGGCAGAACGACCTGACGACCATGCCCGCAGACGTCAAGGGGCCGTTCGGCGACAACCTCTTGAATGTGGTGAAGAGATACTTGCTTTTCTGGAAGAGAAGAAAAGGCATGGCAAGTGTGACAAACGACCCATATGTCTATCAAACCATCGATGCTGCCTTGCTGCATATCCTCTTGCTGCTCGACCAAGATAGCCCTAGGGGTCCCGCGACAGCCGCATCGCTACGTGCAGAGTTGAATGAGCTTGTGGATAATGAGGTAGAGTGCTTTGACCGCGCGGTCGAACTGCTAGAAGAGTTCAAGCGCCTCTATGTCTTGAGCCGCTTGTACCAGCGAAATAGCAAGGCTGCCATGAAGGCCTCTAAGGTGCTGATTACGTGGAAACGCATACTCGAGGGTGAGACGGATGAGGGGGGCGAATTTATTGATGGAGAGAACGAGGTGCGGAAGTACCTCGTCAGAATTCGCGACCAGTCCTTGGTCGAGGAATTCGGTTCCTGGCTGGCGAACCGCAACCCGAAGCTCGGTGTGCAGGTATTTGCGGACGACCATAGCAGGGTCAAGTTCGAGCCTACACGCGCTGTGGCTCTTCTCAGAGAAAACGCGCCTAGTGCCGTCAAGGAATACTTGGAGTATCTTGTCTTTGAGAAAAAGGTATGTGGCACCCAAACTACGCATCAGTCACTTCGTTGACGATTGGAAGCAAACGCACTACGTGAATGAGCTCATTGCATTCTACCTTGACACCGTCATCGCCGAGCTTGAAAAAACTCCGCAATCAAGAGACACGCTTCTACAAACTTACGAAACGTACCGCATCCTACATCCGCCTAAACCAACTTACCGTCAGTTCATCACTGATAACGGAACTGATGCCGAATGGTGGCAAAATCGACTCCGTCTCCTTCAACTCCTTGGCTCCAATCAAGCAGCCACCTCTGCCTATGACGTTCCTTCTATCCTCTCTCGCCTACAGCCATACGAACAAGAACTCGTCCCCGAGATGATCATCCTCAACGGCCGACAAGGCCGACACCAAGAAGCTTTGCGCCTGCTCACCCACGGTCTAGGTGACTTCGACACCGCCATATCATACTGCCTCTATGGCGGGTCCTCCATCTTCCGTCCCTCCGGCGCCGGCTACGTCCCACAGTCCGAACTCCCCACCAAAGCTGAGCAATCACACCTTTTCAAATACCTTCTCCAAGAATTCCTCCGTCTAGAAGACCTCGCCGAGCGCATCGAGCAAACGGGGGAATTGCTGGAAAGGTTCGGTGGCTGGTTTGATATTGCGGATGTGCTTGCGCTAATACCGGAGGAGTGGAGTGTCGATGTTTTCTCGGGCTTTTTGATACAGGCGCTGAGGAGTTTGGTGAGGGAGAAGGCGGAGAGTGAGATTGTGAAGGCGTTGAGTGATGCGCAGAATAGTCAGATGAGCGCCGAGTTGGTGGAGAAGAGGGAGGGGCTGGGGCCTACGGTTGAGAGGGCTCATTGATGGGATGAGACTTGAGGCATTAGAGGAGCATAGGCGTGAATCTTAGAGGTGGGGAACACCTGACTTGCAAGCCTTCAGTCCTAGTTTCGCTGGTCATTTGGGCTTTGCATAGAGACGCTGGCATGCCTTCGTAGAATTATCCCTTAAATATACGCACAGTATGACTTCAACCATATTACCATTCTGAAACCCCTCAGATGATCGCTTTTGGTTGTGCTGCTTCGGACGCTCTCTGGACGGTCTTGGCACGCAAATCGTTCGTGAACCCAAAAGCGCACCTGGTCAAAACGTCTACACCAGCGCCAAGAGCTTTTCACATCCGCAAACGCTGGTCCTATCTAATCATCCATCTCCCCCAGTCCTTCTGTCAACTACACAAAATCTGTGGAAGGCATAATGCAGCGTCGCATGGTACGCATCTCGCAAGATATCTCGTAGCGCAATGTCACGGGCTAACAGGCCGCCAGCTCACGAAAGAAGAGGAGGCCTCGGCCGGCGGGGAGGACGTCCAAGTGCGTCGCGAGGACCAGGAGAAAATCAATCGGTTTAGCTCGCTGCATCAGAAGGAGACTGCGCTGGAGGATGAGTTGAGGGCGAAGCTTGTAAGTCCTGCATCGTGTGGTCGGATCACACAGGAGGCCGATTTAGGGACAACACCGGCGTGCTTTACAAATGCGGCGTTTTTATTGAGAGTGGCAGGCTAACTTTGATGAGCAGAAGGAGAAAGAAGATCTGGAGGAAATTTCGGGCGAGCTGGAGCTTGTGGATGAGGAGGAGAAGGTGCCGTAAGTCTCATTTGTTCGCTCTATTCGGGCTCTCGATAGATGAGCCCATTGCCCATGGAGCAAAACCCCGATGCTGACGGGTGTGCTATAGGTACAAGGTTGGCGACTGCTTCGTCTCATTACCACAGCCCGAAGTCCTAGAGCTGCTATCCGCATCTACAGAATCGATAGATGGCGAAGTTGAAGGCCTGAAAGGGCGACTCGACACGATCCATGAAGAGATGGCTGAGTTGAAGAAAGCGCTATATGGTCGGTTTGGGCGGAGCATCAACTTGGAGACTTGAACTGGCGAGTAGAAGGTATCCCATTGGCAGCTGTCATGGTTAACGATTTCCGGCCATACGAAGGCGTCACGATATTCTGTAACAGCAAAAGCGTCTCAACAATAACACGTTTGAAAACTCCAATGCGCTCAGCTTCATGCCACCCTTCGGAATGGACTTCTCTCCGAGCATTCGGAGTTGGATCTTCGGCTCGCTTTCCATCGGAATCATGCATGATCGATCAATATTTCCACGGATCCCAACCGGGACCTACCACGTACAGCACCTCGGGCTAGCTTTATTCAACAACCCCGAAGCCTTTCACAAATGGGTTTCTTGCACCCTTTTGCACTAGAACCGATGGCGTGCCGCTAACTAGATCGTTCGTCGCGGATCTGCGTTTTTCCTTCTTCCCCGCCAAAAACAGAGTCACGTATTTCCACCTCGGATATCTAACCCAAAAGCGCGGGGTCGGGCACTCTTTTCCTAAATTTTCTTTTGCCTCCCATATTCATTCGTCTAGTCGTTCTTTGACTTTGTCTCTCCATTTCCGAGTCATTTCCTTGTAATGCATCATGGAGAAGGATTCCGCGGCTCTAGAGAAAACTTATTCCCGGGAGAGTAGGAGGCTCGGTGATGGTCTCGAGGTGCAGACCATGCCCCATTCGCTTGTGAGGAGTGTGACGCAACGGAGTCGTCGTATGTTCACAACACAGCCACGTGTGGAAATGCTGTTCAATGCTAACTATGGGGTGTTGTAGGAGAGGAAAGTTCTCGTGTTGCGCCAATACCAGACATTGAGGATGTTGACCCTCCGTCAGACCTGGAGAAGGGGGACGAGATTAAAGAGGCTGCAACGCCGTCACCACCGGAGTCCTGCTCTAATGGATCGAGTCCCGCAGAGCCTGAACGGAAGATTATCAGGTTTGAGGATGGAGATCCTCAGTCGCCGAATAACTGGCCACAGGTATGCGGCATGTACTACATACTACACGCTAACGCTAATCCCCTCGAAGTGGAAGAAGCTGTATGCCCTGGGCGTTGCCATCTTAAGTGGTAAGTCCTTTCCCGATCAAGTATCACAATGTGAGACCTAACCAACCGCAGTTATGAACAGCACAATGAGTTCTTCGTAAGCGGAACGTCACCCCATATCTCACTATGCCTAATTCTCCATAGACTCGCAGCCGGCGCCACAGCACCTATATCAAGACACTTCGGCGTAACCAATGAATCGCAACTCATCCTACCAACCTCCATCTACCTCGTCGGCTACGTCGGCGGACCTATGATCTGGGGACCTATCTCCGAATCCTACGGTCGCAAGTGGACTATGATTGCTTCTTTTGCGTTCTTTACCATATTCTCAATTGCATCTGCAGTAGCGCCGAACTTCGCCGCTTTGGTCGTCTTTCGGTTGTTCGTGGGTGTGGGAGGGTCGTGTGCGATTTCTGTCGTTGGTGGGATCTGCGCGGATGTGTATCATGATCCTGTCAGCAGGGGAAGGAGTATGGCCATCTTTATGGTCAGCATATTCAAAAACCAGTAGGGGGTAAGACACGTTCTCACATTTGACATAGGCAGCTACGACCTTTGGACCGATTCTCGGGCCTCCTATTTCCGGCTTCATTAGCGTGATCGGCTGGAGCTGGGCCTTCTGGATAGGCGCCATATTCGCGGGCTCCTCATGGCCTTTTTTCTTCTTCTTCCCCGAGACCTACGCGCCGGTAATACTGAAGCATCGTGCACAGCGCCTACGCAAAGAGACGGGGGATGATTCCATACTCGCACCCATCGAGCTCGAGAAGACGGATTTTAGCCACATTGTCACCGTGGTACTTACTAGGCCGATTCGGATGATCTGTCTCGAACCGTTGGTTCTATTCACCTGCTTGTATCTGAGTTACGCATGTTAGTATGACCACTATCACTCAAAATCCACACATAGAGATGCGAGCTCCGAATAAAGTGCTGACACTGTCTCACAGACGCCATCTTCTACATATACTTCCAATCCTACCCGATAATCTTCACCGGCATCTACCACTTCAACGCCGGCGAAGAAGGTCTAACCTTCCTGCCCATCGGCATCGGCGCCCTCATCTCCGCCGGCCTGTATCTCTCCTGGGACGAGATCCTCCGGCGCGCGCAGAAAGCCAACAAACCCTGGTCGCGAGACGAGGAAATGCGCAGATTGCCACTAGCTTGCATCGCGGGGCCCTTCTTCGTCATCAGTTCCTTTTGGCTCGGCTGGACGGCGCGAGCGAGCATCCACTGGATAGTGCCCTGTCTCGCGGGAATCATGTTCGGCATGGGCTACTTGTGTCTTTTCATGGCATTGCTCAACTACCTCGTCGATGCATATGAAGTTTTCGCCGCGAGCGCAATGGCTGCTGCGAGTCTCTCGCGGTCGAGCTTCGGTGCAGTGCTGCCGTTTGCGGCGAAGCCGATGTATCGCGCGCTAGGTGTGCCTTGGGCCTCGAGTCTGCTGGGGTTCTTTAGTGTTGCGCTGTGCGTTATCCCGTTTGTGTTTGTTAAGTGGGGAGGGAAGATGAGGGAGAAGTCGAGGTTTTGTCAGTATTTGGCGCAGAGGAAGAGGGAGGAGGAGGAGGCGAGGGAGAGGGAGAGGGCGGCGGCAAGGAGTAGAGAGGATGTTGGACCGGATGTGTTGGATGAAGTATAGGGGGCGTGTGTGGCGTGCAAAAGAGGTGAGATGATGGGGGACGAAGACGATGCATTTCTCGGGCGTTCATTGGGCGTTGGAAAAGGTCGATGGAAAACATTTCTGCATTGGGACGAGACGGCATGATGGAGAAACATCCTCAGCACATACATACGTCGTGATAATGGAAGATACGATGGAGAAATCTGGAACGAGTCAGTCTCGAGCGTTTCGGTGCAAAGTGGTCCTTTGTGGCTGGAAGGATAGATAAGGGCAAAACTCGATCGATAGGCACTTCAGAGAGTCGTCTTTGTTTTTGCTCTCCTCTAGATCGTGCCCCGTGCATGACTCCCGGGACGTAAAGGGGAGGCTGGGTACATATGATGGATCCGCTCGGCACGCGCACTACCCCGCGGTCAAGCAACGCCAAGGGTGAACGGCGGAACTAAGCATCCGTGGCATCTCAGGCTCAGAATCCATCATCACGACCGTCTAACCCTTCATTAGACTTGCCTTTCGTGTATACAGATCTTCTCTCCGCATCCCGTACAAGCTCATTTCATCTCATCCCTCATCTCATCCCACGCGCTCCCCTCCAATCCCAGCACTCATCACACGCGCCCGCGGCCCATTTCCGCTCCAGGGCTAGACCACCGGTCCCGTCACCCCAGCGCCGCCTAAACCCCGTACAGGGAAGCCGACGCGAACGTTGCAGCAGCACGCAGCTCCAGGGCTTGTGCCGGGAGCTGCTCATGTTTTACCCGAGCCGGGTATCGTCAGCGACGACCGCGCCGCAGGGATTGTGTGCCGCACTGCTTATCGTCCGGAGAGAGAGCAGATATGGCGGTACCAATGATAAGGCGCGATCCGACGCTTTGGATGGGATGTGTCAAGAGCAGGCGAGCATGGTGCAGATATGCAGAACGCCCGAGGGGTGCGCGCGTACGTGCATGGGCAGCCGGGTATAAGATGGATGACGGCACGTCGGTTCTGGGATTTCTGTAAGGGTTGGCAATTGCGGTTCCATTTTTTGTCGCCTTCGTAGCTTCCATCCTTTCTATCGTCTGAGAAGATTTGGGAGCACACGAGATGGCGGAAGAAGTGCCCAAATATGATCCGGAGAGACAGGCCTCTTTGACTGGAGTCGCCGAGGGTCTCTCGAGCGAGGATGACGCCGCCGTCTTGGGTAAGCAGCTCAGAGCTCTGTGTTAGGTCTAACATCAGTTGGGACTGACGACGGCCACAGCGAAGCTTGGATACAAGCAAGAATTGCGCCGCAACTTCACGATGATCGAAGTCTTCGGTACGAGACCGCCGACTGCGGCTCCAATGCGCCGTATCTAACCCGGAACCAGGCATTGCATTCTCCATCATGGGTCTCCTACCTTCGATAGCGTCTACACTGGCATACTCGCTGCCAGCCGGGCCGGCTGGCTTAGTTTGGGTCAGTGGATAGCGCGACTTTGTGGCCGGGCTGCTGCTGACTTCATGGGAAGGGCTGGTTCACGGCGAGCGCGTTTATCTTCGTTGTAGGACTGGCAATGGCGGATCTGGGCAGTGCTATGCCTACTTCCGGGGGCCTCTATTGGTGGACGCACTACTTCGCCAGCCCGAAGACTCGTAATGCGTTGTCCTTCCTCGTTGGATACAGCAACACGCTAGGTAAGGCGAACTCTTCAAAAGTGAACTTCAAGGATGCTGATGAAACAGGCCTGGTTGGCGGTCTTTGCTCCATCGATTACGGCTTCGCCCTGATGTTCCTCTCGGTTATCGTCATTGCGCGTGACGGGAACTGGACGCCATCGAACGGCATCGTCTACGCCGTGTTCATGTGTTGCGTGCTCGTCCACGGCGTCCTCGCCTCTACCATATCAAAGGCTATGGCAAAGTTGCAAACGGCATTTGTCATGTATGGTTCCTATCGCCGTGAATCCCCGTTTCTGCACGTTTGCTGACCTCAAGTTGCAGCGCCAACTTCATACTTATTTTTGCAACCATTATTGCTTTGCCCGTCGGACGAGCGAGTCAGCGGAACGACGGCGAATTCATCTTCGGGACGACCGGAAATCTCACGACGTGGCCTATTGGATGGGCTTGGTTTCTGAGCTGGCTTAGTCCTATTTGGACGATCGGTGGTTTTGACTCCTGTGTGCACATGTCGGAAGAGGCTTCCAACGCGACGAAAGCTGTTCCTTATGGCATTCTGATGAGGTGAGTCATGAACCATCGTCTCTCCAAGGATACCAAATTAACAAGATATCAGCATCGGCAGCTGCTGGTTGTTCGGCTTCATCATCTGCATCGTGATTGCTGCTTGCATTAGCCCCGATATCGAGTCTGTTCTAGGCTCGCCATTCGGGCAGCCTATGGCGCAGATTTACTTCGATGCGCTTGGAAAGAAGGGAGCACTAGCGCTTATGAGCCTGCTGTTCATCGTCCAATTCCTCATGGGACTCAGTATTCTCGTCGCTGTCAGTCGGCAAAGTTGGGTACGTCACCCCCTTCAACATTGCTCTTGTATCAGCACTAACAACGCTCTTGAAGGCCTTCTCCCGCGACGGCGCTCTGCCTTTCAGCAAATTCTTCCGCAAAGTCAATGCGCGCCTGTTCATTCCCGTTCGCGCTGTGTGGGGCTGCGTTTTCGTTGCGCTCATCCTTGGACTCCTCTGTCTTATCGCTCCTGCAGCGGCAGCGGCGCTCTTCTCTCTCGCTGTGGCTGGCAACAACGTAGCCTGGGGCACGCCCATACTCTGCCGTCTCGTGTGGGGTCAGAAAAAGTTCAAGCCCGGGCCTGTCTATACCGGCGACAAGCTCTCGAGACCGATCGGTTGGCTGGCGATCGTGTTCCTGTGCTTCGGCATCATGCTTGCCATGTTCCCCGCTGGAGGACCAGATCCCACACCGGAGACGATGAACTATACCGTTGTCGTTAACAGTGCGGTATGGGGAGGCGCGCTGCTTTACTATTTCATCGGTAAGTTTTCCGCCGATGTGCTTCGAGGTTTGAGTGCTAACGTGCTATAGATGCGAGGAAATGGTTCACGGGACCTAAGATAACACTTAGTGAGGAGGATCTAACAGAGGAACAAGCAGCTGCGATTCGTGAGGAGGGCCTGCAGATTGAAGGGCTGCCCGCGGCAGCTGAGAGCGTTGAGGGCGAAGGCATCACCGAAGCTGATCCGGACAAGAAGGCGTAGAAGGGAGATATATTAGGGTAAGGTGAGCGGAAGATCATAGATCAAGCTCATATATTGACAGGAGGTGGTAAGCGATGGGAGAGCACTCAATCGATGCTGCAGTCAGCCCTCGTGTCAGCTCCGTTTTACCTTGCCATGATCATTTCTGACGCTGCAGTCCAAAATTGCCCGTGGCTCTTCTCGCGCGAGACCTCCTTGTTTCCGCCCCCACTGTTCATATCGTGCGACCAGTCCAGCCGCATGAACTTGAACTCGGCCGCCAATGACATTCCCCGGATCACCGTATTCTCGGACGCGGCGACAGGCTGTAGTGGTACATCAAGGCGACACGGCAGACACGGCAGACACCACAATGATACATAGCCCGCCCGGAACCGGCTCTTGTGAGGAGCCAGTCGACCACATCATGGATCCCCATCATTCGACTCAAGCGATGGCGTTTAATCCACCACGTCCACAATCACCGGAAAGCGGTACCGAAAGTCCGTTACGGGAAGGAAAGAATGTACCCCGGCATGGAGGCGCTAGCTCCATCTTTCTCCCGATGGCGATATTGACGGACAAAACTTCGGCATGGTGGCAGCGTAGGAACGTGCTTCGCCTATGGTGGTGGGAAGCCATCTGCTGCTGTCTTGTCGTCGCTGCGCTCATCGCAATCATCGTCACCGCCCGCGACTACGACCACCAGCCGCTTCCGCAATGGCCGGTACGTATGTTTTAGTGCACGTGCTAGTACGTCCTTCGACTTCGGAAAGCTACCTCCGGGGTTTTTTATCAGATCAAAGCAAAGAATGTTGAAGCCCGTACTATCATGAATACGAAATGTCAGCTAATTTTTCCCTCATCCTCGCAGTATGGAATATCCATCAACACCTTCATCGCCGCCTACAGCGTCGTCATGAAAAGCGCGGCAGGCCTCATCCTCGCCGAAGGCATCAGCCACCTAAAATGGACAAACCTCAAGAAACCCCAGGCCCTCCGCAACTTCGACGTGCACGACCAGGCGAGCCGCGGACCCTGGGGCGCCGCCCTCCTCATCTTCTACGACAAAGGCCTAAGCTTCTCATCTCTCGGTGCCCTAGTCACGATCCTAATCCTCCTCTTGGAGCCGTTCTCCCAGCAGATCGTACGGTTCTACGATTGCACGCAGCTTTCCACGGGAGAGGTTGCTACGATTCCGAGGGCGAATGTCTTCTGGGAGCCGGGCCTGCATGAGTGGGCAGGACGGGAGACGATTCCTTTCCCCGTGAGAAATGCGTTTTATCAAGGATTGTTTGCCACAAATCAGCCGCCGGTTACGGCGGCTTGTCCGACGGGGAATTGTACGTTTTCTGAACGCTATAGGTACGTACTTGCTAGTGTAGAGGCTCTTGCCAATCCTAGTTTCGATTCGTGAGGCTACTCCTGGAGGCCTTCAAAGAATAATGGGTTGGCATGTGCGCGGATGCCACCTCCCCTGTTCTAATATCGATATATCTGCTAACATGTACGGCCCGGTCACAGTTCCGTAGCTTTCTGCAGCTCCTGCGAGGACGCCACTTCGCGCTTGATACGAACGGACACTTACCCACAGTTCCCCACTAACATCACCGGCTTCAATGGCTCTTACACAGTCCACTACATCAACGTATCATTGCCCGATGTCGTCACGTACCAGGGAAGCGTCGACGTCCCTGGAATGATGCCGCTCAGCCTCATCCGCAGCAACGGAACCTACATCAACGCGGGCGCCGTCAATCCCAACCCCTCCTTCATTTCCAGGATCGGCAGCGACAGCAGGGTCGGCATCATCCGCTGGGTGCAGCCGGACTCGTACATGGGGTACACGTGCTCGCTCTGGCCGTGCATGAAAACCATGTCGGCCGAGATTGTAGCTGGCCAGCTTCGCGAACGCGTGGAAAGCGAGACGGGTTCAAACTTAGCGGAGACGTTTTCTGGCGCAGTCAAGTATACGCAGAGTCTGACTACCGCGGACCTCGACTGCGTATCGCCAGAGAAGAAGCAGGTTCTTCGAGACTTAGGTTACAATTTCACAGATTCCCAACGCTGGTTGCCGTATTATGTCCGGGATGTCAATGGAACACTGGATCCGGGATATGACTCGTCAGACTACTGCTCCGGCGCTGATATCGACCCGCATTGCCAGTTGGAAGGGGAAGAATACCGACTGCCCAAGGAACTGTCCGAAGCAGTTCCCGCTCGTTGCATGTACGTCAGAAACCCGCATCCCTCCCCACCCTATCGCACCTAGTCTTGCTAATCATCTCAGCTATACGCTAAGCGAAATAGGCATGTCGAGCATCCAAACCATTCTCTTCAGCCAAATCTTCGAAGGCAACCTCACCGAGTCCGTCAACTACGGCTACGAAGCCTACGACGGCCCCGCGACGCTCATGGCGCTCTGGAACGCCGGCAGCGGCAACGGCACCCTCGCGGACATCAGCGGCGCCATGCACAACGTCAGCAGCGCCATGACGACGCACATGCGCATGAACGGGCTCGCGAACTTCACCGTCCCCGCCGAGGGCCGCATTTTTTACAATACGACGTGCATCCGCGTGCGCTGGCACTGGCTTGCGTACTCGGCGGCGACGGTCGGCCTCACGCTCGTGTTCTTCGTCGGCATGGTGGTGCAGGCGCGCATTGATCAGGCGCGGCTGTGCAGGCAGTGGAAGAATGGGAGCACGGTGCCGTCGTATCATGATTTTAAGTCGAGTGCGCTGGCGCTGCTCTATCATGGGTTGGATTGGGACAGCCAGAGAGGGATGAGGGACTTCGGGGCGAGTAATTGGGAGAAGGAATTGGAGGAGCGAGCAAAGGAGATTACGGTGAGACTTGTGACTACAGAGCAGGGGTGGAAACTGTCGACGCAAGATAGGCGATGAGTGGAAGCGTTTTGAGGGATGAGCTATTACGTGGCAGCGTTGTTAGGGGGCAGAAGAGATTCCGGCTTCGGTCGCGAGATGTCGAAGTGCACTAAAGGACTTCAGGCTGAGCAATCGCGAGCAGGACTGGGAAGAGAGGGGAAGGGAGATCATGCGTCTAATGGAGAATCAAAGGGTACTGAGTGACTTCATGTTCAGCAATCCCGAAGAAGAGATTAGAAGAGACGGCAAAAGAAGACACGGATCCTTTGAGCACGCGACATGCGCAACACCTTTTCGAAATACATACAACATTCATAAAGTCCTCCAGCCTCCAGTATCCGGAGTTGGAGTCCCTTCCCATACAATTAGTCCTCCCCCCAAGGCCGGAGCATGCTCATCTCTTTCGTAGCGCACTCAGGGCTGCGACAATTCTTCGGCGGAGCCGCGGGCGGAGTGATGTCCTCATAGGCAAGAGAAATTGTCAGTACCACCTGCACAGGTAGAGTTGCGCTCAAAATTCGAAGAGAATCTGCCGAACCCAAGGTGGTAGAGACAGAGCCCGTTTTCTCATAATTACAAGTAGCCTTTCGTGCGCGCCTCCCTCCGCATTTGAAGAGAAAGTAGTTGGCGGCGAAGGATGAGGAGGAGGCTGCCATTCAAGCACGTCCGTGAAGAACAGAATGTCGGAGTTAATGTATTAGCCTAGCTTGTGGGCGAGGAAGAGGCTGAGACGGGAAACAAGTAGATGGAAGTGGCATCGTTCTTGAAGGGGATGTGCTTCGCTTGGGCCATTTTTGCCTCGTGGTGGTGTTGTTTGAGCTTGGTGAACATGGTGTTGTGGTAGCGGTGGTAGCAAACGCACCCCGAACAACCCCAAGAGAGAAAAAAAAATCGAATTCCCACCTCAACAAACCCGTTTTCCTCGTCTGCATTCGTAACTCCGGCGTCGGATACCGCGCATCGTACTCCCGCGGGACAGGCGCTCGAGGATCCGACTTCGCAACAAATCCGCCCACGATATTGACGATAGGAATCCGCCTGTGTTGGAACTCTCGGCCGAGGTAGTTTTCGTTGTGTTGGTCCGCACGTTGGGTGGCGTAGCGCGAGGAAGCGTTGGCTGGTCGTGGTGCGTTGGAGCTCGAGGTATAGCTAGAGCAGTCCTTGCTCTTCTTGCCGAAGCACAGCCAGGCACATGGTGATGGTGGAACGAGGTGGATGTGGGATTGGTGGTCATGGGGTGCTTCAGAGGTTTGAAAAGTCGTTGAAAGGGGTGACTCTGGATAGGTGGTTGTGGGGTACTTTGGACTTTGATGAGTTGCCGAAGTGGCGACTGTGGATAGGTGGCCGTGGAGTTCTTCAGACTCGAAAACGTCGCCGAGAACGTGACTGTATGTGTTGATGGTAATGTGGAGCTGAGACGTGGATTGCTGATCGTAAGATGCTTCAGGGCTCTGAGAGTAGTCGAGATGTGACTGGGTGTGGAAGAGTGGTGGAATGAGTTGATGTCCTCGAAGAAGGGAGAATGGGGGGGTATATATTCTTTTCGCAGGACTCTAATTCTGGAACGCTAGTTCAAAGTCCTTTTCAAATGCTGACGAAGAACATTCTAGTTTTCTATGAAGAAGAGGTGGTTGCACGCGAGCGTGGTTATACTTTGGTTTTTCTATGTAGCAATAATGGGTATCATTTCGAAACAGTTCTATGCAAGAACCCCGAAGATGGGCGCACTGCATCCGATCATAACATAGCAGCGGTCTTCAACCTCCTCCTTTCCTCTTCCTTCCTTGCCTCCACACCGGCCAAGAAGTCCATTCTACCTAGGTATGCCTCCTTCGTCTTGCCATGAGTATCCAGCTCCTCGGCAATACCTTCCTTGTCGACAAAGCCGGTCCAATCTAGACGGGATTTATCAACAACGTTGAGTTTCTGTGCCTTGTCCGGTTTCGCCTTAGTCGCCTCTGGTGCGGCCGCATTTTCTTGATCGGCTGCTGCGATTGTACGCGTTTTGCGCGGATATGTGAGTTGATACTCTGGGGGCAGAGTACGGACGTAGCCGGTCGGGTTGGGGTCGAAGCGTGATGGTCGTCGGGGCGGACGGCGAACCTTCGGCTTGTCATTTTTGGCGGTAGAATCCCCTTTGCCTTCTTCGACGGTCATCTCCACTGCGGGCTCCACCGCTCTCCAGCCGTCTGATAAATGCACCTCGAGCAACGACTGCGGAATCTGCTTCTCTTCGGTTGTGCGCTGCCCGGCGAATGTGTAGATCTTCTTCACCGTTACCTGCTCCTCCTCTTCCCCGGACACGGGCAGATCAGCGCCGGTGGCTCCGATTTGACCGCTCGACGTATCGTTCTCCTGTGCTTTGGCGTGGTTTAAGGGCTTTAGTGGAGTGGTAGACATCTGCGCCCAGAGCGCGTCCACATCGACGGTAGCTCCCTCGGTGCCGGCAAGAGGTTTTCGCTCTTTCTGCCTATACAGCTAGCGCATCAGTGTCTTGAATTATCTGCTGTAGGAAGGAACTTACTCCACCCTCCTTTGCGCCCTGGTCTTGATCAAGCCGCCCTCTCCACCTTCATCCGACAACAGCGGGTCATCGTCGCCTCCCTTTTCGCCCTTCCGCTTCTTTGCCTTACGTTTCCGGGCTGCTTCTATAGTAATTTCATCTCCAGAGTCCAAGTCCTCGTCCACAGGCGCCTTCCGCTTCCCTTTGCCCTTGCGAGGCTTCTTGGGCGCATCGTCTTCGGAGGAGGAGCTCGAGGGTTCGTCGGCGGCGGCGGCGTTCGGGTTGAAGTCTTCATCGGAGGACTCGTGGTAGTCCTCTTCTGCGTCTGGGACATCATCAATGGGATCCATGGGCGCCATTCCGATGTTGAGGGAGGAAGTGGAAGCTGCACGCGAAGCCACACAGAACGAGGGCTCGCAATGCCAAGATGATCGACGACTAAGGCAGAAGCGGTTAGCGGCGATGCGGCCGGGAGCTTGCATTCGGCAGTGACGTGGGCGGGGCGCGTCCAAATCAAAACAAGCGCTCCGCGGCTCACCCATCATCACAACATCACCCTGCCCACCACACAATGCGCATACCCCCCGACTGTTGACACCTCGTACTACATCTCAACAATGGCTCCGGTCGAACCTGACGCGATCGCGCGAACAAACGCAAAGCCCATCGCTCTTTTCTCCGCCCAAGTCTTGCTCGTCGCCGGTCTCACGACCCAGGTCTTGCTCACTGCTCGTCGCGCCGCGCGCTCGCTTCCTCCCTCGACCTCTACGCGCAAACAGGAGCCATTCCGTCGTCGTCATGCGATCGTCTTCTCTACTCTCGCGCTCTTGTCTTTGGTGTCGGTAACGACGTTCGCCGTCATGTGGCGCGCTCTGTCGTACCTGGAATGGGCGGAGATGGGCAGTCATGAAACCCCGGGTAGCCTGTGGACGGGCTGGTATGGTACCGGAGACGAGGGCGTCGGTAGATGGAGGCTGGGCGATTGGTTAAGCGACAAAGATTTGGTACGCGAGTCGGACATGGTGGCAGTTTCCAAGCCAGAGGCCTTCCTCTACACCAGCCAGCATTTTGTAGGAGTCTTAGGAAATGCTATGTTCATGGGTATTGAGGGTAAGAGCATCTCAATTTCTGGTTCTAAGCTTTAGATGGCTTGGAGCACGCCCTGCGCAGTATACTACTGAGATGCTCGCTCCTAACCGTCATCCAGGCCGCGGACGCAATTTCTCCGCCGCAACCATTGCATCATTCGTCGTCCTCAGCGCATTGGGTAGCCTTGGATATGCGCTGAATCTCTTCTTCATCACCGTGCTGTACACTCCTATGGCAATACACAGCGAAGACACGCCCCGACACGACGCTTTGTTTGCCCCGAAGCCCGCGGTATATTACGTGCCTATCATCCTTTCTGTCCTGGCCCTCAATACATTACCGACGCTCTTGGGCAAAGGCGAAGATATCACCCTTCTCCGCTATGGGTACCTCCTTGTACCACTCTTCCTGGCTTTTGCACCACAAGTATGTGACACTCCGTTTTAGTGAATGCATTTTGCTGACTGGAGACAGATCATCCCCTTAGCGTTGGGTCACCAGCACACCTCCAAGGCCTCAGCGCACCGGTCCCTTAGCAGGGCGTTCTATGCCTTGGCAGTGACCTCGTTCGTCCTGCACTGGAAGCTGTTCGGGTTTACGTTCTTGGTAAACACGCCTCCAGAGCAAGCATCCGTCTATGACCTACTCAAGAACGCTGTTGGGAAGCAAGGCCAAACAAAGCCGAACAGACTGCTTGCTGGCATTGGTAACACTGCACAGAAGCTCAAATTGATCAGCAAGCATCCAGCCATAAGCGTCACGACGCTTGACGTCCTCTTGACTACCACCAGCCTCCTCGTTTGGACCTTCACTCGCGATCTAGACGTAGAAGCTATCTTGGGGAACAGCGTCCTCTCTTTTCTAGCTCCCCGCAGGGCAGAGAAGCATGTTGCGTTCGACTCAAAAGCTAAGACTGCAGACGAGAACGTTGAGCTTGAACCGGCCGTGCCGGCTGTAACTCCGCGAAAGCGCGGGCGGCCAAGGAAGAGCACTCTCACAAACGGCGCGTCTTCAGCTTCCGCTTCCTCGACCGGTACTCTGAGGAGAAGCAACAGAAGAAAAGGGAAGAGTGACTACGAGTCGGATGCGGAAGAAGCTTATGAGCCAACGGAGTCTGCTAAGAAGGAGGTGGTACAGACTGTAACCGACGGCGCAACGGCTGCGGAAGATATCGTTCACGGCGGCGAGGCAACGGCACTCGCACTATGCCTCGCATTCATCGGTGGGCTTGGTCAGCTAGCTGCAGGCGTTTTAGGAGCTGAAGCGACCGGCACGGGAGAATAGATCGAGTTGCCGCTGCACCGCAAATGACGGGCGCATGGTTCTGGGCAAATGCTCTGTTGCTAGATGGTCAGCCAGGAGCTGATATTCACGTTGTGCCCAAGCTCAGGAAAGGCAGACGACGTCGGTTGGATGCGTGCTGCATGGGGACCAACTTGCAGCATCTCGAGCCATGCCGCCGGAACGACGCTTCTAGGTGAGATTCGGACGGGAGGAAACACCTGATCGATGTGTACTTTTAAGGGGTGCCGGTTCTGCAGCTCGAGCTGTGTTGATATGGATGGCGGATGTCTGCATGATACCTATATTTGCGTTGATATGGACGAAGGGTGGTTTGGAGTTTTGTCAGTCGATCACGTCCCGATGTGCGTTTCGCGTCGTTATGAGGGCTCGTCTCGTAGCAGAAGCTCGTTTTCGGTTCCCGGGCACATGCACATGTGTCATGGCGATGTCGATAGAGTATCTCCAGCGCAATTTATCCGCCTGAGGCATTGACTGCAGCCACCCTGGATGGCGGAACCGAGGTCTTGCCGAGATACCTACGTCGACTCTGGTGTCTGTATACGATATACCGAGACAGCAAATGCTGGCATGTGCCGTAACAAGCCAGACCTGTGAACAGCAGCATGTTAATGAAGCTACGAATGAGGCAGTCCACGATAGCCGGTGAGGCGCGCCTTGCCGTTTCGGAAGCGGACGCCGATCACTTGTCATGCTCCAATGTCCATGCTCCAATGTCCATGCGCGTGTATGTGATACACGTCGCTGCGTACTGCTGCGGTCACTGATAGTGATGCTCCAGCTGTTTTGGACAGCGGTGTGCCGGCGCGTCTGACAGGTGGGATCCCCGTTTGCTCGTTTGCTGATATCAAGCGTCGGTTGATTGTTCGTGCAGTCGGATGCTATCTACAGTACGGTCGTACGGTCTGACGGCAGCACCGCGACCTGTGCGACCTTGCTAGACCGCGACGCATGGTCTCGCCGGCGACAGGTGAGCTGTTGTGCCATGTCTGGACCTCGCGGGTGGACCCGATGCTCGCAACCCGATCCGCCGGGCGGCCACGAGGAGGCTGCTCGAGGCTGCTCGAGGCTGCTCGAGTCATCCTCGCGCGACCGCGGCCCTGTGCGTGCCCGAGGCCGTCGTGTGTTGGCGTGTCCGTCGTCCTCGACGGCGGTGGTGAGGCAGAGGTGCCAGGAAGCGGCGCGGTGCCTGAAGATCGCTGAGCGCTTTTACGCCTCCTGGGTAAGCGACGCCCGTGCGGATGACACCGCCAGCGACCTCTCCGACTCTTCCTATCGCGCCAGATCGCGCTGCTCCGCTGCGACTCGCGTGGCGGCGTTTTCTTCTTCTGCGCCGTGTCACCGTCGCCCGCCCGGTCCCGTCGGCGAGCCAGCGAGGAGAGGAAATCCTTGCTATAGCGGCCGCGGCCAAAAAGGCCCGCGCCAGCCTCTGTGCTCTCCTCCTCGTCCGCCGCCCCAAAGCAGCAAAGCCGCACAGCCGTAGGGCCCGCACCGAATAATAAACCGTCCCCCAGCGGGCCTGCTCCTACGCTCCGTCCTGGTCGTTTGGGCTAACCGGCCGGCCCAGGGGTGCGGCCCAAAGCATACCACTACCGCAGGCCGTGCACCTCTACGAGACTATTACTACCCAGCCATGGAGGTGAGCATCCGCGCCTTTCTTTTCCCTCCAGCGCTCCCACTCCCAGTCCCGCTCCCACCGCTCGCCGTAAAAATTTGCCGCTGCCATAATTTCTTTGCGCGCCGCGCCTTCTCAGCCCTGCCCTCCTCCCACATGGCGCCCGTCCGCAGGCCCAACATGGCTTGACCGTCTCGTGCCATCCGCTTGGGGCGACGGCCCTTCAAGTATCACGCTTGTAGAACCTCAAGGCCGCTCTGATTCCCCCCCCGCCGCCAATCCTGCCCTCCTTGCCGCCTCCCAGCAATCTCTCTGCACCGAGTCCTCTTTGTCAGACACGTCACCCCAGCGCGCCTTCCACGTTTGCGAGTACCACGCTTCACCACCGCAATATGCCCGTCAGGTGAACGCCCCGGAGACGGTCGTGCCAATTCCGCTCTTGCGCTCTGACGGCAGCGGTCCGCGAGCATTTACGTCTCTTTTCTCTTCGTTCCTCTCCTTCTGCTCGTTTCAGCGTTGATACCCTGTACTACCTCACCCCGTCATGGATTCCAGTCACCGCCCTTTGTCAGCTTCTCAGCATTCTCTTCCCGATGACTCGCGCCCCGCCGAGGGCGAAGCCTCACAGGCCGGCCCCTCGCGCCTGAAGCCTGGAGCTCAGTTGACCCTGATGCGATATCTGCAGGACCTCCCCGATGCGGAAGTTCCGCCTACTGATCCGGTGCCTCCCCGCTATCACACTGGACGCTTGCCCAATAGCAAGGCCGGCGATGGCAAGCCGCGGCTGCTGCTCATGGGCCAGAGAAGGTGCGCGAGCCTGCCGTGTGGAAGCTTGGTTGGCTGACTGAGCGCTGCAGGAGTGGCAAGTCGTCAATATCAAGCGTCGTTTTCCACAAGCTGCCGCCCAGCGAGACACTGTACCTGGAGACGACGACGCGCATCAAGAAGGAGTCGATGCAGTATGTTCTCTCCCCAGATACCGTTTCGTGCCGGCGCTCAACACCATCAGCTCCTTCATGGACTTCCAAGTGTGGGACTTCCCTGGCCACCTAGACTACTTTGACCCCGCCTTCGACGTGGATAACATCTTCGAGGAGATCGGGGCCCTGATATGGGTCATCGACGCGCAGGACGAGTACCTCGAGGCCATCATGCGCCTGAACACCACCATTCTCAACCTTCAGCATTCATACCCCAACATCAACGTCGAAGTCTTCGTGCACAAGGTGGATGGGCTGTCAGAAGACTACAAAGGCGATACCTTCCGGGACATCATCCAGCGCGTCCAAGACGAGCTGTCAGACCACGGCTACGAAAACGCGCCCGTCTCCTTCTATCAAACAAGTATCTACGACCACTCCATCTTCGAAGCCTTCTCCAAGGTCATCCAGAAGCTGATCCCGCAGCTCCCCACGCTCGAAGCACTGCTGAATAGCCTGTGCAGCACCTGCCACATCGAGAAGGCGTACCTCTTCGACATCATGAGCAAGATTTACATCGCCACGGATACGAGTCCTACCGACATTGGGAGCTACGAAATCTGCTCGGATTACATTGATGTTGTTATAGATGTCAGCGAGATATACGGGTGGGATCGACCAGCCGAAAATGGGCGTACGGAAATTCAAGAGACGGGCAATAACGATGCGGAGAGCCTTATCACGATGGAGAGGAAGGGGAACAACTATCTATACCTTAGAGAGATTAACAAGTGAGTGCGAAGTGATTGTGCCGCCACCGCTTCTCTAATCGGTGACCTAGGTACCTCGCTCTCATCTGCCTCATGGGCGACGATAGTCCCGCCGAGAAGAAAGCTGTCATCGACTACAACGTGGGCGTATTCCAAGCCGCGCTCAAACAAGTCTTCCCGCGGGCGGAAAGAGAAGTCATCGTTCCAGTCACTTCCCCGTCATGATTTATTCGTTCTGTTCTTTCGGACTATCCTGTTCGAGTTGGAAAGGCCATTGTCGGATTACTGTACGGACCTATTCTTGACGGCCTACGACAAAAGTTTTAGATTCTAATCACGCATGTGCTTTTATGAAGAGGCATGATAGGAATAAGTTAGGTGCCGGAGAAACACGTGTATCATAGCTATACAAAGGAAGGCTCAAGAGCTAGAGGCTCGAACAGCCTGGGCTGACATTCTTGCCAGCCTATCTAACAATACACACGGCTGTGAAACCCTTCGAGAACCTGTATACCAGCTCGGTCTTCCATAAATCAGTGTAAGACTTGAGCCATAGAGCTATTCGGGGTGTAAACCTAAAACATCAGTCCGAGATACGCGCGTCACTGCCACTACGTCCTACGTCATGTGGCTAGTGCCCGTGGCGCCCCGGATGACATAATTTTGCCAAGCCTTCATACTCCATCCAATAGCGTCGCCCTCAAACGTAGTTACAGCCGACATCCCAGAGCCGCAATCTAAATTCGCGACATTCACCCGTTGTATCGTACTGTAGCGGGGCCTCGGACCGTTTTAACGTGCTTGCAGCAGGTGTTCGATGAAGGACACCATGTTCACATCACGTTTCACAATATTACGAACCTCAGTGGCTTGAACGTTTTCCTGTGGTGACATGGTGTGAGGAAAGGTACGAAGGCCCAATGGTACACCGATGACTGCCAGGAACTAAGTAAGACGAATGGATAGTCAGGAGATATCGAAGATTTGAATTGCGTGCTACACCAACCAACCATATTTTCACGACTTTCCGGCCGACCCTCCGCTTCTCACGCACCTGAACAACCATTCATCCGTCTCGTCCGAAGAGCCTCACAATGGCAGCCCGTTACCGGCGCCCCGCGCCTACCGGATCCTCTCCCGAATCCTCCCCCGAGCCCTCCAAACCGCTCAAAGAAGCCGCCGAGTCTTCTCAGCCCGGCCTCTCAATCCTAGACATCCTGCGAGTGCTCGGCGGCATCCTCCTCCTCAGCAGCGGCATCAGCTACCTCTCCACAAGCGGAGAGTCCATGACATGGGGCTACAATCCCTGGTGGACACGCGCGCGAGAATGGAAAGCTCTCCTCACCCTCGTACTGTCCCCTCTCATCTCCCCTCCCTATCCTCGCAAAAGCCCCGCAACCGCTAACCCCCGACGACTACATAGAATCGCCCCGTCTATCTCACCGATGAGGAGCTGCTAGCCTACGACGGCACCGACCCCACCAAACCCATCTACCTCGCCCTCAACGGCACCATCTACGACGTCTCCGCCAACCCGCACACCTACGGCCCCGGCGGCTCGTACCACTTCTTCGCCGGCCGCGACGCCGCGCGCGCCTTCCTCACCGGCTGCTTCCAGGAGGACCAGACGCCCGACCTGCGCGGCGTCGAGCAGATGTTCATGCCTATCGACCCGTGGGACAAAAAGCCCGCCGACTCCGACTCCGACTCGCCCGAGGAAGCCGCAAAGAAGAAGGCCAAGGAGGCGGATATGAGGAGAAAGGCAGGGAGGCTGACGAAGCAGGAGTTGAAGAATAGACATGCGAAGGAGTTGAGGAGCGCGCGGAAGCAGGTCAAGGAGGGGTTGGAGCATTGGCACGCGCTCTTTCGCGGGGATAAGGGGAAGCCTTATAGGAAAGTTGGCGAAGTCAAAAGGGAGAAGGGATGGTTGGAGAAGTTGCCCAAAAGGCCGCTGTGTGAGCAGGCGCTGAAGAGTCGGCCGGTGAGAAAGTATGATGGAGGTGGAGCGGAGTAAGTGAGTGGGAAAACTGAGAGCGACCTCACGGCTTGGAATTTGATACAGCCATCGGAGTAGATAACACTGACGCGATAATCATATGAAGACTATCTAGTAAACTTACATAGCAGAGTACGGTGGAACTCTTTTTGATGAGGTTAAGCCCTGGATATAACCTTTCACCTGCTCTATTTCCTTCAGATCCGAGTTATGCGGTGGCTCGATTATAACTCCCAACAACGCTACACTTGCATCTTCAAGCTGGTTTGAAGCTCGAATCTTGGGATTCTAAATCGACGGAGGCAAAAGTCCATAGCGGCCGTCTCGATTGACGGAGGTTTGGGTATTTTGAACCTATTCAATCAGTACATGGCATGCTTTACAGAGGTTAATATTCAGATCCATCACCATACTATTGTCCGGTCAGTCAAGTAACTGTGCCTCCAGCACAAAGCACTTCTCAAGGAGAGCAAGGACCTTCGACGTAGAAATCACTTGTCCCGCAAAACCAATGGAACGGTGCGTTGGCGACGAGTATGCATTTTCGGATCCTTTTCATTCAATACAGAATCGACACTGATCATGGGCGGGCGAATCACCCAGCCTGTCCTCTCAAACCATGTCCGCCATGAGCATGCCCAATGTATGACCCTTCCATCATGAAGACGCCGACCGATAATGGGGAAGAGGAATGTCGAAAAGCTGAAAAGACCCGAGTCTTGCATCCACCGCCGTTTTCATTCTTTCGAGCCGCTTAGTCTGACGCTCCAACCGCTCGTGCTGTATCATGGTTAGCATATCTCCATCAAACACTTTCGTGCCGGTCCCGGCCCCGACTGCACCACATCCGCCCGAAGAGGTGGAGCAAGCCGCGGAAAAGTACAGGATAGACGTACTGTAGACGGTCAACTTGGAGTGGCCCACAACCTTCTTGATCTGACCCCTCTCCTCGAGATCGGTAAGGGCTCTCCGGGCGAGCGAGCCGTTGATCTTGAGACGGTCGACCAGCGTGGCGACGGTGATGAGGCGGTATGATTGCACATCCTTGTTGAGCTTGTCCGCGGTGGTCTTGTCGAGGACGACGGCGTGGTTGGCCTTGTCCTTAACTGTTCCGTTGTTAGTGGCGATGGCCAAATTCCAGCGTCTGCGGAAGGTTGGGACGAGCTTGCGGAGCGAGGATGGAACGTGGAAGCGCAGAAAGCCACGATAGGATATTGCGACAGATATCGGGGGGGTATCGAGGCTGGGAGTGCGATATCACGTACCCTTTCCCTTGGACCACTTCTTCTTTTGCTTCTTGCCGCCGGTTGCTGCAGGTGCCTATTCAAGTCGTCAGCAATCTTCTTGCGCGAGTTACAGGCAGTTTTTGCAATCGAGCATACCATGTTGATTGATGTGGTGGATGTGCTGAGAAAGGTCTCCTGTCGTCGGTCGATGAAGTCAAATTGGAAGTGCGGAGTTGAGGACTTGGCGCGCTGACTAATACCGACAAGCGAGCCGAGAGACAGCACGTGACTTGGCGTCCATCTCGCCCCGCAGCCATCTCAACCTCATCGGAGCCCAGAGCGCTGCCATGACATGCAGTTCCCACTGTCACGAGAGTGCGCCGATATTCGAAGAAAGAAGAGGTAATAGACACGTGCCACTTCCCTCAGCGACGTCGGCACTCGGAATTATCTTCCCGCGCTACCCTGCTTTCTTATTTCTAATCTCTCCCAGGCCCAACCCCAACCAAACGTCCCGCCATCAAGTTTATTTCGCTATCAATATCCGCCAGCGACGTCACCAGGTCACGGAGCTCCCTTCTCGAAATCCCTTAGAAGCGCAAATCAATAAACCTAGCGTATCGACTCAGCGATCTCGCTTACCCGGACCTCACCCGGACCTTGATTGCGGCCGCTAGAAGAGGCAGGCGTCATGCCCCAGAGAATATATATGGAACATGTCCCGAGGGGTCTGTGGAAGGTATAGGGCGATCCGATGATCGTCCATCAGGGTCCTAACGGTCGTGAGCAGGGGGCATGTCCATCCGACGGCAAGGTAACAGCAAGGCGGAGAATATCCGGACTTGCTGCATGTTGCCGCTGATGCTCGGATAGAACATACTCCCTAGCTTTGTATAAAACGAAGGGAGGAGGGATTGATTGGGCTCTATATCGCTCTAGAGGGCTCCAAGCGAGATAATGCTAGCCGCGCGTTCCAGAGTATGCGAAAAGGTGTGTAGGTGCTGTGGGCTATGGTTGGTCAATCGCACCCACCCTCCATCAGGAGGACCAAGAAAAGTCAGAGATAACGACCTGCATGTCGGCACACACTTAATATTGATACACCGAGACCGCATGTAAACTTTTGAGCTGTCCGGGACGCAATGATTGCGGAAAGAGATGTGGAACATTCTTTTCCAATTACATGGGGGTAGTTCGCACTATTCCCCAGGACACTTGCAGCCAGCCAACTATGCCCTTCATTCGCGCTTTCCGCTCCTATTCTCTACGATTTTACAAAAGCGCAGAGAAACAGTTAATTGATGAGAAAGAAAGGAGACAGAAAAAAGAGAGGGTGAGAAACACGCCACACCAAAAATCGAGACAGGATAAGAGAAACAAAAAGGATCCTAAAGCCAATCAGATAGATGTTGCTAGAGGAACAAGGAGATAGAGACAGGTGTGAAGGCAAGGAAAATGAAGCTTCGGCTAGAAAGCCAGGAAGATCTTCCTTGCAAGTGTTACTTTTTCCATGCCAACACCTTCTCGCTTGCTCAATCCCTTCGAGCAAGCGTAGCTTTCTCTATCTGATTGCAGATGCTCGCTAAGACAGATGAGAGACAAGTCCGTCGTAACCAGAAAGTGGAACAGAGCTAAGGTCAACTCATGAATGCTAATTGCTCCCGTTCCCAAGTACTCAGTTGGAAAAGTTTTCGCCAAGACGCCATGTCCAGATGATGGATGCATAATCATTAGAAGAAATGGGTGTGGGGTTTGGATAGCTCGTGTACCTCCATCTCCTATACAGCAGTTAGACAAATATGGTTCAGCATGCAGGGACACGACTTACCATTTTGAAGGAGTTGAGCTCTTCCTTAATCTGTTGGGCGAGCATAGGCGTGAGTCTGTTGCACGTCGCTATCTCTCCACGTCGATCATAGTCGGATGCTGACCACGCATCGTAGAATTGGATGCGAGGGCTGAATGAGATATTCCTCAGGCCCCCATGAGGTGTATTCGGGAGGCTTCTGGTGCTCGGGTTGGCAAGACGGGCCGGCCTCGCGAAGTAGTCATCTCCGTTGACATGGGACGGCCCGGGCTGTGGCCGGTCGTTGTTCGGAGTACTAGGCGCGCTTGATCTCGGAGAGTCGTTCGGGTTGGGCATCTCTGTGGGATGAGTAATGTGCGAAGGAGTGTCCGAGCTAGTTGCTGAGCCTGAGGGTGTTAGAAATACAATCCGCGGCCTTGATGCATGCAGCTTACGTTTGAGGATGCCCTTCTTAATGGATGAAAGCACTTCAGCACGCTCCCGGTCTCCACCAATAATGCTCTTTCGAGGCATTGACTCCGCTGCAGCAACTGCAGCGCCATTGGCGTCTGCACTGCGACCGGCATCAAGAGAATTGCGCTCCAACCTGGGAAATCCTGTTCCCCCACCCGTTTGATCGTGGGGATCAGCGTTCACGTTCACCTTCTGTCGCTCTGCCTCTACAGTGACCATGGACACCTGGCCCACGCTAGCCTTCGTGACGGGTCCGTCTGCAGCAGGTACCCCGATAACCGACTTGGGTCTGAAGAGTCCCTTGATGGATCTGGTGCCCTTCTTCATTCCGCTGCCCATCTTCCTCAGCATGATTGACGCCGAGGACGCTGTCGACGAGATGGACAGGTTGTCAGTAGAGCCGGCGAACCCGCCTTGTCCAGAATAAATGCCAGCACCGATGCCCGCAGCCTCTTGCTTCGCAACAATGGCCGCCTGTTCTGCATCTTCCTCACTTTGGTATCTTTCTTTCCTCAGCTTAGCCCGCTCGGCAGAGAGATTATTCTCGGCAGAGGCACGACGAAGCTCTGCAGCACTGCCAAAAGAGAAGGCTCGGCGCAAGCGTGACTTCATGCCTTTGCCTCCTTCTTTATCGTTCAATGCCGTGAGCTGCTTCACCGCTGGGCTTGGAGCAGTCGGCTTAGCCGGGCTCGGAGGCTCAGAAGGCGACATCGGATTCGACAGCGGGGAGGGAGCGATGCGTCGGGCCGGCTCTGGCGCTTTTGATGCAGATGTAGCGGGTGCCATTGCAGAATTGCGGAGGGATGTCGACTCCTGACGGGACTTCGAAATGATTAGCACGGAGTGTCTCATAATGAGGGCGATACTCACAGAAGGCCTGTTGGAGGCGTTTGAAGAGACACTACCTGAGCTGCCTTGCCTCTCGTGGCTTTGGCTCGAACTGGGCCGGCTCCCATGGCGGCTCGAGCTTGATTGCGGTCGCAGCTCTTGAGTTGTTCGCTTCGTAGACGTTACTGGAGCCTTAGGAACAGGAGCGAGGAGAGCTGGACCAGACGCCATGGTATTCGCATCTAAGCCGCTGAGGCTGCGTCTTCTATATCGCTTCGCCGGATCCGTCGAGCCGCCTCGCGAAATCTGCATGTCGTCTACGCTGCTAGCCCGGTGGTGGCCCGGTCTCACAGGCAGAGGTAGATCTGACACATTCAATGGAGGAACATTATTATGTCGCGCTGCGCCCGAAAAAGCGGACGCACCAATTGATGGCGATTGTTGGGTCGGGGTGGGCGTGGACGAGGAAGCCGTCCCACTATTGTTGGAGTCGGTCCTACCCGCACCTCGACGATATCTGCCTGGTGAAGGCTTCACGGGAGCATCTGACAGAGAAAAAGAGAGGTCCGGAACGGAGGTGGAAAGCGTGATCGAGGCGGGGAAGTTGTCGACGGCAGACTTCCTGAGGTCGCTGTCATCCTTGGAGGGGAATGCTGGAGCAACAAGCGAGCGACTTGACGAGCCCGAGGTGGACACGGTCGAGTCGGATGAAGACGAGGGGTGCGAGGGATGGCCCAGCCGAGGGGGATTGGCCGGCGGACCAAAATGCTGGGGCGTCTGCTGGTTCGGCGCCGACGAGGACCTGCTCTCCTGCCGTAGCTGCGGCGTGCTGGAGAAGGCGTACGGTGCTATCGGTGCAGACGTGCCCCTGTATCCCGCTCCTCCAGACTGAGAATTGTACGCCTGGCCCCGTGGCATCTGCGACGATCGTTGCTGTTGGTGGTGAGGCTGTGCCGGCTGGTTCTGGAAGGCATCGGAGGAAGAATGTAGCATCGTAATGGAGCCGGATGTTTGAACGATGGGCGCGAGTACCTGAGCCATCGGAAACCCTCACGAGACGGCTGTCAGGTGCTCGAACGTGGTCGACGTGCGCTCGTTCGGGGTGTGGTGTGGACGGCGGCCGAGGCGAGCAGCGAGGGATCTGGTGACGGACGCGTATTAGCTACAAGGCCATGGTGGTGCGAGAGACGCGGGCTGGAGGGGATGGGGATGGCGGGCGGGTCGCGATGAGGCAAAGGTGGGTGAGGAGCAGAGCGCGGGTGGGCTGTGGAGGGCGTTGTGTTGTTGACGACGTACCCCTTTCGCTGGATGGGCGGTGCCGCGGCGGGCGATTAGAGAGAAATACCTGGTACGAAAGGAAAAACGGCGGGATATTAAAACAGCGGGTAGAATGCAACAAAGTCGTCGGGAGCGCTGGAGAGGCTGTCGTGAATCGACGGAGCTGGCAGCGTGCACCAAGCCTCCCACGCAGACAGCTTAAGCCTGCATTGGACGGGCGGCGGGCGTCAATGTCGACCGGGGGGGCGCTGAGACCGACGGGGTGGTCAAGAAGTGCAAGCAGAAGGGAAAGAATACAGAGAGAGGGAGGGTGAGGGCGGCGTTTGGTGGAGCGTGGTTTGAGGGCGGGAGGTCAACGAAGTAGAATCCAAAGGGGGCGTCCTAACGCGGCCTAGCGTCTGCGCACCGCTCGGTGGTCCAAGCAGCGAGCTTCGACCGTCACTCACGCCAGTTCGGTCAGGATGATGGCTTGTTGCGGTCGTCGACTGTCCAGATGGCGACGGCGGGCTCGACGGCGGGCTCGACGGCTACGGCTGTCTGTCGCTTGGTGGCCACTGTCACGGGCGGCGCTGTGCTGGGGACATATTCCCCCGGCGCGGCGCACAGCAGGCTGCGGACAGCGGCACACGGCTGCTGCGCGCGAGCCGATCTACACTGCTGATTCCGTCGCCGAGTATGGAGGCCTCTACATACTAGCCCGGCCGTCGGCCTATCTGGGGACTGTGTATACCTAGGTAGGGCGCACTGCGCGCTTCTGATATTAGGGAGCGCACGCAATTCCCCCGCCTGCACTTCAATATCGCCACGACCAGAATCTTCCGCCGCTGGCCCTCCGCTACTGTATCCCGCCATAGCGAGAGCACTGCGGCGGGCTCGATGATGCATAGCAACGGCACACAGCAGCCTGTTCACGCTCGCCGTCACCGCCTGGGAGAAGCTGCTCGCTCATTCCGGGCGACGACCGCTTCCGAGCGAGCAAGATTCCGAGGCGACGCAAACGCATGCTCGCCCGCATTCCAGGGGGGCCGGGGCCGCAAACAAAAAGAAAAGCGCTCGCTTTGGGAGCAGCAGGCGGGACGGCGGCATTACGGTACGGTGCTGTATAACGGCTAACAAAGGCTCGCCTTGACGCGTATCTGGACTAGAGAATACGAGCGACGAGTGCGCGACGAGGCAGCGAGGCCGATACAGACGGGGGGCATCCTGTGCGAAGTGGGGTTCACGCAGCGTCCTCCACCGCGGCTGAGGGCGCTGCAGCAGGCTGGCGAAGAGCGGTGGGAGGGTGCAGGGCGCATGAAGCACCAGGCCAGCAATTGTGGCCAGCAATTGTGGCCAGCGGATTCGGCCAGGATGGCGCCGCAGCCGTGCGGCAACGATAAGGGTCGAGGGATGATGGCAAATGCTCGTGAAGACCAGCACTCCTGGGCGGCGGGCACCGACATGCTAGGTACCCCGCCTGCGCCTGCGGACCGAGAGGCGCCACCGGCCGGGGCTCTGTCTGCTGTTCATCTGAAAGTACACACATACTGGATGATATCAACACCCCTTCTCCTGCTCCGCCAGCCGGCCGGACGCGCATGCGGACGCAGCCATGGGTCCTGCGGCGCTCGAGGCACGCCGAACAGCCAGATCTCTGCAGGTCCTCATCTTGATTGCTGTCGCCGGCCTGCGCTTGGCGGCGGCGGCGGCGGCGGGCGATGCAGGCATCATGCCAAGGCGTGGGGAAATAAAGCGCCCGGCGACGAGATGCACGATGCAGGGAAATGATGGTGTGTTTGACATTGTCCCCGCCAGCCCGCCTCACCGAGCATCATCTCTCGCAGATTGCGCGACGCGGCCGCCTGCAAGAGACAGATTGCACGCTCAGGACGCGCGCGGGGAGCTCGACAGCTGTTAATAAAGACGGCGTCGGGCGATCGACGAGCATCACGACGTCCATGTCCGCGGTCCCCACAGGAGAGGCTTGCGGGCCCGGATGACGCGAGTGTTTGGACAAGCCCATTTCGAGCCGTCTCCTTTTTTAGACGGCCCGGCCAATCACGCCGCGCGCGGGGCCAAAACAAAAATTACATAGGAACGCCTTCCAGAATCGTCCCGTCGTCAACATCGTGCCCACAAGTCGACAGAAGCCCGCTCGTGATGGAGTTTCGGCGCACCAAGGTCGTGGAACATGCGGTGCGGACGACCCTCCGCGACTGAGAGGAGCCAATGCTCTGGTTCTTCCGCCGTCGCTCGGCCGCCAATTCCGATTCCTCCGTCGCGTGGACACTACAAGTCGTGCGTTTCTTACAGTATACCTACCATTCCATCACCCGTTCTGCGATCCACTGGCAGAGAGTAAGCCACCAGTCCTCCCGTTTCTGCGGCTAACACGCGTTGAATCATCGTCCAGGGTAAGCTTTCTCTGCCGTTCTGCAGCTTCAGCGAACCATCTTCGCCAACTAGCTCTGGTCTGACGCGTCCTCAGCCCACCGAAAACAATTCTGCGCAAAAATCGCGACGTCCGCCGTCTCTTTCGGAAGAGGCCCACCCACCTTGGAAGTCCTGGAGCCCATCTGTCCAATGCGCTTTCTTTCTGGCTCGACTCGCTTGCTTGCTTGAAATGGCAGTCGCAGCCCACCCGCTCTTTCCCAATTGGTTTCGAGTTGTATCTCGCCCTGAGTACTTCTCCCAGGCCAACATGTCGCCTCTGTCACGCGTCTCAAGTCACACCTCGATCGCTCAACAAAATTCGCGTCTCGCTTTCGACATGTCTGTGGAACCCGTGTCTTGGAACGACTGGCCAGCGGCATCCATCCGTCACCAACATTCCCAGATCTGTCCAATGGCTAGGGAAAACTAGCAAGACCCGCGTTTCAGAACTTTGTGGCTGTCCCACGTCATGCAGATCGCCCGAGGCCAGAAGCACACAGTCCTTCCGGCACGTCTTCCTACCCGGGTCCGATGGGTAACCTGATCGACAAGTGTTTCCACGTCCCGTCACCCGCTGGATCTCGGAGTGGGTCCGCGACTCAGCGCCACAGTCTCGGGATTTCCAGAGTCTCTCAACTCCAAGTACCGGTCTTAGCGACCGTTACTTCGCTTCGGCTACTGCAGGACGCTGATGACTCTGGTCGGAGCACATTGATGCACCTGCTTGACCTTCTCAACCGTTGGCCGAGTTGCATGTGCTCGAGTGCACAACATTAACCATACTTCATATTATCCGCCCGACAGCAGTATCTAACTGGCGGAAGCGTCCAGTCATTACCGCAAACTCTCTCTCTCAATCGTCTCACGGCATGGGTTTTCTGTTTGCCTGTGACCCACACCGCTTCAACTCCCGCCAGCCTGGTGAGACGTCCCCCATCCAAGCGCATACAATGCGTATAGCAGAAGTCTGTCTGAGCCAGACTTCGCCGCGGTTCCCCCTTTAAAACAACAAACAACAAATGATCATGCGACTCAATCTGTACACCCCTTCTCTAGATTCGACACCTTCAGCTCGTCCGTCCCGCTCTGTAAGCATAGGCTGCTTGCTCCGCCCCATTCACTCCAGTATCGTGCATACACAGCCCGGCCGACCTCCCTAGAGGTGGGTGACTTGCGCAAGCAACAAGCAACAAGCAGAACTGTTGGGACTTAACGAGCAACTATACCCGGAATTATAGCCAGGTAGGAGCATTGATTCCCATCTATGCCGACCCCTATAAATCTAATTCGTCTGACTGATGTCATTGAGTCACCACGGCGCTGTCAAAACTCCCCTGCTGGTGCGAACTTCAGCTGAGACATTGAGGTGGTCCCACATCATCTTCAGCGCCGCCGTTTCGTCGCTGGGCTTAGAAGTCGCTGGAATGAACGCTTGACACGTAATTCCACTAGAAGCGCGACGAAAATTCTAGTACGATCTTCGCTATGACGCTAGCTTTTCCTGATCCTTCGACGCATCGTCAATATCGCTCAGGTCAATGCTAGTAGTAATCGGCATTTCAGGTGAGACTTCTAGTATCTTACGACGCGGTTGTCTTATTAGCTTCGCTGGCCATTCATAAATGTCCTGACGAAGCGTAGAATTGACGCCGCGGTCGGATGCCTTTAACACTTGTCGTTGAAAGGCCTTCAGGTTTGGCTTTCCCATGTCGAAGATTGAGACTTCTGGCCTGGGCACCTAGGTATATTTCGCCTAATGCCACTACAGAGCAACTGGCTATGCATCGAGAAGTCTTCTCTACTGTCCGTAACGCTGCTATTGTTGTATTCGCCGAAGCGCATCTTCGGAGCCTGTTTGAACGTTGTGCGTTCGTCTCAGAAAAGAGAGCCTAAAGTACTTTAGCGGACAATGGTCATTGGAAGACCGCTCGTTTCCACGAGGGGAACTTATGCTGAGACTCTACACAGTAGGCGTGAACATGGGAGGGGGAAGGGGAAGAGTATGGAGTCCTGTACGATAAGTTCGGTCTCTATAGCTAGGCCAGGGGCGTGAACCTACTTGGTAAACGCCGGCATTCTTCAAGTGATGATACTTATTGACACTCATCTCGTGATAGGGGATACCGTACTACGCACGCATAGTCACAGTGCCAGACCATGTCAGAAGTAGAACCTCACATAATTAGTATAGAACCACTACATACAATCCTATATTCCCCCATCCCCTCCCCTCCCTTCCCTTCCCTTCCCTATTCATCCTTGCTAAAGAAGCCCACATCCCCACTCGTCGCACCCATCTCCACAAGCTTTTCCCTCATCAGCGCCGCCCTCTCCGCCATCTCGGGCTCGAAATCATGGAAATCATACTCCTTAACCCACTCGCCCACCCCATGCTGCAGCACATTCCGCGCCCGCTCCGCGCTCCCCAGCGTCGTCCCGATACTGCCATGCAGCGTCATCCTTTCCTTCGTGCTATCATAAACCCCTCGGTGCAGAATGTTATTATTGTAAAAGGCGACTTCGCCCGCCTTCAGCTTCACGACGAGCTGGTTCGGCATGTTCGGTTCGTATGGGTCTGCGTTGCGCTCGACATCCGTCCTCGCGCGCTTATGCGACCCAGGCACAACGACGAGGCTGCTATCATCCCACAGCGTGAGATTCCACTGCGCATGCCACCCGGGCTTGCCCAGGCGCTCCAATTCCTCCTCCGCACTCGCACCAGCCGCGATATCGTCTCTATGCCAGCGCAGCGCGAAATCGCGCTCCGGCCGCACTAACATGTTGTACAGCTCCATGGTCAAATCCTCCTCTTTGCATCCAATCAGCGTAGCTACATACCGCAGCAGCTCGCTATCGAAGTAGGACTTCGCGAACGTGAGGTGGTCTGGGTTCGAGGGGTGCAGCAGATGTTGGACCCCCCAGATGCCATTGGATGCGTCGGACGGCCACGGCGGGAATTGCTTGGGGAGCGTGCGGATGTAGGGCCATTTCCCGGAGCGCGCTGCTTCTGTGGAGCGTTTTGCGGCGGCGCGGAGCGCATCGAGGTTGAAGGATGGGAAGAGGGAGGCGGGGAGGACGACGAAGCCGTCGCGTTCGAGGGAGGCGAGGGCGGCTTTGTAGGGGTCGGTGGGGTTGGCGGTGCCACTCGTGATTGCGCCATTCGTAGTCGCGCCGTTAGCAGTGGGGATTGCTGGGGATTCGACTGCGGTCGCCATTGCGTGAGTCTGGAATGTTCAATCTGGGGAGTGGCCTAGGAATTGAGAGCCGGAGAATGGAGACATGAGGTTGAGAGTTGAGGAAGATATAAGTGCTTCGGAGGTTATCAGCGAGCGTTGTAGTTGTGATGTGTTCTCCATGTAACGTTGAGGTGAGGTTGAAGTGGGATGTAACTACCCCGCAGCGCGGACATTCATCACCAGGGCGATCGTCCCTTTCCTGCTTTGGCTGGCGCCATTCTCGGCTGTTTACTTCAATCAATGCTCTGAATGTCCTGCAACGGTCAAGACCTTCTCAGCATGATCAGCTATATGTGATGCAACCGGAGGTAACGTTGCGGCACCGAACGCGTCACTCGCTTAAGTGTTCGAATATATGATAGTAACACTCCAAGTAGATTGCAAGGAAGCCTAATTAAGAATTTATCCAAGAGGCAGTGTAACCGGTAAGGATACATGTAGAGAAAGACATTGGACATTGGGGTAATGGAGGGTATAGAACGGAGGATCAGGATATAAGGGTAGAGCTAAATACCCGAATTGAGGAAAGTGACAATGACAAGGGGTAGAAGTGCCGAGGTCTACATCTTCGGTTCCACCGTATGAGTTTCTTCCCTACCATCTTCTCGACTGTTGAAGGACGAGGACAGAGGCAATATGTTTAGATGAATGGCTTCAGTGAGGCTTTCGGACTGGCCCAGGGAGAGGCCGCGATGCCATAGCAGATAAGAACCGAAATGATATCTGTGTCTGGGGTCAACAACAAGAAATAGTAGTAAAGGAAATGATATAGAAATAAGAGAAGGGTCCCCAATAGCACAGACACATCTTCGAGCAGGCGCGTTCTGTGTATCCGCATTACATTCCATCATTAGAAAATAACAAGGGGGTGGATATGAGACAGGAAATGGGGGCAGAAAGACGGGACTTCAAGCAGAACTCCCTAGCGAAAGAGCATGGAGAGCTAGTGTGTTAACTGCAAGAAGTACCCATATGAGACCGACCATCAAACACTCTCAAGGCCGTGGCGCTCATGCTATCAGGACAAGAAAGCCGACCTCGAGAGAAAATGGGCTTGATAGGTGAAGCAAGCTGCGCACGAAAGCCCATATGAGTGTTCGAATCATTCAGGCAGTTGGATCTAAGGGTTGGGTATGTTGGGCCTGGGGTGGAACCATGGCGGATGCTTTCCAGAGTCATGTACTTGTTCGCATGTGTTGACCATCGAGACGAGGACATGAGATATTACCTCCCATAAGGTAATCGTGAAGGAAGCCAGAATGCTCAGGCCTAGGCCTGCTCCATAAGCACTTGAGACTCATCCTCGCTCTCCTCATCATCCTCTGGTTTCGGCACCTTGATCGGCTTAGGCTTGAGGTTGCCGAATATATTTCCTGTGACGAACTTTGCGCCCGGCAGCTGGATGCACTTCAAACGGCAAAGCTCTCTACCCGCCATGTGCCACACGAACGCATGCTTCGTCGGGCAAACGGTGTACAACGCTGAGGCACGAATGGTCTCCCAGAGACTAAAACGCGGATACAAGTATGGCTCTAACCATGGTTTGACGTCAGGATGATTGAGATTGATGTCAGTGGGGACTAAGGCTCGGAACGCGTGGTAGCAGCTGTCCACCACGTGGTTGTAATGGTCGGAAGTAAGAGTCTGCTTGGCTCGAAGGTCGCGGGCCCATTTATTCGACAGAGCCGTCAGGCTGGCGGTAAGAGCTGCCATTTCTCCTTGTATGACAATATTTCGACTGTCCCGAAGTCGGACATACGGAAACTGAACTGCAGGATCGTCACCGGCGTCTTTCGGGAATGCTTCGGAGACGCTCTTGAGAGTCGCGACATCGTGCGTGCGCACAACCTCAAAGTAAAGGAAGTCGAGAACATTCTCTTTCTTATGCCTGTAGTCCTTCTCTCTAATCTTGTCGGCTTCGCCCAGCTCTTTGGCCCTTTCACACTCTGTCATTGCTTGCTTGTAAGCTGGATCTTTGGGCTTGCCGCAGCAAAGGGTGAATTGAGTGAAATTACGGTAGTCCCTCTCATTGAAGAGATATCCCTGTTTCGGTGCGTCGACAAGCAGGTCATGCATGTCGCATAGAGCGGTGAGCCGGTCGGAGTAGATCCTATTTTCTTTGTAGGCTTGTTTCTCAAGAAAATTGGTCACCATGCCGAGCAAAGAGGGTGTCATGCGGAATTCTAACACCTCCCTTAAGAGGTCGTCAACAGTCGACAAGTCATGAGGCTTCATTACTTCGTGTAGCTTTCGTTTGTCCGTTCTGATCCCGTACTTCGTCGGATCCAAAGATTGCAGCGGAGCTGGAGCGTTCTTGAATGGCTCTACAAGGGCAGATTCCCAACACAGCCAGAAGATGTCGCCGTCGTAATCACCACCTTGGAGTTTCCCGGCCATTGGGTATTCCCCTCGCGTCGGAAATACAACGAGGTCGACTAGGTGCGCTAATTCGGGATGCTTGACAGCGCGCGCCCTTTGTATATCTGAACGTCGACAAGCCGGCTGGCGAGCGACTAGGACATCCACGTTGTTGAGCGCGCGGTAGGTACTGCCTGTGAATTCATCGACGAACGGAGACGAAAAATCCACATGGACTTCGCCGGGGGCCAAGACTCCAAGAGGGTCTGCAACGCCGAGAAGGTTAGCTGCTTTGCCGAGTGGTACCCTCAGTTTTTGCTCCATCCAGACTTGTCTTTGCTTGATAAAGCGATAGAGGGTGTTCGACAGGTACGGCTCCTGGTCCGGGTAGAAACCGCTTTCGAGCAACAGCTTGATCTTGTCAGGTAACGAGTGGGGCATAGCCGCCTGCCAGCGGGGATTCTCAGCATCTGAAGCCGCTGAAGCCGCCGAAGCCTGGTTGTGGACCCAGTGATACATCTTCACTGGGTCCGGAAGAATTTGGAGTAACTGTTCCCTTTCTGCGTCAAGGCGGTCAAGCATGATACTCCGAATACAAGCTCTAGGCACTCCTCTGTCGACCATGATAGGGATGAAGGAGATGTGAAGCTCTGAGGACCTAGGACTCAAGCTGTGATTGACATACTCGAAGGTCAGGCGATGTTCGTCGTATGGGGTCTCGTCATACAGGTCTTCGTTGTGCGGCTGAAATTTCAGTTGGCCCGCAGTGATTTGAATCCATATTTCGAGCTGGGCTGGATCGTCAGAAGAGGGCTCGCCACAAACCATCCATACGCCTTTCGCACCTCCAATGCGTGCTTGAAAAGCACTTGGAATTGGATCATTCGTGTCCGTGGCTTTCCTATACTTCTTCCAGATCTCCGAGGCTGCGCCAACAGATATCAACGAGCATCCGTCATTCATGACTGGTTGGTCTACGCACTTCTCGTCCCATGATAGGGTCGTGTCGTTGTACTGGGAGTCCTCCGGAACGCCGTCTGCTGTAATATCATCAACGTAACGTATCTGCGAAGGCTTGAAGGGCAACGTTGGTATGGTCCTTGACAGGCCAAGATCCAGGCGTGCGTACGCCTTACAGAAGGGTTGATTTGTGTTCTCCGCAAACGGAAAGAACCAGTCGATAACCTCCCCGATGGACATGCGCTTATCAATCCCAATGCCTTCGGTAGCGAACATAATCATTCGTTTGTTCGAGCTGTCGTCTTTCGACCGACCCGCCTTCTTCTTTATGGGTTCGATGTGGAATGCCCTCCATTTGCGACCCAGGAAAGAGTGTTCCCTCTCAAACCACACTTTCCATTGCTGCTGGATTTGCCTCATTTCAGCACCAGTAAAACGCGAAGGTTTCACCTTCTCCCCAGTTTCGAAAGGAGGCAGATCCAGATAAAGGAAGCGGTGAGCGCCGAACTTCCGCTGAAATCGGCAGGACCTTTCGGGCTGGACAGGAAGAAGCTCCAGCCTGAATGTAGAGCCGGATCTGTTGAAGCAAAGTCGTCCTTTGAACGTATATCCCTCAAACTCTCTTCTTGCAGCGGCCCACAGTTTTGGTGGATCATGTATCAACCCGTTCGCGGCGTTTGGATGGCTCTGGATTGCATCCCAAAAAGCCGCGGGCTCGGAACGTACTTGAGCGGCATCCATTCCGCGCATTAGTTCGCGCATCGGAATGCCTTTGTCAACGGCGATGCGGCAACAGATGAAGAGTATGAAGTACGGGAACACCTTTAGTTCATCAGGAAGCTCGTCCACAAACAGGTTCTGCTTTGGTATGTCTCGTATATAGTGGAGCAACTTTGAGGGAGAAACATTTGCGGGCGGCGTTTGAGGAGAGTGCGGAACGAACCTTGCCGACGATGCACCAGCAGGTGGAATAATTGGCTGTGGGAGCGTTTGAATGGGAGACAGGTTCGCGCCAAGGCTGTGAGCTGCTGAGGGTCTAGCTTTGGAAGGTCCAGCCATGGGATCCTGAATACGTGTGACATTCTTGCCGGGCGATGGGGTGCCTCTTGCGCTGTCGGCTCGAACAGTAGGCCCACCTGGTGACACTGGTGGCCTGAGGGGAGGCAGACGGGGGATCGGATCTTCCGCCTCCACTCTGAAGGATGTCTCGATCAAGCCATCCTCATCTACTGAGCCGAACGTAGACGAGCTCTCCCGTGCTAGCTCTTGGCTAAGTTCCTTCTCAGGCTTTGTTGTGTCTCTTTCGAGTTTAGAAGACACGTTCAACAAGTCTGTATCGCTGAGGGAACCCATCGTGGTAGAACTTGTCCGAGTCAACCGGGGATACTGAACTTCCGCTTCACATGCATCAGATGTGAAGGATGTGTTCAGAGATGTGTTTGCGGTATCTGGTCGCGTCTCCTGCGATGACCACATTGTATTGAACGACCTCGTGAAGGAGGACTGAAGGGAAGCCGCCTGGAAGGAGCGTGCCATGTCAAGAGAAGGCTTCTTGAACAGAGGGGGCGAGGGATGTTTGGATGGACCAGCATTTGAGGGCTCATCGGCAGGCTGTTTTCCTTTCCCGGTCTTTGTAAGCTTTGGTGAGCTTCCAGAGTCGATGGAGCTATCGGAAGGCCGCTTCCTGCCCATGGTCCCGAATGAGAAACGCTGACTTGCCTGTAAGCGCCTTTGCGCAGATCTGGAGGATAGCGTTGGCGAAGGAGGGGGGGTAACGAAGTCGTCGTCATCCTCGTCTGTGGGAGAGCCAGGTTCAGGAGCTGTACTGTAATGCGATTCTGGCTCGCCCTCTTGATGGACCTGGAAGAGGTCAGAGAAACGTCGAGCCCGTTTGGATCCTTGGCTGGCTGCTATTCATCTGTCAGCTCCCAACACAAAAGCCATGCAGCCGTCCTCTTCTGCTGGCCGCCAGCACCTCCGTTGGTAGGGGAATAAGAGTGTGTGGAACGGACATTACTGAGACCGAGGAGAAGCAGTGCCGGCTGGACCAAGTGCCAGGACGTGAAGCATGTGCTACACAAAGATTGGAGACCATCTAAGAAGACAAGAAAACAAGCTACAAGCAGAAGCAGTTCGATGCCTCAGTGAGAGGAGGGTGAAGAGAGCGATGGGAAGGTTAAGACAACAGTATTGTGGGGGTAACAGTACGTGGGGTAAGCAGGCTTGGTCCCAACAATCCTCCCTCGTGGAATTATGCGTATTCGCTTGAACGAACTCACAGGGCTGGGCCGACTTGAGCGTCTTGGGTGGTACATTCCTGTTCCCCTGCGAACTTGCCGGCGTTCCTGTTCTCGACTTGCTCGGCATCTCCATGTTTAGCCTCTCATTTAGAAGCTCCAATCGCGTGGCCGGCTGCAGCACAGGCGCCATCTGCCTGAAACCGTCCAGCAGCTTGTGTAGCACTCCTGGCGAAGAATAGTGCAGAAACTGTATCTGGCCGTACACTTTTCCGGAAAGGGACTCGGCTCTCTGGCTGGGTGACTGTAGGCCGTGGAGCTTAAGGCCTAATTGCCACTCCGCTTCGAGCGAGCGAATGAGGTCGTCTAGGGCGACTCCATTTCGCTCACGGTGAGGGGTACCAAAAGAAGCGGCGGGAGCGGCTGGGCCTGCGCCGGCGCCTTGCCCACGGTTACCGTTCGAAGCGGCCAGGGCGGCATTCGGGCGCATGTCCGCTGCCGCGCAACAGCGGACCGCGTAGGAGATACGTTGCAAAAATCCAATTGCGTGTGCAGAGAGTGAAAAGGGGGAAAGAATGAAGCTGACGAGGACGGGGTGCGGGAAGGCTGAGACGTGATGCCTGAGGCTGCCGTTGCCGGGCGGTTACGAAAGTGGCCTGTGCGCCAAAACGCGCCCTCACGAAGTCACGGGATCAAACAGCTCACCGTGACAAGTGCCCAAGGTGGTACACGCTTTCCTCAGGCTTGGTGTTTTGTGGTCCGATGTATTCCCACAGTACGGGACTGTATAGTTGTGCGCATCCCGAGGCCACCAACATAGACTGGGAATCAAGAATGCCCCCTGGAACGAGGTTGGTATTGGACATGCTCCGCACTTGGGAGCTTGAGGTCCACGGAAGACATGACGTTGCAAATAAAGCGGTAGGCGAACCCCGTAGATTCATAATCGCTTTTCAGCACTATGGCGGATATCCCGTGCATGCAATAGATGGTCACATATCCTAAACCCGGCTCAACCCTCCTCCGCGGCCACGCCTGCGGCCTATCCACTTAGACCTTCATCTCGTCCAACCCGTGCTTCCACACAGTGACGAAGGGAGTGACACCATCCTCGCGGTAGTTGAGAAGGACAACCCTGGCATACGTCAGTTTCAAGCATATCCGGGGGCGCGAGCAACACGTACATGCCATCGGGATCCATGGACTCGCCGATCAGGAACTCGTAGTCCTTGAAGTTGGCGACAATCTTCTTGGCAAAGGCCGAAGCACCCTTCTCGAATGCAGTAACCTCGTCATCGCTTGCGCCCTTCTCCTTGAGCTTGCTCTTGACGGCCTTCATGTAGCCTAGCTGACGTCAACCACAGTCCTCTTTGGGTGTTCAGGCAGGGCTCACCCTTGAGATGGGTGAGGTACGACTTCTTGTCGAAGGAGGTCTCGTTCAGGCGGAAGGAGTGGACAACGTCGATGACGGTCTGGGCCTGGTCGTCGGTGCCCTCATCGCCCTCCTCGGCGGACGGGTTGGCGCCAATGTCTATAGCCCTCGTCAGAATAAGTGATAGTTGTTATGCCATGGCGACGGCGGCAGCGGACGGTGGTGCGCACCAATGTTGTCGGCGCCGACGGTGATCTTCTTGCAGTCGGCCTCGTAGGCAACGCCGTCGATCTCCTTGAGGTTGTACGAGTCGGAGATGATCTCGTCGCCGGTGAGGGAGTCCTGCGAGCCGAGTCAGTGTCACTCAGGCATCGAACGAGCAGTCTTCAGAAAAGGAACGATGTGGCGCCTAGAGAGGCAGGCAGGGCATGCTGCGCGGGCATGCGCAACGCGGGACGCACCTTGTAGATGATCATGGTGACAGAGAGCGTGGAGGAGAGCAGAAGGAGGGGCCGAGAAGAGTTCGAGGGGCGGGGGGCGGGGGGGAGTCCTTTGGCGTGGGCGGGCAGAAGCGCTGGCACTCGAGGTGGGAGGAATTCGTGGTGGGGTCGAAATTTGAGAAAAGGCGCTAAGCCTAAACGGAAATGGGCAGTTCTTGACGTGCACGGGCCGTCAGGAGGCGAAAAGACGGGCATGCGCCAAACGAGGCGGAAATGTCATGATGTCGCGCGCCTCACCCATCCAGAGCGCCATTCTCACACGATACAGCCCGCGCCCGCCTGCTCTGCCCACTTGTGCCTCTCCTTCTGAGCCCGCTACCCCGTAACCGTGCCAATTGCCCTGCTCCGCGTTCGCCTCGCTCCTTCTCCCTAATCTTACGCTGATCCGCGGCATCCGATCTGCCTCCGCGCACCATCTCACCTCGCCTTACACTCTCCTAGCACACCCACACCCGACGCGGGTACTTATAGGTCCTGCCTCCCTCGAACCTTCCTCCCACGATATCTCATAATCCTCGCCCTTCGCATCCTGAGCACCTCACAGCCCGTCGCCGCACCATGGCGAGCGCGAACATGTCATACGAGCTCCCTCCGCTGCCCGACTACACGCTCAAGCCTCTCCCGCCGCTTGTACCCTGGGCCTCGGATGCGATTCTACAGGTCCTGCTTCCGTTTGCGGGCTACTGGGCCGTCTCGCTGATATTCCATATCATCGACGTATGGGATCTCCTCCCGCAGTATCGACTGCATACACCGGCCGAGGTCCTGAAGCGCAACCATGTTTCGCGTTACGAGTGTTTCCGGGATGTCATCCTACAGCAAGTCATTCAAACAATAGCCGGGCTCTTGCTGTCTCTAACAGACGAACCGGCAACCTACGGGAGAGCCGACTACGACGTGGCATGGTACGCTCAGAAGATTCGACTCGCACAGTGGGCATTGCCTGTCGTTTTGGCTGCTGTGGGCTTGAATCCGACTGCATTGGCTTCGAAGGTTTCGGCATCGTACCCAATGGCCGCCGGTGCGCTCAATGGAGGTCGATATCCGGGATTAACCCAGACAATAACACTCGCCGATCAAGCGACTGTAGCTCCCGCCTTCGCATCTTGGGAACTCACGTTGGCAAACATCCTCTACTGGTATGCCGTTCCGGCGTTGCAATTTACCGCGGGTGTGGTCATCATCGACACGTGGGAATATGCCCTGCACCGGTCCATGCACATGAACAAATGGCTCTATGGTACGTTTAAACATCTAGAAGCGCAACCCTCCGAATAGCGTATCTGACCATGTCAGTGACTTTCCACTCCCGCCACCACCGACTGTACGTGCCTTATGCGTATGGCGCACTTTACAACCATCCGGTTGAGGGCTTCCTCTTAGACACCCTGGGTGCTGGTATCGCCTACCTCATTACGGGAATGACCATGCGGCAGTCACTGTGGTTCTTTACCTGCTCCACTATCAAGACGGTGCTTGATCACAGCGGCTACGACCTCCCGTGGGACCCTCTCCATTATATATTCCCAAACAATGCGGCCTACCATGACATCCACCACCAGAGCTGGGGCATCAAGACAAACTTTTCGCAGCCCTTCTTCATCTTCTGGGACAGGATTGGTGGGACCATGTACAAGGGCGAGGTCCAGTCGAAGTATGAGCGAAGCCGCCGCGCCGCTGAGCAGAAGCTCGCCCAGGAAGAGGAAAATAAGACCAAGGCATTGCCTGCTGAAAAAGGGGCAAATACCGCGCAGACGGCGGACTCTCAGCCCATCTCAACGCCACGCAGCACACGCAAGAGGTCGCAGTCCTCGACAGGAAACCTGAAAGGGCTAAGAAACAAGGTCAACGAAAGTCTACACGGCAAAAGGGCCAACGTATTGGGCGTCGAAAGCTCGCATTAGACCCCCCTTTTTTATTGTTCTTTGTTTGAGGCACAACATTTTGGTTCGCAGAACATACTTATACCAGAGGTAATGTGTAGTATCTCCTGATGTACAACTCCCTTCGATTCATTGTATTATTTGGATACGGCAGGCCTATTGGAAGGTCTTTGCCCCGTCCTAGAGCTGGAGGGCACGCATTATTTGATCGCAAGACTGCTCGTTCGCTCATGTATGGTATGAGGGGGTGGGTAACGGCGTTCCTAGGCGGCGCGGTTGGCTCACGATACTCAATCTGAATTACATGTCACTCGCTTAATCATGTGGAGCCCATTTCAGTCATCACGATCTCTCTTGTGGTACAAGTGCTACCGACTCTGAAGCAAGCATCTTGAAGTTCAAACTGCCACGTGTAGCAGTGGAGAGGGCGGATATCGCATAACGGCAGCACTAGTAAGTTTTCCCTTTGTTCTGCCTCTATTCATGTATCCTCATAATTGTCTAGTCGCGAGTTGAACGTTCACCCCCGCTTCGAACAATGTCTTGGACACCGAAATACGCAGTTCCATTACAAGTTGCGCTTCACTCCTTCAGAATTCTTCAGAATCCATTTCTTTCTAATATTTACAATGCGTTTCCTCACCGTCATTTCTCGAGCGCTCGACACACTGTCATTATCATCTTCGCAACGTTCACACCCCCTTTACAATGTCCAACTCATACAATGTCTTTTCACTGGTTTGTACATATACGATTTTATCCCTCCATGACCGTTCTAAACAGTCTTAAGCCTCTAACTCGTCTCTTTACAACCAACAATCTTGAAGTAAATAAAACACCATGCCTTCCACAGCACTAGCAGTTTTGTACAGCACTTCAGGGACCGCTGGTCGGTCCCGCAAAGTGACCTCCCACAAGGGCTTGCATAACTCAGACATGAAGCAGCTCGTCCGCGTGCTTTGTAGCGTTCCCTTTCCCTCTACACCGGAAGCGGAGAAGAAGTATATCCACGATCTGAAGGCTGCTATCCATAGCCTGCCCTCCCACCTGCGCTCTGCTACTGTGCAACTCAAGTCCACAGAGGACAAAGAGACCGGCAAAGTCAAACCCGGCCGCCTCTGCTCTCAGCACAAAGGTCTCAACACCTTGCTGATCTGCAATATCTGGGCTTTCGTGAAGCATGAGTTTGATGCTGGGGTCGGCCATTACATCTACCCAGTTATCATGTACGGCGGTCTAACTAAATATCAGGAATGTAAAGCGCGCCAACTGGAGCCTGTGCTGCAGATGTGGCATCCTGAATTCACGGTTGAGGGTTCTATTCCCCCGGATCACGAACCCGTTATCCCAGGCTTCTTGTACGATAACGGTAGTTTTTTGCCGAAGTGGACCTACCAGGAGAATGAGTGTCCGGCCTGTATGCTGGCTAGGATTGGGAGTGATGGGGATGTTCTGGCGGCGCTGCTTTCGGGCATGGTAGCGCGCTTCTCGAGTCGGAGGATTGGGAAGAGGGACGAGGCTAAGAGCAGCCGCATCCGGTTTGTGAGGTACTGGCTTAAAGCCTGCGATGGTGGAGCCAAGCTCGTCGACGAAGCCTGGGATCTGGGCGAGGAGATGCGCCGTGTAAGGAAGGCGTGGAAAGAACATGCGCGCTCAACACGCCTCAAGGTTGTTTCCGCGCTGCAAGCTACCACCCGTCCGCACTCTACCGCCGAGGAGTCAACGATCAACGTCGGCATCGACGTCTCCGAGCCCTTCAACCCTTACTCCTATCCTACGAACCCTTCACCCGGTCCTATACCACGAGCTTCCACCGTGGTGCCCGAAAGCCAACGCTCCTCCGTGGTAGGCATCGACATCTCAGACCCCTTCATCCCTCCCCAGTCTAACATGTCATTCCCCTACCCTCCTCTACCCATCCCCGCAAGCCCACGCCCCGCATCTAGCATCTACACACGCACCACTTGTGGCGGACCTATCAACAAATCCTCCACCACCGTCAATACCGCCACCACGCACCGTCCCAGCTCCGCCTACAGCAATAGCAGCCCTCCCGCACCCCTGTGGGATACCACATCCGCCGCATACTGCACCAGCATCCCCCTGCATAACGTCCCTACCATGCAGCCCTCCGTCCTTACCTGCACATTTACAGATGTGCAGTCCGAGCACGCCCGGTACTCCATCGCATCCTCGATTTCTGAGGACTGGGACAAAATCCCCTCCTACTCTTCCGAGTCTTCTATTCGTCCCCTGCGAGACCATCTCCCCGCACCACTTTGCTCGTCGAACACGAGCCGCGAGCAGGCGAGGGAAGATGTGCTGCTGCCGCCGCCGCCTCGCGCGTCTGTATACGTAGGGTTTGGGGAGCCGGTGTGGGATGAAGAGTTGTATAAGGATGTTAGTCCGCCTGAGACGCCGACGGGGGATGCGTATGGGATGCGGGCTGGTGGTGGAGAGAAGGGCGGGTATGATGTTAGTCCGCCGGAGAGTCCGGTGGTGGGACGGGAGGAGAGGGAGTGGAAGACGAAGACGAAGGGGACTACTTGGAGTGGTCTGTATTGAGGTGAGGCAGAAGTTGGATGGATGGAAGTTGGGATTCCGCAGGCTGAAACAGTGTAGAGGTGCTTTCGCGTAAGTTGTTCTCAGTAGGCGTCAATTGGGATATACTCCAAATCCATTTATATCAAATTGAGGGGTAAGTCGCTACACGGTACTCGTAGGAAAGGAATCCAATAAAGATAAGTGGTATTCAAATGCTTCCGTTGCTGATCTGGATTTGTGGCAGATAGTGATGCTGGTTGATCTATACATGCTATCTATGGGGTATAGTGCGATGTGTCGTAGAGTTAGTTTCCAAACGTTTCTGAAAAAGGCCGCGGTAAAGGTGTCGATATCCAGTTGTTGATGCGATGCATAAGTGTAATAACCGTTGCAATTCCCGCCTTCATGGCCCCGCCTCGCCTCAGTTCCATCATCCTCATGAGCTCGACTTCGTCAAGAGAAAGCCCGCCCTGCAATCCTGCTCTTTCAGCACCTCAAGGAAGACATCATCGTCAACCGCGAGTGCCATTTCATCCTTATCCACGTTCTCGCCGCCCTCTCCCTCCTCCGTTGCTAGATCCACAGTCTCGGAACCCTTATCGCATCGCAAATATTTCGTGTCAATGTGTTGATACTCCATCAGCATCCTTAATTTCGGCTGCTTAGCCGCTCGGCGGCTCTTGATACGAGACTCTTGCTCCTCCATATCCACTTGGCTCGCTTTCTGCAAGCCACCATAGGAGTCCTCCCCTTCACCTTCGTCATATTCAGCTACCTCGATAGGCTCAAGCTTGATCTCTGGCGCGCCTTTGCAGTCGCAAGTGCAGCCAAGCAAATCGTGCGTCTGGCACGTCTCTCGCTCGTCCAGGCGAAACAGATCTCGGAGCTCTTCTTTCGAAAATGAAGACGCGCTCGCTTTGTTGTCGACGACTGCATTCGCCAGACCCATCTTCATCACCTGGCGCTGGAAGATCTTCTCATCTAGCGCGCCCTGAACGAGGAACCTGTACACCTTGCAAGGCAGCTTCTGCCCGTCGCGATGGATGCGTGCCATAGCCTGCAAGTCCGTGGCTGGATTCCAGTCAATGTCGAAGAGGACAATGCGGGATGCGCCGATAAGGTTGATACCGACACCTCCGGACTTAGCAGAGAGAAGAAAGGCGAATGACGTCGCCTTGGCTGTCTTATTGAACTTTTCGACAAGCGGTTGACGTTTCGCTGTTGGTGTAGTCCCGTCAAGACGAAGATAGGTGTACGACAGTGAGACGAGAAGGCGTTCAATCATATCCAGAGTTGTGGTGTAATTGGATACGATGACTACCTTCTCTTCTGTGGTTGTGTAGATCTTATGAATTAGGCTGTCGAGCATACGCAGCTTAGTGCTTGAAGCATTCGAGTTGAGGATGTTGGGGGGAATGAGTGGAAGTAGTGACTGTAGCATTTCGGATGGTGTATCCTCCGCACCTTTCGAAGACTTCAACAACGCGGGGCTGTTGCAGACCTTCTTGAGGACGTTGATGAGCTGAAGGGCTGTATCCGTATTACCAAGTGCGATTGCGAAAACAGGCGACGAGAGTATATTTCGGTATGCAGTCGCCTGCGCGGCAGTGGGCTTGCAGAAGATGATGTGCTCTGTTTTTGACGGAAGATATTTTGCCAAAACCTCCGCTGTACGTCGGATCATGAACTGACTTGTCAAAGAGACGAGCTCCTTCCATCGAGCTTCACCCTTCTCCAGCTCCGACTCACTCGCCTCAGGCTGCCGACTGCGTAGGATGGGGTGTTCGAAGGTGCGTTTGAAGGCGGACCGTTGGCCTAGAAGACCCGGATTCACGAAGTCAATGGCGGTGAAGAACTCGCCAAGATCATTCTGAAGCGGCGTCCCTGACAAGATGACGCGACGCTCAGTGCTCAGAGACTGGATGGCCTGCATGGCTTTGTTGTTCGCCGTCTTTAGCCTGTGGCCCTCATCGGCGATGACGATGTCGATGCTGCCCTTCTTCAGCTCATCTTGAACGACACGAAGCATCTCATAGCCAATGACCATGATATTATACGCCTTTCCCATCGTAAAATTCGTGATCTTCCTGTTCTTGCCATCGGCGACGAAAACACCAATTCTCTCGTTGCCTAGCCACTTGCGAAATTCGCGACGCCAATTGTCGACAAGACCGGCGGGACAGACAATCAACGCTTTGGCGGCAACTGGTGGACTCTCGTAGATTGGGTTTTGTTTCAGTAGTGTCCATATCAAGGTGATAGTCTGAAGCGTCTTTCCCAAGCCCATCTCGTCGGCCATGATGGCTCCCTCTCCCTCACACCGCATACCCATGACGCATTCGTACAGAAACCGGACACCTTCGCGCTGGTGATCTCGGAGATGCTTGCTCAGAACCGGGTCGACTACTACATCGACGATCTGCTTGCCCTTTGGACAAGTCCTTGGGCGTTTCATGACTAGAGCGTTGGGCTGGTTAGGGTCATGTCGCGGCTGCGGAACGGAAGAATTGGATTTGGGCATCACCGTGCTGGATAGCATTGGCGTTTTGAACTGCTTCTTGGTTGCCGCCGGTCTCCAGTCTGGAACGAACTCGGGCTCTCCATCACCTTCGTCCACCTCATCGCCGTCGCTCTTTCTGTTGATCTTGAGGCCAAACAGCGACTCGTCACGTTGCCTCCTCTTGCACACAGCTAGAGGTTTGAAGTCCGGCCCAGGGCGTTTGGCAAGCGCCACGGGAGCTGGAGCAGCCGTTCCCAGGAACATTCGACCCGAGATATAGTCGTCCTTCTTGATGGCGCTATCAATTTCGATCTCCTTGCCGCCTAAGGACAGCGTCGATCCTGGTAGTAACGGCCGATTGCATGCCGCTTTCCCCAGCTCTTTTCCCGTGTCGCTGTCGGTCAGAACAGCATATCCTCGCACGATAGCCAGCACTCCATCCCCATCCCATGTCTTGTTCTTCTTCGTTGTGTACTTCCTCCACAAGACAGTATAGTAGCGTTCATCGGAGCCGGAGGGCGAAGCCTGCGATGTGTGGTTGCTTACCAGAGCTAGAGGCTCTCTCGGCGTGGCTCCCAATGACGCCGCATTCGACGATGTGCGTCGCTTTTTCGGCGGCGGCTCGCTGCTTCCAGACTCGCGGAGAACAAACGAAGGAGGCCGAAATGGCTTCCTTATCATGGCGATTGCTGCGGAGCGTTTGTGGGCATGCTCTGGGAGGGTGTTTGATGAGAGCGGTGTATCAACTGCTGAAGGCGGAGGAAGTCGCGACGCGTTCAGACGGCATTTACGCGACCGCGCTAGCGCAGCGCGTCCACGTGACCTTGCCTCCCCCAGCCCGGGGTCTTTTGCACGTATGGAAGAACTAGTTGGAATTCTAGTGTGTGACGAGTAAGCGAGACAGATAACGGCGAATACTCTATGTGCACGTTTAATCTTGCGGTTGTTTAAATAACGTACTTAATAACTAAACTCTTTAGATAAGTAAACCTTCTATAATTTCTTAGCAAGAAAAATATAATAGTCTAGCTTAGTATTTACTAAAGTTATATAACCTCGTCTAGTGTCTTAGCGCTTAGCTTTCTATATATAGAGAGCTTTTAGAGTATTCTTTTACTTCTTACCTTTAGATAGCTAAATTTAATCTAATCTACTCTACTAGTATCTCTATTTTTATAGCTTATAGAAATAGTACTATCTATAGCTAACTTATCTAGCTAGGTATTCTAGAATACTTATAGTAGTAAAGACTATAAAGCTAGCTCTTATATTATCTAAAGGTTAATACTTTTTTAGCTAGAGATAATAGTATAATATTAGACTAAACTAAGTAGTCTTATTAAGAAGTATTTACTAATAGCTAATACTAAAAATTAGAGCTATAAGAGTCTAGTTACTTACTCTAAGAATTAAAGCTATAAGAGCTCTAATTACTTATCTCTCTAGCGCTATATAAGACTACTAGTAGATCTAGTTAGTAGTAGAAAAGAAACTCTAGTAGTAAGCTAAAGAGAGCTATTAAGAGCTCTACGTATAGAAGAACTTCTATAGAACTTCTACGTATAGAAACTCTTTCTCTATTTTAAAAATTAATAATTCTCTACTTTACTAGTAGAGCTAATAATTAGCTACTTTACTAGTAGTATATACTTCTACTTCTTAAATAAAAAGCTATACCTAAGTTAAACTACTTAAATACTATAGGTAAACTCTTATAAAGTAACTCTAGAAGTAAGACTCTAGTCTTATAGTACTCTTTTACTTCTATAATTCTTAAATTCTAAGTAGAGAACCTACTAGCTAGTTATTTAAACTAATATTATTATTATAAATTACCTATTTAATAATATAATATAATAACTAATAAGAATTAAGATAATAACTTTAAATAAAAGCTAGTATAGCTATGCTAAATCTTAGTAATACCTAGGTTATTAGCTATAGATAGCTTTTATATACTCTCTACCTTTAGAAAAAAGCTCTAAGAGCTTTTTCTAGAAAAGCTAAGTAAAATTATTAATAAATTAGTTAGCTAATTACTTATACGCTAGGTACTTAAATAATAAATCTATATATATTACTAGATTACTACTAACGTACTTACTAAAGAAGATACTATATATAGAGAGTATTAGAATTTATAGTAAAAAAAAGCTACTACTTTAGTAAAAATTTAATAGCTATAAATATAACTATAATTCTACTCTAGAAGCTAAATACTATCTACTCTATTAACTTAACACGTAATACGCTTTATAAATTAAATACTATATATATATAAGTCTAGTATATTACTACTAGATAACTCTATTTTAGATTCTTATTTAACTACGTATATACTTACTATACTACTAGTAACTAAGTAATATTTAGAAAGCTAAATAAGACTTTTTACTAAGTTTCTAGACTTTTTATTACTATTAGATAGTAAGGTTATTACCTTTAAGTAATAAAGAGATAGCTTATAAGATAAGCTTTAAGCTAATTATAACTAGTATCTAGAAAAAATAGCTAAGAATACTAAGAAAACTATTATAGTATATATACGTACGTAAATAAAAGAAAACGCGTACTAGACTCTTTCTATAATTCTACGTACTCTAAAAAATAGTAGTATATAGATTTTTTATAAATATATACTTAATTAGCTAGAAAGAAGCTATATAGACTTTTATAAAAGGCTAAATATCTATTATAATTTCTAGAAGCTATATTACTAAAATACTACTAACTTTATACGCTTCTAGGTTAATTTCTTCTATCTAGCGTAGAAGCGCTAGCTTCTAATAGACTAATAGATAGAGAAGCTTTATAAGAAGCTTCTAGTAAGTATACGTACGTAGATAGGTATCTACTAATATTAGTATATCTATAATTATAATTAATATATAGATCTTACTTAAGACTTTACTAGAAAGCTTACCTAAGAAAAAGCTTACGTATTTAGAAAGGTTAAAAAGTATAATATACTTACGTTAATACTATATTATATACTTATTACTCTTCTAGGTATTCTACTAACCTCTAATAAAGCTCTAGTAATTAAAAAGCTAGTTATCTACTTCTAATACTAGTAATCTAGCTATATAAGCTATAATTACCTAAGTACTTCTACTACGTAGAAAGCTATTAAGAACGTTAATCTAGAAAAGAAGTCTATAGAGTCTATAAAGCTATAAGTACTAGAGAATAATACGTTAGAATATAAATTTAATAATTTAGAAAAAGTCTAGCTCTAGAAAAAGTCTTCTTTCTAAAGCTACCTACTAGAGTAATAAATCTACGTAAAAAGCTATTTAGTAGTTCTATATTTACTCTACTCTACTAAATATCTATAAATAGTCTTACTCTTAAGCTTAGAAACTTAATTAATACTAGAGTAAGTAGTTACGTTCTAGTATATCTAAAGTACCTTTAGACTCTTAGAAAAAACCTTTATATTAAGCTATTACGTATAGAACTTATTTCTCTTACTAGTTATAATAGATAACCTAATAGCTAGATAGATAAATACTTTAAAGCTAATTTAGTACTAGAAAGCTACTAAATATATATCTACTTTATATATTATAATACTAGCTACTATAACGTAATAATTAGTTATAAGCTACTTAAAGAAGCTAATATTTAAGTTAACTATAAGTAGCGTATACTAATATAGCTAGATACTAATTAATTAATTAATTATAAACGTAACGCGTTTATCTTTATATAATTCTCTTAATCTACTACTAAAGCTTAAGTAGCTTATTAAGCTAATACTAATTACTATAATACCTTAATATTTATAGTAGAAAAGCTAAGAGTAATATAATAAGAGAAGAGAGAATTATAACGCTAGAAGCTTTAAGAAAACCTACGTAAGATAGATAGATAGCTTAAGAATCTTAACCTATCTACTAGGTTACTCTATAAGCTAAAAAAGCTATCTATTTTATAAGAAATATACCTAAAGGCTAGACTTAATATTAATATAGTTAGCGCTATTATCTTTATAATTAACGCGCGTAGAAAAAATATTATAATTAGGTATCTTAGTATTTATAAGATAGATTAGCTTATTACTAATAAGAAGAAAACCTCTACTACTAATTCTAAGAAGAAGCTCTACTAGTTAATTACTTAGAAGCTTCTATTTCTAGAATACGCTAGCGTAACTATAGCTTATTTCTCTAAAAAGAATTCTAATTTACTACTACTATATTAAGAAGATGTTAATTATAATATTAAGCTTATAGTAGAAAATATGCTAACTAATAGCTCTCTTTATAGTATATTACTAGAGTATCTATAGCTTATACGTAACTATCTAGAGAATTACCTCTACTATAGCTTTATTATCTATAGTAACGCGTTATATATATTACTAGTTCTATTTACTAAAAAGCTAGAAAAAGAATAGAGATTCTATATTAACTACTAAAAGCTTAATACTATTATAAAAAAAAGATATCTATTCTATTTCTCTTATCTAGAAAACGCTTACCTACTTATTATGCGTAAAGATCTTTATAAAGTTAGACGTTTAGTAGACTTTCTATAGAATCTAGCTTAATAAGTTAGTAGAAAATCTAACTTCTTTTTATATATAATATAGTAACTATAAGTATTACGTTCTACTCTTTAGTCTTTATAATAGCTCTACTACTTTTTAGTAATATATTAATAAGGTATTATATAGATTACTAGATAATTTCTATATAGTATATATTAATAATATTCTTATTTATTTAGAGAATTCTCTTAAGTATAAAACTTATATTACTAAAGTACTTAATTAACTATATAAAGCTAGATTATAAGTAGATATTAAGAAGTTAGAATTTACTATTAAGAGTACTAAGTTTCTAGAATTAATTATAAGTACTAATAGAATCTAGAAGAACTCTAAAAAGGTTACTATTATTTAGAATTAGCCTATACTAAGAACTCTTAAGAGTCTTTAATTATTTCTAAGTTTCTATAATTTCTATTAAGCCTTTCTAAGAGATTATAGTAGAATTATCTATCTATTTACTAAGCTACTAAAATAGAGAGTATAGTACGCCTTTAGTAAAACTAAGCTTATAGTATTATAGTATATTAAGAATCTTTTACTAGCTAATAACGTTTTAGCTTACTACTCTTTTTATTAATAAATAAGAGTTAAGATAAACGTATTAGATAGTGTAGTTACTAGAGTTTTTTTATAGCTTTAAGAGAATAGTATCTAGTAACCTATAGCTTTCTTTAGTAAGATAATAAATACTAGTAGTTATTCTTAGTATATAGAAATAGAAAAGCTAGCTAATTAGTCTATAAGATCTAGAACTATTTATAGTATTAACTAACTATTAAGCTCTAGAGTACTTTATAACTAAGTAAGAACTTACTATAAAGTAGGTCTACTAGACTAATAATATTACTAACTATAACTTTAAGCTTACCTATTAATCTAGATTAGCTAATATAGTAGCTAACGCGTTATTATAAAAGTAGAAAGAACTTAAGACCTAAAAGAAGAAGAATTATACTACTTATATAAGAGCTTTTCTAAGCTAGAAATAAATTAGTCTCTCTACTATTAAGTAAATTATAGGTAAGCTAGCTACTCTAGCTACTAAGAGGCTAGTAAGTAGCGTTACGAAAATTACGTCTACTAATATATTTATAGAGATACCTTTTATAGAGAATCTTTATACTATAATTAACTAGATTATTACTACTAATTAATTAGATAAATTTCTATAGCTAGCTTAA